AGCCCCCCCCGCCGTGCCAGCTTCTCTGTCACTGACCCAGAGACGGAGCCTTCATAACCGCTCACTCTTGATCTTTCTCTTTCCATCACATTCTGCAAACACACACACCACCACACACTCTTGTCACACCTTATCCACAATGGCATCCAAAGCTCATCCGTCGGCCAAGGCGCCGTCCAAGACCATGGTATGTGTTGAGCCACCACCAGCGCCGCCGCGTGCCTTCATAAGTCGCCGAGTACTGAGCTCACCATCGCGCAGCTCAACCTGGGCAACCTCCCGCCGAGGCAGAAGCAGGCAGAGAACAAGCCAGCGGTAAGTCTAATCGCTCTTGGCACAGCGCCCCGTCGGCTTACTGTATGCTCATGCCCAACAGGCTTATCTCGTACGCCCACTCGTGTCAACCCTAGTAAGTCTGCTCACCTCCGCTGAGAGGGTACAGCTGTGCTGACTCCAATGCTAGACCAGCCCCCCTGGCCCGCATACCGTGGCTACCACGAGTACTCGTTCGCTCATGTAAGTGGGAAAAGAGGGGACAGAAAAGGCTTCTGAAGGGAGAAGCAGCAGTGAAACGGGGGTTACGAAAGATCGCAGTGTGGCTGACGCCCCATAAAGGCCACGATGGGCGTGCGCCTGCCAACTATTTTGGCCAGGCGATCAACGATGTTTACCAGACGCTTAACCAGGAGTACGACGAGGGGCGTGTCCTCGACCTCCTCGACTGTGTCGAGCGCATGCAGCAGCTCATGGACGACCTCCACGGCAACGCCAAGCTGCGCCCCATCGTCGACGACGGTGCCGGAGACGTGGCCCTGTGGAACAAGGAGATTGCAAAGTTCTTCCGCGGCAAGGACTTTATGAACGCTCCGTGGCTCTTTGCCGAGGCGTACAAGTACCGTCGTTCCGCGAGTGCTTCTCGCTGTCCAAGTACTGGGTCGAGTATGACGTCTTCTTCCGCCAGAAGTGCGACACCTTTTCGCGCTCGGCTCAGGCCGTGTTTGAGCTCGCGGCACGCTTCTCGGAGCCCCAGCAGATCCATCGTCGACGGAGAAGAACAAGCTCATCTTCCTCGAACTCACTCAGAGTAGGTCTTTGACCCTTTGCGAATGACCTGTACTGACACTTGCCAGTCTGTCTGTGGGGCAACTCGACCGACCTGTCGCTCCTCATCGACATGACCGAGGAGGACATTAAGAACCTCCAGTCGACGGCGGCGAGCACCTCGCCGCCACTGAGAAGAACATTCTCGGCAACGACTTGCACAAGCTCGCCGACTATGTCCTGACCCTCAAGGGCGGCCGTGTCGACTTTGTGCTTGACAATGCCGGTTTCGAGCTCTACTGCGACCTGGTCTACGCCGACTGGCTTATCCAGGCCGGTATCTGCTCGCAGATTGTCTTCCACGGCAAGCGTATTCCCTGGTTCGTCTCGGACGTCACCCGCAAGGACTGGGACTGGATCCTCAACACGGCGTGTCTCCACGGCCACCTCTTTGAGGATGCGCCCGAGGAGGACATGCACCAGCTCCGCGCGATGGGCCGCCGCTGGAAGCAGTACGAGAAGGAGGGCAAGTGGAAGTACGAGCAGCACCCGTTCTGGTGCACCGGCTTTTCGTTCTGGGACCTCAACAACGAGGCCCCGACCTGTTCCAGTACCTCTCCGAGTCGGACCTCGTCATCTTCAAGGGCGACCTCAACCACCGCAAGCTCACTTATGACTGCCACTTCCCATCCAGTCGACGTTCCCCAACGCTATTGGACCCATGGCCTCGGACCCCGGTGCGCCGCCCGTGTGCTCGCTGCGCACCATCAAGTCGGACGTGGTCGTCGGCATCCCGAGGAGGTGGGCGCGCGTCTCGACGAGGAAGAGCCGGATGGAAGATTTCGGGCAAGTACGCCGTCGTCTTGCTCTCGGCCGGCAACAAGGGCAAGGACAGCGCCATCGCCGCACAGGTTTAGGGTTAGGGGTGGGGGAGAGGACCGAGTCCCGCAGAGACCACAGTGTGTCCATTCATTATTTAGCCAAAAATCAAACTTAGGAAATCTAAACCGATGTAGCGAGTGTGCAGTCTCATAGTGCAGAGTTGAATTGCATTAAAATGACAGTTAAATGTATGTGTGATGGATGTGGATGTGTGATGTGATGCAGGGGTGTCTAGATCGTCTTGCGCTCTCAAGCCTTCTCGCTCGTCTCCCGTGCTGCGTTGTTACCGTGCTCATCGTCACCACTGACCCGCTTCTCCTTCTCGAGCACCGGCTCGCCGGCCTCAGTGCCCCGACGGCTCGACGTGTTGGTAAGGGTCTTGGCGAGAGTGTGGAGCTCGGACACGGCGCTCTCGCTGCCGCCACCGTAGGCCGCTGCCTTCTCGGCTTCGGCCCTCACTGCCTCCTCCTCCTCGGTCTCGGCCTCCTCGGACGCGGCCTCGTTCTTCTCCGCAGCGGCAGTCTTGAGAGCGGCACCGCGGGGACGGTTGAGCGAGTACGCGCGCGTCGGAGGGTGATGAGCAGCGCGGCGGCGAACAGGGCCAGCGAGACGAGCCAGCACGGCTTGAACGAGTCTGCAAACGCCGCGAGGACGCTGTTGCGCATATCGCCGGCCGGCAAGTCGTGGATGGCCTTGTACCCTGCCGACGATGTCGGGGCGGTAAACTCGGTGCCGTAGCCGGGGATCTTGGCGAACCGCGAACGAATGTTGGTGTTGAGGATGGCCGTGAAGATGGACACGCCGACCGAGCCGCCAGCGACCTCGTGAGCACCCACGCAGACGTGACCGACGCCATCTCCTTGAGCGGCATGGCGCGCTGTAAGATGACGAGCGGGGTCTGGAGCGAGAACCCCACTCCCACGGCGGGGATGATCAGCAGGCCATACTGCATGGCCAAGGTCAGGTCATAGTTGAACGTGCCGTACATGACGCCGTAGCCGATAATGGCGACCACGTAGCCAGACCATGGGATGGGCCGGACAATGTGCCACTTGAGAGAATCTGTCCCGCGATACAGTCGACCATGCGACGCCGAGCGCATATGTGAGCAGCTGGTAGCCGCTCTGCAAAGCATCGGCGCCACGGACCCCTGGAAGAACTCGGGCAGCAGCAAGTTGGAAGGAATGAATGCTGGAGAGGGTTGTTAGTGGTGTGCGTGGCGACATTTGTGGTGGCGACTTACCGCAGCGTGGAGGGACGAGCCGATGAGGAAGAAGAGCGTCGTGCGGACTTTGAATGCGCGCTTTTTCCCATTAGCAAGCGATCATATAATCTCTCAGGGACAGCCCGACTTACAGCAGGAATGACAGCCGTGCGCTTGGTATAAAGACAGTTGATGATGCCACCGGCGAACATGACAGCACCAACCACGATCAGGCGATGGCGGCCTTGTCGCCAAACCCGTGGTCCGCAGCAAAGGAGAAGCCCACGATGAGCAAGGCACCAGAGACCATGATGAGGACAGGCCAATAAAGTCAAAAGTGTGCGCCAGCTGGCGGAAGGTGCCGCCGGTGGGCTTGTTGAGCTTGAGGGTGACAACAAGGAGGATGAACGCGACACCGCAAGTGGGAGTTGATGTCTGTCGTGTCAGCAGGACTCCGTTGCAACAAAAATGCTCACAGAAACACCATCTCCACGAAACCTTCTGGTCAAGACGCCTCCCAGAATCGGGCCAACGACAGCAGCAATACCCCATGCCGCTCCCATGAACCCTTGGTACTTTCCACGTTTGTGCAGAGGTACAATGTCGGACACGACGATGGAGGTAAGGCCGATGATGGAGCCGCCTCCCAGGCCTTGAAAGGCGCGGGCGGTAATGAGCCAGGTCATGCTCTTGGCACAGCCACACAGTGCCGAGAAGATTGTGAAGATGATGATGGCGCATAGAGCAGAGGTTTTGCGGCCGACAATGTCCGAAACGCGACCGTTGACAGGTGTCAGAAGTGTCATGGCCAGCTGGTATGCCTTGTGATGTCAGCACACTTCCACAACGCACGAGGTTGTTGGCGCATATTGGCCGTGACATCCTGCCAGAGTAAAGGCAAACGCTGCCAACAGATGAGAAGGCGGAATAACAACGCGGGATCGGGCCAGCCGTCTCGATCCCTCCGACTCGATTCCTCCATAGCCACTCGGTGTTCACAAACTCACAGTCGCGACCCAAGAATACTCGGATGGCGTGGCATCAAACACCTCGGCAATAGTTGGGAGAGCCGTGGCGATGATCTAGGGACGTCAGTGAAGGTCAGGTTGTAGACAATCTCACGGTCTGGTCCGCGCCGCGAGGAGAGAACGAGGGCGAGGCTGGAAAGCGGGTCAGCGTGTTGTGGTCTTGCGCCACAGTCAACAACATACCAGGGCATGACCAGCATCAGGTTGTTGTCTGGCAAGTCGTCGAGCATGTCATCACCCTCGGTGAGACCGCCCTTCTTGTTCTTCCTGTCCACCACTGTCTGAGACGGGGTGGGCGAGCCTGCTCCGTCGTGCGCGCCGGCCTCGACATCGTTCAATGCCGGTGCCGACGCCGGGAGGTCGCTCGGGAGTGGATCCCGCGCGTCGTTGGCGTTCGCCATTGTGTGCGAGTACCGCTGTAAGGGCGAACCGCGGTGCTGAAAGTGAAGAGGAGATGAGAAGTGATAATAGAGAAGCGGTTCGCACAGATTGATCCGGACTTCCGCGATGGCCAGAGCCTTAAGGGATTTGTTGTCGTGGGTGGCGCGATGGGCGTTTTCACAAAAATATACCAGGGGGTGACCCGAGCTGTCGTCCACCGGTTTTTATCAATGCTGCTTGTGGTACACCGTTATGCACAGCCAGATGTCCTCGATACGCGCGATGAGAAAAGTTGAGTAGAACGTCAAAACCTCGGGGGGGCCATGTGGTGTTGCTCTATGACCTGGTGGGCCCACCCCTCCCGCCCTTGCTCGGTCGGCTGCAGCACGGCCAGCTCCGACGTGCTCGGTTCGACGGCGTGTGGCGCGTGTGGGCTACGGCTGGTCGGCATCTCGGCACGGTCGGCAACTTTGAAAGTCTATTGCTCTTGTATATACATTTAGGTTGTTCAATTAGCAATGGCGAACGAGGCTGCTTATCAATATTTCCTTGGCTCGCACGGTTCTGCCGCACGTGTTGCACGTCATAGATCGACAGCGGAGGCGCAAGAAACGACATTGCGCGCAACAATGCGCGACCCTTCCTGATTGTACATGATGTTAACAATGTCTGCCCTTTGTCAGCTGGTCAACTTGTAAGGACGACTTCCAAGGCTACGAGTGGTCCTGCACGCCCACTGGCGCCCGCCTTTGCGGTGAGCCTGTTCGCTCCGACAACGGCGGGCGGTCCATGTACCCATGTATTCGGCGGAGTATCAGAGTGAGATTTCCGATGAGATAAGGTCAGCCTCCTCTGCCGATAAACATTGGCCTGTTATTTGGTTCGCTCACGACACGACAACGACATGGTTCAGTTAGTCACTTGCATGTATCAACTGCAGCTGCAACACTTCTGGTCTGTGGGTTGGTGGAAACCTTCTGATGCATTCTGTTACAAACAAGGGTAGGTACCATGTGGGCAGAGGTCTTGGCAAGCAACCTGTGGCGTTGCCGTTGAATGATAGGGTATGTTGTGACAGGGCTGCTTAGAGTCTGTATGGCAGGACAGTGGTACAGTGGTACAGTGGTAAAATGACCTGCGTGCGGTCGGTATATGCCGGCCGGCTGGCTGGGTACGCCAGGTGGTGCAGGGTGGGGAGAGGATGGAACGTACGGGCGGTGCCGAACATGTGCCCTTCTTAGAAGGGGAACCGGGAGAGCTCCTGGAGAGTAAATCCGGCCTTCTTGAGCGACTCGGCACCGATATCCTTGACTTCCTGGTCGAGGTGGTCAAAGAGCACGTCGTGGAAGTCGTCCATGATCTTGCGAAGCTCCGAGGCGTTGTAGCTCGACGGGTTGGCCGTGGCCTTGCTCAAATACGCACTGTACTTGGCCATACCATCGTGGATGCCGCGGTGAGCCTTCACGTGCTCGGAATTGGTGGCGGCAAACTGTGGGAGCTTCTTGGCGAGAAGAGGGAAGATATGGGCCTCTTCAACACGGTGGTGGTTGCCGAGGTGGATCGCGAGCTGCGCTGCCTCTTGAAGGAACCCCTGGAGGGACTGGCCCTTGACGTGGAAGCCGCCCGCAGCGTTCTCGTAGACGTTCTTGTACTCCCACCGGTAACTGTTGTGGTACCGGTTCATACCGTCGGCGAGACGGTTCCACTGGCGGAAGTCGGCATTGTCATTGTTGGTCATTGTGTAGGGGGGCGTGTGATGAGACCTGTTGATGAGGTTGGGTAGCACGCGAGGCGCGGGGCGAGTTAAAGATGTCGCAAGTATGATGGTGACGGCCGCAAAGACTGTGTAACTGTGTACAGGACTAGGTGTTTGAAACCTGATGAGGCCATAATGATACAGCGACGCGACGATGGCTATTATATATCTTGTCCAGAGCTGCAGTGCGTATGGACACCGACGGGCTCGAGGCGATGTTCCACATCAGCCTACAGCCGTCCAGCAATTAACGTGCCTCGAATTCGCTGAGCAAGCAACGTGAAGCAAAGGTTTAGCGGAACCATCAGTGTTCTAATCCAAAGCGGCCGCCGGCTTAAAGAGACACTGGTGCCGGCAGCCGGCGGCGATGTCCACATTGCGTGGCCACCAGTTTCCGTTGGAAGAGTGGCCGTGACCGAGGGCCACACGGACGGCTTGTTAGCGTCCACCTTTTTATGTCCTTCTCTCTTCTGCGAGAAATAATCGGAAATGCTCGAATATTCCAGAAAACCATCACTGGATCACTGGAGCCACTGGCCATGGCCGGCGTGCTCTTGGGATGCACAGGTGGCGAAGCCCGTCTGCTATCGACGATTTCAACACCGGGTTCCTTTACGACAGTGTGGCCCGATTTGCCATGCCAGCCCGCTGGCATAGGCTGAGGGCTCCAAGGAGGATACATGCATGCCAAGTCAGAAGGAACATGTTCGGAGATCATGCATCAGCCGGCTACGTATACAGACATTTTGTGCTGGTGCGCCCTCGGTGGAAGTGAGGAGATCACATACAGGTGATAGTGTGATGTCATGATGCTCCTGCACGTCCTTTGTGCAACTTCAGATGGGTGTCAGACTGCCAGCCCGGCCTGTCTCTCTCTCGCTCAGGACACACGCACATGCTTACGCCCTCCAATTACTTTCGGATTTTGAATCTCATGACCTCAGATGCTACGACGTCACCACTCTCCTCTTCACCGTCGCCTCTTCACTTATGACTCTTTACCACCACGTGCGGCCTGCTACATACTGACCAACCACCGTTTCCCCACAGGTGTTGGCCACGATCAACATGACATCCACTTTTCCTCCATCCAGCTTCTTCTCGGCCACACCAAGCCCCCACTACGGACCCCGTGTGACCATCGACGGTGGCTTCTTTCCTTACATCCTGGACAAAGTGATAGCTTATTCCGACGTGCGTACCCTCTTCCAGTGGCGGGCCACGTCCAGGACCCTCCAGAAGCGACTTGACCCGATCCTTTTCCGCACCATCACTGTTGAGGTGCAGTCTTCTCAAGGCTTCGATGACAGGCAACGGTTCATTTCAGTCCGCGTTCGGGATGCCCCGATTTTCCTTGATCCAATCGTTCACCGGCACTTGATTGCCAAGTATGCTCGAGTGGTGGACGTGGTCGATGGCGAGGGCATGAAAGTGGACCTGCACCCAAACCTGCAGGCTGAACTGGCCTACGACCTGAGCTGTAGAATCTCCTTGTTCCTCAAGTACGTCAAACGTCATCGACGTCAGCGGTGACATACATGGCAGGTGCGACCAACAGCCCCACCCCCCGGGTCATCTACATAGCCACGCTAACGGACTCAAGATACGTTCTCAGCGACAAAAGCCTTTGTACCGACATCAAACTACGAATGAAGGGAGTGGCAAGATGAAAATGGGGCGGGAATGCGTGTCTGGATGAGGATCATATAGCTGGAGTGAGCGGGTGATAAGATAATTGAGGTCGAGGGGGACTGGTCCAGTCGATGTGGTCAGTGGTCCGCCGAACTGCACTGTATTTTAGCCTCCCTTAGTCAACTCAATATGTCGAGGATGTTGTCAAGCGTACCTGTACACTGTCTGCACAATGGTGGCTCACATGAGCGGTGGCATCGTACGCTGTTGCTAAACGGATGGTGGGTTCAATTCGCCACCGGCAACAACCAGCCAGGCACGCCACCCACCACAAGCCATCCGCGTCATTCCCGGCTAACGGTGTGGGACAATCAAACTCCACTGACATAGCATTTTGTCCATTGCTGATATCCTCTTCAACATCGACACACCCTTCTGTCCACACATCCGTACGGCCACACCGTCAGCGCCGCTGACAGCCAGACGCCGACATTACTCCATCCCAGTACTGGCACCTAGTGTCCCGTCCAGTGGACCGCCCCACAGTCCACGGCCCATCTCCGGTGCGAGCCGCGCCCCAACAAAGTGCCCTCCATCGCACCTCCGTTGAGGTCAGACACATCTTACAGGGCTGTAGCTGCCACTGCAGACCCTCAAGACATCACCTAGAGCCGTAACCGCACCTCTCGAGCTACCTCCCCCGTCCCAGCACTTCATCCCTTCAGTCCCCGTCTACCCTGCCCACCATGCCAGTCACATTCGCGCCCGCTCCCGAGCACCAGCGCCGCCTGTCGGCATCTTCCCCGTTCCCCGGCCGCATCATGACCAGCCTGGTCCCAAGCGACCCCCCGGTACACAAGCACAAGCACCGGTCCAGCTCGTCGTCCTCGCGCCGAGGCTCGGCGCCGCGGGTCCCCGCTACAGGGGTGCCCGGCCCTGTTCCCGAGGACCCGTTCGAGGAGTCTGGCGTAGCGCGCGCAGAAGGCACCACCACTCAAAGCGCGTACGAGCGCGTGACCAACTCGCCGCAAGAGGAGCGGATGCCGCTGTACGCGGTGGACGAGGAGGATGCGGAGCGCCAGCCGCTGCTCGGCGACGATGGCCCGCGGCCCGATGTCCAATGGGCGCTCACGCTGGGGATCACCGTGGCCATTGCGGCGATCACGTTTTTGATCCTGTTCGTGTGGAAGCTTACAGAGCCTGCACCCGAGTCGGACAACGGCGGTGCGTAGGGATTGAGCGGAGGGGAGGAGACGTGACATGGGATGTTGAGGGACGGCAAAGGGGTCGTGGGGTCGTTAGGGATGAAGAACCAGGTTTCTTGGCTGGGTTTGTGGAGACAGGGTTGTGTGGTCCTAGAAGTCTATAAGTTGAATAACATGCATGAGTGACAAGTTGTAGAGCAAGCGCGCAAGACTACTAAGAGGCATGGCATCGAAGGGCTCAAACAGTCGCATGTCGAATTTCAATGGAGCAATAAGCAGTCGTAACATAGGCGGCTATAGGGCTTGCATTTCAATCAGTTTGGGTGGACAATAGGGACAAGTTGCCCGACGATTATGCAAGTCCCGAAATCACAATGCGAACGTTGGAGGCTTTACCTTGCCAGGATTGTCTGTATTTTTCGTTGCCGAGAAACACAATGGCGCGCACTGGACCGTACTACATTGGTACACTGGTGAGGGTATGTCATGTGTATGTGTTTCTCAGGCAACCGGCACGTGACCTGCCCCTGTTTGCCAGTTTGCTCCCCGCCAGCCCCCACACCCGATTACCCCACACTCGGTGACGACGATCACGAGCCCCGGCCGGAGCCTGGGGTTTGTAGTCTTGCTCCGGACACTGCATCACACGTCTCCCATCAAACCCCCCTCTCAGTGCACCATATACTTGATAACCCCAGCAACAGTTTCCATCATGCATCGTTACATCTCCCCAACCACCATGATCCGTCGCGCCCGTGTACCGCGCTCGTTTTTCGCGTCGCTCTCGCAGCGTAACCTGGTGAGTGGCTGTGGCGCAACCTCCGATAAGTGACTTGGACTGACATCTGCAAACAGATTACAGGCCCCCCACCCGACCTGCCGGCCGTGCACCACACGACGTCTACCGGCTCGCCATTGCCCACCCCTACTCCCCTGCCTCACTTTACCCCTCACCCATCGCTGAACCGTCTGATGCTGCACTCGATGGACGACCCAAGGACGGACCGTCCCCGTGACCCTCGTCAGCTGGTGTATGTCGACGAGTCGCAGGCGGACCGCGCGGCCCGTGCAGGGAGGATGAGCAGCCCACTCCGTCGTGGTGCGCACGAGTCGTGGTGGAACGCAGAGCAAGGGTGGTTCAACGCAGTGGCAAAGGTGAGGCCCGGCAAGGTTGATACTGTTGCCAGAACTGACTCGCCAAGACCATCCCAACATACCGTGTGCTCGACGAGGAAGGTCGACCAGTCAAGGGTGCCAAGCTCCCGCAGTTGACAAAGGAGGAGGCTCTCAAGATCTACAAGGTCATGGCTCTGATCCCCATGGTCGACAACGTGCTGTACCAGTCGCAGCGCCAGGGACGAATCTCGTTCTACATGCAGTGTTCGGGAGAGGAGGCGGCGGTGGTTGGCAGCGCTGCCGCGATGCGCAGCACCGACGAGGTGTTTGGTCAATACGTGAGTTGTTTCACCCCTGGCTAACGCAACACGCTGACAGCGACAGCGCGAGCAAGCAGCATTGCTGTACCGCGGCATGAGCCTGTCTCGCATGATGGGCCAGTGCTTTGGCAACATTGACGACGACAGCAGCAAAGGTCGCATGATGCCCGTGCACTACACAGCTCCCGACCTTGGCTTCCACACCATCACTTCTCCCCTTGCTACCCAGCTTCCCCAGGCCGCCGGTGCGGCTTACGCGCTCAAGACAGACGACGCACGCCAGGGCGACTGTGTCATCTGCTACTTTGGCGACGGTGCGGCCTCGGAAGGCGACTTCCACGCAGCGCTCAACATGAACGCCGTGCTTGGTGGCCCATTGGTGTGGTTCTGCCGTAACAACGGTTTCGCCATCTCCACCCCGGTCATTGACCAGTATGCTGGTGACGGTATCGCGTCGCGTGGACCCGCGTACGGTATCGACACTATCCGTGTGGACGGCAACGACGCTTTGGCTGTTCTTGCAGCGACGCGCGAGGCCCGTCGTCGCGCAGTGCAGGGCAAGAAGGGTGTTCTTGTCGAGGCCATGACGTACCGTGTCGGTCACCACTCGACCTCGGATGACTCGAGCGCGTACCGGCCGATCGAAGAGGTCAAGGAGTGGACTGTCGTCGGTGAGTTTGCGACCCGCCTTTGTTTTCGGCCGGCCTCGATGGCCTGCGTCAAAAAAACACGGGGATTTTTCAATTGTGTGGCGCTGACTTTTTCCCTCTCCCTTTTCACAGACAACCCGATCTCTCGCTTCCGCGCATGGCTCGTGACCCAGGGGTGGTGGTCCGAGGAGGAGGACAAGGCCATGGCCGCCGCCAACAAGAAGGAGGTGTTGAAGATCTTCAACAAGAGCGAAAAGCTGCCAAAGCCCAAGCTCGGCGAAATGTTCAACGACGTCTGGGCGGTGCCTCGTGACGGTGCGCTGCCAGAGGTGATCATCGAGCAGCGTGCCGAGCTTGGCCACCTGCTGAAGAAGTACGGCGAGGCGTGGGAGCCGTGGCGCAAGGAGCTCAAGCGGTTCGTCGAACAGGGCGAGGACGTCATGGACTGTGACAGCGGTGCTTCTAGGTAGAGAGCGGCGGGGGTGCGCTAGAGAGAAAAAGTGTGCAATGTACTAGCTGTGTCATGTCGTGACAAACGAGCGCCACTATTGAGTCAGATGTGCAGCCGGCAGGGCCATTTCAATGCCTTGTAGAACCCTGTGCATGTCAGTACGCGTCCAAGCAGGCCAAGCACCTTCCGTGAAGAACAGCAGTGGAGAGACGCGGCCGTGGTGCTCCCGGGTATATAGCCGGTACAGCTCCATTACAAAAACCGGTTAACCGGTGGACTGAGTCACGTGTCACGCCACCTTCGTACCTTTGTTGATCTTTGACGTTTGTTGCACGTGCAATCACCATCCATCAGCTCCATCAGGCCATCATGCCATCACAAATGGCCTTCAATCCAGCAATACACGCACCTTTCCCCGCAGCCACACAACAGTTCCCGCGCAACGACTGGAACGGTGTCATCTGGTCTGCACACCCCATCAGAAACGGCAGACTGGACGCAAAGGCCCGATGGGCAGCCCGCTGCGCAAGCCGGCAAGCCGCAAATGGCAGGCAGCGTTCGACAGCAGCGACATGGACGAGACCCTCGACGAGGTGGACTTTGCAGTTGCCACCTTTGATGTAGCCTACCGCATGTACGCCTCACGCTGGCCCTGCCTCCCAGATTGCGCTGATTGTATCGCACAGGAAGGCACACATGCCCATCCTCATGAGGCAGCTTGGCCGCATCGTCCACACGCCCGAGATATGGCAAACACTGACCGACATGGTCATTGAGCGCGCATTCAATAAGGTGGGTGTTGCTACATCTATCATGTGCTCACTCATACTAGGCCCAGAGCGCCGTGAAGGAGCGCTGGCCACACTTCATGGTGCCGAGCCTTGCCTTTGTGCGCACCTTTGCCCGTGGCGCCATGGACAGCGTCTGGGAGGAGGGCATCGACTCGTGGGGCTGTTTGCAAAAGCAGGGTTATAACGAGGCCCTCTTTACCGATCGGCAAGTTTGGTATCTCGTTCACTGGCACTGACCATGTCCCACAGATACATGCCAGATCCCGCCTCAATCCCTCCCCGAGCGTTTACTGTCGTCGATCATGCTCTAGACAACGACCCAGACGCAGAGGACAAGAAGCTTGTCGTATTTATCGACCACGACGGCAACGAGGTTCATAGGTGCACTGGCAAGCAAGTCGCAGATTACTGCACTCATACACCCACACTACCAACTTCTGCCGTCGCACACACACACACAGTGGACAAGGACAAGCCGTCGACGACGTAGATCAGCGACCACACGACCATGCCTATCCGCATCCGCGCATCCGCTCGGAGTTCACCAGTCTGTATCCAACTTGTTTTCTTAGGTTGCAATAATGTCTATTATCCCTCCCTGACGTCATTGCGGCCGTGGTCGCCCCGTAGCAGGGCGCCGCGTTGGGTGTCCGCTTCTTTGCTGTGCGGAAGGTGTGTGTAGCCCAGCCTCCGACGCCGTCTGTGCCGCACCCGCGGGCGGAGACGCGTCTCTGTTAGCACTCCCGGGTAGCCGGCATTGACTCGATCACAATGATCACAAGACCCACCCCCGCGTCGAGACCACTGCCGCCGCCGCGCCGCCGTGCGTGCCAGGTGCCCCGCGTTTTGACGCCACCGGAGCAAAGAGTGACCGACATAGCCGGCTAAAAAAAAGCGGTCTTTTTCATCTGACACCCCGATCTCGCTTTGGGTGACGCTTCTGACAGACCGTGACCGTTTTGCTTATAATACAGACACGCGCGTCTGGGTCGGCACAGCCAGTTCCCTTCCCCTTTCCATTCATACCATGCCTCACTCTAAATCCCGCCCACACTTCTGGCTCGCAGACAACGACGAGGAGAGCGCAGCCGCTGCACCGCAGCAACAACAACAACAAGGTGAGTCACGACCCGGTTTTTTTGCCACTTGGTCGTCGTCGTGCTGTAGGGTCACTGTCGCGTCGAGAGACTTGCCCAAAAGCTTCTGCCACCGTCACCACTACCCCCACCACCTTCCGCCACCCCATACTTACACCCACAGTGCGCGGCTCGTACCTCCAGTCTATCCTCGCTGGCCGCTCGGTCACTACCGATGACGCGGTCTACCCCGCTTACACCGACGCCGTCCGCGCGGATCGAGGCTCACGTGCCCCCCTTCTTCTCGAGAAGCAAACCTCGCGTCTTCTTCCCGAATCCCCATACAGCGGCTTCACCTCTGGCTATGGCTCTGACGGCGACAACTACTCGGACGAGTACGATGCGCCGAAGCGTCCGTGGCGCGCCATTGTCTTGTTTCCTTTTATTGCTGGCATAGTTTACGCCGCAATCCTCTTTTCCTACCTTGCCTGCGATCCGTCCGCCACCACCGCCGCCGCCACCGGCACGTCTGGCGAATTCGACCAGTGGATCCACTCGCAGCGTCAACTGGCCTGGAATGGTGTTCTCGCCAACATTGGCCCAGCCGCTGGCGCCATGGACGGCCTCGTCATTGCTTCACCCAGCAAGGGCGAGCCTAACCAGCCCGACTATTACTTTACGTGGTCACGCGACAGTGCACTGACCGTCTCGTCCCTCTTACCTTCCTTCCTTCCCGATGACTACCTCCGCCCTTGGGAGTACACGACTTCCCCCCCACACGCTCGTGCACACAACCACACACACCCTCTCCTCGAAGGTCTTGTCCGCTCGTACGCCCGTGCGCAGGCCGAACTCCAGGTCGTGCCCAACCCGTCCGGTGACCTGTGGTCGGGCGGTCTCTCCGAGCCCAAGTTCCATGTCGACGGCAAGCCGTTCACCCACCCTTGGGGCCGCCCTCAGCGTGATGGACCTGCGCTGCGTGCGCTCGCCCTCATCCCGTATGCCCACTGGCTCCTCGACCGCGGGTACCCGGCCGACAGGGCGTTTGTTGTCAACCACCTGTACAACTCCAATGCGCTGCGCCGTTCCGGCAGTGTCATCAAGAATGACCTGGAAGAGATCGCCAACATGTGGTCGCTGCCCAGCTTTGACATTTGGGAGGAGCTGGACGGCCGCCACCTGTTCACCGACGCCGTAACGCGCCGTGCTCTCCAGGCCGGCGCCCTCTTGGCCAAGCGTCTGGGCGACACTCACGCTGCGGCATACTATGGCACCCAGGCGGAACGCCTCGCTCTCCAGCTTCCAAACCACTTCAACACCACTGCCGGGTACTGGGCTGCCTCCCACTCTGTTCAGTACACCACCCCGCGCGCAGGTCTCGACTCTGCGTCCATGCTGGCCGTGATCCATGCCGGTGTCAGGCACACGTCCGAGGACGTGACCGACCTGGCGCCCAACTCGCCCGCCGTCCTGTCCACACTCCTCGCGTACGTCCGCTCCTTTGCCGGCCTGTACAGCCTCAACAGCGACAGCAGCAGCTGGACCGACGGCTGGCTGGTCGGCCGTTACGCAGAGGACGTGTACGACGGCGTGGGCTTCCGCGGCGGCAACCCGTGGTACATTGCCACCTTCACCGTCGCGCAGGTGCTGTACCGCGCCCAAGCCGCCTTTGCCCTCGCGGACTCTGTCCAGCTCTCGCCGCTCACTGCCTCGTTCTGGGCCGACATTCTCAACGAGGACGAGGACGACATTCCCATTGCTGGCGAGTGGACGCGCGGCTCGGACGAGTACGACGTTGCCACCCAGCGTATTGGCGAGGTCGCCGACGCCTTCCTCCTCCGCGGTCTCAGTGCCGCTCGCCGCCACTACGGCAGCATGGCTGAGCAGATCGGCAGCAGCGACGGCAAGAACCGCGGCGCGCGTGACCTCACGTGGAGCTACGCGAGCTTCCTCGAAGTGGCGCGCGCGAGGGACGAGGCCAAGCTCGCCATGGCCATGGGAGGCGACGACGATGTCGACGGTCGCGACCTCGACGCCGTCAGCGACCAGCTGTTCGCCGGCGAGGACGCCCTCTAACGAACTCGAATACGAAGTAACGTGTGTCTCAATCTCAATCTCGTTTTGCATGATGGGGCCATCTCTGTAACTTACGTCGTCGTCCAACTATAGTGTACTATACGCGCCTCTGCGCGCAACACCATGTAGCTTGTGAATATGAATCTGCATAGTCACTCGTGCTTTTTTCCGCTGGCAGGCCAAAGAACCCAGCTGTGGCCGCCACAAAGCAGCAGCCACGGCTGTGGGTGCTGGCGCTGGCGCTGTCGCGGGCTTGGCATTGCTCTCTCATCGTTTGAAAACACGCCAACAAGCGGTTCCTGGCGTCGATGCCAGGTTCAGACCATCTTGCCCGACGCGTCCAAAAATTCACACACTGCCGAGCGTGCGATGCCATCGCAGGCGTGTGTCGGTGTGTGGATGGTTGCGCTCGAAAGTGATTCTGTCCCAAGGTCCCAGGTTGAGGAGAAGGGCAAGGAACCACTCGTCATCGGCTCCGCATTGAAGTGAAAATATAGAGGATCGGCCTGTCTACGGCCTGCTGCCCCCCTTGCTAGCGCCGGTCGTAGGATTTGTAGGCCGCGGGGCGGCGACGTGATCGACAGATCGGCGTCTCATTGTATACAGAGGCAATGCCACACACGTCGTGCAGACTGCAGAACTACTGCTTAGCTACTTGCACTCGCATCCAAAACACAGCCGACGAAAACAAGCTCTCAGCACCCGGGGCCCGATGGAGCACCCCGGAATGCACGACCGCGCGCACGCGCCGCTTGGCGACGTCGGCCGCCCTGGCACACCCCAGGCCAAGCAATTCCTTTCGTCTGCCCGGGGGTTGCCAGGCAGCTCACATTGTCTCTCGGCACTGAATCGATGAGAACATTGCCATCACTCATTTCGACATTTACGACCAACTAAATTCCATCTCGTCGTTGACAACATTGCGCTCGCGCCCGTGCTCCCCCACATTCCTTTTACCACCACACCACCACACACCGCCCCCTTGTTCCCCCATATCCCTTCCACCCTCCCGTCCGTTTTAAACTAGCACGCCAAAACCATGGGCTTGACAAGTTTCACGACCACGGCGCTGTCTGCGTCGCAGCTGTCCATGACGTGGGCTGCCTTTGACGGTCTGTACGGGTGCATCGCCATGATCGAGGCCTCGAACGCCACCACCACATGCACCGACGGCGGCGGGACCGTCAAGGTCGTCGACAGCGTCAAGAACATTGCGAGCGGGACGTTCCTGCCCGGCGCGGCTGAGGTGTGGCTCTGTCAAGTCGCCAGCGAGGGGACAGACGACGACGTCGCGGCGGTCATGGACGCGTTTGGCGAGGCGGACCAAGGCAAGAGCCTGCAGCAGTGCAAGTCGTCGAGCGACGTCGGCGACGTGTCGGTCGCTACGCCGACGCCGACGATCCCCCCGCCCATTGTCAACATTGCGTGGGCCACTTGGGCGAACGCGACGTACGAGCTCAGCTGTCCCGTGTCCAACACGTCGTATTTCAACACGACGGTCGCGGGCAATGCGACTGCGTCCAGCTCAAACTCGACGGGCGCGAGCAACACTACCACCACGGCGCCGACGACAAACACGACCGTGGCGTCCAACTCGTCCTCGTCGTCGTCCGCCAACACCACCGCACTGTCAAACTCGACGGCACCCATCAATGGGACGTACAACTCGACGACAAACTCGACGGCCAACTCGACGTCCCTCCCCAACACGGTCAACCTCACCATGCCGCTCAACTTTACCCTGGCGGCAAACTACTCGTCCTCGTTCAACCTCACCTCCATCAACAAGACGACGGGCTACGACCTGACTCTGTTCAACTATTCCATGTGCGCCTGGGCCTATGTCAACAGCACGGCCAACGCGACCGACGCAAACAAGACGTCTGCGGCGACCTCGCACCACCACCCATACTCTAGCACATACTATCTCCCGGGCCCATTCCTGGCCCTCGTCGTGTCTGCCGCGCTGGTCGCGGTGACCTTGTAGACTGGCGAAAAGAGGGTTTACAGAGGGGGCTGAAGGCTGCGGGCTGCGGCGCACACACACGCCCACACACACACGTATATATTTAGGATAATCTCATCTGCAATAGCCATAACCTATGCAAAAAATAACCACAACGCACAAACACACACACTCTTGTTTGGGACACAGATCAACTGTTACACAGATGGGAGAGACGATGGGACAGACGGAGACGATGCGTTGCTGCGCTGGCTGCGGACCTCGGAGGCGAGGTTGGACGCATAGTCGATAGCCGAGCGGACCTCGGTCGCCATCATGTTGATGCCCTCCCACATGACACCGTACGCCTCAAGGCCAGCCAGGATGATCTTGACGTTGGTGAACAGGTCCTCGACCTGCTGCCTGCTCTCGTCGGTGTAGCCGTTCTGCGCCTCGACAGCGAGGATGAGGAGCAAGAATGCGTATGCGCCAGACACCAGACCGCACGAGCAAAAGGGGATCCAGCGCGGGATGCCGTCGTCGGCCGCCATGGCCGCACTGCGGTGCAGAATCTCGAGACGCACAATCGTGTGTGCGGCAGTCGCGCAGCGCGCAAGACTGAAGCCTGGAGGGAAGGCCTCGGACTGCTTGGCCTCGGCGGCCTCCTCGGCAGCCTGGACATCCGGGTCGCCCTTGTCGTCCACGCCCCACGCCTTGTGCTTCCTAAAGCCGCCGAGGGAACCCGGGCCACCAGCAGAGCCAGACCCGCTGGGCGCACCCACAGCCATGTCGTGAACGGGCGCCATCTCGGGTGGCAGCTCAAAGGCAGGGTAGCTCTGTGCGAGCTGGTTCTCGCCGCTGGTGAAGAGCTGCATGGCGCCATTGTTCTGCGCAAACCATGGCTGCGGCAGGTAGGTGGGGAACGAGTTGGGGTCCCACATGTCCTGGATGACACCGTCGTAGAGCTGCTGGTTCTGCTGCCACTCCATCACATTCGAGTTCCACACAGGGCTGATAGTGGACGGTCCAGGCTGGACCTGAAGAGCCATTTGCTGGGCCGGGTACGGCGGAGTGTACGAGTTTTGGTTTTGGAGCGGCTGCATGGCCATGTTTCCGGGCGGCGATGCGTACGTCTGCAAAGTAGAGCTTTGGGGACTCGCATTGAACGTCTGCTGGGCGTTGGGGGTAAACTGTTGCTGCTGCGGGTAGTATTGCTGCTGCTGCTGTTGCTGCTGGGGTTGTTGTTGGCCAGGGTATGCACCGGGCATGTACTGTTGGTGCTGCTGCGGGGCAGAGTACTGCTGCTGAGGCTGGGGAGCCGGAGTGGGGTACTGTGGCTGGGAGTTGGGGGTGAACGGGGTGGAAACCATAGTCTGGGGAGTCGGGGCAAACTGAGCCGGAGTGGCAACATACTGCTGCGACGTGGGCGACGAGAACGTCTGCGACTGGGGGCTGGCGTTGAACTGCTGCTGCTGCTGCTGGGGCGGGGCGCCATAGTTGTTAAACTGTTGCTGGGACGTCGTCGCGTACGCAGGCTGGTGCTGCTGCTGCTGCTGCTGCTGCTGGAGCGGCGGCGGCTGGTGGTGGTTGACAGAAAAGTTGGCCATCATCTGGTCGACATGGTACATGTCGTCACCGTAGCCGCCGCCGGCACCAGGCATGGACTGTGGCGCGGTACCAATATTGGCAGGTGCAGACTGAATGTTATTGGGCGTGGGAACAGTAGCCTGAGGAACTGGGTACTGGGCCATGTTGTTGGCGGCATATCCTGGATCGGGGATGAGGGGAGGCGGCGGTGCCGAATTGTACGACACTTGGCGCTGCTGAGTCGACAGCGGGTTGGGGTCCGCAGGACTCGTCTGTCCTTGGCTCACGCCAGCACCCGAGCCCGCAGAGAGCTGGGATGGCGAGTCAACCTCGTCGTCATCTTCGCCCTTGGGGAAACCACAAATGCGCTTTGAGAAGAAGGAAACCTCGGGGAAGGCAGTCCACCTGTGGAGATGAATGTTGGCCACCGCAAGGGCAAAGCGACACGCGCTCTGCTGGTTCTTGGCCACCTCGTCTTCGCCGCCGGGGACATGCTCAATGATCGACATGCGCTCGGCCTGCTTCATGAGCTCATTAATCTCCTTGTCGATAAAGAGCATCTGGCGCTGCTTCTCCTTGAGCTCGCCGGGTTCGCCAGGCGATGCCCACGAGTTGAGACCGGGAGCATCGCTGTCCGGCGGGACCGAAAAGACAATCTGGTTGACGAGGCCGACAATGCGGTAGCACTCGCGAATACAGTTGATCCACGTCGACCATGTCCGGTCCTTGTCGCTGCAGACGGGGAAGTCGACTTTGATGCGTGGGTCGTCGGTTCCCACCGGAGCTGGGATACCCGAGACCAATGACGCAGTGATCTGGTAGCAATACAGCAACCACCAGGTGCGGCGGAGCGCATCCTTGCGCCAATTGATACCTTCGAGGGCATATCCATTGCCCTTGGCGTCCTTGGGGGTGTCCTTGTCGAGGTCGTGCATGCCTATGGCCATGGCGATCTGGACGGCCTGTGAGTAGCGCGCGATGGCTGCCTCGGCGTCGTTGGTGCTGCCCCACTCCCACACCGCCAGAAGGGTAAGTGCCTGGACGCACTCGAGGTGGGGAGCGACTGCGAGCTGGCGCTCGATGGCGGCCATGGTCTTCTTTCCAAGGGACGCCGACGCAGCACTGCGGAGGCGCTTGCTGCTAGCGCTCTTGGGGCTTGGGTCGAGGGTGTGTGGGATAAGGGTCATGATTGTTTGCGCGGCGAGCAGGAAGGGCGACTCGGGCGTCAACAGCGTGGGCAGCACGTCTACGAGGTAGTGGCGGGGCGGCTGGATGGGGAGGTAAGGGTGGACCTCATTGTAGTAACAGCGGAGGCTGGGGCTTGTCAGCGAACAGACGCAGGTCACATGGGCGCAGGTCCGCACGCATCCACTCACACTTCCTCGTTGGATGCAAAGGTTCGCACGACGTTTGTCGGGTCGTCGCCCTCCTGGGGCTCGGCATGCTGGAGGCCAAAGTTTGGAACGCTCAGGAGGCTGTCAAGACGCTTGAGGAACTCGACAATGGGGGCCGGCGGGTTTGCTGACAAAGTCAGCGAGACACGAAAATGGGGGCGGCAGCGCGTATCAACTTACCGACGCGCTTCTTGCGGGCACCGCCGCGCTTGGACTTGATGTAGATGCACTCAATCTGCTTGCGCGAGCACTAAAACGACGCGTCCGTGTCAGCTGCTGTACGCCATGGTGCGATGCTGGCCATCGATGACGCGACGTACCTGTCCGCAGCTTGGTTGGACGCCATCACACTTTGCCTTCTTCTGGCGACAGCTCAGACACGCAGCCTTTACGGGGCCTTGGCCGTCTTTGCTGTCTGCGTCCTTCCATCTGCCCACACCACCAGTGTCGTCGAGCTGTGTGTGGGGGAGAACGTGGCCCGACATGATATAGCTGGCCGGGAACTCGTTCCGCGGTGGGTGTGTTGCCGTGTCCGGCTTTGCCAAATGGGATGTGGGAGGAATGTGAAGGGGGTATAGGGTGGCGGAAGATGACGACGACGCGTGTGGGGTCGACTAGCGAGAGCGAGAGAGAGAGAGAGGGTGTGTGTGTGTTGGGGGCCACGAGAGATATGTCTGATGCGAAGGTGTATGGAGAGTGGAAGAGATGGATGGCGGGGGGGAGAGGGCCGGGGGGATGCTGAGTTGGATGACTGATGAGGTGTGAGATGGATGAATGCGGCGACGTAGGACACACAGCCTGTGGACGCGGGTGTTAAGGTTTAAGTGGGCGGCGGGCCGAAGAGAGGTCTCTCTCGAGTGGCCAGCGGGTCTTGTCTCTCTTTTGCTCGGTGCTCTCTGGCTCTTGGCTCTGGGTCGCTCTCTGTTCTCGCCCCCCCTACACCGTCCCACGATCCCACGGCGCGTGCGCGCGTGCCACGGTACCCACAGTCACAGTCCCGCATTCGTCTCCTCCTCCTCCCGGCCACACCACTGCCGCACACACGGTATGCCTGGACCTGACAGACGACGAGCTCCCTTACGGAGGTACTTCGTGCTCTGCTGCATGCACCCAGCACTCATGCATTCACAGTCTTCTGGCTGACACCTGCACGGAACACGGAACACATGTACGCACATTCCCGGCACAGGCCGGGGCAGACACGGACCTCGAACAGAGTGTGCGTCATCTCTCATCCCTGCGGTTCAATTTGTTATGGATCCTAAAGAACGTTCACTCCACAAGAGTAACACACCACCCAAACATACATTCAACAAGCTCGGTGGATCCGTGGGATGGACGTCGGATCCAACCAGACACAACACAAAATGCTCCGCCCTTTTGCTCTCGCGGCTCTTGCGGCTCTCGCGGCTCTCTGCCTCAAACACCGTACAGCGCAGTGTCCCAGACGAGCTGCTCTGTAGGATGGACAGAGCAAAAAGCATTGTCGAGCAACCGGCGATCGGTTCTCCACTCTCTAACTTGGAAACAAAGCCTAAAACGTCAAACCCGCCGTCTAGCCATCTGAAAGCACCAACCACATGCACTACTACATATACTAGGTCTATAACACACACCCCTCTCGTTGCGCTGGGGTGGCCAAACAAACCAAACTTCCCCCTCTCCCCCCAGGCAGCACAGAGTCTCATTTGCACTCGCTGGGGGACCTGACCGGGCCTGGCTAGCCGCGGTTCATGGTGTTGCCGGCACCCTTTTTGTTATCGTCCGTGTACTGAGCCCAGTTCTCAGTCTTGGCCCGCCTCTTCTCGGCAGCCTCTGCGCCAGCGGCTGTGCCGTCATTCTCCGCTTCCAGCTCGAGCAATTCCGACTCAGTAGGGGCGTCATAACTTGCTTGCCTGGAACGAGACGTCAGCAACCACACAGAGAAACAATTGTAAATGAAACGGGGCCTGTTTCCGCCACTCGTCGTCGCCCCCCGCTCGCTCTCGCACTCACCCTCCACCACGGATAATGTTGCCCATGGCGTCCTCTTCGGCCAGGTACTCGTCAATCGTCATGGTCGGCAGGCGGTGCGAGGCGCGGAACACCTCGGAGCGGAGGCGTTCACGGTCGCTGAGTGCCGTCGTGCTCGGCAAGATTGTGAATGGACGCAGGACCTTGCCGCCACCCGAGATGAGCTCCTTGGGCTTGTACGACCCCGGTGTGCGGTCCAGTCGCCACTGGGCGTCCTCGGTCTCTTGCCTCCTTGTCCTCGGGTCCTCGATCGGTCCGCTCGTGGGCTCGGAGGGAGCCTGCGAGAGAATACTCAGCTCCATAGCAGTGTTGCCCAGTGTCGTCGTCGTGAGCGAATGCAACAGCTGCAAGACCTGGATGCAGGCGTTGCGCAGGTCGGGCTCCTCCTCGTTGACTGATGTCGAGGACGCGCCGGTCTCGTTGGGCAGCAACGAAAGGACAAACGTCAATGGGCTGGACGACGGCTCTGGGTGGTCCGGAAGCGCGGCCTGGCTCTGTCAGCGTTTGCAACAACCTCAACTCGGTGCTTACGGAGATGCGCTCCTTGAGCTCCTTCTCACGGCGGTACGCGCGAATCTTGGCCTCGCGGCGCTGTCCCGGGTCAGAAGGGACCGCACCGGGCGCGGTTGAGCTCGACCCCTCGGCCTGCTCGTCCGACCCGAAGACGTTGTACGTCTGCAAGAGACCCAAGAACGCGTTGAACGCCGTGTCGCTGCGCCTCAGCGCGGCGATGCGGTCCGGGTAGCCTCCCAGACCGCCCTTTGCCTCGGCCTCGCCCAGCACCCAGGGGACAGTCATGAACACGAGCTCGCGGTCGCCCAGCTCGTCCAGGCCCTCATTGTCCGAAAAGACGCCGAGCGAGGTGAGCATGCGCGAGATGAGGTACAGGTCGTCGGTCGCCTTGGCGAGCTGCGCCTGCGTGCTGGGCTCGGAGAGCGGGAGCGAGTCGTCAAAGATTGGCAAGAGCGATTGGAGCGTCTTGGCATAGTACTGCGGAAGCGGCAGGTTTGTTTGTTGTGACGACGACATGGTTGATGGTGTTGTTGGTGATGGGTAGAAGAGAGAGATTGTTGTTGCACGTCGAAAGAAAGCGCGAGAACGCCAATGACCTCACATTCGCGTGGCCTTTCTTATTCGCACCCAAATTAATCTTCCCGCATCAATTACAGTTGCGGGAATGAATTCTATTCGGGCTGAATTGCTAATCTCCGGCTCCAGTGACTCATCAAAGCTTTGGCCACACTGTGGCGGCAAAGGCTATACATACAGGTGACATGAACAAAAGGCGAGCAGAACATTCTAGACGGGTCTACAACTGAACAGTGTCTCTAGTCGTCAACCTGGAGGACCTCCAGGATGTCTCCAATACTCGTGTTAATCTCAGAGTGGCCGTTGAGGACGTCACACAGGTCGACGTCCTCGACGCCATTTTGCATGACGGGGCCGAGACCCGCCACACGCGTGCCGTTGTTTCCCGTGACGCCGCGAGAGACGACCTCGTGCAGACGAACCACACCTGCGAGGACCATGTCCGATCCCGTCCATGCGTTCACGACACGGCGAGCCACAGTTTGGCGGACGGACGCCCACTCGGCTTCGGTGGGGGCTGCGGGGAGACTGATGAAGAATACCGAGTCGACGATCGGGGGTCCGTCGAGGGTCGCAAGATACAAGAGTGCGTGGAGGACGGTGAGTGCGCCAACCGACGTACCAACGAGCACAACGGGCCTCTCGCCTTGCACCCGCTGTGCCAATACCTCGCCCAGGAGGCGACCTGCCTTGATTGCCTTGTCCTGCGCCCCGACCCAGGAGTTGTCCAATGCCATGGTCGACAGCTTGTACACAGACAGAGGCAGCGCAATGGCCGCATAGTATGCACTGAGTACGGTGTGCTTGACGACCTCGGTTGCCGCAGCGTTACGCAGCTTGCTGGCAACCCAACTCTCGAGATCGCGACCCGTGTCGAGCATCGTCTGGGTCTCGTAGCGGAGGAGGTAGACGTCGCGCCCGTCCTTGAGGCCAACTGGGACCTTGGAATCGGGCGTGTCGGTGCCATAGTGCCAGTGGCCATAGGGAGAGCACGCGGCACGCCACGCAGATATGGCCTCAGTGTGCGAGACGGTGAGCAGGCCGGGCACAACGATGGTGGCCTGTGGTGTCAGTTTCGCAAAGTCGGCGATAGCTTACTGTGAGGCTGGGAGTCGTGGGCTTTTTGAACTCGCCAGGTTTCAACGGGGTGGACGGTGGCGACGGGCTCGCCTGATCGGTATGGGCTTCAAGAGACATTTCTGCCAGCCGGCCCTCGAGCTCTCTCCTGCTGCGCTCGACCTCACGCTGGGCCGCAGATTCGACCTCGTCGCTCTCCAGCTGGCCCTGGAAGCGCGTCTCAAAGTCGACATCAAAGATCGGGGCGTGTTTCTTGAGGTCATCGACTTCCTCCTTGGACGGTTTCGTGCCCGCCCCAACCTCAATAAAGGCAAACTCGTCGACGCCGCGCCATCGCTCTGCTACACGCCACCCGGTCAGACCACCGCCCGTGACGCCAAAGAGTGTGCCGAGGACAAGGGGTGCGGCTCCAGCAGTGAAAATCGCCCCCATGCCGAGGGGAGCGAGGAGGGCGGCAATGGCCGGCGCGGCGAGGCCACCCGTCACACCTACAATGACGCCGCCAGCAATGACCCCTGCACCTGTGGCTGGTCCGTCAGCCCTGCCTGTATCCTAAACCCACCTATCCTCCTTCCCAGCGACCCGCCCCATCCTTCTTTCTGCTTTGACACGGCCTCGTCGACGGTGCTCTTGTCGCCATCGAGGGCCGCCGCGAGCGTCGCGCCGACCCTGGCCTCGGCCACGGAGAGGAGGGTGCTGTCGAGTCCCAGCAGCGAGAGGGTGCGGTGTGCAGCGGCACGTGCGACGGCAGAATACGCAACGCGGGGTTCCTTGGTGTCTTCACGCGTTTCCGGCGCGAGCGCAGCGTGGATGAGCGCCCAACCGATACCGCGTCTCTCGTCGTTGGACCACGTATCGCGTCCCCCGGCAGCGATGGACACGTCCTCTGGGTTGACATCGGGTGGGAGCGCGTCCCGCTCCAGATCGAGGAGGGAGAGTAGTGACTCGAGCCAGGCATCGGCGCCTGTCCAGACTGTGCCAGAGGGAGGACGTTCGGACGCACTCACGGCCGCGAGGGCGACGACGAAGCGCAGCTGCCTTGGGAGCGGGGGTGGGCTGCACTGAATGTCGGGCATGTCCAGGGAGTTGCCGCCATGTAGTGAATGAAGTTGGTCGTGTGCTCGACGATGGTGGCCAAGTGTTATGTTGAAGGAGATGCGCATGCACGGTTGCTCAAATGTTGGGTGATTGCCGATTGTCTTGGATCTGAGTGGATGCGAACATGACGTCACCCTCAGCGGCTCAACTGATCAACTCGTTAACTGCTTGCTGCCAACAACAAGACGCCGCATCTCTCGCTCACGCTTCTAGCTCCTCTTGGTTCTCCCATGGGCCCTCCAGGTCCCGGTTACCCGGCGGGGTCTGGCACAGTATATTTTCCACGAAGGCTCTAGAAACGCTAGCCCACATCGGCTTACTAACACCCCAGCTCTCACCATGACCACACCAGCTGTACCCGTGTGGGAGATCAAAGCAAAGGGATGGAACGACGACACGCTGGCCAAGATCCCCCAGGACTGGCTGTCGCCCAACGACGAGTCACTGAGGGACGACGTCTCGGGCATTGTGACCAACAGCGAGTTGCTCACGAGGCGCGAACACGAGATTGTCGAGTGTGATGCCACTGCCCTCCGCGATGCGCTGTCGTCGCGCACTTACACTGCCGTCGAGGTCACCACGGCATATGCCAAGGCTGCGGCTGTGGCGCACCAAGCGACCAACTGCCTCATGGACTTCTTCTACGACGACGCCCTCAAACGAGCACAGTGGCTGGATGAAGAGTTTGAGCGGACGGGAAGGCCGGTGGGCGTGCTCCATGGCGTCCCGATCTCTATCAAGGGTGAGTGAGATTGCGTCCTTGCCAACGGGGTCACCTGTCGAGCGCTTTGGGCATCCGCCACAGCTTCCTTTGCTCAAATACCATACACCGCTGACCTGTACAGACCCGTTCGCTGTAGCCCACAAGAACAGCACCGCTGGATTTGTCTCGTGGATCGGCGAGCGCATTCCAGACGAGGACGGCACTGTCCCCGCCATCCTCCGTGCCGCCGGCGCCGTCTTCATCGTCAAGACTATGACACCCCAGGCAATTATGATGATTGAGACTGAAAGCGCCTTTGGCATTACTGTCAACCCGCACAACCGCAACCTCACTGCTGGAGGGAGTACCGGCGGTGAAGGCGCGCTTATCGCCGCCGGTGGAAGTGTGTTGGGCGTCGGTACGGACATTGGTGGCAGCATTCGCGCGCCGTCCGCATGCAACGGCATATTCGGCTTCAAGCCTACGGCCGAGCGTATCCCCAACGGGTTCACAAACCCCGTAGAGGGCAACGAGGCAATCCTGAGCGCGACAGGTCCCCTGGCGCGTTCAGCGCGCGACCTCGAGCTGTTTATCACCACTGTCCTCGCTGCCAAGCCGTGGACGTTTGACTGCAGCGCCGCCCGCATGCCGTGGCGCCCCAACGAGGTCGAGTGGCTCGGCGGCCTGCGTCCCCGTATCGGCGTGCTGTGGCATGACGGTATCGTGCAACTCCACCCCCCGATGGCGCGTGCCCTCAAGACGGCCGTCGACAAGCTCAAAGATGCCGGGTATGAGGTGGTCGACTACAAGCCCTACCGCGTAGAGGACGCATGGGACATTCTTGCAAAGCTCTTCTTCACCGACGGCGGAAAGGCCGTCAAGGCCGCAGTAGAGACGAGCGGCGAGCCGCTCTTCAAGGGAGTTGAAATGCTCATCGACATCTCCAAGGACTTGACCGCCACCGAGCTCTGGCAGCTGGTCAACCGCCGCAACGCGTTGCGCAACGATTATGCGCGCCACTGGAGCGAGTCCAAGGTCGACGTCTTGCTTTGCCCGCCGGCAGTGGGACCGGCCCAAGTATGCGGCACGACAAAGTACTTTACCTACACGGGTATCTGGAACGTGCTCGACTACCCAGCTGCCATTTTCCCCACGGGCCTGCGTGTCGAGCCCACCGACCGGCCGGTGAAGCGCACCGAGTTTCTCGGCCCGCAAGACAAGGACCTTTGGGCAACTTGTGAGCTGGCGGTGTTTCGTGTTTCCGGGGAAGGCGTACGCTGACGGGTATAGACGACTCGCCCGACACATTTGCCAACGCGCCGCTCAGTCTCCAGATCGTGGGTCCACGGTGGGAGGACGAAAAGGTCGTACAGGCGCTGCACATTATCTCCAAGGTTGTACGGTTTTAAGCAGAGGTGTTGGTGATGCGAGACCTTTGAAGTTGCGGTGCGCAATATTTAGTGTACTCGATGTAGAGAGAGCAGAGGAGACCAACAGACATTGTGTCGACCATGGTGCCCTGCCGCGTGAGGAGATGGATGACAGCCACTTGTCACAATCCGCCACAAGACTTGATGAAGTCACCCCCTGTCTGCAGTTGCTCGCATCAGCCTCACATCATGAGCTATCTTCTCAGGATCACTGTAGCACGTCCAGGAGATGCATCTGCTTCGTCCCAGCGCGTCAACGCTCCCCAAATCACATGCATACGGACTACTTTTGGCCAGCAAAGAAGCTTACGTAAACGGGCGTGTAGCTCAGTTGGTAGAGCGTGTCATTAGCATCTTCTACCCTACTTGACAAGGTCTTTGGTTCGATTCCTAACTCGTCCACATCGTTTCTTTTTGGGCCTGTAGAGCATCGAGGAGACGCAGGGGAGGTCCAGCAGTGTCTTGGAGACGTCGAGGGGTCAGGTGGGTCCAGGCTGTGACGGAGGATGGCCGATTGCCACCTGTGGAAGGTCAGTTGTCGGGCAGCACGTGAGTTTGCCATCGTTCGCCAGCTTAGTGCTGCTGGAAATTGTGCATATGGTACAACAGGGCTTCTGCACTCGCTCTCCTAATGCTCCTGCTCTGCTCGCTTGCGTTTGTTGCTACTGTTTTGCCAGAGCTTTACTCGGCAGCAGCAAGACGGGCCTGCGAGCTCGCAAACAGCTGCTCCTGCAGCGCCTGGAGCTGCTCGGGAGTCATGCCGTTGGTGTCGGGCTGGTTGCGCTGGCGCTCCTTCTGCGACTGCTTGAACTCTGCGTGCGAGTCGTCCACCTCGGAAATGAAGGATTCAAAGCCCAGTTGCTGAGGAAGTCAGCTTTGGCCGAGAGTAAGGAGCATAGCTGGCGCGAGGCTCGATTGAGCAGAGCGAGGAAGGATGGGCGTCGTGGCCTGCTGATAGCTGGTGGCTTGCGTCTGCCCACATCCGCGACTGATCCAACAAACGTCGCTGATGAGTCTACGCTACAGCGAGGGTGGAAGACGGTGTGCAAGGCTGCCGTCCGTCGTGACCTCTTCTCGCGCCTCGGCGCAGAAGTAAACAACAACCTACCTTGAGCGCCTCGATAACGTGCTCTGGTGAAATAGTCTTCTTGCTGCTTTCCTCGCAAACGGTGTTGGCCTGGGCCGAGATGAGCTTGATCCACTCTGATGCGGTCAGCCATTGTCTCCCTGGCATCAACAAGGGGAGGAGGGTGATCGATCGCTGTTCATGAGTACGGTCCCGTGAACTGTATACCCAGGCCACAGGAGCGTCCTCATCACCGCCTTGTCCTTCCCCTTGTCAAGAGAGTTGACGCACCAACACAGCAGTCGACAATGATCTCCTTGGTGTCCTTTGCGCAGCTGATGTCGTCGGGCAGCATTTCTGCGGGGGTTGTCAGCTGGGTCCCGCGCCTGTGAATGTTCGGGCAAGCAATGGGCCAAGGGAGGTGAAGACGCGAGAACGAGCAGAGACGCAGCGTTTCGCGACCTTGACACACACACGCAGCCACTCTTGGCCAGCTCCAAGGAACAAGATGAAGGTACTCACCACCGATGAGCTTGTACACGGTCGCCTTGGGCAGGGTGTGTTCGTCGTCGCCGGCAAATCCCTCGCGGTCGGACATGATGGGCGCCGAGTGCTGGGGACGGGATGGGTGAGAGTGAGGAGGAGAAAGAGGAAGGGAGTGATGGAGCGATGGAGGTGGATGCGCGATGGAGTGTTGTGTTTGACGGCGGAGGAGAGTGGAATCGCGCGGCAAAATGCAACGACCACACATTTGGATTTTGGCCACCCAACCCACACACACATACGCTTCGCTCGCTCTCTTGCCTCCGTCAACATCCTCACATCCCGTCCATCGCATCCCCGCATCATCTCCAGCCATGGCAACCACCGCGCGTGGCACGAACACCGTGCATGGTCAAGACCCACAGGTGCGTAGCTGTCCGCTTCGTGAGATGCATGCACAGCTGACGCTTGCTCCCAGAACCTGATTGAAAAAGTCATTCGTGCGAGGATCTACGAGTCGACATACTGGAAGGAACACTGTTTCGCGCTTACTGGTGGGTGTAACATGACGGAGGGGTCACCCACTCTGGGCGTCAGAATGGGATGCAGCCATGGGCATCCCGATGGTGTCACAGCCGTTCGGTTGCTCGTTTGCCATTCTTGTCAACAAGTAACTGCCCGCTGACACTCTCCAGCCGAGTCCATCATCGACAAGGCCATCGCCCTGCACGCCATTGGCGGCGTGTACGAGCGTCAGACGCCTACACCATTCATGTGCCTGCTCCTCCGCTTGCTGCAGCTCCAACCCGAAAAGGAGATCTTGTTCGAGTACCTCTTGGCCGAAGAGTTCAAGTGAGTGTGGACCGCCTGTCCGCCTCATCTGGCCTGCCAGTTTCTAGCTGACGCTCCCAGGTACCTGCGCGCCCTTGCAGTCATCTACATTCGCCTGACGTTCCGCTCGATGGAGGTGTTCCAGATCCTCGAACCGTTGATGGCCGACTATCGCAAGCTGCGATACAGGGAGCCTGGAGGGTACCGCCTGACGACGTTTGACGACTTTGTCGACGAGCTCCTGACGCAGGACCGTGTGTGCGACATTATCCTGCCGCGCCTCACGCAGCGCGGCGTCCTGGAAGAGGTGGAGGGAATGGCGCCGCGCAAGAGTCTGCTGGAGGACGACCCGCGGCAAGAGAAGGAGGACGGCGGCGAGGACGGGGATGTGGACATGGAGCGCGGACGCAGGTCACGGTCGAGCTCGCGCGCGTCGTCACCCGACCTCCGGCGTGGACGGTCCCGGTCCCGGTCGTCTTCGGGCTCGTCTCGCTCCCGCTTTGTGTCTCGCTCGCCGTCGCGCAGTGACAGCGAGGACGAAGGTGAGGTGGGCGATACCCGCCGTTTCGTCAGTCGGAGCCCGAGCCTGAGTCCCGACCGCGTGGTTGCCGGCGATGACGAGGACAAGCTCGAGGGAGACGTGTAAGGACTAGAGAAGATAGATATGTGTCAGTGTACATGCAGCAAAAAAGAACGATGGGACCTGTGCAATGCCGTTTACATGTGTGAGAGATGAGGGGGATGTGGTGTTGGGGGGGAATCTAAAAGTTGAAGTTGCTATAGTTGCCAGCGTTCCTGCGCTCGCCGTCATGGCCATAGTCGCGGCCACCGTTGCCGCCATATCCGTTGCCAGGACCGCGAGGGCCTGAGCGACCGGTCTCTGCTGCGTGGAACTGCTGCCTGGCCTCCTGGCGCTCGAAGCGCTTGACCGCCACCCTGCGGTCATGGAACACGTCCTGCTTCTGCGTGTCCTTTTCAAAGTGGTGCTCGAGGCCGGAGAGGATGACGTTGACGTCACTGCCCCAACGCTGGGCGGCCGACCCTTGCTGCAGGTCGTTGCCGACTGTGCTGATGACATGGTCGACAATGCGCTGCGTGTCGCGGTCCCAGTGGATGATCATGGCCTCCATCTCGCGGATGGCGTCAGCCACACCGCGCAGGTCGCGGAACGAGTCCCACCGCGTGGCGAGGATTTCGTTGTAGGCCTTGGTCTGGCATCCCTGGAGGTACGACTGCGGGGAGAGTGTGCGCGCGTGCTCAAACACGGCGAGGGCGAGGTGTGGGTTGTTGAGCTGGATACGCAGGTGGCGCATCACCTCGGCAACCATGTACGGATACGTCTTTGGAATGCCAAAGTCGACGGCCGCCCCGCCTGCGCCGTGAGAGAAGAGCTTCTCCTTGGCAAACGCAAGGACCTCGGGCGTGGTCAGGAGCATGGAAAGCTCCTCCTTGAGAGCGTCCACGGCGCGGAGAGTGTCGGGCTTGTCGTCTGCTGCACGACGGTTGGCGGTCGCCGGCCTTGCCTGACCCAGCAACATCTCCTCGATACGCGATGGCTTGGCGCCGTGGAGAGTGCGGTCCTGCAGGTGGCTGAAGATGTTGAGGAGCGATTCGCTCATCATTGCGGCCTCGGACGGCGTCTGGCCCTTGCTACGGTGCACGTTGACACGCGTGCCGCGCAGGTTACGCTGTGGGGACGGGGTGGAACGCGCGAGCAGGGGTTCAAGCTTCTTGGCCGTCATGGGCGACGCGTGCATGATGGCCGAAGGTGTCTTGATGACACGGTCCCACAACGAATTGACGACTTGAGGAGTCGGTTCCCGCTTGTAGGATGAGGGACGGGCAGGCTGGTCGTCGTCAAAGTCGTTCAGGCCGTCAAAGTAGCTCTTGCGGGGCGTGGGCTTGACGGCATCGCTCGCGTCAAACAGCTTGTCAAAAGCTGCTTCAACCGAGGCCTTGTCATTATTGTCGTCCCAATTGCTCAGAAGGGACGATGAGTCGGAGGGGCCCGAAGTGGATGAGGACGACGAGGGGGTGGAGGAAGAGGGCGTGTCAGGCGACTCGGACGAGGTCGACGGCGCCGTAGACGTCTCGGCATGCGTGGACGGACCCGATTCGGACTCGGCAGTGTAGTAGCGGGCTCCCAGTGCCATTCTCCTGGCAGCAGGGACTGATGCTGCGAGCCTGCGCTCAAAGACGGCGGCAAGCATGGTTGGTGGTGTTTGGTTGGTCTTGTTGTGAGTGTGAAGAGGGATCGTCGGAAGAAAGGCAAAGCAAAACCGAAATCTTTGGTGGTGCCTGACATCGGTGGCCACATGCGACCGGCAACAAAAAAAGTGTATTCCAATTAGGGTTGTGTTTGTAATGCGTGCATTTGTCATCTTCTAATGCCAGTGTCGTGTGGCAGCTCATCATCGTCGTTCATCCCTAGCGCCCGCACACACTTGCACTACTCAATGGCCAATGTGCTCTACTCGACAGATGTCCTCTACTGCCCTTGTCCCTTGCAAACCAATGTCTCAACCTAACCGCCGTGCTTCAGACCTTTGGCGAAGCGCTTCCACCCGGTCGTGGGGGTAGTCGCCGTTCCACACTTCGACACCGGCCATGTTGACCATGCGCGGGAGGCCGTCTTGCTCAATGACAAACGAGGCAGCCACGTTGGCCCAAATGACAGCTTGTCACGGGTCAGCCCGACCTTTTTACACATCAGCCGACTCACCCTCTCTCATGTCCTTGCCCGCATCCAGCCCAGCCATCAACCCTCCCATGAATGCGTTGCCGGCACCCGTAGGGTCCACCACCGCTCCCTCGTACCCGGCGACTCCCGGCTGCCAGAAGGGAGGAATCCAGTGCACGTCGACGCATGGCGGTGCCGTCGAGTGAACATTGTAGACGGACCCCGAGGGGATTTCGGACGTGAGCGCATAGCAGCAGCCGTACGGGCCGGCTCGGACGACCGCTGCCAGCCGTGGACGGAGGGCGACGAGGCGGCGCGTCAGCCACTCCAGTAATGGTACCAGCTGCATAGTCTCTGTGGGCACGTCGAATCCAAAGAGTGCCAGTCCCTCAGTGTGGTTGGGGCTGAGGAGCGTACGTCAGCATGTGTCTCCCCATACTCCACAAAAAAACGCGGGGGTGTGGCATGTGGCAGATGGTTTGGGAATACCCGTTGGAGCGGTACTGGGCCTTTCCCGGGCCTTCTGGTGTTCTCAAATAAACCCAAAAATAAAATCAACAAACTCGACGAAAAACCAACATACCTTACGACATCCACTTGGCGAGCGATGCGAGCGATGACGTTGAGGTTCTCGGGCAGGCAACAAGGCTAATGGAGTGGTCAACGTCAACGTCGATCATTTTTCGTAGATCGCTCAAGCCGACTCGGCACGAAACCGGCACACCACCACCAACTGTCCTGTAAATGGGGACATGTGCTGATGTAGACAGGGTCGGCCGGCATGCCAGCTCGGGGTGTACCAGAGTACCAGAGTGGTCTCGGGGGTTGTATCATGTGGCCCTCATCTCATTAACAAGCCAGTCGAGGACCTACCGGTTCAGGCTCCCACAGGATTCCGGGCGTCCAGCTCCTGCCCGTGCCGAGATCGGCACTCATGCTCGATATTTCGCTCAATGATTGCTCCGCCCGTTCGGGGTATGAGACCAGGTGCAGCCACGATGGGAGCGGGTTGGAGAACGTGGGCACGTCCAGCAGATCACGCGGGGTGAGCAGCCTTGGCGGTGAAAGGTACTCGAACCTGCCGTCAGCGACAATACCAACATCACGGCGTCGGTGCCAATGTATCTGGAGACGTCGCCCAGCTTCCCATTTTGCAGCGCGTGGTCGCTGTTTCCTTGCCCGGGAGGGTGAGGTGGGGCTGCGAAGAAAGACTGTGGGGAGGAAGAAAACACCCACCCTCGTTTCTCCCCATGGTAACGGTTCACGGCCCGCGTGGTGCCATTGCCATCTGTCCGTTTGCGAAAGGCCAACATGTCGCTGCCAAACGCCTCGAGAGTGTCTCTCATCTCCCGTGAAAGTGTTTCGGGCGTGTAGTCGACAATCATGGCCAGCCGTTGAGGTGGTAGGAAGATGCGGCTTCCAATAATACCTAAAGGACGTTTAGACCGCGGCAAGGGCAAGGGCGACGGTTCGTTGATGACATACCGTATGTCCCGGCTCCCCCCAGCTGGAGAGCGTTAGCAGGAGAACTGGTTAAAAGGCGCAAGACGGCTCACCTGGTCGGGTTTGTTCATGGGTACTTCATGTCCGTTGGCCTCTATGCGGGAAAAAGTGTCGATGATAAAGGCCTCTGCCGAATAGTGATAAGCAGGAGGTCGGATGTGGTGATTGACCGGAGCTTACCCAGCGTGGCCACTCGTGGTTGTACAGCCATAATTTCGTGAGTGTGAAAACAATATGGGGACGTCAAGAGAGAAGAAGAGGGAGGCGCACGAGGAGGAGGCAGCCCCAGATATGGAGCCTGCCGAAGGGTGAGTGGGTGTGCGGATTTGTATATGTGCAACGAAGCAGACTGACTGGTGCAATCAACTGGCGCACCACCAAAGGACGCCTCCACCCGGGGAGAGGGAGGAAGAAGGCACAAAACCCATATCCCCTTCAGGCACGTCCGATCGTTGTCACCGAACATTTTATGACGTGGTATTATTTGATGCCGATTGTCTTATCACCCGTCGCGTCCACACTCGCACCCAGGAGTCAGGCTGCCCATCAACAACGGTGCGGCTATATAACTTGCGACAACACAACACAATGACCACAAGCATCACAGTAAGTACTGCTCTTCCCTGCTGTCACATCGCCGTTGTCCCTAACCTCCATCCCCCCAGGACGCCCGCTTTACCCACCTCCACGCTACCCCGCGGTACATTCTCGCACTGCTGACGGACGAGCCGCCCGAGAGCGGCTGGTCCGTCATGCCGGGCTACGACGAGAACGTGTCGTTTGCCGCACACCTCGAGCCGCCCCGCCTCGACGCGGACGAGACGCTGCCGTCACAGGTTCACCCGTCGTACCCGTACGGCAGGCCCAAGACAGCGGGGTCCAAGCCCGGCGCCGGCGCTGGCGGGGCGGGTGCACGCGCCGCAGGCAACCTCCTCGAACCCGGAGGCCGGATGGACGAGAAGTGGGAGGAGCTGGACCTCTCCGCTGTGCTCGAGCACTCGGACGGACGTGAGGTGCCCCCCGTCATGGCGGTAAGTGTCCCGACAGGCGACGACGCGTGTGGGAGCATGGTGTGGACTGGGACTGGCTCGAAGAGAGCCCCTGCGTACACGTCCCGCTCCCGCGGCTGCTGTCTTGAAAGTATCATCCCTCCCGATCACTGACAATGCCATCTCACAGGGCTCCAAGCGGCCACCATCACCGTCATCTCCCGACCTGCGACCCCACCACGTGCCTCAGCCGCGCTCGTTGCATCTCCGCCGCCTCCTCGAGCGCCAGCGCCATGCGACACCGCCTGTCCCCGCAGACCCATTTGACGCGCCCGTGCCCAACGAGACATACGCCGAAGACGACCCCGAAAACGCAGCTCGCGGGGCAGAGCAGGATGCCGAGCCGCCACAAGCCCAGACCCCAGAGTAACAAGAGTACCACCAGCAGCAGCACCACCAGAACCACTGTATATCACACACTGTATCCACCTACCGCCACGTCCCACGTTTACGAATTTCCCATTCCATCCCATCCCCCCCTCGCAGAAATGATGATCCCACCCACATTTTGTCATCCTTAGTCTGACGGCATTATAAACAATGCCTGAATGAGGATAAGTGGCTGCCCCTTCTACGGAACCGGGACTGATCTGCACACACGTTTTCCCACCCCCCATGCGTCTCTGTTCTGTGTACATATGTAGAGAGGATAGAGAGAGAGAGATGGACAAGTGTTGGGGATTAGCTGCGGACGACTCCGGCATGGCCATGTTGGCCGACATACCAGGCGTGTCATGGGATCCGAGGGGACCACATGATGTTGGCGCCTGGCTCGTGGCTCATGGCTCATGGCTCAGTTATCCGCTCAACATCCCTCCATTCCTCCATTCCGCGCGCATCACGCACGTCCACGCCGGGCCGAGGAATTTGAGTGTTGAGGACAGCGTACAGCGACGAGGGAGGTATGAGGTATGTATGCGGATTGGGGAGGAGGAGGCCGTTGCAACTCCTACCTGCTGCAGCTGTGTACCCAGGTGGCAGCCGTGACCGTCGTGTACAGGCAATGTGGCACTCGGGACCCGGGCGACACTGGTAACTCGTCGTGTACCTTTGTTGCGTTCGTTCCTCCCTCTCCCTTCCTTCCTACCTTCCTTGCTCGTATGGCCATCGCCTCCACGCCATCGTCGCGCGGTGTGTGTCACATTCCGACCATGTCTAGGTCCCACCCATACAGCATGACGACCGGCCCCAGAGCGTGGACAACGGGTCGTGCAGTCGTAACAAGCACTTATACTTTTCAGTTAGGCCGGTTTGTGGCCTGTGGCGTGTGGCCTGTACCAGGGTACCAGGACCTGGGATGCCAGGTCACGACACACTGTACACTGTGGCGTGTGGCAGTGGGAACACACAGTCTGCCACCTGGCCACCAGAGGTCTAACGTCTGCCTAGGGTCTGCTTATGCGTCGCTCACCTTGCCCCGTCGTTCACCTGGATCGCAGCGGCGGGCGGTATGAGACGCGCTGGCGCGCTGATATGGCTCTGCACCATGGACATGCGGGCACTGCAGGCCCTCTCGGGCCACCGTAACGTCCTCGACGGTCTCGGGGAACAGCAGGTCCACACCCCGCCTGCCCCACCCAAGTCCACGGAATGCCTGTCCCAGCTATACTTTTGACGCGATCGCCGTGGTCGTGGACGTGGTCGTGGGCGTGGACCCGAATAAGCAAGCAGCACCCCGTTCCCGAAACAATTGGCAGGGCCCCCCGAAAACGGAACCCACTCATGCCACCAACCTCTGGCCTCTGCCGGCGGCACCGCGTCTTGCTGCTGCCAAGCCGCTGCCATCTTTGATCCGCACGGCGCCGCCGCGGACCAGGCGCCGATCTCGAGACACGACAAGACAAGACAAGAACAAGAACAATACAAGGCGTGCATGCTCATGCTCATGCCGGGGAACAAGGAAACACAACCCAACCCCACCCCCCGCCCACCGGCCCACCCCCCAACAGCGGGACGCGTCCGGCCAGTTCCTGGATCCTGGCATCTCCTCTCCTCCCTCTCTGCTGCCCCACAAGCCTGCAGATCTGGAGACGTACGCCGTCTGTGTACGCTTCCTCTTCCATAGACCTGTCCGATGCGACGCACCGTGACTTGTCACTTGTCCGATGCGCACGGCTCGCGGAGGTATGCCCGTCTGGCCGCTGGCGACATTTTTTCTTCCTTTCTTCTTCTCTCTTTCTTTGCTCCTCTGTACCTCTCTGTGCTCTGTTTTAGCCGTTTTCAGCCAAGTCCCGAGAGAGCGAGCGTTAAAATGGGTTAAACGGGCTAAGGACCCCCCCCCCCACACGATGCGGCACCGGCGGCAATGGCGGTATGGGGCAGGGCCAAGGGGGAGGACTGTGCGGCGGCGACCGCAAGCAGCGTGCATCGCGCTCGCTGCACGCAAGCGGCCAAGCGGTACCAGATGGCACGGCGTTCCCCTACTGGGCTCGCAGGATCGCAGGATCGTAGGCTCGCAGACTTGCTGGCTTCACGGCGTGTCGCAGTCTTTTGGGCCGGCACGATGGAGGTATGGCGCGCGCCACGGCACCCCGGCCTTGGACCGAGGAAAGGCTTCCTGTACATACGCCTGTACTTTGTGCTGTGTACTCCACCTGCTCGTGTACTGTTCAGCTGTTCAGTTGACCAGCTGCGAGCTGCAATCCGCTTGTTGCCTGCAATTGCCTGTTGCCGCGCGGTGCTGGCTGCCTGGGGCCAGCGGCACGCACAAAGCCGCGACACGAACAACTGCCCTCCTCACCCTCCGGTCCGAGATGCGTCCTGGGGATTCCTGGGGCGGACGGACACGGTACACGGTGGGTACACGGCAGAAACGGGCAGACGGCGAAATCGGGGGGTCGAAACCCGGTCCTCATTTTTCGTTTTTTTTTGTTGCTCTCTCGGCAAAACTCGCGGGAGAGACAGGGAGAGCACACCATTGGAATTTTTCCTGGGCCATGGGCCATGTGCGCGCGCACGCGATCCGTGATATCCGTGATCCGTGAGGGATGAGAGGGGATGAGGGAGCAGCGCCAGCGAGAGCGCCTCACGCCTGATGGCCCCCCCCTGCCCTAACCCTTTGTGCCCAGGGGATACCCAGGACACACAAACATTTGGGACACATGAGACACAGACACAGAAACACAGACAGAGACACGCCGGACCGTCGTCCCGGCCGAGTACCATGGGCCAGTCCACACCCTGCACCCACGCTTCTAGTTGGTACCATGCACAACAGTCTGTAACATGCGAGGACCCCCGCCACGGCGCGGGGGGGCAGCGAGTCTTGTCTAAAAGTACACACACACCGTCTGTGGACTTTGGTCTAGGTTGGGAGAGAGAGAGAGGGAGGGAGAGGAAAAGGGGAATGGGGAAATTTAATGGGAACGATGCCAGAGAGCCGGAGAGAGAGAGAGAGAGCCAAAGGGAATAGAAAATAGAGCCGAGGGTTGACCTTGACGTTTGTTGGGGGCATATGGTTGCGGAGGATGTGTTGTTGTGACGGACGAGGAGGGCACCTTTTGGTGGCGCGCCGATCTTCCGGCCTCCTTTGTGGGCCACACTCCGCGCCGCCGCCGCCTCGCCGCCGACAACACCTTGCACCGTGCGTTTTGCGCCTGTGAACAACATGTGGACGTGCGCAACAGTACGACAACCACCACCGGCTATGCGGACGATGCCGCCGATGCCTGTTCTGGGGAGGCTTCTGCGGACACTGCGCCGGACCCGCTCGCGCTTGATGCGGCTGCCTTTGCGGCCTCGTCGCGCTTGAGCTGCTCAATCTCGTCTGCGGTGAGGAAGCGGCCGCCCTTGCCTCGGGGCCTGGAGCAGGCGTGTCGGTGTCGCGACTCGTGGAGGTACGGCTTGCGCGAGCGGACGAGGCGGTTGAGCTCTTCGAGACGCGCGCGCGCCATGCGGCGCTTGAGTATACGGTGGTACTGCTTGGCGTTGACGTACAGGGGCTCTTCGTTGTCGACGTCGCCCTCGTCGCCGTCGTCGCCGCCGGTGCCGCTGCCCTCGACCTTGACGAGGTCGTCCTCGTGGCCCACGCTGTCCACATAGCCCGCGCCCGTGGGGTCCTCGTGGCTCGCCTCGGAGCCAGAGCCGTACATGCCGCCGCCGTTCGGGTGGCGGTACGTCGATGGGCCAGGATGGCTCAGGTCGAGGTCGAGGAACCGCGCCGCGTCGCCGGCACCGTTGACAGAGATACCGCCGCCGCCGCTGCTGCCGGTCCGGTCGTCCATGACCCCGCCGCTGCCATTGTGGTGCGAGTTGCTGTCGGTGCGGTAGTGGTTGGTGGTGGTCGTAGTGGTGTTGGTGTTGGTGGTCGTGGTGTGCGACGAAAAGTCGGGCTGCACCAAGTGTGGGTACGTGCCTGCGCTGCTGTTGCTGTTGGCCGGTCCGCCGCTGCCTGGACGCTGCTGGTAGTGGTGGTTGGACACGCCAAAGCTGAGGTCGTCCGGGTACGGGTACGAAAAGTCGAGGCCAGTGGGTCCGGCCGAAGCAGAGTCGTTGTCAGACCCGGCGGTCCCGACGTAGTCGTAGGAGCGCGCGAGGGCCGACGAGTCGCCAAACGAGGGCGAGCCTCCGTACCCGCCGTTGGGGAGCAGGGAGAGGAGTGGGAGGGTCGAGTTCATGGTGGCTTTTGAACTAGTGTTGCAAGGTTGTACAACGAAAGAGTAAAGCCGAACAAGGGGGTGGTTGTTACAGACGATGGAACGACAGCTCGAGGAGGAGGAGGCTGTGTGCGTTTCTTAAAAAAAAAGTCTATGCGGGAGGGGGTTGGGTTAGCCGGGAGAGGGGGAACAGTGCGTGTTGACAGAGAGATGTCGGTGGGAGGGGGGTGAAGGGATGTAGCGAAGGGGTTCCGGGAGGTGTTGCAGGTGGATGGAGGTGGGTAGGTGGGTGGGTGCGAGTGGATGTATCGCTGGTTGGTGTGTCGGTGATGTGGAAGAGTGGTGAGTGGTTGTGTGTGTGTGTGTGTGCTGTGTTGGGAGTTTACACGAGGACAAGAGGATGGTAGTGGTGGTGGTGGTGGTTGAGAAGAGGAGGCGACGACTAGCAGAGAGAGGCGACCACTTTGTATGTAGATGAGATGCAAAAGACCGCTCTCTGGCGCTCTTGCTTCCTTCCGGCGCTCTGGCGCTCTCCTGGGCTTGACTGCGCTGCCTTTGCCTTGGGCGGTCGATAGGACTCTTCGAGGTACACACCACCGGGGCCATAGACCGGACAGACCCCCCCCGCAACGGGCCATCTAGGCCGAAAAGTCGGGTCTGCGCGCGCACAGGTTAAAGGGGGAGGATGGTATATATAAAATGTCACAAGTGTGTATACAGTCACCAAGTGCCACACGCACCGAAACGCCGGAGCACCCACAGCGTTCCCGGCCGCCAGCGGCAGACTCCGAGCACACCCGTTGGCCCGCGCACGCTGGCTGGCTGGGTTGGTGCTGGCTGGCTGGCTGGCTGCTGGGGTGAGCCACGGCTGCCTCCCTCCGCCAGGCCCACCGCAGAGACACACGCTCGCTCGCTGCACACCCACAGCTGCCTACCACACCCCTTCACGTCCACCACCCACACACCTCTCCTCACCACCACCCACAAAATGGCCTCCATCGCCCGCAACGTCCTCCGCCGCGGTTACGCCACCGCTTCGTCGGTCAAGGTGTGTCTCGCACACTACCCCCCACTCCAAGGATCCCCCCCTCCCCGCCCGCCCGCCGCCAGACTTCGAAAGACAGAGACCAAAGGGAGCGAGCAGACGGAGAATTCGTGGTCTTGCTCGGAGCGAGACGGCCACGTTTGACAACACGCTCTGCCAGCTCTGCTCGCTCGCTCTGCAACTGCTGCCCCACAGCCTGGACGGATGCCCATGTTCTGAAGCAGTGTACCGAGACCAGCAGCAGAAACTGCGCGCCGGTGCTGTTGCCAGGTCATGGCGTCGTCACTGGCGGGTTTGAAGATAGGCAGAGAGAGGGCATTGGCACATCGCACTGTGGGGGGGCATTCCGACAAGACCTCTTTCAAACATACACCATGCTAACAACTCGCAGGCGCCCCTCCAGCTCAACTCGCTGACCGGCACCTACGCCACCTCGACCTACCTTGCGGCCCTCAAGAAGTCGTCCAAGGACCTCGAGGCCCTGGCCAAGGACATTGAGTCGTTTGACGCCAAGATCAAGTCGGACAAGGCCATCGCCGCCATGATCGGTGAGCCCAGCCTACCAAACCAAACCTCGTGGGCGTACAGCTGACGTTCGCCCTAGACAACCCCACCCTCGCCCCCTCTGAGCGCTCGGCTGCCATCGCCGCCGTCGTCCCCGCCGGCTCGTCGCCCATCCTCACCAACCTCCTCACCGTCCTCTCGGAGAACGGCCGTCTCTCGGCCGCCCCCAAGGTCTTTGCCGACTTTGCCTCGCTCATGTCCGCTTACCGCGGCGAGGTCGAGGTCGTTGTCACCTCGGCCGAGCCCCTCGACTCCAAGTCGATGACCCGCCTCGAGAAGTCGCTCCGCGGCACCGCCCTCGCCGACGGCAAGACCCTCAAGTTCACCAACAAGGTCAACCCCTCGGTCCTTGGCGGCCTCCTCGTCGACTTTGGAGACAAGACCATCGACCTCACTGCTGCCGCCAAGGTCACCCGCTTCAACGCCGCTCTCGCCCGTGAGTAACGAAAAAAAAGGACTGGCCGGGGTTTTTTTTTCTCTTCTTCCTTTGGCACAGCCGCTGACAATGACTGCAGAGGGCGTTTAGATTGTCGCAAGTGGAAGTATAGGGTGGTGAATGAAATAGCATATCACGGCCGTGCCGCCGAGCAGGCGAGGGAGGGGGGGAAGGCGTGGAGGAAGGCAAAGGGAGGAAGGAAGGAGGACCGTGGACGGGGGAAGTGCTGAAGGGGAAACCGTTAGGAGGGGTGGGTGCAAAGGACAGAAAACGGCACCTGGGCGAGCTGTGAGCGTTGGAAGCGTCAGAGCAGGTCGACAGAGCAACAAGAGGTCCAGGTTCAAGTGGACAGCAGCAGTGTCAGCGGAGAAGGGGCACAAGGCGTCATGACGAGGTGGGACGAGGCACCTGCGCTCTGGAGGAGCTACCCCTCGCTGGCCACGTTCATTGCTCTTTGTCCTTTGCGAACGGCAGCGGGGCAGGTCCACAGCATAGCAAACTGACGTTCTCGTACTGTACATGCTATGGGCTGTCGCATACTGCATTGTCACCAGTCGTTTGCCACATCGTCAGCCTGAAGCCTGGGCTCTGTGTCTCCCGCTTGGCCCGTCATTGCCTCGTTCAAATTCAGTACAGGGCCATGGCGCAGAACATGACGCTCGCGCCGGTGGATGATCTGGCCGATCTGGTGACATCACAGACAAGGATCATATGTGTCTCTCTCCACTTTTGCATTTCTCCCTTCTTGATCATTGAGTTTACACAACTAAAATAGTGTTTGGCGAAAAACGGGCCCGGATACGACCACCACGGCAACCATCGCTAGGCAGACCCCCCAACCCCGCAATCTCGACAACCGGAGGGTTACACCAGTTTCCGATTACCCCACACGCGTGTCTCATCTTCCCTCCCTCTGTCTCTTTCTCTCTCTCCACCACGATGCCCCACCCCGATTTCACACTACCTTCGCGCTCGCGCACGGCGTCGTACACCACGGACCAGCACGGCGCGCCCGACCTGCCGCCCGCCGACGCCGCCAAGCCCGACGACCAGGCCATCGACGACGTCTACACCCAAGTGGAAGCGACGGGCTCGCTCGCGGCCGCGGCTGTCAAGCTGGCGGAAATCGCACAGCACGAGCAGGAGCACGGCGGCGCGGCGCCGCGCGTGGTGGCGCGCCGCCAGGCGTATGCGTGGGAGGACGACCCCGAAGAGGCCGAGTTCCTCGCCCAGCAGGCGGAGGAGGAGGCCGAGGAGGCCGAGGACGACGAGTATGGGTATGGGTATGGCGAAGAAGAGGAGATTGTCATTGACCACCTGCAAGAGGTGGTCGAGGGGCTGTGGATTGGCGACCTTGTTTCTGCCATGGACGCCGAGGGACTGCGGGCGCGCGGAATCGTGAGTTGGGTGAACACCTGAGCAGCCGCTGAACTCTTCTCCAGGCAAACGTCGTGTCCCTCCTCCGCCCACGACTCGAGTTCGCCCCCGAGTTTGCGGCGTACGCGCTCGAGATCGACGACGCGCAGACGACAGATATCCTCACCCACCTGCCTGGCACGACGGCATGGATCACCGAGGCGCTCGCCAAGCGTGCCGCCGAGGGAGAGGGTGAGGTGGGTGCAGAGGACACACCGCGCCACGAGGACATTCCCGCCGATGCACCGCCCACACACGCCGGCGGCGTGCTTGTCCACTGCCAAGCGGGCATGAGCCGCTCGGCCACTGTTGTCGCGGCCTACCTCATGCGCGCACAGGGCCTCGATCCCGTCGACGCCGTCAGCTATCTGCGCGAGTGCCGGCCCGTCGTCGACCCCAGCGAGACGTTCTGGTACCAGCTCGGCCTGTACGGACAGGCCCAAGGACGGGTCACGCTAAAGGATAGGAGTACGCGCCAGTTTTACCTGGAGCGCACGACTGGACTGGTTATGAGTAAGTTTGCCCGTAGAAGTGTCAAGTCGGTGTCAAGTCGGTGCCAAGTCGGTGCCACCTGGGTCGCCGACTGGGAGACCCGAACCCCGCACCCACCTCCACTTTCCATCTCTTCGCACAACATGACAACTGACAAATTCTCCTTACCTCCCACCACAGACCAAGGTGCTCGTCCATCCACCGAACACATGGCGCGATACCCCACCACCCCGACGGCGTCGGCGCCGCCCACTCCCGCAGGGGGGCAAGCACGCCGCAAGATCCGGTGCAAAATGTGTCGTCGCCACCTCGCCATCCGCGAGCACATGATGGACCACATTCTCGACCAGCTGCCCCCCGCCGCGGCTCCCGCCCCGGCATCGCGTCCCCGCACCCCGAGCAACTTTACGCTCCCTGCACCGCTCTCTGCCATGACGGACAATGACGCCGCCGACGAGGTCATCGAGGACGAGGACGGCGGGCCGTCGTCGGCATCGGCGGCGACAGTGCGCTCCCGCCGCCCCTCCGTCGTCTCCGACGTCATCAACCCCCTCACGGGTCTGCCTGGTGCGCGCTCCCGCCGGCCGTCAGTAGCGGGCAACGCTACGCCGCCTCAAGGCCGCTCGCGCGCGCGTTCCGTGTTGGGCGAGGACCTCACCATGAGCCGCCAGGCATCGACCCCTGGCATCGCCGCCGGTGCCCCCGCGCCCTCTGCGTCGGCGCCGGCACCTGTCACGGGCCCAGGCGGCAGGCCGATCCTGGACGCGGACGCGCTCGCTGCCCGGCTCCCACCCCAGCTCGCGGCCCTGCGCGCCGGCCTCAACCCGGCCAACAACGTCGTCTCGTCGTCGCCCGCCGCGTCGTCGCCGGCCGACTCGCCGCCCACATCCCCGGACCAGGGCCCGCGCCGCCGCATGTCCTCGAGCCTCGGCGGCCTCGGCATGACCCCCGCCACCCCGGCAGTCTCGGCGCCCGCGTCGGCCTACCCGCCCAACCACCCGCTCGCCGGCCTCGCAGCCATGGGCATGCCGGGCCTCACGGGTCTCACGTCCGCCGGCGGCCCGCCCATACTCGTCAACCCCAAGTGCTCGGGATACTTTGTCGAGCCCCTCACGTGGATGGAGCCCGTGCTCGCCGGCGGCGCCGTGTCGGGCAAGCTGGTCTGCCCAAACGAAAAGTGCGGTGCCAAGATTGGCAACTTTGACTGGGCGGGCGTGCAGTGCGGCTGTAAAGACTGGGTCACGCCGGGATTCTGTCTCGCGCGCAGTAAAGTCGAGGAGGTGTGGTGAGGAGTGTGAGGGAGGTGAGGTGGGTGCAGAGAGGCCTCGTTTCCATCTTGTTAGTTTCTGGGCGGGTGCGGTGCTGCCCGTTCGGTGCTTGCATCTATGCATTTGTGTAACCGTACGCGCCAAGACACATACAAGGGACCATCGTCCCAGCCTTAACATGTAACATGCCATGGAGGCGCCCTATGCCAAAGAGTGTCGTCGTCTGTCCATTACCACGTCCCGTCCGACAATCTACCACGCCAGCCCAATACGCTGGTACACTCCCCCGTCCCACACCTCCTACTCTCCACACCCTCCTCATCGCTGCTGCTCAGTATCAAACTAACTCTCATACATCAGCGCGCGGACGATAAATCACGTTGCGGGGGAGGAACATTTTGGGGCTCTTTGGTTTGTTTCTGTGTTTTAGGTTGTGGGGTGTGGGGTGGGTGTTTCTCCATGTCTCCAGTCTCCAGTGTCTCTCTCCTCGCCTCTCTTCTCCTCTCTCGCTGGGCCTTCAGTGTCTGGACCGAAACCTGGTGTGAGTCGGAGTCCGAGTCGGAGTCGCGGGTGCGGGGCGTGCGCGCCTAGGCAGCCTGCTGTTGGGCATAGTAACTAGGTATCGTCAGCTGCGTCTCCAATGATCGTCACGTAGCTGCCTAGACTCACCCAGCATACTGGTCGCCGCCGCCCTGGGCGTAGCCTCCATGGCCACCACCACCACCACCGCCGCCGTAGCCCTGGTCGTGGCCGCCGTGGCCCTGCTGCTGGCCATAGCCGCCCTGGTCCTGGCCATAACCACCACCACCACCACCGCCACCACCATGGCCGCCCCATCCACCACCGCCTCCGCGACGGTCGTCGCGGTCGCCACGGGGCGCGCCGCCGTCGTCGTGTCGGCGGCCGCCCTGCCAGTTCTCGGGGATACGCCAAGGGGGGATACGCTGCTCGGCAGGTGCGGCGGGTGCGGCGCCGGGTGCGGAGGCGCTCTCGCCGAGCTCGGCCATGAGCGCCGAGTACTCCGAGTCGAACTGGGTCGACTGCTGGTTCTGCATCAAGTTGGGGTCGCCACGGCCACGGCAGTCGCGTGCCATGTGTCCGGCACCGCCACAGAGACGACAGATGACGTTGGCAGAGTATGTGCGCTGCTGGGGGCACTCCCATCGGCGATGGCCCTTTTCACCACAGTTCTGGCAGAGCTGGTTCTCGTCGTCGCGGAGGGTACCGTTGAGCGAGGCGAGTTCACGGAGCTGGTTGCGCTTGTGGTCGTTCTGGCCCTCGGGAGTGGACGCGGCAGTCTCAATGACGCGGTTGATGAGCGCGACACACGAGCGGACCTTGGCCTCGTCGTCGGCCGTCACCACGCAGTGCAGCTCGTCGTCCTCATCGTTGGCAAAGGCGTCGGGACGGCCCTTGCCGTCCTTGACACTGCCCTTTCCACGGATCGAAATCTTGGCGCCCGTCTCGCGCTCCATGCGCTTGAGCGAGTTGCCACGGGGACCAACAAGGAGACCGAAAAAGTTGATCTCGGGGAACTCGTGCACGGGAATGTACACCTTGTCCATGGGACGGCCGTTGCGGCGCTGCTGGAACTCGACGGGCGGGCGGAAATTGGGGTCGTTCTTCATCGCGCGGTCCACGAGGCGCCTGCGCTCCTCCTCGAGCTTTTCGCGGTAGCGCACCTCGCGCGTGTTGGCGCGGCGGCCGTAGGCGTCAAACTTGGGCGGAGGCGAAGGCGAACGCTGTCCGTCGGGCGGGACAACATCGCCAGTCCTCAGCTTGCGGTTAATCTCCTCGAGTCGGACGTGGACGGCGTAGCTGTCGAGCTCGGACGTCGCGACCTTGCCCATAATGTTGACAGGCAGGCCAGAGACGTCGACGCGCTCGTTGGCGTCACCCCAACGCGACTTCCTCTTGCGCGGCTCGTCTGAAAAAAATAAATAAGTCAGCGTCATCCATCTCATCCAGTCTCTCGCTCTCGCCACTCACCGTCACCGGGCGCAGGCTCACGCCCGCGCGTCCTGTCGTCGTCCCAGCGGCTGCTGCGCGCACCGCGGTCGTCGCGCGGCCTCTCGTCGCGTCCACGGTCGCGGTCGTAGCGGTCGTCCGAACGCCTGTCGTCCCGGCGGTCCCGGTCATACCGGTCGTCCGAACGCCTGTCATCGCGCGGCCTCTCGTCGCGCCTGTCGTCCCGGCGGTCGTCCCTGCCACCACGGTCGTCTCCGCGCCTGTCATCACGGTCGACGCGACCGTTGAAGAACTGGATGTCGCTTGGGGGCTTGTTGTATCCGGGAGCCGACGAATGGGGGGGAGGCGGGGGACCGCCAGCGCCAGCACCGGGAGCCTGGCCCTCCTCGGGGAGGCCGAAACGGCGCTTGTTGGCGAGGGGCACCTGTACGTTAGTCAGACGAGTCCAAAAGAGCATGTGGAGGGGTTTGCCGCCACTCGAACCGCGATCAAGACTCACATCGTTTGTGCCCGTCAAGTTGCGGGTCGCAGGGCGCCACATGGTGTGATGGTGATTTCCTGTTGCGTTTTCGTGGTTCTAGTCAATGTCCTTGGGGTTGTTGTTGGATGGAACAAGGTAAGAAAGGGGGATGGATGACCAAGTGGAATGAGAGCGAGGGAGATGGGGGTTGTTGCTGACTCTTGACTGTTCCCTTCGAGGTGTCAGTCCGACCAGAAGAGAGGTGGGAGGAGAGTGACCCGCACAGCGGCGGAAGTAATATTTATCTTTTCGCATTTATTTCATCATTTATCCCATCATCAGCACCCACTCGCCACTGTGCTCATCTTGTTGTGGAGGATGCAAGAACGATCCATTGCATTCAGTCAAGAGCTCACCACCCCATTAGTCATCATGCTTCGTCTCCCGGCCGGTACGTTGTTTACACATGCCTCTGAATTAACTTGCTGACACCATTTCAGAGACTTCAGACAAGCTCTCCAAGGAGTCGTACCGCCAGCAGCGTGAGCTCGAGGCCGCGCGCAAGGCCGGTACGGCCGCTCCCGCCGTCGACGCCCAGGGCAACGCTATCAACCCCCATATCCCAGAGTACATCACCAAGGCGCCATGGTACGCCGATGTCGGCAACGGTCCGTCGCTGTCGCACCAGCGCCGCACCGATGGCGAGGAAAAGAAGGTGTCCATCGACGACTGGTACGACCGTGGCGCGACGGCCGGTCCTGCCGCGACAAAGTACCGCAAGGGAGCATGCGAGAACTGTGGAGCCATGACCCACAAGAAGAAGGACTGCGTCGAGCGGCCCCGCAAGCGTGGCGCCAAGTTTAGCAACAAGGACATTCGGGCCGACGAGGTCATCCAAGCTGTCCCGCGCGACTATGACGCCAAGCGCGACCGCTGGAACGGCTACGACCCCACACAGTACAAGGCTGTGGTGGACGAGTACGAGGCCGCCGAGGCTGCACGCCGCTCGTTCCGCGAAGACGAGATTGACGCACAAACGTCCACGGACCTGGCGGCGGTGAAAAAGGCCGCAAAGGTCAAGCAGCCCGACGACGACGAGTTTGGTTCAGACGACGACGAGGATGAGGACGACGACAAGTATGCCGAGGCGGCCGACCAGGTCGGTGTCAAGTTTGACACCAAGTCGCGCATGACAGTGCGCAACCTGCGTATCCGTGAAGACACGGCAAAGTATCTCCTCAACCTCAACCCGGAGAGTGCCCACTACGACCCCAAGACGCGTGCGATGCGTGACGCACCAGAGGCCGGAGACCCCAAGGACTTGAAATTCGCAGGCGACAATTTCCAGCGATACTCGGGCGACGCGACCAACATGCAAAAGCTCGCAATGTTTGCACACCAGTCGTCGCAGCGCGGCCACAACGTCAACATGCACTCCAACCCCACGGCCGGAGAGCTGTTGCACCGCGAGTTTCAGGAGAAGCGCGAGGCCCTCAAGGACTCGACCAAGTCGTCCATTCTCGAGCGGTACGGTGGCGAGGAGCACCTCGAGCGCCTGCCAGAGGAGCTCCTCGGCGGCCAAACAGAGCACTATGTCGAGTACTCGCGTACCGGCCAGCTCGTCAAGGGCCAGCAAAAGGCCACCGCACGCTCAAAGTATGCCGAGGACGTGCTCCTCAGCAACCACACGGCCATCTGGGGATCGTTCTACGACCGCGACAGCAAGCAGTGGGGCTTTGCATGCTGCCACTCGCTCATCTCTGGCTCGTACTGTACCGGCGAGGCAGGCAAGGCTGCCAACGCATCGAGCAGTGCGCAGGCGCTGTTGGCTGCACCCCCGGCCGAGGTGGCCGAGGACGCATACCAGGAGCCCAAGTCGCTCGTCGAGATGCACCGCGAAAAGCTCCAAAAGAGCGCCGACGACGCCGCCGCCGACAATGACGGCGAGCGCGCGACGGCCGCCGACAAGGGCAAGGGCCGCGCACGCACTGCCCGTCATGCGGGCGAGAACGACGACGACGAGCCAGACTATGACTCTGCCCGGCTGCGCAAGGCCATCGAGGACGAGAAGAAGCGCAAGAACATGGACCACGACGAGGCGTGGCAGGCCACCAAGAAATCCAAGACCACAGACGTCACAGAGGAGGAGATGGAGGCGTACCGTCTCAGCAAGAGTACATTCGAGGACCCCATGGCCAACTGGAAGGACGAGGACGATTAGCGACGGAGAGAGGAGGGGGCATTGTGTAGAGACAGTCTTCTGTTTTATTTGTATCAGTATCTCGGCAAACACATCAATGCATGTTCTGCATATCATCTAGATCTAGCACACACACTACCCCAAAACCCACAGACACAGACACTAGCTACGAAGGAACGCGAGCGTGCCGAGCGAATAGCTCACGAGCTCCATGAGCCGTGCCGACTCGCGCTTCTGGGCCTGTTCCAGGCGTTCGAGGAGGTCACGCAGCTCGGCGTTGGCAACAAGCACGTCACCGTGCACCGAGAGGAAGACGGCGAGGAAGGCCTGGACAGCCTCAAAGTCGCGGTGCGAGCGGAGGCGGCCGAGGAGGGCGGAGAGGAAGGCCGCCAGGTGGTCGAGGCTGACGAGCGAGCGGATCTCGAGGTCGGCAGCAGACGGCGACAGGGCCTTGAGGTACTCGAAGAACGACGAGTAGTCTCCGTCCTCGTCCTCGCGCGCGAGACGGCGGGTGAACTCGCTCTCGAGGAAGGATGCGCTGGGCGCCAGACGGGCGCTGAGCGGGTCGTCGTCGCGCGCCTGGGCGGCCGAGACGTCGAAGCGCGTCTCCAGACCCGACACCGTGGGGAGGAAGAATGGAGCAGCCTCAGGCGCCTTGGGAGCCTCCTTGGGCTTGTTGCGCGCCTTGATGGTGTCAAGGTTCAACAGAGTCTGCCACCTCGAGCGGGGCAGAAGCGAGAGAGTGAGCAGGCCGTCGGCGAGCTGGTCGGGAGTAGTGTAAATGTCCGTGTACTCGGGTGCGCCAATGGGCTCGAGGCCGTCGAGCGTCTCATTGTCCACACCCTGCACAGTCGGGAGGGCAATCTCCGGCACGTCCTCCTCCTCGGGAATGTGGCGGAGGGCGACCTCGCTGAACTGGGCCTTGTTGGCCCACAGGTGCACACCCAGGCTGTCGACGTGCGAAGTGGCGAGGAAGTCGCCCGTGGGGGAAAAGGTGACCGACGTGGCGATGGAGGGAGTACGGAACGCATCGACCAGGCGGCCGGTGGGGATGTCAAACGTCCTCACAGTCGAGTCCAGCGACGTGGCAATGAGCCAGCGCGAGTCGGGAGTGAAGACAGTGTCGAGGATACGGCCCTTGAAACCGCGCAGCTCACGGACCACACGGCGAGTCTCAACGTCCACGACGCGCACAACAAGGTCGTCACAGATGACAGACAGCAGGCCGCTGTCACGCTGCAGGTCGAGAGCAGTGATAGAGCTGTCAAGTTCCATGGTGTGCACCAGCTGGGTGGTATGGAAGTCAAAGAACTGGAAATGTCAGTTGGGGGTGTACTTCCAGTTTCGTGTCCACAACTCACATAAAGCTTGCCCTCGAGGGTACCGGCAACGACCATGGTGTTGAGGTTGTCAGTCGCGAGGCCAGTAATCGCCTCGATGCTCTTCTTGAGCTGCTTGGCCTTGGCCTTTTTAGGCTTGCTGTTGGTGATAATCTTGGGCTTGGTGTTGCCTGGTGCAGGACCAGTGAGGGCGAACGACTTGCGCTCCTTGCCCGACTGCATGTTCCACATGCGAATCTCACCGCTCGACGAACCGGCAAGGCCAAAGTTGCCACACTGGGTGACGCACACGGCCTGCACGGCACCGCCTTCCTCCATGTCAAACATCCAGTCGCCAAGACGCTTGTCCTGCACACGCCATGTGCGCGCCGACGAGTCCTCGGCGTGGGCGGTGAGCACATCGTCCCAGTCCTTGGAACGCGTCGATGATGACGAGATGCCAATGATGGGCTGGCTCTTCAGGTTGTCCACCGACACACCGAGACCAATCGCCTTCTTCATCAAAGAACCCTGCGACAGCTCGTGACTGCGCGAGTCACGGACAACAGAGGTATACCTCAGCGCACGGTCACGGCCGGCGGTGAGGATCTGCTTGCCGTCGTCGCCGTAGTAGCGGATACAGGTGGGGGGAGCGTGGTGGCCCGTACGGAACTTGAGCAGGCGGGGGGCCGCGGTCGGCGAGTCGAGCAGCCACTGCTTGACACTGTTGTCCGCCGACGACGAGACAAGGAGAGGTTGGCCCTGGACCCACTCGAGACCAGAGACGGCCTGCTCGTGGGCAGTGCGGGTGATGTGAAGGACACGACCGCCCTTGTTCAGGTCCCACATGGCAATCGCACCAACAGACGACGACGAGGCAAGGACAGGGGTGCCGTCCATGCGGAACGAGAGACCAGTGATGGAACCCTCGTCCATGCGCATCTCCATAACCAGCTCGTCCGAGCTAATGTCAAAGACGCGGATGGTACCATCGAGGTATCCGACACCAACGACATCGAGGGCGGGGGACTGAACGACAATGGTGACGGGCGAGACCGAGGAGGGATTAGGGGAAGAGAAAGTGTGGATGAGAGATCTGAGGGTTAGCGTCGAAAAACACTGTCTAACCCACCCAGTACGGATGTTCCAGAGCTGGAGCTCGCCCTCCCGGCTACCGACGAGGACCTTGTTGAGGTATGTGGCCGGGTGCATAATGGTGGTGGCAGTAAAAGACGAGTGGAAGACAATCTCATTGTCCAGCTCGCCAGAGGCAATGTTCCAAATGAACATGCCAGTGCCGTCGTGCTTGAGCGCAACGATTTGCTCGCCAAAGATGAGAAGCTTGCCGAGCGTCGAGGCGTCGGGAGACTCGTAGATGGCGGTCTCCTTACCACGAAGGTACTTGATCACTCTTGGGCCGGCAGCAGCAAACACCTCGCTTCCGGTCTGCGCAAGGCTCGTAATGGTTGCGCCGGCATCGGGACCTGACAGAGTTAGCAGTATGCTTAGAATGGCAGAAACATAAACTCACCGGCAAAGAGCAAGGTCATGCGCTCGGCATCCCACATGAGCCAGCTACGTCCCACACTCGAGACAATGTGGATAGTCGGCTTGGCAAGCGCACCCTTGGGGGTGTGCACGAACATGGAGAATGGGACGTCATCCGAGACGAAGCCGAGGGCACGGAAGGGGGCGAAGAGGCGGCTCTGGGGGAGGGGAGCAGGCGCGGCGGGGGCCGAAGCCTTCACCGCCTTGGCGTCGTTCTTGACGCGCTTCTGTGGTCGTGGGGGCATCGCTGGTTGGGAGCTCGCGATCTGGTCGATGGTCGATGCTGAACGATCTGCAAGAGAACACAACCATACGCTTCAAAATATCTGGGAGACACCGGAACCTAATTTGAATCAAGGCGGAGATCGGCCACTCGCCGTGTAATAGTGGGGGGTAATGAGCGTGCCTGAGAGAATTAGACCCATTTCATTAATCGCCTCCACTTTTCATGTCCACACCTCACTCACATCCTGACAACCATGGCCGCATCCGAGACGCTCGACGCAGAGATCGAGCTCATCGCTTCATCACTCTTGCCAGAGGAGAGCCTATCATCACCGCCATTATCATGGCCTCGGGAGATTGCAATTGTCAACGCCGAAAGCCAGAGGACTCTTCACATCAGGATCGCCGAGGAGTATCCCAAACGTCAAGCTGTCACTGTTGAGGTCAAGGGCAACGATATTGGACGAGACGCAGCTGCAGAATGGAGCAAGCGCATAAATGGATTCTTGGATAGCTGGGAAGAGTCGGAAGAGTAAGGGCTCTCACAGTTGGGATGGCGCTCACCCAAGCTTTCCACTGTATCAACTCGCGACCACTCACCTCCTGCCCCTCCTTGCCCCAGAGACTGCTCCTCCAGCCCCCAAGATTACAGCCCCACCTCCACCCCCACCTATACCACACCACGCCCTTCTCACGTCACACCATCTCCTATCATCGACCAAGCGCAAGAACTTTCTCGCTCTCTCGTCCCAGCTCTCCCTTGTGGGGTTCAGCAAGGTCGGCCACCCGGGCATCTACTATGCTGTTGGCGACAAGGACGACCTCGAGGAGTGGATGCGCGAGGTCAAGAGCTGGAACTGGCTTGCTCTTCGCGTGAGGGTGGGTGTAGAGCCCATCCGAGACGCAGAGGTGGAACTGGAGGGTCGTGGGAAGGAGAGCGGCGCGCGGGGTGGTAAGGGCCGCGGCGACTGGGTGGAGCTGAAGAAGATTGGCGACGCATTGGAGTGGTTGAAGAAGCGTGGACGAGAACAAATGTTGTTGGATATTGGGATTGGAGGATCGTCCGAGTAGAGAGCCCGCTCCCATGCCGCTTACATGCTACATCTGGCGCCCGAGTCTGCCTCTCCAAGCCCCTCACCGCCGATTTGTGCCTCCTCCTTCTCCGTAAGGTTACATTAGAGGCCAATATGCTATAGACACACCTTGTACTATTCCGTGGGTCGGCTGCTGATCTTCGTATCTCACTACACACTGTACCCTCTAACGTTTGGCCTGTACTCAAGGGGTTACTCAAGGGGTTTCTCGACCTCGACGGTGAGACGCAGCTCCTTCCAAGAGTTACATGCCTGGTGATCCCCAGTAGACTGAAGGCGCTACTCGTGATGTGGGAGGGGTGGGCATTTGGGTCGAGGTTGTGCTGTTCTTTGGGTAATCTCTGCCGAGGTACGCCCAGGAGACACGTTGGAATCGGTCTGTCCTGACGAGACCCATTTGGAAGACGATTCGCCAGGATCGCCCTGGGGTTCCATGTTCGGTGCCGAATGGTATCCATGTCCGCCAGGTGTATCGAGGAGATGCGAGTATGACCCCATTCCAGACCTGCAACTGCCAGAGCACCTTCCCGAGCCGGTCGTGGTTGAGTGGGCAGTGGCGGCGTTTGTGGCGATGTAGGAGGAAGGATGGGGGGAAGGCTCGTCAGGTAGTTTAAGCCTCGGGTCTGGCGGGTTAGCCACAACCATTGAGCATCAACCCACCGGCTTCCAGTTGGCTAGCATACTGGTCATAGCCGGTGTAATTGGCCATGTCCTCCTCGTAGTTGATGTCTCCAGAGGGTTCCGGGTCGAAGCCATCCACCATGGCGTACTCGTCAAGCTGCGCAGGGTCGCCTTGCCACTGAGGCTTGGGGCGGCTGGACGTAAGACTCTTGACGAACGAGTTTGGATCCGCTACGTTAGGCTCTTCAAAAGTGCCATGAGAAGAGGATGGAACGTCGATGGGGTCCATAACGGAGTGGTAGTCGGCCAGTGGCTGACTAGTGCGTCAGTGTGGGAGGAAGAACGAGACACACGTTGCGTCACTGTGGTGCCACGACACGAGCGGTGGTTCTGAACGTTAGCATGGGTCCGGCTGATCGTAACGCACCAAACTGAACTGTGCCATCCATCCACAGTTCCTCCTTTGAAGGCTCGAGACGTAGTGGCGGGGGTTCGACCAGCTGCCGCAAGGTTGGCCGGGAGGACGGTGACAGCGAGTGGAAGAGGGTGGCATCTGGGGTCAGGTTTGCGGCCATTTAACCCACATGCTCACCATACTCGTCCAAGAGATCCGAGGCATACGGGTCCAAATCCCCGACCTCATCGGTAGCTGCAAGTTTCAGGAATGCCTGTGGGGTGACGCTTGGGGGACGGTGGAGGGGAGAGCCGGCGCGGGACGCTACACTGATGAACTCGGCCGCGCTGTCGTAGTGCCACACTGGTGGACGTGAAATCTCGACGGCGGGAAGGGGAGGCGACATGTGGAGAGGTAGCAACTGTGTGTAAGCTCAAATGAGACCTCATGTAGCTCACGTCTCTGACATCCAGACTGTCCCAACGCGTCCAAATACTCTCCAAGCCCTTTTTCACTGGCAAAGCGGGAATCATCATGGTCTTGATCCTCTGCGCCATCGGCGGTTCGAGACGCCACTGCAAGTCCCTGGGTGCTGGTCAGCTAGGTGGACAAAGGCAGAGGCAACTCACAAAACCATTATTGAGGATATCTGTGGCTCCTCCAGGGGCTCGATGCTCAAGTAGCTCGTGCAGTAGTGCTTCGAGGAAGGGAGAAACAGCTGTGCGGTAGTGCGGGGAACGTCGGTAGCGTCTGCGATGGCCAGTCCCTCAGCGATGGCCTTGGCGGTGAGGATGGGAGACAGTGGGCGCAGATAAGGGGGCAGGGGATGCGCTGGGGGTTAGATCAGTCCAATCATTGCCTAACTCACTGTCAATCTCCTTCAGCCTTTGAACAATGTTCCTGCCTTGGTGGCGTTTCAGACTTTCGTACGCGGCTCGTAGGGCATCCTTGCCGGCGGAAACCTGGAGCGTCTCGTTGGGATAGTCGGTGCTACGGTATTCTTTCGCTGTGGCGAGAATGGGATACATTGGGTCATCATCGTTGGGACCAAAGGTCGTCGGGTGGATGGTGAGATCGGCAGGAGTGAGAATGGTCGCCAGAAGCTCGCCGACCAGCTCTTCCGTCAAGGCCCGTGCGTCGAGGACAAGGGGCTGGATACCACGAGTGTACACCCTGTTGTGGACTTCGGATGGTGTGTCGGGGGCCATGGATGGGGGAGTAGACGATGATGAAGAGATGGTAGAAAGGAAGAGGAAGACGGGGGAAGGTGGCACATATGGACTGGAGGGAAGGTGGTGGTTGCCAAAAGGACATCCGTTTTGGAGGTCGGCCGTGGCGGATCTGTCGAGGCATCTAATCGTCCCCGTCCCCGTTTGACGCCCGGTTATATATGTATCTACATCATGCATAAAGTACGGCACATGAACAGTCTCTCGCGTATCTCTCCTATCATCACTCCCTATCGCCTTGGCGCATAGCTCTCCTTGCTCTGACCCATACGCGACTCGATCTCGTCGACCTTGCCTGCCAGCTTGTTGGCATTACCGTCAATCGAGTGGAGGGCACGGAGGTGGGCACCCAGGATGGCCGAGAGCTGGTTGATGGGGTCGTCCGGCATCTGGGACGAGGCGTCGGCAGCCGTAGGGGGAGCAGCGGGCTGCTGCTGCGAGCCCGAGGGACCCGAGCTGGAGAGCTTGTTGACCTCGTCAATCATCTGCGAGAGGTTGCGGCTGATGTCGTCGAGCTGCTTGTTGAGGTCCTCTGCGAGGGCGTACGACTTTTCACGCTCGCGGTCCGCGGGCATCTTGGCGGCCAAGGGCTTGGTGTCCTTGTTGGTGAAGGTGGTGATTTCACGCTCGTAGTGGGTGAGCATGGCGTCGAGCTGTTTCTGCTGGCTCTCGATGTAGTCGAGGTTGCGGTCCAGGGCCTGCTGGTTGCTCTGGGCATCGAGGACTTGACGGTGGAGAGTAGCAATCTGCTTGTGTCAGTTGGGCCTTGCAGATGCTTTAACTCACCTGGTTTCCATTCCGGACAAGCACCTTGTCCCACTCGCGCACCTCGCCAGCCTGGCGCTCAAACTCCTTGGTCTGCGCATCGAGGTCCTTGCTCCACGTGTCCACAATGTCTTCGAGCGTCTTGCCGCGCAGGAGGTTTGGTGCGGGCTCCGAGGGGGCAGCGGCCGCTGGAGCACTCGACGCGGTTGGGGCACCGACAGCTGGGGTTGCAGCACCAGAGCCGGCCATGCTGATAGTAGCCGCAGGGGTGGCTGCGCCGGGAGTCGCAGTCTTGGCGCCAAACAGACCACCACCGAGACCGCCCGCAGCAGGAGCCGCTGCAGGCGCAGCTGCGGCCGGAGCACCGAAGAGACCACCGGCCTTGGGAGCCTCGGCGGGCTTTGCTGCGTCGGCGCCGGCAGCGGGAGTGGCAGCCTTGTTACCGAGACCGGCGAACAGACCACCAGCCGCTGGGGCAGCAGCTGCAGGTGCAGCAGCGGGCTTTGCGCCAAAGCCGCCAAACATGCTTCCAGCAGGCTTGGCGGCGTCGTCCTTCTTCTCCTCGGCGGGCTTGGGAGCCTGACCAAAGAGACCACCGCCGAGAGCTGTCGCGGGCTTGGCCGCCTCGGTCGTGGGGGCAGCAGCGGGGGCGCCAAAGAGACCGCCAGCAGGCTTGGCTGCCTCAGCAGTAGGTGCTGCGGCAGGCGCGCCAAAGAGGCCGCCAGGAGCCTTTGGTGCCTCAGCGGGCTTGCTGGCGAACGAGAAACCACCCGCAGCGGCGGGGGCAGCTGCAGGAGTGGTGCTACCAGAAGCGGCGGCGGGGGCACCAAAGAGGCCACCGGGTGCGGGAGTCGAGGGGGTAGCGGCGCCTGATGCGGGCTTGGAGCCAAAGAGGCCGCCTGCAGCTGGTGCTGCTGCTCCTGCGGGAACAGCTCCAGCGGCGGGGGCGCCAAAGAGGCCAGCAGCGGCGGGCTTGGGAGCGCCAAAGAGACCACCAGCGGCAGCAGGAGCCGCGGCGGGGGTTGTTGATCCAGCAGCGGGCGCGCCGAAGAGGGGCTTCACGGGGGTGGCCGTTCCAGAGGGGGCAGCAGACGCCGGGGCCGAACCAAAGAGGCCCGTGGCTGGGGCGGGGGGAGCTGCAGCGGCGGGCGCTCCAAACAGGCCACCAGCAGGAGCAGCAGATGGGGCGGCCGGAGCTGCGGCACCGCCAAAGCTGAAGCCGCCGGCAGGCTTGGCCGCCGCAGGTGCACCGAAGAGGGATGGAGTAGCGGTTGCAGCGGGGGCAGCGGGAGCGCCAAAGAGACCGCCGCCAGCAGCTGGTGCAGCTGCAGGAGCTGCGGGGGCACCGAAGAGACCAGTGGTGGGGGTCGAGGATCCGCTTGCGGGCTTGCTGCCGAACAGACCGCCGCCAGCAGCTGGGGCCGCCGCGCCGAATGACAAGCCACCAGCCGCTGGTGCTGCCGCGGGTGCAGCGCCAAAGAGACCACCGGCGGCCGCGGGAGCAGCTGCAGGAGCAGAAGAGCCAAACAGGCCACCGCCAGCGGGCGGGGTGGCTGCTGCGCCGGTGTTGCCGCCGAAAGAGAAGCCGCCAGCGCCGGGAGCTGTGTGTTGTCAGTGACGACGTCCTGTGAAGAGCAACAAACCCTTGTTCTGGCCGAAACCTGCAAAGCCGGCTGTATTGTCAGATTCAAGATCTCAGAGAAGCTGATACGACTTACACATTGTGAGCTGGAGGTCTGGTTGAGCTTGATGGGATAGATGGATGAACGTTGCCGCTCGATGATGGTGGTTGAGTGTGTTGAAGTTGTTGAGAAATGGCGGGCCTATTTATTTTGTACGGGCGACAGGCGTGCGAAGGGTTATTTGGGCCTAGCCAAATCAACACGCTTTGAAATTGGATCCACCTTTGCCTTCTCGATCGACAAGCAACAACTTGCAAGCTCGTGTTCGGTCTTCCATCCACCCATACAAAATGTCGGCCGTCACGGTAAGCTACATTGTCTTTTGAATCGGAAGCTGACAGCAGCCCGTCAACCCCCGCCCATTCCTCCAGGACCTCACCGGCAAGACGGTCACCGTGCGGTTGAAGTGGGGCTTGGAGTACCGCGGCTTCCTTGTGTCCACCGACGGTTACATGAACCTTCAGGTAGGTGACCTCTTGGACGCATGTTAGCGAGGAGCGAGCGGTATCTTGAACTGCTGGCTGCGATTTGGACACGGTCTCATCTCGGGACATGACGGCGCCGCCGCCGCTCCCGCCGCTCCTGCTCTCCTCCCCCAGAGACGATGCTGATGGATCAGTTGACAAGCGCCGAGGAGATTGAGAACGGCAAGAGCAACGGCCAGCTCGGCGAGGTCTTCATCCGTTGCAACAACGTGCTGTACATCCGGTACGTCCCGTTATTCTATGTCAGATGAGCGGTCCTCACATGAGGAGCTCATTTGCGCGAGGGGCCAGCAAACTGATAAACAACAGTGAAGCAAAGGATTAAATGCGGACGCGTACGGTAGCGCAACGCTGCCTGATGCCAGAGACGGCACCAGTGTAGCCAGAGTAGCGAATAGTGCCCTCGATCCTCGAGAGCGCGTGGCCGTTGAGGCTGTAGTGTATGGGTCCAGAGGTGGATGCCATGATATCCCGATTTCGCAGTGATGAGGGTTGCGCGGCGTTGGCCGACGAGCTGGGTTCATTTGCACTCTACTGATTCCATCACATGCCGTTTTTGCAACCTGTCCTGCCGGCTGCTGTCATCTCTGCACTTGCGCTTACCCTCTTGTGGCGAGCAGAACATCCAAGCGCCAGTCAGCCTCCGCATCCCCACTCCCTGCCCTCGGTGCCCTGCAACAGTCATTAGAGATCGTACATCGTCTGCTATCTACACCTCCATCTCGAGCTCTATGAGTCGACATGCAAGTTCTAAAAAGAAGAACATCACTAGTTCTTGACATGCACGCCAGCAAGCACGTCAGCAAGCTCGTCAACGCCAGCGTCCGAGACGGGCGGGAGCTTCTTCTCGACATCGTCGACACCGGCGTCGACGCCGTCGTCCTCGCCCGCCTTGGACTCGGGGGTCTCCTGTGCCTCGGCCTCCTCCTCCTCCTCCTCCTCCTCCTCCTCCTCCTCTTCCTCAGTCTCAGACTCCTCGTCGCTGTTGGGGTCCTCCATGTCGTCGACTGTGTGGCTGTTAGCAATGGTGTTGTAATTTGGTGGGGTACGACCGCAGCTATATTACGACTTCAAACTAGCTGCCGTAGATCTGTACTCACGCTCGTCAAGTGCGTCCTCGTGGTCGTGCAGGGCAAGAGCCTTGCGGAGCTCGTCGAAGCACTCGTCCTCGGCGTCGATCTGGTTGCCGTTGAGCTCAAGCTCGGTCAGGTGCTTGAGGTGCTGGGAGATGGCGACGGACAGGAGCTCGACGGTACGCTTGTCAAACTCGCCGTACTGGAGCTTGAGCGACTCGAGCTTGGGGTTGGAGCCGAGCGAGAGCGAGGTCGCGAGGGCGATACCACCGGCCTTGCCGAGCAGGCAGTCGGACAGGTTGAGGGCGCGGAGGCTGCTCCACTTCTCGAGGACACGGACAATGGCGCGCGTGCCCGAGCGCGTGGCGGTGTTGTCCTGGAGGTCGAGCACCTCGAGGGTGGGGCACTGCGAGAGACCCTCGGCGAGCTTGGCGATACCCTCCATGCGGATACCGTTCTGCGGGAGGCGGACCTCGGTGAGACGTCCGTGCGCGGCAAACGCAGCAGCCCAGTGTGGGGCACTGCCGTTCTCAAGACGCGAGCGGCCACACACCACAACACGGAGGTTGGACTCCTTGCCGGCGTCCTTGACGCGCCTGGCGTTCTCGTGCAGCGCGTCAGCGACAACCTTGCCGCCAAAGGGACCCAGGCCGGTGTTGTTGAGCTTGAACACCTGGAACGCAGTGTTGTTCTGGAGGAAGGGGACAAGTGCGTCGGCGCAACGACCGCCAAAGGCATTGTCGGAAAGGTCGAGCTCGACAATGCTCTCGCTACCGATCAGAGCGTCACACAGCGCCGAGAGCGCCTGGGGAATCTCAGAGATCAGACGGCCAGTAAAGATGTCGGCAAGGTCCACAATCTGTGAAAGGTGTTTGTCAGCTACTTGCCACCCAAGTGTGCTGGCCGACCACTCGCGTCCTACCGCAATCTACTCACCTTGAGGTGCTTCTTGTCCTTGAGGACAGCGGCAATGGCCTCGCAGGCCTCGACGCCGAGCGAGTTGGCGCCAAAGTGGACCTCCTCGACATCCTCCATAGCCTCGAGCTCTGAGAGGTACGGCTCAAGGTCGGCCTTGGTGTTGGCCTTGAGGTTCTTGCCGAGAATGGAGAAGACCTTGCCCGATGTCGCAGACATGTTTGTTTATAATGTAGATTCTATAAGGAACGATGAGTAAGAAGATGATCTATGGCGGGCAAAAAGTTGAGATGTGTGCGCTGTCGTCTGATGCGTGACGGCGAGAGGTGGCGGGGCGGAAGCAGATTGCTGGAGTGGCAAACGATCACCGGCCCAACGATCCACCGACTGATCGCGACTATTCGACAATATGCACAAATGCATGACGGTGGTGTGGCTGTCTGCCAACATGAACTAGGAGAATGCACAGGGGAGACGTGTGGTACTATATGAACAGACATGGCGACTCAACAACGCATAGACATGACGACTCAACGACGATCAGGGTGGTCCTGGTCCTGGGTAGAGATCAGTTGGCGTTTGGGAATCAACAAGCGTACCCAGGGGACATCCGTGGAACCGTAAGGGCGAGCGGGGCGCTTGTGAGGTGCCACCTTGTTGGCCATCGCGTTGGCACGGTCACGAGCTGTAAGATGTCAGTGGGTCGTGCAATAACAAGGGCCTGTCTGCCGTTTGCTTACAGAGGGGGAAAACGATTCCAAGCTCGTAGTTGGAAATCTAAGGGTCAGCCAGGAGCGCGAAATGGGCACTCACGCTGAGTTTAGGCGTCTTCTTGAGATTCACCGTGCCCTTGACGGTTAGCTCTGGGTGCTCACTGCATACGTACCCAAGCCGCCTGCGAGAAGTTGTGTGAGCCGACGTAGACCCAACCGCCGACCTTGCTGAGTTCCTCCGAGGTATCATGGGCAGGGCGCTTGCCGTTCTTGTTTGTCGAGACCTTGTCACCGATTGTCTGAGGGGGTGGCTCAAACAGTCCAATGAGCATCTGCAATGTCAGGGGGCTTCTGCAAAAGTGGAACTGACCTTGCTGTGCATGAGCACTCCACCCCTCTTCGAGTTGGCGTCGTGGAAGAGGGGGCGAGCGGCCGGGGCCTTGTTCCACGCCTTTCCGCAAAACATGGTCCCTCCTCCCTAAATCGTCAGAGTGTGGCAACGATCGAAACTCACGGGACGGCCCCCAATGCTGTTGTCTACGGTGGCCAGACTAGGGAATACGACCTTGATGGGGGGCGTCGGGTCCCAAGTGGTCACTTCGTGCATGCGGGCAATGGTCGCCAGGTCGATACCACTAATGAGGCGGTAAAAGGTGTTGAACCAGTTGGGAGTATAGAGGCCACAGCTGGAACCCTGTTGTCAGTGCGGTGAATCACTGAGCATGACGTACTTGATAATCGGCGACCAGGCGCTCACTACGTCCTGGGACCCATCCCTCCTCGGCAAGAACGGTGCCCAAACGGCAGACGCCGTACTGAGCCATCTTCTGCTGGCCCTCATAGCTACCGGTAACACTCATCACAAGACGAACAATGACACGCGACCAGTCGTAACGGGCAAGGCCAGAGAAATCCACGTTGTTACCGAGTGGAAGGTCGCGGCCGAAGGGGTGGCTAGCAGACAGCATTTGGATACCCTTGTGGATCTTGAGGTGCAGAAAGAGATTTTTGAACTGCCTGGGAAAGTCGGGGAGGTCTTCGGGACGAGGAAGCGAGGCCTTGCCCTTGATGGGGAGAAAGTCTTGAATAAACACCGTCTTCGCGTCAGCTTCACTAGACAAGGCAAATACGTACGTTCTCGATACGGTCCCAATCGTAGTCAACCATATTGGCAGTAAAAATGGCGATGCGAAGGCGACCAGTTTTATAGAAGATCTGAGACATCAGTACCTTCCAAGGGCTGGATTGAGGGCACCACTTACAAAAGCGAACTTCATGTGCTCAGAGCTCGGCGGTTAGTAACTGCACCGTTCAACAGGTACTCACCCCATCCAACCGTTCATGGTAGGATAGACCCAGACTTCGCCATTACCCATGCCCTGTAACTTGCCGCTACTGGCACGGCTCTCAGTGCGATCGTTTGTTTGAGGGCGAGTGATACGGATAGTGGGAACGAGACCAGGATCAGGAAGGATGCGGTTGTTCTCAATCCAAGCGTGATCCCAGCAATAGCTGGAAATAATGAGCAAGTTCATGTGCTTGTGCTGCGCGTTAGTAGTAGGAGGCGGCGGTAACTTACTCCTGCAAACACGTCACGAATAGTGAACACGCTTTCCGTCGTGGGATCGCCAATGCCCAGGTGCACATGACGGAGCTCGCCATCAAGATAATACTCTCCCGCCTTATCACGAGGGAAGGGGCCGGTTGATTGAAGCGGGTGGTCGCGCAGACGCGTGCCGGGAGAGGGGGCGGACGATGAGAATGGGCGTGATGCGGAACCACCAGCGGTCTGGGCACTGGGCGCAGTAGAAGACGTAGCATTGGCGGAGGAAGACGTTTCATTGTTGGAGCCAGCAGCGGTGGTTCCCTGGCGCGCAGCCTGACGGGCAAGGCGCTCCTTCTCCATGGCAGCGCGGTCGATCCCTCCCAAGGGCTTCGAGACAGCCACAGGGGCGGGTGCAGCGGTAACAATGTCGCTTGGTGTAGGCGTGGCCGTTCCCGAGGCCAAGGTCGGTGAGGGGCTGACAGCAGCGACGCGGGAAGGTCCAGCCACGGAGGAAGGCCCGGCAGTAGCCGAGGAAGGTTCATCTTCAGTGCGGCGGCGCTTCCTCTCACGCTCCTGTTCGTCACGGTACGACTTGCGTGAGGCCTCCATGACCGCGTTGGTAGCCTCGAATTCGGCGTCCGAGTCGGTTTCAACCTCAACGGTCTCTTGAGGCTGCATGGAGGCGGCCATGGCCCTGTACAGTCAGCTCTGTCATCTGCGCATCTGCCTTCCTTCCCCCATTACACGTGTACTCACTCGGCAATCATGCGGCGCTCCTCTTCGGGAGTCTGGGCGCGGCTAGGGGCGTTGGTGTTGGGGCCATCAGCCGTGCTCATCGCAATTGCGCGCTGTAACTGCTCGTCTTCGTCGTCGTCAATGACAACGGGAGCGTCGCGAGTTCCGAGCTGGTCCAGGTGCTCTTTACGGGACATGGCAAGAGCGCTATTGTCTGTCAGCGTTGCGAGGAAGTCGTACATACCGTTCCAGATCGTCGTCGCCACCGCCACCGCTGGACGCAAGGTGACTGGAGGCGTGGGCGGGCCTGGCATTGGGGGCTGCAGTGTCCATGGTACGCCAGGCCGCGCTGTCCATCAGATAAATTCAACACATATTGTCTCACCGCCTGAGCTCCTCGACGTCGACGACCCTGGGGTCGATATCTCCATACAGGTCGTAGACATGGAGGTCGAACTGGGGGTTCTCTCCAAGGGGTGGCGCCTCACCGCGGCCATTCGTACGCGCAAAACGATCGTTCCCCCTTCTGGTCAGCACGGGACACTCATTTAACTCACTCTTCCAGCCTAGCGAGAATACGCTCGGCGCGGTCTCCCATGTTGGTGTTTGGTTGTTGTTGGTGTGGGAGAATGGGTGGAGGTGAAAGCGCCGCTGGTTCTGCCATGACGTCCTGAAGGGGGGGCGGCGGCTGGGAATTAGGTGACTGGACTGTGTATTTGAAAAAATAGTCCCGTCCACTTGCCTCTAATGTGGTACGCGTCCCTGCGTCGAGACGCGTCCCGCCGGCCGGGTTGGGTACGCCGGGGGTACACAACCATAGCAAGGAACCAACACCTCTCAACCATCCTCCTCTTCTACCACCATCGTCCCCATCCACTCCCCTTGGCTTTCCGCGCTGCGCCTCACCGGATACTGGGCACGGTAACGAGACCACCTACCATCCTCTACAGTGCACTGGGCCAGCGCCATAGTTTGAAGCCATGGTAAGCCCGAGCTTTTGGCTTTCGCCCCTGACGCCGTTCAGCATATCAAAACAATCACCATTCAAGGCTTCAAGTCGTACCGTGACCAAGTCGCGGTCGACCCATTCTCGTGAGAACATTGCCGTGGAAGTAACTGACCTGTGCAGCCCAAAGCACAATGTCGTTGTGGGACGTAACGGTAGTGGAAAGTCCAACTTCTTCATGGGTGGGTTCGCAGTTCGGACTACCTCTGACCCATTCAGCAATCCGCTTCGTCCTTTCCGATGCCTACACAAGCATGTCTCGAGAGGAGCGTCAGCGCCTGCTGCATGAAGGCGCGAGCACCACAACCACTCTCTCGGCGTTTGTGGAGATTGTCTTTGACAGTGAGCTACACAATCCCGTCGCCCCTAACAATGCAGACTCGGACAACCGTTTCCCCACTTCCCTCCCCGAGCTGCACCTTCGTCGTACTATCGGTCTGAAGAAGGACGAGTACTCGCTTGACCGCAAGAGTGTCACCAAGGCCGAGGTTATGAACCTCCTCGAGAGTGCAGGCTTCTCCAGGAGCAACCCCTACTACATTGTGCCCCAAGGAAGGGTGAGTGTGATCGACAGGAGGAGATGGTGCTGACCCCCCCAGATCACCCACTTGACAAACATGTCCGACAAGGAGCGTCTAAACCTACTCAAGGAGGTCGCCGGTACCAAGGTGTACGAGCAGAAGCGTAACGAGTCGACGCGTATCATGGAGGAAACCGGTATGTCAACAGATGTCAAAACTCGAGCACTAACGGGCCAGATTCGAAGAGGTCCAAGATTGTCGAGCTCCTCACAACCATCGAGGACCGTCTCAACGAGCTCGAGTCTGAGAAGGAGGAACTCAAGCAGTACCAGGAGAAAGACCGTGACAGGCGTTGCCTCGAGTATGCCCTCCACCAGCGCGAGCTCGATGACGTGACTGCTGCCCTCGAGCAGATCGAAGAGGAGAAGAGCAACGACATCCATGTCAGCAACGAGAAGCGCAAAGAGTTTAACGAGCTGGAGTCTCGTGTCCAGGTGGGTCTTGAACATCTGTTCATTGCTAACCCGCCAGGCTCTCGAGGAGGAGGTAACCAAGGCCAAGCACTCACTGGCCACCTCGACCATCTCCCTGCAGCAGTACGAGTCTGAAATGGCAGATCTCGTCCGCTCCAAGACGGAGGTTGAGTGTGTCATTGCCGACTTTGCGCAGGCTAGCGAGGCTGGTGAGACCCGCCGCATGGCTCTCCGCGAGCAGCTTGAGTCCATTGAGAAGCGCGTCGGCCGTGCCACCGAGAGGTTGATGGAGCTCAGCTCTGAGCTTGAGGCGCGTGTTGCCGAGGAGCGTCAAGCCAAAGAAATGTACGTGGCATGAGGGAAAGCTGTTTCTCTAACTTGCCCAGCCTCGATACTACGTCGTCCAAGCTGCGTCTTCTTTACGCCAAGCAGGGCCGCTCTCGCCAGTTTGCTTCTCAAGCAGAGCGTGACGCCAACCTCGGCACCGAAATCAAGAACCTCCAGGGCTACGAGAAGCAGCAGCAGAAGCGCATTGCCAACCTCCAGCAAGACGTCGAGGGCGCCAAGGCCAACCTGGCTGAGGTTGCTGCCAAGTCTGAGGAGCAGGCGCGTGGCGAGGACGAACAGCGCGATGTCCTCAAGCAGATGAGCGAGGAAGTTTCCAAGCTCAAGACCGATCAGGACAACATGCAGGAGAAGAGAAAGTGAGTTGGCGTACCAGGAGAGGGCTAACCCGTGCAGGGAGCTCTGGCGCGAGGATGGCAAGCTTGCCCTTTCGGCCACAAACGCCAAGAACGAGTACGACAACGCGACGCGTCAGCTGCAGCAGATGATGGACAAGGACACCAACACTGGTCTGCGTGCGATGCGTGCCATTGCCAAGCGACTCAACCTCGATGGTGTATATGGTGCGCTGTACGAGCTCTTTGAGGTCTCGGACAAGTACAAGACTGCGGTCGAGACTGTCGCCGGTGCCAGCCTGTTCCACGTCGTGGTCGACACCGACGAGACTGCCCAGACGCTCATCGACGTCATGACCAAAGAGAAGGCTGGCCGTGTCACATTCATGCCTCTCAACCGCCTCAAGAGCCAGAACGTCCAGTACCCCAAGGCCAACGACGCGGTCCCCATGATCTCCAAGCTCCAGTTCAACCGCGCATACAGCATGGCGTTTGAGCAAGTCTTTGGCCGCACGATCATTTGTGAAGACCTTGCGGTTGCCGCGCAGTACACCCGCAGCCACGGTCTCAACGCTGTCACCGACGAGGGTGACCGTGTCGACCGCCGTGGTGCCCTCACCGGTGGTTACCACGATGTCCGCCGCTCACGCATTGACGCTGCCCGCAACGTCAAGCGCTGGAGTACTGCGTACGAGACCGACGCTGGACGCCACGCCGAGGTCAAGGACGGTCTGGCCAAGCTTGAGCAGCAGATCTCCCAGACTATGGGTCAGATCCAAAAGCTCGAGGCTAGGCGCAAGGCCATTCTCGATGACCGTTCTAACCAGGCGCGCCAGAGCAACTGGACCCAGCGCGAGGAGGAGCAGGCTCGCCAGCGTGTCACCCGTCTCGAAGGATCCCTCATCAGCGCCGAGGCAGAGCTGCGCGCGGCGTCGGCTGAGAGGGCGGCCCTGGAGGACGAGATCAAGACTCCTCTCACGCAATCGCTTTCGCCCGCTGAGGTGCAACTTCTCGTCTCTCTCACGAAGGACCAGGAAGAACAGAAGCAGGCCCACCTGGAAGCGTCTCAGGCCAGGCAAAAGATCTCGTCTGAGCGCAGCCAGATCGAGATTGAGCTCACTGAGAGTCTCCGTCGTCGCAAGGACGACACCCGCCGAAAGCTCGATGACCTCGAGGGTGCAACGGGCTCGGGTGTACTTCAGGCTGGCGAGGTGGAGGCCAAGCAGGCCGAGCAGCGCAACCTGTCTCGCATGATTGAGGAGCTGTCCGGACAGATCAGGGGTGGGTATTCGCAACCCTGTATGTTGCTGACCCAGCAGGTGCCGAGGATGACATTGACTCGTCCAAGACCGAGATTGCCGAAAAGTCTTCAAGCCTCGAAGAGCTGCAGACTGAGCAGATGGAGAGCACCCGCGCCATCCTCAGGGTGCAGAAGAACTCGGAGCGCTACCTCACCAAGCGTCAGACTCTGCTCACCCGCAAGGAGGAGGGCCAGACTGCCATCCGCGACCTAGGTGTTCTTCCCGAGGAGGCCTTTACCAAGTACACGGACACTCGTGCCGATAAGGTGAGCTCGCGACATCGTTCTCCAGCAGCTAACAACCAGCTTGTCAAGCGACTCCACAAGATCAACGAGAGCCTCAAGTCGTATGGCCACGTCAACAAGAAGGCGTTCGAGCAGTACAACAACTTCACCAAGCAGCGCGACGACCTCTTGAAGCGTCGCGAGGAGCTGGACACCTCTGCCGAGTCTATCCAGCAGCTCATTGAGACGCTTGACCAGCGCAAGGACGAAGCCATTGAGCGCACGTTCAAGCAGGTCTCGGCGTACTTTGAGGAAGTGTTTGAGCAGCTCGTTCCCGCCGGTCGCGGTGAACTGGTCATGCAGAAGCAGATCAACACGTACAACGACGAGGAGACACAGGAGCCCACTCCCGCTGCCGGCGCGAGCGAGATCGACTCGTACACTGGTGTCTCGATCAGGGTGTCGTTCAACTCGAAGCAGGACGAGGGTCTGCGCATCCAGCAGCTCTCTGGTGGTCAAAAGTCGCTTGTCGCGCTCGCAACTGGTAAGCTTTCAATCAACGGTTGCATCAGCTAACATGCAGTGTTTGCGATCCAGAAGTGCGACCCGGCACCTTTCTACCTCTTTGACGAGATTGATGCCAACCTCGACCCTCAGTACCGTACCGCCGTGGCCTCGATGATCCACTCGCTCTCCGAGTCTGCCCAGTTCATCACCACCACCTTCCGCAGTGAAATGCTCGTCCAGGCCGACAAGTTTTACGGTGTCTACTTTGACAAGCAAAAAGTGTCGACCATCAGCACCATTACGCGCGAGGAGGCGTACGAGTTCATCGAGACTGCTGCGGAGATGCCGTCCAAGTAGGGAGCGACTTGTTTCACGTATCACCGGACATTCGCTACCTTTTAGCTGCTGGCTCGTCGGCTCGTTTCTGGCCCTTTGTGTGATATCATGTTGTAAATGCAAAAAGAGATGTGCTATCTACTGTCTGGAGAAACTAAATACACCGCGGCCACAGTCCCTCGCCCACAAGGTCCGCCACACCGCCAGCCTGGAGCACCGCCCGGAGCCACGACCGCACGTCCTCGACCTCCAACCCGGCCACGCGGAGGATCCCGCCGTCATCCGAGAGCGCAGAGTAACTCCATATCAGTCCTGGAGGGCGGGGCAGTTGGAACTGGAATGTGCCATCGACAACCTTGTCGAGCAGCGCACGCAGGGGCGCGAGGTGCGGGCCATACGCCAGCACGGTGGCGTAGATGTGGTACGGCGCGAGACGGAGGGCGACGGGACTGAGCCCCGACCCCGTCTTGTCCGTTGCGTGTCCTGCGTTATCCAGCACCATCCGCTCGCGCGCGACCACTGCGCCGTTGACGACGACCTCGTTCGTGCTGCCATAGTATGCCATGGCCCACACTTCCTCGTCCGGCGCTGTTGCGCCGCTCTTGATGGCGTCGTCGGTCGTATCCTTGCTCACAACATAGCGCGTGGGCATGGGTGGCCGGTGGCCGCGGCCCGAGTTGACCCAGTCGAGGATGAGCGCCGACGAGCCCTCGGCGAGGACGATCCGCTGGGCCTGGGCATACCGCGAGTCGCGAAAGGGCGAGACCGTGTCGGGCATGAGGAGGAGGAACGCGCCCGGCGCGACGGCGACGTGCATGCGCTGCCGTGTAAGCGGTGCCTCGCCGTTTTTGCCGTCCTTGGCCGGCTGGTCAGTGTCGGTGGGGCGGAGGAGGTGGGACTGGGGTCTCAACCCCATGCGGTGCTTGTACACTTTTGTACTGCCCTGCGTGAGGAGGACGAGGCCGCAGCCGGCGTCGACGGTGATGGACAGCTGGACGCGGTCTCCCGCTACGAGGCCGCCGCCGTACGCTAGCGAATAGGCCAGTGCGACATGTGGTGGTTGTGATGGGAGCGAGTTGGGAGCGAGGAGCTTGAGCGGGTAGGATGCGCGCAGGGCCGAGAAGCGGGCGTGGTGTGGGTTGGACAGGTGGAGGTGGCCGTTGCCTGCTGGTTCGCGGTTGGGGAGGAGGGAGGGGGAGGGGGAGTGGGATGGTGGTGAAGGGAGCCGCGAGGCGGTAGCCTGGGCGGCCATGAGATGGAACAGGAGAAGGTTGAGAAGAGGATGCAACAGCAAGAGAGCGAGAGATGGTTTGTGAATGGCCCGTGATCGTTCTTGCTGTCCTTCTCCCTTATCAGCCGCCGTTGCCCGTCTCGTCCGGATGGCCTGGGTGGATTGGATGGATGTCGTCGGATATTCCTCGGGATATAACCGTACGGTGGTGGTGGTCGTGGCGGGGCTTTTTCTGTCGGCTGCGTCCGACATGGAAGACGCGCGGGCTGTTGCTGAATGGCAGATGGTATCCTCCTTTGCCGCTTGTCCATTTCTCCTTTTCTACGGTCCCCCCCGGCACAATGAGTAAACAGGACATCCCCGTCATCCTACACAACGACAACAGAGGGCTGCTCTCCGTGGAGGACGGCCAGCTCGACGTCCTCCAGCTCAGCGCTGACGGTCGACGTGAGTTGACCACGATGACGACTGCTCCGTCGCGCGCGGGCTAGTGTCCCCGTGTTGCATGCAACATGGCGTCGCGTCGGCCCCAGTGCAACTCACAGTAGCCAGACATGAATCTTTCTTGCTGACGCGCCCAAGCACCCAAGCGTCTTCTATCTTGTCCAACACGTCTTGTCCTTCGTGCGCGTCTCGCCGCATCGCAGGGCGCGGACAAGCCCCGCCGCCTCGACCTCCACACGCTAGGCCAAAAGGGCGAACACTCGCATACTCTGCACCTCAAGAAGATCCATGTCCTCGTCGAGCCCACCCATCAGGATGATGCAGAGGAATGGGTCAACGTGCTCATGGAGGCTGCGTATCCCGGTGAGTGGTTACCTGCTCGTTGCGGCAACAATAACAAATTGGCTCTCGGCGCCAACTTGCCTACATTGGACACATAGACCGCTAACGCGCCTCAGTGACAAAGCCAAACCGACGCGTCCTCCTCATCGTCAACCCGTTTGGAGGAAAGGGAAAGGCGAGACAGGTCGTCAAGTCGGACGTCTTGCCCATCCTCGAGGCTGCAGGATGTCTCGTCGACATGCGGGGTGAGTTACATTGACAACGGCACAGTCGCTGACCAGAAAGAAACCACCCACAGGAACCATGCCGAGGAGATTGCCCGTGACATGGAACTCAAGTATGAGTGAGTTGCCCAGTCTGCGGAAAGCAGCTGACGTTCAGCGTGATTGCCACGGCGTCTGGGGACGGTATCATCTACGAGCTGCTCAACGGCATGGCCCAGCGACCCGACGCCAAGCGCTCGATGCGCACCCCAATCGCACCCATTCCCCTTGGATCAGGATGCGCAGCGTCCGTCAACCTCTTTGGCATCAAGGACGGATTCAACGTTCCCCTGGCAGTACTCAATGTCATCAAGGGCCAAAAGATGACTGTTGACCTGTGCTCGATTCTGCTCATGCCGTCAAAGGAGCGCCGCGTCTTCTTCCTGTCCACCGCTCTGGGCTTGATGGTCGACCTCGACATTGGTACCGAGCATCTCCGTTGGATGGGCGACTCGCGTTTCATTTATGGTTTCCTGCGCGGCGTGGCGCAGAGTAAACCCCTCAAGGCGCGTATCCGCCTTGATGTCATCGAGAGCGACAAGGACACGATGGCTGCCGAGGCGCGCCAGAAGGCGGCCGAGGAGCGTGGACCTGTCCTCGTCGGTGGGGGTACCGACCCTCTGGAACTCATTCGCGGGGTGCAAAAGATGGCCGTGTCCGAACCTGCCGCTGCCGAATCTTCCCAGCCCAAGCCTGCTGCCGAGACGGAGGAGGAGCTCGACGACGGGCCTCTGCCACCTGCCCACCCGCTTCAACCCGATGACTCGTGGCTCACTCTCGAGTCGCTCCCTAACAAAACCAAGGACCGGTCATCCTCCATTTCATCTACCACCTCGTCCGTCTCGTCTCACCCTCACCGCGGTAACTGGGAGGACGGCTTCAAGATGCTGTACCTGTATGCCGGCCTGATGCCATGGGTCAGCCGCGACCTGAACCAGTGGCCGGTTCTCCAACCCGCGTCCGGCGCCATTGAGGTGGCGGTCCAGCGCGTCGCCCCGCGCAACACGCTGCTCAGCAACATTACCGGCGCCGAGCAGGGCGAGCCGTACTGGGACGACTCGCAGCACTACTACCGTGTGCGCGCTTTCACCGCCGAGAACCTCGACAAGAAGTCCCAGCCGTCATTCACCCTCGACGGCGAGGGTCTGCCCTGGGACAGTTTCCACGTCGAGGTCCTGCCCAGCGCGGCATGTTTCCTGAGTCTGGATGGCCGGTTCTACCACTCGGACTTTGTGACAAAGCACCACACACATGGGAACGGCAAGAAGAAGAGCAAGGCCCTGCATCGCCAGCACTCGGTTGGCGGGGCGCACGGGCACGGCCACGCGCACTCGAACGGGAACGGGCACCACACGCCGGCGTCGCGATCGCACTCGCGCGCGCAGTAAGTCAGTCATGAACGGGGTTCTTGTTGGTCTCCGATATAATATCGTCATAAAATACAGTAGTATGTGAAGTCTATCTAGCGCGAAAGCCAAGCGCGCTGCGCTCTATCTAGCACTGCTTGTGGGAGACCTCGCCGCTAAACGTCTTCTTTATTGTGATGGCCGTCGAGAGCAGGAGCACGATACAGCCAAACGCAGTGCAGATGACGGCGGGGAGCTTTTGGCGCGACGTCCACGGTCCCTTCATGAGGACAAAGTAGGCGCTTGCGGGGAACTGGGGAGGGGGACGAGTCAGTCCGCTGTGTCTACGCATGAATCTGCGACAGCGGAGTCGATCCGCAACAGCGGAGTCGGGGGGACTCACAATAAAGGCCAGCGCGGTGGCAGAGAGACCACCTGCAATCTCCAGGACGACACCGAGGTCGCAGGTCAGGAGCGAGATGAGCATGGCTGAAAAGACAATGGCCGCGGTGATGACAATGTGTCGTGTGCGGTTGAAGGGTTTGTCCTTGTACAGCCAGTCCTCGATGACTTCGCGGCAGACATAGTTTTCCAAGGGAACTGATTTATGGGTTAGGAACAATCATCGGAAGCGGACCCACTAGTAGTCGACATGTTTGCGCCAAAGCAAAACCTGGCAATGTTGATGACCCAGTCGTCCTTTGCGAAATTGTTCAGGATGTTGCCCTCTGTCTTGTCTGTAAACACCAAGTAGCCAGTGACGGACATGAGGAGGCAGCAGACGAGACTCATACCGGTGCTGGCGTGGGTGACGGCGTTGAACCTGTCCAGCGTGGGGATCTGGATCGACTTGTAGATGAACATGGTGTTGTGGTGGCAGACGAATGCAAACGAGATGACGCCAATGGCCTCAAAGACGCCTGGTTTCATGATGGAGAAGACGTCGAGCGACGAGCCGCGCAGGCTGGGGTCGACGGCGACACCGCGCAGCACGACCGACACGACAATGATGCCCATGCTGACCAGTGCAAAGCCGGACGACTTGGACAGCTTGACAATATCGCGGTGGAGCGAGAGCGGGAACGACACGGCCGCTGTGCACAGCACAATCACGAACCGACGGTCGACCAGCAAGTTGAGCACGGCGTGCTCGCCAAGGAATGGAAACACGAAATCCAGCACTTGCGGGATCGTGTCGCCGATAATGACGTTGAACGCGCACATGCCACCAAAGGCAAAGGCAAACTGGAAGAACGAGACGGCGCCAGAACCCATGGGCCCAAAGCAGTGTCGAATCACGTCGACATACGAGTCGCGGCCAGACAGTTTGGCGTTGAGAACAACGAGGCGGATGGTCCAGTCGGTCACGCCGGCAAGGACCACGAGGAGGATGACGCCGGTCACAAAGCCCGCTTGCCTGATCGCATATGGCAATCCAATGATGCCTGCACCTAGAATCGAATTGGCCATCTAGTAGAGCGTCAGCATGTTGCATCCGGGAGGAGTCTCGCTCCATGTCTCACATTTGCGATACCGTCCATCATGGTTCCACGCGCAGTCATGGGGCCGTCAGAGAGTACGAGGTCCTCCTCCTCGAGCGTCGCGCGTTCGCTCTCGTGAAGAAGCGGCGCTGAGGCCGAGTGCTCGTCGTCAAAGTCGTCGGCATCTGGCGCCTTGAACACTGAGCATGAGAGTTAGCACAAGCGAGTTGTGCCGGCCAACAGTGTTCCAACTCACAGACATTGGCATCGTCGACGATACGTGGGCTCCCACGCACGCTCACCGGGCGCGATCCAGCCTCAAGGTCGACCCCGATGCTCGATAACAGCTCGGCGCTCGGCTCTGGCATGTCGCTGACGCTGCCGCGCACCGAGCTGGCGCGAGACGCTGCCCGGCTGGAACCTCGAGACGCCATGCGGCTGCTGGATGCGAGAGCCGCTGGTGGCTCGAGGCTGTCTGTGCTGCCCGTGGCCACGAGTGGGTACGCCTCTGGGGTACGCATGGTGACCGGCAAGAGGGTGTTGTTGTGGTTGTAGTTGGTGGTGGACAGTGACGAGTGTCTGGTGGAGACACGCGATGCGGTGGTGGTTGAGCGTATCATGGATTCCTGCGTCAGAGTAGTAAATACACCCGAAGCCTAGCGCGTGACCGCCTCGGCGGCCAGGCGTGGATCGTCGTTCTTATATCGTGTACTCTTTTTCGGTACCTGCGGCCAATGCTATGCATGTGCAGTTGCGCAGTGCAAGAGCATACATGCGACACACACCCCGTACTAAACATGTCTGCGCCGCAGATTAGGCGATGCTGTGGGATATGCATGTGCTGCGCAAAGAAACATGGACGTGGCGACAACGCGGCTTGGAGCTGCGCCTGACTGTGTGGGGACCCCGGGCGCCTTCAGTGTTTGAAAGCGTTCGTGCGACGTCGAGGAAGCGGGAAGGACCAGCGGGCGGCGCGTTTAGCATATCTTTATTCCTCGTCCCGCGTCCCGGCCTCGACATCCCCTCTTTCTTCTCCATTCCCCATCCCCCCATCCCATCCATTCTCACCGCAAGGTCGCCTAATCGAGCAAGCACTCTTCGTCGCGCAGCCATACCCCCAAACGCATCTCGCTGCCCCCACGACCATGTCCGCACCCACCACTGCGGCGGCCGACGCGGCAAAGCAGCACGAACGCGACTTTGAGAGCGAGATTGGCGACGTCGACGAGCTCGAGGTCAAGGAGGAGGCTGTCCACTTTTGTCTGCTCGCCGAGTTTGACATTGACGCGGGCGCGACCCTCGCACACCAGTATCCCTACCCGACTGGTACTGATGAACAGTGAGCTTCAGCTGAGTCTTGGGTCCAAAGCTAACATTTCCTCAGCAAGCTTGCAGAGCTCATGTTGCCTGACGGAGCGCACCTGCGCGGCGAAGACTGGACTATTTTCTACCTTGGACAGACGGCGTCGAGCTCAGTCTCGCCCATGCTTCAACACGAGTCCAACACGGTCGACAAGGCGCGTCTGATCTCCAACCGGGCGTCCATGTTCCCTCCCAACGAGCGTCCTCGGCGTGGAGCTCCCGGGGGCGGTCTGCTTTACGTCCTCAACTGTGTACGCATGAAGGAAGACAAGAGCATGCGTCGTGGTGCAATGGTCAAGGCCATGGCCATCGCGACTCCCAACCCATACATTGGCATCTACAAGCCGCTTCTTTTGCTCGCGTTGGAAGAGTACTTTAACAACCCGTCACATGAGATTCTGGCGCGTCTTTACGACTCGGCCAACGCAATCTCTACAGCCGGTATGCCTGTTCTCACGCGCGAGGAGCGTATCCTTCTCCGCCAGTCGGACCGCAAGGACCTCCTCGAGTACCGTTACCGCACCCAGGACGGCGACGACGCCAGCCAAGCCCACGAGTCGAGCATCGGCCACGAAAGCCGCGACCGCACTGCCAGTGTCAGCAGCGGTCGCCCAACAATGGCCCGCAAGGACTCGTCTTCGAGCTCGCAGATCCAGCTGCCGCCCCCTCGTCGCGGTGTTCCTCGCGACACGCACTTTTTCGAAACGGAGGCCAAGTTCCGCAAGATTACGGTGCCCATCCGCATCCCCATGACCGTGTTCGAGGAGGATGTTGGCGACTATAGCATCATCGAGCTTGTCCAGACCTTTTCACAAAACGTCCAGCCATTCACGGGCCCGTTCCACCCTTACCTGCATACCAACGGCGCGTACACCCACCCAGTCATTCTCATTTTCAACGCCATCCTCGCCCACAAGCGTGTCATGTTCCTTGGCCACGGATTGCCGGCAAACTCGGTGGCTAGGATGGTCCTTGCCGCATGTGCCATGACGTCGGGCTGTGGCCAGGTCCTCCGTGGCCACACCGAAAGTGCGTTCCCGTACGCCAACCTGGCGTCTCTGGACGTGCTCGAAGAGTTTTCCGGATTTGTCGCGGGCGTCTGCAACCCTCGTTTCGAAGAGCTCCCTACCACCTGGGACGTTCTCTGCAACCTCGAGACGGGTAAAGTCACTGTCTCCAAGGAGCTCAAATCGGGCACTGCCAGCCGCGGAGACAGCGGCAGCGAATCGAGCGTCCCCATCGCCCGTGGCGACGAGGACCCGTTGGCGTCTGGCAAGGCTCAGGCTGTCCGCGGCACCGACTGTATCGACAACATGTTCATCGAGGAGATTCTCTCGGCCTCGACTCAGCACTATGGCGAGTCGCACATTCGCGTTCGCTGGACCGATTACATTTCGCGTTTCGTCCGTCTCGCCGCATACCAAGAGTTTATGCACTTGGGGTCGACAAAGATCGGGTACCCGTACACAATGTTCCGCGATGGCCACCTCGGTTCTGGTGTCGTGTTCATCGACGACTCGCTCCGCCAGCGTGAAATGTGGGGCAACGTTCACCGTATCGACGCGTGGCGCAAGACCAAGAGCTACAGGCTAGTGCAGAAGGTTGGTACACAGCTGGGTATGGCATAGTCATAAAGCTGACAACCATCTTAGGACTGGGAGCGCGAGCAAAAGCACGCCCCCATCCGCGGCTTTGATGCACTCCACAACATCAAGCGCCTGCGTATGACTCGCACCATGTCCACCAAGGAGGCTGAGCTGCTGTTCGCCACCTTGGTCCGCCAGGTGCAGACGTACGACCAGGTCGTCGAGCTCCTCGCCTACCTCCCCATTCACTTTGGCGGCCTGATCCCCATTGCCAACGGCCTCTTCCACCCCCTCCCCAAGGTCCGCAACGACGCCCTGGACCTCATGTGCACCATCATGTCGTACTCTGTCGGCCGCCACGCGCTGCAGGGCCTCAACTATCTGCACCGCAAGACGTTTATCGAGCTGCTCGAGCGTCGCGAGGCTGGGCGGGCCCTTTCCAAGCGTCTGAACGATTCAGAGGTGCGCGCGGGCCTTGGTGCTGACGAGACGGAGACGCCCGCGACGGTTAAAGGTGGGGAGCTGGCTGCGCAGCAGGCTCTCAAGGCGTAGAGTGGTACTATAATAGCGACGAATACGTCGTGGATTGTTGTATGGTACTGGAACTATTATATCTTGGATGCAGCGGATGCTGGACACAGGCGTATGTCACGCCAGTGGCCGCACTAGCCGCAGATGCTCGGTGGTAGCAGGCACCAACTTTGCATCCCTTCTCTCAACCCAACTGCAACTGCTCCTGCATCGTTTTTTTAATCTACTTCCCAACACCAAACAATGCATCGTAATTACAATGATCAGTACCGGCGGCTGCCCAACACAGCACGCTGTGAGTAGTCAGTCGCCCCAAGGGGGGTGTGCGTACCGTAAGTCTGTGTGCAAAAGCCACTAGGGCCGCACGTACGCGAGGACCAGCAAGAAGCCAGCGTGATGAATGAATCCATCCCTGCGTATAGACATTACAGCCGACACTAAACATCTTGCTTAAAAGCAAGATGTTTAGGCGACAAGGGTCGAGGCAGTGGCGGCCTCGTACTTGAAGGTAGGAGGGAGCTGCTGCTTCTTGATGTAGTAGCGGGCAAGGCGGTGGATACGCGACTCGACGAGAATCATGCGGAACTTGGCGTCCTTGTCGGCGCGGTTGCGCTCGAGGTGCTTGCGGACCGAGACGGCCTTCTTGACGAGGTGGTAGAGGTCCTCGGGGATCGAGGGGGCGAGGCCTAAAAGGTCAGCAAAGGGGTTTGGAGGGGGGTCAAGACGGGACAACAAAAACTGCCGCGCAAGCGCATCCAGCTACTCTTGTTTCTCGCCTCGCCTGCACTGCTCACCGTTGGTCTTAAGGATACGGAGAACCTTGTTGCCGGTGACCGACTTGACCTGGGGGATGCCGTGCGAGTCACGGAGGATCACGCCGATCTGCGAGGGCGAGAGACCACGACGGGCAAGCTTGAAGATCTGGTCGGCGACCTCCTCAGCGGTGGCCTTGGACCACGAAGGCTGCGAACGACGATAGGGGAGAGCCGAAGCGCTCATACCCTTGCCCTTGCTGGAGACAGTCAGCTACCTCGTCCTCGTTCTCGTCCCCATTGAAAAGGTTTTGAGACAGTCGGTTCTCCAAAGCGCGCGGACGCCGCTTTCGAGTAGACGGCCGTGAGGATGCTCACGAGTGCATGCGACCCATCTTGATAAATTTGGGGTTTTTGGGGGGTGGTGGTGGTCGAGTTGAAGGATGAAGAAGTCCTGTCGAATGGTGTTGAAAGAGTGAAAAACGGCGCACGCGCGCACCCACCGCACACGCTGGGTGCACGGGGTGTGATTCCAGTTTGCCTCGTTTGTCGGCACTTGCGGCGATATCTCCAGGCGGTCAGGATTCCCACGGTCGTCACAACATGCCGTCTACGTGACGTTCATGACCTTCCTAGTTGTTATGCATGGCACATTGGCGGCCCAGACATGCATCGATGCATACGTTGGAGCTGCAAGTCACTGCATTCCCCCCCGGTATCTGGCTCTGTGGGTGTCTGCCACGCCGATCATCCTTTGGCTGCCACAGCGTGTTGTGGCACCAGCTTGATTCGTCGGTTGGCAGCCCAGTTGACAGCCCAGTTACAACAAGAGGCCAATCCCAACCTGCCACATCTACTAGTACTGTACATCCACACCAAAATGCCAGACCCGTGTCCTCTACGCTATGCGGTCGTTGATGTTGCCAGAGTCGACGACGACGGCGAGCATCTGGGCAAGCCGTTGTCGCCACCCAACTTGCACACAGATTCGACAGGGTCTCGGACGGGATCAAACTTCAGAATTTACGCCAAACTCTTGCACGCGATCGCACGCGGACCACCAGCCAAGCCGTACCGAGAATTGCAGGTCAGTCCGGAGAACGCGCAGTCACAGCACCCGGGCCCGGTGCACGCGCTCTCCCTACGCACAGCGCTCGTGACCCCAATAGGCATATACAGCCAATGTCATTGCATGCTATACATTGGCGGATGAGAGGGAAAGAGACACCAGAAGCACAACATCCCACTCGCCCTCGAGAAGAGCAAGTCGCTTAAGCCGACTTGGCCTTCTTGGCGGCGCGGACGGCGGCGGCGGTGGCCTTGCGCTCGGCCTGGTACTTGGCGACGGCGACGTCGTACTCGGCCTTGACCTCCTTCTGGGCCTCCGAACGACGCTTCTTGAGCGACTGGAGGTGGCGCTTGCGCTGGAGGCGCTGGGGGGTGACAAGGCGCTGGATCTTGGGGGCCTTGGTGTACTTCTTGCCGGCCTTGGTCTCGACCTCACGACGAACAACGTAGGCACGGACGTCGTCCTCCTTCGAGAGGTTGAAGAAGCGGCGGATCTTGGTGGCGCGCTTGGGGGCAAGGCGCTTGGGGAGGACAGTGTCGGTAAGGCCGGCAATGTCGTTCTCGCCCTGCTTGACGATAACGGCCGAGAGGACCTGGATGTCCGAGCCGACGATGCAGCCACGGACCGACTTGCGCTTGCGCTCACCCGAGCGGCGGGCGCGGTAGCACGAGTGGCCGTCCGAGAGGAGGAGGCGGGTACGCTGGTTAAGGAGGACACCCTGCTTCATAGGGAAACCCTGCTTGTCGTTACCGCCGGTGATGCGGAGGACGTAGCCCTTCCACTCGTCACCGAGCGAGTCGACGGCGACCTCCTGGGCCATGCGCTTCTCGTAGAAGACGCGGCTAAGGACAGGTCAGCACATGACACTTCCGAGTCACACAAAAGTTGGCGCCCCAAGAATTCTCGCACAAGACAAGGCCAACCGCGCAGGTTTCACGGTCCCAACTTGCTGGCGGGCCTGGCTTGTTCGAGATATCCTGTGGGTACAATGAAGCACTCACACGCGACGCTCGTCCTCGAAGTCGAAGAGCTTCTGGGCACCAGTGGCCGGGTTGGCGACTGAAATCGTCAGCACTTGACACGACACAAAGTTCCGCCGAACACAAGGACACCGCTGTCCCGTCCAAGATCGAACCAGCCGTTCCGTTCTCGCTGCCGCCGCTTTGTCTGTCGAACCACCGCAGACGGGCACTCCATCGCAATGGACGCCGCGCTCACTCCTCTCTTCCAGGACGACATTCTCCTCCCGACGAATGTCCTGCGCCCCTTCCAGATCTGCGGTGGTTCCAACGTTTTTGCGGCGGCATTCCTCGACGGATCGGTGTCGTTTTTGGTCGAGCGGTGTCCGCTGTTGAGCGGCTATCACGAACCGTTGAGCTTCATCTTGAGGTGATGATTTTAGAAGTTGAGGGGTGCGTGAAAGTCGTCGAGGAGTGGTCCGGAAGGCAGCGAGGGCGCGGAGTGGCAGGGTGTGCCGTAGGTGTCTTTTCGACTGAGAGTGACTCGAAACGCCGCTTTGGTTCCGTTGTGGCACTTGCCATCAGGACTTTTGTTGTCACTTCTGTGATGCTGTCTCGTCGCGACGATCATCTCAACCTTCCTCTTCCTATGCAACACAGGAGCGAGTCATCGTGCGCATACGGCCTACTGCACAATTGTCATGATTTATGGACACTTGACCGACAGACGTACAGCTGGTGGATCGAGAGATACCAAACCGCCGAAGCAATTATTCCCGGGGGTGTTGAAACGGTGGTTGTAATGCATTAGGAGCTGTTCCTAATCTACTCAATTGAAAACACGGACATCCCGGTGTCACAGTTCGTGCCTGGCTGGCACTCCAGGTTCAGACTATGTGACGAAGTTGGCAGGGTCACCGTCAAGCCGGTATTCATCTGCGCTACTCGTTCGAAGGCAAGTAGGTAGTGAAGTGGTTTTCTGAAAGCTCTGAGAAGAGGCTGTTCCGGTGTGTACATACAAGTTACGACGACGAGGCCGTTCTCGCAAGCCATCGGGAGCCCACGCAACGACCCGTGATTGCCGAGAGAGGTTCCCGGAGGTTCCCTCCTTGCTCGCTCACTTGACATTGTTCTGCAGCTCTTTTAATCAGGAGGCCGCCCTGCATGCCTACACTACGCTACCCCGCATGCTCGTTTTTGGATTCACTCAATCTCGGAAAGGCAGAGGATGCCGTGGGCCGTGTGTACTTTCCTGAAAGTCAGGGTGCATGCGATCCGACAGCTCACTTCACTGTCCGCGGGGATGACACTAGCCCAGTTGCAACGCCACCAGACTGAGGGTGGACAATGAAAGTGATCTTGCCATCTGTATGTCGACGAGAATCCATGGGCATCAGGAATGATTTCGAGCTTGACCCACCACAACAGGTGCCGACACAGTCGCCGCCTGCGTCTTCGCGCCATGGAGGCATGGACAACAATTGTCACAGTCGGGACATTACCTTAGGCCATATCATTAGGGATCAATATAGTAAATCTGTATAGATTCCGTCTGAACCTCTATAGGTTCCATCCGAACCATCCTGGGTTCGGACCGCACCATGATACAGAGCTAGGGAACCATATATATACACACTGTAACACCTATCTAGTTCTCTAGCAAATGTATCATCTCCAGTCTACCTTATACGTTCTCTCAAGCATATCTGCATCCACAGGAGCTACATTGCTACTACTGCTCTCCTGCCTACCACCTAGTCGACTAGTATCGTGTCCGTGACAACAATCGACACGCACCAAGGGTAACCACGCATTCTTCAGACATTAGCAAGTGGATCCTGGTTCCATAGTAGTAGCTCACCTTGAGCATTGTTGACCGCAAGGCCCAAAGAGTAGTAGCTCACCTTGAGCATTGTTGACCGCAAGGCCCAAAGAGCCAGACAAGGCCGTCCATTCCAATCTTGCTCAACTCGTGCGACACAGTGCGGACTGTTGGTTCGCTTCAGCCTCACTGTTCATGTCATTGTCGTCAACCTACCGTTGGAGTCGATGTGGTGGATGATGGTGACACTCATTTCTTGTATGCTTTGATGGAGGTGTGAAAGTGTAGTGAAAGATCGAGTTGGCGCGCCCAAGCGTCTAGCTGCGTTTTTGGCATTTTGGCAGCCCCGGTGCACGGTGGCCAGTGGCATCTTTCTGTAATTTCTGTGCTCTGGAAATAGGTGCGCGAGCGTGACATGCCGTGAGACTTGAGCGTGCTCGTAAGCTCACATGTTAGTGGCAAGACCCTCCACCCCACGGCCAACCTCCCCTCAATTATTTCAATTGGTGCGCATTTTCTCGATTTATATATTTTAGCAGCTAACGCAGCTTCACCATTCCGTTCTTGTTTGCGCTGGATAATTTCTTGTTTGCGCTGGAGAATTCTCTTTAAATATCTCGAGCGAAATCTTTCTTGCTTGCTTGCTTGTGTGGATGCCGTCCCAGTAGGCTTGCGCCCCCTTAGCCACAGGAGGCCAAAGTCGAAACTCCGAGCTCGTTCACGACGATCTTTCCCCACCGTTTTTTCACGATAACCAGTGCTGTGCACACTGCAAGATGTCACTTTGACATATCACCCTCAAAACGCAAAGCAGCCAAAAAAAAAAAAAAAAGACCAACATCACTTCCAAGTACACCCAGGCCGAGCTTGTGCAATACTCCCGCGAGTCGTTTATCGGCACCAACCGCGACATGGACACTGCCATTCAGCTTTACCGTGTCCGCAAGGGAAACTACACTGGATCCAAGCACGAAATGCAGTCTCTCGTGTACAACGAAGAACTTGAAGACTCCGTCTACTCTGACGACGACGACGACAACGACCCTATGCCATCAACATCCCCGGGTTCAAGGACATTGGTTCCGACTTATGCAGCAGATGTTCTGGTGCATCTAGCTATACCACAAGGAGAAGAAGGCCGGAAGACTCCAACGGGGCTCTGCGTGCATGAAGAACAGGCCGGTGTGCAGTGCACTCGGAGGCTATTTCTACCCTGAGCAAGCTATGTACATACCAAACGTCCCCGATGAGGTCGCGCAGCCGTTCGCGATACAGCTTCCTCTCCTCTTCCCACTCATCAAACTCGGCCAAGGTACAAGGCTCACGACGTGAGGCTGGACGAGACATGTGGCGCGGCAGGCTCGGCTGCCACGTGGTGTTGGCTGCGAGAGGCGCACCACGAGCGTCGACGACGGGGCAATTAATGGCGGCCAAGGTCTGCCTATGGGCTTGCCACTCCGCCTCCGTAGCGGGAACACGGATGTACGGGCCTTGAGGAGGCCGGTTCTCGTCGATGGTCTTGAGCTCCTGGTAGATCTTGTCAAGGTCTACGTGGCCATGAAGCTCCAGGAGCTCCAGCCTCCTCTCCTCGACCTCGCGGAGCTCTCGTGCGCGCTTTCGCCTCTCCTCCCGGTATCGTCGCTCCTGCTGCTCGCGGCCGAGACGCTCATCGTTGGCTCTGTGGTCGTGTTCCTCCTGGACGCCCGCCTCAAAGAACGCCATTCGCGCGTTCAGGCCCTCAATGAACAGTTTGCGGGCCCACTGCGCGGAAAACACGGCCTTCGGTGGCAGGTTGCCCCTCGTCATCTTGTTGAGATGGGGCGAGCGGACGTCCAGGATTCGACCACACCAGGGAGACGGACACCAACCATGTCGACGAGGCGTTCGCGCTCGAACGCGACGTACTGGTCGGGCGTATAGTACGCCATGCGCGTCCACAGCTCGTGGGCCACCCCCTTGGCGAGGCGGGGAGCAGGCCCGCGACCGCGCTCGAAGCAGACGAGCGAGTTCTTGAGGTAGGCGGCCTCGGTAGCCGGCCTCGGTAGCCGACGACATGGTGAAGGTCGCCGGGAGAACGAGGTCGCGAAGGTGGCCATTGGCCTGCCATTTGCCCAGCCTGTGCTGCACCATTGGTTGGATGGTGGAAAAAAAGTGAAGCAGGCCGGCGTACCTCCAGTCGGACGAGAGCCAGTTCGAGGTAATGGGTTCGGGCCGGATGTTGCAACGGGCCTCCTCGAACTGGCTCAACGTGTTTGGGGTTCGGGTGGTGAAACCCGAGGCAAAGGGGGTGCCGTGGGTAATGTGGGCCACCAGAGTCGGGGACAGTGGCGCACACGAGAAGTGGAAGGGGAGGCCGCTGAGGATGTCGCGGCCCCCGTGGCGCGTGTGGTGCAGGCACCAGGAGAAGACCACCGTCAGCACAGATATGCCCTCGTACTCGACGGGTGGCTTGCCGGCTTGGCGACGTTTTGCACCGCCGTCGCAGAGGTCGACGGCGCGGAAGAGGGCGCGCTGCGCGAGGACGAGCATCTCGGCCTCGGTGGCTTCCCACCAGACGGCTGGGAAGCGGGAGTCTGTGCACCTGGGAATGGCACAGTTCTCCCGAAGCTCGAGCTCGTCGATGACACCGATGAAGTCGGTGAGGTGCGACGCCTCGAGGTCGGCCACCCACAGAACACTCGGATAATGGGCGAGACGACCGGTGATACGGTTGTACTTGCCCAGAGTGTCTGCCACGGGGATAAGGCGGGCGCCCACGGTTGGGCGGTCTTGAGGCCAGCCGGTGACGGTGGCGGTCGACTCTTTACCAAACGCGCCCTCGAGCCTCTGTGCCAGATCCAATGTCTGGCGGGTGGCGAGGTGCGGTTTAGCGTACATGACGTTGACCGCATTCATCGACTTGAGGAGGTCGGCAATCTCGTCAAGCACTCGAGGGTCGGCACCTGCCTGGTGGGCCGAAACGCCAACCAGGTAGAGGTCAAAAAAAACCCCGAAGAGTCCTCGCTTGCCCTTGTTGTAGGCGAGGGGGACGACGCGGATGCCGTCGGCGGTGTGCGACAAGCAAATCTTGCCGCGCTCGGTGAGCCTGACGAGGGCCACCTGGTCGACCGACGCACGGTTCACGCTCAGGACCGCGCGCTTGTCGGCATACTCGGCCATCCGGTTCGAGCACTTGCCGCTGCCGCTGCTCGAAGGCGTAGACGACAGTGACGGACTCAAACCCAATGGAAGGATGTCTGCGCCGCGGAGCCATGGCGCAGCGTCGATGTCCCTCTGCGTGAGGGGGGTCGACAGGGGTTGTTGTTGCCGGCCGAGCTTGGCAGCAAGTTTTTCGAACTTGCGCACGTCTCGGTCTCGGATTGATGCCAGCCGCGTGCGCTGGATGTGGAGAATCGTCTCCGGCGTGGTCTTCGCCGAGTCGATGTGCTCCAGGCACGGGAGGCAGTAGGGGTCGCCCATCTTGTCACAAGGGACGAGACGCTCGTCTGTTCTGGTGTCAGTGGCCATTCACATACATGCGGCGCGCGTATTCCACGCTCCTGCAGCCATATCCTCATCTGTCCTCTCTCTGGGCACTGGAACGGTCACGAAGCGGGAGACACGAGAAGCGGTGAGAGCCACGTGTGCTATTTCCGGGCCACCGGGCCACACGCCAAGACGGCGCCTCCAAACGAGCCATTGTGCCGAAGCAATCGCCACATGGACGTTCACTCACCAAAGGCGACGTTGAAGAGGTCGTCGGTGACCTTGGTGGTTTGGCGGTGGCGCCAAGAGAGACAGTAGTGGATACCTGGGGATTTAGCACCAACGATGCATAAGAGATTGGGAGTAACGTGGAGGATGACACTGGGTTGATGCTGGTACTTACCGCCGCAATTCTTGCCGCACTCGCGGGTCTCAAGCACATCCATGTGCTTGAGGAACTTGCTGAGGCCGTCCACGCGACGAGCGCGTTCCTCTTGGTCATCCTCCGACTCTGCGATGTTTCCGTTGATGGGCGCATCGTGTGGATTCTCGTCCTCGTCGACAAGGGGAAGCGCCCCACCGAAGCCATGGTGATCGTCGTCTTCCACCTCGTCGACATCTTCCTTTTCTTGCTCGGTTTCTTTTTCTTGAGCCTTGGGGTTGAGATGAACGATCTCAAATCCCTGCAACTCAAAAACAAGAAACTCTTTGGGATTGGAAGAGGTCATCTCCCTGTCCGATGACACTGAGCGTTAGTCTCACACATCCAAGGAGTAAACAGATCTCCGTGCACCTGCGCAAAGAACAGGGAATCGCAGACTTGCACATACGTTTTGGGTGATATAGGGTACAGTGGGCAGCAGTGGCCAGTAGTGTTGAAGGAAGGAGGGGAATGGTGGTTGTGGATGGGAGCATATGAGGGATGATGTTGGAGGTGGGAGGAGTGGATGGAAGAGGGCGAGGCGGTGGATGGAACCGGTTAAGTACACCAGAGGCCGGGGCTGCATTACGAGGGGCGCACACCCGTTGCTGGGCTTCTTCGGCCTTTAACATGCAACGACGTGTGTCAGTGCAGCAGATCCAACAGAAGGGACTGCGACGAAAGAGGCCTTCTGGTTCACGGGCAGGGGCAAGCAGCGCCCCGTTGTCAGCCCGCCTGTGCGGTATTTTTGTTGCGACTGTCAGTCCAGCGGCCAGGGGTTCTCTTCCTCTTACAGCACAGCCTCACAGGAGGGATGTACGTTCCGCACACGCCCTACTGCCCAGTTGTCAGAGTTCATGTCTTGCGCCCCCTTTGCCACAGACAACTCGGTCGAAACTCTGCACTCGCTCGCGACGATCACAAACTTCACGAGCTCTGTTCAGCCTTTTGTCCCACGTCTTGCTCAAAGAAACATCCTATTTCTCACTCAATCCAAAACCACATCAAGATGAGCGAACCGCCCTTTGAAGTCACGGACCACAAGGCGCTCGACGACTCCGCCAACAAGGACGGCGAGCAGCCAAGAAGGCACACCACCCTCTGGCCATGTAGGCGTCACCATCACGTGACCCACTCTCATTATACGCAACCCCCAGTTAGTGACCTTGCCCCGCCCACCAACTCTTTGTGGCCAACGACATGGTCTGTGAGATTGAGACGACTCGCACAGGGTGCTACCAGCATCAGCATCAGCATCAGCAGGCCGTCCACTGCCACACCCGTGACGTCCCCTCCCACCTCCACTCTCACCTCTAGCATCCCGGAGAAGGTGGATCAGAAGGTCCGGATCTCGAGAAGGGTCACTCGGCTGCGACCAGAGTCGCAAAAACACTGGCCAGTGTTTATTACTTTCTATTAATGTTTGTTTGTTTGTATTACGGTTCACAGATCTACTTTGAACTCCGGCACTTATCGGTAATATACGTAGTTCGTGTTTCGATCTCCTGGTCTCGAACCCCGGCCGTTGTGGTAATATACGTAGTTCTTTAATCCCAGGGCACTTTAACGAATATGCTAGCGAGCGACTATATCTGAGAGGAGGATTTGAACCCAAAGTACCGCTCAGCCTCAAGTTAGTTGGCCCACTACGTAACTAAGATACCATCAAATAAACTACAACTGATTTAATGAGCCATTCGCAGTTTCACAGTATGAATTTGTTTATACTTAGACATGCATGGCTTAATCTTTGAGACAAGCATATGACTACTGGCAGGATCAACCAGGTAACTATCTCAAGCAGTAGAGGGCGAGCCATCGACTGGACTATCATCCGAAGACTCTAGCCTGATGTTTGTTACTGATTGTACATAGAGTTCCATCAAAGAGTGCCTTTAGCTCTCGCGCCTCTGTCGATGTTTTACATCTAATTCCTTGATTCCAATCTCACAAGTCCTAGGTTATATCAGTCGGACAGGAGTCCAACTTCAAAACCTAAGTGAAGGTCCCGATGTGCATTACCACGCCCTGAGTGTCACTTCATATGCAGCACCTGATCGGACAAGCCAAGTTGCTGTACATATATCGGTGTATGCGACTGCTTCTTCGCAACACGTAGCGGGGCTGTCTAAGTGACTGTTGAGTGGCGTGTGGAGGCCTGTTTTTAACCCCCAGCCCGACTGACCTCTGCAGTCGCCGGCACTGAACCTGGGGTTTGTGAGAGCCGTGTGGATCGAGCGTCCCAGCGTCGAGCGTCTGGAAGGTGGTGGCCGGCACGTAGCGTGAGGGATGCACCAGGCGGTTCACTGCGTCCACTTCACAGCTGTCTGCATTGCATGTAGGTCTCACTCACGTACGAACAATGGACCAGATATCCCGCTAGCACCGTTCCTACTCTTCATACGATGCTGTTACGATGCTGTACAGTGTCTTGAGACCCCTTGTACTGATGGTGATGTGGCATCGCTGCAACACCCGACATTGACCCCTGCCATCATTCGTCTTGACACTCAGTGATCCATCAGTGTGGCACAGCTGCGGCCTGCGGGGGTCCTTTGGTGGTGATGACATAAAGCCAGACATGTCTGGCTAGTCGAGCGATGTATGTATAACCCGCCCTCTGACAATCGCATCGGACTCCCAGCCCATCACCCCAGCGCGCATCTACGTCTACCATGTTTGGTATCCATGTCCCACGCCTCCGCCGCCACCGCATGTGCTACGGTGACTGGACGGGCCGTAACCGCAACCGTGAGTATGGGCTATGACAGTGATGGTGAGGCCAAGCCTGACTATTGCAGAACCACACATCCCACGTTGGGACGGCTGGAGTGGCGGTTACCTTTGCGTCTACTGCCGCGAACAAGTATAAACTTGGTGGATCGTTAGTACTCGGACTCGGACAAGCTGTATTATCTACCCAAAAATGTATCCCTTAGGCCCCATCATACCTTTCCTTAGTGTGCGGGAATTCATGAGATAGCTGATGCACTCACGAGCAGTGAAGCAGTGGTTTGTTAGGAGGGCCCCCATGTCGATGATGAGAATGTGTCTCTGCAGTAACCTGAAACGACTGGCCGAGTTAGTGACCGAAAATGGCGTTTAATTTCCCGGGTGATGAACCGTGTGTGAGTTGTCGAAAGAGGCAAAGAACGGCCAAGTCGTGCATGGACGGAGGCTTCCACTGCCAGTCCGGCCAGTGGGCCAGTGACCTCGACAGACTCAGCCGATACCCCGATGCAACGACAGCCGCGTGACGGTGATGCACACGAAAGTGCAAGTAGACCTCCGCGGACCCCTTGATCCACTGCTCTGCCCTTGCCATTGTACAGTCCCCTGACCAGGACCCACAGGACCCCCCAGACAGACATCCTGACCCATTGGCACTCAACGGCCGTATCTTGTAAGCTCACCCCATGTCGGGTTCTTCTCATCGTGCAACATTACACGAAGGATGACGCCCGGTGCGCGGTGCCTGCCTGGAACATGGAACGACCTCCTTCGGTCAACTTCTTGAAAGATATTCCGCTCAACTTTCAGATAGCTGAAGCAGGCACAGGACAGAGTCTAGGCCACGCCATGTCAGATGGAGAACGGCCCCAGCGGACTTGTTATATGGTCGGTGACTGGTGACGCACAGGCCTATCACCCCGCGGACCTGGACCCAATGTCTCACTTTCAGACATCGAACGGATGTAGCCACTGGCCGGCCAGGAACGTCCAGAGGGGTCAAATATTGGTTCACCACCGAACGCGTGTGGAATGTTATTGTTCAAGAGCGTAAAAGTCGGAACCCTTGGTGTACGAGTCGCAGGGGAGTGAAAGGTGACCTCCTTTGAAAGAGAAGCAGAACAGAGCCAAACATTCTTTCACACCGGCTGATGAAAGCCTGCAGCTTTCTTGGGGAGAAGCCAAGTAAGGCACACCCGAATGCCTTGCTCGACGCTTCGTACGAGGGGCTCTAGGAGTTCAGCACACTGTTCAGCATACTTGCTGTCCTCCTCTGCACAGCGCCATTGGTGCTTGCAACCCAAACAGACCCTCGCGGGTTGGCGTTGGTCGACGAGAGACATATATTAATGGTTGACTCGAACACCATCGCAAGTTCGCCCACCCTCCCTCCCTCCCTCCCTCCCCTCGCCAGGGACTCCTCTTCCCGCCGTCTCCTCCTCTCCCCTCCTTCCTAATAGCCCGTACAATGGGTGATTTCAAGATCAAGTTTATCAGTTGCCCCGGCCACCCCCTCTCTGGCCTTAACAAGGGCCGTAAGTTTGATTGAAATGATGGTCCCATCAAAATATGGTCTCAGTCAAGCCGCGCTTTCGCTGATCAACAAGGCCCTTGTTATAAATCCTATCTATCCAACGGCGCCGTGGTCTGCAGCTACTGCGGTCTACAGATGTAAACAGTCGGCTCAAACTGTCATCCATCAACATATACACCCACGTTGGGTTTCTTGTACTGTAGCATAGATGAATGTCTGTTTCGTGACTGCTTGACCGTGATGTGGCGATAGTACATACGGAACGGAGTTGGTCCGGAGGTAATCAGTCTGCCCTTTAGGAATGAATTCTACTGCCATCCTCTGTTACAAGGGCCTCTAGTTGGACGTCTGAGAGGTCTACACGCCCCCTCTGACACCTGCATAGCGCACAGGTGGACGCGTTCGGAAACAGCCGATGTCAAAAACTCTCGGGCCGGGGACCCAAGTGCGCATTGGTCCCTCGAATGCTCATGACATCCCTTTGTAGGGCTCCTAATCGCCTGGAGGAACCATGGGCTGTGTGGACGTGCAGGGCAATGGTGAAGGTCGGTGACAAGGAGCGCCAACCCCCGAGGAGAAGATTATTACGGGGATATTGGGGTTAGGGCAGCGAGCGGACGCTTGCGCAAAGGGGTTGCTGTGTGTATGGCAAGATGAAACCGACCGCTCTACCCCTCCCAACTCCACTCCAGTGTCGGATATGGGTTCTCTTCATGGGTGTCCCCCCGTGCACCGATCGCGACGGATAGGAGACTGGTGCAAACTGCAGAGCACGCGATGGCACAGGCTACAACCCACACAATGCCCTCTTGACCGCCACGGCACTATTGCTGCCAGCGAGGACACAACACGCACCCACACTCGAAACAGGCCCGCGGCCCTTGCGTGGCACACCGTGGCTGACGTCCACCGCAAGACGGCTGCGTCAGTTCTCAGCGTCAGAATCTATGTAAAGCACAAACTACGGAACCGAAGGCAGCAACTTTTCATCACCTTCATGTTTCGAGTTGAGAAGCCTTCGACCATGTCTCTCAACGCGTTCTCGCTCAATACATCTCTCGTCGCCATGCGGCCACGCACTCCAGAGGTTGAGGAAGACGACCGCTGGATCCTCTGCCTAGGTACCGTCGCAGGGGTTAACAAGGGTCGTACGTATGCGGAATAACTATTTGAGAAATGTGACTGCGGAATGGTTCCAGCTGACAGGTTCAGAACCGTGCAAACCGCCCGCAAGCGACACACATGGTCAGAACCGCTGTCACTTCTGCCACCTTCAGTGCTAGCGCTCTAGATATCGTGCCATACAGGGACCTAATGCATATGCGGTTGGGATTGTTGGCTATCTGGTAATTTTTCAACCGCGTTCTTGGGATCCGGCGCCGTCGAGGGTCGTGTGGCATGTCAACAACGCCACAGGAACTGGCCACGGGGGAAAATGCTGAAAAAACAAACAAAATAATAGGAGGCCCGTGCAGAAACCACCCCTCTCACCATTCCAACCCCCCTCCGCTTAGACAGACGACCGAGGGGTCCGGAGTCTGGGGGTACCCTCCGAGCAGAGCACCATGCTGGAGAAGCGCTTGCCTACATATGCACGTCGCCTCAGGCGCTCAAGTCTACTCATGTCACTGAGCTCGTCCAGCCATCCCCAGCAACCCCTCCCCAAGCCTGCCAGCATGATGCACTGTACCCACGCATGCCCACCGGAACCACCAGTGCCGCACTGCCCGCCAGAAAAGTACTTCAACCTCTGCAACGGCATGCCCTGGACAAGAGTGAACCGCGGAAGTGAGTCGGACAAGCTCGAGCAGGGCCTTGACACTGACATCGACCGCTGACGGAAGGAATAGAGCACTGCGTCCCACTCGCGTACCATGAAGGCCATTGGTTTTGTTGCTTCTGCAACAACCCGCTGTAACCCAGGACCTTGACAAGGGGCCACAAGACTCGATGCGAGGACGTGGGGCCCCTTCTGCCCTCATAGATGCCCTCCCTGACGGCCTGGCCCGTTCTCGGCCCTTCAAGCCTCGAGACGCATGCCGTCCACCCGTGGAAACACCCGCCGTTGAATAGCTATCTGCAACTCTACCGCGGGCCGCCCACTGTACCAAGGGAGGACCAGACTTTGCAACTCCCCGCTACACTGCAGGAGAGAGTGGATACTCGGATGCCTGCGAAAAGTTCCACCTGTGCATGGTCTTTTACGAACGGTGGTAACAGAGGTATCAGCGTGAGCGGTTGGGTGGCCACGAGTCTCACAGCCCTCCACCATCGCTTGGCGACTTGTTAGCATGCGTCTCCCGACTTGCCTGTCCGTCTCCAGCCTGTAGGAGAATTTGTAAACCGCATGCCACCTGCTTCGCTGCAAAGTTTCCGTCCGCAGCCATGAGAACAGCGCCGACGGCCTGAGTTGGCGCTCTTGGGATGTCCGTGCGCCGGACGTGTGCGCCGGCCTCGCACGCACGCACGGCACCACAACTGATCCAGCCTCGAAGGCTCCCTTCTGCTGTCTCCTTGTCATCCATCACGTACGCACGCACCATGACGATTTTCGACCGCCGACAGTGGTGGAAGTATCCCTGTCGAGGCGGCTATGGCCGGAACGAAGGCGGTAGGTTGCTGCTTGTGGGAAGCAATGAGAACCCGCGAGTGATGGATGGTGGGCAGTGAGCTGATGAGCAGGTACCTGCGACCCGATACTGAAAGGCGACAGGACGCTGGTGTGCTATTTCTGCGGTGTGTGGATACCTTGCGAGAACCCGCCGCAGGGATTCAAGCCCAAGAGTCTCTTGAGAGTACCAGTGGAGAGGATGGAGGCGGAAGAGGAGCGGTGATGAACGTGATGGCACTAGACCCCAAGGACACACACCCCTAGCCTCCTCGTGGTTTCCAAGGCTTGCTTTGACTCAGAGGGCTGCTGGGGTTGTTGACACCCGTCTGATGCCTTAAAAGCTGACCCGCTGCCTGGACTGTTTTCTTTTCTTCCTCACCCTCCTTCAACAACACTCAAGAACAATGGCCATCGAGATCAACCTCTCTCCCGGTGCTTCGATCACCCTCACCAACAAGGGTAGCACGATGTCCACCACCACCATCTACAAGTCGAGCCACACGTCCGCGCCGGCCATCAAGTCGAGCAGCTCGTCGTACTCATCGTACGCTCCCTCGTCGTCGTCGTCGTCGTCGTCGTCCTACTCCTCGTACGCCCCCTCAAGCTACTCGTCCAGGTCCTACGGCTCCAGCGGCTCTGGCTCGGTCCTCACCAAGTCGTCCTATGGCTCCAGCACCGACGGGTACTACTACCTCGGCAACGGCCAGTACCGCCGCTAGTAGGCTCTCAAAGTGTGCCACTGTGGATTTTCGAAATGAAAGATAAAACGGCGAGAAACACCCAAAAACAGAATGAGAATGTGACAAGAAAACCTAGAAACCGAGGCGTCAAAAACAGGGAATATGAGCAGCATGAGGAGACAGAGAGTAGATAGGTGCAAGAAATGCAAACAGTGGCACCTACACGCAGTAGCGTCAAACCCATGTGCTCTTGAACACTCCACTGACAGGCGCACATAAGGCCATATTGATGGCGGTGGCGAGCCGCAACGGGCAAGTGGTCAATATTTCCAGGCGGTGGGTCGAACAGCGGTTCAGCGGTGCGGTGAGCAACGTGATGGCTGTTAGCACCGGACTGTCGTCGACTCGAAAGAAGGGAACGAACGGATCACTTGCGCGCGCCAGGTGGCAACATCATTCGCAGGATGTCACGACCCAACACGGGCATGCAGGTGATGGCCGCTGATGGCCGCAACGAATTGATGGACGTTCAGAACCCAGTCCGCTGAGTACACGCGCATAGTGATCAGTGAAAGGTAACCGACAGCTCTGCTGATGGACCATCCACCTGTTTCGGTCTGGCACTATGAGGGAGTGAAGACGACACGACAGCATCTGGGCAGCTTAAAAGGACTGCTCACCAGCACTTTCTTTCCTTCACTCCACCTCCCTTCACTCCACCTCTCAAGTACCAACCAAAACTAAAAGCAACAGCCACCATGCCCTCCTGGAAGACGACGGTTACCACGACCACCACGACCACCAACCCGGAAGGCCACTCCGTCGAGGAGACCAAGACCAAGACCTACTCGTACCCGCACGACACGAGCGGCTCGTCCACCGACTCGCGCGGCTGGAAGTCGGTTGCCTGGGACCTCGACTACGACCGGCCCCTTCCCCCCAGGAGGAAGCGCTAAGCATCAAGTCGTAGCGTGCCATTGTCCATAGTCGGAAGAATGACGGAAAGAAAGGAATCTATGCAACAGTGGCACCGTTACAGAACCATGAGCACACCTGCATCACACTGACCTCCATACGTGACACCGGGCTGTGCATTGTCGCCATGCACGCTGCCAGCAGCCGCCTCGTCGCCAGCAGGTACATGGTGAGTGATGGCCACGGGGCCTGATCGATCAACGATCAACGAGGAGCGCCACCTGCACGTTTTGATGGCGCTTTACTGACCCTGTGGGGTGGTGCGAGGGAGCCTCGTTTAGATGCACGCCGTGTGCTGCGACTCAGCGAGCTTGCCGAGCATGCTACGCTGTGGACGCCACCTCTGTGGCTTCCGAACGTGCCCACTGTCCCACTCCACGCTCCACTTGAGAGTCTGCGCAGCGTCGCTGCCGCAGTGCCGGTGCATGCCTTTCTCTCAACCACTCCAACCGTCATGAATCCTTACTATCCTTTCTACTACGGCCCCAGCATGAACCCCTACGCGTACAACCCTTATGCCTACGCGGCCACCAACCGTGGGCTCTCTATCCGTTCTTGACCTGAGGCCTGACCACCCCCCAGCCTATGCGCCGTACGCCAACGAGATGCAGTACATGCAGGCTCTGCAGATGGCCCACCTGCAGGCCCAAGTCAACCCGTAAGTGGAGACGTGGATGACTCAACTGCAAAGTCGAACGCCACCCCTGAACGAAGCCTCCCAAGTGCCTGGTTCTATGGTGGTTACACCCCACCGCAGCAGCCCGACCACCGCACACTCTATGCCGACCTCAAGAAACACTACGAGGACAAGAAGAAGAAGGCCGACGACGAGGAGAAGAGCAAGAAGGAGGCCAAAAAGGCCAAAGACGCAGCAGACAAGGCCGTCAAGGACGCGGGGCCCAGCAAGAACTTTGGCTTTTCACCAGAGACTGCGGCGCTCGTGACGTACATCTTCGACGGCGGCCCGCCTGCAGGGCAGTGGGCCAAGAAGAAGTAATGGGGCTGGAGCGAGGTCGAGTGTATAGCGTATGGAAGAGGGGGGGTCTATTGTCTCATAATCGCAAATCCATGTATCAGCACAGTAAAAGAGTGTGGACGGGGATTTGCCACCCAGCGCTAGCCGTGCAGTCCGAAGCAGATCATTTCGGCAGCGTGCTGCCAGAGAAGCGCCAGGCCACCTGATGGCCTCGTTGCACACACACACACACATACATGCACACATGCATCACGCACTCTGATCCAAGAAGCTTAGACATGCGGCCTTGGGGTCGTATTGCGTGTGTATTGTCCCCAAACTGACGCTTGCTCCATGGAAGTGATCATCATCCGTGGGGGTGATGGTGTCGCACCTCCTTCCCTCGCCTTCCTCGAGCACTCATCCCCTTCACACCACTTATACCACTCACAATCAACACCGCTCCTCAACACCTACCTACCTCTCCACACGAACACATATCCTCTGCCAACACAGACATGGGATACAAGCCGTACTGCATGCAGACGAGGAGTGCGTAGCAAAGCTCGGCTCCCAGCCACACCCTAATGGACCAGAGACGTGCCGCATTCCGGGCGCAAAAGGCCCCCTGCATCGACTGCGGCAGGCCCTGCCTCGTCGAACACGAGATTTGGACCCCCGGCGACGACGACGAACCTGCCCAGTACACGGGCCACTTCCCTAGCCCCCAGCCGCCCGTGTTTGGCGGTGGCGGGGGTATGGGAATGGGTGGAATGGCCGGTGGAATCGGCAGTCACATCCAGGCGAGGCTCGCTGCTGGTCTCGGCGGATTCGGTGGCATGGCCGGCATGCCTCCTTTGCCGTTTGGTATGGGCGGTGCTGGTGCCTCTCCTTATGGCATGTCTCCTTACGCCGCGTCTCCGTTCGGCGCGTCTCCGTTCGGCGTCCAGAACCCGTACGCCAGCATGGGTGGCCAGGCGGCTATGAACCCTTACCAGCAAGGCCCGTTCCAGCAGATGGCCGCCAATCCCTACACCCAGATGGCAACCCTGCCCACCGCGACGGCCAACCCTTATGCGTCTATGCCCTCGACCACCGGCCACCCATACGACAACATTGGCGCCCTCCCTGGCGTCCCATGGAACCCCGATCCTATGGCGAGATACGAAGCGTTTGTCGCCTTCCAGAAGGAGAAAGACGCTAAGAAGGTGGCCGACGACGAGGACAGGAAGGCCGCCCGCAAGGCACCGCCTCTCGCCAACCTGCCCAACAAACCCTTCCACTGGGACGAGCTGGACGACAATTCGAGGCGCGAGTGGTATGACAAGCACGATTGGATCATGTATGGTGGACCCGTCACCACGCCGCGTGGTATGAGGTAGACGATAGCCTGTAGCAGTTTTCCGAAGCGATGAAACCGAGTAACCGACTGGTGGCGTTGGGTGCTGCGGCTGGATCCGAAGCACGGAGCGTGAGAAGGAATGCACAGCGCACGGTCTCACGCTCGGGGCGACAACCTCAAAAACATCCAAAGTGGACGGGACAGTGTTGACAGTGTCTCATCGCCATGGCGGAGGTGCTCACTTATGATGGCCGCGCCGTCGGGATGGCCTGTAAGTGACAGTCGACTTCAACTTGCACTCACCCCCCCATCAGTCTACTATCCAGGCGGCGGGACGATGCCGTGCCCTGTATCAGGCAGTGAGTCTCGGGGAGCAGCTAGCTCAGAAGCGCTGACTAACCTCAGCTGCGTGCTACCGCAACACGCCGGACGGGCGCTGCGCGTACTGTCGACTCCAGTCATTCGAGATGCACAAGGTGCCCCCACAGCACCAGCACCTCCAGCACCTCCTCCATCGGCCGTCTACCAGCGGACCCGTTGCATCTCGACAGCCTCCACTTGCACCCAAGGCTCCCAAACCTCCCAAAGCCGCCAAGGGTCCTGCTCCTCCCATCAGCCCATTCTACCCTCCCGGTGCCAGCTTACAGAAGGACCGTCCGAAGAATCCCGTTCAAACAGGCGTACTCAAGCGCCGCGGCCCGTTTGGCAAGAAGGTCGTCGTGCTACCGCAAGCGGCCGCGCCGCCCAACGACCCGCTCGACTGTGACGGTATCCGGGCCTGGCGCGCCGAGTCGGCCATGATGGCCCAGACGCGCGACAAGCGGCGGCTGGACGAGCAGATGTGGTACATCAACCACCTGCCGCCGCACCTGCGCGAGCAGATGCTGCAGGCGCTCCGGACGGAAAACCAGCCGCCGCCGATGGGCATCGTGCTGCCACCATCGCGAGAGGGCGTGTTTAGACGGCTTATACACAAACTGACAGGTTCAGAGAAACCTTCGCCCGTGCTTCTGCCATTGAATAACCCGTAGCCTTGTACTCTTGACCAGATGTAGCCTTTAGCAGTGTGCGTCGCAGACGGGGACCATCAGGGTGGAGGGGAGGGTGACGACGCGCCTGGTGGCGAGCTCGCTAAGCTCGCTACTGGAGCAGGTGGATTGGTCGACGGATCAGGCGCCTTGGAGTCGTGCATGGAGGTGTCAGAGGCATGTCAAAGCCGGCAAGTGGCATTGGTTACGCCGAGCGAGCTCGTCGAGGATGCCGGAGAGGGTCCGCCAGAACGTCACATTTCACGGTATTTTCCGACAATTTTGGCCACATTTACCGCGGCGAGGCTCCCAAAGTTCCACACACGCGCGGCCATACGATACATGAAGGACGCGACGAATGCTCTGTCAGTCAGCATGCAGGGTGCTACGGTACTGTATCTTGAGAATTCTGTGGGCAGTATCGTTAGCGCCACCCCTAGCTGCCTGTGAAATGAGCTTTCTCTCGTCGGAGCAACCGAAAGTTCACGAGGCGAGTGCGAGAGCCTCGATAAGACCACATTCTGACTCGGTGAACATGTAGACGCCCACAGCATACTTAAGAGGGCTAGGAGCCTTGTTCGGCTCTCCAAACACCCCATCCTAGCCTCTCCTAACCACCGCTGACACTTGAATTCACCATAATGTGCTGCCTCCCGTCTGGTAAGCGCTGTTAGGTTTACACCACTGACTCGAGGTTGCGTCCGGTCTCCGTTCTCCCCACACTGCCGATACTGCGGTCGCTACTTGGGCTAAGGGAGAGAAAGGTCTTAGGCGTACAGTAGTAGAGACAAAATGCACTCTGGTTGGCGTCGTCCTTGCGGCCGACGCTCGTGCTGCACGTCCTGTGGCAATCCACTCTGCATACACACACACGCACACATACATACAGTCGGTACTTTCCGTCCTCCCTGACCCACTCATGTGAAAAGCCAACTGAGAACCTTGCCCCACCACGTCTTTGGCGCCTCCTCCTCCGTATGGAGCATCTCGTCTGTGGGAATGTTGGAGAACATGTCCAGCTCCTCGGGCTTGAGGTGCTTGGGCCGTTTGACAATGTAGAATCCGGCAATGAGGAGGAGGAAGATGGGCACGGGGATGTATGCAATGACAAAGCTGGACGGGTCCCAGTTGCCCTTTGTGAAGACCTCCCACCCGTTGAAGAGGAGGATGATGGCCGACCACATGATGACCCAGTATGCGATCCACGGCTGGAGCGCGTTGTGGTAGTGCAGTGTCTTGCGGTCGATACCTTGTGCCGCGAGACCCTGCTTGAAGCGCAGGTACGTGACGCCGATCATGCCCCATACGACGTACCCGGACAGGGCCGTGAGGTTGGACAACCAGTTGAAGACGGTCGACGCCCCCTTCGAGAGGGACATGTATGCGAGGCCGTAGAAGAGGGTGACGAAGACGAGCGCCGGTAGCGGCAGACCGCGGTTCGTGGTCTTGGCAAAGAGCTTGGGACCGTAACCGCGCAGTGCCATGCCGTAGAGCATACGGCTGGCAGAGTACATGAGTGACGAGCCGGACGACATGGCCGAGAGGAGGACACAGGCGTTGACAAAGTGCGGCAGACCGTGGATCCCTGCACGGGTCATGGCGAGCACGAACGGCGACGACGCGGCCGTACCCTTGCTTTGGAGGAGCTTGGGGTCGTTGTATGGAACCACAAGGGAGACGAGGAAGATGAGGAGCACGTAGAAGATGAGGATACGCCAGAAGAGGCGCTTGACGGCCTTTTTGAGCGTCACGCGTGGGTTCTTGACCTCGGCAGCGGCGACAATCACCATCTCAATACCCATGTACGAGCCGGCCGCCTGGACGAGGTCGGTGAACCAGCCAAGGAACTTGCCGAGGTCGCCAGTGCCGTAGTATGGTGCGAAAGCGCCCGGGTTCTTCCAGTAGCGGAAACCAATACGGTCCTTGTTGGGAGCTCCGCCCAGGTCGATGACGAGCGCCGTGATGGACAAGATGACCACGAGCATGATTTTCATGAGCGCGAAAAAGAACTCGGATTCGCCAAACCAGCGGACTCCAAAGTAGTTCTGCGATGAGCACATGATCTTGCCGTGACAATATGTGGCGGACAACACTCACGACCGAGGCGCACAGCACAATTAGACCGGTAATGTAACCTGCCTGATGGGATGTGGGGAAGGCTAGTATACGGTCAGCGATGATATCCCTGGAACAGCTAGACCTTAAGTGACGCACCAGAGTCCCAGAAACTGCAGATGATGTTTGCGGCGATGATCTCACTGGGGATGGAGAGGCAGTATTGGATGCACACCTGCCAGCCAAGCGCAAACCCCACGGCCGGGTTGACCCAGCGCTCCGCATAGTGGATGTAACCTCCCGAGATGGGTGCGTAGATTGCCATCTCACCAAGACACATGAGGGTGCCGTACGCGATGGAGCCCGTGGTGATGAACGCCAGCAGCGCGCCGACGGGACCGCCGTGGGCGATGATACGGCCACTGTTGAGGAAGAGACCCGTGCCGATCGTGCCGGCCAGCGCGATCATCTGCATGTGGCGCTGCTCCATGTTTCGCTGGACGCCGTCATCTGTTTCTCGGTCAGAAGTCTGTCTCTGGCCTGGGGCCAAGCAACTCACAGAGTTGGGTGTGCACATCGACGAGCACATCCTTGACAGGGCGATGGCTTTCGTGCGAGACCTGAGCCTCAAGGACAGCCATGTCGTGCCCCTTGTCACCATAGTTGGTGGTGTAGTCTGCCTTTTCGGGCTCAATGCCGGACATGGTGGGCTGCGAAAGTGGAGTGAAGAGTGTCAGTGGCGGGGAAGGTTCGCTCGGTCCGTTGGGCACCTTTCTTTAAACCAGTCTAGTCGTGACTCGCCACGGCTAGTCACGAGATAAGCCCACCTTCAGTAGCGGCGCTTTCACCGGAGGGAACACCGAGAATGAAGCCTCCCCTCACCACATCACATTCCTACTGAACTGTTGACATCCGACGGGAGAGAGGTCATATGCCAAGAAGTTCTAAAAACAGTCGATGCCGAGGCTAATGCCCGGGCCGGGTATGCCGAACACGACGACGGCCGGTCACAACCGCCCTCCACAACCACCGCACTTGGATGGACATGTCGAGAGACTGCGGAGCGGTGTTGCGGCGTCCCTACCGCTCTCTTGCCCACTACGTTTGGCCACTTGGTTGGGCTGGTGGCCCTGTCGCCGGTGGTGGACCATCGACAGACCTACTTCCGAGATGCTACAGAGTATTTCCGAGTGTATCCATGGACCGGAAAAGCGGGGGAGGAGAAGCTCGCACCCTGGGAATTGCGGCCATTCCCGAGAGTGGACCTCGGCGAAATGGCCGATCGGTCGTTATGAGACGCGTAACGATCATCAGCGTGTCAATGTGAGGACCTGTGCCTCAACGCGTATGAATGAATGTATCAAGTTGAAACGGCTGAGTTGTGTGTATCGAGTAGTGTGCATGAGATTCTGTGCGAGAACGCCACTGCTGGGACTCATGAGAACCCACGCACAGGTGTGGGAAGCCGAGTGGCGTGAGTGGCAAAGCTCCGACTGGGGACTTCGCACAGGTCGAATTCCACTGATGGGACTCTGGCAGCGAGCTACAAAAGCTGACTCGGGGTGTGATGGTGATGCAGATTTGGTTGTTGGACATCATATCACAGCACCTAGATACACCACTCGAGACGATGCCGGTGCTTGAAGACGGCAACTGCAAAGGGGACAAGCTGGGCGAGAACCATGGACGTAAGTATGCTCCTACGCGCGGTGGCGAACGAGGCGCTGACCCTCAAAAGTGGAGTGCTGGGTGCCGAATGGCTGCCGCAGGTGCTGGTACTGCGGCTGGGGATGGCGTTCGCCCACTGACGCGCCGCCGGTGTCAGCTCCATTGCCCGAAGAGACCTCGGATTCGGGTGACATCGCAGCCGTGTAAGAAGGGGTGGAGCAGACGCGTTGTATGCAACCGATTGCATGGCTGCGCTGGCGTGGGAGTGGTTCTCCCGCAATCAGCATACGAATGGCTTCTCTCACCCACCACACGCTGATTGATGGAACGATATGCAGCCCCCCATCAGTTGCGCTTCTACACAGGTACACAGGACGGTTGTTCTCGTCTTGCACACTGCCTTGCTGATATTGGTGTCGCACACATCACCTTCACCTCCAACCCTCGCTGAGCGATGGCTCTGGGTCCGCAGCCCCGTGTCTTCTCAGCCAGCGACGGGAGCGGTTTGCTCATCGCCGGCGCTAGCTCAGACCAGAGGGGTTCTCAGCCCTACCCCATTCACTTTCTGCGTCGAGCCGAGGTCGAGGTCCCCTCAAACTATCACGGACGTCGGTGCGGCGGCGACGGAAACTTTGGGGGTAAGTCCGAGGAGGTGGGGGGAGGGGACAGGCGCCACCGGAGATGGCCGTGGCGCCAGTGGTCTAGTGAGACGACGAGCTGACCCGTCCCAAGTACAGTGCTGTCCTGTCACGGTCGGCAACGTCTGCAAGTGCCAGTACTGCGGGGTGGACCTGCTCGCGTTTGACCAGCGCATCGGCGGCTGGCGTGTCCTCCCATTCATCGTGTATGCGCACCCGCACGCGCAGCAGCACGGACAAGCTGTGCTTCCCGGGTGAAGGGCGTGGGACTGGAATGACAGGAACGAGAGTCTTCAAGAACTGGGAACTGGGAACCGTGTGCTTTAATACTAGATCGGGGGAGGCCTCTGGCCTCTGGACGGGGATTCACTACTCTTTGTGTCGCGACTGTGAACAGCAATCGACGTGCCACGGCTTCTATTAGTCCTAATACATTACGTCATTTATTAGCTTTTTACTCTAATACTCCGGCGATGATTGCCCCGCGGCTCCGCCGCAACACTGACGTAATGGGCTTCTCGTTACGAGACCACCCAGCGGCCAGCGCAGCACTCTACCTGCATGAATGCTGGAAGATCCAGCTCACTTTGCTTCGCGTTGCGCATCTTCCGCACTCATCTCTCGAAGCAAACAGTTGACAGTCGCTGCGTCCAAGCGTTTCACGCTTCCGAACTGAGCTCACCGGCCCATCCCACCCCCTCCTCCTAGTCCCGGCCCACCTCGTCTTCCGTTTCCAACTCAAGTACAGCGCCGAGTCACAATGGCCACTACCAACGACTCCGCTCACCCTAACCCTGTGACCGCGCCGCAGGCGACGATCGACCTCTTGAAGCGCCTCCATGTCCAGTCCGAGGAACAGGAAGCCAACATTCGGTTGCCTGACAAGAACATCGGGTTCGGCACCAACGAGGTCACGGTGGGCGACTTCAAGACGATCATGTCGGACAAGTTCATCGCCCTCGACGAGGACAAGTGCCAGTTCATGTACCAGCTCATCCGGGCCACTGGCGCCAAGAACATTGTCGAGGTGGGCTCAAAATGTCGTGACCTGTGGTGACTGACACGGTCAGGCTGGCACGTCGTTTGGCGTGTCGACCATCTACCTTGCCCTTGCGGCCAACGCGAACGCGGCAGATGTCGGCGGCAAAGCGATCGTCATTGGCACAGAGCACGAGCCGGAGAAGGCCGAGCGCGCCAAGCGGTACTGGGCTGAGGCTGGTGCGGGTGTCTCAGAGGCCATCGACCTGCGCGTCGGTGACCTGCAGGAGACGCTCAAGACCAACCTGCCCACTGTGGACTTTCTCTTGCTTGACAGTATGTTCCAATTCAGGGGATGCCCCGAGGTCCATGGCTGATGTGACTGCCCTTTTGCTACGCCTTCTGATGCTAATCTTGCACCACACCCTCTCTCGCCCTCAGTTTGGACCCCTATGGCTCTCCCTGCCCTCAAGCTTTGCCAGCCTCACATGCGGCCCGGAGCCGTCATCCTCGCCGACAACCCCATCCGCAGCGCCGAGGGATACCAGGAGCTCTGGGCATACATTCGCGCTCCAGGCAGTGGATTCCAAAGCCTTTGCGTGCCGTACTCGCACGGCCTCGAGATGATTGTCTACTACCCGCCCAAGTAACGTGCCTCCCGACGCCAGTTTCCCACATCCCACACCCAAACGGAAACGGAAACGATCCATGTTGGCAGGTTCTAAAGATACAGAATGATGAATGCAGTAGTGTTCTATAAAGCAACAATGGTAAAACGTCTCTCACTGGCACTTGATGGATCGTCCACAGGGCAAGCTCGCTGAGCTCCAACCGGCAGATAGCCTCCCCCTCCTCTAGATCACTAGTCGGCGATGTAATCGTCCGGCTCGGGGCCAAAGTAGCACCGGCCGTTCCTCCAGCATCCTTCGATCATGTACGACGGCACTCGTGGCGAGACGCCGCCTTCCTTCTTGCGAATGTCCTTGTACTCTGTCTCATAATCGTAATAAAGCATGGCTCGGACCTTTCGCCGCAACGACTGGGTCGAGTAGTCTGGTGGCACGCTGGCTGTGTCAGCTGCTGCAAGCCCACGAGGGCCAACGTCGCAACTCACTATGGCTGGATCGGGTTCTTGAGCGCCTTGACAAGCGCATTGGCCAGGCCCTCCTTGTCACCTAGCGTGTACGAGTAGACGTATGGCTCGGGGAGTGCGCTGATGGGACCATGCTGCCAGTGTGTCCCCGCGTATGCGATCCACTGCTTCGGGTCTGGTTTGGGCAGGTCGGAACGGATAAACGGCATGACGACGGGGATGCCACGGCATAGTGCCAGGAAGGGGGTCGGGCTGATCATGGGCATGCTCATGCCCAGCATGACGCCCACGCCACTGAGGACCATGTTGAACTTTTCACGTTCCATCTGCCCGAGGTTTGTGAACGCTGGCGGCATGATGGCGTTGGGTGCAAACTGCACCGTTTCCGGGTTGAGCGTCGCCACCAGCTCACTTGCAAAGCCCTCCTCGTACAGGTCGTCGAGGAGACGGTCCCAGTCCCACTGTTCTGGGATGTAGCCATGTTCCTCGCTATAGGCCACTTGTGTTCTGTCAGCCTCCCGTAGAATGCCATTCGGGCAGAAGCAACATACTCAATGTCTTGCCCAGGACCAGCACGTCCTTTGTGCGTTCGTCCTGGGGTATGATGGGCGTCTTCTTGCACTCTTCCTCCATGGAAATGGGGACCCATGTGTGGCCTGGGTACGGAAACGGCCTGCACCACGTTAGCACCTCTACACGCCAATGGTTTGACCTCCTGACCACCACTCCCGCCCTCTGCCCGCTCGACTGCGGTCGACTGCGGATGAGATGGCTCTCTACTCACGTTATGGACCATCGCTGGCCGAGGGGGTTGAATGACCACACCTCATCGCCTCCCCTGTACGGCACACTCCAGTCAAATACCGCGTGACCGCCTGGGCGCGGCGCATTCGTCGGCCGTGAACCCCACTTGAGAAAACGGCCGTCAGCAACATTGTTCATCCCGCGGCAAAAAAAGGAATCGAGATCTCGGACATCTCGGTTCATGTGACTCATGAACCGACGTACTCCACGGGTCCACGGCCCTCCCTCCACAACTCACCCATGTCGTGCAGAACAGCCGCCACAGTGGGATGGTGCCTAGGGCTCTGGACGGGATGGCATTCAGGTGGTGCCGCAGAGTCGTGTTTTCGGCAGGGCGGTAGTCTGCTGGGGCAATGCAGTGCGGGTTGGAGATGCACTCTACAATGTTGTTCTCGTTCATCCACACCATGTGACTTTGTCCGTCAGTCAGGGGGCATTGGGGGTTTGGGCAATGGGCACGAGAGGGACAGAGTAATGTACAATGCTGTCGTACACAGGACCCGCAGACCCGCAGACTCGTAGACTCGCCGACTCGCCAGACTCACATCGACTCGCTCAACGCATTGGCCAGGTGGATCATGCGTGCCGAGTGGTAGTCGTCCAGGACGATGAATCCCTGCTCCTCAACTGCATGCACCTTTTTGTCGGTCCGTGTCAGCCCAGTGGAGGTCGACGGTACTTTGGGGTTTCGGGTACTCACGACATCGTTCATCCACACCTCTTCCCCAGCAGTGGATCCTAGCAGACCCGTGTGTGTAAACCACCATGTGCTGACAATGAGTTTGCGGGGTGGCCCACGCCCTGAACAGAGCGTCTCATTGAACAACTGGAGCTTGTCGAGCAGATACGCCTCGTAGCTGGGAATGAATTGTTTCAGCCACTGGCCAACTGGTCGCTGGCATAGTGTTTGTTGTCTCGCCACTTTTAACACTTTGCCGCCACTCACTCGTATTTGGGATCCTTGAGGAAGGCCTCCAGCTGGCGGTACTGTTTGGCCCGCACACACTCGGCGGCGTCTTGCGAGGCCGGAGCGTATGGGTCCCAGTAGGTACATGTCTGCTGTGCGACGTGGTGGAGGGTATGGACCAGAGCTGCGAGCAGCAGGGCGCTGGCGAGGATGATGCTAGCGGTGCGCCGCACGATACGTCCGGTCATAGGAACATGCGAGGAGGTGGCGTCAAGGAAGATGGTCAAGAGGAGGCTGTGTAGTGTCTGTGCACGAAGACGTCTCTGTTTGACCAGTTACACACCCCGCCTTCCACCTCACAACATCACCGAGGACTGCGAGGTTCCCAGCGGCCCAGGTCTATGCCCCGTGCCCGTCGTGACTGAGAGTATGCAGTCTCCATGACGACTGTTGCTTTTCGTTTCGGACCTGTTTCGGTCTCTGGCGGGCTGCTGAGCCCACACCATGTCGGTTGCCACCGCGTACTGGTGTGGGGGTAATGAGACGATCGCAGGCTATTAGGGATGCATCCGATATGTCATACGAGTCTCGTATTGTCGATCTGCATGGCAGCGAGGTCGCGGCTGCCAAGCGAATGCATGGTCTGTTGATGTGCGACGACCACTTCGCACATGCGGGTCGCTCCGCGGTTGTTCACAAGGGGGCCCGGCAGCTCGACCGCTTGGCCCGCGGCCCGCGGTGTATTTAACCCTGCAAAACGGTATGCCGGGCAGTACTTTAGGTTAGGCGGGGAGCCGGCACTGAAGGTACCATGGTGATTTGGTGCTGTCTTTGGGGGACCAGTGACACAGGTGCAGCGCTGGACGGGAGAGCAAAGACAAGCCGAGTCTGCTGCACCAGGAGTTAGCCGCCATGCAGCAGAGACGGCCTCCTCTGGCACATGGGCAGAGGAAAGTGTTTGTGGCGAGCGAGCGGTGATGCAGAGGCCATTGATGACCTAGTTTCAAGGGAGCAAGGGGGAAGATAATACATAATACAAAAGGACGAGGGAACAAGACAAGAAGAAAGACATACGAGAGAAACAGATACCTGAGACGGATCGTTTCATCAGGTCGTTTCGTCTGGGCACATTGGGATCGGCGGGACGCTCGCTGCTACCGACATGATGGATACGGTGCGGCAGTACGTCATTTACCACGCCTTACCAGTTCTGTCCACATGTCAACGAGGCCAAGACACAGAGTGTGGCAATATATAGCTCGCTCCCAAATGCAGCTGTTGACGCAGCGATGGCCAGCAGAGACAGAGAACAACAGCCTCACACCCTCACGCCATTGGCCGTGGACCTGACCTCGACCCTTCCCTGGCCACTGACCCTTTCCACCATTTCCTGTCGACCACCTCCTGTCTAGATGGAATCGACTGAACAAGGAGAGCAGTGAATACCATCTACGTCAAGCACAGCACCTCTGAGGTGACACAGAACAGGACATAGCAGTGTCAGAGCGCACCCGTATGTGTGGCTTCTATCGTCTAGATGGTTAGGACGTAGGTCTCATAGGTACAACTGTGAGCTCGAATTACGAGTAGATCCTGCAACCAGAGTTCGAGTCTCTGTGGAGGCACACCTTTTGCTACAAGGTACAAGCAGATGTACAGGAAGTGACTCGAGGAGGTGAGGTAGACAGAGCGGGCAGGCGACGGCGGAGGGGAGAGTGATTATGGGGTTCGGAGAGCACTTATCCTTTTTTGGCTATCTAGGTTGCATTGGATAAGGGCATATGCCGTATAACGACAACCTTTCAACTGTCCAGGCGCGTCCATGCATCCCCAAGTTGCCCCTACGATGGCAAGAGACGCACAAGTGATGGTGAAAGTGCCACTGCTCCTCCAACGACCTCCACCGGAACCAAACGCCCCACGCGCGTGGTCCGTGCCTGGGTGTCGCGGATCGTGTCATAGATCTCATAGATCTCATACATGTCAGAGCGATCAGTCAGTTGACATCTCGTGTCGTTGCTCACATCCCACCCACCATCCATTTAGCCCTCCCGCTCGCTCGTCTTCGGCTCACACACATACCGAGCGTCCACAGAGAGGTCACAGAGGGACACAAGCACGTATAATAAATCAGCTCCCCAACATGTCGCAGCGCCAAACGATCGTCTCTGCGCCAGGCAAGGTCCTCCTCGCAGGTGGCTACCTCGTCCTCGACCGCGCCTACACGGGTCTGGTGGTCGCTACCAGCTCGCGTTTCTACGCCTCGGTGAGCGACGTGCCCGCCGGGGCCGCCTCGGTCCCTACCTCGTCGTTCCCCAGCGCCTCCACGTCTGTCGCAGCCACTCCAGCCGGTAGCGGGCGCGCAACTCCCCAACGTGTCAAGAGCGCTCGTGTCTCGGTGACGGCTGGACAGTTCCCCAAGGACGCTAGCACATGGGCGTATGATGTGGTGTTTGCTGGCGAGAACGCTCCCAAGCTTGTGCCGGCCCACGAAGCACGGAACAAGTTTGTCGAGGTCACTCTCAGCAATGTCCTCCTCTACGCCGGTGAGCGTCTGGGGCGCGATGGTCTGGCGCGCAAGCTCGGTGCTGGGCTCGACGTTGTGGTGCTTGCCAACAACGACTTTTATTCGCAGCGTGAACAGGTGAGTATGGAATGCAGATGGCGGGTACATGCGGGGTGAGGTCGAGGATGATGCTGATGCCGCCTTCCCTCTGCGTGTCGCTCCTCACAGCTCGCTGCCGCCAATCTTCCTCCCCGCCTCGAGTCGCTCGCCGCTCTCGAGCCCTTCTGCCCCCTCCCCCGTCCCATCGGCAACACCAACAAGACTGGTCTTGGAAGCTCCGCCGCGCTGGTCACTTCGCTTGTCGCTGCCCTCCTCCAACACCTGGGTCTCGCGGACGTTGCGTCCGCTGCCGACCGCGACGAGATCCACAGCCTTGCCCAGGCCGCCCACTGCCTCGCGCAGGGCAAGGTCGGCTCGGGCTTTGACGTCGCTTCTGCCGTCTACGGAACGCATGTGTACCGCCGCTTCTCGCCCTCTGTTCTCGAGCCCCTCTTCAACGGAACCGGCTCGGTCCTGTCGGTCGTTCGCAGTGACGCGTGGGACACTGAGCAGCGTCCCTTCCGCCTCCCCCGTGGCCTGCGCATGATGCTCGCCGACGTGGATGCTGGCACTGACACGCCGTCGTTCGTCGGCAAGGTGTTGGCATGGCGCAAAGACAAGCCTGAAGAAGGTGAGTGTGGTCAGAAGAAAGACCACTGTGAGAACATGTCGTTGACGGGACCAGCCAAGAAGCTGTGGGACAGAGTGGACGAGTCCAACCGCGAGCTCGAGGCTTGTCTGGCGGCATTGGTGGACGCAGAGAAGGAGCCCAGCTATGACCAGGTCATCGCGGAGGCAGCATCGCGTCCCATCACCGAGGTGAGTTGTAATTGAGAAACTTTGATTCCATTCACTGTCATGCTTACGACAATCACCAGCTCTCTGATGGCAAGGTCGAGGCGCTTCTGAAGAGGACGCGCGACGCGATCCTGCGTGTCAGGGCTGGAATGCAAGCCATGTCGTCTGCATCCGGCGTGGCCATTGAGCCCGTTGAGCAGACACGTCTGTTAGACACTTGCTCTGCATGTCCTGGCGTGCTCGGCGGCGGCGTTCCTGGAGGTAAGTTGATATGCGGCCGACCTCCCCCCCGTTGGCTCAGCTAACAAAGCCAGCTGGTGGCTACGATGCCGTGTGGGTCCTTGCCCTCGACGCCAAAGCGCCAGTGGCGTCTGTTGAGACCGTCTGGGGTGGCTGGAGTGAGATGTCTGTGTGCCCATTGTCCGCTCGCCAGAGTGACGGCGGTTTGCAGCTCGAAATGTCCCAGGCCGTTCCGGGCCTCGCCGCGCGACTGTCGCCAGCTTAGGTTGACGACGTTGTTTGCATTTGCGACACCACTGCCGCACTGTAGGAGACACGTGTATGACGGTGGGAGACGTGGAGACAGCGGAAAGGTCGACAAGACCAGAGTATTTCTGTCCCAACGTCTGCCGGCAGCGGGCCACTGCCCGCTGTGCATACCCGTCGGGCTTTCGTCTGCTTTCTAATTGTAGGATGTGCCCCGGTATGTCCGGGGATAATGATGCAAACGCTGTATGGTGCATGTTGTCCGCAGAGGCCCAGAGCGTGAGTGGCCCGCGGGCATGTTGGTGCCTCACGCGTCGTAGCCCCTTTTCCGTTGCCGTACAACGAAGGTGCGGAGAGGGGTCCATGAGAACGACAGCAGCGATTTTGTTCTTAGTGTCCTCGTGTTGTTGCTTGACATGCACGTTTACGCAACACGGGTTTTACGGTTGATCTATGGCTTAGCGTAGCTAGCGTAGGCAGTTTCAAGCTGTGCGTGCCACATGGGCGCCCGCGACTGATGGATTCCAGCTGCGATTGTAGAGTCGTAGTACAACCATGGTAACTGGGTCCTCGGGGCCTGGAGACCCAGAGGGGTGGTGTACGTGGTGTGAAGCGGTAGCGAAGGAAACAAAACACACCACGCAGGCGCTTGCGCTGAGGTGCTGTAAACGGTATGCGTGGGAAACAAGAGGCAACATGAGCTTGGGGGCGGCATTTGAAAGAACAATCAGCAGAGCGCCAGAGACAGGTCTCAGCCCTCGAATGGCAACATTGACACCTGCCCTTCCTTGCTACTGCCCAACCCCGGCGCGTCCCGCGTTTCTCGGTGCATGCGCTTCTATTCTCATTCTGACAATCCTTCTCAACTGTCTTCCTCACATACACGCGTACACTTCTCCCTTTGTTGGCTGGCCACACTCGCCTTCCCGCCGTTATCATGAAGGACGAGGACTTTGACACCGCCCCCCTCCTGTCGGATCCCGAGTCAGGTGCACACCGTTCTCCTCGCGACCACCATGGCCGCTTCAGTCTTGCATCCTGTCGGTTGTGAGTTACCTTGTTTCCTCGCCGTATCACTTGTCCTCCAAAACGATTCGTTTCGTGTCGCCACTGGGCCCGCAGCAAGGTGCCCCAGATCGACGTCGACGAGGTCCGCCGCCACATTGCCCCCTATCCCCACCAGCCTCCCCCCCTTTCGCCGTGCGGTCATGATCACTTCCGACTGACAATGCAGCCCGACCCGTCGCATCCACCTGATTTTGTTGGGTGTCGCGCTGTTCGTACTCGGTTACCTTGCACACCCGCAGACTGCGGGCGCCGGTCAGACCATCAGGTACTGGACGAGCCCTCGTTTCCAACGTGCTGTTCGTATCCGGGTCTTCAACGAGCTGCTGCAGGAGCGCTATCCATCATCGTCAGTACAGTACATTCATCATTCATCAATTGTTTTTGCAGCTTGACTGATGAACTCAGTGACGAGGGGTCCCGGAACCACCGTCAGCACAATTTTGACAGCCTGGAGCGTCTTGCCCTGTGCACCAATGCTGGCACTTGCACCGAGAACGAGAAGACCATTATTGTGCTTGCTTCCGGTCACTTTGGTGAGCACTTGGAACCCCATACCCATACCTCCCCCCCCGGAGTTCTGAGTTCTGACCCCCTGTCAGGAAATGCACTTGCCGGTATGGTTTCGGGTGAGGACATCTGGGCCATCTCGACCCTGCACGCGTTCCAAGAGCTCAACATGACGACCCTCATCACCTTTGGGCACATGGAGACCTTGTTCATCTACCAGTCGCTGCCTGACCTGATCCCAGTCGTGATATGGGAGGGTGGCAACCTGCGGCGTTGTATCGCACGCAACAGTACCAACCACATTGAGATGGAGCAAAAGGATGAGGAGAGCGGCGCTTGGCAGCACGGCATCCAAGGTTGTATCCAGACCCCGCACTTCCCGTTGGGCGTCCCCATCTGGAAGAGCTTTGCATTCCACTTCTGGGATAACGCCGCATCCCCTCTAGGTCGCGAATGGACTCTGGCGCCTGAAGATTACGGAGCTATGGACCGCGACCACGAGGGCAACCATTATCTCGGTAAGTTTGGATCTAGGGCAATTGAAGATACTCCGTGGCAACGTTTTAGAATCTTGGCTGTGTGCTGACGTAGCAAACAGGATACTCGATCGAGCAGCGTTGCCTCAATGCGCCATACTTTAGCGAGCGCGAGCACCGGGCCATTGTGCTTGCCAAGAACCCCTCGTACTTTGAAAAGATTAGGAACAGGTTTTACCACCTCCTCAACGGCGCCAAAGAGCGTGTACCCGACGCAGCGGACCCGGCTGGCGTCATGACCCAGTTCAAGATCATCTCCACTGCCGGCCATGAAGTCACGCCCAACAACCCTGCGGCCGTGATTGACGAGCCTGGTGTCGAGGTCATTGGCCGCCAGCCCCAGGACCAGTGGATCCAGACTGTCGCCCGCTCCAAGGTTATGCTTGGTATTGGCGCCCCACCCCTGTCGCCTTCGCGTGAGTATCGTCGTGTCATTTATGGATTGAGCCAACAGTTTACTGACGCCTATCACAGCGTTTGATGCACTGTGTTGCGGTGTCCCCTTCATCAACCCGTAAGTTGCCATTTCGCCACGATCAACGGGGACCGCCAAGCACCCAATTGCTAACAGGCCCAGTATCTTGAAGTGGGACGAGTCGGATCCAACAAACCGTTTCAAATGGGTGACACAGGCCAACGGCCTAAAGTTTGTGGACCCTCCCTACGTCTACCACGTTGTGAGTTGTTTTCTACATGACGCCAAAAATGGCTATGGCTCTCCGGAGCAGTCGCTGACGATCGTTTCAGTTCCAGGAAGACGCGGACGGTCTGGCCAAGGCGATTGGGGACGCGGTGGCCAACCCGATCACACGCTATGTGCCGCCCAACATGCGCTCCGACGCCGTGCGCGACCGCCACCTCGATCTAGTCAAGGGTGACTGGCTCGCCGCGGCCAAAAAGTATGTCGGCGAGCACTTTGATGCCAACGATCCCGACACCACGTGGCTCTGTATGGACCCACCCAAGAACCGCAATACGTTCATGATGCCCGGCCACGAGGGCGAGGCCGGTGCCGCATAGGGAACCCAAACGGCCTGCCTCACCCCTTCCCTCTCCGCTTGGCCCGACGGACGTGTGTGAGACCTCGATTCGACAGAGGTCCGTCCGTCCGTCGGTGTGTCTGTGATATTTCGGTCTCTTGTTATCTTGTGACGATTTCAGTGTCTAGATGTGGCCGCGAGCGCATCATGATGCCCTCCCGCCATACAGCCAACCCATCTATACCCCACAATCTATCTGTCTGCAGTGTCTTGTACACGCGTGCCATCATATGTAACTGGTTTGCAAATAGCCCTCCGCCCTCACACTCTGCATGAGCGTGACCGAAACTGTACCTGTCCTCGTCCCGTACTGCATCACCCTGTTGCAGCCTGTTGCCGAATCCCTTGACAGGCCTACCGGGAGCCTGAAACGGAACCCAGTTAGGCAAAGGGTATGCCCATACATACCGAGAACGAGGATCTGGACATTAAGGAAATCGTGCCAGGCTACCTGCCAGGTTGGTGATGAAGATGAACGTGACAGAGGCAGGCGTTCACGAAGCCGAACACGTCTGGGCCTGGCTGGTTGGCTGGTTGGCATTGGAGGTCGGCTCGTCGGCTGGAGGCACCAGGATGTCTCGACGCCATCCCGTTGCACAGACACTTAGCTAGCGGTAACTGCATGCCAGATCCCGGAAGTGTGTCTGTGCTCTGGCGTGCGGGTGTCACCTTTGCCGGCCTTGTTCCAGAGATCCGGACGGCAGAGGCCAGATCCCGGATCACGATAAAAGGCAGATCAGAACAACTGGGTGGCAGCATGCGCGGATCGCGGACAGCAAAGGTCGAGGAGCAGCCACGGCGAAGGTGAGCTGTAACCTGGCTCTACCACGGCCGCCGGCTTCAACGTTGGACACAAGTTGGGTCGGCTGCGAGGGACGACCGCACGTACGCACGGTCGGCAGCCCCCGCAGTTCTCGCTGTGGCTAGACGTCAGGAGCTCTGGAGGGACCGAGCGGTCTGTGGCGGCACGCCTCGCACTGCACACGGTAACAACAGTGTGCGCCGCTGTGCGCCGCTGTGATGCAACAGGTCGGCTTGCGTAAGCCCACAATGTCCTCCTGTTCCTCACGATCATAAAGGACAGGCAGTACATGACCTGTACCCCTGTTCCCTGTTTCGTGCGGTCATGTTCGTCGTCATGGACAATGGAAGTTTCGCACCGGTGGCCGGTGGGCCGCTCGTCAAGGTTTACCCTCTCGCTCCGTTGGTCCATCGGAGTTGGATGTGGTGTCTGGCATATGGCACTTCCCACTTCCAGTAAATGGTGCTTATCCTCCACTGCTCGTGGCCCCCGAGGAAGACGGTCAACGTGGTGCCTCGGGTAGCGTTCGCGGGGGTGGCATCATCCCGCCGAGCTAAAGAGTTAGACGAGAGTCCAACGGAGTTGGCGAAAATTGCGGCCAGCTTGTCAAAGGGAGTTTAAGGGAGGTCCACTGTGACCATGGACGCTGGCACGGAATGTCGACGCCGAACAAACACGGTCTACAAGAGGAACATGTGCACCATGCACAACACAAATGAGTGGGGGCAGATTGTTACTGGGAATGGCCTTTCCCGGTGTCCAGACTTCGCATTCCAGTGCCCCAGCTGGTGTTGAAGCGTCGCAAGCCCCCTCCATCGACTGTTCAACAGTCCCACACACTTGAGCACGCCGTCTACATTGCGATGGGTACCCTGCTCAATCCGCCCCAGCCGGAGGGTGACGGTGAGCACCTCCCGCCCATCCTCGGTCCCCCTAACCTAGGACCTCGGAGGTGCATGCATATGGGGTCCTGTGCATCCCGGAGCCGGCAGGAGCCCTACAGGAACCTTCAGGCCGCAGGCTGGTGGCGAAGCAACAGTGACTACGCCAGCGGCGCCAGCTCATAAACATCGGCCACATCAGCCGCCCTTTACGCCTTCATTCCGGCCGCGTTAGGGTGGGGGATTCGGACGCCCACTCTCTGACTGCGCGCAGCCCGGCAACGCATACAAGCATATGCAGAGACGCTAGCAATGATGGTGTCTGTGTCAGGTGTGCCATTGCAAACCCCAAGAGGGTTTAGACGACGACCCATCCATTAGGGCCACACCAGAACAGCCTTAGAGCTTGTAGGGCATGCGACGGTGGCCGCGGCCCTCGGGCCAACGCCCCACGATGGGCCCGGCCAGGAAAGGACCACACACCCTGCAGTTTGTGCATTTGGTTGGGTTGAATTGTAGCTTGCTAAATGTATGAATGTGATGGTTGGCGACGTTTGTTTACGCGAATGTGTGTTGCTGCGTCAGTACCCAGTCATGCCAGTCACCAGACACCAGTCACCAGTCACCAGACACCCGAGACTGACGGACCGCCACCGGGGGACGGGCACTGGAACTGGCAACACGCAGCCGTCGTCTTGGTAACCAGCTGTCCCCAATGGCACCGTTTGGCTGAACAGAACCGGCACAGCCGTGAGGTTCCGCAAGGTCGGGTGTGATGCCACTCCCACCCCAAGATCTGCGCGGTCGACAGGTCAGCGGTAGACGATGGGATCTGCACCTGAACCATCTCGTAAGCGTCTCCGGAACACTAAGAAGATTCCTCTGGCGGGCCGGCGGACGGTCGGAAGGACAAGCGCGCTGGCTCGTTAGAATTGAAGGAGCTTTACGGCGTGCGCGGCTGCTCCTCTCCTCCTCTCCTCCTGCCCCCGGGGTCCAAGCCGCTTGGCTGTTTGTGTCTGTCCTGGCTAGCAGCTTAGCAGCTTAGTGGACCAGTATCGACCAGACGACGGCACGTTGTTTTGTTCATACAGTATGTCGCTTAAGGAGCGCAAGAGGCTGGTTGCGGGATCCCAGCCGCACACCGTTTCCTGCAACGGTGTCGATCCGTTTGACGTGCATGTCATGTCCGTTTGTCTCGTGCAGTGGAAATGGCTGGGCGGGGGAAGCGCGGCACGCAGAGCGGGAGCGCAGAAGCAGAATGCGAGAAGCAAAAAAGCAGGCTCTCTCACCTAGGAACACTGAACCTTGTGCCGGAAAAGGTCCCAACGAGCAAAAGTGGAATTGTCTCTTCGTTTGAGAGTGACTCGCCGACGGATAGGCTTTGATGCACGTTTTGGGGGGCAGCTGTTGGGGCTAGATCCCAAACAGACACGACACGAGCATGTGTGCGTGCGTGCGTGCGTGCGTGGTGAGCTTGACAACAGCACAGCCGGCGTGTGAGATGCTTGTGAGACATGCCCGCGGAGAGTTTTGGCAAAGGGCGCTCAGGAGCCGAGGAGGGATCGAGAGGGATGAGCGACTGGGCGGCGGGAGCACCCACGACACCGTCACACAGACTGAAGACCGTATCTCTTGTGTTTCTTGCCGCCGTTCGCGTTTGGATTTCTCACTCCCTCCATCTCTCTCTCTTTCTCTCGTCGACACTCTTTCGCCCATTCCAGTCTCGCCTCGACCAGTGCACAAGGAGCGTGTGCCGGCACCTCAGCGACAAGCCCCCCCCCCCCCCCCCCGGACCTTCTCCTCCTCCCTGCCCCTTCCGACCTCCCTCTCCCCCTCGCGGTCGGCCCCACCGCACTATATCTAACCATGGGCATGGACTATGACTCGGAAACACCCCTCCTGGGATCACCACGGTTCAGTGACTTTGAGTCGCTGGGACTGCTAGGCTCTCCCATCGCCGGTCTCCCTCACAACCAACGTGTGGGTGTAAACTGGCGCCGTATGCGGTGAGTGTAGGTTTTGCTGCGATTGTCAGAGCACCAGGGTCAGCGCTCTAAGCCACCAAACGGCCGGCGTCCCCGTCCCCCGACCATGGGGGTAGAGGGTGCTTGATGGGCCTGACGGGCTACCTGGTGGCCTGGTGGAATACCCGGCACGTTCTTCTCCACCCACAAGCGCCAAGCTAACGCCCTGTAGTCCCTCTCTTCGCATGGTCGCCATCGGCACCATCTCGGTTGCCTTCTTCCTGTTCGGCTTCATCGTGCACGGCCCCGCCCTTCCGCGCGTCAGTGTCCGGTTGCATGTGCCATCGAACGCACCCCAAGCCAATGCGCACGATGCGGTGCGCGTGCGCGTGCTGCAGCAACTCATGAAAGAGAGGTATCCTGCCGGGTGAGTGTTACGGAACAACGGAGGCATGCGACCAAGAAATTGCTCCAGGGCATTTCAATGCTGACACCATTGTCTCAGGCCATGGACACATTCGCGTGCCGACAACTTCCCTGCTCTCGCAAAGCTTGCCGACTGTCTCGAAGCTGGGACATGCGATGAGAACGAGAAAAAGGTCGTCATCCTCACGAGCTACCACTTTGGCGGTGCCGAGTTGGGCGGAAACGGCGGCGAGGAGGTGTGGGCTCGGTCTACCATTTCGGCGCTGAGGCAACTCAACTACACCATTCTCTTCTGCTGGGGCCACATGGACACCCTCATGATCTACCAGCACATCCCCGACATGGTGCCCGTGGTCCTCTGGGAGCCTGGAGAGTTCCACCACTGCATGGAGCGCAACGACGAAAACTACCTCGAGATGGAGGGCTACGAGACCCAGTCGAGCGGCGCCTGGCAGACGGGCAAGAAGGGCTGTCTCCAAAGGGCCGACTTCCCCGAGGGCATTCCATACTGGAAGAGCTTCATGTTCAACTTCTGGATGCACCATGGCCACCCGCTCGGCGGCGGGTGGGTCATGGCTCCCGAAGACTATGCGTCGTTTACCGATTTCAAGGACCGTAGATACCTCGGTGAGTGCAGGCATTTCTATTTGCATACACCAAGTCAAGCTGACCCCTTACCCTTATAGGCTATTCGATTGAGGAACAGTGCACTCTGGCGCCAACATACCACTTGCGCGAGCACCGCGGTATGATCCTCGCCAAGGAGCTGCGGTACTTCGAAGAAGAGGAGAACAGCATGTTCGGTATCCTCGGAGCGGCCCGCGAGTCAGTGCCGCCCGTCGAGGTCCACGGCCATTTGGCCCACTTTGACCTCGTCTCCACTGCCGGTGACGAGAAGGGCGCCGCCATGCCCGAGGGCATCATCTCCACGGGCCGCATGCCACAGGAGGAGTGGCACCAGCTGCTCGCCCGCTCCAAAATGCTCGTCGGGATTGGCCACCCCGAGCTCTCGCCGTCGCCGTACGACGCGCTCTGTCTCGGCGTGCCATTCATCAACAGTGTCCGCGAATGGGATGAAAACGACCCTACCAACCGCGAAAAGTGGCAGACCCAGCAGGACGGCCTCAAGCTGTTCGACGAGCCGTTCGTCTACCACGTGTTCAAGCGCAACGAGACACAGCTTTCCGGCGCCCTGCAGCGCGCGGCTGCCCACCAGATCGACCGCTTCATTCGTGAGCTTTACCCTTGTTGTACGTACAGCTAACAACCCAGCTCCAAGGATGCGCATGAGCTCGGTGATGCAGCGCCACCGCGAGTGGATCGAAGAGGACTGGCTCGTCAAGGCCAAGGCGCTTGTCGCAGAACGTTACCAGGACCAGGAAGAGTACGCGCACCTCGCGATGGAGATGCCTCCCGTCGGGCGCTGGGGCTATACCGACCCAGCAGAGCACGAGGAGCTGTGAGACGAACGAGGATAGGAGTGTGTGGCCCAGTGCAGACGAGTGCCTGGGCGTATCCGAGGAAGAAGTGCATTTTTTGACCCGACTCGCAACAACGCGGCGTTCCCCCAATCCTACCTACATCTACTATCGACTCCCCCATCCCAGCCCCCGCCCATTTGCCTATAGACAAGAACCCAGGCGATCTCGAGGACAATGATTTCACGAAGCACATCCCACCCAAAACGATTTCTGTACCATACTTGTATTTCAGACAGCTCATGATGGATACTGCTCTTAGCACGCATAAAGCCACAGGCTGGGGTTTACAGATCTGGGGCCGGTAGTGTACGCAGTGTCAGGGCACATGTTGGCTGCTCATGAGCCTGAAACTGATGGTAGATCTGAGTGAGAGCGCCGCGCTGATCGCTGGATCGCTGACTAGGTGGGCATTTTAGATAAGATAAATTCTACCCCAGGCACACAAATGGACCGCAATCCAGCTCGCTGAGTCGCAGAGATCCATCCGGTCGACAAGGACATAAGAGACCTTGCCGTGCCACACGTCGCGTAGTCAACACGTCGAGTGTTGTTTCCGCCCTTTTTACCACGTCTCTGGCACCAGTCGCTCGGCACAAACCTTGGGGCCCAGTCGATTCGCACGAAACTGCAAAACCTAATCCAGGTGTGCTTTGCTATTTCCGTCCGGCCGTCCGCTCTCATCATGGCTTTTTCGCCGGCACACAATTGGAGTGTGCGTGTGTATATACACCAGTTGTGGCATCTGGGAGACCTTTTGCTGATATTCACAGCCCCAGTCCGTTCTGTAAACGACGGGACGAGTGGCGACCATATGGGACTGAGGACCTTTGCACGGCGCCGTTCCAGAACCACGGCCCGTCACGACGTGACTGACGACTCCCATTCCGCGCATATGGGTCGTTGCTTGCCTGCGTTGCCCACAGCCAGCCGTCGGCATCGGTACATATGGTGCTGCGCAGTATCCGGCCGGGTTCCTACCCACATGCATGGTTGTGTAGTTGACTGTGGCCTGTGGATGTGTGGGCGCACAGACGGGGGAACGGCTCGGTGCTGTGGCTTTTCTTCAGCGGCACAAATGCGAGCTCTTGCTTTCCGTGTACCCCAGGCGGGACACCGCTCAGGCCCTCCTCCTCCATCTCCTCGGGGCGACGCACACTCCATACACAGCGTCTGCTGCCCGGCATGGTGCGCACCACGCAGGCCCAGTTTGGCAGCACCTGAGCATTATTCACCCGCACAACACACAAACACTCGCGAGTGGGGGTGGTGGCGTCCGTCACTGCAATGCGTGGCGTCCGCCCCCTTGTCCACACCGCCGCCGTGTACCGTGTACTCGACGCGTCTGGTGGGCATGGCATGGCATGGGATGCGGGGATGCTGTTTCCCTGGCATGATACGTGTTGGGACTGGAGAATATCATTGTCTGCTAACATCCAGAGACCCTATACGGCCTATAACCCTGTACAATCAATTGTGTACACTCCAGTTCTCCTGTCTACGTCGGTCGGTCTGCCGGGGGTGTTGGTTTTCGTGTATGGGTGGGTGGCGGTGGGGGGGGACGCGTTTCGGAGCGCGTCGCCAATGTGTGCGGTCTTCGTCCCTGGTCTGGCTGCCCGTGTACTGCGCCTGGCCAGTCGTCTTGTGGTGTGGTACATATGTGTGGGGGGCGGCGGTACACCGCCTAGTCGATGGTGATGACGGGGGTGAGGTAGACATCGTAACTGCCCAGGGCGTTACCACACGACTCGAGGGGATTGCCGGGACAGGGGGTGGTGCAGTAGAGGAGGGCGGAGACAGAGTCCCCCGAGTTGAAATCCTGCGCACAAGAGCACACGCCACCGAGGAGACTGGAGCTGAGCATGGCAAAGTTGTAGTTCTTGTCACCACAGGTTGTGGAGCACGTCTCGGGGGTCATCAAGATCGACGCGCTCCCCTGTTGAGAGAAGGCGCTGGAGGGCTTGATGCACCCCAGCCAGTTTTCGTCGTGCCACAAGTCCCTCGAGACGACGACATCACCGGCAGGAGCGGCAGTTACGAGGCTGGCGGATGCGAGGGCGAGGAGGACAGCGGCGAGCATTGTGGCTAGAGAATGGATAGTCTTGGGAGGAAGAAGTGGTGCGGTGGGCGATGGTTCTCGCTCCCTGCTGTCTTATATGCAGAGTACTTTTTCCATTCATCAGCCGCTCCACCAATGTCCCCCGACGGCAGTAGGGGGAGCTCCTCGGCACTAAGGCTCGGCATCACCAGGAGCACTGCCCAGCATCATCGTCTCGGACAGATACCCGTCATTGTGATTTAACCTCCAAGACCCCTTACACACAAGGTACGCGTACGGCCCAGGCCAGAGTCCTTGTTGGCTGCTGGGATCCTGGGGACGTGCACGACCCGGCGCATCCTCAGCTGCATACGCCGGTGCAGAGCAGGAAATACACTTCCAGACAAACCGCGCGCAAGCTGCGGTGGACAAACAGCTCGGTGGTGTCATGCCAAAGGGTCGGTGGAAGCCATTTCTTCTAGGAAATAAATATCGATAAGGGAACCTTACGAGCGCCACACGCCACCGCAACCTCTCTCGTCAATTGTACACGATCCCGCATGTACCAGTATGCTTGTCAATAAGAGTGATTATGCATGGGCCGGGGGTAGAGGGAAGAAGTGAGGCTATGCTGTAATGAGTTGGACGTAGTGGTACAAGTGATTTGGCACTTGGCACAGGCTGACGTTATCCGCGTGAGGGTTCGGCGATCCTCTGAAATGCGACCAGAAGCAAAACCTCGCCCGCTAGCGTCGGCAGAAGAAGAGGCATGCTGCGCAACGGGAACCTTGACAACAGCGAGACTCGCCGCGAGGTGCTCAGCGGCATTACAGCCAGCGGGCGGCTCGGCCACTGGAGGATTGGGTCTCAATAGGCGCCACTTTCTCCGAGGTACCCGATCTGGCGGCGCTGTCGCTACCCTCCACTCGAATAGGCCAAGGGCAACCCCACCCTCGCTGTACTGGGCACTCGCTGTGAATGGCCGGGTTTGTCTCGGTAGCGCACTGCAGTCCAAGGAGAGACAGTTATCCCGTCGGTGCGGTGTTCAGTCAGTACCTGCGTCGGCCGATGGTCCACCCCCGAGTGGTCAGAGGAAGAGAAGGGCCACTCTACGCAAAACCTTCCGATGCCGTGTAGCAATTGCTCTAACAAGGCTGAGCCGCAGGGCCGTATCCTCGCCAGAAGGTGCAGGTCCAGCCGGGGTGTGGGCACCTGGTGGATGTGGACTACAAAGGCCAGAACAGTCATGTCCGACCTCTTTCCGTAACAGGATGGTCTAGACCAGTGGCCAGTGTTCTGAGACTGGTGGGTTACGAGTGTGTGCACGTCACTGTGTTCTTTCGCCGCCCGTGATTCCGGTCCGGCACATGAGCCTCGCCGTGGCGTAGAGAATGGTTTCGGAAGCTGGATACAAAAAAACAGTCTCGGCGATCGAATTCGAGTACGGAACGCGGCAGATTAACGTGTGGAAGAAGAGCTGGAGAGTGGCACGCAGTAGTGAACGCAGTTTCGCAAAAAGTGGCCTCGTGCGCTTAATGAGGGGTATGCACGGCTGGATTTAAAGAGGAGGAATGGACTTAAGACGTCTGTGGAACGAACAATGATCAGTACTGGACTCGGCAAAGCGTGATTTTAAATAAAATAAAATAAATAACGGATGCTTCGTTGTGAATACCTGCGTCTTGTGTGTCACTTCAAAGCATCTAAAACCAGGTAGTCATTGGTCCGTGGTTCTGGGCAGAAGGACTGCACGCCCAGCACTGGCATGCGAAGTACGAAAGCTGAACAACAGCGCAGAAAAAAGAAATTTCCACTGATAAAATATTATTTTCCGCGCCATATATTTTGTCAATACACCGTCAACTGCCCTCCCCATCTGTGTACTTTCTCGCCCCGCAAATGAATGGAACAGTGAATAACCAGTGTTCCGGTTATGGGCAAAGTCTGCCAAGACGGTCAGCAGAGAAAATGGCAAGCAACAGTGGAACCAACGTGTGAACAGCAACCTGCGTGTGGTAAAGACCTCTCACGAGGCCACTGCCGATGTTGAAAACTCTCGTGGGCCAGCCTCGATCCAGGATGCACATCCAATCATCCCTGGTGTCGTCATTGTGTCTCTTGCCTTGGGAGTGATAGAGCAGAATCCAGTCCGATTGCCTACGCGACGGTGGCCCACCCAACGACGAGTCCTCGACGACTACCCTGTATGAAACGCAGGCTTGAAGCAGTTGATGCAATTCGCCGCCTCCCGGTCCACACCGTGTTACATTTGGGACGCCCCCCCCCCCCCGCGTGGTACATATGGGATGACTTCCCACCGCCACCAGAAAGCATTGAGAGCAAGTGGCGTCGATCGCACGCGCTCCCACATGCCCACACACGTCCCAGCCACCCACGTTGGTGACAACATTCTTGTAACCACTGTCTGTGCCCAATGCCTCACCCAACCCCATTCTGCTCTAGTACACCGGTGACATAGCATGGCCCGTGTTGAACTCTAGGCTATCTATCTCCTGTACCCTGGCCCATGTATGTATGTGTGTGTGTTGTATATACAGCCGTGTATTGTAAAACTCTAGAGTCTTGGATACGCAACCACAAGACGGAAAGAAGCGATTCCCGGGGGGATGGGCGGGAACCACCAATGACGGACACTTGACGCATGGCATGGCATGTGTGTGTGTGTGCGTCACGTCGTCTAGCTGGACGACGCCTCCGAGAGGGTCGAGTCGACACCCGAGTCCTGCTCGGACATGACGCCGACCCTGACGGCCTGGCCGCGGTAGTTCTTGTAGAACGCGACGTCGGCCTCCTCCTCGATGAAGACGCACTGGCGGTGCGACTTCCAGAGCGAGACGAGCATGTTCTCCTCGGAGCGCTGGTAGTGCTGGCCGAGGAACGTCTTGAGCGCCGCAGTGGCCTCCCAGGCGTGGTAGTGGGGGATCTTGGAGCAGATGTGGTGCGAGACGTGGGTCTCGCACAGGCCGTGGACGAGGTAGGTGCCGATGGGGCCAAGGAAGGTACGGTCAATGGTGCAGAGGGCGCCGCGGGGGAAGGTCCAGAGCTTGTCCGTGTAGTGGGCTGGCGCGTCAGCAAGCGTGCCACCTTGCTGTGTGCATTGTACTCACGGATGGTGGGGTCGGTGTGCTGCAGGTAGGTAATAAGCACAATCCAGTTGTTGACCCAGAGGTAGGGGATGCCGTAGTAGAGCATCATCTCGGTGAACGAGCGAGCGTACGACCAGTAAGCGCAGGCGGAGAGGACGAGGATAATGCCGAGGTCCGACCAGAGGATCTGCCACTTGTGGGTGGAGCGGAAGATGTGCGACGAAGGGGTAAAGTCTGGATCGGGGGATCAGCACAGAACGTACGATGCTTCTCGTGCATGTGGTACTCACGGTTGACCCAGCCGGGGTAGCGGTTCTTCTGGCCGGCGGCGTTCATGATGAGGTAGAGGGGGAAGCCGGCGAGCTGGTACATGGCGACCCAGAAGATGGCCAGGGGGACGTGGTCGAGAGCCTCGGCGAGGGCGGACTGGGACTCCTCGGAAACGCTGCGATGGGGTTAGTAACGGATCGAAGAACTGTAGCTGCTACTCACTTGAGACCGGCAATCTCGGCATCGTCCTTGGCGGCAGGGAGGTTCCGCTCCTTGCGGTTACGGGGAACGAAGACTTCGTCGCGGGTGAGCGAACCGGTCGCGGCGTGGTGACGCGAGTGCGAGATGCGCCAGGCGTGGTAGGGAACGAGGAGGCACGAGTGGACGACCCAGCCGATGGTGTTGTTGATGGTCTTGGACGACGAGTAGGCCTGGTGACCGCACTCGTGGCCAACAACCCAGAGACCAGTACCCCAGAAACCAGTCCACAGAGTGTAGAGGAACCAGAGAGTGACACGGGCCACCTTGGTCTGGGTCTCGGGGAGGTCGGCCCAGGCAAGGACGTCCTCGATGCGGGTAGCGCAGTACACGAGGACGGCGACAGCGGCAAGGTCCTGGACGAGGTAGTAGGTCGAACGGAGGGCCGAGCGCTCAAAGCAGTGGGCCGGGATGGCGTCCAAGAGCTGCTTGTTCGTGAAGCTGGGGACCACGAACCTGGGAGCTGGTCAGCCACTGCTTGCACTGCGGCGGTCTGTACTGGTGTCCATGGGACCCGTAGTGGATCATTTGGAGCTCCAGAGCTTCATCACACAGCGTCCACCGGCAGCAAGAAGTATTGCCACGTCGGGGTGGGCGGTAGGAACAACAGCGGGCCGGGAAATTTCTACTCACTTGGCCGACTCGGGGACCTCATCGAGGTCGACCTTGAGCTTGGTGGCCGCGTTGGACTTGACCTCGCGTTGACGGAGAGACGACATGGTGTATGGGAGGTTGGACAAATCGCCAGCACCGCAAATCTTGGAGATTATCAATGCCCAGGCTCCAGCACGGTTGCGGTCCCCCAGCCGTGTACCCCCGGCATGCTACGGTGCGCTGCCAAGGCGTGCCCGTCGGCTGGCTGGCAGAGTGCTGAAAACGCAGGGGGGGTGGTTCAATCAGGCGTCGCGCGTTACGCCCACCTGGGTGTGCTGGCTGGCCAGTCGCTCGCCGCTCGATGCGTCCGTTCCCCCCACTAGCCCCACTTGCGCTGGGGAAGACGGAGACGGAGAGGCCTCTCGGGTGCGTGGACGCTGCCAGCGCTGGCTGGGCACACACGATTTGGGGTTGGAACGGGCTCACACCTGAGGTTGGAAAACCTGAACGCTGAATTTTGTGTGCGTGTTGCGCGCGTTCGATGTCCATGTCCCGTCTGCTTGGGAACCATGCCCTGACCCACAGCTCGCTGCACAGCGCCAGCCCACCCCCACCCACCGCCAGTCCATCCCCCTGCGCGCGCGCAGGCCGGTCAGTCCCCGCCAAACCCCTGGATAACGGGGGCTATATCGCGCAACAGGCTCACTTATCGAACGTGTCTCTCTGGTCTCTCCATGCCTCCGTCGCGTAACACCCGTGTTCAGCCGGTGACCATTCCCCGCCAGAGCAACCAAAGATTTGCCCAGGGCGTAGGCAGTGGACATGGGAGTCTCAATGACACGTACTGTGCGTGCTGTACAAGGGCATCTTGATATGCACGTCAGCTACAAAAGACACAATGGTACAGTGGACCTGGGTCACACCAAAAAATAATTTAAGAGTTTGAGATTCCGCAAAATCTGTTTCCACCGGCGTGCCTGGATACGACAAGCAATCGACGATCCCAAGCGGGCAAGCGGGTGCCGTGGTGTAACCGACGGTGGCAAGTTCACAAGCGACCGTTAATGGACATGGACAAGGTTCGCTTGCTTGCAAAAGCAAGGTGTACCGGGTGTGCTAAGGCAGGACCAGGACAGTCGCCGGAGGTGAGACCTATGTTGCACGTACGCGTGTCTGCGTGCACCCCGCGCGGGGCTCAATATGCATGGCCCGCAGAGCGCCATACTAAGTCTTGGCTTTAGAGCGCCACGACGGCAACTCTGCCCTGTCTACCTGTCTAACGACCAGACCGTCGGGCTTGAAACGCCAAGCGCATGCGCGATAGCGATGGCGCCTGGCAAGAAAGATGCCACACGCGTTACATGGGCCGTCATCATCCAAAGCCACAACGGCGTCATAGATCTCATGAACGTTGCTGCGGGACAATTGTGTTGTGTTTGACGGAGCGACCTCTGGTTGGTATTGGCCCTACCCCAACCAAAGCAGCAATTGCAGGCTATGCACATGTACAGAAGATGAGAAGAGGTGTGATGCTATATGAGGACTTCGAGTCGCATCTGGCTGCTAACTTGTTGACGGTGGTTTAGCGGTGGTTTGGCGGTACGAGCATCACGAAACCGTCTGCCACTGCCACGCCATATCCTCTTCCACTGGAGGGCACGGCTTGCCGGCTGCAGTACTACAGACTACAGTGCCTCTACGGGTGGCGGCTCTTTATTAGCAGATGTGCTCACATGCTCATAGCAACGTCGCGGTCACCGCCGCCACACCTAGCGCACTGCGTCACCAGGCAGCTGGACGCCACTCTAGTGCATCCATGTATGCTTCTTCCCTCGTACCAGCGTGTCAGTGGTAGTGTCGGCCAACAGCGCAACGCAGCTCTACCATAACCACAGTGGACCACAGCATGTACTCCCTAACATCACACCATAAGCGGCGACAATGGGTCTTCATTCTTGACAAAACGCCAAGCTGGGACACAGCGCCACAGCTGGACGCCGCGAGAAACGCATAGACAGCCCAATCCCTCGCATAGACGCTCGAGGAGAAGGCCCATAGTGTGAATTGGCAGACCGACGGCATTTGCCACATGTTGCAATTGCCGAAACTCCAACTATCGAAATTATCGGGTTCGGCTTTAAGATCACGTGATGGGTTCGCCGGATTGGAGGGACCCTGCGGGCGTGCTCTCCCCTCGCCGCCTGGCTGGCCGTTCGAACACCTGAAGGTCAGTAGCTACAACCGTATCCGTCAAGGCCCACAGCAACCAAAAATGGTGAGTGCAGCGACAGCGCCGACACACGACCAGATGGCGTACACGCGCATAGCGTACGAACAAGCCCCCCGTGCGAAGGAGAGACGGCGGGAGGATGGTCTGGACGTGTGATCGGCGGCGCAGAACGGGTCTTTGTTGAAGAGGACGATTTTCGCTGACAATGCAGGCTCCCACCCAGAAGGTTAGTCGACAGCGCCCGCGAGCTGGATGATTTGAACGACGAGCTGGGAGGAACAGAGGAGCAGGGGACGAGCGTGGGGACCGCTGCGTCTCTGTGTCGAGAGAACAGAGATTGCGTGTGCTGGAAGGAGGGGATCCGCATATGGCGCTGCTGGTCCCCCTTTCTCGGCCACGCAGCGTTGCAGACGCAACGGCACAGTGTGCACACGTCTCTGCAGCGTGGAAGGCGTTTCAACATGTCTTGCGCTCGTCCTCTGCGTGTTCCAAATCCCGGGTCCTTTGGACGGCCAGCTACGCGCAGCAACTTTTTCAATGTTCCGCAGGACAGGTGCTAATTCTTGCAGACCCGCAAGCAGCGCTCGGCGCTCCAGGACGTCGTCACCCGCGAGTACACCATCAACGTCCACAAGCGCACCCACGACCTCTCGTTCAAGAGCAGTGAGTCGCATTGGCGGCAAATGTGCACGGGATTGCCAGCGAGAGAGGTGCTGCCGGTCAAAACCTGGCCGGCTTCCACTCCCTGGCACCTGTTGTCAACGCCCCGAACAGTCCTCTTCCAGTTCAGCCCCACTAACGGTTCGCAGAGGCCCCCAAGGCTGTCAAGGCCGTCACCGAGTTCGCGCAGAAGGCCATGGGCGTCAAGGACGTCCGCATCTCGCCCGGTCTCAACCAGGCCATCTGGGCCCGTGGTGTCCGCTCGCCCCCCCGCCGTGTCCGCGTCCGCCTCGAGCGCAAGCGTAACGACGACGAGGGCGCCAAGGAGAAGCTCTACGTTGTCGCCTCGGTCGTCGAGGGCGTCACCTCGTTCAAGGGTCTCGAGACCGTTGTCGTTGAGGGCGACGAGGAGTAAACACCTGGGTGCCTTAGGGTGGCGAGGGTGTTAGGCTGTAGCCCGGCGTCATGACATTCTTCAGCCGTGTACAGTGAACTGAGCGCGCATATGTGCGTGGGAGCAGCTGCAGAAAGAGGATTGTGTGTTGGTCAGGACTGTGGTATACTGTGGACTGTGCTGCACGCCGGGAACGTTTCGTGTCATTTTCGTTCCACCCGTCTACATCTACCGGCAGGTCGTTTCTGGTCTCCCGTAGTCGGTCGTGGGCAGCAGATGGCCCTCGCAGCTGGTCCTCGAATGTCTGCAGCGCAGACATGCATCCGGCCGCTCTAGGCCTTGCTACAAGCCTGCTTCAACCGCCCCAGCGTCGCAGGTGCCCCACCGAGCCCATAGTACCCGGCCACAGATTTTTTGAATCCGTCATCCAGGCACACCGCGATGGCCCGCCGTTAGATATGCAAAATCTTTGGGCGGGATCCCACCCTTCACAACCACATCCACAACAATGTCTGTCGACACAGAAGTCAAGATCAGCAAGGAGGAGCGCCGCAAGCAGAAGGAGGAGAAGAAGGCTCGCAAGGCCACCAAGGCCGCTGCCGCCACCGAGGCCGGCGAGGCTGTCGTCGAGGAGACCAAGAAGGAGAAGAAGGACAAGAAGCGCTCGCGTGACGAGGAGGGTGGCGACGAGGTCAAGAAGTCGAAGAAGTCCAAGTCCAAGTCGGGCGAGGCTACTCCTGCTCTTGACACTGGCGCTTCGACCCCTCAGAGCACCGAGGTCTCGACCCCGGCTGAGGGTGAGGCTCCTGCCCTGTCCAAGAAGCAGCTCAAGAAGCTCAAGGCCGCTGCCGCTGCCTCCGAGGCTTCGACTGCCGCTGCCGCTTCCATCCCTGCTCCTGCCGCCTTTACCGCTGCCGACAAGGCCTACCTTGCCGAGCAGAACATCACCCTCGAGCCCTCCCTCTTCCCCCCTCACCTCGACATGTCCACTCTTGCCGTCAACGCCTCGATTGCCAAGTTCCTCACCGTCTTCCCCAAGCCCACCCCCATCCAGGCCGTCTCGTGGCCCGCCCTTCTCGCCAAGCGCGATGTCGTCGGTATCGCCGAGACCGGTTCGGGCAAGACCCTCTCGTTTGGTGTCCCCGGTGTCAACCACATTGCTTCGCTCCCTGCTCCGGGCAAGAAGGGCAAGGGCAAGCTCGCCATGCTCGTCCTTGCTCCCACCCGTGAGCTTGCCCAGCAGTCGTTTGACACCCTTGTCAAGCTCGGCAAGGAGTGCGGCGTCGCCGCCGTCGCCCTCTTTGGTGGTATGCCCAAGGGTGACCAGATCCGCCAGATCAACACCGAGGGTGTCCGCATCGTTGTCGGCACTCCCGGCCGTACCCTCGACCTTGCCGACTCGGGCGACCTCGACCTCTCGTCGGTGTCGTACCTTGTCCTTGACGAGGCCGACCGCATGCTCGACGCCGGTTTCGAGAACGACATTCGTCGCATCATTGCCCACTGCCCCAAGCACGAGGGCGGTCGCCAGACCGTCATGTTCTCGGCCACCTGGCCCGAGTCGGTCCGTCGCCTCGCTTCGACTTTCCTCACCAACCCCGTCAAGGTCACTGTCGGCTCGGACGAGCTCTCGGCCAACAAGCGTATCACCCAGGTCGTCGAGGTCCTCGACACTGGCCGCGACAAGGACCCCCGTCTCGCGTACCACCTGCGCACCCACCTCAAGGCCGCCCCCGGCTCGCGTGTCCTCGTCTTTGGCCTGTACAAGAAGGAGGCCCAGCGCCTGGAGCAGACCATCCGCCGCTCAGGCCACAAGGTCGGCGCCCTCCACGGCGACATGAACCAGAACGACCGCTTCAAGGCCCTCGAGGCCTTCAAGGACGGCTCGGTCAACGTCCTCGTTGCCACCGACGTTGCCGCCCGTGGTCTCGACATTCCCGACGTCCAGCTCGTCATCAACGTCACCTTCCCCCTCACCACCGAGGACTTTGTCCACCGCTGCGGTCGTACCGGCCGTGCCGGCAAGACTGGCCGTGCCGTCACCTTCTTCACCGGCGAGGCTCACGAGCGCGCGCTCGCTGGCGAGTTTATGCGCGTCCTCCGCGACGCCGGTGCCGAGGTGCCCAAGGAGATGGACCGCTTCCCCAACACCATCAAGAAGAAGGAGCATGGGGCCTATGGCAGCTTCTACCGCGAGACAACCAACGCTCCTGCCGCTACCAAGATCACCTTTGACTAGAGGACGAGGTGTTGAGGAGGAGGAGGTTTGACGAAAAAGGACGAACGAAGCCGGCACATTTTTTCCCTCCATTTTCGCCTATTTTGAACATTTGTGCCACTTTTCACATGTCCAAAACCTAGAGTCTGTACTTGACCTTGCTCTAGACTGATCTAGATGTGCTCTAGACCACAACTGTAGACGTACTGTATGCATTTTCGGGATACCAGAACGCCAGGGGCAAGGCGGTTGCACGGGGATTGATGTCTGCCGTTGCCACCTCGGTACAAAATGATGGCATCATCCATGTTGCCATGTCGCCCTGAGCTTGATGATCACTCAGCATGCATGCGAGTCTGCGCAGTCGGCCAGACATTCCGGTGACTGCTGTTGTCTCACCTCTGTGCAGCAGAGCGTACGGACGGTGCCACAGCAGCACACGATAGTGTCCACCACTACTGTTTTTGATTGACGACCTAGCACCGCACCGTCCTTACGGCCGCCATGACGCTCCCGGGCGCCGGCGGGGCGACCTTGATCGCTCAGCATACCGTTGCAGTGGCCGCATGCTCGCTCAGCAGGTTACACTTTGGGAGCCTGCAAGTGCCCGTGTCGCCCCTGGTATATATTTTTTTTTGGCGCCGCCGGGTGGCGTGGACCCGGTGTGTGTCAGGCACTCTGTTGTATGACCCATGCCGCCACCCGATGACGATGGGCCGATTCCTTCCTTTCAAAAGACGATATATATTGTGTTAACCGGAACCCCGACCTCGTTTTTCCAAACAACTCCTTCTCCTTCTCATCCACATCCACACCCACACATCCACATCCATCACACACCATGGGTCTCCTCTCCGGTATCAAGTCAGCTGTCGGCTTTGAGCAGCTCCCCGAGGGCATCGAGGGCAAGTCGTTCTACGACCTCAAGGCCACCCTTCCTGGCAAGGACAAGGTCCTTGACTTTGTAAGCTATATACAAGACATGGACGTCGAGCTCACCCACAGGCCACTCTCAAGGGCAAGGTCGTCCTCATTGTCAACACTGCGTCCAAGTGGTGAGCACAACTATTGACCTCCTTTGAGCCAACAGCTGACCAGAGATAGTGGCTTCACCCCCCAGGTACGCACCGGCTGAGCGGATACCGGTGTATCGGCACAGGCCGCGTCAACGCGGCCCGCACCATACCATCCACCCCATCCACTGCGCTCCCCACTGACGACCGTCACAGTACACCGGCCTCGAGGAGCTGCACACCACCTACCACGAGCGCGGCCTCGAGGTCCTCGGCTTCCCTTCGAACGAGTTTGGCGGCCAGGAGCCCGGATCGGACGAGGACATCGCCTCGTTCTGCCAGGTCAACCACGGCGTCACCTTCCCTCTGGCCAAGAAGGTGAGTACTACTACTACTACTGTCGTGTGGATTCGCACCGGCGCCCCCTGTCCAGGCGCCAAGAGCGAGGTTCTGTGGACGGCGGCCAGAACCATCAAGGTTGTGGGCCGTTCTGTAAGGGGGAGGCTCAGGGGTGGCGCGATTGCGCGCAGTCGCTTCCTCCACCTCCACCTGCCCGTCGGCCATTGTGCTGGTCGTGCTGGCATCGCGTCCGTCCCACCATGCTTTTTGAGACGGAGCGACCGCGCGCACAGGGTGGATCCATGGAACCGGGGGTGGCGTTCAGGCAGGCGTGTTTCGTTCGCTAACGGGCCGCAGTCCAAGGTCAACGGCCCCGAGATGAACGAGGTCTTCGCTTGGCTCAAGGCCCAGGGCAAGGCTGAGGGCGGCGCTGGCGGTATCGGCGGCACCACCGCGATCAAGTGGAACTTCACCAAGGTGAGTAGCAGCGTCTTATGACGGCGCAGTGTCTCGCTTGTGCGTGTATGTAACTGACAACCTCAGTTCCTCGTGGACAAGGACGGCAAGCTCGTCGCTCGCTTCGGCTCGTCGACCACCCCCGCCGCCATCAAGGCCCAGATCGAGACCCTCCTCGCCTAGACATGTATTGAGGAGTCCGAGGCCGGCTGTTATAGTTTACAGAGGGGATGATAATATTGCCTTTACCGTGGTTACCCGCGACTCACATTTCTGCGCTTCTGTTTGGCTTTCACTCACCATGCACGGATCATGCGGCGGACTTCCTCCACCACCTGTTGGGGAGGTGCGATACAGATACATACAATTCCTTGGAGCGGTACCCGCCAGGAGGAGAAGCATCGTGACTGATGTTATGTGGAAGGATAACAGGCTGGAGAACTGGATCCAACTGGAGATGCATGGCTTCAGGTCTATAGGGCGGTATGCATGCCGAAGTAGTCGGGACACGCTGGTGCCACTGACGTGGGACCGGAAGCAATAGATGGGTTGACTGGACAACCTCCACTCTCAAGGTCCACCTCCCGTGGTGCGTTGCTGCGTTGTCCCATCACCCATTCGCATAATGCCAGCAATCCGCGATACGTCCTCCACCCGAGCCGCTGGAAACGGTGCTACTCCCACCAACCGCATCTATGGCTCACGCCCCAAGCAAACGGCGCGCGGGTCGTCCAACAATGGCCCGCCGGGGTGGTGGAATACCGAGTCGCGGGACGTCGGCTCTGACGAGGAACTGTCTGGCGACGACGACGATGACCAGGACAGCGTGGCCGTGGAGGCCTCCTACGTCGAAGATATTCTCCTTTTGAGCCACGACAAGGACGGTATCCATTGTGGGCTGAATGGCGACAGCATCAGAGTCTCTGGACGACAGCGGGTGATGAACGTCATGGTACGCTCACGCCCCACTGCGAACCTGTAGCTGACGGCCAGCACGCCTTCTGCGTTCTACACGACACGTTTGTGGTGGAAACCGATTCCACAAGACCGCCATTCGTCTTCAAGAACCTCAACGACGACAGTCTTCTTGACGTCGAGGTCACTATCAATGATGCCTGGGGAGGAAAGGACAAGGGAATCAAAGTCATGGTCCTCACTGGAGAGGAGCCGACTGCCAAGCCGGAGATCAAGCTCGGCAAGTCATCTCCCAGTTGTGTACTTTCTTTGCGCTGACTTTGACCAGTCGAGGGCGTGTTGAACTGGTACGGTAGCCACGGTCCCACACGCCTGTTTTGGAATACCACTACCGGCGACAATGTCACGTCAGCAACGGATTTGGACGAGGACCTCGACACTGCCATGGTACGTTCGTTTAGAAGAAATGTTGCTGATGGGAAGCGCAATGTGGCCAGGTTGTCTGGCTTGCAGCTTGCCGAGGGAATGAACCCATTCCGTTGCAAAAACTTCGATGGGCTGCGGATCAGTGTTTATACCCCACTTGCCGAAACGATGGGGTCCGCTGACGATGGCTGGGTCAAGGTTGTGATCAAGTAGGTTCTTGAATTTGAGTTAGCTGCTGACAGTAGAACTGTCTGAACCCTAGGAGTTGACATGTGAGATAGCTACCGCGGTAGCGTTGCTATTGCTCATCGGCGGGCATGACAGAAGAAGATGTAGTCGCGGGCATGTTGCGAATCACAAGACGTCTTGGCGCTACTGAACAACTCACTTCATTCCCTCAACTACAACCTACATAAACGTCTACTGGAGCAACCCCTCGTTCGCCTCCGCCCAGCTAGGCCGCACCACCGGCCAGCCCTTCACCTCAGCGGTCGTGCCCTTGACAAGCGGGCCAACATCGTCTCTCCACTGGTGCCACGCCTCGGACCCAGAGAGCACAAACGAGGGAGCAATGTGCACGCCTCCCGGCTCTTCGACGTACGCAACCTCCACCCCGGCGCTGCGCATGTTCTTGACAGTGATACGGATCTCGTCGACCAAGATCTCGCCCGAGCCAGCTTGGACGTAGACGTTGACGTCCTTGAGGTGTGCCCATTCCTCCTTGGTAGCGTGCACGGGTGCAAAGTAGGCAGTCCTGCGGGCTTCATGGGCGTAGTGGCGGGCAGCGGAGCGCGCGGCCTTGGCACCAAACCAGGGCAGGTAGTCGCTAAAGTAGTTTGCAGTCATAGAGTTGCGCTTGTGGCTGTCGGGGCCCATGTCGCACCAGGGCGACGATAGAGCCAGCGCGCCAGGCAGGGGGGTGTCGAGGTCGGCGAGGTAACGGGTCAAGAGGAGAGAGAGGTTTCCGCCTGCACTCTCACCGCTGATGGTGATGTTGGAGGCCTCAAACCCGAGGTTGTTGGTCAGGTACTCCCAGCCAGCGAGGGCGTCGAGGAGGGGCGCGGGGAAAGCTTGCGAGCTGTTCAAAACCTTGCGGTAGTTGACAGCTAGGACGTGTCAGTAAACAGACAAGGCTTTGTGTGATGTGTACATACCCAGGACGCGAACACCAAACTTCTTGGCCATCCGGCCGGCAAACGGGCGCTCAAGCGGGTGTCCAAAGGCGTATCCTCTGTCGCATTAGCCTTTTGTTGTTCCATGCAGTAGTAGGCCACTCACCCGCCGACAAAGTACAGAATCGCCTTCTCTCCGGGGAGAGCCTTGTCCCAGCCCTTGGCCTCGGCGTCCTTGGGCGACAGGATAAAGCCGGGGCGCGCGACGCCCTCGACCGCGTCGCACACAGCAAACCCAGTACGCGGGGCACGCGCAGGCTGAATCGTGACCTGCTTGCATTCGACACCGTCAGGAATGGCGTGAAGGTCCCATTCCTTGCGGTCCACTCCAGGCATAGCCCAAACGAAACGGCACAGAACCAGCTGGACCACGCGCATGAACACCTCGGCGCGCATGGGCATCCAACCGCGCGCGCCCGTGGGTGGGCCGTAGATCTTGTGCTTGATCATGGTCAGGACGACCACGGGCGGGAGGGCCGCGATAGTGCCTGCCGTCGCGACTGCGCCGTACAGAGAGCGGAACGGCTGACTGGGGGTCGTTGGCGCCGACGGGTCGGGCTTGACGCGCCTCAGGCTAGGCCAGTCAATAGGGTTTGTGACAACGTCGCCCATTGTTGCTCGCGAGTTCTTGAGGTAAGTGAGTCAGTCACTGGGGAAGAACACAAACCATGCGTCAGTCCAAGGCGTTTAGTATCTGGGGAAAGCGTGGCCCCGGGCTGTAGGGTAGCCGGTGACGCCGCGCCGCGCCACTGGTCCAACCCCGTCCCCGACCTCGGGGGCGGGGGCGGATTGGTCGGCAGAGACCTTGTTTCGCACTTCTAGATCCACGGCAGTCTATGCTTCCTAGCTTCTGAATGCTACCGTTAAAGGCAAAAGATGTGCACATGGTGTGCACGACTCTGCTTCGCTCGCGGAGCGATGCTGGAGAAGCAAAAGATGATGATCACTGCTGATCGACCCCGGCCCGAATCGAACGGACAACCTTGAGGAAACGTACGAGCTACTGCTCGACACATTCCAGTTGGAATCTCACGCGCTACCATTACGCCACGGGGTCTTTGATGTCTGGTTCTCCCGAGCACCATACCGAGCTGAGGATCCCGAAAATTCGAGTTTGGAGACGATCCACCTATTCCCCGACGTTATACGTGAATGCTCCGGTGAAGTGACAATATTCTGGCATAAACTGAGAGCCCTGGTGATAGGCTATCGAATGGTCTAGGTTTGAGGACTCTGGGTGTAGAGACAGAGGAGGGACGACTGGAAATGTCCAAGAGTGGCAGAGAAAACATGAGGTGATGTGATGGTGCCACAGTGATCGCCGTCTGGGGTGATCGGCGCTCCGTCAGAAGCTACCGGTGGTATTGCAGAGGATTGACCGATGTTCCACTGTTGCACCGGCAGTCTGCGATGTTGCACTGAGAGCAAAGGACAAGAGAAGCACCAGGGCTTGGGACGAGTTTGGTAATACGCACTGGTACTGCCTAGCGAATCGGTCAGAACACCCCCCCCGCAAGGCAGGGCATCTAATCTGGCTCGCCTGTCTGCTTATTCCGGGACGTGTACAGACATGTACAGACAACTCTTCCACAGCAGTTTCGTAATACAATACGCAAGGCAAGTTAACCGCCACAGCGTGAAGTCCAAAGCTACACCTGAGTCTCTAGTCAAAAACACGAACCTTAACCTCCGTCGGCACTTTCACCTCATCACCAGCTTCTTCCAGCATCCCATGTCCCTCTTCCAGCACCCTCTGCACCTCCACGACCCCCCAGAGGACTCCAAAAAGGTCACGACGGGGATCGAACCCGCGATCTCCTGATAAACAGCTGTAGAGTCGTAGTCAGACGCCGTACCATTTGGCCACGCGACCGGCGATGTCGATGTATATCCGTGAGTCATAGTGTCCATTGGGCATGTATATCCGAATAGAGGTCTTGAGTGAGCTCACGTCTGCATGGAGGTGCTCAGAGGCTGCTCGTGAAGGAGGTGAGCGTATGGGGTGTGCACTGTAGAAATATCTAGTGAGCCGACATGTGACTGTCACGTTTCCTTTCGGTTGTTGACAACCTCCACCCGCGGAGGATCCACCAGCCGTAATTGCGTCACGCTCCCTGTCGATCTCTTCCAACCACCCATTCACGCTTTGCCACTCACCTACCCACCCACTGTAGTCACCATGAGTGTATACAAGGCCGCACTTGTGCGGTACGTCTCTGACCTTCCACCGCCCTTCCGGACACTCCCGGATGCCCTCCGCAGCTCGTCTTCTCCGCAGGCTCTCCTGGCATATTCCGACGATGCACGTCATCTCCCACTGGCAGCGACTCTGGCACTCATCCCAGCAGTCTATGTGCTGGGTCTCGTGAGTGGCAACGTCTCATGGGTCGACCGCATTTGGACGTCGTGGCCTGTCCTGTGCTCCAGCAGTGTTCTGGCATGGGTTGTCGTCAATGACGGCGGGAACGCCTATGGAGCGTGTATCCCGCGACTCGTGGTCGTGCTTTGCCTTCAGGTGAGCTTGAGCTCTCGTTATCGCGGACTGTTTAGCTGATCTCAGGCAATCTGGTCCGTTCGTCTCACATGTCACACCGCCAGGAGAGGGCTTTACGAGCTGTAAGCTAGGGCGCGAATGAACTAGCTGACGTCCAGCAACTCGGAAGACTACCGCTACACCCAGGTCCGCCGCCTCCTCCTGCCACCCCTCTTCCAGCTGATACACCTTCTGGTGGTGGCTGTAGCCCAACCCTTGCTTCTCTTCAGCCTCTCGCTCCCCGTCGCTGCTCTGCTACAGCCCGTCTCGTTGCTCCCAGCCCATGGCCTGGCCATTCCCTTCTCAACAATCTCCTGGCTCCTTCCAGCCCGTTTCAACGTCACCCCACCAGACACACCTGTCCTGCATGCCGGCGACCTGGTCCTGACCCTCGCTGCGCTCCTGGTCCTCGCGATTGAGCGCGCCTCAGACAACGCAATGTATGCATTTCAATCCGCCAAACACGTGGACATGGACGCTGCGGCAGCAGCCAAGGCGGCCTCGGCTCGGAACAGCCTTCCACAGCGGACACCATCGCCGGTCCCTGTCCCGCTGGCGTTCTATCCTGGCTTCCCAACTCGTGGACTGCACGCATACTCCCGGCATCCAAACTTTGCCTCTGAACAGACGTTCTGGGTAATCTTGGGGCTGTTTGCCGTGATTGGCAGCGGTGCAGTGCCGGAAATGCTAGCCCCAGCGTTCGCCGTGAGTTCCCAGGTGGGATCCGATGGAACTGACAGACATTTAGCTGAGCATCCTATTCTGTGCGAGCACGGCGCTCACCGAGTGGATTACCACACGCAAGGTTAGCTTAGTCCTCGTTCCCATTCAGCTGACATCCAGTACCCAGTCTACCGAACATATTCCCGCCTCGTCGGCCAGTTCCTGCCCCAGGAGACGATGCTCAAGTGGCTCTGGACTGCGGTGAGGGGTACCTGGCCCACGCTGGAGCGGGAGGTGTATGGGCGTGGAACGAGACGATGATTGCAGTGAGGAGACTCGTGTTGTATGTACTTGTTTTACCACTGCGGCACAGAGTGGTGAAGTGGTGGTCAAAGACCGCGTCTGCGGGCTCAAGCCACCGTGCCCACCAGTCAATTTGGGTATCTACCATCATTTGTGCGGCATGAGACTTGGTGGCATGGAGTCTGGTGGTCATGTGAACAGGACCACCTGGAACCTATTTACGGAGTACTGGTGGACGTGTAAGGTGAGCGCGGTATCCTGTCAGCTGCTTCACGTGGCGTCAACTGCAACATGTTCTTGAGACATCAGACGGAGATGACCGGGCCCGCCGTTGCTGCACCGCGCGTGGCATAGGCGACGTCCAGCAACCTGGAATACACACTATGGAAGCGGTGAGCGGTCATCTTTTCCCGTAAGACGTTTCTCAATACCCAAGGTCACTGTGGCATGCAGCTGTCGGGCAGGGGTCACATACAGTCGCGCCACATTAGACTACTCGTACTCAACAGCCTCCTCCCATATTCTATGCAGCTGCTACGCTGCTTCAAGACCTAAAACCACTCGTGGCCTATCCGAGCGAGTCGGGAGCAGGGCTCTGCCAGCTAACATTGTGCACGCCGCGCTCCTTGAACAGCTCCAGTACGGCCTTTTCGGCCTCGATGCGCTCTGGCTGAAGGGCACCGTGGCCATTGACCTCGGCATACGTCTGGAGAGTCTGGTGCAGTTGATCCAGGTTGGTACAGCCGACCACGACGGGGACAGGGGCCCCGTTGTCCTGGCGCAGGTCCTTGTATCCAAACCCGCAGGCGACAGCTTCGATGGTCGATCCCTTCTCCTTTGCGAGGACGACAGCCTCGCGAATGGCCTCGTACAGAGCGGAGACCTTCTTGGCCGGGTGCCAGGACGGACCACCGCCGGCGGTAAGGATACCCATCGAGAGTGGGGCAGCGTTCATCACTTGGGGCACCTTGGCGTCCTCGGTGAGTGCGCGGAGGAAGCCGTCGCCGAGGGTGCTGCACAGGACGGTCTGGTGCGAGTAGCTCTGGACAACGTCGATCGGCTTGCCCGTTGCGGCCAGCTCAAGGAGCGAGAGGCGAAGGAGGACGGGGAGAGGGAAACCCGCAATGCCCACGCGCTTGATGACGCCGCGGGACTGGTACTCGCGCAGGACAGCGAGACATGCGAGGATCGAGTCATCGCCCTTGCCGTGCGAGACGTACGGCGGTTCGAGACCCCACTCGGCGGCCTTGGGCCCGAGAGCATCAAGGTGGGCTCCAGCTGGAGACGGGAACGGCTTGGAGACGACGAACTCGACATCGTGGAGGTCTAGGAGTTGAACGAGGGCGGTTCGAAGAGAGCACATTCAAAAGGGGATCGCGTCAGCCGAAGGCAAGACGCTGGTCATTGACACCACTCACAAACAACGTCAAGATAGTCCGTCTTGAAACGCTTCAGGCTCCTCTCAACGCTCTTGCGAACCACCTCGGGGTCGTAGTGGTGGTTGGAGACCTGTGGTCCAAACTTGGCCGTCTTGGTGATGATGCTGTAGCTCTCACGGGGGAACTCGTCGCGGAGAGCGTAGAGAGCCTCACCCAGGATGACTTCCGAGGGGTGGTAGTGGGGCGCTGCGAGTTAAGCACTCTATCTCAATCTCGACGGTGTGTATTGTGCAGTTCCGTTGGCGTAGTGGACCAGCAGAAGGAGGGAACCGTTACTACACCCTACACGGTCGTCGTCTTCGCGCCCCACCACGCCCCTAAACTCACCAGTATCAAACGCATTGACGCCAGCACGCAGCGCAGCGCGTACGACGCGCAGAGGCATAGTACTCTTCACCAATGCCTCATCCGCATACACACCATACCCAAACGTCGCACATCCTAGCACGACACGGGGCAAGGCAAGGATGTCGGCGGCAACAGCAGGGTTGCGCTCAGCAGGCGGGAGGTGCTCAGCTTCTGGGATGGCGTCGGCGGCCTCCTCGGGCACGCTGGCGAGGTCGAAAGGGGCGATGACCTCCTCTGGGCTGTCGGGGTGGGACGGGGTGATGGCCATCGTGTTGCTGTGGGGCTAGGATGAGATGAGCAACAGTGTTCGGTGGAAAGCCGGACGTTATTGTGAGCAACCGTGTCCTTGCCGCCGGTCACTTAAGGCACACATATCGGGCCGGGGCACCGGCAACTTCGAGACCGTGGCACACATTTCAATGACTGCCCTCTGGCGATGATGCTGCAGCACGATACACTGCCGGCTCCAGCTTGTCGATGATGCAAGCCAGGGCTAACCATTACTTTTCAAGACATCATTAACTGCGACACCAACCAGGAATCTGTCGAGCCCCATAGTATTCATATTTCTTAAAGGCCAGGTCGACCAGTAACCACTTTTACTACCACATCGTCTACCTTTGGTGATCACGGCTTCCGTGTCCCATTGTATATAACTAACTCAGGGGAGGGGGACGTTGTCGTTGCTTCCGGGAAGGAAGCCGCCAGTGATGGTGACCGAGCCGTCGGCACCGAATGACTCTTTTTGGTTGGGTGTGTTGGCTGCGACGGCGCACTTGTCGCCGATGATGAGTTTACCAACCCCAGTGTGAGGGCCCGCTTGGACGGCAGGCCCACTGGGGCCGTGCGGGTAGCCGGTAGGAAGTCCGAAGTGAACCGACGTGTAGAACTGACACTCCTTTTGGGAATATGGGATGGCTTCTTGACCGTTGAAAGAGTAAAACTCGAACCATTGAGCGACATCGCCCTTGATGGCGCCGAACGACGGGTCGGTCGACCACGAACCTATGTGGGTTGGGGTGCCTTGGTCGTCTACCAACGTTCCGTTCCATGTCCGGCGGCCTGTAGCGTCGATGTCGACCAGGCTCGCGATGATCTCATACCAATGGCCAAAGTCGAGGTTGACGTTGAGCCTGCAACTCACGCCATCCCCACCATCGGCCGAACCATAGCAGAGCTCCGAGTCCACAACGTTCACGCCCTTGCCAAAGCAAGAGAAGATGGCAAGACCGTTCTGTCCCAGGTTGGCCATTGAGTCGTTCTTGCCCATAGGCTGGAGGCCAAAGTAGAACACGTCGGTGTTGTCGCTGAACCACCACTGAGCGGCCGCGTAGTAGCCCGAAGCACGGATTGAGTTGGGGTCAAACCAGAACTTGCTCGACACAGTCTCCCATCCGTTCGCTGGCTTGTTGGGGAGGGTGTAAGAAGCAGATGGGGCGTTACCGGGGTACTGCGCTTCAACAGCAGTAGATGTAGCCAGGAGACTTGCAAGGACGTTGAAGAGCATGTTGACCGTGTTGCAAGCTGTCCGGAGAAGACCATGCCTTCCTCGCCTGTTGGCTTTTATAGCTTTTATACATACATACATCTCCGAGTGACTTCAGCCACTCTCGTCACACTTGTGCCCGATGACGAGCACGGCGAAATCGGCGCATCTAGTGGTGTCCCTTTGACTAGTGTCAAGTCGTTAACGGATCAGTGTGGATTAATTCGAGCTAGCTATGCCCCACAAACCTAATCAACGATGGCTTCGTTCCGCGGTTTGGATGTCGCGGCATGCCACACAGTCTGACCCGCATGCTTCCCAACCCTGCGGCCTTTGGCACTGTGTCGTTGACGAGCAGTGCGACATGAAACAAACCACACAGAAGATGAGATGTTGCGTGACGTCAGTCGATTGCGCCGAGGTTGCCGCGGTCAGAAGAAGGTTGGGCTAGAAGCGATAAACGACAAGAGAGCATGTGGTTACGCATTTAGGGTTGGGTATTGGCCACCCTCCGGTGACTTCATGAACTCGCTTGACCCGGTTTGCTTCATGCTAGCGCGGCGCATATCCCGCACCTGTCAGCTGCCAGGCTGCGTTGGCGGGTTATCGTGCCGGACAAGTGGACTACGCCGAGGTCGGTCCAGACGGCTCTGTCAACAATAATTGTTCCCAACAGACAAATGCCACTCGCTCTCCCTGGAACTGCTCACTCACTACGTCACGACACTACTATGATGCAACAAATTGCTGTATGACACGCACTGATCTCCCCCGCGGCACCCATCTACCTCTCGCCCAAGCCACCATACCTCCTCGAACATTACTCGAGGTCCTCCATCGCCTCGTCGTCGCCCTCACCCGAGCCAGATCCAGAAGCCGAAGCCGCAAACCCGGATCCAGAGCCCGACCCCGACCCCGACCCCGAGGCCATCTCGTCTCCCTCGGCCTGCTCCTCGATTTCCTCTTCCTCCTCTTTCGAATCGTCAAACCACGAGTTCTGGTGGTCTGAACCGCGCAAGGCTGAGGCCATGTCTAGGGGGAGGTACAGGCGACGCCCAGAGGGTCCAGAGACCGCCGTTGACGTACTGGCTGCGCCGAGGCTCTCGTCAGAGGTCCGCTGCTCACGCAGGCCGTGCACCTTGCGCAGCCTCCTTTGGCTCTGGGACGAGGGTACAGTGTCACGGCCAGTGCGCACGTCCAAGGTGCGCAATCGCTCCGCCGTGTCGGGCGAGACGCCGGTGCTGTCTGCGGTCCACGCGTCTTCGAGGTCAAGCGAGTCGGAGAGGACGCCGCGGTCCATGTCGTCGTCGTCGCACTGGTATGTCTGGGGTTCCCTAGGGTTCCCCCTCTCCCATGGCTTGCGGCGGAGGGTGTCGAGGCGTTCGTCGTCGATACCCGATGGATCGGGATCGGCGCCAAAGTCGAACACGTCAAAGACAGTGCTGCCGCCACGATTAGAGGCGGCGACGAGGAGGCTGCCGTGGAATGCCACTTGCCACACGCTGCTGATACCCGTAATGAGGTCGCGCACGTTGGTACCGGTGCGGATATCCCAGAGCTTCAGCGTGCCGTCGCTGCCGGAGACGACCTTGGTCTCGTCGTGTTGGAAGCATGTGATAGCCGCGGCGTGGCTGGCGAGGACGTGCTTCAGCTCGTGTGTCTCAGCGTCCCAGACACGTAAGGAGGCGTCCGCAGCAGCTGACACGTAGTAGCTTGGTGAGGCACCCAGGAGACCAACGAGCGACGTGTGGCCGGTGAGCGTATGCAGGCAGGTACCCGTGGCGATGTCCCAGACCTTGACCGTGTTGTCCATCGACCCCGAAGCGCAGCGGTTACGGAATCGATCGTAAACAATAGAGTAGACTGGCGTAAGCTATACGTAGAGGCTTACAAACTCACCCTTATGCTCGTGGCCGTAGAGAACGTGGATACACGTGCCCTTGACGATATCCCACACGCGGACAGTCTTGTCGTACGAGCCAGAGACGCAGATACGGCCGTGAACAGCCAAGGCGCGGACGGCCTCGGAGTGGCCTTCGAGGTGGTGGACGTGATAAGGGTTTTGTTCAGGTGGGGCGTGTATGTCAGTGCCAGGAGTCGGAGAGAGGGACATGTACGCTGGCTCGCCCTTCTTGGGGAGCTTCCAGACACGCAGGCTGGCGTCACGCGAGCCCGTCACGACCATGGGGTATGGGGGCTGGTACTCGCCGGTCGCCTCGTCAAAGACTGGCTCGACAATCTGCAGACAGCGGACGGTGGAGGTGTGGCCGAAGAAGACGTGTGTCTGCTGCAAAGACTCCAGGTCCCACACGCGTACTGTCCTGTCCGTAGAGCCGCTCACCAGCGTGTCGCCCTTGTACTCTAGCGCCCAGACACCACCCTCGTGTCCATCGAGACGCTTCTTGAGCTGGCCAGTCTTCGTGCAGTAGATATTGATCGAGTGGTCGTCTGATGCCGACACAATCTTCTCCTCGTCAAACTGGACGCAGGTGACGACACTGATGCCGTGACCGGCAAACGACGTATGTTGCGGCTTACGGTGCAGCCAGTTGCGGTTGCTCACGTGACGCCGGCGGTAGACATGCTTGAGGGCCGTGGGGCGGTCCTCGGCAGCCTGGAGCATGGGTTCGGACAGGGGGAGCATGGGTTCGTCGTCACTTGGTGTACCAGCCTTGGTCACGCGTGGATGGCGAGCCTTCCATTCGAGTATCTCCCAGCGGCTCTTGATACGTTTCTCCTCTTCCTCTTCGACACCATGGCCGTACCACAGTCCCTGCTGGACAAGACGAGTGCGCCACACGGACCGCTCGCTATCGATCATCTTGCGCCACTTGCGGCTCACACGGGCTGCGGTTGCAAGACTCTTTGCGTCCACTTTGCGCAGGATTTGAATTGCGACCTCGTGCGGCAGCGAACCGACAAAGTCACGCTTGAGGGCCGTGGACGCAAAGGCAGAGATGCGCTGGATAGTCGGCATGCGTGACCTCCTGAACAGGTGCATGAGCACATGCTGCTGAATCTTGTCGGGCAGCTGATCAAAGTGCTGGACAATGGCGGGCAGGGAGAAGAGGGCGGCCATCTCGAGACCCGAGCCCAGAGACGCCTGCTGTGGCACAGTAGAGGAGGCGACGACAGCGCTCGACTCGGCCATCTCGTCACTTGTAGTGGGACTGGTCATCATAGCGCGGTCCAACAAGGCAGCGTCGCTGGCGCGAGCCTTCTTCCTCGGCGGTGACCTGGCGCGAAGAAATCCCGCCAACGACGACGACGGCTTCATCTCCTCGTCATCGTCTGTCCTACCGCCAGAGGTGGTAGGTCGACTAAACTCATGTGGTCTCTTGCGCTCCTTGCCCTTTGCAGACGTTGTTGTTGTTGTCGTGGTAGTAGCCGTGTTGGCAAGAAATCCAGCGAGCCCGACGCGCTCATGGTCGCTGGTGCTCGGCAGCGATCTTGTCCAGCCGGGTCCACATGTCTCGCCAGGGATATTTCCGTCTTCGGGCATCACTCTGCCATCTTCCTGGACGAGAACACGGTGGCCGCCGAGGTTGAGCGCGAGGTACTTGAGGTCCTCGGGCGTTGGCTCGGCGGCCAGTGGGTACTCGTCCTTTAACGCAAGGTGGTGCGGAACAGGGATTGACTCGGGAACAGGAATACGGGGCAGCGGAATGGGAGCAAACGACGTAGTGGTGCGGGTCGTGTGTGTGACACTGGAGAACATGTTAGTGAGGTAAGAGGTGAGGGTGAACCAGTGATGTCAACTCACACAGTCTCTACGACCGCGTCCTCCATGCGAAGCACAGGGCCGTGCGGGGTCCATATCAGGCCGCCTGAAGCCGCGTCGTCCGACGCTGCTGGCGAAGGGCGCGACATGCTTGAAAGAGGGACCTGAGGGAAGCTGACGGTGGCTGGCAAGTTTGTCAGCGGCGCGCTCCGACGCGTCGAGCGAAGGTGAGAGAGGATTCAGGCGGCGTTGATGGTTTCTGAAGCAGGCGGATGCCACAGTAGCACACAACACCACGCAGTAGCGTCTAGCAAGTGGGAGATGACCCGTCGTCTGCTGTCCGGCGTAAGGAAAGCGGCGTCCGGTCGGCGGCGTCTCGCGGGGGCCGGCTCAGAGAGGGTGCGATGGTGCGAAGGTGGAGGTACTCACTGAAATGAGGCCCTACGCAGCGTCGAGTTGTGAGGCCAGATGAGAGTACGTCCACAACGCTTTGGATCTCTGTGGACTACGCGTGCGTGTCGGTCGAGAAAGGTTGTGAAAAGGGAGACGCGAGCCTTCTTGCAGAAGATAGAGAGTGAGAGGCCGGGAACGGGTCACTTGCACAGGTGGTGGCGTGGGAGGCCAGATGGGAGATGTACGTGTTCAAGCCGGGCGCAGGGTGGAGTCGGTTTGTCCGAGGTCGTGAGAGATGTGTCTCGGCGTGCTGGGCATACGCCGTGTGACAAGAGAGCGCCGATGGTCGATGGGACAGACTGTTCGACCATCAACGATGGACGGAACGGACGCGACGAGGTTGAGCGGCGCGCGGCGCGGCGGCGGCCAAGTGGGTGATGGGAGCGTGCGCGGGGCCAAATGCGGCAATGTATCAAGTCAAGAATATATACACCCTCCGGACTTGCGGAGACGGGGACGGGGCGGTGTTGCTGTCCTCGTCGGCGAGTACGGGGGATGGAATGATGGATAGAAGGAAGAAGGAAGCGATCGATGACGGGGTGTTGAACGGGAAACAGACGCGCGCAAACGGCAGAGGCGGCGGCGGGTGGAGGAGGGCACGGTTCCGCTGATGGCCTCATTACGGCACCACGAGAACAATGGCCAGCGTTGTTGTTTCCAACCCATCAGCAGTGATCATATATGCTGCAACTGCAATGACTTCCTGCATACCGCGTACATGCACTGTATTACATTGTGCTGCCAGAAACCTGTTTGTCTGTCGTCTCTCCCATCACACATTGGCCTTCTTCCGCGAACCTTCCCTCCAATGTCTAAGCAGTCGCCTTGCCCTTGCCCTTGCCAACAGCGCCGCTGACGCGCCAAGCGCCGACGATGGCATCAATGACCTCCTTGACACCTTCGCCCTGACGCACAGAGGTGAACATGGTTGGGCCCGACTCGCGCATCAGCGCGGCATCGCGCTTCATGACGTCGAGCGAGGCGCCGACGTGAGGAGCAAGGTCGATCTGTATAAAGTCAGTACGGCTCACTTCACCACGACCAACCGCCGCAGCTTACCTTGTTAACAATGAGCAGGTCAGACTGAGAGATACCAGGGCCGCCCTTACGGGGCACCTTGTCGCCGCCTGCGACGTCGATCTGCAGAGTGCGAGTCAGCGCCACTTCGGCCTCTCTCTGCGGGTTTGTCACCCTCAACGCATGCTCACGACGTAGATGATGTAGTCTGCAAGTTCGCGGGAGTAGTTGGCAGCGAGGTTGTCACCGCCGCTCTCGACAAACAGCAGCTCGCACTGGAAGTCGGCCTGGAGGTCCTCGAGGGCGTGGAGGTTGGCCGAAATGTCCTCGCGGATGGCGGCGTGAGGGCAGCCACCAGTCTCAATGGCACGGATACGCTCCTTGGGGAGGGCCTCGTTACGGATCAGGAATTCCTGGTCCTCCTGCACACGAGTGTCAGCACACAGTCGCGCTCAACAGACAAGGCGGACACTTACACGCGTGAAGATGTCGTTGGTGACGGCCGCTACGTCATTAGCCGCCTAGATCTCTCCCTCCCCCTGTAACACCCTCTCGCCCCACAGCACTCCAGCTGGATACACGTACCGATGTTGTACTCTTCACGGAGGGCACGGCACAGCGCGAGGAGGAGCGCAGTCTTGCCGGAACCAACGGGGCTGTCTGTCAGCTCAGTCCCACAAACGTCGCTGAGCCGCGGCACTTACCCGCCAATGCCGACAGTGAACGCGCGCTCGGTCCAGTCGCGTCCCGAGTAGTCGGGAAGGTCACGCTCGGAGAACTTGCCTAGAGTCCGGACCATTGTTAGATGTGGATGAGGTGCGTGAAAAGGTGGACGGAAGGTTCAGAAACAGCGTCAGTAACAAACAACTTTAGAATTGTCGATGACGCAACAACCCAAACAACAACCACGTAGTCGCTCAACCACTGTTGATGTTGCCAAACGGCTCCTGGAACACATCATACTCACCGGCATGCTCGAGGTGCTCGTGTGTGTGGCCATGCTCCGCAGCCGCGTCATGCGAGTGCGAGTGCTCGTCGGCCTCGTGCGAATGAGAGTGCTCGTGGGCGACGGCGGTGTTGGGGTTGGGCGCCGAGGCGAGGAGGTTTTCGAACTGGCAGACGGGCTGGGCCATGGTGAAAGGAATCTAGCGAGAGCGGATGGAGGACGAGAGTGAGAGTTCGCCGAGGAATACCAACAGCCAAGAGAGAGAAACAGTGAGAGGAAGAGTGAGCAACAGCAAAAGGGCGAACGACAATGGCCATCCCACGTCGGACCGCGAAGTCCGAGCGAGATCCCCCCGCCGCCAGCGTCCACCCCTGAACGCCCATCGAGCTCCGACTGATAAGCGTCCATCCAATCACTACTTCCAATCCCCACACGCTTTTGCCGGTCGCACCGGGCCACACGCGACACGGACATGGCAAGGCTCCCAGTCGTTACGAGTTCATACATGACAAGCGCATGCGTACATGGTCTTCATCAGAAAACAGTCTATATCCCTCCAAGCGGCGGGGGCTCTGGGACATGGGGTTAACAATGTCCCCAGTGGATCGGGGCGGTCCGGGGTTGTGTGGGGGACACTCTATGGGGCTACAAGACAACTATTTACACAGTCTCAATACCCTCGTACTCGCTGTTCCCGTTAGCAATCATGTATGGATTGCGTGTTTCAAGGTGACTTACGACTCGACAGGAGGCTCAAGGAAACCGGCGTGCGCGCCAATGACGCAGCCAGAGCTGCCAATGAGCCAGAAGACAGTCGACAGAGGTGCGGCGATCCAGAGAAGGGGAATACCTGGACAGGTCAGCATCCGCCTGAGGGCTCGAGGCTCAACAACGTACCAATAATGAAGAGACCGGTGTACAGGTTCTGCGGGGTGATGACCTTGCCATTAAACTCAATCGGCTCGGGCACTAGGTTTGGTGTCAGCAGTGTGTTCCAACGCTCGGAAATAAGCTGGATGCTGCGGTGCTTGAGCGGCGGCGCAGTTTTGGTGGCGGTGCCATCCGTACCGCATTTCATTCTCCGAGAATGACAACGACGCGCGGCTCGCCACCACCAACAAATCTGCAGCATCGAGTAGGCAGACACTCACCAAAGCGCGAGATACCGAGGAAGCCACCGATCAGGAAGCCGAGGGCGATGAGGAGGAGGGGGTTGGTGATGAGCGAGTAGACGGCGAGGAGCGCGACAATCACGGCGTAGTTGGCCGAGAAGTAGCGGCTGAGATGTGAGCTTTGTGCTTCTTCCGTGAAGGCGAGAATGGAGCTTCCAGAGGTCGTGCCGGCGGTGGACGATTCTGTGTTGCCGTGCAGGTGTGCGCCACCGACGACGCGTCCCCGCTTACACCGCTAGCAAGGCTGCCACGGCGGCGAACAACACAAGGGTCGACTCGACCAACTCGATACTCCAGCGCATGCTCTCCTCCTCATCTCTCTCTCTTCTCTCCAACGTACACGTTGTAGCCGGCGCGACGCATGTACTCGCTTGTGTCGCGAGGCTTCGAGACGCGCTGGTAGTCGAAAAACTCGCCGACGGGGCGGAGGGCGGCAAGACGGGTCTCCTTGAGGGAGCGGACCGACTCTTGAGCCGTGTTGAGGTAGCCGACCATGTCCATGATGGGTAGATGTGTTGTGCGGGGGGGTATGGGTATGTGGGTAAAGAAGAAGAGCAAAAGTGCAAATTGACGGTTGTGAGTCCAAGAGTGCAAGTCCAAAGAACGCGACGTGGGGGTACGTGGAACAGATCAATTCCAGGGTCAAAAAACAAACAACGCAGGGCAAAGTCGCATGCCATTGCCACGTTATGGGTATTTTCAACATTGTTTCCCACGGTCGAGTCGTCGCCGCCCACCAGGGCCGGGCGCGCGCGGCACACTTTGTTTCCGGCCCCCTTTACGGCCGGGCACACAGCACAGGCGGGTTCGACTCCGAGACTCGGCGAGCGATCACAGTCAGCAACCATCACAATCCACTTGCGCGTCTTGCTCCTTCGCTCTCCACACCGCCTTTTAGGCAACCCTCCCCACATCTCTATACCACCTCAACACTCCCTCCCTACCAATGGTCGACTCCAACAGACCACGGTCCTCACCTGACTTGGTTGGCGACACCCTCGTCAATCGCGCAAGACGGCAATGGTCGGAAGGCATCCCAGACGGCGTTCCACTCCCGCCACTCCTCACCTGTGAAGAGACGTTCCGGCTTGCAAAGCGCCGACCGGTTATATATGCCTGGGCGGCCGACAACACTACGTTTGCCAACCCCTTCAAGCATTCTGTGGGCGGGACGACCGACTTTCAAGTGGGCTTCGTTGTCGGCGCCCAGGAAGGTCACCGGCAGGGCCTACAGCGGACCCGGACGGACGACTTGGAGGCTGGCTTCTCCAGCGGCTTCTCCAGCGGCTTTGACCATGGCTTCTGGGCCGGCCAGAACCCAGAGAAAATCGAAGAGGCCATCGCTGCCTATAAGGCGGCTGACCTCACTGACTCTGGTCCCGCCAACGTTGCTCTCGAGGGCATCGCCACTGCCGTCGCCGCCCTCGCTCCTCCCGACGACACTTGGATTCCAAAGTCCCCGTTCGACGCGACCATCCCCTCCAACTCGCCAGCACGCAACCCACAGTTCCAGAACTTTGCTAGCGCGGCCACCACGCAAGCTGCGGGAATGGCAGACATGCGCGGGCTTTTGCATCAGCGCCCGCTCGACACCGCCAAGACCCCCAGTATTCCGTCATCCCTCGTCGACCCCAACACAGCCGACGTTGCAGACAATGTCACTCGAGACCCACACTTTCAACACTTTGCCAATGCCGCAACTTCGTTTGCAGCACAGCTCGAGCACGCCCAGCCTGAGGAACAGGTGCGCCATGCCGGCCGCGACGTGCCCGAAAAGTGCTGGTCGTGGTCGACCCAGCAAGCCGGCAAGCCGTCTACTGTGCACATGTTCTGTGCGCGCAAGGACCTCCCTCCACAGCGTGCCGACGAGCTCGCCAATCTCCGCCCTGTCAATGCGCCGGTTCTACCCAAAAACGCCCCGCCTGGGTTCTTTGAGCGACTGCGTAACCGCGTCGCGCCCTGGACCCTCATCTACGTGCGCGGCACCAGCGAGGGTGTTGCCGGCCGCTACTCCGAGGAACTCGAGGGCGACGATGGGCAGTACGACTTTGGCCCGCTCAGTCGCCACGCGCCCCAGAAACTTCGCCGCGAGGCTGGGCCCGGAGCCCAGTTCCTCAACTGGGAGGAGGACGGATGTCTGATCTACCTCCCCATCTACTCGGTCATCTTCCCCTTGCTCAACCTGGACATTTACTCCGAGCGCGTGTTTGGTCCCAGCTCGCGCATGTTCCAGCGCTACATCCAGACATTCGAGGACGGCACGCAGACACGCATGCTGCACAAGGTTGTCGACAATGTGCGTGACGGCGGTGCGCTCCAGCTCTGGAACCAGATTGGCGATTTCCACGCTCGCAAGCTCGCCAAGGCCCGCGAGGCGCTTGCTGCGCGTAAGCTCGAGGAGGAGGCTCTCGCACGCGCCGCCGCAGGCAACGTCTCGGATGCTCCCGAAGTGGGTTCCATCGACGGCAACAAGGCCAAGGCGGGAGTCGACGACACCCCGCGCCGCGGTGTCAAGGAGAGCGAGGGCAAGGAGCAACAGTAGTCTCCCCCCGCACGCATCTCACCCTTCTTCTTTTCTCTTCCCCCTTCTCACGTTGGACATACCAGCCGGGCTACCAGCCCTGTTCTCTCCCTTCTCCCAACCCACACACCACATCTGTACACCACCACCACCACGACACTGCCATTTGCTAGCCCTTTACACAACCACCACCCACCACCAGCACCCGCATCTGTAGACGTAGACGGCTAGATCCCCGGCGGAGCAGAACCCCACCTAGTGTGTTTCCTTGGAAACGCAAAACAACCATGCATTGGGGTAAACCGCGCGCGAAACGGTTGCAGCAGTAGAGTCCATTTACCGCGCGATCAAAACAAGTGAATGTGGCATGGGGAACCCCGAAATGATTCCAAATGATTCCCATGGACACGTGCAAACTGTGGAGCCAGAGTCGGGGAAGGAACGAGAACAAGAACGCGGAGAACAACTGAGATCACACAGAATGTGCCTTTCGCAGACCAGAACAGATTGCATTTTTGGAGACGTCGCCAAAACGACAATACGATGACGGAATGACGCGGATGGGGGATGGGAAATGGGATGGGGACGTTTGCGTGGAGTGCGGGGGAACGCGGGGATCGGGGGGCTTGGTACAGAAATGAATTCTGAGTGGGGATGGGTGTGGGTGTGGGTGTGGGTGTGCAGGGTGGCGGGGGTGCAGGGTAGGTTGTGGGGGGTAACGAGTGTTGAAGAAAGAGGAGATGAGATGAAAAGGGGAAGGGAGAGGGGGGGGCATCAAAAACTGGGGAGAATCCGATGCGAGGTATTTTTTAAAAAAGTAATTGATTTGTGGTTGTGGTTGATTGTGGGAGGTTTGGATGGGGGGATGGGTGCAGGAGCAAGATTGTTCAAGACATGGCAGGGCGCCGTTTGAAGAGCTGGCCGCCCTTTTACGAGTGCGAGACCTGGACATTGGCCAGGCCCTGGGTCACGCCGTCGACGCTCGCGCCGTACCGCGCCTGCTGGCCGCTGCTCGAGCCGGGGAAGTACGTTCCCGTGGCCGTGTTTGGGCTCGAGTTGTTGGTCGGCGAGGGGGGGACAGGCGCAAAGCCAGCCTGCGGGCCACCGAGGGCACGGGCAAAGTTGAGCTGGGTGATGTCCAGACTCTGGGTACGCGCACCGACAGCACGCGCGGGGTGAGCGTGCGAGTGGCTGAGAGCGTGTGCGTGCCCCGGGGTGTGGCCGTGGGAGGCGGCCTGGTGGTGGCTGCCAGAGGCAGAGCGGACCTTCTCCTCGAGTGTCGAGTCGGAACCGCGCTTCGAGAGGTCCGAAGCGGAAGAGGTGGCCGGGGCAGAAGGAGCGCCGGGCGCACCAGGAGCAGCGGGCTGCCAGTAGTCGGGCACCTGGAAGCCAAGGGGGCCGTTGAAGCCCAAACCGCCACCGTGCTCGTACGCAGAAGGAACGGGAGGTGGCGCCGAGCCGCCGTCAAACAGCGCCTTGACGTTTGTGGCAGGACGCTGCTGGGGACCGCCGCGGCCCGACTGGGTGTCGTCCTTGCCCGTCGACAGGAGCTTGGAGTCAAAGTGACTAAAGGCATCGGCAAACGAATCGGTACGCTTGGCGGCGTTGGAAGGGTAGACCTGGATGCTGTGGTCGCCAAGGAACTCGACGAGCGAGTCGTGCACCGTGCTCAAAAAGTCAATGCTGCTGCGCTGGCACCTAAACTTGAAGATGGCCTCGTCGCCTTGGCCAAAGCGTGGCGAGGGCGAAATGGCAATCTGGTGGTCACGCTTCATGCGCTCGGTGAAGAGGACAAACTCGGTTGAGGTGACGAGGCGAGTGAGCTCGGGGTTGGGCGGGACATGCAAGTCGGCCTCAAAGGGGACGTGGTCGAGCAGCATGGCAATGGCAATGTGCACCTGGCTCTCAGGACCAAAGATGGTGACCGTGTCCGACGCAGTCTCCTTGTTTGGGAAACGAACGGTACAGTTGGTCTTGCGCTCAATATCGTGGATGAAGATGCTCTTCTCGCCCAGGAGGGTGCGGTGGTAGCGACGGGGAATGTTGACCGAGTCGATAGTGTAGTCCTTGTCCTTGGGGCTGACGAGCTCCATGACAGCGGTCTTGAGCGACTCGAGCGCAATAGCGTTCTTGGCCGGGGTGCGCGCGACCACATTATCCTCGTTGTCGAGGTATCCACCGAGCTGGGCAAACTCTTCGGCGTTGGAAAACTTGACGTAGACACCGTACATCTTCATGATGCGCTGAATGTTCTTGCCGCCAACACCGATGATGCGCTTGTGGTAGCCCTCAGGGACGTGGAATGACACCTCGGCCGGAAGCTCCTCTTGGAGCATGGTCAGGCCCTGGAGGGCGGCCATGTCCTGGCCTGAAATGTCCATGAGGAAGTTGTAGTCGTTGAACGTCTCAAACTTGATACGCACGCCGCAGACCTTCATAATCTTGTTGATCTTGCCATTCTTCTTGCCCGAGATGAACTCGCGGTGCTCGTTGGCGAGCTCGATCTGGAAGCGGATCTCGTGGTGGAACGACTTGATAACGTCCAGCTCGAGAACCTTGACGACAGCGTCGCGGACCTCCTTCTCGAGACCGTGCATCTCGAAGCAGTTGCTCTTGAACACGACCTCGGCGCCCGTGGCGTGAGCGATGCGCTTGAGGACAGGCTGCATCTGCGGCGGGTTGAGAGTCGCCTGCGGCATGAGAACGTCAAACGAGACTGGCAGGAGCCAGAAGCTGGCCACATAGAACTGGCACGCGAGGGCCATGACGCTGCGGATTGTGCGCTCAATGTTGACGCGGTGGTCACCAAAGACAGTGATCAGGCTCGCCTGCGATCCAACGCTGGGCACCTGGATGTACGTTCCGTTGTCGCACATGATGTTCCGAATGTCGTCGATGCGCTCGGTAAGCAGCCAGTCGAGCTTGCGCGGGAGGACGGCCGTGTCACGCGAAATGACCAACTTGCTCTTCTGGACCGCGACGGTCAGGAGCATGTCGCGGGCACGCTGGACGCCAAAGAACTCTCCAGTAATCCAGATCTGGTTGGCCTTGCCGAGCATTCCTTGCTCGCCAGAGTGAACAGACAGCCCTGGGTGGGGGCCCTGGCCAAACTGGCCCATGCCCATGTCACCGGGGCCCATGGGCATACCGCCCATGGGCGCCGTACCCATGCTGACGTGCATGTGGCTCTGGCCGTAGCCCATAGGAGACATGCCCATCATGGGCTGACCCATTGGCTGGCCGTGTGCCATGGGAGTGCCCATACCGCGCGCGCCGACGCCAAAGCCAGGCCCGGCGTGACCGTTGGTCATCTGCGACATGCCCGACATGCCGGTCGGGGTCATCTGCATCGGCGCCTGGCCGTGTGGACCAGGAGGTCCACCGTGATGGGGACCGGCGTGCTGGGCGTGGTGAGGGGGTCCGCCCTGGTGGGGCGGGGCACCGGGCATCGACCACTGCTGGACACCGGGGCCAGTGTACGGCATGCCGCGGGTGGTCTGGGGGTTGATGTGCAGCGGCTGGGGCGAGTAAGGGTAGTGGACGTGCTGGTTGGGGTTGTACACCGGCTGCGAGGTAGAGCGGTGACCAGGGTGCTGGGGAGGGGGAGGGACAGCAGGCATGCCCATGCCAATGCCGCCAGCATAGCCCATGCCCGACATTTGGCCGTAGCCAACGTTGACACGGCTGTAGCCAACACCCTGCTGAGCGCCGGGCTGGGGAGGGTTCAGGACGCCAACAAGTGGCGTGGGGAAGTAAATGTTGGTGGCAGTCTCCTCCTGGATCGACTGGATGACCGTGCGCTTACGGCCAGCGATGATGGCGTGCAACTTGTAGTCGATGTCGCACACCTCTGAATGCAGACCCGAGAGCTCGTCAAGCATGACAAGGAGGCGGACCTTGGCGAGCTCGACACTCTCGACCGACCCGGAGATAACCAGCTCGCACATGCGTTCGGTCTCGAGGCCATAGGCCGCCTGCTGGGCAGCAGCGGCACCGTTGGCGTTGTTGGCCTCGGCATCCTCAGCAGGGGTGCCGCCGTTGGTGTCGGTCGAGTCCTTGGCGCCACCATCCGGGTCGGCAGTCGCGAGGACAGCCGCGCCAGAAGCACCAGGAGCAACCTCGGTGTTGAGGACGGCGATGTGGGCGCGAGTGTCGCTCGCAATCTCGTCCAGGCGGTGCTTGACGTCGGCCTTGAGGGGCGAGACAGGTGCAAGGGGCTTTTCGAGAATGTCGCTGCGGGACACCTTGAGCGAAGCGCGGTTGTCGCGGGGAGTCTCACGGAGAAGAGCACCACGAGCACCCATCACGGCCTGGTACGCGCCTGAGATGTGAAAGTTCCACATCGCACCAGCAGGCGGCGGCGGCGTGGCCGTTGGGTCGTCGTTGTGGCTCGGCGCCATGTCAGCAGGCGCGAGGCCAGGCGGCCCACCTGGCGCCGTACCGGCGCCAGCGGCGGGTGAAGGAGAGGAGCCCGGAGGAGCCTCGCGCGAGACAGTGACGAGGCAGCCTTCACGAGAAGTAATGTCGTTGCACAGCTTCTGGACGGCCTCCCACTCGCGTTCAGCCTGGGCAGCGTCCGTGGGGCCAAGGTTGTGCGGCTGGGTGGCGGTGGCACCCTTGGGGAGCGACAGAGTCGTGCGCAGGGGCGAAGCCTTGTGCACGCCCGACGACGCACGTTGGAACGTGAACGAAGTGGTGTACAGGTCCATCGTTATGACAACAGTGATCTCTGCTCCCTAGAAGGGAAGGAGTGGAGGAGACAAGGGACGGTATCCGGCCTAAGGGGCAAAGGGTGTGGTATCGGAACTGCCTCGGTGTCAGCAAACGATGCTGCCATGAAGTGTCGGTCACGATCGGAACAGCGGAGAGAGTGGTTGGAGCTTTCGGTTGAAACGACAAGGTCCATTCTCATTGACGCAACCGCCGGAGTCTGTTGGGCGGAAGTGACGTGACGTGCCACATGACCGCCGGCACGTCGCGTCCAGGTTACGTCGTCTGGCAACGAACAGCCGGCGTCCCAGCAGCTCATGTTGTGCTGATAGCTCACGGCTTGACGCAGGTGGGTTGCTAGGGATGTATCATGGTATGCTACTCACAAGGTATGTGCACCGGAGCTGGCAAGAAAGTGAGTTTGCAAGAGATGGGTTGCGTGGGAGGGAAGGGGAGAATGCGAGGCGGGCCAGCTCTCGGGGTCCGGGGATTTTTCACACTGCAGGCCTTTGGACAAGGCAAGCGAGATTGGGTAGGGGGAGAGGGGAGGAGGCGAGCGAGGGGTGTGTGTGCTCGCTGCTGCTCAAGCGGTCGTGGGCATGTGCAGGAGGAGGAGTGGGTAGAGAGTACGGAAGGACCAGACGGACGAAAGGCCAGCAGAAACGACGACCAGCATACGGTGGGAGCGGAGAGCGCACATCCAGGGCACATAATGGCCAAAATTCTCTTATTCACGTGTACCGGTTAATGGGGTGAATGGCGTCTTCGCCGCAACCACATGCAATGCACGGGACAGCAAGGCACAGAGACACAGCGATGGCAGCAGCAGCAACGTCCATATCCCGGAAGGCTGGAGGGGGTGGGGTTGACAGAGGAAACAACGTTGAAGAGAAAGAAGTAAACGACACAACTAGATACAAGCAAGGGTTTACTGGCCTTTACTGGGGCTATTACGGGCAAAAGGAGCACACACCAAAAAAAAATCAAGTGCCACCTAGACCTCCATCAAGATGCGCCGCACGCCTTGGCGCAGGAATGTGAGGTTGTATTCGATCATGCCGCGGCGCGCCTGCCACGTATCGGTATGCAGGTCTCCAACGAGCACAAGCTGGCTGCGATAAGGTCAGTCGATAACCCAACGGACCTATTGGGCGACCAATACATACGGCGTAAACTGCCACAGGGCGAGGGTGCAGTTGGGCAGCAAGCGACTCGTCTGCGTCATCCATGGTGCCTCTGCGTCCTCGTTCTCCCACCAGGGTTCGTCATTTGCAGCTTTTGGGGCAGGCGAATCGGCACCTCCTTTTGACGTGTTCTTGGCAACGAGCGGCTTGTAGATTTCGCGAATCTGCAAGAACCGCTCAAGGTACTCTGTGATCTGCTCCATCGTTGCGTCGTTGCGGTGCCGGTTATCCGTGGCGAGCACGACGCCGGAGGCAAGATCGAAAAGGTACGAGTTGTCAATGCTAGAGGTCTGTATTGTGAGCTAGGTACGATGGCCTGCAGCTCACCTCTGTAAAGTTGAGAAGAAGAGCCTCAACGGCAGGCAGCATCTCCATGACGTCCTGGATCACGCGGCTCCAGGCGTTGCGAAGGGAAACGTCGTGGACCGATGTCATCTCGTACTTGATCTCTGCCTGGAGATGGTTGAAGATGGAAGTGCACGTGTTGACGTCGCCGAGGTCGAGGTTGGGTGCGTATTTCTGAAAGGAGGGATAGCTCAGGTCCTCGAGTTCCTCGGTCACAGCGCGCTGGATTTCAGAGTAGTTTTCTGAAAAGGGGGTCAGCTAGGTCGATACTGGGATCACCAGCTTGACGTACCCAAGCGGTAGTCCTCAGACAGTGACTCGGCCTTGTGGATGAAGACACTAAAGTTCATGCTCGGGTTGGCGAGATATCCGCGCATGATCGCCGACGTCGCCTGGCGCACAGCATCGTGGTAGAACTCATCTTGCTGCGGGTCAGTTGGATCCGATAGCCATGTTGACCCCACCTGCATGTCAATCACAAAGACCATGGTGGAGAACGCGCCTAGGGGCGTGTCCGTTAGCTGGTCGACGTCAAAGTTGGAAGGCGTGTCCCAAATCTGGAGGGGAACGATCGTGCTGTGATGGTGGTCAGGACGTGCTCCGCGGAAGAGGAAACCTTGACGCACTCATAATCAATCTTCTCGATGCGCTGAGTGATGCCAATATAGGGCACGTCCTTGACGGGGAGGTGCTGGAAGATGGTTTGGATGCAGGACGACTTGCCCGCTTTTCGCCAGCCAGTGACGAGGATCTTCTGCCTGTGCGCCTCTGTCTGGTGTCCCGAGTGGGACATGGTTGCGAGTCCACGTGGGTGATGGGAGGCGCGAGAGATTTCGAGTCTCGACTGTGAGTGAGTCGCGAGGTTGGGAGAGAGAATGAGAGGTCGACGACGACATCACTATCAGCTGTGCGCGGTGCTTGGCCTTGTCCGTCCCAACCACACGGCCCCCCCACCAGCTTCAGAAACGTCATTCTCCGCCGCCCATCTCGCTTGTCTCGCCAGACGGTGGCACACTCGGCAGGCCGCAGAGAGGTTTGGTTCCGCTACTCGACTCGGGACGATCCACAAATGTTGAGTGTTGTCTGACTCGTCGAGCACCTGTAATACACATATAGCATCGGATCCTCTCCTCCTCCTTTCCTCTCCTCCTTCTTTTTCTCCTCCAATGTCCCTCTCGCGCGTTTCCCGCACTCTCCCCCGTGTTGCGCGCTTGGCGCGCGGCTACGCCTGCACCTCGGGCCTCACCGTAAGTCCCCCAACCAGATGGACCCCCGCCCACCTCCTTATCTGTACGAGCTGCCACTTACAATGACTCTCCCAGGCCAACACTGCATACACTGCCGTTACCCACCCGGACAACTCGGCTCCCGAGGCTACCCAGGAATTGATCAAGGAGCACTCGTCGTACCTCCTCAACACGTACGCGCGCCCCCAGATCCTCTTCACCAAGGGCAAGGGTGCCAACCTGACCGACTCGGCCGGTCGCGAGTACCTCGACTTTTCGGCCGGTATCGCGGTGACTGCTTTGGGTCACTCGGATGCCCAGCTCAACGCTGTTCAGGCCGCGCAGGCTGAAAAGCTCTCGCACGTCTCCAACGTCTACTGGAACGAGCACGCCGGCGCGCTCGCCAAGGACCTCGTCGAGGGCACCCGTGCTGCTGGTGGTCTCGGCCTTGCAAAGTCGGGCGGTCCCGGTGCCAAGGTCTTCTTCTCCAACTCGGGTACTGAGGCCAACGAGGGTGCGCTCAAGTTTGCCCGCAAGTACGGCAAGGATGTTGGCGGCGAGAACAAGACTGGCATTGTCTGCTTTACCAACGCGTTCCACGGTCGCTCCATGGGCGCCCTGTCGTGCACCCCCAACCCCAAGTACCAGGCTCCCTTTGCTCCCTTAATCCCCAACGTGCGTGTGGGCGAGTACAACAACGCCGATGCCGCCGTGATTGCCGAGCTCGTCAACGAGAACACTTGCGGTGTTATCATTGAGCCCGTCCAGGGTGAGGGTGGTGTCGGCACCGCGTCGGTCGAGTTCCTCACTGCTCTCGCCAAGCGCTGCCGCGAGGTCAACGCCGTCCTCATCTACGACGAGATCCAGTGCGGTCTCTTCCGCACGGGCACCATGTGGGCTCACTCGGAGCTGCCCGTCGAGGCCCAGCCCGACGTTGTCACCATGGCCAAGCCCCTCGCCAACGGCTTCCCCATCGGCGCCATCCTTGTCCGCGAGAACGTTGCCGATGTCATCGGCGTCGGCGCCCACGGCACCACTTTCGGTGGCCAGCCCCTCGCCTGCGCTCTGGGCCGTCACGTCCTCGGCCGCATCTCTGCTCCCGAGTTTGGTGCCCACCTCGCCGACTCGGCCGCCCACCTCGACACCTTGATCGCCCGCCTCCCCAAGCTCTTCCCCCAGTTCATCAAGGAGGAGACCCGCGGCCGTGGTCTGATCCGTGGTATCCCCTTCAAGAACGAGAAGCAGCCCGGAGAGGTCGTCCGCATGGCCCGTGAGCGCGGTGTCCTCCTCCTCACTGCTGGTTCGGACGCTGTCCGTCTCATCCCCCCTCTCACCATCACCAAGGAGCAGTGTGACCAGGCCGTCGCCGTCATCGAGTCGGTCCTCACTGTCATGGACAAGGAGGGCAAGTGGTAAAAAATTAGAATAGACATGATCTTATGCACAATTGGGGTCTTAGGCTGGAGTGAGCAGACAGGACAGAGAGCCGCTGCTGTTGCTGGGCAAGAACACAGCCACCGCAGGGGTCTTCCCCAGTGTGGCTGTCTGCAGGAGCACAGGAATCGCAGGATTAGGGGGGAGCCACCGTGCGGCGCCAAGCTGAATAAACAACCTGGATGCATCAAAAGGGTAATAAAGCCTAGTTCTCGCTGTCATTCGTCAGCTACATTCGCATTGTCGTGCGCGGAAGATGTACTCACGGAATACGGTACACGGTGATTTCCTGCTGCTTGAAGTAACGGCGGTTCTCCTCATCTATCAACACGAGGTTGAGGTAGTATCGGGTCGAAAACTTCTTGTTGACGTCGCGGAACGTCGGGATGAGCTCGAACCCTCCCAGGAAGAGACGGATGGGGATGGTCTCTCCGCGGACGGGTGCGCCGTCCATGATCTCGAATTTGGTGATGGTCTCACTCTCGTTGTACAGGTTGGGTGCGGCTCCGGTCGTTTCCCGGCGGATAATCGACAGTTCCATGTGCTTGATCTTGATGCGCACCAAGAGGAAGTAGATCTTGCCCACGATAACGTCCTTGAGGTGGTACCTTTGGCGCGTTTGTCAGTTGGACTGTTCTTCAAGCAGCTCAGAACCAACTCACTTTGCCTTATTGTACTCAAACTCAATGTGCAAGCAGTCCTCGATACCGACCTCCATCTTGATGCTCGTGTTGCTGTCAGGCGGCATGCGGTACGAGTGTACCCAGAACTCTCGCTCCTTTGTCACCTCGCCCATGCGCCTCATGAGCGTCACGCGAATGTAGTATCTGTAATAAACGTCAGCAGCAGCTCGAGCCACGATGGCATAGAAGCTGTCGTCACTCACCGCAGCTTTACGTTGATACCCGAGTAACTCTCGTACTGCTTCTCGACGTTCTTGAACGTAAAGTCATACGTCTGCGCCTGTCGCATCTCGCCGGGTCCGGCCAGCTCCTGGCTCAGCGACACGAATTCGTAGTGGTTTCCGCGGTCGTAGAAGAGCTCTGCAGTGATAAGAATGTATTCGGGTACGACGAGGTTCATGGAGGGAAGGCACAATGTCAGCTTTGAGGATCGTCGGACGGCGGTGACTCGAGGAGCCAAGGTTGGGACGCACCTATCGATCCGACGAGCTCGATACGGATGCCGTCGTGCTGAAACTTCTTTCCATCCTTGACGCGCACAAGAACCTGAACGTCAACCATGTCCTTGTTGTGTTGGGCATCTCAATGCGAGCAGCCTGCCAGTAGCTCACCTGACCCTCTACACTCTCGCCATCATAGTAGACGGGACACATCTCTTTACGGTCGGCTTCGCCCTTGACCTCTACTTGCTTGCGCTCCTCTTCGCCTGTGAGACGGATGTCTACGTCGACGGGGGCCGACGTGAAGCCGAAGAACGACATTGCGGCGGCGGCGTGTGGTGGGTGACGATGGGGTTTGCTAGAAGATGACAATAACAGCAAGTAGACTGAACGCGACTGGCGCACTGGGCGGCAACACGCACGTCACTGCGACTCGGCGGCAGGCGGTGGTGGCAAGCACCGTGGGAAAGCCAGCGGGATCAATATTCCAGTGCAGTGCATTCTCTCGCTTATGTAAGCATTTACCTCCACCATCTCGGATGTCGGCTACTCACGGATGTTGTCAGATCCGACTATGCATTGTTTCACAGGTAGTCTCGCTCTTGGCATCACGTTCACTATGACGCACTTGCCTCCACCACCGCCCCCAAAGACCACAACAGCCCTCTGTCGTGTGAACAGGTGATCCGGCTCATCACTTATTACCATCTCTATCTATATCTCTCTCTCTCTCGCCACCTCTGCAAGCACCTTCCACACAGCTCGGCCTTCTGAATGCCCTCAGTCCCGCCAGGAAGCCTCGTCCTCGTAACCGGCGCGTCCGGTTTTGTTGGCACGTGCGCATCAGCATTTGGCGGTTTACACGTCGTGCTCATGTCCCCAGACAAGCAGTTATAGCTCTCGCAAGAGCCGGGTTTCGTGTTCGTGCAGCGGTACGGTCCTACGAAAAGGGCGAATATGTAAAGTCACTCGGCGCCGACGAGTTTGTTGTTGTCGGTGAAATGGCCAGGGTGAGTGTTGGAGGTGTGGTGGTGGATGTAGCTATTGTGGATCTGCTTGGTCGTTCTGACGAAGCTGACCGCGACCACAGCCAGGCGCATATGACGCTGCTGTCCTCGGGGTCGTTGGGGTGGTCCACGCCTCCTCCAAACCAGACATCAACAACAAGGGCGACCCGGGCCTCGTCATCGTCCCCGCCATTGTGGGAATACAGTCACTACTAAACTCACTCGCTTTGTGTCCGACTGTACGGCGCATAGTGCAAATGGGGTGTGTATACATCCGGTGTCTCTGTTCCTACCTACGTGCTGACCACCAGCTCCGCGGCGGCTCTCTCGACCGCCCAAAGCGGACCCACCCGTCACCCACACGCTGAAGACGGTAAGCTTGAAATATCCCAACGTTGCCTAAAACTGACGCTATCAGAGTGGAATGACGCCGTCGTTGAGCAAGTGAAAGAACTGGGCGCGTCTGCACCGCCACCGTTGAAATACCACGCCTCGAAGGTGGTCTCGGAACGCGCACTATGGGCCTTCTTCGCAAAGCGGCAACCGCACTTTGACGGCGTGGCGCTGCTCGTGGCATATGTGAGTCTTCACCTTTCCAGGCTGATCACAGTGGCTGACCTAGCAGGTACTTGGCCCGCCGACCGAGTTCTCCACTACCTACGGTCAAGTCACGGCGTCGTCGTCTGCGCTCATACCCTGGATGACAAGGCCCATGGGGACCGCCGCGCTGTCCGAGCCGTTCTATCCCTATGTTGATTCGTATGACGGTGAGCTACACGGCACTCTGCAGGGATGTTTCTGACAATACAGTTGGTCTAGCTGCAGTCGCGGCACTCAAGACCCCCGCAGCTGGTGGGGAACGGATTCTCCTCCAGGCGGGACCCGTGTTCGGGAATGACTTTGCATTGGTGCGCACCCCGTCTGAACTGTGCTGGTTCGTCTTGCTAACGCTTGATTACAGGCGGTCCAGCGCGTCCTTCACGATCCCAGGCTTACACCTGGCAACCCTGACCCGGTGTTCCGGGCACAACTTGAGGCTACAGCGGCAACATTCGAAACTACAAAAGCCCGCAGGATGCTGGGACTGGCGTATACACCCAAGGATGCGTGTCTGGATGCGACGGTGGAGGGTGTACGTGATGTGTTGGCCACCGCAAAGTCTGGTGTGAGGAGGTAAAAAGACACACGGGATCGCGTCCACGCCCTGTCTGCCGTGCCAGTGGCGTTGTTGTACTGTATGGCTCGCTTTTACGGGATGAACATGTGGACACGGGGGTCACCGTCCGCATGACACTCATGACATTGTGTACATATGCGGCAGACAGTCTCCAAAGCGGCCTACTACACTTTCTCTTCCTAATTCTGAACAAGCGACCACAAGGATGTGTGCGATTTGTAGCTACGTCGCGCGCGAGGCATTGCCCATGGCCAAGATCAGCCTGTCGAAGGCGTCGGGCCCCACAACGCTAATCCCAATCCCACCAGTGGCGGCAGCGATCGCTTGCAGGTCCCGCTGGTGAGCAGCCTGCATGTCAGCTGTTGTCGCCGAAGTCCCCTCAACCAACCTCAGTGCGAGACAACTTCTGGTCGGGAATGACCACCTCGTTGGCCTTGGGATCCTCTGCGTCCTTGGTGTTCTTGGGAGCTTTGTCGCCCTCCGTGTCGGCCTCAGAGTCGTCATGCTTGTTGGTTCCATTGGCCGTACTCTGCGACTGAGCATCCGTAGTTGTCTCCTTGTCGCTGTCGGTGGCGGGCATCGCACGGTTGAGCGCCGCCGCTTGCGATCTGCATTCGTTCAAAGCGTCTACCCACCCCGCGATACAGCCTGGCGACATGTCGGCAAACCTGATGATCTCGCCGACTTGGCGGGCACCCGACCAGACCTCCATGACCCTTTGTTTGAAGTCCTCCTCAGGTCAGCACTTCTAACAAGGTCCATGACGCACAATGTAGTATGCCCACTCGCAACAGAGCCAGTCGTGGATAAAGTCGCTTTTGTCAGGCATGCTTGTAACGGTGCCCGCCAGGATGAGAGGGAGGGGTTCGGTCATCTGGAGGTTGTACTCGCCGTAGTCCTTGACGCTGACCCTGTGTTGCGCTTCAGCACGATACCATTAGGCGCGTTCATACGTTCACTTACCACTCGAGGGCTTCGACACGTTCAGCCATGGTTTTAATCTGCTCCTCATCTAGCGAGAGGATGAACTTGACGATTTCAGCTCCCAGCCCTTCGGGGTAGCTGTCCCAGTGGTTGTACGAGCCGTAGCGCTCGCCATTGATGAGAAAGCCGAGGAGACCCCTGGTGCCCATGGTTGTTTGTCAACTCGGAGGGGGGATGGGTGGCGATGAAAAGACGGTTGATTGAGAGAGGGGTGAGAGATGTTCACAGATGTTCGTTGTGACTTATAACCGCTGAATGTGTGCATTGTGCTGGTTGAGTAGAGTCCAGTCACTCGCGCTCGATCACCCGCCGCATCCGTCTAGCTCGTTTCACCCTCTTTTGTTTGCAGCCGAGGCTGTCTATTGTTTTAAAGCGCCGACATGGGGACACCATTAGCACCGTCAGCTATACCGTCACATGCTTATGTCAACCAAACTCTATCAAGCAACAGTTGTTAGGCTGTGCACTGGCGTACTGGATAGGCTTAGCGGCAATTCTGGTGCTACAAAGTTCTCTTTGTTCCTTGGCGCACAAAACCACCACTTTAATCGTCCGAAATCACAGACCATCAGTCAGAATGGCCAGCCAGCATACGAGGAGGTTTACGACGGCGGTTGATGTTGGCCGACGTTTGACACAGGTTATCGCGCTCCTCCATGAGCTGCCGGCGCAGCTTGAATGCCTCACGCCTGTCGAACGGGGCTCCGAGATCGTCATAAATAACATCGCGGAGCTCTGGAGGGAGACTCGTGTCCAGGTGATGCAAGGAGCCCCAATGGCGCTGTTGAGGTGGAACGTTGGCAGTGGAGACGATAGGGGTCGCGGGGTCCACTAGGAAGATGGCGAGGATCTTGCGGTGTCCTGGGCGGCTGTTGTCGGCGAGTTGGAACGGCTCGATGCGGTGCTGGTACGCGTTGGGGAAGGCGATGAGTCGGCCCTCTCTGGCCTGTATGCTGCCGAGGTCTTGAACAATCGGTCCCATGTGAGATGCTGGAATGTCAAACCCATAGACGCCAAACCCGTTGCCCGGTCGGCAGCCAAAATGGTCCGGAATGCGCTCGCCGTTGGCGACGGTGCGGAACGCGAGACGAGTCTCAGTGATGTTGTCCATGTCGTAGTAATAAAGGGAACTTGCACAGATGCGCTCGTTCAGAGTTCCCTCGACATGCCACTGTCCGCCAGGGTACGAAGGACTGTCGGGAGAGAGGGTGATGGTGACCATCTTGACGATGACCTGAAGATGTCGTTTGCCGTTGAACCAGGGGCCGGCCAGTCTGTAATCCCGGTGACCAAGGTACTGGTACTCACGCGGCTCCAGCGTCTTCCACGGGTGTGTTGTCTCCCACTGCTCCTCGTATCGCTGCCAAGCTGTATAATGTATTGCCGAGATCTTCTCCATTTCTTCGCTGTCCGAGGTATTTGTCATCCTCTCGTCCAACCGCTTGTTCTCGGGGGTGTAGTGCCACCCACAGATGCCCCGGTCGTTGAGGCTGCATTCGCCGGGCGTCAAGCAGAGGCGCGATTGCTCCTCGTAAACGATGCGGGTTTGCCACCGAGGGTCGCTGGACATCTCGTCGATCTCACGCCCATGTCCCCATCGATCGAGAGGCCACAGTTCATCAGACCACGTGGTATCCCACGTCATGACACGATCGTACACCGCGTCCAGCAGTGGCAGAGTCTTTGTGAGGACTCCTTCAACCGCTGTGTACAGCTCGGAGTGCTGCACCGGATGGAGGTTATTGATGTAGCTTGTAATGTGTGCACCCTCGTGGTCCACCTCGACTTCGCACGGAAGCCACTGAAACTTGTAGGAAAGTAGCCTCGTGTTCGCGTGCCGGGCTTCGTCAGGCGTCTCCTCGGTGGCGGCAGCCTCTCCAAGGGAAGAAAAGCTGGTATCATGTTCCTCTCCGCCGGAAGCCTGCCTGGGACCATGAGGGTGGGGAGCAGGGGGGATCGTCTCGCCGCTGCCAAAGGCCTCCAGGCAAGTCTCACGAGTGAGATCGCGGTCCCTTAGGACGCGAGTCCTACCGTACACCAATGGCCAAAGGCTAGGGTCGATGAGGTCACGCACACGGGCACCGCCAAAGCCCTCCCGGAAATCTTGGGTGTCAGGTGACGCTTCGAGTCGTTCGCTTGCAGACTGCAGCGCCTTGCGGAGAGTGGGGGGAATGCCGTCGGTCTTGAACACGGCGCCAGCACCATCAAACACTGATACGATGCCGTGCTTGTCATGAATGGTGGCCTTATCGCGCAACTCTGCGATGCAATAGTCGAACATTTCGTTGCTAAACCCGCGGCGCAATGGGTCCACTTTTGTAGTCGACTTGACTGTCGGTCCAGTATCGCTGTCCTCTTCGGGGGTCCCATCCGACTCGTCCAAGGAGGGCATTCTAGCACGCCTCCTGTTCCCTCTGATGGCCGCTTCTGCCTGTACGGCGGCTGGGCCCTGTTCTGCGAGGACAGCTTCCCGCGCAGCCCGTCGTGCCTCCCGACGGACACGCCTCCGTTCAATCTGAGCCAGCCGTCTCTCTCGCAGCACCCGGTACAGCTGCTCCTCGCCCTCTTCCTCCCGCGCGACCACGTCGCTCACCTTCCTATCCAGCTCCGCCCTCCACCTGGCAACGACAGCGTCGTCAAAGACGTCTGTAGTCCAGTTGGGCTTCTCAGTCACCAGGTTTATGAACCAGAGCATGCCACGCTCGCGGGTCGTAATGGTGTTGGCGCGCCAGTGGGTATTCTCGTCCACTAGGGCTGATGGGAACACGTCCCCTTCCGGGTCATCCAGTGGACCATTGGACAAGTAGTAGTCGAGCGGGAGACCGAGACCAGGGCGCCGTACTTCGAATGTGGCGGAGGAATTCACGGGCATGGTTGGTGCGTTGGGTGTGGTACACGGGGGATGACTGTGAACCCGTTTACAGATCAGGTATATTGTGATATTGGGAGACGGCAGGCGTTTTCCTCGCGACCGGCCTGTTATATGTCATCAGACCGCGTCGTTTTGCCACCCGGATACGATGACAATGTCATGGTTACAAAACACCTTTGGTCCCGCCGAGGTCCAAGGAACGCTCTGCCGATGTGTGCACATCCGGCTTAGCAACATCAACGCAACTGCCGCGACACGTTTCGTACACACGCGTATACATATACCTGCCCAGCCAAACAATGCGGTGAACGATGGAGGGTGGGTGTGTGTGTGTGGGGGGGGGTGGGGGGGGGGGGGGGGGTGGGGGGGATGACGGGTGGACTGGCATTAGTGGCACCTTGGCACAGAGGTGCGTGTGGCAGTCCCCCAGCACTGGTCATGTCCCGTCTGTCACCGTTCAGCATTGCAGTCACGTCGTAAACATTGCAGCCAAGTCGTACCAGCACCATGTGGCATGAACACCACAAGATGCGCCGTGAACTGCGCTTCTTTATCTGCATCATCTTGCATTCTCCAAGTACTTCCACTACATATCGTTTGAGCGACAAACGCGCGCTTAGGCGGTGGCCGACGAGATGAAGAACGACTTCGAGATCGAGGGGTCGATGGGGGCAGCGGGCTGGACGTTGGCAGCGGGGACCTGGGCAGCAGCCTCGGCGGCGGCAACAAAGTTCTTGGCGCCGGTGAGGGTGGTGTTCTTGAGGGCAATGTCACCAGCGGGCGACTCGCCAGCGATGAGCTTCTTCCAGGCCTCGTGGCACTCGTGAAGGATCTCCACGGCGTACTTCTTGGGCTTGGCCTCACCAGAGAAGGCGAACACGTTCTCAGGCTTACCGTCAGGGATCTTGTAGATACGGAACCCTGTTTGTCAGTGTTGTTCTCAAGGCTCTTGAGATTGAGTAGATAAGGTGTTGTAGATGTCGGAGGAAAAAAAATCCGGAAAAAGAATGAAAAATTCGACTTACACTCGTTGGTGGCACGGACAAGGCCGGGGAGGTGGCGCTCAACCTATTCGGCGTCAGTACTACAGTTTGTGGTCAAGGCGCGCGAGTGTGTGGACAGAAAAAGAAAGAATTGGCAGGTCGACGGGCTGATGTGTGGGTGCCACTTGGGGCCACACGTGCCACAGTTGGTGCCACTTTTGCTTCCGTCGTCCCTCCACACATGACGGAGAGGGCGCAGGCGTCCTCGAATCTTAAACTCACGTCCTCAATGTCGTTGACCTTCGAGGCAAGGGGGTCGTTGACGTCGATGACAAGGACCTTCCAGTCGGTCTCGCCGTCGTCAATCATGGCCTGGGGGAATCAGCACTTGTTCTTCTCGGATTCGACACAACGCACCATGATGCCGAGGACCTTGACCTGCTTGATCTGGCCGACGTAGCCGATAGCCTCGCCGATCTCGCAGACGTCGAGGGGGTCGTTGTCACCGTTGCAGCCGGTCTCGGGGTGCTTCGAGTTGGGGTCCTCCCAGGTCTGGGGGAAGGCACCGTAGTTCCAGATGTAGCCGTGGTGGGGGAAGCAGTTACGAACGTAACGGAGCTTGCCCTTCTTGGTGTCTGGCAAAAAGTCAGTACATGACCGGGGCACCCTGTTTTGCTAAAACGCACCCTGGAGGATGGGGTTGAAGGCCTCCTCCTTGGAGATCTCCATCTTGGCGTTGGTCCAGCGGGGAACCTCAACGATCATGTTGAGGATGGTCTGCGACTCATCGGCGTAGAGGGGGAGGTCGCTGATCGAGGTTAACAGCCATTCACGGGTGACAGTGGAGTCGGATCGGCAAACAAGTAGGAGCCACGTCACACAGATCCCAGCGCGACGGGGCCACCAAGCTGTCGCAGACACAGCTGCCTAGCGTGAAGCGCGTCGCCGGCGCGCCCGGCGAACGGACCCCGGGCGACGTGGAGCAAACTGTAATGGACGACGGCGAGCTCGGTAGCGAGCCAGCTGCTTGCCCCAGCCCTCATGCGTGGGTGGCCCGCACTGGGTACCTGGCACCTGCCGCTGTGCGTGTCGATACCATCTGTCTATGTATACAGGCGGCACGTATTAAAACCAAACACACGTTTGGTTTGGTGGGCCTTTTTCGGGATAAGACAATGGAGGATGGAAACTTACTGGAAGGGCGAGATGACCTTGCCGTCCTTCTCGATGAAGACACGGTGCTCGAGGGTGTTGGCGGCGCCAACGACGCGGGTGCTGTACTCGGAAGCCATTTTTCGTCTTGTCAAGTGAGAGACGGTTGTGGAGAGACGTCTGATGGTGTTAACAGACATGAAATGGGGTTTGTGCGTCGTGGCACACGGGGCGGGCGGACTCAAGGGCGAAGGGCTCGTCCAAAACGACGAATTACTCCCGGCAACAGCGGCAATGGCGTGCGGGGCGGCTGGGGGAGCAGCTCGGGACGACGACGATACAAGCACGCAATGACGAGCCGAGTCTGCTGCAACAACTGGAATGTCGGGCGAATCGGACGAGCGCATTCAATGGGTCTAAACCGCGTTTAAGACACACCAATGCGGAAACTAGGCGGAGCAAGGTCTTTGCGCGACTACGAGAGCACAGATAGGCGTGCACGGTGGGAGTGGGGCGCCCGAGCACTTCCGGAACGGCGGGTGACCAAAAGGCAAAGCGGGTTCTCTACACAAGCGGACAGAAGGCTATCTTGCAGCCATGTCAGCTGGGTACATAGTGGGCAACTGTGTTGCAGGAGACGACTCACAGAGACAACAGTTGGTCAAACGAGAGTAATGTCAAGACGATAAGATGGGCAGTGGACACATCACATTGACTTTGACTGCTACAGTGTCATCCGGGTAAGTACGTGCCCGTTGGTCCCGGACATGTGCGTTGGGTTGATGCCCCCCACGAGCGTACTCGGCAAAATCATGACCGGCTCCCACGATCCCCGCTGGCCCCGAGAGGCACCGCGGGGGCCAGCGCCGTCTCGATCGAGTGCACCACAGATCCACAGCGTTGTGGGCGATGCCTGTAAAACCGAGCTCGATGCGAGGTGCTGATATAGATTGCGTAGTCTGAAAGAGGACGCGGTAGCTCTTGGACTAAATGGGGCTAGCAATCCATGATCGTCCCCACTCTCCATCATGATATCATGGATTGCTAGCCCATTGATCAAACCATTGACTTCTGGGCAGTACATACAGCTGATACGCCTAATTAGCAACAAAGCGAGGCTACAATACTGGTCCACAGCTTGCAACGTAGAGATTGTAGAGAGTCGGTGTGAGGCACAGTTTCGCATCTGCCCGATTCGCCTCTGCTGGAGCGTAGCGTATGCCAAGGTGTTGCATAAGACGCTTGCCACACTGATCGCTGTATATTTGTGCAGTATCACTGCAGCAGACCCTCGACCGGACAGCCTCCTCAGCGGGCTCACGTCTCAGTCTCGGCGTTGGGCGCGAAAATGGGGCCTGTCGCTTTATTAGGGCACACACAAACGAGTGAACATCGATGCTTCCTTCTTCTAGGTGGTTAGGAAGCGGGTCTCATATTCACTAATATATGAGCTGCAATGGCAGTGTTATCCCGAAACCTGAGTTCGAGTCTCAGAGGAGGCATTCCTTTTGCTGTTCTGCTCCTCTGCATGCTTTCAAAGGATGCAGAACAGTCTTTTGTCGTCGCTGGAGCAAAGATGGAGACGAATCCAGGTGGAGAAAATCGCGTGTGGCTCCCTGAACCTTTTTGGTTCCGTCGGTTCCGACGGGCCACTTTCAGTGGCACTGTGCGCTGTGCATTGCATGGCCATTGGACGTTGGCAACAAGCCTGGACAGAGGAATACGATGGCCCAAGCGTGCCAGAGATGTCGAAGACGGGACACATGCTGTTGCGCTGGCGCACATACTCTGTTTTCAATCTCACTCTGCAGACAGCAAGATCAGCCGCGGCACTCGGGCCGTGTGTGACACGGCAAATTCGCGGATGATCGGCAATCTGCCACCGATCCATCCTCATCTCGCCGATCAGCAACAACCTTCCTCGACATCTGCACACGTCTTCCTACCTTGCCACACTGCATAGGACAAGCAATAGCCAAAAAGGAAGCCTAGTATGGGGCTCGAACCCATGACATTTTGATGTCTTAAATAATAAGAGTCAAACTATCTACCGACTGATATAACCAGGCCCTTGAAAGTTTTGCGGCTCACACATTTATAACCCGATTCTCCTTTCACTCATTTCTTCTCAATGCATCGTCCGTCGCACCTGTACCCTTGTCCTGCACAAGGGGCTACTCAGAAAAGCTGATTTTGGCTTCCAATGCGGCTGTGTGCGGACAGAGGACATGTCGGAAATTGCGTATATTTTAGGTCATTTACATTTCGTTGACGGCCTGTGGATAGGCAGTTGAATGGGATCCGAGCAGCACACGACACGGAGTGAAAGTACGATTTTGAGTGTCTTCCCTGTCCTTGATTTGCCGTCGATGACATCGAAGGCCGTCAGATAACACACCAGTCCGCTACGTCAAGGCGCCATTCTCCAACTCCGACGCCCCCTGATGACACCGTCTACTCAGTCCATTTAGTCCACTCAATTCCAGGCGAGCACTGCGACACTGGAACAGGTGCTTCCTCGACCCCACCTTAATCGGTAATGGTGGACCATAGGGCGAGAGTGACTGGCCCCCAGACGCGCTTTCCGTGTCATGAGGAAACAAACAATGTATTCATCGCTGCCGACGATGATGACAATGTCATTCTTACAAACGGCACCCTCCTTGCCATTCAGAACAGGATAGGGAAAGACAGCTGACACACAGGCTTCCAGTATGCCCCCGGTAGGGACCTTGCTCCTGTCGTCAACCGGACAGACATCCAATGCCCCAATCATCTATGAGACCTAGGCGAAACTGGGGTCTCACAGGTTTCGATGACCCGACATTCCTGTGCGGGTCGGGGATCCTTGGGCGTGGCCTCATGTGGACCCGTCGTTCGCGTCGGGCATATGTATGTACCTACACCTTTATTGGGTACTTCGTGTCAGCTGGTGATTGCTGAGACCATTAGGGGGACTGAGTATCACCAGATCTCGCTTGGTGGACACTAGCGCCACAATGGTGGCAGAAGCCGAAATGGAGAAGAGTTTGTGTACGATGAGGAACATGTATGCGCTATCTAGCTGCTGTCGACTGCTGCCATGTAGACAGACTTCTTCGTGAAAGAGGTATGCTGCTGCCAAACGAGGGGATGTAGCCGGATAAGCAAGGCATCAGGCCATCAGGGCGGAGGAGCATGCTCAAGGGTCGGAGCCTCTGACTCGGCATCCCTCTTCAGGTTGTCTTCCCCGATCCCCGACTCAACGCAACCCAAAAAGCAGTCAACCTGCCAGTCCTGATGAACTGGAAGACGACGAGAAGCCTAGTATGGGGCTCGAACCCATGACATTTTGATATCTTAACACAATGGGAGTAAGAGTCAAACTATCTACCGACTGATATAACCAGGCTTTGATGTTGATTGATTCCGACATGGCTCTTGTCCCTCTTCTCCTGACTAGAAAACCCAAAACGTAGCACATGAAACAGCATGTCATATTGAAGGTGCTTTACAGCATATCTCCCGGCTCAAACCCATGCGAGTGACACATGTGGCCGGTGGAGTGGGAGAGTCAAACTTCTATCGACGGGTACCGCGGATGTTGTTGACAGATCTGTGCCCTCTCCCATCCCTTTTCGGAGCCGGCTGCGTGCGCGTCACAAGGCGACGGTTCGCCGGGGAAGACGCCAGAGTACGCGGCTGGTAGGGGGCGGATGAGAGGTGCGGTGACCGCGGATATGAGTAGAGAAAGTGAGAGCGGCCTCCGCAAACGAACACAGTGATGTGGTGGATGGATGAGTGTAGATGCGCGGGAGGTGAGGCGCTGTCATCCCCGACTTCCGAGGAAAATCCGCTACGAGTTCCGGGGTAACAACGGAATAGACGCGGCTGCCCGGGCCACAATGGCCACTTTTGTCGATGAGCAAGTAGTATTGTCAGTATCCCCGCTTGGGTGCCAAGGGATGCGCCTGCGACTTGTCCTCAACAAGGAAGATGTTGAGGCCGGACGCGTCGGAAAAGTATGCCATGTTGACGTGGATTGCCGCTCGCCGCGGCAACTGGGCGTTGGTCGTGCTATGAACTACGTCTTTTACTTCCGACATTTGAACGGTCTCACGTACTCACGTGCCGCAGTATCACGCGGCTCCTGGCCGAAGCTGGGCAGCGGACAGTGACATTTGTTGTTATTGGGACTGCGTCGACTGGACGGAGCGAGCAGAAGATGGGGTTTAGGAGATCAGGAGCCAGCCTTGCAGCTTGGCCGCGGCTGCCGGAAAAAAGCCGAGCTGTGAGGCGACTTACATCGCCGGCGACTCACAGGATCACCGTACCACCGTGAAGCTTCGCGGTGCGTGAAGGCTTCCGTGACACAAGTTATTGACACCACTGCCTGGGCCTATGCATTCCACGCAACTCTATTGTCTCCTGTGCCACGTTTTGCTCATACGTCTGTTAAATGCTGTTCGTCGTATGCGCTGATGACCGAACTGAGCCGCGGGCGGCGCATCCGACCTGGAGAGGCGAGAGCTCGGAGGACCGGACTTCCGTTAGTGTGGGCTCAGCAGCCGCCGGCAGATACAAAAGGGCTTGCGGGGGTCGTCGCTGGCTGACGCATCATGCTCCGCCGCGGATACCGTGGGGCCGGCGTACAAGATCCGGGGCCGCAGCAGCACATTCCTGATGCATTGGAACATGCGTCACATGAGGGCAGGCCGGGCCTAGTTACTTATGTATGCGAGCTCGTGGGCAGTGTGCTCATTGCCACAGCTTCGTCTTCGCTACCAACTGCACCCCCAACACCACCACCATGAGCACTTCGAGCAACGACATCAAGACCACTGTGGGCATTATCGGCGCCGGCCCTGCCGGTCTCCTCCTCGCACGCCTCCTGCTGCGCGCCGGCATTGAGAGCGTCGTCATTGAGGCCAAGGACCGCGAGTACGTCGAGCAGCGCCAGCGTGCCGGTATCCTCGAGCAGGGCACCGTCGACGTCCTTCGCGAGGCTGGCGCCCACGAGCGTATGGACAAGGAGGGCCTTGTTCACGACGGCGTCGAGTTCCTCTTCAACAAGAAGCGTTACCCCCTCCACTTCCCCACCCTCACTGGCGGCCGCTCGGTTATGATCTACGCCCAGACTGAGGTCTGCAAGGACCTTATCTCCCTGCAGCTCAAGGAGGGCGGCCCCCTCCTCTTTGAGACCAAGGCTCTCGGTGTCGACGGCGCCAACACCCCCAACCCCTCGATCCGCTTTGAGCGCAAGGACGGCTCGACCGGCACAATCCACGCCGACTACGTTGTCGCCTGCGACGGCTACTGGGGTGTCGGTCGCGAGGCCATCCCCAAGGAGCTCTGCCAGGACTACGAGCGCACCTACCCCTTCTCGTGGCTCGGTATCCTTGCCGACGTTCCCCCTTCCAACGACGAGCTCATCTACGCCCGTCACCCCCGCGGCTTTGCCCTTCTCTCCATGCGTTCGCCCACCGTCTCGCGCTACTACCTCCAGGTCCCCGCCGGCACCGACGCCAAGGACTGGTCGGACGAGCAGATCTGGGACGAGCTCGAGAAGCGCTGTGAGACCACCGACGGCTGGAAGGTCCAGCGTGGTCCCATCACCCAGAAGAGCGTCACCCCCATGCGCTCGTTTGTCCACGAGCCCATGGCCTACGGCAGCCTCTTCCTCGCCGGCGACGCCGCACACATTGTGCCCCCAACTGGCGCCAAGGGCCTCAACCTCGCTGTCGGCGACGTCGTGACCGTCGCCCGTGCCCTCAAGCACAAGGTCCAGACTGGCAGCGACGACCTGCTTAGGGCGTACTCGGAGACCTGCCTCCAGCGTGTCTGGCAGGCCGAGCGCTTCTCGTACGACATGACCAACCTCCTCCACACCGACCCCAATGCCACCCCCTTCGAGGACAAGCTCCAGATTGCTCGTCTCCAGCGCATCGTCTCCACTCCCTCGGCCGAGACCGACCTCGCGCTCGCCTACACTGGCTTCCCGTTGTAGTAGTTGTACCCCCATATACGTCCCATCATCATGTCAAAACGAGGTATCTGCAGTCCACAAAACTTGAAACCAGCACTCTGTACTCTGTTGTTTGAGCTGCCTTCCGTGTACTAGCCAGAGAATCAAGTCGTTACCTTCGCCTTTGTCTGTCATTGCGGGTCTGGTGCGGGCGAGTTCAACACGGCCGTACACACGATGCCAATCATCGCACGCGTGGGATGATCACATTAATCACACAAAGTACGCAACCAGACGCCCGCCAAGATCCACAAGGATTTTCCCGACAAGTGGACGGGCTGGACCAGATCCACCTGTCAACAAGAGACTGCCAGCACTACCTCAGTAGATGCGTAATCCCAAGTGACAGTACGGCCGTATCGGTGGTGGGCAACAGACTGCGGACCATTCCGCGCACCAGTGACCTATAGCCGTTCCGCAACGCCGTGTTGCTCGCAAGAAAGCCATTGTTCAGGCCACAGTGATTGTCCAAACACCACTGCTGCCCCTCCCACTCTGCTTGTAACGCTGTTACTACTATGCATTGCACTGATACCCCGAATCATACAAAATTTTAAATGGCCTTGGCGAAGAGCTCGTCAAAGGCGTTCTCAGTCTCCTTCTGGACGTCGTACATGAACAGAGTGTCGTGGGTCTCGCGCGAGATCATCTTGTCAGGGTTGGAGCCGTCGCTGGCGGTGGCGAAGGCCGCGTTACGCGAGTCCTTGTCCTGGGTGTGCAGGCCCTTCGAGTTGGCCGAGGCGGTGCGGACGGCCCAGTCGGTACGGGGCTTGCGGATGGCCTGGTACACTTCGAGGGCCTTGTGGACGTCCTCCTTCTTGGTGATGCGGGCGAGCACAACACCGAGAGCGGCAGCGTCCTCAACAGCCTGGGCGGCGCCCTGGGCAATGTGGGGGAGAGTGGGGTGCGAGGCGTCGCCGACAAGGGCGGTGTTGTTGTCGACCCACTGGGCAATGGGCTCGTGGATGCGGAGCTTCCACTCGAGAACCTCGCCCTCGGGAACGAGGTTGAGGAGCTTCTGGACACGAGGGCAGAAGTCGTGGAAAGTCTTGAGCATCTCGTCCTTGGAGCCAACGGCAGTCCAGGTGTCGGCCTGAACGAAGTGACGGTCGGGCTGGGTGGTCGACATGTTGAACAGGTCACCGTTCTCGATGGGGTAGGCAATGATGTGGCGCTTCTCGCCGATCCAGCGGTACGACTCGGTACCGGTGAAGAAGGGAACGAGCTCGGGGTCCTCGTTGATGGCCGAGCGGCGGACCATGATACGGTAAGCGGCCTGTCCGGTGTCCTCAACGTCGTCCTGGACGCCCTTGCGAGCCATCATAGCCTCGCGAGCCTTCGACTTGACACCGTCGGCGCAGATGAGGACATCGGCCTGAACCCACTCGGGCTCGCCCGACTCGCCCTGCTTGACCTTGAACTTGGTGTTGTCAAAGTCGTAGTCGGTGATAAAGTTGCCGAGGTGGAGCTTCACAACACCCGAGTCCTCGGCACCCTTGATGAGGGCACGCTGGAGAGCGGCGCGGTGAACAGTGACGAAGGGGTAGCCGTACTCCTGCTCCATGTAGGTGTCGTACGAAACCGAGGTGAGGATCTCGTCGGTGGCGCAGTCTGCACACATTGCGTCAGTAATCGGGATCCCCACAACAATCGCCCAAGTGAGGCCTCTCAGGCCCCCGCATAACTCACCAAGAACGTTGGCCTTGGTCATGGCCACACCCTCGCCGTTGCAGTACTGGAGAACACCCCAGTTGTCGAGGACGCGGGCAAGGTTGGGGGGAATGTTGATACCGGCACCGACCTCACCAAGAGCGGGAGCGGCCTCCCAGACGTGAATGTCGGTGAAGCCCTTCTTGGCGCAGGACAGGGCAGTGCCCATGCCGCCCATGCTGGAGAGATAGTCAGCTACCAGCTCGTCGAGACCGTTTGCTGCCCATCGCGGGGCGAGCTACCAGTAGCTCCCACTTACCCGGCGCCGATGATGTGGATGCGAAGGTTGGGGAGAGCAGGAGGAGACATGATTGTGTGTGGAGAGAGGAGGTGATGAGGAACAACTCTGTCGGCTCGGACAGCTACCTATATGTGGATGCGCCCAGTGGTCACTCTATGCCGTACAGGTCAGCTGAGCCGCCTGCGCAGACTGGCTCTGGCCGCTGGGTACACGGAGCAAGAACTCTCTCAGAGGCTCCGGCCCGCCGGTGATCTAATGGCCGCCAGACAGCGGCGCCAGCAGAACCGGACCCCGCACACCCCGCACCACCGCACGAGTGGCCCTTGAACCCAGGAGCCCTTCATAGCACACCGTTGGCCCGCGCCAGGTACAGCCCGTCACCACATCGACCCGGTGTGCGTGCCATGATGCCCCTCTCCCCCCCGTCTCGCTTCCCTCCAGAAGCTCAGGCAGGCAGGCGACCCTCAGGCCATTGGAGCTCGCTGGTCACCATTGGCCAGGCTGTGCCATGAAGCTGGTGGTGTATCCTGCACGACTGAGGCGGGCTGCTGGCGGCAATGCGGTCATATCGGCATGCGGCAAACGAACGCGGTTCGCGGTCAATTCTGCCCCCCCCACGACCCTTTCCATCCATCCACCCAACGAACCTCACCCTGCACCCTATACATCTGGCACTGGCTGGGCAGGGAGCGATATCGTCGGTGCCGGTCTGTCCGGATGGCTGAGCATGCTCCTATGCTCTCTTGGTGCATCCATTGTCCTCTTGCTATCCGGAGGTTAGATCTGCGAGTGAACGGTGCATGTTAGAGCTATAGTATGGTAGAGATAGCAATGCTCAACCAGCCGCTCCACAAATGTCAGAACATGGCACAATCGGATCATTTTGAAGTAGAACCCCGCAATTCTGAACCGTGCACTTTGCAACAACGCTGCGGAGGCGTTCCCCCGAGCAATGTGGAGGGCGTGGAGTCTGCGGGCCAGTGGCTACGAATGCTGTGGCCTATACGCTTGCGCATCTGTCAGCAGCATATCGCGGCGGGTGGATACTCACCGCACGGCCTAAACGGCGAGCACAGCGAAGCGACAGCCAGGAACGCAGCCAGCTTCTGCACCTGCCTGCGAGCCAACCACCCACCCAGCACACATCTGCTACTGACCAGAACACCTGCAAGCCAGAGCACCCACCCACCCCGTCAAACAAGCCGCCCAACACCCGCTACCAGTTCGTCATGGATCATGGTCCACAACGAGACGTGGCCAGCGTGAAACCGGCGCCGGCGAGGCCGCGGCAACAGCTTCCGCTAGATTTCGGCAATACAGCTCGTCAACATCCAGGGACGGGACAGATGGAGCGATGGCCGGAACGGAGCACGGTATTGTTCACCGGCCATCAGACTGGCCTCGCTGGCCTTCGATGGCCCATACACGTACAGCACGTACAGTGCAGCGCGTGCAGCGCATCTGCATGACATCGGCTGCGGCGCAGCTTGCAGTATTGCAGTAGGGTATTGAAAGTGGCAGTGATCGGGCCAAAGCGGAATGATCTGCACGGTGGTTGGCTCATGATCTGCATCATAGATGTGGGTACTTTACGTCATCACATCTCTGATCTTCTGTCATCTCTCTACGAACAATACAATGGACTACCATCTCTCACAGGCATGGCACACGCCTTCCTACAGCTCAAAGACGTTGAGCGGCATCGGCTGGGGCGCGGCCGAGAGCTCAATCGAACGGGTCTGGGTGAACGAGCGGATACCCTCGACACCGTTGAAGCGGCCCCAGCCGGACGACTTCCAGCCTCCGTGGGGGATCATTGGGGGGTCGGCGGGTGTGGGGCCGTTGACGTGCACGGCTCCGCTCTCCATACGACGGGCGACCTTTTCAGCACGCGCCAGGTCCTTGCCCCACACACCAGCCGAGAGACCGTAGTCGGTGTCGTTGGCGATCGCGACCATCTCGTCAATGACCGCGTCGTCGCTCCGTCCGCTGTCGGGCACAGTCACAACAACGGCAATGGGGCCAAAGCTCTCCTCGGTGTACAGCGCCATGCTGGGGTCGACGGGGCCGATGATGGTGGGCTCGAAGAAGGCGGTCGAGGGAGCCTTGCCGGCCTGGTCGAGGATTGGCTTGGCGCCCTTGGAGATCGCGTCGTCAAACAGACGGTTGACGCGCTCGCCCGACGCGCTCTGGAAGAGGGCGCGGGGCTGCTTGACCTTGACAGTGTCCCATGAGCTGCGGAGGGCGGCGACGAGCGCGTCGTGCTTGGACGCGGGGACAATGATGCGCTCAGTCGACATGCAAATCTGGCCAGCGTTCATGAACGCGCCAAAGAGGACTGTCTGATTAGCGACAGCGTGGGACTAACAACTCACTGTGCGACGCAGCAGTCTCAATGTCCGCGTCCGGGAGGATGAGCGTCGGGGCCTTGCCGCCGAGCTCCATGAGAGACGGCTTGAGGTGCTGGCCGGCAAGTCCGGCGATGATGGAACCAACGCGGGTCGAACCGGTGAAGTTGACATGGCGGATGCGCTTGTCACCGACAAGCACGGGAGTGAGCTCTGCAGCGTCTGGAGTGGCAACGTGAACGACAACAAGGGCGTCGTGTGGCAAGCCAGCAGCATAGAGAAGCTCGGCTGCGTGGGTCTGCGACAGAGGAGCCATCTCGCTGGTCTTCAGCACGACAGTGTTGCCTGCCAGAAGAGGGGTGGTAATTGCGCGCATGGTGAGAATGGCGACAGCGTTCCAGGCGGCAATCGCCAGGCAGACACCGTAAGGCTCGCGTCCGATCTTGAAAGTAGCTACGTGATCAGCAACAGGCCATACTCCTTTGCCTCACCAGCACCCTCAGTCACAATCTTCTCCTCAAGCGCCTCATCTGCGCTGGCCACGAGGGTCTTGAGCGCACCCTCGACGGCGTGAATCTGCGCACTGGCCCACCACGGCGTACACGACTGCTCGGCGAGGTTGGCCTTGACGAGCTTGTCGGCCCATCCGCTGCTAGAGTCCTCGAGCAATGCGGCAGCCTTGAGGAGCACGGCCTTGCGGTCAGCAAGGGGGGTCTTGGACCAGGCCGGGAGCGCGGCGTGGGCCGTGTCAATCGCGCGCTTGAGGTCTGCAGCCGTAGAGCGCTCAACCTCGTGGGGCACATCGCCAGTGGCGGGGTGGGTGACCTTGTAGGTCGCGGGGGTGGTAGTTGCGTGGGCCGTTCCGCCGACGGCGTTGCGGACAATGGTGCTGGTGCTGGTCATGTTGCCTGCGTTGGAAGACGTAGAGTAAGAGTATACATTGCCGGTGACTCCCCCACTTCGTCTTAAGATGGGTGAACTGTCTTGGTTGCCCAGTTGACTGCTACGTCGGTGGGTACAAAACGGACGCATGTATTCCGGGGTTCCGGGGTGCCTCCGGAAGCAGGTCGGTCGCCGAAGGTGCTGCATGATTTATCCGCTGTGTATAGACCGGCAACTTGATGGCGAACACCAGTCAATCAAGGGCCGTATTGGTAAGTGTCGTGACGGATGGTGAGGGATAAGTAAGAGGGTCATAGGTTTGTGAGCATGTGGGGCTCGCCGGGGCTGTTGCGGACGCCGCAAAGCACGAATGGAAGCAAACGCGGAGGCCGACCCAAAAGTGCGGAGGCCGACCTGAAAGTGGGTGCGAGAACGTGCACTGAACGGGGCTCCTTCGGCAGCAGTGACTGCACTATTGTCTTGCAAGGGCCGTGTTATGCAGCGTTGTCTTTCAACATTTCTCCTCGAACAGCCTTTGTAACACCAGTAGGTGACCCAAAGGCCACCTGGACATGTCCAATCCAATGCCGGCTGCAGATGTGGCTGATGCAGATGTCCGACCTCCCGATTAATCGATACCACCAGAGACAGGCCGAGCAACTCAGGTACCTCGAGGCGAGGTCATGCAGTATCCGGTATTTTTGCATCGTAACATCCTCGCACTGCTATGCGCTTTCCACGCTTTCGGCTGTTCCGAGCGCGAGCTCACGAACCGTTCCCGCTTCATCCCCCATCCTGAATCGTAACAGCTTACCCTAACGTCCCACTGCCTGTGCTCACGTTGACGAGCATGCAGTCCGCTTCATACCCGGATCGTCGCGGCTGACGATACTGTGGATTAGGTAAGGCATAATGTTTCGCTGGCTCTCGCCGGGTACGTCGGGATCGCCAGATCGCTCTGGGTACAAGAACGGAGAAACACAACATGCGGTTCTGGGAATTGTCCTGACGGGAACTCTATGCGTTTCCGGTAAGCCACAGGCCACACACATTTCTCACCCCCCGCGGGTAATGCTGCCGGCACCGTCAGGCGAGGCGAGGCTGATGGCCATAACAAACCGTGCATGACTCTATCAAGTTCATAGACAACTGACTAAAACTGCTACAGCTACAGTGACTTACGCCATACCCATACCGCACGAGACCTCAATAGTCTGGCCGGTCATCGAACGGTTCTCCAGCACAGCAGCAAAGGCACCAGCGGCATCCTCAACACCAGTGGTCTGCTTGAGCAGAGTGTTGTTCTTGGCATGCTGGACCTGCGCATCTGAGAACCCGGCGGACCACTCGGTCATCATAAGACCAGGTGCGACAGCGTTGACTGTGACATTGGGCGCGAGCGACTTGGCGAGACACTTGGTCAGGTGGGACGAGGCGGCCTTGGAGACGGCTGTGGGAGTCAGCATGGACATTCCGCGGGCAAGGTCAGCGGACGTACAGTAGGCCATGCTAGAGCCAGACGGGCGGAGACCGGCAGCGGAAGCGGAAATGACGAGCGAGCCGTGGTTCTTCTTCAGCTCCTCCTCGGCGGCCTGGGCGAGCCAGAGGTGGGCCATGACGTTGCGGTGCCAGCAGCGGTCCCAGTCCTCGTCTGCGATCGCCTCTGTAGGGGTGTGTGTTAGCCCTCTCCGTGGTGCAGATCCGCGTATCACCCAACTCACTGATGTCACTGTAAGGGCCAAACTTGGTCCAGCCGGCGTTGGAGACGATGAAGTCAATGCCCCCCAAGGCCTTGATCGTGCCAGCAACCAGGGCATCCACTCCCTCGTGAGTGAAGACGTCGCCCTGGATAATAACGTGGCCTTGGCCAGCAAGCGAGGCGCGGGTCTCCTCGGCACGGTCTGGCGAAGCCGAGTAGTTGACAGCGACACGGGCACCGCGCTCGGCGAGCACCTTGCAGATGGCGGCACCTTTGACGTCAGCATCCACGCTTCGCACCACTCCGGCGCCGGACGTCCGCCATTTGCCAGCCAGCGACGTGCCAGACGTCCTCATCCACAGCCCACAATCCACTCACCAAGACCGCGAGAGCCACCGGTCACAAGAGCACGCTTTCCTTGCAGAGACATGGTTAAGGGGAGGTTATTGGTGCGATGGTGAGTTGGAGTGCACTGCTGTGAGAGCTGGTGACACCTTTATGAACGAACTAAGCTTTGGCGGATAAAGCGGGGCCGGTTAAACCATCATTGATTATCGCGGGGCAAGGCGTTGTTGGATGGGCATCGGCCGCAGCCAGGGTGAGGGGGGTCAGTTTAAACAGTTTCCGGGTATGTACTGTACTGTGCACGGAAACATTGACACCGACCTAGTAGCCTTGCATGGGAGGCGAGTATGGTTGAAGAAGATGGGCAAGGAACCTAGTGGGGTTGTGATCGCCACCATCACCATCCACACCCTTCACAATGTCTTCGCCTCAGACTGTCCTGAACCGAACACCTGCCATGAGAGAAGGACCACACATAGGCTAGCGCCGCCATGCCGCGCAGTCAGACGTGGTCGCCCCCCCAAGGCAGTCACCATGGTAGTCACTGCTGGCCGACGTGACCCAACAGACAGCTGGTAGGCCACGTCGACCCCACAGAAGGCGTTAAGGTGCCCCACTGTGGAGACTCAAAAGGAGTCTCATTTTGGGCGAGTCGGCCGCCAGACCCGTCTGACGTGCAAGCAGTCGTGCTCAGTGGCAGAACTACCAGCTTCGGTACAACCATAACGGTCCCCGAGCCGTACCACCGGATGAAAGAGGGAAACCAGCCAAGGCGTGTACTATACGTTGTCCCAATCGGATCGTGATACGTTTTGGACTTGGGTAGGACAGGCAATCGTCGGGTATTGGCCGAGCTTCCGCGATCGCCACCGTCAACGTCAACGAACTGCAGGCCATCGACACCAAGCAGGGTCTATAATATCTGACCTATGATGATCTCTTTTGCTCTGAACCCTCTCGCACCAACAATCTACTGGTTTATCCCTACGGCAGAGCCAGCGTCACCGTCTGCAAATGCACCACGTGGGAAGGCTAGCGCATTGCGTAGAGGGAGGTGGTGATCGACTTCGGACGCCAACGTATGATGCCGACAGTACGCGAGTGAACAACCACGTCCAACGTCGATACCCAGACGGACCACCTCTTGTTGGTGGAATGGCGGACAGACCCTGTTGACGGACCACTCACCGCCGCCACAGCTGTTGCTGCTGTCCACGCGGACCCCCTGGCACCCCACAACGCACTGTCCTAGGGTCCCCGCTACCGCCGGGGCCAAGGGTACCTTGGTCACTACCTGACTGTGCCTCGGAGTCACTCGAGGCCCCGTCAAACCTTCCACTCGTCACCTGTCTGTAGAGGCACGTGAGATGCCGTTCGACAACGCTGCCCAAATGAAAGCGTGAACGTCCTTCACACCGTAGGCGATGGCGTATACTTTCCTCTGCGATCTCCACATGCCACGACCACTTGGCCGTCGGTTTTGTTCATGACGTCTCCCTTCTGGCCGACACCGGCGTCCGCTCGGCACTTTTGGTCCCTACGCCGAGCAATTACGGGTGAGAGGGAGCGGCAACAGGCTGTTGTTCACCCCATCGCGGCCCCCTCCTTGGGGAGGTCCACAACGATGCCGGCGGCGACCTACCTGCTGACGAATCGGTGGCAGTGAGTTGAGCATCATGACCCTTTATCCCGCTCTATGTCCATGGGTTCTCCATGTCGCTGAGCATTGCATGATCGCTTGGCAGTCGCACTTCGTGATTTCTTGTGGCGTCTGAACAATGCTCCTGAAGGCCTGAAGCTGACCGACGACAGGTGACATGCGCTAGTCTTTGTGCTTGTTTTTTTTTGCTTCGCCAGAAAACCCTTTGCGTGCTTTCCCGGTCCCTCGTTATGAACCCGTCCGACGCCGACCCGAGCCCGACGAAATGGCCGTTTTGTCACTGGCACTTGCCTGATTGACGTCGGGCAAGGCCGTGTGCGGCGTTCTGAGGTTGCTGCACGGCGGCTCAGGCCTGACCTCGCCGCAGCGCGGCTGTCCCGTCAGCCTCATCGCCAACGCATCATTATTGCGAGCACAATGGAAGTATCATTGTTGCCAGCACAATGAAAGTCAAGCAGCTACTTTGCAGCCCAAGGATGCCCTTTCAGATCCGAAATCTGGCCTTCCCGACCAACTGTCTAGAACAACAGATGAGCTGGTTCTAGGTGAGAAACACCCTCGAGGCGGCCAGACGCCAGTGGCGGCGGCCACATCCCAGCATCAGCACCGCCTAGCGAAAGCTGCGAGTGCCAGACTTGGCTTCCCAATCTTGGCAATTGGCACTCGGCATCCCGCCTGCACGCATCATCGTTCGTCTAGGACGCCGCTCGCCGCTCATACTCCGTCTGCAACCGAAAATGTCGTCGTCGGTTGATACAAAACGGCCGTTTCCGGCCGCCGGAAATGAAAGCGCCGCCATAAACGACTCCGGGCCCGGCCCTCCCGGCCGAGAGCAAGGACACCATCACGCGTGCACACCGTCCGTTGCTTCGGACGGCGAGTAATCGTGCGCCAATGTGCGATGCAAAGCGCCGATTTGTGGGACGGTCACCCCGGGGACCCACCCCTCTCCCCTTGGCAGTCGTCGTCGGTGGGGTTGAGAGAGCGCGCGGGCAGCAACGCAGAGGCTCGTCCGTGAGACCCCGCAATCCAGGCGGCGTCAACGCTGCGCTGCCCTCCCAGGACCCAAACACGAAGCATGCTGTCGACTGGAAAGTAACTTCTGTTGTGGAACTGTCGTCTTGACAGTGTGTGAGACAGTGTGACAAGGCGATCTGAGTGTGGCAGTTCTGGTGGTGCAACACAATGTCCACGAGGGTGCCAGATGCATGTAGCTGGAGCGACAGCGGCTATCTCTTAGGATGTCTGGGCAGGAGCGGATATACGGCCGGGACGCGGCTGCGGAATGACCCCCCCACGTGAGGAGGGGACGACGAGTTGTCGACCCGTTGAGGGGGTGGTGGGGCCCGAATCTGGCCGGCCCGGGGAACTCTGCAGGACGGGCAGAGGGGGCACAGAGGCTGCATATACGCGGCCATTGGAGGGTCTCGGGGTGACCAACTCTTCCGCCTCGATCTGGTTACCACCTACTGGGCACGTCCTGTTGGTCGAACCTCGCTTCTGGCATCGCTCTCTCCACATCTCATCCACCCTCATCCCCGAATGTCGTCGAGCGTGTTCCCGGTGAGTACCCCCGGTCACCATCGACCCGGGCGTTTACAGCCCCGCCGTCACCATCGCCGTGCACACACAGCACTGCTGCGAGCTACCCGGTCCACTGCCCGGTGAATCGCGGTTACCACCGCACATGGCGCCGCGGCAGTGGAGGACACACCCACCACCCCCACCTGTACCCCGATTACCCATATACTGATGCGACCACTCTTCAATCCATCTAGAACATCTCTCCATTCAGCTTCTCGCTGGGTCCTGGCAACGCCCTGCGCAAGGCCAAGTCGGTACAGAACTGTAGTGGTGAGTTCTTTTCATGCGCCCGCCCCGCAGACATCTGCTAACCAGCTATAGCCTGTCGCCGCAGAAAGACAAAGGCAAGTGTCGTGTGCACGGCTAGACGTTCTCTGTCACCAATCCCCCCTACTGTCTTCTATCCACATCGCTCTCTTTTGCATAGCGTGCTGCGGTGTCTACCATGCTTGGTGCCCCATGAGCGAGCGGCATCGAGCCGCACAGCCAACCACCGTGTAGCCAAAGGACGGCTGCGCCCTTTCGCACCCCGCACTCGGCCCTCTCCTCCCTGACCGTACGCCAAACAAAAGTACTGACCATCCCAAGTGTGACCGTCTGTGGCCTTGTACACCTTGCAAGGACCGTGGAGAGGCCAAGCTCTGTGAACAATATGTCAAGGAACCAAGCGACAGGCCAACGTAAGCCCATCACCTTTCCACGATCATCCGTTGAGGAGCCCTCGATCGCTGACGATCTTCGCAGTGGTTACACCCATGTTCTCGACACTAGCATCCTCGCCAACCGCGTGGCACAGCTGGAGGCTGTTCTGTCACGTCTGCTCACCCGCGTAGACAACGCCGACGTCTACCACGACCTGCTGAACGAGTGGAAGGACCCCTTGCCTACCCTCAAGGCCACTGGGAGAGACTATGGTGACCACCCTTCAAAGCGCGAACGCTCCAACACCATTACATCTGGCATCAAGCAGAGCGACCATGACAATGACAACGACAACGACAGCGACGATGGCATGGACGTCGAGCGGGAAAGCCAACATGCTGCCCCGTCCGTGTCTGCCTCGTCCGTCTTCCCCCAGTCGGCCATCACACCAGCCCGCACCGTCATGACCCCACAGCACATGGGCATGCCGAGCGTGTCGTTTCAGGCACCTACCAGCGTCGAGTCGAACAACCACCTCAGCGTAGGCTCGAGCAGCGCGCATCTGCCCATGGAGCTCGGCGGCTTCATGGCCCCACCTACCAACGACGCGTGGATGTTCACGAGGCAGGCCGTGCCCTCGGCATACGACCAGTTCCCCCCTGGTCTCGGCGGTCCTGGTGGCAGCGGGACGGAGCCCGCGAGCAAGGCGCCCAGTGCCCACGAACACGACGCCGCTCTTGCGCTGGAGGGTATGGCTCTCGGCAGAGATATCAAGAACGCTTCTGGTGGCAACCAGCCAGAGGAGACGCAGGAAGGTGACGAGCCTACGCCCGGATCGCCCCTCACTTTCTCTTCATTCATCCACAACAAGCGCAGCAACAAGGACAGCGGCGCCGTCAAGTCGTTCCCTTCAGTCACCAAGCTCCCATCCATCATCGTCGGCAAGTACGTCATTACCCACTTTCTGGAGCACGTCGATTTCCGCTGGCGCTGCCTGCATCGCCCTACGTTTGAGGCTCAGTACAGCAAGCTGTCTTCTCGCCTGCGCTTGAAGTCAACCGACTTTTACCGCGACGAGCTGGCGACACTTGCACTTTACGCATCGTGTCTCGCTGTCGGCATCCATTTCCTTGATGACGAAGGCTACCGCGACCTGAGCATGACCGAGGAGCAGGCCGACAGGCTCGCCCAGACCTGCTGGGAGGTGTCGTACGAAGCACTGGAGGCGTCAGACTGGATGCAGGTGCACGACATCCGCAGCTGTCAGACCATCATCATTGCTGGCATCTACCTCTCGAGTGTGCGCCGCGCCAACCAGCATTGGACCCTCCTGGGCTCGGCCACCAAGGTTGCCATGGCCCTTGGGCTGTGCAATGTTCCCGACGAGGCCAAGATCATGTCCCGCGAGGTCAAGCGCGTTCCCCCACGCTGGCAGTCTACGATCGACCGCGAGGTCGCCCGTCGTGTCTGGTACTGTCTTCTCGAGCTCGACTGGCTCTTCTCAATGGAGTACGGGTTCCTGTACCTCATCTCGCCCGAGATCAACCAGACCACCGAGCCTGCCAACGTCAACGACGTGGACATCAAGGACGACGTGCCGGTAGTGTCCCTTCCAATGGACACGTACACGGACATGTCATATTTCCTGCAGCGTCTCAGGCTGTTCTACCCGTTCATGGCAGTGGTCCAAAAGGCGCGCAAGGCCGGACGCATGCGGTACTCGTTTGTCACCGAGGCCAACGCCGAGATCCAGAATGCCATTGCCAACATGCCCTCGTTCTTCAAGAACCCGGACAAGATCGACTACGTCGTCGACGCGACGCAGCTGTACAGGCTCAAGCGCGAGTGCATCGCGCTCAGCGAGGGCTCCGACTTCCGCCTGATGCGCCTGCATCGCTACTACTTTTCAGCCGCGTGCACCAACCCGCGCTACCTGCTCTCCAAGCAGACATGTCTCAACAGCGCGCGCCGCCTGCTCGAGAGCTCGACACCACACGGCCCCCAGGGAAAGCACTTTACCAACACGCACTACTGGGCCCACACGTACTGCCTGTTTGCGGCCACGGTCGTCACCATCATTTACCTCACCTATGCGCTGCCGCAGGAACTCGACGACTGGAAGGCGTACGCCACGAGCGGTATCGAGCAGCTGCGTATGCTCTCCAACCGCCGCCGCACCGACCTGGGCGAGACGGCCGACACGCTCCAGAGCCTCATGAACGTCCAGCTGTCGCGCAGGCCCGACGCCGGCGAGTCGGGCCTCAAGCGCAACATCGAGGCCATCGAGGGCGACGCGTGGGAGGGCTGGCTCCCGCCCGACCTCGTTGCGCTCGCGCGCCTCAACCCGGGCCTGATGGGCGAGCATCCGACGGCCGAGCACTCGGCACCGCTGCCAGAGGGACAGGACACGTTCTTCTTTGACAGCCTGTTGGACGACCTCCAGTTCAACAACGAGAGTCCCTTCATTGTCATGTAAGGAACCCGAGAATGCGAGCCTTGTGCTCGTTATAAACAAACTTTAAAATGCCCAGTCCAGGCCTGGTATGGACTGTGGATCTAGTCGTTGCCCTTATGCATAACGGTCACTTTACTTTGGCGAACCTGTACGGTTCTGGCATGTCGCGGCGTGTTATGGGCAGCAGAGGGCTTGTGTGTGAAGTCATCGGCGGAGAAACACATAGAGGGGCTTGTGACCGTATACACGCAGATAGTGTCCTGCGTTCTCTCCAGTCACGATAACGCAGCATCCTTCGATGGAGTTCGCGCCGACATGCATATACTGTGTTCTCCAAGTGATCCCATCACCATTCACGAACATTGCCTTGTCGGCTTTTCATGCATGGGTACAGACAGCTACTTTCTCCTCTGCAACATGTGTTGACATGCACCCCTCGTTGTTTTCTTCTGCGCCAGGCCTGTTCGCTGTATTTACGCGCGGTCGGCTTGGGGCGACGTCGAGCTTCGGGCGAAGCGCGTACGGCGTCGGGAATTGCGCGACGCCAACGAGTGTGGATATCGAGTGGTGTACGCCCACGCGAGCAAGGAGGAGGAGGAATACCGAACATCTTGACGTCGTCTCATGTTGCTGGCGTGTCGGTGGTGGCTCATGTTGCCGTCACCCTATACGTGTCGCACATGTCACCGCTCACGTCTTCATGGCCGCTGGCAACACGGGCGCGACGACCTTCCACCTGCCACTGAGGCCGCGCGCGGGCTCGGGCGCATTGGCGGCCCACTCGTCATCGTCGAAGAAGTGCTCCAGAGCGCGCTCGGCCGCGCTTGCAGACGACTGGCTGCCCTTCTTCTCGCTGAGCGAGTCGCCACACGCACGGGGGAGGGTGTCGCCTCCCTTCTCGCCGCGGTCCTCGTCATCACATTGCGTGTCGTTGTGGCTAGGGCCGCCACCACCGTCGTTGTCATTGTTGAGAGCGAGGTACGCCCTCCCGACCCCCTTATCGGCCTCCTTACTGACGAGCTGGAACCGCTTGAGCGCCCGCGCGGCGCGTCGGCCTGGATCATCCTCACCGTTGTTCGACTGGAGCGCGTCTAGTGCCGTGTCTTTGTCTTGCTGTGCCGCCTGAGAGGCCGGCACGCGGCGCCGTGCAATCACCACGTACCGCCGTGTGCGGAGCAGGGCCGGGTTGGCGTACAGTGCCGCGTGCGGGAGGCCGTTGAGCGCCAGTAGGTGGTGCGGCTGGGTGTGTGAGACATGAACAGTCGCGGATGAACGGACAGGCGGTGGCCATCTGATACTCACGTCGGCGGCATACTTCCTCGCGACGGACAGGAGCGTGTCCCCGCGCACCAGCGTGTGCTTGACTTCCACCTCGACGAGGTCGTCCTTTTCGCCATTGTCGCCACCGGCGGCGGCCGCAGCCCCGTTCCCATCACCCCCGGTGTCGCCACCGTCCCCCTTTCCCTCCCCCCCTTCCTCTTCCTCTTCCTCCCCCTCACCCTCCCCGTCCTCCTCGTCCCCACACCCCTCCTCATCACTATCCCCCAACACGAACCGCTCGCTGTCCTCTTTCGCCGCCCTTGCCCGCCTCGCGTCCGCGCCAGCCTGCACGGCCGCCGCGCCGTCCCGCGTGCGCACGTCGCCGCACCGCAGACACGGCACGTATTCCTTCAACCGGGGGTTCCGCGCTACGCATGTCGCGCAGATGGGCACGCCGCAGCATGCGGGAAAAAAGGCAGAGTCGAGACGCTGCGAGGAGCAGGTCTGGCAGTAGCTTGTGCTGGTGGCGAAGGGGTCGGAGCGCATTGTCGTCGATGGTGTGGAGGCAACGTCATCGAAATGGTTCAATGTGGAGGTAAACCACCCCTCCGTAGCGGGTTGAGTGAGTGGTGCGGTCAACCGAGTCGGCACCACGAACAAGGATGAGGAACAGCTGTTCACTGTTGAACCTGCCCAATGTCGTGGTCGGGGCCAGGGTGTTAGATAGCAGGTTGTATCCTCTTGCCGTGCTGTGAGGACATGGCACACATGTTAGTCGGCAACTTGGTTTGAACATTCATGCTCGCATAAACACAGGCGGCTTTATCAACAATATACGGGGGACGGAATGAGCAGGTGACTCCTTGGGACTTTTACTTCTCTCTCCTGGTTTATAGGCAGGTCATACGGGGGTGGATGGGGTGGAGGGGTTGGAGGGGGTGGAGGGGGAGAGAGTGGGTGGGTAGCGCTGTGAGGGAAATCTTGGGTCGGGGTTGTAATGTGGGTCGGGTTGCTGTGCTGGCAAGCTTACATCTTGACGCGGAGGAGGTACCTGAGCTTCAAGCTGTCGACCGAGTACGTGATGAACTCGTTGTACTGGAGCCAGGCGCCAGGGGCACCAGTGAGACCAGGCTTGACATCGACGTTGGGCTGCAGGGGTGAGCAACTCTCCCGAGTCAAGAGTAAAAAGACACGTACCATCTGGACTCCCTTGAGGTCTGGGTGAATGCAGGACGCGTCCTTCCACACCGACGGACCGACCTTGCCCTTGCCCCAGGTACTGTGCATGCCCTGGGCGGCGGCGGTGTCGCCGGCATTGTAGGAGCTGTCGTTGAGTTCCTGCATGATTCCGAGCTCGGCCTCGCAGAGAAGAAGGAGGGCGGTGTTGTTCGAAATGTGGGCAGCGCAGTAGTTGGCACTCTTGCTGGACATGTCCGCGCTGGAGGTGGATCAGCTTGTTATCGCATCATTTTGTTGACCAAGCTTACAGGTAGACGCCCTTGCCGAACTGAAAAGTGTTAGCGTTCGTTATACAGGAGGGACACGGCCGTAGATTCCAAGGATGGTCCGTCGCCAGCACCTCATCCTCAACGCAGGACTTACCATGTAACCGGAAACGGGGGCTTCGGAAGGAGCAATCCTGAGGCTAAAGGGGAAACAATGTCAGCACAACCACCAGGTCAGTTGAGAAATGACGCACCCCTGCGACAGAATACCTGGAACCTGTCAGCGACGTCCTCTCATTACCAACATCCGAACTCACCCCCAAAGTTGGTCGAGCGGCTTCCGTGCCAGAGGAGCCTGCGGTTCTTGTCCTTGTTCTTGAGCTTCGCGTACTCGCCTTGGTCGAAACGGTCATGCTCGCCCTTGCGCTCGATGCGGAAGATCTCTTCCACCCTGTAGTTGGCCTGGTGGGTGTCGCCCTTGGATTCGACGAGGTACTGAGCAATGTTCTTGAACTCGGCCGTGCTGTGGTCGAGGGCGGACATCTCCTCCATGCCCAGCGCAGCGTACTGGCGATCGAACTGGTGGACAGTGTCCTTGGGGCGCTCGGCCTTCATGATGGCCGCGGCCTCCTTGAGGTCGCCGAGCGAGTCCATGAGGTCGATTTCGGCCTTGAGCTGGGCCTCGCTGGCAATGACGGGTGGGCGGTTGCGGCCAAACGCGTGGGGGATGAGGCTGTAGAACCTGTTGGAAAGCATCTCCACGGCCTCGGGGTAGGTCTTGGAGTGCTTGGACTGGGCGAGAGCGTGGTCGTCGAAAAGCTCGGCGAGTTCCTTGAGGGCCTCAAAGCCGCGGAGAATGGTACCTTTGCTGAGCTTGCCAAGGGGCAACTTGTTGACATCATAGTTGAGCGACGCCATGGTAGCGTTCATGTACTGCTGGTTGAAGATGAGCGCCATGAGCTGCTGGATAGGCGTGGGCAGCTTGGACACGGGGGGAACCCATTCCTCCTCGTCCTCGTCTTCCTTCTTGACGTCCGAGTCGTCATTGTCATCCTCTGAATCAGAGTCCTCGTAGCTGCGCTCGATGTATGCGTACTTGTTGCTCTTGGGAGGCTGGTCGCGCTGGGCCCAGGCAAGACCAGACTTGTCCTTGAACTTCTTCTCAAAGTTCTTCATGGCATCGGGAAGCGTGCCCCCGCCAAGAAGAGCACTCTGGCCATGCTCGCCAACACGGCCCCAGCGTGTCCAGGTCCTGTAGTCGTTACCGTTCTGGAGAAGCTGAAGGGTAAGCTTTGTACGGTATGTTATGCCCACCTGAATGCGGTAAAACTTGTTGTTGTTGTTGCTCGAGTTGGTCTGGTTGAGCGAAGCGTCGAATGCCAGACCCGTGGGGTCAATGTAGACGCTGTGGGTGATGAGGTGACAGCCCTGGTCCAAGGGGATCTGGACCGCACCAGTCTTCTTCTTGGCAGGCTTCTGCTTGACGGGGCTCGCGACTTTGGCATCGAGCGTGGCCTTGGCCGAGCCGCTGGCGGGCTTGGACGCGGCCGCCTTGCCCTTGCCCTTGCTGGCGGGCTTGGTGTCTGGTGGTATCAGTAACTGGCTGTCAGAGGGTGGTAGTGGTAGCTCACCGTCGTCAGATTCGTCCTTTGCAGCGCCCTTTGCGCCCTTTGCGCGCTTCTTCGAGGGCGGCTTGGTGTCCTCGTCACTTTCGTCGTCGGATCCCGCAGCGGCGCGCTTCTTGCCGTTGAGAGTACCGTTCGCGGTTCCGTTGGCCTGAGTGTCCTTCTTCTGCGTGAACGCATAGGGCGCCTCGTCGACCTTGCTGCCGGCAGTTTCGCAGGCGTCAAGCCAGTCCTCAGAGAGGAAGATCAGGTCGTTCGGACGGTTGATAATGGGGTTGCGGAGCTTGGGGGCCTTGCGGTCGTAGTCCGTCTGGTTGCAAATGACGTGGGTGACCGTCTTGGTGATGGAGAGGGTTGTGGCCGCCCCGAGATCCGCAGCCTTGGCAAGGATGTCTTGCTCAGTGACGCCGCCAGTGAACGCGCCGTATGCGGCGATACGGAGGCCCTTGAGGGGAGTCGTGTTAACGGCCGGAGCGGCTGGAGGTGGGGAGGGCGAAGGTGCCGCGGCAGCAGCAGCAGCAGCGGCGGCGGCGGCCCTAGCTGACTTCCTAGGAGGCATGGGGGGAGGAGCAAGTGAGTGTGGTGGATGAGAGAGAGAGAGTGTGTGTGTGCGTGAGTAGAAGAGAGAGTGAGAGAGAGAGAGAGAGAGAGAGAGAGAGAGAGAGAGAGAGAGAGATGTGGGGATGGTGATGAGCGGGAGGGAAGACACACTGTGGGGTGGTACGTCTCCCACCCACACAAAGGGGGATGGAGAGATCAACGTCAAGTCCCGTCAACCGGAGCCGATCCCCTAGCGCCTAGCGCGTTTCCCGCGCGCCAAGACGCGGCAGAGGAAATGTGGGGTCCCCATAAACCCATTCAACTTTCCCACGGCTGCACTGTTACTGCTTACGTGATCATTAGCATTTTTGTTTGGTTCCCGGCATCTCCATAATCATCGGTCAGGGCGTTTACACCGCTTGTTGCACAGCTCGTACAGCTCCCGCGTCCTCCCGTCTCCCGTACTCCTGTCCTCTGTCGGCAACACCGGCCGGCCGCCGTCCACTCGTAGGAAAATCAACTGGTGAATGGCTAAACACAAGCGTGCAGCCAGTCAGCAAGCATATCGTGGGCTGAAAACCACCCCTGGCACGTACCTCTTTACACCGCTGGCACACAGCTTTGCCCGCGTCAGCGGCGTCGGGAGACGCCGATATTGTCGCGTACGAGCGAGCTCTTAAAGACGCGACTAGCGGCTGACTGTCTCACTCAACCACTCACTCAAACTCACTCCTTAACTCGCCACCACAACCATCACAACAACAACCACTATGGGCGTCTTCGTTCCCTCCGCCCCTGCAGCTCTGCACCCCGTGCACCCGCCTGTGGGCCTGCATAATAATTACATCATGCCCCACCCCGTCACCCTCGTACTCAGGGAGAAGGTCCTTTCGTGGACAGGCGTGAGTGGTCATGTTCAGCTGGTCGTCTCTCTCCTGTCAGAACTGACAGATTCCGCAGGACGACTTTGGCGTCAAGGACACGAACGGCAACGTCGTCGTATCATGTAACGCCAAGATGTTCTCGATCCGCAACAAGAAGACCATCACGGACCCGAACGGCCAGTTTCTGTTCGGCATCCAGAAGAAGATCCTGCGCCTGCTGTCCACCTTTGTCGCGGTGGACGCAAACGATAATGAAATCTTCCGTGTAAAGAACAAGATTGCCTGTGAGTTTGTTTTGTGATGTTATGATGCCACATGAGTGCGCGGACAGCACGGCTGACACGCTCGCAGTCGGCTCCAAGATGCACGCCACGTTTGTCAACGCGTCCACTGGCCAGCCGACGACCATCTCCCTCCGCGGCGACATTATCGGCCGCAGCGCCGACTTGATACTGGACAATGGCCAGGTCGTGGCCCAGATCAAGAGGGATATCCTGAACGCAACCAACTTCTTTACCGGACAGGACACTGTGAGTTGGACGTTGTCTGCCCTGAGGCCCAACTGACATCGCACCCAGTATTACGTGGTCGTCGCGCCCGGCGTGGACCTGAGTCTCATCACGGCCATCTGTATCTGTTTCGACGAGGTGGAGAACGACCATCACAAGAGGTAATGAGCCTCACTTCACACAAACACACGCATACTTGTTCTGTTAGCATTGCATCTCCACATAGATTGTAGTTGGTCATACATAATACGTCATAGAGTGGGCGATGTATCATTAGAAGATTCGACAGCTTGTTTGCGGGCCGTCGGGGAACAAAGGAGACTGACGAGGAGTCCTTTGCAAGCTTCCCATTCAGAGTTACCCCCACTGCGTTCCAGCAACGTTGTGGCTGTCTCGCGAGATTCGTGAACAGGTTCATACATGACTTCATGAACTACTACACTTCCAGTAAACCAAACGGATAAGGTTCTTCTTCCTCCTTTGCTTTCCATTTTCCAATCCCCCGTCGCTCGGTCGCAACCACCTAAGAACCCCCTTAAGCGCGCTGGGTCTTGAACGTCCAGTCTGGGTCCTGGTTTGCGCCGACGGCGTTCTTGGGCGCCACCATAAACTGGCCAAAGTAGGCGTCGAGCTTGTCCGTGTCCTCGAGGTCAAGGACGGCAGCGACGTATCCGTCGGGGCGGACGACGACGACACAGCCCTTCTGGCGGTCGATGCCGTAGTGGTCGTAGGCGTGGGCGTGGCCCTTGTGCCACGACTCGCAGTCGGCGTAGATCTTGTCATAGTCGTACTTGGGGAACAGGGAGGGGGCGGGGAAATCGTGCATCTCGACCTCTTCGCGCGTGTTCGAGTGCACAGTGATGGTCTCAATGGTGGCGTTGCGGTGCTGGCCGGCGGGCGTGTACTTTGAGATGACCGAGTTGGCCGAGTCGAGGTACGCGGCAAACTTCTGGATGCGGGCCATCTGGGTGCAGTCGGCGGCGTTTCCGGCAAAGAGGATGAGACGGAACGCGCCGTTCATGTAGAGCAGGTCGCCGAGCTCGATGGGGAGACCCTCCGAGTGGCGCACGACCTGCCTGGACTCGAAGCGGGTGCCGACCTCGATGTTCTTGGCGAGCGACGGGGTGGACGTGATGGCGCAGCCCTTGTCGCCCTTGGCGACGATGGGGGATGCGTCGTAGCAGATGGCAGTGCCCGAGGCAAACTTGTTGCCCTTGACGAACGCCTCCTTGAACGCGTCCATTGACACACCCATCTCGTCGGCAACGTCCTTGGCAGGACGGCCCGAGAAGAGACGCGAGAACTGGTGGTCAAAGTCGATGAGGGCCTGCGCGAACGGCTGGCGCTCCGACTCGTACGTCTTGAGGATGGAGCGTTCGGCGCGGCCGGTGAGCACAAGTCCGAGCTTCCAGCAGAGGTTGTAAGTGTCCATCATCGACGTGTTCATGCCCTGGCCCGCCTTGGGCGAGTGGGTGTGGCACGCGTCGCCGGCAATGAAGATGCGCTCGTTCTTGGAGAACTTGTCCGTCACACGCTGGCCAATGTGGTAGGCGGTGAACCAGTCGAGGCGGCTGACGTCGAACGAGTAAGGGTGGAAGATCTTCTTGGCGTTCTCAATCACGACCTCGGGTGTAAAGGCGGTGCGGTCGACGCGCTCGCCCTGCTTGGCGCGCGCCTGGAGCTGGACGTAGAAGCGCACAAGACCGTCCTCGCGCGGGATGATCATGATCGAACCAGAGTCAGCAGAGTGGATGGCGCAGCGCGAGCGAATGTCTGGGAAGTTGGAGGCCGGGACAGCGTCAAGCACACCCCAGATGTAGTCGGTCTGTTCGCCGATCATGTTGAAGCCCAGAGTACGGCGGACCCACGAGTGGCCACCGTCACAGCCAATAACGTACTTGGCGTGGACAGTCTCGACCATGTCAGGCTCCATTCCCTCGGGAAGAGCATAGTGCGAGTCCTCCTCCTCCTGCGTCTGGAGGTTGGAGCGGAACAGGCCGTTCTCGACCTTGTGGCCAAACTGGAGCGGGACCGACTCGTCCTCGCGCATGTAGCGGAGCTCAATCTTGACGGGGTATGCGGAGTTGTCCTCGGCCTTGGACTCGTCAAGCTCGAGCTTCTGGGGCTGGACAGGACGCTCGACCTTGATGCGGGTGTCTGAGACCTCGGCGATCGAGTCGAGGAAGTGACGCTCGATGCGGCCTTGGTGCAGCACACACTGGTGGTAGCGCGAGATGCCAGGGAGGGTGTCGGGGATGCGGTCGGTACGGCGGATGTGGCCGTTCTCGTCCGGGTTGTAGAGGGCAATAGTGCACATGTCATTGGCCTCGCTGGACAAGGCGTCAGCCACCACCACCACCACTGCAGCGGTCCCATGACCAACGTTTGACTTACGCGACAATCTGGTCGGCGAGACCAAGATTCTTGAACGATTCGAGGGTACGGCACTGGAGACCGTCGGCCTGGCCGTTGTAGACCTTGGTCGAGCGCTTGTCGATGATGCGGACCTTGAGGCTGGGGTCCTGGCGAACAAACTCGGAGAGCATACGGGCAGCCATCAGACCAGCAGGTCCGGCACCCACGATGAGAACATCGCAAGAGCTCTCGATGTGACGAGGCCCCTGAACCATGGCGATAGTAAGTCGGGGAGAGGAAGAAGAACAAGTGTTGGGATAGAGGCGCCAAGTCGCGGTGGTGGTGTTAGAGTCGTCGAGGACTGGAGAGGGATGCAAGAGAGAGAGCTGTGGAAAAACAACTCTGTGGGAGCGTTGCTGTCGGCCTTTTATCTAGACCCGAAACCAACCTCGCATGCTGCAACCGCAAGGCCAGTCCGGTGACATACTTGGGCCTTTGCACGAGAGCCGGAGCCCAGATCCGCGCTGTGGAGGTAGCACAGACCGCAAGGGCAGCGGGCCCCCACGGGATGGCACCCTGGCAGCGTGGACTGCAGTTCTGTAGAGTGAGAGGACATTGTGGTGGTCGCAACTCGGGAAGCGGGAGTCGGAGCTCCCGACACCCACAAACCAGAGATCAAGTCACGAGCAGGCAATGTTCCGTGCCGTTAGGCGACTTACGCGAATGCTGGATATAGCCACTGCCGCCGGGACTTGACATGTCTGTGTAGCATTGCATTCACGTCAGCGCTGGCAACCGGTCCCCCATCTCGCTCTGTGACATGCACATGTACAGAGGATACCTACATACATGTTCTTGTCCCATGCATGCACGCATCGGGTTTGACGCAGGGCGCGTTGGTGTAAACGCGTCTGTTGATTCTGTTCTGCGCTCCCTCGGAAACGTCATCCGACCTGCCTGACGCCCAGTGCCACTCGCCACTCGGCAAGGGCTAAGCGACTACGATCGGAGGCAACCTCCGACATCTCACCTGGCTGTTTGGCAGTACGACGCTCTCTAAACCCCCTGCAATCCCCACCCGACCTCTCCAACCTGGCAGCGGGGGCTTGGGTGCTGCTTTTTGCCTGACACTCTCCCATGTGGCGCTCCGAGTGAGTGGGGGACCAACGTTGCGCCGCAAAACACAGAGACGCCCTCTCCGATGCCCCACACCCGCCGTGTGGCACCGCTGAAGGGTCGACCCACACCCGTCCACCCGATCCCACATTCGCCGCTACGCCGATCATCTAATATCACTCGGCACGCCCGGCATCGCACCTCTGCTCATGATGAGAATGGCGCTAGCTAGCAAGTAGGCGGGTAAACCTCACTCGGGAGCGACGAGCGAGGCAACGTCTTGACAGTCGGGGAATCGGCGACGGGTTCACCCACCCACAGGGTGAGGCCAGTAGGGGGCCAGGTTGGTCTTGCTCTGCCAAGCCAATAACGAGGGTATACCCAGTACGGGTTTGCGACTGACAGGTCCCAAACGTGCGTTGTGTCAGGTCGTCGCTCGGGAAGATGCGACCAACCACACGTTGGCTGTATCGTAATCCGCCATGACTAGCCAAGACAGCATCCCAGCGGCGGCCGAGCGTCTCGGAGCTCCCGGAGTGTTGGGATGGTCGTGGGTTGGTTGTTGACGTCTGTGGGTCTGTGGGGCGACGACGGGGATACCGGATTGTGGGGCGGGGCTGGTGCGAGCACCACGGGGAACGGATGGTGAGTCGCTTTACGATTGTGGGCCCTCAGCAGCGGGGTCCGCCGCGTGCGGAGTCGGGCTTGACAGCCACACGGCCACACGAGCGGGGGCCTTGAAATGGACCCCCGAACGCCAGCGAGGGGGCCCGTCAATTGTATGTGTGGCGGAGTGCGCTACTGGCCGCAGTTTGGTGACTGACAATGTCGCGGGGTTCGGGGAAGTTGCGGGGGTGCGGGAATGGGCCATGTGTGGGTGTGGTGGCAACAGTGGTGGCAGTTCAGCTTGCTGTGGGCAGCTGTATGAATGAATGGTCTCCACAAGACGTGGCGATATGTCTAGCAGTGCGCATGCTGTCGTTTTCAGTGTGGGTGAGACCACCCGACGGAACAAGAGGTGTGGGAACATGGTCTTATATGAGCGAACTTGGGTACACACCCGTCGCCTTGCGCTGACAAACATTTATCCACTGCTGACCAAAGTCTCTCGTTAGCTCGTAGCAGATCGGCCCGCCCTGCTTTAACGTTGGGGATGATGTACATACCAGACTGGTCTGTGCTACACGGTTCATTTCATCTCTCAGTCGCGATCCGACTCGTTGTCGGGAGTGTTCTCCGGAAGACAACTCCGCTATATATCTGCGTTTGTCGTCGCGCTAGCGCCACGGCAGATCAACGTAAACGCTGTCATCCTCGAGAATGAGTAGTCATAGGCACACGGAGGTCACTGTAGTTGGTGGCTAACGGGACGGGTGTCCGCATCGTGAGCACACCCCCAACAAGGCTGCAAGCTGCTCTCCACTGTTGTGGGGGACTGGATCGCTGACTCTATTTTGCGGCAGTGGCGACACCTCCATCGCCAGAGCTACTGTGTGCAGCAACTGCACGGTATCGCATTATACGAGACTGTGCCATTTCTATGATACAAGCAGAAAAGGTGGCTAATGCTGACAAGTCGGTCGCGTCCGCATCCCGGTATACTCTGTATCCACGCGGGCATAACAATATCGAAGAGTACTGTCTCTCAACGGCGGCGGGGGGTTCTGTTCTGTCTTCCTTCATCCTTAGGTGGTCTTTGTCCTCGTCTCTCATCTTCGTCCTCGGCCGCATCTCAATCCGCCATCTGGCAGTGTCAGCACACCCCTTGAGGGCCCACGAGTTCGGAGATCCGGGACCCCCACATCTAACCTGTTCCCATCGCCGCACCTGTCCGTTCGTCTCAAAGCCTCACATGATCCACATTTTGGCAAGAGAGGACAGGGCGACAGGACGGTAGATAGGGTTGCTTGATGTGCCACCTACCTGCACATCAATCGTGGGCTCGCCAGAGCCCGCCGAGACCGATAGGCGTGGGACGCTGGCGCCAGGGCCGCCGCTATCGGGGCCGGACGCGGTAGTGGTGGCCGCGTTCGTGCTCGTGGTGGCCTGGTTGGAGCCGGGACCGGTGGGGAGGGGTTGGAGGGCGGTGAACAGCCCTGTCGCGGCCATGGGGAGGCCGAAGCTGTCAAACTGCATCGATGAGCTGAGCAGGTGCGTCTTGGCCGAGTAGCCGCGCTTGGCAAAGCCCACTTGTAGGACCGTGTCGAAGTTGTTCCGGTCGGAGAGGTTGGCGAGGACCTGCGATGCATATTCTTCCCAGTAGTCCATAAACGACGGCGGGTCGAGGATCTGCAGGAGGTTAGTTGGGTGAAGCAGAAACTACCTCACCATGTATGTTGCCAGACGCCCCCGCCTAATGACGTCGGGTTGCAAGTCGAGCATGTGGACAAAACGGCGGTTGGCAGCGTAAATCTCGCCTGTCCTCCTCCACACGCACGCGGGCACGGGGATGGTTTCGCAGAATGCCTGCCAATTGCGCACGTAGGTCAGGAACTGGACTTCAGACTGCACAATCTGTTCGTCCGTGTAGGTCGACAGGCAACCGTGGAGGATGGGCTTGAACCGCTCCGTGGCCGTCGAGACTCGGCGCTGGAACTCGGCGTTGCCGAGCTCGTTGGCAAATGACCGCAGACGCGAGTAGGAAAAGGTGTAATTGAACGGCTCGACGGGGTCGTCGGGTCCTGGCATACCCGAGCCCGGGGAGAGAGACATTTCTGGCCTAAACTCTCGTTGCGCCGAGGGCGACATGTTGCTGTTGCTGGATGTTGTCTGGTTTGCGTTTCCAGGCGTGCTGCCCTGTTGCTGGTGGGGCATGAGGGAAGAGGACGGTGTCCCTCCGCTGCCATTTGTCTGGTTCTGGAGCCAAGCAAACTCGCCTGGAGTCTGCGGACCCGGCTCTGACAGCATGCCCTCGACGAGCGCACTCCAAGAAAAGTCAGGTGTAGCACCCGTGGTACCCGACCGGCCTGTGTGGCCCGGTATTGATGGCGTGTCCATCTTCTCCAGCGCGTGTTGGAACGAGCTCGGGTCATACCACTGCGGCACGGAACCGCCTGACGCTGCAGCTGCTGCAGCGGCCATGTGGGCCTGTTGCATCTCGTCTGCAAACCCGCCGAGTGGGCGGAACTGGTCTTGAGGCGAGATTTGGGGCAAGGGCACGTTGGAGATCAAGTCTGTCCCACGCACGGGACTCGGAGTCGAGTTTGGTCCTGGCCCAGCGACGCCGTTGACATACTCTTGTGTTGCCGCTGCGAGGGCTGCACGGTCTTCGGGACGGTCCTCGTCGTAGCTTGATGTGGAGAATCCGCGCCGCTTGCTGGGCACAATCGGTCGCGAGCCGCTACTGCCCATCTGCCCACTCGCTGCCGCGGCTGCTAGTTGCTGCTGGGCCTGCTGCTGAGCTTGTTGTTGCAGTTGGTCAGCCTCATCTTGAAGGCAGAGTTGTGCAATGTCTCGTTTGATGCTGCCAGTGTGAGCTTGAAACGTGATTCCATCACCCACCATCGCTGACACGGTCGCGTGTCTTCACATGTAGTGTGACTTTTCCGACAGAACTTGCAGGCCTGGGGAACATTTGTCAGCTGGTTGCTGCCCATGGGAGGCCAAAAAGTACGCACTCTTTGGCACTTGACTTTTTCTGTGGGGACATGGTGACGGGGTGGTCAAGGGTTGAGAGGGACGGATACGTCGATCGGGTGGTGATGGGCGTCATCGATGGCGCACGCAGTGATGACCAGGCAATGGAGATGGACAGGCGAGATGAGAGGTAGCCCTGGTGTCAGTAACTGGGAGTTCATGCAGCATAGCGCGTCACTGTTGGCCTGGAATGCGGCGCAAAACAGAGACTGAGCTGAAACGCACTCAGCTGGGACTGGCCATTGTCCTCTTGCAAGTACTTGTACATTGTTGTTTTTGGCGAGCGAAGGAGGGGTGGGGTTTTTGGTGGGCCAATTGTCTGCGCGGGGGGTCCTCGGCGACGGGCCGCGATGGCGAGGGGTGGATTGAGGTGTGGAAGAGGTGTCTGGTGGATGTATGGGTGGAAACGAAATGATGAGTGAGGGTGGTGTGTGTGTAAACGAGCGGTTGCGATTGTGCCGGTCGTTGGATCGAAAGCGAGTCTGGGTGGTTTATGATGCCGCTGGCCGCAGTCTCGGTTTGTCGGAGGCCCGGAGGTCGACGGCACATCCAAAATGTGGTGTGAGAGCGGCGTGGGGGGTCACATGGGAAGCCTGACTACTGGCGTAACATGCGTCGGGGGATGGGGGGCTGACGTACCACCATGCGTGCTCTGGCCGCTGGGCCGCTGCTGTCATCGGCGGAATGGGATTCCCGCATTTTGCACCTCTACCCGCCTATGGGCGCGCGCTTGAAGCGCCGGCCTGCACGGCAATCCTCCTCGCCCCTCACATCATCGACGGCGACCCCGGTGTGCTTTTCCGGGTCATTGGAGCTTGTGGGGCTGCCCCAGGTCCCCTTGCGCGGGGCCACCACCACCCAGCTCGGGGCCATTACAACTGTCAGACAGAAGCATGGCAGTTGGCATACGGCCATGTGCCCTCACCTGAACAACGCCAACCTCCCGTCGTGTGTCGCTGACGTAGTGTTTTGTGATGCGTCTCTTTCACGTCCGGACAGTCCCGTGTCTCATTGTGGAGGCAGGCCCCGTTTGCATACTTTGCTTATGCTAGCCACGGAACTGCAATGTGGCACAAGATGTATCCTCCTTGGCGACCCGCCGATCATCAAAGGAGGGGCGCTCGTCTGCTGATCTGCTGACATAACTGCAATGTCACTGCAGTTGGATGGTTAAACTTGGAGAGCGCTTGCTTGCACCTTACAGACAACAATGCGACAAGTGAACAACCCTAACAACCCTACCAACTCCAGTGGCACCGGGCCTGCTAGCTGGATATATATGCCCCGACCTGCTACATCGAGCTCTCAAGCTTCACCAGACCGTTAAAGCAGGCTAGACTGTAGATTGAGCGTGGATGGGCTTCTGGAGTGTATGGCATGGAGTCATGCGCTTCTTGTAGTCTGCCAGGCAGTCGAGGTGCGAGACGTTGTGACGAGGCCCTGGTTCCCATATTACAAATTCATTAGCAGAATAACGCTGTATTTCCATTAGGATACCGACCAGATCAATAAGCCAAGCGGCCTCCCACCGCGGTGACCGCGGAGAATCACAGCCAAGCCACGGGTCGGAGAGGCCGACAGGGAGCCCACATGGCGAATGATCATCTCCATATCTCTTTCGGATCGGGGCAATGACGCTCCTGGCATCCCAGGGCCAGCGCTCACCTGTTCAAGTTGGAGGACAAGGAAAGATGTAAAGTACAGACGGGGACCTGGCGGAGCAGTCTCCACAAGATATCGTCCCGGCTCGAGCACCAACTCTCTTGTGTGTGCAACCCACTCACCTCACAACACGACCATGCCTACCACTTTTGCGGCCGACTACGTCTCGCTCCCTGGTGGGCGGAAGATCTACTACATCCACTCCAAGCCGCAGCAGCCATCGTCCAAGGCTCCTGTGGTGGCCATTCACGGTCTGGGCGGGTGAGTCACCACAGCTAAGCCTGTTGCCCACATGCTGACTGGATACAGCTCGTCGAGCTACTGGCTACCTGCTCTGCAGGCTTCGGGTCTCGGCGATGACCGCGAGCTGTACGCGTATGACCTGGACGGACACGGCAAGAGCGACTGGTCGGGACGCCAGCTCGCCATGGCCGACTATGTCGAGGACCTAGAGCAAGTGCTCGCCGCACTCCAGCTCTCCAAGGTTGTTCTTGTGGGCCACTCGATGAACGGTGTGAGTACAGTTTGCGAGTTGTGTGAGTGGCTGAGATGGCGCTGACTCGCGTACAGACTGTGACATCGTTGTTCACCGAGAAGCATCCAGAGATGGTGGAGAAGCTCATCCTCTTGCACCCCGTTCGTAACCTCCCGGCCGCGGCCAAGGACAACATGCGAGGACGTGCTCAGGCTGCCTCGACTGCTGAGGGCCTCGCGGGTATTGCCAACGTCGTGGCTGCGACTGCTGTCGCAAAGGTTACCGCTGCTGGTGACCTTACCACTTGCGCCTTTATCCGCCACCTCGTCGCGACCACCAACCCCGCCGCGTATGCTGCTGCCTGCATCGCACTGTCTGAGATTCCAGCGGTTTCGGCCGCCAACCTCCAGGTCCCGCTCCACATTATCGGCGGCGAGGAGGACTACCTCGCTGGTCCTGCGGCTGTGGCGGCATGGGCCGCAGAGGTTCCCAACGGGCAGGGCACTTGTGTCGTGCTCAAGAACGTCGGTCACTGGGGAGCGGTCGAGGCTCCACTGAAGGTCGGCAAGTCGGTCGCCCAGGCCCTCGCACCAACAAGCTACAACCTGCTCATGGGCACCTTCCGCTCCCCGTACCTTTACACCCTCGGATTTGACACTGCCAAGGGCAAGCTGGACCTGCAGCACACCAACAAGGCTGTGGGCGGTCACAACTGGCTCGACGTGTCGCGCGACGGCAAGACCTTGTACACCACCAACTGGGGTGAGGTCCCATCCGTCTCGTCTTACGCCATCGTCCCCTCCAAGGGCGACGCTCCCAATGGTACGGCCAACGGCGTTCCTAACGGCACTGCTTCGGCTTACCCCGTGACGGAGCTCAAAGAGACTGTCACGTCCAAGTACCTGTCTGGATACGTGTGCTCAAACGACAAGGCGGTGTACTCGGCCTGTGGACCCCAAGTGGACGTCTTCCTCCTGGACAAGAGCGGACATCTCAAGCAGGAGGCAGCTGTCCAGAGCTTCAGCCTCGTCAGCGAGGACGCGATGCACAAGGGCAACACCCAGATGGACTTTGGAGGCCTCCGCCACGGTGGCCACTCTGCCGACCTGTCGCCAGACGGCACAAAGCTGTATGTGGCCGACATTGGTCGTAACTGCGTCTGGGTCTATCACGTCGACCTGGCCACTGGTCTCCTGACCGAGGCGTCCAAGAACATTGCCACGCGCCCCGACGACGGCCCCCGTCACTGCTGGCCTCACCCGAACGGGTCCATTGTCTACACGCTGCAGGAACACTCGTCATACGTCGACGTCCTGCGTCTGACAGACGACGCCAAGCTCGAGTGGCTCGAGGGCGGCTTTATCCTGCCCCCCGGAGATGACTGCAAGAAGTACTGGGCAGACGAGGTCCGTCTCTCCCCTGCTGCTGATGTGGTCTTTGGCTCGGTCCGTGGTCTTGAAGCCCACACCAACGGCTATGTGACGGCCTGGCGTCTCAACCCCGACGGTCGCCTCGCCGACCCTGTAGGCGCCGACAGGGGCGACGCGACACACCGCTTCAAGACGCGCACGTCTGGCGGTTGGGCCAACGCCATTGCCGTCTGCCCCAACCTCGGCCCCCGTGGCGAGGTCTTCTTGAGTCTGACAGACTCCGAGGAAGGATTCATCCAGGTTCTCTCGTACACTGCAGAGGACGGTTTCAAGGTCGTGGACGAGGTCCGCGTGGGCTCCAAGGAGGAGCAGGTTGGTGCCAGCGTCGCAGTCTGGCTGTAGGTTGTAGATTAGTCATACTCAATGCATCGGTTCTTGGATTCATAAACGCGTTTGCAGCTCGTTTGCTTCGTTATTGTCCTTTTCTCCTAGTACCATCTGCCACTGAGCAAAATGCCACCTCGGCAATCTCCAAGTCTAGTCTACTGAGAACCTCTGCGATCTTTCTTGCCAGTAGTCGGATGCCGAGCAACCTTCCATGACTGCCAGACTGCGGCCTGCCTCCGACCCTTGCCCCGTGTCCTGCGTTTCGCACCTTGGTCGCCCCGTCACCGCAGCACCTCACCCGACCTCCCGTTCCGCGACTCCTGCAAAGGTAGGTCGCCGCAAACCGCTCACTTGCCCCGACCCGCAAACTTCCTGTGAAAAGCAGTCGCCTATTGTGTCTATTGTTTGGGTAGTCACGTCGAGCAAACCGAAAGCACGCCGCGGCGGAACTGGTTTGGCGATGTTGGCAGCTGAAGGCGCCGCCACTGGCAGTTGGTCCCGTTGCTTTGCTTGCTCAGCCAGTGGACACTATCATCGCACCGCTGACGCTAGAACCATGTCGACGTTGACATGGAGATGGACAAGCCGCGGTTACGTACATTCCACCAAGCCTCGAGATCTCATATGGTCACAGGTATTGCATTCTACCAGCTGGTGTGGCTCCAAATATAACTATGCTACAGCTCCTTCCGTCTACTTCCTGGTCTGGTTGGTCAGCGGCTGTCACTTGTCTTCTACGATACCCACAATGAAGACCTGGTAGAACTCGATCTTGGGCTTGGAACCAGTCTGGTCGAGCTCCAGGCGGCCAGCCCACTCGATACCCTCGACCTTTGATCCGTCCTCCATGCCGTAGTCGACGGTACCATACGTCATCACCTCGTTGGCGTTGGAAGGGTTAATGAAGATGCCCTTGCAGACGTGGCGGCGCGTGAGCACGCCCTTCCAGCCATTCTCGCGGAACTGGAGCACACCAGGGTGGCCGAGGAAGGTGGTGGGACCCATGATGAGAGTAGCGTCCTTGTTGAAGAGGTCGACATAGTTTTGGTGGGCGAGGGCGTCGGCCTTGGGGCCAATGTCGCTAGCAGAGTACAGCGCGTTGACAAACTCGACGATGGGGGCAGGGACAGACATGGTGGTGGTGAGCTAGCTGTGAATGGTGATGAGGCAGGTGCTCGCTGGAGACGACGACGACGATGAAATGACTAACGAGATATGGCGACGGCAAATGCAACGGTGTTCGGAAAGGTGGAGGTACGGAGGTCGGACATGACCACATGGCACACACCGGACAGATCGTCATCGATTGTGGGCACACTGATTATCACAACGTTGACAAACACACCATAAATGACACGCACTGTGGCGCTCACGTCCGCCATCTCCACCTTGCAGCCGAGACCTGTCAACGTAGGCCGCAAGCACCACACGGCATGCCCGCGGAATCCCACGGTACCCACAGTGCACATGGTGGGATCGGAAGCTCCGACAACGTGTTGAGAGCGGGACGGGTCGGCCCCCGTTCTAGGAACCACAAGCAATGGTGCCCCGCCTCACCCGGCGGCGACCACGGCCGCGGGTGCACGAATCGCCTGCCCCGCATTGTGCTCCAGACCGGCACGGTAGTGGAATACGCAGACGTACTTAAAGACCGAGGACAACTATTGTTGCTTGGCATCACACGCAACCCCTTTCACAGACCCAGTTCGCACCCCTCCTCTGAACAACAACAATGTCCAACTACGACTTTGAGGGCTACACCAAGAGCGTCATTGACGCCATCGGCGACAAGGCTTCCCCTCGTGTGAAGGAGGTCTTCCCCATTCTCATCCGCAAGATCCACGAGTTCCTCATCGAGGCCGACATTACCTCTGAGGAGTGGATTGACGCGTGCAACCTGATGGTCCAGGCTGGCCAGGTCTCGAGCGACAAGCGTAACGAGGTCGTTCTTGTTACCGACGTTCTGGGCATCGAGTCGCTCGTCAACACACTCGACCAGACCCGCGCCCAGCGCAAGGGCAAGGGCAGCGGCGAGGACACCACCTCGTCTGCTATCCTCGGTCCCTTCTACCGTGCTGGCGTCCCCGTCCAGGCCAATGGCACTACCATCATCCGCGAGCTCGAGGAGGGCGCCCCTTACACCCACCTCCACGGCGTGATCTACGACTCGAACGGGAAGCCTCTTCCAAACGCACTCGTCGACATCTGGCACGATGCCCCCGATGGGCTGTACGACGCGCAGACCCCCGAAAAGGCAGAGTACCACTGCCGTGGCCGTTTCCGCACCGACGAGGAGGGCCGCTACTCTACCATCTGTCTCAAGCCCACTCCCTACCCCATCCCCTTCGACTTCTCTGCTGGCACCCTCCTCAACCTCATGGACCGCCACCCGTACCGTCCTGCCCACATTCACTTCTGGGTCGAGGCCAAGGACCACGTCACGCTCGTCACCCAGGTCTTCGATTCGGAGTCAGACTACCTCAAGGACGACTCGGTCTTTGCCGTCAAGGACGACTTGGTGGTCAACTTTAAGCCCATCTCGGCCAACTTTGCTGCTCCTTCAGACCTCGTTGGTCGCATGAAGTACGAGCTTGAGCAGGACTTCCACCTCGAGCGCTCCCAGTAATGTGGTCGGCGCAGCTCAGGAGTGTAAAAGGCAATATCATAGTCCAGGAGAAGAGTTCAGGTAGCTTTGGTTGTTTGTGTACTGTAATACGCATTTGAGAGGTGGCGAGTCGGCAGTCATATGCAGAATGTTGGAAGCTCCGTGTACAGTACAGCTATGGATGTTCGAGGGGCACGGGGAACTGTGGTGGGCAGGTCTCATGCTCCAATGTCGTCGTTGCTATTGTACAACTATGGTGTACCCGTCCGGCCATCATGTGATGACCACCAACGCCAACAATGACATCGAGTTGTTCCGTGCACCCGATAGGCACTGCGCACTGGACACGGCATCGGCAACCAGACGGCTTGCCGTGTTGACATTAGCAGAATTACAATTTGAACTGTTTCTATTGCTGGTCTAATAAAGAAACGGGATCAAAATAAGGTACAGGAGCACACCCAGGCTACTGACTTTTGGCTGCAGAGTGGTTACTGCGGGGCTTGGGTTTTATGCATTTCATGACAATAGCCGATAACCAGTGTTCGATTCGGGCGACCGGAAATTACCTCTTTAGATTTGAAGTCGGTTGCCCTTGAGTCACACACCGATGCATGTCAGAGACTAAGTTGTCGAGTTGTTCGGTCAATGCCCTCCTTCCTTTTTGTGCTGGCGCACCCGCTCAGCTTCTTTTTAGAAGTACCATACGGGACATTCATGTACGCGTTCGACAGCCCAAGGGGTCGCCCCCGTGTTTGCGACTGTAAAAACATGGCAGAATATATGTTTCGGCCTTCCGAGCAAAGTGCCATGTTGGTACGTTTTCGCCTGGCATCGACCTTGCAGATATCATCGTTGTGGCAAGAGGGAGGGGTGGGTAGTGCATCTGTTTTATTTAGCACAAACTGGCCGCGCCAACGATGTCCTTCACGGTCATGTATCAATGACGCGGGAGGATGGTATTGATCTTGACTTGAGGGTATGGACAGACAGGGGGCCGGCTTTTGAGTCGTCATCAGTCGCTAGTGATTGTTGGTCGCTAGCAGCACCTTTCGCTGACAGTACGGATCGTTGACAAGCAAGCCAGCTTGCGAACAACACGTCTGCAGACTTATGATTCACATCCATTAGGCGTCAACGTCGATTGTATTGTGCCTTCGAATCACGCACGCTTCCGCAGCAGGCATCGCGCACGTCTCTCGCTCAGTGTGTATGTGGCGGCACCGTTCTTTTTGCCGCAGTTGGTCCTTGGCGAGCTGTAGCAAGCGCTCCGTAATAACAGCCACATGTTGGCCTCACCTGGTACCATGCTACCAGTGCCGATGACCATGGGACAACCGTTGCTTTTGAGCCCGAGCTGAGGCAGGATGCGCGTTCTCCGGGCCCGTGGACCACCGTCGAGCACCACCCAGAAGACCTGGCCCCAAGCTGGCTATTTATGGGCGTCCTAACGGCTGATTTCTGCTTCCCAGGCCTTCGTGAATTCTGTTGTGCAACAGCTTTCTGTTTTGGAGACGAGGAGGGGCACAAACCACACGAACGTGTCGTCCTCAGGCCCGTGGCTCAGTCGCGTTGGGTTGGTCAGAATCCATTTAATTGACTCTCAATCTGTATGTCAGTCTGTACTCGTAGTTTGTTGACTATGTTACCAATTGGATCGATCGTTTGATTTCTCCTCGTCCGAAGTCGTTGGACGATGGAAGGAAGATGTATGAGACATAACCCTCTAAGATGGTGTCCAATTAAAGTTCAGCTACTCGGAACACAGGCTGTCGCGTTGCCCATCCAACATTGCGCATCCGACATTGCGCATCCAACATTGCTCCCCCTCGCGGATATGACCGAGCCTGGTGCCATGGCAATCTGCTATACCCAACCAATCCCTTTTCCCACCCATTTTTCCGATTTTCTGAGTCAACTACGCCGATCCCTTCATAACGTCGGCAGAAGTGGTGGGCTTGGTAATGTACCGCGAATGAAGGCGGGGTCTTGTGCGGTAAACCGCTTAAGTGAACATCCTCACATACGATGTTGCCGGGAAAGTGATGACATTCTTCACATGTGGTCACGGTATTTTATTGTTTTTTTGCTGAATCCCAGAATAGGCACTGCTTCAGCTGTGGTGCGTTGCTGCGGAATGTGCGGGCTTGGCGGCGTCCATGTCGATTTGGTGCCGAGTTGGCCGCATATTCACCACATTTCACCACCATTTCGCCGTCTTTGCTTCCAGTTCGCCGGCTGCCAGACATTACCATGAGCAGGTTGAGCGCGCCGCAGTCATGGGGCGTCGTAGGCCGCCGGCGCAGAGCGCTGACATCGTGTACCGTAGGCACCTGGCGTTGTTCCGGATCGGATCTTTTGACACACCATGCTGACTGCGGGGAACCTTGTGACGGACAACGCCATGGCGCCCTCTGTGGACATGTGCGCCAACGAGCGTGCCCCAAGCGGGAGGCTTGGCTACAACGCCAGTCCAAAATTGGCCACGGCTGTCTTGGCGAGATACCGCGAGATGCGGAGATGCGGAGCAGATGGCTGAAGGAATCAATCTGCGATCTGTGCTGTGACAGCAGCAGTGAATCACTGCCGGCAGCTCACAACTCCCTCGACTGCGCAAGGGACAACCCCGTGACTATCCCATACCCTCGCTGGTTACTGCTTTCCCAGATACCCAACCGAGGCCCAGACACCGACGTAGCTCATGATTTCGGTCCGGTCCGTGTCCCCACGCGACCGAGACAAGCAACCCCGGCCGCCAGAAGAGTGCTGCGCCGAGGACGCCCAACCCCATCGATCAGGGAACAGGTCATCGGCATGTTCTGCCGCCGAGGTGAGACTGCTACTTGTCACCGTCGTGTAGCGCTCCAACGTCAGAAACACACACCGGCGGTGTACACGCGGGGCCGCCACAAACCCTCAGTTCCCCGCTGGGGTCCCATGCATACCCCCTAATGGTGGCCAGAATGGATTGGCAAGCGACACACCCTGCTGTTCTGCCGTGTACCCGGGGTCATGAGACTGCGAGCGTCCAAGTGCCACGACAAGAGGAGCGGTATAAGATGAGACGCGACGAAGTTCACTGGTCCGTAGGCCCCAGACTTGTTTACGCAGCTGGATAACATACTCCCTCTCACACACCTACCTACCATGGCCGACAACTCCACAATGACCCACGAGGAGGAGCGCTTTCACGGGGGCAAGGACACCACCCTCCCCGCTAACCACCCCATTAACGCTCTCTCGCCACTGCGCAAGTTCCTTGCCCTCAGTGCGCTCGCATTCTGCGGTTTGATGGGCAATTTCTCGTGCGTAAACCCCGTTTCGACAATGAACGCCTCTCTTAACACGCAGTGTGGCGATTCTTATGGTCGCCTTCGTTCCCATGGGTGCCGCTTTCGACGTCTCTCCTGGTGACATTCCCAACACTATCGGTTATCAGCTCCTCGGCGTTGCTGTTAGCTCGCTGATCTGGTGCCCTCTTTCCAAGGTATGTGTTCCACGGCATGTTCATAGCTTGATCACTTGGCTGACCTTTTTCAGACCATTGGTCGTCGCCCTGTCTACATTATCGGCTCTCTCCTCCCGATCCCCATCTGTGTTTGGCTTGCCGAGTCCAACTCGTTTGGGGTCTTCTCTGCGGCCCGCTTTGTCATGGGTCTTTTCTCCGGGTGGTCGCAGACCATCCCACCTTCGACCATTGCCGACATGTACCTGCCCCAGGAGCGTGGCAGGCGTATTTCTCTCTACGCTATCGCTGTCGTCATCTCTCCTGCGGTCGCTCCCGTCTTCTGCGGCCTCATCGTCGACAAGCACAGCTGGCGTATCCTCTTCTGGTTCATCCTTGCGCTGAGCGGCCTCCAGCTCGCCATCGTCTTCTTCCTCATCCCCGAGACCCTCTGGAACTGGCACGAGCAGACCGCCACCCCTCAGATTGAGCAGGACGCCGAGCACAAGCTCTCTCACGAGGGCAAGGAGGCCCCCACACACCTTGACACGAACAGCGCCGTCTCTGTTCGCACCGGTCGCGTGGGAGCCGCTTGGATGCCGTGGCAGCGCCCTGGCGAGTTTGCCCGCGTCTTCATCAGCCCCATCCTCATGGTGCGTCTCACTTCCTCCTCGTAACTCTTGCTAATGTCAACAGCTCCGCTTCGTCACCATCACCATTCCCTCCATCTACTACGGCAGCCTGTTCGCTTGGTCCGTTGGTATCACCATCGTCGCCCCCCAGAAGTTCGAGGCGGCGCCTTACGGCTTTGAGACCATCCCCCTCGGCTGCTCGTTCCTCGCCTACGGTATCGGTGGTGTTCTCGGCAAGTGGTCGGGTGGTATCGTTGGTGACAAGGTTGTCGGCTACTTTGAGCGCAAGAAGGGCTCGCGTGAGCCCGAGGACCGTCTCTGGGCTCTGCTCCCTATCCTGCCCTTCTTCCTCGCCGCATGCCTCATCTTCGGCATCTGCATCGACAAGCAGCTCCACTGGATCGCTCCTCTTATCGGCGGTGGCCTCTTCTTCTTCTGTCTCTCCGCCGCCACTGGTGTTCTCCAGACCTACGTCCTCGAGTGCTACCTCCCGCGCTCCATGGACACCCAGGCCGTCTTCACTTTCTGGAAGATGATCTGGGGCTTTGCCGTCCCCTTCTTTGTCTACGACTGGGGAACGAGGGTGGGCTTCACCCAGTCGTATGCCATCCAGGGCGCGCTGGCCACCGGCGTCGGCTTCATCCTCTGCCTGGGCCTTATCTGGAAGGGCCGGGCCATCCGCATGGCCCAGGGTATGCCCGAGTTCCGCAAGTAAAGACGTACGCAAAAGAGATGAGAAGCGATGAGGAAGAAGTGGCAGTCAGCGGAAGTTGTTTGTAGTAGGCAGTAATTTATGGCATGAGGTTCCAATATCATCTTCCTGAGCGGCTCCTAGGAGTCCTGATCCCCTCTGCTGCGCGCGTAGGGCCATATAGTCGACAGACGGTGAAGGACGAGGCCACTGTATGTCTCAAATGTGAGTGAACGGGGCATTTATCCCATGACGCCCAGCGAGTGGCGGTCGGAGCCGGAGGAAGTCCCCGAGGTGCTGAGCCGCCAGGTGGGGTGCAGCGAGCGTGCATCTGATGCATGGAGATGGCGAGAACGGCAAAAGAGGGGGTGTGCTCGCACGCTGAGTCGAACAGCGGTCGGGTCAGATGATGAGATTGCTGCGAACCACAACGACCAATGATAACCACCTACACTATACAAGCCGATGAGGACAAGATGCCGTTCGAGGCACCCGTACGTCCCATCACCTTTATGACTGCACAACTGCCAGCGGGGGCGAGTGAGTGGACGAGCGACATGTTTAACACCTATCTGCCTCTTTTCAAAAGGCCTGGAGCTGCCTTGTGGCCCTACCGGCGTGCGGTGGCACTCGCAGACACCTGCAGTCATCCTCCGAGGCTATCGGTGGCTCCGACACGTATGCGTTTCAATCGGCTCCGGCCTGCAGCACAAAGCGGTGTTGGCCCCGCAGAGTCAATTCAGCTATGGTTGTGAGAGCTGGGACACAGCTGCCAGTAAAGGCTGCCCCCCCTTCATATCGTTGCCACCGTACTCTCAAAAATATTTCCTCGAAACACGATGAAGGTACGCTGACATTTTAAAACCTGTGCTGACACGCAGGTCGCCGTCCAAGGGTGCTGACACCACAGCCTGCCTCAGATATACGCCGAGATTTCCAAGCATGAGCAGCGTTGAGGATTAGTGTCGTTAGTGGCATTTATACATCGCCATTACACCAAATGTGTGTCAAGTGGTGCGCCGTGACACCGAGCCCGCAGCTCACTTTTGAGAATGTCCCCTTCAGCAGCCGGTCAGTGCGCAGCGTGTTTGCGATTCGTGCACATGATGTTTCAAAGGCCATGCAATTGAGTGGTCCCATTGCAGCTCATAGCCAACGGTACCCCAGCTCCCCCCGTCAGCGCCTTCCGTGTTCATGTCTCATGACTGGCCATCGGCGATTGCTCACTATGGCGACACTCCCGACGTGATACAGCGCAAGCCGCTGTTCAAGGGCGACATCAGCACCAACGACCTTGGCGCCCCGCAATACATGACCCTTTCCTCAAACACATTCAGCCAGACTACTGGCTCTGTGCCCACCACCACGTCAAGTTTTCCGCTTGGGTCGACCATGAAGTGGCGAAAATGACGAAAGTGGCAGCTAGGCCGGAGGAGCTAGGAGGTGCCCGTCGTGTGGACCACCTCTCACCACACAGCTTATTGACATAGCGACTCCCGAGCGCATTGGCAAAGCTGGACCACGAATGACATTTGACCCCACTTGGCTTGCCATCACCCGTGTCTTCCACCCTTATCTCTCACCACAACTGCTAGTGAGCGACCGGTCTTGCCTGCTTATGAGGTGCTACAGGCTCAAGTAGCCGTAGAAGAGGACAGGATACGACAAGAAGGGCTTCTCGTCCCGTCACTGCTGGAAGGCAGTGTCACTGAGGACGGACTAGTTGAAGTTCGCCACGTCCAGCAGTTCGCCACCACTGCACCAGCATATCACCAGCCTGGTGGAGATCCCAAGCTTTGGCATACAAACCCCCAGACTGAGCAGTTCTGTGCGATGCTTGGAATTGAGAACAAGGTCAATCCTGGAGGCCGTGACACCTCTGCGTAACTAACCCTTGACAACGGCACGCTTGTCCCAAGAAATAAGACCGTTATTGTGCCAGTAGCTAGCTGTATTTGATGTACATTGTAGTACAGTATCTAAACACCTCGTATCAGAAGATGCCGAGTCGAAACATGGCCAAAAACGAACATTTCAAGAGTCTTGACTGATCCCCAACCTCGCTCATCTCCCTCCTTCCCTCCCGACCTCTTCTCACAAGCAAAAGAGAAGGCCTTGCTGCTGCAAGGCCACAGCTACTTCCTGACGGAGAATCGAACTCCGATCTCCCGCGATCTCAATGACAAGCGAGCATACTAACCGTTATACGATCAAGAAGACATGTTGAGGAGGAGAGCCACGTCGGTGTCTGGTTTGGATGGCCTTTTCTGCGTCTTCCACGTCGCTATGCATGGTCAAACGCTTGGAGGAGCCTCGTGAGATGGCCCTTGACGGACTGTGTCAGCCCCTGGAACCGCTGCGCGCCGTAAACGGTGGGTTGAAGCCCCAACGTGGGTGGTCATAGGTCGGCGATCAAGAAAAATAGCAACGAGTCGGAAAAATATCCCCCAGCCCGGAAAAATGCCGGCGGCGCCACGTCTCCTGCGCCAACCTTGCTTCGCTTTGCCCTCGAATGTCGTGCTTTGCGCTCTCTCCCGCGCGTCTATGCATCACCGGCGGCCTCAGCCATAGCCACTGCACTCTACCTGTACTAGTCCAAGCGCTGTAAGAAACCAGCGGGGAAAAGACCGCGGGCATGGCAGCGGTCTGGCGTGCCCGTCACCGCTAGCCGTGCCACACAGCCATACGTCCTGCCAGTTACGAGCGCAATGCTCACCGGGTATACTTGCCAACGCGTGGCCCTTAGCTTACGGCCGTGTCACTGACACTCCAAGGCGCGCTCTGGCCAGCGGCCAGCGAGCGCAAGACTGCCTCACCCCCACGACATGCCACTCGGTTCGCCGATCCGGGCTCATTCCGGGCCGATACCTGACGGACATGACCGGTCTACCGGCGGCCGGGACCCGGAGCTCCACTGCGAAGGTGCATATGGTCGTGGTGGGGAGGATATACCCCCTCCAACGTGTTGATGCACGCCCACCCACGTCGTCTTGTTCTTGCTCTTGTTCTCGACTGATATAACTCTCCAACGCAAAGCTCTTCTCGCTTCCTGTGATCCACCCTCTCCTACTCTCTCGCCACCACCCACCATGACCGTCACGACCGCGATCCCGCACCTGTCGCCCAAGGGCAAGGCGTCGCTGGACGAGCTGCTTGCCACCACTGTCGAGAGCGACAAGGGCCGCCCGGCCGTCCACTTTGGCCTCACGACGGCGGACGGGCCTCTGTACCTCGCTTGCAAGGGCGACAAGGTGTATGGCGAGCCGGACAAGGGCCAGGTGAACGAGGACACGAGTAAGTCGCGAGGCTTAGGCTGCGGCTGCGGCTGCGGCTGCGGCTGCGACTAGCGGACACGGGCACTGACGTCGCAGCACTCCAGCTGTACTCGATGACCAAGGTTGTCGTCTCGGTCGCTGTCCTGCAGCTTGTCGACCAGGGCGTGCTGTCGCTGGACGACCCGGCGATTGTGGACAAGCACGCGCCCGAGCTTGCCGCCATGCCCGTCCTCACGGGCTTTGACGACGCCGACAAGCCCATCCTCACCCCGCGCACTGAGGCCCTCACCCTCCGCCGCCTGCTGACGCATACCTCTGGATGCAGCTACGACTTTACCAACGCCGACGTGGCAAAGTACCAGGTGCTCCAGGGCGTGACCCCGCGCTGGCCCGTGGCCGTCGAGGACAATGTGCGTCCCCTGTCCTTCCAGCCGGGCTCGGCATGGCAGTACGGCGTGGGTATCGACTGGGCGGGCCTCATCGTCGAGCGGGCCACGGGCAAGAACCTGGAAGAGTACTTCAAGGCCAACATCTTCTCCCCACTGGGCATCGAGGACATTACATTCTACCCGACGCCGCAGGTCGTCGAGCGCCTGCAGGCGGCGTGCGCGCCCGACGCAGACGACGACACCGTGTACACCCACGTCCCCTCCACCCGGCCCATGACGCCCGAGACCGTCGGCCTACTCTCGGGCGGCGCGGGCCTGTTCGGCACCGCCAAGAGCTACCTCCGTTTCCTGCAAGGCATCCTCGCGTCCTCGCCCGCCGCCGCCGCGAGCGGCACCCCCACCACCACCACCGCCCCCAAGCTCCTCTCGCCCACGGGCTTTGCGACGCTGTTCACCAACTCGCTCCCGCCCCGCAGCCCCGAGAGCAAGGACGTGTACGCCGGCCTGGCGGCGCAGCTCAACCGCATGTTCTACGTCGACACCGAGCACGTCGCCAACGACGCGCAGTACATTGAGCATTCGGTGGGGCTCGTCCTCAACACCCGCGACTCGAGGCATGGACGCAAGGCCGGCAGCGGGTGCTGGGACGGCGCGGCAAAGACGCATTACTGGCTCGACCCCACCACGGGTATTGCTGTGAGTTGTTGGGAGCGAGCGAGGTTGCAGATGGGCGGGGGCGATGAGGTGATGGTGGCACCTGCCACTGCCACTGTCCACTCGTCTCATCGTCTCGCCGTCTCGCGCTTGATGGTTTTCTCGACGAAACGTTTCGCTGACACTTTACCAGGGTATCTGCTTCACCCAGCTCCTGGTCTTCAGCCCCGGCAAGCCCAGCCCCTTCGTCAAGACGTACAATGCGTTTGAGCGGACTGTGTATGACGCGCTGGCGTAGTGTGTGCGTGTGCGCGTGTGTGCGTGTGTGCGTGTGTGCGTGTGTGCGTGTGTGCGTGTGTGCGTGTGTGCGTGTGTGCGTGTGTGCGTGTGTGCGTGTGTGCGTGTGTGCGTGTGTGCGTGTGTGCGTGTGTGCGTGTGTGCGTGTGTGCGTGTGTGCGTGTGTGCGTGTGTGCGTGTGTGCGTGTGTGCGTGTGTGCGTGCAGGTCTCAGAAGTGTTAGTGTTAGTGTGGGTGCGGCTCGTGGCGGATCTCGGTCGGCTTCAAGGATGTGCCCGGTGTTGTTGCCGAGTCTAGAGGTAGATATGCAGATTAGATTACACGATGAGATGAGCCGTGTGGTCTAGGTATGGAATATGGCGGGAATGGTGCCACATAAGGCGAGGCGGTATGCACAGAAGGGACACGGCCAGGGTGGTACAAAGGACCGGGAAAGACCCAGACCCAGACAGGACACGACTGTAGAGAGGTTTCCACTGGGGTCCGTCCAGCACGCATGCGAACGCTGGTTGCGAATGCTAGTCATGCGCGCCTGCCACGCCTTTTGCCTCTTGTGGTGCAAGCTTCAGAGCAGAAAAGATGACAGAATCAGTGTCCCGGGCATACCGAGCTAATGGACGCAGGTATCCTGGCGTCCAGGCTTTATGCCCTTTCCTGGATCCCGCTAATGCCCAACACGGGGGTCATGGGCCATACCGTCGATGCATGCATGGAGGAAGCGCGCCATGCATGTTTTGGACGCTCTGGTGCTCTGGACTTTACCTAGGCCACTCGGACCGCGATCCAAATGAAGGCAGTGGCCAACATGACAGCCATTTTTCTGGGGTGCAACCTAAAACCACCCCGATAACATGCCCCCCCCCGATGCTCTGCAGACGGGCGACGGATTCCTCAAGGCTAAGGATTAGCCATAGGGTGCCCCCTTTGGCCCGCATGTCTCGGTCCCATACGCCCAGCTAGCCCGAGCTGGATAAAGTCGCGTCCTGCGCGTCTCTATCTCTGCGGCGGCATGCTGCCTCGCGGTAGCCCAGGCAGCTGCAGGCAGTACGCCAGGCGCGCGGCTGAAAATGGCGTAAAAGTTGCCGGTTTCGTCTTCTGGGGTGCTCCTCATGTCCACCGCGTACACCACGGCAGCGCCAGGCGGCCATCTTGGCGTTTGCGCGTGCAAAGGCAAGTGTGCATACATGCATACGTACATGCCCAAGCCTCATGCATGGGCTTGGGCGGCTTCGAAAGCTTCCCACTCGCGGTCGGTCCCCTCGACACACGATGTTTTTTTTTCTTGGACTTGGCAGGTCCCAACCGACGGCAGGGGTGCCACCCCAGATTTTTGCCCGCGAGGGTCCTAACGTCCTAGCCCGCAGTACCGCCAGGCGATCAGGCGAGACGTAAACTTTTGCCCCCCCAGGACTGGGGCAGTCGAGGCGGCTGGATTGGTGCAGCGTGCTCAGGTGGCATGTACGGTGCTTGTGCTGGTGGGCCACACCGCTCACCACCGAGCTGCTTTTGCATGCATGTCCAGACGCTGAGCAGCACGCAGACGCCAGTCCAGTCGCGTTGGCACCCGTATCCTACGTAACACGGCGTCCTATGTTGAGACACTACTGCCGCGTCCGATGGAAACGGAGTGTTGATGTCGCACAGGCCAAAGTGTACCTCAGATTTCTCACAGAACAAGCATCATCTCATCAGCATGCGTTCCTGTCATGAACGACATGCATCATGATGCCAATGTCCGTTTCCTGCGGATCTGTAAAGTCATGCGCCGCCGCCGGCGCGCGCAGTCATTGGCGTCCAACTGCGGGGGACGGGTCTGGAGCTGGCGGCGCTGGCTGGCGGCGCTGGCTGGCTGGCTGCGGCGACGAGAGCCATGACATCCTTAAAATGTTTATTTCGCTCGCAGCCAGGAGCACCCATGTTGATCCTGCATGGTATCTGTGCGCTGCTGCTATCTGGGCATGCGTCGCTGCGGATGAAGCCGATGGCCACGCTGCTGTCGCTGCTCTGCTCGCTCGTCACTGCTGCTGCTGCTGCTCAAGATTCCAGTCTCCTCTCTGTGCACAACGGGTATTCTGTTTGTCATAAAATGATCGTGCATCGACAAGTAGAACTGTCGACACTGATATAAGGCGGTAGTAGAGGGAGAGAGAGAGGAAGTTTCACAAAAGAGTAAAAAAAAAGAGAGAGAGAGAGAGAGGAAGGAATAATATGCCCAGTGTCCCGGTGTCCCGCTATATGCTACGTAAAGAAGATAATGGTTGACGTGTCGTTAAACCGTCGTTGTTGTCGATGGACTACAACGAGGCGCCAATGACGACGAGACGGCCGAGGGCCGCGACGAGGGCGTTGACGTGGGACAGCGAACCGTTGTCGTCGGCAGCGACGGACTGGGTAATGGCAGTGTCGGCGGCCGAGATGGTAGCAGTAGCGTTGAGGACGAGGGTGATGCCCGAGACGGGGGCGGTCGCGTTGGCGATCGAGGCCGTAGCGTTGGCCACAGCGGTAGTGGCGTTGAGCAGCGTAGCGGACACAGTGCTGTTCAGGGCCAGGGTCGACGTGGGGACGAGCGTGGACGTGGTGCTGACCTCGGTGGTCGACTGGACGGTGCTGGTAGGGGTCTCGGTAGTCGAGGTTGTGGACGACGTGGTGGGCTCGGGAGTCCAGGTCGAAGTCGAGGTGCTGGGCTCGGGGGTCCAGGTGGACGACGACGAGGTCGAGGTCCAGGTGTCCTTGGACGACGAGGACGACGACGAGGTGTCGTCGCCGCCGCTGGAGCCAAACCACCAAGTCGAGGTGAACTGGCCGACAGTCTCATAGTCCGAGGCAAGGACTTGCATGGCACCGGGCGACAGGTCGATCTGGCCGTACGAGCAGGTCTCGCAGCCGTCCCAGATCTGGGCCTGGACAGTCTTGCCGTTGTACTGGACAGTGATGTAGGTGTTGCAGAGGTCCATGGAGAACTGGCTCATGGACAGCGCCACAATCTTGGAGTAGTTGTCGCTGTTGGGGTTAGCGGGTGTGCGTGTGTGTGACTGGTAGCCGGTGCGCGCGGCGTGGGCCATGGGGAATGAACGCCACAAGGCTGGGCGCGCGGGCGGCGTGTGCGTTACACGACTTACCTGTAGAGGATACCACACGCGGTCATGGGGTTCGAGTCGGTGGTGGTGTAGTAGGTGGTGCGGCCAGTGAACGAGTCACGCGCGGCAAGGTCGGTGGCATTGCTGCTGCGAGCAGCGACGTCGTGGTGGCCATGCCTGGGGGCAATGTGCGGGGCGGCAGCGACGGCCTGGATGGCCGCGAGCGCGAGGAGAACGAGGGAGGCGAGCATTGGGGTTGAACTGTAAAGACTCTATGCTGGGTGTCAGTGTGTGTGTCCAGTGTGGGGGGCAGGGGGGGGGGGGGGGGGTCCAGTTTGCGTTCATGTGTCCATGCGCAATCCGTGTTTATTGACATGGATGCACTGATGGGACGCTGCCAAACGAACGCTGACAAGTCCTTTTGTGCAGGTTCTCAACGGTGATACCCACGGGGGAAAACGAGGGTGCCTACAGGTCGGGGCTGGTGGATGGGTGTGTTTGTCGATGGAGGAGTGTTGGGAGTTGTCGAGGGGGAGGGAGGGGGGGATTGGGTAGCTGCCAGAGCCACAAGCGACGACTGAAGGAGAGTGGGAGGTAGCGAGAGTGAGCGAGAGAGTGATGGAGAGATGGAAAAGGACACGGACAGAAAGAGAAAGGGTGTTGTTGCGCAAACGACCCGACCGACCTACTCAACAAGGGGGTGGCTCAACCACTGGTGTGTTGCATGTAAACACCCCCCTTCCCTCGCCGGGGGAAGGCAAAAGGAGGAAGGCAAAAGAGCACAAGGAAAGGGGCGCGCCAAGACCCTGAAGGATCGGTCGTGTCCCTAAATCCAAGACACACCCAAACGCCTCTCGCGTCGTCGCGTCCTCTGCTCTCCCGCCGTTTTTTTTTGGCCCAACGCCGAGAGAGCCCGAGCACCCGACCGCGCCCCCCGCGCGCGCCCGCCGCTGTTAACGCGTCGTTTAGTGTGTGTGCGCGTGCGCCCTGCAGCCTCTCTGCCCCTCTGCGCTTCCGCCTGTTGCCCGTGTCAGGAACCCGTTTTCCAGCCCACCCACGGGCCTGCCGGACGGGCCGTTGCCGCCGTGTTGCCTCAACCGGGGGGTGTGGTCGTCCCCACGCTGCTCGGCGGTGATGCTTAAGAGCCATTTGGCATCTGGCTGCGGTGCGTCCATTACACGGGCAATGTCAGATACAATGACGATCTACAAACGGCCGTCATGCTGGGCTCCTTTTCATTAATGCGCAGCATCATCCCCTGCGGATGGGACACACTCGACGACGGTCGATGGTGGCAGCAACAGGAGAGCCTGCGGGGCCTGCGGATGAGAGAAGGTGGCCTCTTGGCTCACGGACCACAGAACAACAAACCGCTGCGTCACAGGATCACACAGGCCCACCCATCGAATGTTTCTCTCTGTCCAATGCGCAACTCTGTTTCATGTCGGCCATGTTATACAGTCCACTGGATGGACATTCCGCACGGTGTGGAACATGGCCATCAGCGTGGGTGCGGATTCAGGCGACGGCTTCAGAAGAGGGCACAGGAACAGAAGAGTGCAAACGTCGGGCCGAGCGAGGCAAGAGCAAAGCGCAAGTCCCCCACCGTCGATTCGGCCAAAGGCCAAGTATGTAGTGTTAATGGCCAGCTGGGTTGTGGTCACTGCATCGGGGCACACCCCGCTCCTCCTCCTGGGATCCAGCCAGCTGCAGGCCACAGCTGGCGCCAGTTCATGCCGGAGAAATCCAGCAATACCCCAAAAACGTCAACAACAACAACAACCACCACCCACGAAAAGGCCCAGGCTCATGGCCTAACAAAGACGTAATGATGCTAACGACACTACACTGGGCATTGGACATGTCTGGCGATCAGCTAGGGAGCAGGGAGCCCCATAACCAACAGGTGGCAACTGGCCAAGTGGCCAAGCACACATTTCTCGCTACGCTGCATTGTGGCGTCAAAGACCCCAGAAAGGCCCCACTCGTTCGGCTCACTCCCATCCGCTCTCTCATGTCGATGGCTTTTTCGTACCTCATGGACATGCAAGAGAAGGTCTAGCCGTTGCCCTTGGGCACAGGTCGTACCCAGAGACAGTTGCAACCCCCGTCCTGTGTTTGGCGTCACGCACGCAGCCACTCTGTCGGCCTGGAACATTCAGCATTCCATGTGGACTCATGTTTGACCCCCCACCCCCGTTCTTCTGAACATTACATATAAAAGTGGATGAACATGGTGTACGACGCCGTCAGTGCACGGCGCTGGTGGGTTTGTGCTGGAAATTAGACATGACCCCGCACGGCACCGGTACCAACATACTCCAGGCCCAAGTTACGAGTAACGGCACGGCGAGCAACATGTCTGGCACACTGTGACTCGACCCCGCCGGGCCATCAAAACCATAATTCCGTCACTGGTCGCGGTCCCGCTTTGGACCGAGGCACGCCGTTTCGCGTTTACGGGGCCGGACGGGCGGGTGGAAACGGCGCTCAGGAGAGCAGAGCCGGTGTTGGGGGTGCAGATCAGAATGCATGGGAGACAGAAAGAAAAAAATGAGCCTTGAGGGGCAGAAGGAGAACAGCAGCAGCAGCCACCTAGCCACCTCCCGCCCATGCACTGGCAAAAGAGGAAGCCTAGTATGGGGCTCGAACCCATGACATTTTGATGTCTTAAAGAAGTAAGAGTCAAACTATCTACCGACTGATATAACCAGGCTTTCTGAAAGTGGAAAAGCCCCATGAACCATGAGCTGTCGTCCGGAAACTGACAGCGACGCAGGTGTGGATCCATGCCCCCCCTCCGGTACAAAACCAACATTTCGCAGACCATGGCTGACTGCATGCCCACACCCCTGTGCCCGGCTTTCAACAGTCAGGGTGCTGGGTGTACTTACGGACATGAGTGTCCATCGCCGACGCGAGCCACATCAGCAGCACTCAGGCATGAGGCACCTGCCTTCCTTGGTTTGATGACACACTCGTCAGTCTCACGGACGCGACTTGGAGCCTCCACCGCCGTCGGTTGCTCCAGCACCGACAATAACGACACCAGCAGGCGGGTACGGTCCAGAAGCCTACTGCAACGACCACGGTAAGGGGTTCGGCATACTTGGAAGCAGACGCATGGGGAGTCGACTCAAGTCTACCGCTGACAGTATCATTGGCCGTGGACTTTGCTTCGCGACGCTGAGACGCAGGCCGGAGCGTGTCGTGTCGGGAGCGACGGCGCAACTCATGACACGGCTTGAACCGACCAACTTGGACCTTTGTGTCGGTTCCCTGCAGGCGGACCTGCTGCTGACCACATGAACGCTGCAGGTGGCAGGCGGGACTCGACGACTCCCCACTCACTCTGACACCTGTGCCAAGGACCAGTACACTGACCATGACCCGTCAAACCCACAACATCACACCCGGCCGCGGACCGCTATCGCCACGGTGCAGGCGACGAGACTGTGGCGGCGGCGGCGATCCCATAAAAATTACTCCCGCTCTGCACCAAAAGTTTCCCCCAACTAGAACCTGCCCCTGCCTCCGAATGTCGTCTCTGTCGCCCGGCATCGATGCAGATGCATAGCAGACACGCAGGGGGGCACGCAGGGCCAAAAGAGAAGCCTAGTATGGGGCTCGAACCCATGACATTTTGATATCTTATATAGTAAGAGTCAAACTATCTACCGACTGATATAACCAGGCGCCGATGGTGTTTGTGAGCTTGGATGTGCGGTGGCCCGTCGCGGCTGTTCTGGCTTTCTTCAATCGTGGTCACGGAGGCGGAGCGCGTTGTATAGAGAAGACGGTGCTTGGTGGAGGTTGCATCTACGTTGGCTGCATGTAATATCTTGACTGCTGCTGGAACCAGAGTCAACGCATTTACCTCTGCGAGTTGAGGAACGACGTCGACGACGATCAGCCGCGCTCCTTTCCAAGATGGCGTTCGCCTGGTACATAGTAAACCGAGGGACGGCGGCATGGGCGCTAAGAGCCGGGGTACCGTACACCTTCTGAGTGTTGCGTGCTGGCTGCTGTAGCTGCGGCAAACCTTGCCCCCTGCTTTGCAGGTCCTGCACGCATGGATCGAGCCGGAGGAGATTTTTCATGCCATTTTGCATGAATTTCCCAGGGCGGCGACGATCCACCCCCGTCCTTCCTTGGCAAAACGCACGTCCGCGTCCATAATCGTCCAACAGCCGGGCTCGACATCGACATTGACACATCTGTACACCTCACCTCACCGGGCAGCAAACCAGCTCGGTCACAAGGACCGGTGCGCTGCCCACGAACAGGAGGGAACGGAATGCCCGGCGCGAGCACCGCCGACGGGGTCGGCCTTCTCACAAGGGCCACCCCGAGCGGATCGGCGACCTGCCCTTCGCCACATGTGTGCAGCACTGTGGCTGACTTGGCGACCGGTGACAACCAACGTGATGCGAGGTGGATTGCATTCCAAATCCCACGTCCCACGCCGCACCGACGCCATCGGGGTGCTGGTCCGGGGCGGCCGGGGCTAGAGCCACCAACTTTTGGAGTATGAAGTGGTGACAGCAGGCCTTGACGATGGGCTCAACTCTGACGCACACTACACCACACCGCAACGGATCAAGCGCACCTCAAATCCCGGCGCCAACGTCTGCTAAACCACTATGCATGGGTATGAATCAAACAGTACAACCGATGGTCTTGTAACAACGCCAATGATCCCGAATCACCAGTCTGCCGCTCCCTTCGCCACTGCCTCCCGAGCACGTAAGCTTAAGCGTACGCCGCCATGTCCGCCGCGTCGGGACCGACGGGCTCGGTCGATGCCGCGAGGTTACACTGGTGGAACATGCGCAGCTCGTCGGGCGCAAACGCGCCCGTGACGGAATGCAAGAGGCCGCGGTTATGGAAGAGGACCAAGTCGCCCTCCTTCCACTCGGCGGCGAACAGGAGCTTGGGGTCGATACCTGGGCGCTGGAGCTTGTACAGCAGTTCACGGACCTCGCCAATGTCGGTGATCTCGGCGCCGTCGGGGTACAGCGTGGTGCTGTCGCGGGGTGCGCCGGCCGGGAGGGGCGCGATGGAGAAGGCCTGGGGCGCGCACGGGTGGACCTGCAGGTGCAGGCCGCCGGTGACGGGGTTCTTCCAGCACATGGGCAGGGCCTTGAGCTCGCTCTCTGTCCATGGCGGGAGCTCGTCGAGCGGCAGCTCGAGGCCCTCGGTCTCGAGACCCAGGCCCGTGGGCAGCGCGTGCGCGTTGCTCATCCACACGTACGGGTGCGGCGCGTACTTGACCGTCGTGCGGACCGCGACCGACTTGTACTCGGCCGGGAGAATGTCAAACATGGTCTTGCCCGACGCGACTGGGACATGTGTCAGTTGACACAGTACTCGCTTTTAGGGCCTGCCTCAACTCACAAACAGTGGAGCCCTTGGGGAGGCTGAGCGTGTCGTCGGTGCCGTCGTCGTAGCGCAGCGTCTGCCACTCGCCCTTGGGCACGCTGACGGCGTACAGCGTCGTGACCTTGGGCGGGTTGAGCTTGTACAGCGCGGCGTCAATGTGCCAGCGGTAGAAGCGCGTGATGCCCTTGGCCTCGTCCTCGTCCGACACGGGGTCGCGGTGGAACGTCTTGTGGTGCGGGTGCTTGAGCTGGGGCTGGGAATATGTCAATAACGCGTTCGGTCGGTGTGTGTTTGTGTGTACGCACGCTCTCAAGGCCCTCGTAGTTGCCCGGCACCTTGCCGTTACCAATGAGCTGGACCTCGGGGCGGTGAGGGATCGTCTTGAGGTCTGGGTGGAGAATGCTCTTCTTCTCGCTGCCCGTCTTGTTGTTGCCGTGGCCGTACGACTGGGCTGTGGGGTCAAACGCCTGCGATTGTTAGCTGGGGATATCACCGATCCCGTCCAGATAACACACCAGAGTCATCTCAAACTGCTGCTTGGGGGTGAGCTTGAGGTCGCGGAACAGGAGGACCTGGTACTGCGCGGATTGTCAGCGGTGGTTCACAAGCACGTCGCGGATCTTGCCACCGCACACACCTTGTACAGTGCCTCCATGATCTCGTCCATGACGACATCCTTGTTCTCGGGGTCGAAGCCATGCACCTCGCGGCCAAACTCCTCAAAGTACTTGGGGTCGGCCTGTGGGGACGGTGGGAGCGAGGTGAAGCTGAGTGGCGAGGCGGTAACGGTCATGGTGGCGAGGGCGCGTCGAGCGGGGAAAGTGGAGCTGGGCGATAGGTGAGTCGGTGGCAAGTGGCGAAAGCACACTGGCGCGATGGGCAGCAGGCGTGTGGTTCTGCAGAGGGTGATGGTGGGAGATGTGGTGAGACGAAGCATTGTTGTGCTTTTAAACCTAGGTGGGCGGGAACGATACAGAGGCGACCACGGCCGCGTCGACCGGTCCCCGTGATAAGCCCGTCCATGGTCAATACCTCCTGGGTGGTGCGCCGGGGAGGGGCGTGTGGGGGTCCGATGTGAACGGGCCCGCCTTGGACGGCCTCCACAACATGACGCTCCGATGCTATCGGAACCAGGCTCGCAGCCGTCGCAGTCGCAAGGCGTGAGTAGTTTGTCGTTGAGCCTAATGGGACGCCTATTGCATTCCTCACCAAACCCTTATCTCTTATGTTGACTGTCCGTCGCCGTTGGTATCGCTCCTGGCACCTGATCACTTTGTGCTGATTGGCGCCAGCTCACGCGTCTCTCATTCTCGGACACGGACGCTGCATGGTCTCGTCTGCGTCTCTTCCGTGAGAGGAACAATGGATTCCAGATCTTCGTCCACTGGCGCTACAGCGTTCAGAGTCGAACTGTGGCTTGCCAAAGCCGAAAGCCAAAGCTTCGGTCTCCTATCATGTCGGCGTTACTTGGGACCTTGGGAGGTGCAGCTTGCTGCAACACTTGCAGTGTCCTCTTGTACTTCAACCACGACCGCTGACCATACCAACTTCACATCCCCCCCCGTCTCTCGGGTCTTCGGACCTCGTTGCGCCGCTGGGGACTCGCCCCCTCGTTGCTGCAGTCACACGTGGGCTGTGGGTAAGCCAGTCGTCCAGTCGTCGCCACCCCGCCGTCCTGTCCTGACGGCGCCAAAAAGAGCTCCGGAACCGTGGGCACACAGGCAACGGATCACGGAGCAACGGGCCAGGTAACCGCCGGCGTGTGGGTGCGTTGTGCAGGCGAGGCGATGTACGACGCGCGTGCGGCGCACTCGGCAACAGCGCCGCCGTACGTGCGTGCGTTGGTCGTGTGCCACTGGCCACTGGCAGTGTGCAGTGCTGCAGCAGCAGCAGGGGGGGGGGGGGGGGCCAAGAAACCTCGCTCTGCAGTCAATTGACTAGACCATGCCCTTCCGAAACTCCCCAGACCACGTCGATGCCAGGCGATGCGTGCGGCTATTCCGAATGGTCCACCGGCCTCCCGGCGCCATCTTGCTCACGAGCGCTCGCACGACCAGCCCGGTGAGTCCGTGAGCAACCGGGGCAGGTGCGAGAGGGATATAGGAGACACACTGGTCATTACTTTGATGGCAGTGACTGCGTGTGGATTGAGCCGGGAACGGTTGCTTGACCCTGGCTCGTGGCGCCACAGCGACATGAGCATGACGAATGTGACCAAGCAAGTCGACTGCATTTTGTGCGTGTTCTTCTTGCAAGTGGGTATAGTTGAGAGGCCAGAGGGTATGCATTGGTGTGGAGATCTGCAAGGTGTGGTGTGTGCTGCAGCTTTGTAGCGTGGGATGGGCGAGACAATGATACAAATGATGGGACGTACGGTGTGCTCTCTGGCCAGACCGGCGCAGAGACCCGGCGAGCGCCGCCGGAAGCAAGTAATCCTGCCCCCCCCCGCTTTTTGCCCTTTTGGCTGTCTGGCCTGTCGACTGTCTGGATGCACGCACGTGTTGACTGTTCTGTCCCATCACGGCGCGGCTTCTGGGCGTCCACTCGGGACCTATATCGTGCTAGCGACCAAGGCATCCACATCCACCACCACCACCACCACCACCCAACTGCGCTGGCAAACCCCATCACCATCGTCTCACACACACACACCCATCCTCTCGCCCGCCTCGCACCAGTCCAGTCGCACGTCGCACACGACTCTCACATCTCCCTCGCACTTGGCACCTGCGCACCCACACATGGATCGGCAGTGACACTGACCTGCCCTCCAACCACCCCACACCCCTCACATCTGCCTCGCGACAGTGGCCTCTCTGCCCGACTCGTCCGACTTTCCACCTCATCCACATCCTCTGCTTCCCCTCTTCCTTTAGCTCTTTCCAAGAGTCCTTACCCGCGGCCACAGCGCCGACTCTTCTAGCCGCACGCGCCGCCGTGCACTGAACACCCTCCACCCACACCTCCCCATCTACGCCGCCACCCACGATGAAGGTAAGCTGCTGACCGTCGGTTCTATCAGCTCACACATTAGTTCGGCAAGAGCATCGTCGCGTCCCAGGTGGCCGGTTGGCAGGAGTTCTATCTCAACTACAAGGTAGGTTTGGCTACAGCTATGGCGGTCTTGCGCGCGCGCAGCGCTATCTTCGTCGGACGGTCTTACGGCCGTTGCGGGCGTTCACCCCGGACTTGCCTTGCGTTGCCGGCGGCGCGGGCGCACAGACCGTGACCACGGCAAAGAGTGTGCTTTGGACTGACACGCACCACCATTAGGCGCTCAAGAAGATTATCAACTCGCTCGCGGCCGGACGTCCCGCGACCGAAGCCGCGCTCCTGGCGTCGGGCGGACGGCTGAACAAGCGCCGCGGGTCCGATGCCAACCTCAGCGGCACGAGCCCGGCCCCGAGCGCGACCAACACACCAGTGTTCGCGCCTGTGCGGGACTCACCAGACGTCGGCGGGGACCTCGATGCCCTGCCGCCCGGTGCTGAGCCGCCAGCACCGACGTCGGCGCTGCTCGGCGGCTCGGGGGCCGGAAACGGCAGTGTCGACCCTGGCAACACGTTCAAGGCGCACCGCGACGCCTTCTTCTTCCTCCTTGCGCGCGAGCTGGAAAAGGTGAGCTTTTACCACAACAGAGTCCAAGCTGACAGATGCAAGATCAACGCGTTCTATCTGATCAAGGAGCGCGAGCTCCGCTTGCGACTGTTGACGCTGCTGTCCAGCCGGAAACGCTTGCTACGCAGCCAGCGCGAGCTCGTGCAGGACGGCATGATCAGCGAGGGCACCAAGCGCGGCGCAGAGTGGGCAAGTCTCGAGGAAGGCTGGCGGTTGTTTGAGCGTGACCTCGGCAAGCTGCAGGGCTTTATCGAGATCAACGCGACGGGCTTCCGCAAGATTCTGAAAAAGTGGGACAAGCGGTCCAAGAGTAACACCAAGGAGCTCTACCTCGAACGCCAGGTCGAGGTGCAGCCGTGCTTCAACCGCGAGTTTATCGCCAAGCTGTCGGACATTGTTGCTGCCAACTTGCTCGACATGGAGAGCGGATCCGACCACCTGACCGCGTCGTTCTTTGCCGACGAGCTGCCCGAGGTGGGCGGCGGCGACGACGGCCTTGCGTTTGACCGCGACGACTATGAGAGCGACCCGGGAGAGGCGCTCGCGACCGACGCGCTGTACGACCTCGAGGCCAACTTGCCCAAGGTCGAGGGTGGGCGCGAGGCCCTCACCCACTGGCTCAAGCAGGCCCGCAAGCTGCTGGCCAAGAACAAGGGCGACGGCCGCGCGATGCGCATTCTCTGGCGCGCAGCCCTCACTGTCCCCGACGACTATCTCGACCTGGTGTTCACGCCTCCCCTCGACTTTGGCTACGTGGACAAGATCAACGAGCGCGACCCCATGCACCAGGCCGCTATCGGCGGCTCGCTCCGCCTCGTCGAGCTGTGTCTCCAGAACGCGCCCGAGCTGCTCGAGCGTGAGGACGTCTACCGCCGTCGCCCATTGCACTATGCCGCCATGCACGGCCACCCGTCCATCGTCTCGCTGCTCCTGTCGTCCAATGCACGGGCTTCCGCAACCGACATGGACGGCTACACGCCGCTCATGCACGCCATCACCAACGGCCACCTCGAGGTTGTCCGCATCTTTGTGAATGGCGGCTCGGACGTGGAGCCAACAGCCGTCTCGCACGACCTAATCCCCCTGTCGCTTGCTTGCCAGTTTGGCCAGGTCGAGGTTGCCCAGCTGCTCCTCCAGCGTGGCGCCAAGATCCGCGGCAACTCGGAAGGCCTCTTCCCTATGCACTTTGCCGCCAAGGCCGGCCACGAGGCCATTTGCCGCTTGCTCGTGGAAAAGGGCGGACCGGACGGCGGCGGCAAGGACAAGGAGGACAAGTACAACCTGTGGACGCCCATGCACCACGCCGCCGTGGGTGGCCGCCTCGACCACCTCGCGTGCATCAAGGTGCTCGTGGCTGCTGGCTGCGACGTCAACGCCCTCGACGAGTATGGCAAGTCGCCCGGATGGTACGCGGCATGGTTTGGCCACGTCCAGTGCCTCAACTTCCTCATCGACTCTGGCGCCAAGCTCTTGGCCAAGGAGAATGAGATCCGCGGCATGGAAAACCTCGGCCTAGCGGCGGACCCGCAGATGAAGGCCCTGTCGCCCGGCTCGGACATTGAGCTCGACGGCCCCGGCGACGACTTTGAGCTCATCCCCTCGCTCTCGCTCCCACCCCCAATCATCCCTCTGCGCGTGTATGGCCACGAGTTCCTTGCTAAGCGCTGTCTTGTCCAGCTGTCCCTGGGCCACCCGTACGCTCGCGGCGAGGAAAAGGCTCCGCCCGTCAAGCTGTACTCGCGCTCTGGCCAGGACTCGCTGCACATGTGGTCGTCGCTCAAGCTCGTCATGACGTCCAAGTCGGACACGAGCGTCGTCCCGCACTCTGTCATCCTGCCACTGGCGGATGCGCGTGAGGTGTTTTCGTTCCAGGTCCAGTCGCTCGAGCGCTTTGCCCTCGAGGTGTCTCTGTACCCGACGTTTGGCTCCAAGGTCATTGGCCGCGCCACGATCCACCCGTCCACATTTATGGATATCCGCGACCACAAGACGTTTACTGCCTTCCTGGTCGACCACCACCTCAAGACGATCGGCGAGGTCGCCTTTGAGCTGTCGTGCATTCGTCCGTTTGAAGGCGCCAAGCTCGAGATTGGCGGCCGCGTCGAGACGTACTGGAAGTCCAAGGTCACACCGTCCAACTCGACACAGGACCACGCCCACCAGTTCCAGTCGCACCGCCCCGTCGGCGTCTCGAGCATGTCCCCGGCCGTCCGCCCCTCAGTGTCCATCGTAAAGTCGCAGGAAGAGCCGGCACTGGTCACCGCCTCGTCCCTGTCTGGCGACTACATCCGCCTGCGCGTCCAAGTGACGCGCGATGGAATCCCCGTCATCTACAGCAAGTTCAAGCTGCCCGTCGACGAGGTGGATGTGGGAGTGTCCAACGTGACGTATGCCCAGTTTGAGGCCGTGGCCAAGAAGACGGGCCGCGGCCTCCCGGCTTCATGTACTGCCACGACGTTTGTGCAGTGGCGCGACGTCATTTGGAACTGCATGGCGTCGGTCGAGGACCTCTTGAAACTCGTGCCGGCCGAGGTGGGGCTCAACCTGTGTCTCAAGTACACGCGCGAATTCGATGCCGAGCGCACCGGCATCGCGCACTCGGCCGAGGTGAACACGTTCGTCGACGCCATCCTGCAGGTCGTCTACGACGCGGGGCAAGTGACGCCCGGCCGTCGGATCCTCTTCTCCTCGTTTGACCCGACCGTGTGCACGGCCCTGAACTGGAAGCAGCCCAACTACGCCGTCCTCTTTGTGTCGTACTGCGGCATCGACCGGCGCCAAGCCGAAGACGCGCACAAGCTCATCGCGTCCCCGTCCGGCGCCGAGCCCGACAACCGCTGCCTCAGCGTGCGCGAAGCCGTCAACTTTGCAAAGCAGACAAACCTCCTCGGCGTCATCCTCGAGGCGACGACACTGGCGGCGGTCCCCAGCCTGGTGGCCAGCGTCAAGGACGCGGGTCTCCTGCTCGCTGCGTTTGGCAACGAGGCCGACGTGGCGGGCCTGAGGCAGGGGGCGAGCGACGGGAGGACAGTGGACGCGTTCTGTAGCAACCAGTAAGTCACCGCGGGAGCGAGCGCGAGCGCGAGCGCCAGGCGAGAGCCAAAGGCCGCGACGCGCGCACGGTCACGCTCTACTGGCACTCTGTGCCCGCCTTCTCTCCCTTTTGGACCAAAACAACTGGCTGACACTCTCTGCAGAATCATGACGCTAGTTATATAGTAGACGGGGGGGATATACAAGGAGAGTGTGTGTGTGTTTGTGTTGAACGAGGGGCCAACGGGAGTCATGCATCGGTCGTTATCATGTTCGACGAGACAGGAGGTATATTCACTGGTCTGGGAGATGTGGCCCAACGGTTCTTTGGTTCTAGGTTCAGGCCGTTCTGGCCGCTCCGGTCGCTCTGGCCGCTCTGGCCGCTCTGGCCCACGCACACACGGCGCGCCAGGATTATGACCTTTTTTTTGCGTTTGTGTGGGGGGGTACGATGAGCCGCCATTGCATGGTGGTCACGAGGTGGTCGAGGTGGGCTGCCGTCACACTCATTTGGCCGTCACCCTGTCTGGATCTCTGGCCCCGCAGGCCGCTCTCGGCGCAGGTGGAGCGGGGGCATTCTCGCATACCGCCACGGAGTGTCACTGTGAATGACGGCGCCATGGATTTGGCTTTCCCCAGCAACCCTCCGTATCTCTCTTCTCTCCACCTCCCATTCCACCACCATGATGTCCGCCAGACGCACATCCAACAGCACCCCCGTCGACCCTTCCAAGCTCAACAACACACCCGCAGCGCTCCCGCCGTCCCCGGACAACGGGCACAGCGACAACGACTCGCCGCCGCTGCGTTCCCCGTCCGACATGAACGGCGGCGTCATGATGGACTCGGCGTCGGGATACCTCGACCCCGTGGCCGAGACGCCGTCGCACCCGACCGTGGCCGAGACGGGCGTGCTCGCCAACGACCACGGACCCGGACCGGCCACGGGCCAGCTGCAGCGCCGCGAGAGCCAGCCCGGCCGGCGGATTGTGCGCCTCGCGAGTTTCGGCGGCGAAGGCCTCGTCGCCAAGCCGCCCCCGCCTGGCCCGCTCGACAGCGCCGACGAGCAGGCGATCGCCGACGACGCCGAGGAGCCCGCGGGTCCCCTTCCCGCCTAGGAAGGGGGATCTCTAGGCCGCGCAGCGCCGCTGCCTCGTGCAGCGGGGGTCGATCTCGCTCCCACCACACACGGGACTCCATCACTCTGCGCTACTCTTACTCGATCGACACCCGCACCCCCGTATACCCCGTACCCCCACACACGTGCTCGGATCACTCCACCATGCCACCACCACCACTCTCCTCATCACCCCTAAGAACAACGCAGTGGGATCACCCATGTGTCCCCGACGCTCCAACCTCCACCACCCTCGAATCCCCCTCCCCACCAAGACCGCCCCTTTAGGCCGCAACCGACCGTGTTAATCGACATCGATGTTTCCGTGTGATTATCGCTTTCCGTAGACGAAAATAAGCCGCCATATCCAACCCCCACCTCGACCCTCAACTCACGCTACCAGCGCTGACGGTGATCGCTGCGGCGACTTGGACCTTGGACGTGTGCCCAAGAACGCACCTCGGTGAACCCCCGACCTGCCTGTCCTTGTGCTGTGCCTGCTGTGGCTTGGTCGCTTGGTCGCTTTCCGCTTCCCGCTTTCCGAGTCTCATGCGCCGCAGCCACACGTCCACAACCTCTGCAACAACCCACACTCTGCCATCACCCTCCACCGCCAACAATGCCGTCTCGCAGGCCACACCCTCTGTTGCCACCGCCACGGAACCGCCCCCCTCGAGTCTCTTTGTTCTGCGCCAACTGTGCAATGGGTACATGAAACGCGACGACAGTCGGAACGCGGGACTCATGCGCCAGTCTTTTTATTGTGGACGCAGCGGACGCTGCGGCCTATTGTTGTCGTGTACGCTGGACCCCTCAACCCCAACCCCCGCTCGCCAGTGAACCACCAAGTCGAAGTGCAAAAGTGCAAAGTGGGACACCCCCGTGGGGGCCGCCAAGTTGCTCCTCCCGACTCTTGAGACACGAGATCGCGAACCTGCACGCGACTTGTAGCTGTATCGAACCCGCCGCCCCACGCCACGCCGAGATGCCCCTGCGATGCGAGCTGGAGCTGAAGCTGAGAAGAGGAGACAAGACAAGACAAGACAAGAATACAGGACGCGAGCAAGGAAGGCAACGGACGATGGGAGGGTGGATGGGAGGGTGGATGGGAGGGTGTGGGAGCGGACAGGAGTGTAATTTGAGCCTGCGCGGCTGCGTGCGTGCGCGGCTCAGGAGGGAGGAGTGAGGAGGGAGGAGTGAGGAGTGAGGAGGGGCCAGGGCAGTGCAGGGCGAGTACAGTGCGCGGACGCGGACGCAGGGCGTGGCGCGGTTCACGTCGTAGTGCAGAGCAAGGAAGGGAGAGCGAGTGGGGGAGGACGAGGAGGGAAACGAAGGCTGTGAGCGATCCGTGTGGCTGTTATGTTCTGCGGGGGTTTCCCAGTGAAAACGAAAAAGGCAGCGCGTTCGTGTATGTGTGTGTGTTTTATGCTATGAAAATCATGTACGCATCTGCCAGGTCCACTTGCCCACCAAGTGGGAGCGACCATGGCCCGATACACCCCACCGACGTCGTCATGGGTCCCGCTGCTCGGGCGAAGATGTATGGAAAGGTACGTCGGGTGCCGACGTGCGGCGGGCCGAACAAGTCGGCTTCCCGCTAGCTCTGGCATCCTTGTTGTGGCACGCGTGCAAGTCTGCTGGCCGCTGCGTCGGTGCGTCGGTGCGTCGGTGCCGTTGGTCGTACGGTTTCTGATATCGTGTACATGCCCCCCCCCCCCCCCCCCCCCCGCCACAGGCAACAGGCAACAGGTACACCTGGTGAACTGACGCGCGCGCAAATTCAGAACGTGCTCGTCACTCTGCTCACTGCCACAAAAACAAAACAAGACCCGAGCAAACTGCAGTCGAGCGTATTGCCACATCCCACAACCCACTCCCCGCAATCCCGTTTGGCAGCAAGCGTCAGCTATGCCCGCGCGCACATGCGATACGTGCGGCACGTCCATGAGCGCTGCTCGAGCGGCCACGCCGCGCACATGTGTTTTGTTTTGTTTAATTCGGCGGTGACATTGCGCAAACGGCCGTGCGCGGCTTTGTAGACGGGAACGTGACAGGCCAGTAATGTGTTTGTTTGGGTGGCCTGCATGCCCTGCACGCGTCCTTGATGTCCCTGTCGTTCTGTGGGTTCCAGCCAGCGATACTGGGAGAAAGGGGCATGTTAACTCTGTTCACTTGTTGCCCAGTCAGTTGCCAGTGGGTCAGTGGCGCCGCTACGGCTAACGACCAGTTCGGCAGATTAGCTAGTCGCGCCCTTTTGGCCCAGCGTGACATTTTATGTGCTTGCGGGAATGTGTTTCGTCTATCAACTGCACGCTGAGGGGATGGTCTTGGCAGTCCTCCCACAAGCTCCTCATACACAGTGTCGGCCACATCTGGAACTGAAGGACCACCACGTCACAGCATACGGGCCTACGGGGCTCTGCCCCGCCAGGCGCTGTGTTGTGGCATGTGGGCAGACGAGGCCGTGTGGAGGCGGGCGTGAACCGAGGAGCCAAGCGTGGAATGCCGGAAGGAATGTCATGTCTGTGCGCCAAAAAGCGCCAGTGGCCAGTGGGCTGTGGGCTGTGGGCTGTGGGCTGTGGGTATTTGCCTCTCTCCCTCTCCCCCACGGCGGCCACGCGGCCACAGCGATATGCATGTTGCGCATTCTCCAGCCGGGCCACAGGTTCCACAATCTCCCACAGCTTGATTAAAAAAGCGGGGCTCGCGGGGCTCGCGGCGCTGCTCACACCACAATAGAAACCCGATCTGTGCGATCTGTGCGAGGCTGTGCCGCGGGGGGGATCTTTGGGAGAATTGAGAGCAGGACCTTATGCCGAGATCTCCACCGAGGCCGCGCACCAAGGGGACCAGCGAGGAGCAAAAAGCTGGCAGCAAGCATCTAAGGTCGTCGCCGGCCAGTCATGTGACCCATGCGGACAGTACATTGCTGTTCGGGTGCGGGTGTCCGCCGACGATCCAACGAGGGACCCGCCGGAAAGCGTTCGTTATATGCCGGAGGATGTGGCACCAAGGCAGTTGTGACTGGCGTGACGAGCGGGCCACAGCCAGCAGTCCCCGTGCTGCGGCTGTACAGTACACCCACCAGCGAGAATGCAGATGGTGTATGAGTCCCAATGGCGCAATATACAGGTCCACAAAAGCATTGATGCCGAGTCTCTGCCACGGCTGGTACGGCAGTACGGCGTTGGCGACGGCGATACGACAACAGCCGGGGGTGTCTCGCATTCATTCTGTGCTAGCGAGACAATGGCGGCGGTGCTGGCTGACCCCACTGTACCACTGTACCACTGTACCACTGTACCACTGTGCTACGTTTTATATAACACACCCCGGACACCCCATCACAGTTCAGTTCCGATGTCGGTGAAATGATGGGGGGTCACGAGACGCATGTTAGTCCGAGCCACTGGGGGGTTGAGCCGAGTCGTGTGGCAGTGGATGGCAGTGGATGGGTGTCGCCTGGGTGTTGCGGTTTAATGCGTCAGGATGCCCCCCCCCCCCCCAGGGCCCGCAGGATCCCCATATCCAGGAACATGACGTTTTGGGTCGTTCATGTGGGTTGCTTTGGGCGCTCGTTGGCGCACTGGCGCACTCATGTTGGGTACGCTGGCATGCTGGTGCACTGGGGGGGGGGCGGGAAATGGGCTGAAAGCCACCGACATCACGCTGCGATCGACCTGGCAGGGGGGCTGGGCAGTGCTCTCGCTGGGTGGGGTGTGTGAGACTCCCTTTTGTCAGACTCTTGGCACCACACACCGCTGCGACCAAGAGATAGTGGATCCTCCCAGAGATCCAGAGGCTCCTCAAGGTCGTCACTCATATGCATGTGTGTGTTCGTTGGAAACGTGGATTGCCGAGTATTCGCTGGAGAGATGCATGGGGGGAAATGGGACAAAAGAGCGACGGGAGAGAGAGGACGGTTGGAGCGACCTCTCTGCCCGCTTTGGCGTTTGTGCCTTCCTGTCCCCATCCCCCCACCGCCGCCGGCGCCGCTCCCCGCTCTGCCCACAGCCGTCGTTGTCGTCGTCGTCTTGTCGACATTTGCCCCTCTCTCTTTTTACACATCTATCCATCACCCCTTCTCCCTCCCCACATCCATCCCTCTTCATCCACATCACACACACATCCCCCACCACCCACCCCATCCACTCGGACTCGTCGGCAAACGCCTTGAAAGCCTGCGCAATCTGGTCCCAGGGTCCATAAGCCTGCGCGTACCCGGAACACACCATCGTGTAATAACCCACTGGCGCGGTGAGAGACAAGAGAGAGTTTTGGGCTGTGCATTTTGCCCCTGATCAAGATATTGGTCCCCTCCTTCCCCTCCCCCCCCTGCGTCTGTCTGCGGCTCCCACACCACCACCGTCTCCGTCTCTCTACCTTTGTGATCCTTTTGCCTCGTCGTTTTACTCCTCTGGCCACTCCACACATACACCCACACACATACATCCTCCCCATCTCTACCTGCCTAACAAGGCCACCCTCGTCCTCCTACACCCCTCCCATCGCTGCGCCCATGAGCGCATACGCTATCAGGCAACGCCGCGGCGGCGGTGCGCTGGCCGGTGCTGCCTATCAACTGCTCCCACGCCAGAGCGGTGGTTCCAGCGCCGGCGAGGCAACCCCGTCAGCAACGGGAGGCGGGGCTACGTCGGGTAAGTCATCCCCCTCCCCCTCCTCGTTCTCAGTGGTTGCTGTTGTGGAAAGTACTTGCCGGCCTGTCGCACATTGCCGAGAGACATTGTGCGCTACAACAGCCCCCTCTTACTTTTTAACCTTCACACCATCGTCGTGCTTGTTTCGTCTAATGCAGTCCTGACAGAGCCCTCTTCTGCCGATCCTCCTACCTCTGCCGATCCCACATCCGCCGCGCCTTCGACCGATACTCAACCTTCCACCACATCAGCGCCAGTAGTCGACACATCCAGCGCCGTTGACCCGACGTCCAACACCCCGTCCTCCAACCCGACGACATCGGACACCCCTGCTGTCACCACCTCGGACGCACCATCCCAGACCACGTCACAGCCCACATCGGCTCCTCCTGTGACGGTGATTACGACCACCTCGAACGAGCCTGTTACCAGTAACACACCAGTGACCAGGTGCGTTGTCGTTGGCACAAACACCGAATTGCCCCACTGACTCCACTCCGCAGTGACACGCCCGCACAGTCGACAATAACATCGACTTCTACCTTTACTCCACCAGTGACCAGTGCTGAAGTGACCTCGGCTACCCCTACGTCCACCAGCACGGTCATCGTGACCCCAACCCAGACCGCCGCAGTCACCTCCCCGACGACCGCAGCGGCCACATCCCTTACGACCGCTGTCGCTGTCCAGTCCACAGCCAACACGGCCGTTAGCGTCACCACAACGGACGCCAGCGGGAAGACAATCACCACGGTGCCGGCGTCGTTTACCTCCGATGTCCTCACCACCTCGAACGGAGTTGTCTACACTGTGACCCAGGTGGTGGTCCACAACCCTTCGGGATCGCTGGACCAGGGCTCGTCGGGCGGATCCTCGAGCAGCTTCTTCAACAACCACGGCGCGGTGGCGGGTGTGTTTGTCGTGGTCGGTCTCGCCGTTGTTGCCATCATTGCGGCTCTCGGGCTGCTCTTCTTCCGCCGTCGCAGGCGCCAGCGTCTCGACAGGGAAGTCACTGCGGCCGCCGCCGCAGCTTCGGCTGCGGCCTCGCGCTCGCCCCTCGACGAGGAGGGCGACATGCAGTCGAGCCACCCCACGTCGGAATCGTACCCGTCGACAATGTCCCAGCCCATGGCGCAGTACAACCAGTATGCCGCGACGTACGGCAACGCTGGTGGCTACGACCCCTTCGGCCTCCAGGCCGGAACCGGTATCGCAGCCGGTGGCGCGGCCGGTGCGGCAATTGCGCACGGCTACTCGGACCAGCCGCACTACAACGACTATGGTGGCCCAACTACCGACTACAGCGGCGACCCGTTCGCCAACGGCGCCAACCAGAGCTACTCGGACCACACCCACTACTCGGACGCACACGGCGGCTACGACAGCATGCAGCCCGGCACCGGCCAAGGGTACTACTACTCCCCCGACGGCTTCGACGAGCAAGCGGGATACGCCGGTCACCAGGGAGCACCGTCCGGCGACTATGGCCACCAGGGCGCACCGTCGGGTGACTATGGCCACCAGGCCGACCCGATGTACAGCGACGCCGCTGGCGTGCACCACGGCTACGAGGACCCGTACGGCGGATATTCCGGCGGTGAGGGCTCGATTGACACCCCGCTCGAGCGCTCCGACCCGCTCCACATTGCCAACCCATCGAGGCATTGAGCTGCCGCTTGTGCTTGTTCGCCTCGTTTTATGAGAATAAAAAAACCCCCCAACGACACATACGCCACTTTCCATCTGTACTCCCGTCTCCCATCCCACACCGCACCCATTGCGGGCTCCCCCATCCACATCTCCATCGTGCACACAACCTGATAGACCACACACACACACACACACACTCATTTTGGCTCCGCCCTCGTTTTTTTTAGTATCTTTTGCCTCTGGATTCCTGGTTTTTGACTGTATCGCCTGGGGAACACACAACACGGACACATCGAGACCCCCTTGAGACTAAAAACAAAACACACACCCCGTCACCACGTCGGTGGATTGCGACAACGGACAATAGGTCGTCGTTGATACGGGCCCGTTTGCGGCTCGTCATGGCTCGTCATGGCTCGTTTATGGCTCGTTTATGGCTCGTGCGCTCGTTGGCTCGTAGCGCTGGTGGGCGACATGGCCCTCCACAATGCAAACATGTAGGCGTTGTTCTAAGCGCATGTGGCCGTTGCCGGTTGCATAGAGCAAGGTTGGACGGGAAGGCAAGCAACGCGCAACGCGGCGGCGGCGCGGCGATGACACAAAAAGCTGGGCGTCGGCCGAGAAACACGTACACATCTCTGATAGTCGATCCAACCGCTTGATACTGCGTTCTGGAGCCCAGGCCGAAACGCATAGAGGTGGGGGGAACATTTGATAGCAATCGCGCATACTGCGTTCTCTGCGGGTGGCGCGCTCCACACGCAGTACACAGTTGCACGGACCGACGTGGAGAAACGCATACGTACGCCCAGCGCCGTGATGCCCTTGTCGCTCATACCTGCCTCTGTGCGTTTCTCGAACCGCGGACAAACACATAGAGACGTGAAGCCCGAGTGGATCGCCGGCCGACAGTGCGTTTGGCCGACCGGGGAGAAACGTATACAGAACTGTGAATCCCTTGTCGTTCATGGCCCTGGTGTGTTTTTTGGCTTACCATGGACGACAAGGGATTCACGCGTGCACGGGCGCCAGCAGGTCGCCTGGTGCACGGGTTGAGAAACACATAGACGTGACCGCGCTTTTGTCGTACAAGAGTGCGGGCCGTGCATAGTGTGTTTCTCTAGGGTACCGCGCAAGTGGTGAACGGTACGGGGAGCGTCTGATCTTTGGGTTTCTCGCTTTTTATGCAAACCAAGATACAAGACTGTCTATATCTCCCATGGGGCCTTTGTATAATGAAACGCATAGAGACATGCACATCTTATAGTCCACTCGCTGATAGTGTGTTTCTCGCTGCGCACTACTGCCGGCCACGGAGAAACACGTAGAGCGATATGGGCAGTTCCAGTCAGTCCCGAATAGTGTGTTATTGGGAGGAGGGAGAAACGCATAGAGGAGCGCCATTAGGCACTTGCTCAGATAATCGATCGCGCACAGTGTGTTTTCAATGGCTTTCCGCCAGATCCTCCCTGCTCGCCATAGGGCACCCGACTCTGGGGTAGAACGCTGGCCCCATTGTGCTTGTCGTCGGACCAACGAGAGCGACGCAACAGAGGGTGAACTGAGTGGAGTTGCTAGGGTTGGTAGACAGTCTGGCGAAGGACGCGAGAGGGCGCGGAAGTCGCGCGGCCCAGGTGGTGTTGGACACGCCCCGTCGTGCCACAACACCGCAACACCAACTACCTCTGCCGACACCTTCCTGCGTCCAGCCACTAAAGCCTGCGCGTCCAGTCCGGGACACGCTGCAGCTTCCCATGTCTTCCCGCACGCATGGACCACAGCGGCTGTGAAGAAGAACAATGGCTGCAGCCAGCTAAAGCGGAACCCCGTCGGCCGGGGGGCTATGATGCATGGTGGTTGTTTTCGTAAATAGTGGGACTTGGAAAAGCGGGAACGGAAGACGGGCGGCGCCGTGTCGTGACCTTTGCTTTGCCTTGGCGCGCAGCCTGGCCACTCAGAGGTAGACACCGAGCAGGGCTCCGAGTCTGTCAGGAGCTCGACAGTGGGGGGCCATGAAGGGGGTAAGCCACGGAAAAGTGGGCTCCTCCGAGATAGCGCGGAGTAGAGTCATCTCAAGGTGTCGGAAGCGACGGGTGGACGGCGAAACCCGACGACATGATTCCTCTTTAATATCCAGCGGCACGAGCGTAATCTACATTTCGCCCACCGCTCCATTCTCCTCCCACATCGTCTCCACATCGTCCCCGCCAGTCGTCGTCTCCGCCATGCCAGCCAAGTCTCCCTATGACGCCGTCATCCTCGGTGCAGGCAGTACGTTGGCTGCTTCATGCCTGGTCCTGCTCGTCGCTGACGGTCAACCCCCCCCACCTGCTCCTCGTCGTGCTCACTACTCACGCGTCCCTCCCCGTCCTTCCATCCCTCACTCGCTACCACTCGGTCCGCTCACCTGTGCTCTGCCACTTTCGCGTCCACTCCCACCCCACCCATCCCACCCCTCCCGCTCGCTCAGTCCTCGGCCTCGCCACCGCAGACGCCCTCACCTCCGCCGGTCTCCGTGTCGCCATTATCGCCCGTGACCTCCCCGAGGACCTGGACAGCGCCGCATTCGCCTCCCCCTGGGCCGTGAGTACCAGCCCCCCCCCTGCCCCACCTCCTTCTCTCCCATAGCCGCTCGTGTCCGCTCGGCGGTTCCAACCATGTCGGCCAGTTACCCGGCGCTCTCGCCGACTGGCGATGACGTGCGCCACTCACAGGCTACACCCTGTTGGACGAGCGGAACTCGACCGCTGAGAGGTGGGCGAGTTCCATCGCTTCTGCCATGTCCCCCGCCCGGGGCGACTCTGGCGCGTCCCTGGACTCGTCAGTCGATTGCGATATCCTCCAGTGACCAGTGGCCCTCCGGCGAGGTCGGCCTGTTGGTTCCATGACGGGAAGGTGTGATGTCTTGGCTATGAGATGAGCGTGTCCGGAGATGGGCCGGACAGACCAGCCGCCGATATCCAGCTTGTTTCGTTCCAAGCGGACAACGATACAAGCCAAAGCCGCACACGGGCCCCACGCTACCTCCCCCACTCCACGTCCCGCCTCTCACCCCCCTCCCCGGGACCTTACCTTTCGCTAACGGTCGATAACAGGGCGCCAACTGGTCGTCGTTTGCGTCCAACGAAAAGGAGCGTCGCCGCGACACCATTACCTTTGCCAAGTTTGCCGAGTTTGCCGAGACCAACCCGTCGCTCGCACGCAGGACGCCCTTCTGCTACATCTGGCACACTGATGCTGGCTACTCGAACCCGTGGTACAAGAATGTCGTTTACAACGTGAGTACAAGGACGTAGACACGCGGATGTTCGCTGCTTGTTTTGAGATATATCCGCCACCTCCTGACACGACTCTCTCCCAGTTCCGGCCTCTGGCAAAGTCCGAGGTGCCCAAGGCGTACAAGGAGGGCGTGCAGTTTGAGTCGTTCACCGTCAACCCGCCCCGGATCCTGGCGTACCTCGCCGGCCGCCTGCGCGACGCCGGTGTGCCCATTGTGCGCCGGCGCGTCGCCTCGATCGACGAGGCGTTTTCGGCCTTTGGCGAAGTGTCGCTCGTGGTGAACGCGACGGGGCTCGGCGCACGCGGCCTCCTGGGCGTCGAGGACCCGCTCGTCCACCCCGTCCGCGGACAGACGGTGCTCGCGCGCGCGCCGGGCGTGCAGACATGCTACGGCGTGCGCGACAGCAACCTCCCCCCCGGCGAGGCCGTGTACATTATCCCGCGGCCTGGGTCGGACGGCTGCGTCATTCTCGGCGGCACAAACCTCAAGGACGACTACTCGACGCTGCCGCGCAAGGAGACGGCGGAACGTATCCTCCAGAACGCGTACAAGGTGTGTCCCGCGCTGGCCGGGCCGCACGGCACGAGCTGGAAGGACATTGAGATTGTGGCGCACAACGTCGGTCTCCGGCCGTCGCGCGAAGGCGGCCTCCGCCTCGAGATTGAGGAACGCGAGATCAAGCACGACTACCTTCTCCCCGCGGCGGCGGCGTCGACGCCGCGCAAGGTCGCCGTCCTCCACTGCTACGGTATCGGGCCTGCGGGATACCAGGCGTCGTTTGGCGTCGCGCAGGAGGCAAAAGAGCTCGTCACGGGATACCTCTCCAAAGCGCAGGCTGCCAAGCTCTAGACGCGGGAGGAGACACACGGGACGTTGTAAATAGAAGACGGGCGTATGTAGGTAGGCTCCAAGGCCCTTCTTTGGTTTTCTTTTGGGTGGTGCGACATGCACAATGCAATAATCCTACAATATATCTTTCATACTATCCTATCCGCCGCGGGCACCTCTGCTGCTGCCTGCCATTCATTGGCCTTCACTTAATCGGCCACCGGCTGTCCACGCTGCTGGCCATGTATCCCCTCTTAACTCGTACCCGACTAATTGGCACACCGTGTCATCCCAAGGGGGCAGTGGTACAACGCTCTGGTCGTAAAATGACTTTACTGATGCTGACCACCGGGGTGATTCAAGCTCGTCCTGCCGTCCCGTCAGCAACGCCACCACCACCCTCACCAGAAGGGGCACTCACACAAACGTCTCCAGGAGGTGCGCCCACATCTCGTCGCCTGTCCGGCGGCCCGCACCGGGGCCGGTCCCATTGCCATTGCCGTTACCGTTGCCATTGCTGTTCCCTGGTGCGGACGACTGGCCGTGGCCGTGGCCACCACCATTGCCAGGGCCGCCAGCGCCAGCGCCGGCGCCAGCGGCTGGCCCGGCTCCATCGGTATACATCGCGTCGCTGCCTGGTGTCGCGCCGTCGAAGATGGGCGGCATGAAGAGCGACGACGGGTCGCCGAGCCACGAAAGGTCCGGTGTGGCGGGTGCGTGGGCGTGTTGGGGGTGGCCGCCGCCCATGAGTTGCGATATGTGATGCTGCGGCTGCTGTTGTGGCTGTTGTGGCGGTTGCTGCTGGTGTTGCGGGTGTTGTTGCTGGTGTTGTTGTTGTTGCTGGGCATTGGCATTGGCGTACTCGATCCTCGAGGCGTGGGCAGGCGCCGGCGGGCGGGTCACCCTCGCCATGGCGGTGAGGACGTCGGCGACCTGGCCAGACTTACGCGACACGCACTCCATCTGCTGTAATGTGCGCACCGACGTAGCGACGCCAGCCATGACGTCTTCGACCTCGCTCGGCGGCACGGCGCCCGTCCGGATCGCCACGAGCGCAACCGCGCCAGACACCCAGGCATAGTCGATAAACTCCAGAGGCAGCGGACGCTGCGCGGCAGGCGTGAACGCTTCATGGGCCAGGAGGGCGGCACAGACGCCAAAGACGGCACGCGCAGACTCGAGCGCAATGTCCAGCATGGCCTGTGGCGGCGCGCCAACGCCAACTCCTCCGACAGACGAAGCGACAGCGGCGGGCGCATAGTGCACGAATATGCGTACCCAGTGGAACCGCGCGTGCAGGATGGCCGTGCGTGTCAAGTGTGCCGTGTCACGCGACTCGGGATCCCACCGCAGGCTGGCAGGCAAGGCCGTAGCCCACTTGTTGAGCGCGGCAGCGAGCTCAATGAGAATTGCTGGCAGGCGGGCCGCAAGGCCGAACCCGGCGTCCCGCCTGGCCGGGAGCGTCGAGACGGCGGCGCTCACAATACGGTCCAGCTGGATGACGTGCACAAACGCCGCGACTTTACTAGACCCGGCCTGTATCGGCACGTCCTCGTCGCCATCGGCATCCCAGTTTTCGTCGTCCACAGCGAGCGGGTAGGCCGTCTCAATGTCCGAGTCGTGCAGCGCCACGGACCGGCCGAGGGCGACGCACGCACCGCGGTCGTAGTGGTACAGACACCAGAAGGCGCGGAGGAGCAGTTGGCGTTCCGCCCCCGAAGCGCCGTTCATCGAGCCGGGACCGTCGACGTGCAGACCAATCTCCTGCGCCGCTCGCAGAGCCGAGCCGGCAATGGCCCACGGCACCGTCGCGTCCGTGTTGCCATGCAGGAACTGGGCGAGCAGCGCCGCGGTCTGGAGCCGGAAGAGCGTGGGCGCCTTGTGCAGGCTGTCACCAGCCGACATGAGACCGCGGGCAAACTTCCAACCATCCGAAAAGACGCATCCGTCATTCGGTCGCTCGCTGGACGTAAGGTGTCCCACGTCCTGCGCGCGTCGCCACTGCGCGAGCGGGGCGAACACGTGTCGCGCGCCGTTGGCAAATACCATGAGACAGACTTTGGCAAAGTCATAGTCGCTCATGTACAGGCGTGCAAAGTATTGCTGGCGGAAGAGCGGGCGGTGAAGCAGCGGCTTGACGCTGTTGACCCAGTCAAAGTACGCGTCAATAAGGGTCATGGCCAGGTCGTCCTCGGGCCAGATTGTCCAGTCGATAAGCCGCTGTCCGGTGTTGTTGACGCACACCTCCCACTCGGGCGTCTTCCATACCTTGGACCGCTTGGACTTTACGCGGTCCAGCTCCTTGAGGAGTGCGGCCTCGTCGCCCGCAGCACGCGCGAGCCCAGTGGTGGCCGTACGTCCATAGTACTGCATGCTCTCGTTGTCCGCGCTGACCATGCGGCTGACGTTGGATGTCATGATGAACGGGTCCGTGGGTGTGTCGGCGTCGGCGCCTCGGCTGCTTTCGGACGTGGGTGACCCGAGGTCCGGTACAAGCGAGCGCCCTGTCCGCAGCAGGCTGTCGGACACGGGCGCAGTGTACATGGTCGCCGACACTGACGCTGGCGCAGCAGCAGCGAGCGTCCCGGCTAGGGACGGTGGGGGTGCCGCCATTGGTGTCCCCACGCTGATGACCGTAGCCCATGGGCTCGAGTTGATGTTTGCCTGGCCGGCAACGTACTGCCTGAACGCTGGGAAGGGTGGAATCTCCAAGCTCGACAGTTGCGCCTTGTACGAGTCAAAGTCAAAGGTCTCGTACTCCATTGGGGGCCCGCAGCAGCTCTCAATGTCCACCCCAGGCCGCAGCTGCAGGACCGGCATCAGCTCACGTTGCTACGCCGCCGCCGCCGCCGCCGCCGTGCTTTTCACACTCACCTGCTGAACCAGATTCTCCAGTCGCGCACACCGTTCTTGGAGCGTCACGACGTACCCACGCGGTGGGCCCTTGCGGCTCGCCTCCTGGAGGTACGTGCATTGCAGACCCATCTCCGTACAGTGCGTACACTCTGGCAAGACGTCAGCTGGGGAACCAAGCGCGCAAGCGAGGAGAGAGGGTAACTCGGGGCTCACTTGAAGTCGGGTCATGGACAGCTCGCATGGGTCCATCACAGCGGATCTTACGCCTGTAGGGTTACATGTTTTAGCAAGGGGGTGTTGTCTCCCATTCCGTGTTGTTCAGGCTCACTTTCTGCAATAGTCGCACGCGCGCTGGGGACATCAGCATCCATGCCCTCACTCTGTCTCTCTCTTCTCTCCTACAGCCACCCGCCTACTTACCGGCACCTTGCGTCGCTTGGCAGGGTTGGTGGGCCCATCACTGTCCCCATCGGGTGAAGGAGGCATGACCGGTCAAGGTGAGTTGTCCTTTGCGCGTTGTTGGGTGGCGACAGACGTCGGGCTCTATGCAGCACCAGGCCTTGCTAGGTCGCCGATGGGTGGACGAGTTACTCGTCTATGTCTGCGTGACGGACACGCCGATAATTGGCCAGCAGAGCAGGGATATGTATGATGGACGGGCGCCGTAGGATGTGGATGGTGGCCCGGGATATGGGAATGTGCAACGAGTGGTAGGGAGAGGAGAGGAGTTGTCAAACGCTTAACGCACACATCACATGCGCGCGACCGCTGTTACTCGGCCACATTCCCGTCCGCTCTTCCGCTCCCTCGCCCACACCGACCTGACCTGTTTCTGTCTCCGTCCTCTCCTCCCCATCCCCGCCTTCCCCCGCAGCCCCCCGTTCCAAGTCAGCCCCGGCCCGAGGGTCCGCTAGGTCACAGCTTGGGGGACCCCTCGGCGTCTCGGCGCGACCAGAGAGCGCTAGAGCGAACCAGCGTGTACAGACACCCGGCGACACGGAGCCACGGATAAAGTCCGGCTTTTACCGTCCATAGCTATAACCGGGCACGGAAGCAAACGCGGCCCGTTTTTCCTGCCGCCCGGACGGAAAAGTAGAGTGTGGTGGCAGGCAGAGCCAACGTCCTTATATGGTGTGGCGACCTGGAGAGAGACAATGGCCGACTCAACACGGCCCCTCACTGGTCACGGTGATAACCACGCGCTCACAAGAACATGTGCTTACAAAGGACCGGCTGTGGCCCATCTCACTGCAACAGTTCAGCCGTGAAAGCATGCGACGCGCTGACGTAATGCTGGAGAAGCGGCACTTGCACTACACACCCAAGTGGAAGCCGTCGAACCGATCCGTGTTTTGCATTTCCACCTGGTCAACTAAAAGTGGAGAGAAATTCTGGGTCTGTGTTTCCCGTCGGTCTCCTGGAGGACGCATGGATACGGTTATATGATAGCCCTCGAGTCCTAGGATCCTAGCTAGGATCCTAGGAGGCCAGAAGGAAGGGAGTTGATCCGAACGTCACGCTCACCCATTCTGATGACGTTTGCGAGGTTATTCTGTGGCATGGAAGATCAGCTGTGGGCCTGGCTGTTACACGCATTCCAGCAGTGTGGCGGGAAAAAAGGCACGTCAAACTGCGGCTTTCTAGCACGGTCCGCTCAGTTTTGCTTCCTGCCTTTTTGTTAGTCGAGGATGACGATTGGGTACTGACGTACATACTCCTCATAGCAGGGTCTGCTCATGAAGCTGAGAGGCCCTGTTATGCTTGTATAACTACTGCTGGAGTGCACTAGAGACTTGTGAAACTCGTTGGCTTGCGAACGTCCGAGCGTCCAACCAATCAACCGTTCAACGTCGAGTTGATGAGGAATCCCATGACCATTCACCGGTGCCACTGGCTGGGGGGGGGGTCATGACGCCTCTACCACTCACGCCGCTGGCGCTCAGCACAGGCTCATATACCCCTGGTGGTGTCCTAAATTGAGTAGCTGAGGAGATCTGGCGCACGTGAGTGGTAGAAGTGGAAGGAGCCGTGGGACTCCACTCCCAATGGCATTCGGACTTGGTCAACACCTCCCTGGCCCCTTTCTGAGCGCCCAGGGCGACAATATAGCTTCCTGGGACACTCGTCAGCTCCCCCTCCCCCCACAGGGACCCAAAAGGTGGACGGAATGGGAATCATACCAAAGACCGTGTCAAGCAAGAGTACGTACGTACGTGGATGCTAATGACAGGCTGTATCAAGTGAGCTTCACGCCCGACGATGAAACACACGCCACGAGATGGCCAGCGAGCATGTTCCCTTCTTCTCTTCCCCCTGAAGACACGACAGCAGCCTGCGCTGGTCCTGACCTTCGTGTGCGTGGGATCTGGCTAGATGGCTGGAAAGATGGAAGAATCCCTGCTGCGGACCGAGATTGGGGGTGAGGACAACTAAACCTTGCGCAAGGTTGTGCGAGATATGGAGATGGCAGGACGGGTGCTGGTAAGGAATGTAAGGAGTGCGACAGTGGAAGCGCGTGTGTTCCAGGTCCGCATGTTGCGCTTGTCCCTACGTCGTCTGATCCGTGCGTGGAGCCAGAAAGCCAGAAAGAACGCCAGAAAGCCAGAAAAGCCAGCAGGCAAAGCCAGCGAGCAGGACGACACACGCTATTGCTTTTGCGTTTGTGGGGTCGATCGGTTGTGGCGCTGGGCCTGGCCTGGCCTTGCTCATTAAGCCGGCAGATGACGGGTCGACCTGAACCCTCACCTCTGCAGGATCACAGGATCACAGGATGGCAGGATGGCAGGATGGCAGGATCACAGGATGGCAGGACAACAGGATGGCAGGACCACCACAGGCCACAGGATCACAACACGACACTCCAAACAAGGTGTATCAGAGGGAGACTACTCGGACGGGCCGGACGCCACCCGGAAACACCGCCACCACCTGGATATAACCGAGAACGACCCTCTGTATTTCTGGGAACAATACAGGGGAAAGGCCTCGCTGCGGCCAAGAGGACCCTCAGGCATCAAGGAAGGAAGGAATGCCAACGCCTCGCACCAAAACCAGTAAATTCGACTGAAGGAACGACCGAACAAAGAGCCTCGGCCCTGCTGAACTCGTCACCACCCACCAGAAACGTGCAGTTTGGCGTTTCCAGCCAACGTCTTCAAACACACACAACGGGTGTGAATGGGCATGCTGCGGGATGTGAAACCACACTCTCACCCACCTGCATTCACGAACAGAGTGCCACCCACACACAGTTCCTGATGACTGGGCGTTCCATGCAGGATCTCTTGGGGTTAATCCGAGGGCCAGTCCTGACCATCCCCCTGCGTGCACGCACGCACGCACATGGTCATTGGCGACCTTGTCGGACTCTTGAATGCCGACGTGGTAGATGCTGCGAGCTCACTGCAAGGGGAAGTAACCATCAAAAGGAGGGTCTGTGGACACCAGTCGGCGGGGGAAACGCGCTGCGGTCTCCCCCTCCATTCGTCCTCACCCTCCGCACCCTCCTGCCGGGTTTCGTTAGCCTCCAACTCTATCTGTCGCTCGTGCACCCCTTCTGCGGACCCACCTGGCGCTCGTCCGCGCACGTCTTGTGCTCTGACGTCTGTTCTCGGTGGCCCTCGTGCGCTCGTAAGGACCCGGTCGTCCGGGTGGCATAAACGCCACACGTTGAATATGGGTACGTCCAGCGGACCTCGGGACCTGCCTCGGCGTCGCGGCGCATTGACGGGTCACTCTCTTCTACGTGTTTCGCATGTGTGACGGGCGTATGTGCAGGGGCATATCCCAAGCCTTCCTTTCCTTTTGCCTCGAGTTTGCTCAATGACAAGCCCTCGCGCGCGCGGTAGGCCTCGTCTGCCTTTGGTGGCTCCAAAGGCCTTAAGGCTAGACGGGCCGTCCGACGAGCTGGTGCCTCCATTCTCGGCTACGACAACCCCCCTTCGCCAAGTGCACAATCTCCCTCCCCCTCTTTCTCATAACTTCACTGTCAACGAAGGACACACTCTTCCGTCAAGGCCGTGGTCGAGCTAGATCTGGATCAGCCCGGGCCGCGTTCACATTTGACTGCAGTGTCTCCTTCAGACATCCACGTTCCTTTTTCAACCACCGCGGACGCTACGAAACCGAGTTTTAGGCCCTCGCATACCCCCCGGCCTCAACCTCGATCTCGATCTCGCTCTCCAAAGTACCACACACCACTTGTGTGTACTGGCAACCGTCGGTATTTCAAGACTATCGCTTCTCTTCTCGCCTTCTCGATCGATACCAACGGTCGTCCGCGGGTCTGCGTGAGATAGGTCGGGGCTGGACTCCCCCGCCCGCAACGTGCCGCGCACGCTATCTCGCACGATCAGACCGCACCGAACGACTTGTTCTGCTTCGCCCTTCTTCTCGCTCCGCAAGACTTCCGGAATAGACCTACGACAGTGTCCCTGGTGAACACTGGACTAGACATCTACAGGAGTCTATAGACCGTCGTCTTTCTTGCTCCTTGCTGCTACCATGGACGATCAATCGCGACTCGTTGGGCTCGGCTCGGGCCCATCACACCAACTTTCCCGGCCCCGCGCCCAATCTCTGGCAACAACAGTGGCCACCGTTAGACTGTCAAGAACACCCACTCCCAGCGCAAGGGCGGTCCGCAGGTCGCCAGACGGTGACAGTGACGAGTCCGGTGGCGAGCCCAAACGCCGCAGGGTACCCGTACGTCCTATTTTTTGCTGTCCCTTTACACTGCATGGGACGAGACACAGCTTTATTTCTGACACTCTCTCCCCACCATAGCGTGCTTGCGATATCTGTCGGAGGTGGGTTTTTAGTCTCTAGAGGAAACGTGGTTCAGGAATATGGCTACGACGAAACAATGGTGTTTGTTCCACAGCAGGCTAACGGCTACAGACGGAAAATCCGGTGCGATGGCCCGCTGGCTGGCCGCGGGACTGGCGAGTCTGGTGAGTTTCACAGCACGCGGTTTGTGGTGTCGTCCTGTCACTCTCGCTCCTTTCTCTCCCTTTTTGTTTTGCTGATACATTGTCGCAGAGTGCACGCATTGCCGTGACAACCAGTTCAAGTGCACCTATGTCGACGAGCCAGCACGCAAGGGTCCGCCGAGGGGGTGAGTGTTACCATGAGACGGCCTGGCCGGCTTGTCCGCGCGCGCCGCACGCACACACAACGCACCCAAGGAATGTTTCAGGGGCTCATGTGTATCCAGGTACATTACCGCGCTGCAAGAACGGTGCTCGCGCCTCGAAAACCTCGTCCGCCAACTGCACCCGGGCGTGGACATTGTCTCCTTTGTGGGACCAGCGTTTGCCATCGATGGATTCGATGCCGATGCGCATGCGACGGCGCTGCGTGCGCACAACATTCCGCCGTTCCCTTCCTTCAAGCGTTTCATCTACAACCCCAACAACCCACCCACCTCGGCGTCATTGGCCTCGTCATTGGCCTCCCCCGCATCCGTATCAGCCGCCAACGCCGCCGGGCGAGCCGTCGGGCCAGTGGGAATGGGCCTGAGATCCGGCGGTGCCGGGGGGGTCGTGGCGCCATCCTTGATGGCCACCTCCTCAGCCCCGGCGCCACCGACCGCCTTTCCAGGGTCGACGAGCGTGCCACCTTCCGCAGACCGCGAGGCCACCACCATGGGCTCGGACTCGCCGGGCATGTATGCGGCTGCGGACACGACCCACCATGCCGTGCACGCTCACGCCCACGCCTACGGCGCCAACACTGCTGCTCCTGCTGCTCCTGCTGCTGCCGCGTACGCCTATGGCTATGGCTCGGACCTCGGTCTGGCCGCAAAGGTCGACCCGTACGCCGCCCAGCCGCCGCCACTTTCAACGTCCTCGTCCACCGTCATGCCGTCGGCCTCTCCGTCGGCTGTAAAGGCGTTACGGGGGGACCTCGACACGCCGCAGTTCTACGGCAAGGCGGCTACCCATAACCTGATGCATGCGCTCAACCACGGCGGTGACGTCGGCTTTGCTCGTGAGCTCGACAAAATGAAACGCCCCCGCATCTGGAAGGTACCCGAGTGGGAGGTCGTGGTGGTCACGGAAGGCCGCCAGCCGGTCGACTATGGAGTGTGGCCCGAAGACGACCAGGCCGCTCTCCTGATCGACGCCTACTTTTCTCGCGTCAACGCCGTCTTCCCACTTCTTCTGGCGCCTCTGTTCCGCCGCCAATATTTCCAGCGGCTCTATGTCGGCGACGTCGAGTTCGCCAAAGTGTGCTTGATGGTGTTTGCCAACGGTGCACGCTTTGTGTCTGGATCAGGCTCTGGTGGCTCTGGTCCTGGGTCCGGTAACGCCCGCTTTGCTCAGTGGCGCGAGTCGAGTGACCAGTTCTCCGTCGGCTGGAAGTACCTCCGAGCTCTTGTTCGAGCGGGCACGAGCCTCCGCAAGACGCCCACTCTGTTCTCTCTCCAGGCCACAGCCCTTGTTGGCTTTTTCCTTCGTGGAAACGCCAACCCGAGCACCATCTGGGCTGTGGCGGGTGACGCCTTGCGGGCCTGTCAAGAGCTTGGCATTCATGTCGACAACGGTCCCGGAAACACTCTTGCCGAAAGGCAGGAGCGCCAGCTGTTCTCTCGCGCGTTCTGGTGTCTTTACCACCTGGACCGGTCAATGTGTGTCATTCTCGGTCGCGCAGTGGCACTGCCCGACTCGGAGGTCAGCTGCCCGCTCCCGCTTGCCGTCGACGATGAGTACTGGGACGTGGACCTTGAGCAGCCTAGGGGCCAACCCTCAACAGTGTCGGCGTTTATCCACAGCCTTGCTCTCGACCGGATCGTGAGTAATGCCGTCGAGACGCTCCCGCACGACACGGCGTACAACCAGCCGTCGTCGACAACTATTCAGCTTGCCGCCTCGCTCAACGCCTGGTACAACAACCTCCCTGCCGACCTTCAATGGGACCCGACGGCCCCAGAGGCCACCGTCCTCCGCCTCTCTCACCTCCATGCCCGATACCACTGGGCCCGAATCTACATTCACTATGCTAGCGTCTCGGCTGGCGAGTGGATGTCGCCTCCTTCGCTCGAGGTGTCCCTCGACTCGGCCCGCGTCATCTTTGACATCTGCAGTACGCTCCTGCAGCACCCTCTGCAAGGCCAGGGTTGTCCCATCAGGTTCGAGTTTATCGACTACGCCTGGCTCGCGGCTGCCATCACCCTCGTGGCGATCAACACTGGCGCTCTCCAGCCCAACGACCATGACGCAGCCATGGGTGGCGTCAGCACGTGCATCGCCACCTTGCAGCAGATGGAGGTCGTGTCCCGCAAGGCCGGGCAGATTGCCGACTTGCTCAGTGTCATGGCTCGCAGTGTCGCTACGCAAGCGCAGACCCAGACCCAGTCTCACGTTCAGCCGCCTACACCGCCGGCGGTCCGGCCCCAGATCACCATTCCCGGACCGATGCCTCATCCCACCGCGCAAGGAGCCATGAGTGCGGGCATGAGCGCAAGCATGAGCGCGACGGGCAGCGGCGAGATATCGACACCGGTGTCACATCGCAGTGTCGAGGCGTTTCCTACCCCCGAGGCCTTCCCCTTCCTCAGGTCGCCAGACGGCAGCGACCTCGGCCCCGCGCTGTACTACGACGTCTCCCAACAGCACCTTGCTCCCCCCGGCACTGGCGGCAGTACGGGCAGCGGCGGGGTACAGGGCATGCCGCCGCCTACCGTCCCCTCGGTTCAACCATCGGCAGTGTCGCCCGACTCGTACCACACCCTCCCGCAGCAGCATTACCACCCCCACCAGCAGTACACCGAGTACTACGAGCAAGGGTATTACCCAGCCGACCAGCAGCAACACCACCACCACCAGCCGCGTGTCCCGGTAGGCATGCCGTTCGGTGGACCGGCGCTCCAGCAGCATCCCGCCCGTCCAGGGGACGAGCGGTGGGGCATGATCTCTCCCCAATACGTGTACGTCCAAAGCAGACAAACAGAATCAACAGGAAAAAAAAAACACTGACATTAGCAGTCCGGGAATGGACCCCAGCGGCCAGCCCACGCATAACCCCCACCCGGGGGAAGGGTACATGGGCGCCCCACCACCTTTCCAGCGCTGAGCGCTCGTACATTCTTTCCAAACCAACACTCTTTCTCCTGACTCTCCCAATCGCAATCGCAATCACTTTCTCTCATCTTGAACATCATTCCGTCACTCTCCCCTCCTCTCTTCCGTCCGTGTCTCCGTCTCAAGTCTCATTGTGACCCGAACTCTTTCTTCCTATTTCAAAATGTAGCGCCGTGCGCCCGTGTTTTGTAGGATTTATACTGTGTTTTGCCCCTTTTTTTCTTTCTTTCCCCTTTCCTTTTCTTCTTTCTGGGTTTATGATGCATGCGAATGCATCTTGTATTATTACGTGTGTTGCAGTGGCATGCAGGGTGAGTGTGTCTAAGGCCTTTGGTCGATCCTGCAATAAAGGAGGGGTGGCGATGCCACACACGGAAGTAAATTGAGTGGCGCGACCTCAAGATCATGGCCGCTGCACAATTTTCAGAAAGCCTGGTTATATCAGTCGGTAGATAGTTTGACTCTTACTTCTTTAAGACATCAAAATGTCATGGGTTCGAGCCCCATACTAGGCTTATCTTTTGCCAGTGCATGCTGCTGAAGCGTGTGCATCGACATATTTTTAGACGAGGTTCATGTTGGGAGCCTTGGCGAGGTGTCCTGTTTGTTATCTTTGTCCTTAGTATGGTTGGACGCCGCCTATATGTCACCATCGCTACGGTGCCCTGGCTCAATCGTCCAAACTGCTGCAGAGGTCTTTGCCTTTGGGGATGTTTGCATAAAGTCTATCTATCATTATAGCAGCCCAACTCCCCGCCCCTCTCTAAAAACGGATGAATCTAAATAATCAAGCTGCCACCTTCTCCTTGACTTCCTCCTCCTTGGCCACCGCGGCCTCGGTCGCAGTGCCAACGGTGGCGCGGTCCACAGACTCGGTGGGGGAGATAACACCACCGTCGCCCTTGGCGTGGCCCTCCTCCTCGTCCTTCCAGAACTGCTTGTTGCCACGGGCAAGACGCTGGGCCCAAGGAGGGAAGAAGCCACCCTCGAGCTTGTACGACCAAGTCTCCTTGTCGTCCTTGTTGGGGGGCACGATACGGCCACCCGAGGCCTTCTCAATGATGTACACGAGCGTGTTGATGATGATGTACGAAATAATGCCACCAATAAGTCCGTACGCGATCGAGTACGAGAAGGGCATCATGGCAATGGCGATGAACGCGGGGATCGCGTCGCCGAGGTACTTCCAGTTGATGAAGCGAGCCTCGGCGGCCATCTGGCATCCGACGATGATCAAGGTACAGCCAGTAGCCCAGGGGGGGATCGAGGCGAAGATAGGAGCGAAGAAGACGGCGATGAAGAAGCAGAAGCCAGTGGTCATCGACGTGAGACCAGTACGGCCACCCTCGGCGATACCGGCACCCGACTCGATGTAAGCGGTGACGGGGGGCACACCGAGGACGGCGCCGATCGAAATGCCGATGGCGTCGACGCAGTACGCAACCGACGAGCGCTCAAAGTCCTGGGTCTTGGGGTCGAGGAAGCCACCAAAGCGGGCCATGGCGTAAAGGGTACCAGTGGCGTCGAGAATGTCGACGTAGAGGAACGAGATGAACGCAAGACCAAACTGGCCGCTGTAGCCGGAAATGTCAAACTTCAGGACATTGAGGGTGCGCTGGATGGGGTGGAACGTCACGACCTGCTTGAAGAAGTCGAAAGCGTCGTCGCCGACAGTGGTGTGGGGGAAGTAGGTAACAGGCGTGGTACGGGGCCACGAGATGATGGAGACAAGGAGGATACCGGCAATGATGGCACCCTTGACGCGGTACATCATGAGCATGACAGTGAAGAAACCACCGCAGAAGATGCCGACCCACTGGATAACGTTAGCAAACGGCTTGGCCTTGGGGGACTCACCATGGTGGGGCTGCGCATCTTGTCTGCGGAAGCGCACAGACCAGTGTCCGGGTCACGGAGGGCGTCGAGACAGCCGGAAAGCTCCATGGGGGTGTCGGTAGCACCGGTGATCACTCCAATACCGGCGCTGTAGCCAAGACCAATGAGGGTGAGGTAAAGACCAATGCCGACGGCGGTAGCCAGCTTGAGCGAGGCGGGAATGATACGAGCGAGCCACTGACGGATGCCGAGGAGAGTGAGTCCCACGAAAACCCAACCCTCCACGAAGACGGCGGTGAGAGCAACCTCGTAAGGAACCAGACCAGAACCGTGGTAGCCGACGACAGTGTACGCAAAGTAGGCGTTCAGACCCATACCAGGAGCGAGACCGATGGGCATGTTGGCGAAAAGACCCATGCAGAACGACGCGAGGGCAGAAATGGCAGCGGTGGCAGTGACAGCGTCACGCTTAATCTCCTGCAGACAGAGGAGGTACTCCTCGTTGGTGGCACAAAGGTCCGCCATCGAGTCGGCGGGGCAGACACAGGTACCACCAGACTCGGCCACGATGGACGAGTTGACCGAAATAATGTACGCCATGGCGAAGAAGGTGGCCATTCCGGCACGAATCTCGGTAAAGAAGAACGTGTTGGGGCGCTCCTTGGGCTGCAACAGTGTCAGTCTCGGCCATGTCTTTGGATGTGATCGACGCTCGGAGGGGGGCCACTGCCATCCATAGATGGTAGCTGGTGATGCGAGATCCGATGTGTTCGGATCTCCCCCGCCTTTCCCCATAGCAAAGTCCCTCATGCACTGTCCACACTCACATGACCGCTGCCCTCGAGGCGGAAGTAGCGACCAACGAACGACTTGGCTACCGCCACATTCGCATTATGGATTGCCGAAGACCAGCCCATGGTTGTTGGGTGTGTGTAGGTGGTGGTGTGGTGAGTTTTGTTGTGACTTGGGAAAAAATCACGTCCTCCGTCTCATCTAGAGATTTTATGAAGCCAGGCTTCCGCCGGGGGGTGCCGCCAGGGCCGCCTCGTTCACCAGCCGTACAACCCGCACCCTGCTGTCTCGACTGCTCTGGCTCAATGGCCCGTCCCCGTCGTATCTGCAAACTGTATCGTTCGTTCGCAATTCCACCTTGTTACCGGCACACCAGCAGAAGCCCTAACTCTCTCCTTGCATGACGAGCAGCCTCCTCAGCTCATGCGCCTTGGGTTCATGTCCAGGCGTCCAGGTGTCCACATGTGCCACCTTCCTTGGCTTTGGTGGCCGTCGGAAGCGAACTCTGCGGGTCTCGTAAGCTTTATTGTGACTTTGGTGGTCTTGGCAAAAAATGCCAAGACTGCTCAATCTCAGGGAGGTCGTTGTCGGCCAATCCATTTCCCGCGACTGGTCAAAAGTTGGAGCTCGCATGATAACTGTTCGTCCTATGTGTGAGAAGTCAGAGGGGAACGATGGATCAATTTGGGGGTGGACGTTGTGAATGAAGGACGTCAAGATGTAGATCACAGATCAAGAGTGTTTCTGGAGATTACAGCCCGGCTGATCCTGCCCTCTGCGTAGCACACTTTAGAGTTGCGGATCGCTGCACCACGCGGGGCGAGCCGGAAAGTATGTCCGGCTTTCCTCTCGGCCTCTCCCAGCCCCTCGTATCCCAAATCTCCATCCCAAATAACCCGTCCAACCTGTCCTGTCCAGAGCCAGAGCTCAGGCGCCAGGCCAGGGGTCCCAAGCCACCGTCTGGGTCAGCAGGTGCAGATATGACCTGTGGGTGGAGCAGTCAAGCGGCCGTTATCTCCGATGCGGCCGGATGACTTTTTTGTTGACGGACGTACAGCTCCGCTCCTCACGGGATAACACGGCATTCTGGCTGGCGGACCTGCGTGGCTCCCTGCCTGGGTGGCCTTATCTGCGTCAGTTGTGTGCGGCAGTTCGGTGTCTCGGCGACAAGCGCAGCAGCCGCCTCACGGGGACGTGTTCCCGCGCAGCTCGCTTCTCAAAGAATTCAGTACCTCAATGCGGCCCGGTGCGTTGGACAGCCTCTTGACGTGGTGTGTCTCAGGTACGACTTTAATGAACTGGCCTTGGCGCTGGTGTTCTCCTATCGACCGTCCCGTCCTCGCCATTTGGAGTCGTCCTCATTGGCGTGACATTTGTGAGGCGGGTCAAGTTGATAGCTTTGGTGTACCGGCGGCCGGTGGTGTTGATGATAGGTGTCTGCAAGAGTCGGATCAAAAAGCGTGATGGTGTCGGTTTACGACGCAGGTGAAACAATAAGTGTGTGCCACTTCGGTTTAGCCCAGCGAGGTTGAACCAAATGAATCCCACGGACGCAGGATTTCGAGAGGAGGAGAATGGGCTTTGGGTGAAGAGGTGTATGACGTTAAAATGTCAAGAGCGCTAGGGAGCCATCTTGGTACTCGATTATTTGGAGAATGCAGTCCATTCATTCGTCGAGGGCCGTGGCCGGTTGTAGCCTGCCAGAGGCATCACTACAGAGGCAAAAAGACCGCTACTACCTCAGTTGTACTTACAGACACGCTAGTGTATGGTGACCCTTTGTGCTAATCAACGCCGCAATGTAGGCCATCGGACACACATTTCTCCATCCCCAAAGAGCGCGCAGGTCGGCCACACATTGCGTCGACCGCCACCGGTGTTTTCCACCCCTAATGACTTTTGGAACACCGCTATAGACCGAGCACCCAGCCAAGAGTTTGAGCACGGCTTGCGCGTCTTGAAAGCCGTGTTTTCAGCCCAACTGGATGAGACTGCTCTCACAAGCGGCAGGGTTGATCGGGCTGACAGTGGGAGTGGTATTGGCGATCCCCAAGGCGCAGAAACCCTCCCGTTGCTTGGTGGCAGCTTGATCAAAAGCTAAGACAGCTTCGTCTCATTAGTAACCATTTCTAGCCTTATGTAATCCAGTCCATACAAAGATCACGAAAAACATTAGCTTCCATTAGGGCGGGGGCGCATTAGCAAAGTGTAATGGGTGGTGTCGCTGAGACTGGTCTTCAGTCACCTGTTGCTAACACTCCTCTGACAGCTGACTGCGCACGCGCGCACAGGTGCGGTGATGCGAGTCGCATCACCCCCGGGTGGGCAGCTAGTCAAAATACAATACAGATCTGCCGTGCATCGGCCGGCGCTGGCCGACGCTGGCTCAAGCGGAACAACGGGTGCTGGTGACTACCTGGGGGCAGATTCCACACCTGTGTCCTCCACTCCTCCACCTCGTCGGATATCTCCAGCCTATTGGTCTCCGAGGTGCTTGTTCAGCACAAGGGAGCGCGCAGCCAGATGTCAGTTCGGTTGTACATAAAATCCGTCTTCAGTTTCGGAGGCTCGTTAAAGCGTGAGCGTGGAGCGTCGTGCCTTGAAACGTGGACAGATTGGCGATCTAACCGACTAAACGCGCAACACCTATGCCAATCATCTCATCGACCGTCTGTGACCCGTTCGGTGCCGCGCCAGGACGACAACGTCCAAACTGATGACACAGCATAGCAGTTCAACGATGACTCAGCTTCAATGGCCAGTATACGGGGGATCAAAATCAGCTATTGATTTGGGCAACCCGCCCCAAGGTCAAGGTTGGAAGGTTGAATACTCCCAGATTTCGCATCCTCTCTGCCCAGTTACAGGCCTGTGGATCTGTGGAATGGTGGTTGGTAAGCTGGCTCCACATGCGTAACATGGATCCGACATTGGTTGGGGTAAAGCTGTAAAGTCCATGATACTTAAAGCTGCTCCTGTTCTCACATCTTGACTCCATCGACTTTTCCGACTCACACTCGAACACAACCACAACCCAACCATCATGTCCACCGTCAAGGCCCTCATTCTCGACCCCACAACCAGTGAGGTCACTCTTCGCAACATCCCGAAGCCCACACCGGCCACTGGCGAGGTCCTCATCCGCGTCCGTGCCATCGCTCTTAACCCCGTGGACGGCCTCTTCATCGCCCACCCCATTGCCACTTCTGACCGCGTTATCGGCCTCGACTTTGCCGGCGTCGTCGAAGGCGCTGCATCAGACCTCGAGACCTCGACCGACAAGCGCACACAAACGGGTGCCCGTGTCGCCGGCTTTCTCCAAGGGGGTGAGTACCGCAGCTCAACATATGTTTCTTTCAGCACACTAACGGGTCCAAGCCTGCTCGGGCAACTTCCGCCCCGGCGCGTTTGCAGAGTACATTACGGCGCCTTACGACTTGATCTGGAGCGTTCCCGATGACATGCCTCTGGAAAACGCGTCAGCCGTGAGCATGTGCGGCCTGACCGCCGCCCAAGGCGTGTTCTACCGCATGGGCTTGCCGGCTCCCTTCGCGGACACTGCCAGCGCCACCTCAAGCCAGCAAGCTGAGCCCATCAACGTCCTCGTGTATGGCTCGTCGTCCTCGCTAGGCCAGTACGCTGCGCAAATGGTCAACATGGCCGAGAAGACTTCGGGACGCAAGATCCGCCTCATTGGCGCGGCGTCAAGGGCCAAGCACGCGTTCCTCTCGGCCGCGCCTTTCAACTACGACGTCCTCGTCGACTATCGCGATGCCGACTGGCCCGAGCAGGTCAGGAAGGCCACGGAGGGTGCTGGTGTCCAGTACGCTGTAGACTCGATCGCTGAGGGCAACACACCCGCGCTCGTCGAGTCGACGCTGTCGGAAGACGGCAAGTTCGTCACTTTCGTACCCCACAGCCCCGACGACTATGACGCTTCTAAGCTCCGTATCCAGCCGGTATACGGTGCTGTGTGGGAGGGGCTCGGCGAGATGGTCACCTTCCGCCCTGGTATGGTCTTCCCGGCTGACCTCAAGGCTCGGGCCTTCGCAGCCAGCTTCTTCGACTATCTCGGCAGCGGTGGCGTAAAGGTCGTGCCCAACCCCATCCGCCTCATGCCAGGCGGACTCGAGAATGTTGTTGCCGACGGTCTCGCGCTTGTTTCCCACGCCAAAGTATCGCAGCGCAAGGTTCAAGACCGCACTGAAGAGTACATGCGTCCCATTAGCGGCGAGAAGATTGTCTACACGATCGCCTAAGCTAGTGACTGTTTAGTCGCTTGCACATATGTTTGTTTGAATCCGATGCAAATGTGTCACAGAATTTGTTTTGTTTTATTTTTTGTTCTCAGCTGTACGGCCGACATTGCAAGCACATCGATGTGTAGTCTCTTAGTCGTCCTCATCCTCATCATCCTCATCATCTTCGTCATCCTCATCGTCCTCATCATCCTCGTCATCCTCGTCATCAGAACTGCCTTGAACGGTCGTGTAGCGCCCGAGGCCGGCCACCCTGACCACAATCTCATCTCCAAGAGGACCAAAGGGGTCGGCGGCGGTACCGCCAATGTGATGGACAGTCTTCTGGGACGTGCCGTACGCAAACTCAGCGTGGTGACGCTGCCCATTACGCTGCTCGCCGAGTAAAGCAAGACGCAACGTGCGCAGCTTGGAACCACCGAGACCGCGGATGACGCCGGCCCAGAGGTTCTTGTCGTCAGCGGCGGCGTGCGGTGCAGCGGCCGAGGCGTCGCTGCCGTCGAGGACCACGCGGCGAAGACTGGCGGTGCGCACGGAGAAGCGCTCAAAGAGCTTGGCGAGGATGTAAGGTTGGACGGTGCATAGCCCAATCTCGAGCTGCTCAAGTGGGAACAGGGGCGCCGACGGCACGGATGGGATGACAAAGTCGGCGTAAGGGGCGGCGGCATTGTCGAGACCATTGGCGGCGGCGGCGGCGGCAGGAGACAAGACGCGGGTGGTGTCATCTCCTGCAAGCCATTTGATGAAGTCGTTGGCCTCTGACCAGTCGCCCTGGAAGTTGATGCGCAGCCATGTGAGGTTTGGGCAGGCGGCGAGGAAGGTCTTCAAGTGCAACGTAGAGTCCGAGTCGACCGTGGACTGCTTTGGTGCGACGGCGAGATGGAGTTTGCGCAGGTTGGAAAGGTATGGGCCCATGGGGTCCTTCAGGTCTGGGGGGATGTAGAATGCATTGTCCTCGAGACCCCAGCGGCCCTGGAAGACCACCTCGAGGTTGGGTGGGGTGGCGCCCGACTGTGCCACGGCAGCGACCACATTGGTGAACATGGCCGCGACAAAGGTTGGGTCGTGGTTCTGCATGACGAGGGGCGAGCCGAGGATATTCTGCGCTGTTGCAGCGCCGTACGAACTCCAACTGCCCGTGTGTCCTTCGACAAAATTCTTCTCACGGAAGCGTGTGACCGAGTTGAAATCACGAATATCAATCGTGTCGAGGTGGTCGCGGAGCTTGCGAAACACGTCCGCCAACGTGTCGCGGTACCTGGCGGTGCGCACCAGATAGCTCTGGTCCGCGGCAAGTGCTGCGTAGAGGGACGGCTTGCGGTGGTAGCCAAACCGAAAGCTAAATAAGTCAGCGGGCATGTTGACCTGACCCATGGGAGAGCTCTTCCTTACTTACACGTCCGTTGCCATGATGACATGGTTGAGTCCAGCGCCGAGCGGGTTATCAGCAATGTCCACCAGGGCCTGCAATGAGACTGTCGAGATCATAAACTGCTTCTTGCGGAAGAACTCGTACGCAAACGACGAGTGCATGCGGCTAGCGACGAGCTTGCATGTGAGGCGAACTTTGCACAGGTCCTCAGTGGTGAGGTGTCCGGTGATGCGGGTCAGGAGTTCGGTGGGGATGCCCGCGAGCGGCGATGCAGTCTGGGGGTTGATGTTGGTGTCCATCGTGTCTGAAGTCAGCGAAGGGAAGGTGATGGAAGAGATGCTCACAAGGAGGAGGGAATGGCAGAAATGAGAGAGAAGTGAGTCAACGATCAAAGAGAGCAAACAGGGGGGTGCGGATGCGTCCAAGCGATGACAGAGGGTGACTAGACTCGCGGGCGTCGGGACGCGGGTCAACGGGATTACGTAAATGTGGAAAACGCCTACTTGTAAACAAATGCAAGGCGGCAGGGGAGGCACTCAAAAGACCCGCAAAGCACGGTACACGCTCTCCTCTGCGAGCCAGCGGCAATTTGTTGCAAGCTACCGTGCAACCTCTGTGTTTCGTTTTGCACATGCTCTGGCCATGCTCGTGGCCATGCTCGTGGCCATGTTCTCCGCAGTGCCCAAGGGTCCGTCCAATCTTATCGGCGTTCTTATCAGTGGTTTCGAATCTCGCAGCATAGGGTTCGATCAGAGAACGCCGAGAGCAGGTTCCTTGTAGCTCGCGGCGGCGGTTATGGCCATCCATGACATGTATTTATCACATAGAACTTGGCTCTCGGCCTCAAGTACCTAAACTACAGACTACAACGTTTGCTGTGACACCAGCGCGCATCCCCACTCGTGGCCTCATCACATGAGAATCTACTTCTTTTTCCTTCTACCTGACCTGCGTCAAAAAGTCGCCAAAACGGTGGATACACTCGCCGCCCGAGATGACGAGCTCGATCGCGTGCATGACCGTGTTGCGGAAGAGGTGGCCCGTGTGCGTGTCCACCGCAGGGAAGGGGACGCGCTTGAGGGCCTCTTGAACAGGGGACGAGAGTCCTTCGATCCAGGTGCGCAGGTCGGCAATCTGCTGGTGGCTGGTGGCAAAGTCGGGGGTGTTGTCCCCGCGACAGTGGCGGCCAACCGAGTTGAGCCGGGTGTAGACGCTGGAGGGAATCTTGGTCTTCATGGCAGCGTTTGCCGCCTCCAGCTGTCTGAGAACCTTGGCGTCGGGGTGGTCGAGAATTAGTTTGATGTCGCGAGGAGCAAAGGGAAGTTGCGTGTAACCGTTGATGAACAGGCCAAGTTTGCCTTGAACCATCGCAACAACCTCGTCAATGTCCCAGAAGTATTCGTCGCTGGTCACGAGTAGCTTTCCCGACTGGGAGACCTCTTCGTACGTCGATCCATAGGCAATGGTCGTCTGGTTGCGGTACCTTTGCGTCTCGAGGGACTTGGCAATAACGACAGGAACCTTTTCCATGGCGGGATAAACAAACAGGTAGCGCAGCATGACTGCGTTCTCGTCGCTGACGACAATGATTCCGTGAGCGTGTTTGTGAACACGCGATGAGTTGGCGACCTCGACGAGGCCGATGCACACCGGCATTGTACCAAGCATCGAGCTTTTCCAGCCAGATGTAGGACGAGTGTAGGTGCGCGAAAGACCGCTGTTGTCGGCGAGGTAAATGCCTTCGCCGTATGCCGCACCAGCAGACATCATCGGCGTGTGGCTGGCATTCTTGAGGTTTTGACGCAGAATGTTGTGCCAGTTACTCATACTCGAGCCGTGGAACGCGAGAAAGCTGCCGTGGGCTGCACGCAGCGCCTCAAACTTTTCAGCGTGCTTGCGGGTGGAGGTGTGGATCTGGAAGCGGTAGGGAGCCGGCATCGACGTGAGTTGACCTGGAGGGAGAGAGACGATGTGCGCACGGTTGGTCGCAAAGACCCATCCAGCGAGGAAAGACGCATCGGAATCGAGCTGATTGATGAGCTCTATGCGGCCAGAACCCGCATCCTGAAGGGCCTCAGACGTCGGGAGCCTGTCGAGGATGTCGGCGACGTCTTTGGGGACGTAGGGCTTGTCATCCACGCGCTTGATAGGCATGGAAAGCGGGGAGGCCTTCTGCCTGAGAGTGTCGTTACAGGCTGCAACAGCAGCGGTGAGGAGAAAGTCTGCTACCGCGTGGTCGGCGTCAAAGAGGCTCAGGTCGGCGCCGAGGCCGAGGTTCTCGAGCTGGAAGGTGCACAGAGGGGCGTCACAGATCGTGGGCTTGGCACCGGGAAAGGGGTGCTCCTTGTCACACATGAGGCAGGTGTTGCCTGCGTTTTGCAGACGGTCGTTGAGCAGGAGGCAAAAGTCGCTCAGAAATGTTTCGAAACGGCCTTCCTTCCAACGGTCCTTGAAGAAGTTGGTGGCCACCTGCGAAAGCAAGAGACCCATGGGGAAGCCAGGGTGTGCACGCTGGGTCGAGGTTTCGATTCCTCCTTCCTTGAGGTCACCGTGGCGAACGGTGAGACCGGGACGAGGGCATGTGCGGCGGTAGCCCTGGGAAATGTCCACAAGCACGAGGAGAGGCTGAGGACGAGTGAGGCCGCAGGCAGCGCGGGCGAGAGGCGACAGCTCAACCAGGGGAAGGGTAATATAGAGGTATGGGCCCTTCTGCTCGAGCTCAATGCCGGTGTCGTCGAGGACCATTCGAGCGGTAGCGAGGTCTTCATCCAACGATCCCTGGCCGAGGAGTTGGATGTTGAGGTTGAAGTCTTCTCCGTCGTCAAAGTCGTGGTTGTCATCAAGGCCGTTGTCGTCGTCAAACTCTCCCCCAAAGTCGCCATCGTCGTCGGCCACCATGCTGTCGTCAACGTCAAAGTCGTGGCCGTCGTATGTGCCGAATTCATCTTCGGCTATGGGGAAGCTGCGGTTGGCGGACCCGCCGTCCCAGTGCGCCTCGCTACGGGGTGTGGGGAGGTCACCATAGAAATTGTCCGGGTCGACCAGCACCGGCGTGCTGGAGCGGCGTGGACGCTTGGCGGGTGCAGCCGAAGCAACTGAAGGGTTAGAGGAGCGTGTCCTCACCATCTCCGGCTACAGTGCGTTATTGGCGTTGGAAGGTGCGGAAATGGGGGTGGGACCGCCCTTCAGTGAGGGGAGACCGTGGGAATGGGATTTGCGTATGTGCGCAAGTGCCTGCCGGCGTGCAAGACGACTGAGGAATGCCAGATGACGTAGAGAGAAGGCTCTTGGTTGTTGATGCAGTTAACGTGGAAAGCTGACGTGGAAAGTTGACGTGGACAGCTGACGCGGAGAAGACAGAGTTTGCAGGAAACGACACCTGCGGTTGCGAGGGCAAGGCGACTGTCTACCCAGGACGAAGTGCAAAGCGGTGATCTCGACGCGCGTGGCGGCTTGAAAGAGGGTTAGCGACGGCGTTCGCTTCAAATGCAGAAAGTGCCAGGGAGTTGAGAGGAGGCGAGGAGGAACAGCTTACTGGGTGCTTGCCGTCACTGATCTCGAGGAGGCACGGTGAGGCCGGAGCGCGAAGTCGCCGAGAGTCGAGGTGGGGAGTCGCGTTGGGGTGCGGTGAGGAGGTGAGTTGGAGAGGAGGAGATGGTGGGATGAAGAGAAGGCTGTGAGACGAGGAGAGTGGTGGGAAGAAAGAGCGAAGGGCGTCAGAATTGGAAGTTGATGGGATCTCTCTGATGGGACCTACTAGACCCACCAGGTCGGAATCCGTGTGTCAGTGTCCGCGTCCCCAGATAGAGCAGGCAAAAGTGTCCATACCCATCCTCCTCTAGAGACCAGGCATGAAAGTCTAGATAGATACTCCACCCACAACTCAAAGCGTCGTGCTCTAGTCAAGGTCATCTGCAAAGCAGTCGCGTCTCCCGGGTGGCAAAAACGGCGGCCTGGGGTGATGACGCAGTGGCTGCATCGACTGACGGCATCTTTTCCAACCGAGCGAATTGTCTCTACCTGTTGGCTTCTTATTAAGGACGTCTCTTCACAACATGCATATATCCTCAGCGTTTGTACAGATACCCCCAATATACAACCTCCACTGGGCATCAAGCCAGCGAGAGGAAAGGAAGGAGTGTGCGTCGAAATCGAAATATCAGAGACACGGATGTGGATAGCAGAAGCTGCCTTCCACGACGTTCAGCGCTGGCGGGTGCGCTTGGGTGCAGGAGCGGCCGGGGCCGCAGCAGAACTCTTGCGAGTTGGCTTGGAGTTCTCGGCAGTCTTGACCTTGGTCGTCGAGTACGTCCTGGTCGCGGTCCTGGTCACGGTCCTGGGGGCAGTTGGAGTGGGGCTCGAGTCTCTGGACACCAAAGTCGGCGAGCCCAGAACCATGCTGCGCTCGTGTTGGGGGCGAGTCAACAGCACGAACGGGGCCTGTAAAGGCGTCGACTCGGCGAGAGCGGGAGTGGGGGTTCCAACGTCGGTCTCGCGGGGAGTGTTGTTGCAGTCGCTGGTGGTTAGTGGACCGTGCGCCCTGAGGAGGTGACTCACCATTCGTCACCCATGTCAATCGCGCAAATGGTCTTGCCCACCGACATCCTCTTCTCAGCGCGCAATGCAAAGAGCGGCTTGTCGCAGACCTTGCGAGTCGAGAGGACGTAACCGGCGTTGCCGCAAGAGCCACAACCCAGCTGTTTGTCAGTGGCATGCCCACTGTCTCGTCACTTACCTGGACGAAGCGCGCAGGTCCGATCCAAATAGCCTTGCCTCCGTCGTCTTCGTCCGTGAGAAAGCGCTTGTTGAAGCTGTTGAGATGGAGCTCGCGCAGGTCGTCACCAGTGATGTTGTTTAGGAGGTACTCGATCTGGAAACGCGCGTACTTGCCGGACGTCTTCTGGGGGGCAAACCGGAGCCTTTTGTCACTGTCCAGAGTAAGGTAGGCGATACCGAAGAGCGCAGAGACCCAGATGTTCGTGATGCTACAAGTGTCAGGAATATGCGTGCAGCAGCTAGGGTCACTGACACAGTGATTTCGTTCTCAGTCACACTGTCTTCGCAGTGGGCATTCAGACTTTTGCGTTAGCTGATTGAAGGCACCTTGGAGGTTGGTTGCCTCCCAAGACCGGCAACCATCCAGACGAGATGGTCACTCACAACTCCTTGAGGCCGTCATCGAACCTCGTCTTGCTTTTAGGGTTACCCGGGTCGTACAGGCCACCAAGGGTGTGGGAGGTAGGGAAGGAGTGAGGAATCGAGAAGAACGTAGGGAAGTCACTCTGGGCAGCAGCGCGGCCGACATAGAGCGCTGCAAAGAAGGCGGCGCAGTCGTCCGCGCGGGCCAGGTCGATGGGCTTGGATTGGATCAAGAATGGGTTGTTTGCGGTACCCCTCATGCTGATGATGCTTGATGGAGGATGTTGATAAGAAGAGATGATGATGATGCATCAGAAGGGTGGTGGCGAGCGTAAAACTGTGCACCAGAGGCCCGAGGGGATACACTGATCGGCGGAGACATTGAAGACAACACACAGAGACTCAAAAAAGACGCGGTCCACGCAAGGTTGACTCAGTTTTGGGAGCGTGATAATGAACAGGTGATCCACAGTCACCGCAAGGAGGCTCCACGCTAGCTGGGAAGGTGGCCAGTTGGCCAGCCAGGTCGACTGCCATGTCCAGAAGGACTTGGAGATGTGTCCATTAGGAGATTAGGAAAATCCACCCCATGGGAGGAATTGGAATGGCGAGTACCCGGGACAGCTGGCAGAAACACGTAATGTCTGCCAAGACCTCAGCCTTGGCAACCGTGTATGCGTTTTACGGCCTACTGTAGACACCTTGCATGGAGGACTGAAGACGCCTTGCAATGACGTGGTATGGCATGGATACATCGACCAGAACTGCAACACCAACCTGGGACGCCTAGACGTTGGACATACCGCAGCTGGAATCTGAAACCATGTTTGGCGTCCCAGGGTAAACCCACTGGCCACTATACAATGCTGCCAAAATCGTCGCCTTGCCCCATAGTGTGGTTTTTGTTGGCCATGGTGAACGCAGCATAAATCCCAGTCGAGGTCACATTGGCCACAGGCCACAGGTGTATTCACATCCGCGCTGTACAACCATCGCCCGGGTTCCAGCGCACATGCGGCAACACCGAACCGAACAAAGTCTCGCTTCCTTTCGTGAGGCTTGAATGGTTACCGGTTGAGGCACGCACCTCGGCGTTGCTTCTGCGCTTCAGCGCAGTTATGCCTAATGGGTAGAAACCTCAGCCGTCACCCCGGGGGCCCCTCTGTCCTGACCTCTAGCGACCAGCATCCCCTTCCGACTCACTTTAAAACACGATCTGTGCTCTAGATTGGCCAAAATGGACTGGTGGCCTACACGCCGGGGAGTTGGGACCAGTCGTGCGTCGTGCACGACTGTAAAACGTGGCCTGGGTCTTGGAAGCTTGGATGGAAAAAGAGGGCCAGTTTTAGATTTCATTCCGCGGGGGACGGTGGTACGGTGGGGACAGCTTCCCTTCCGCGAACGCCAAGAAGACGCGGTACGCGACAAAGTAGGGACCTTTTTCAATCATATCCCTCCGAACGACCTCTTCTTCTTCACTCCATCGTCGAACTCGCCCACCACCACTACATACACCAGCAGCAATGGTGCTGCTCGTCGCCATGGCGCTCGCACTCGCCACTGTCGCCCAAGCGGCATTTGAATCCTACTCGTTCAAAGTCACCGACATGAGCCCCATGTTTGCCTATTCACCCTCGTCCTCAGGTACCGCCGACCAGACTTGGAACCAGACCTGGTCCCAGACCAACTGGTCTCAGTGGATGACGGGGCAGGACATGATGGGCCAAGGATTCAGCTCGCACACCACGACCTTTGCGGGTGCGACCGTGTCGATCTCGTTCCTCGGCACGGGCGTCACCTTCACTGGCGACGCGAGCGGTTCAGTCTCCGTGATCGTTGACGGTGGTAGCGACTCGCCTTCCGACGTCAGCGCTGTGAACACGACTGTCGGCCAGGCGACGGGCCTCGACTATGCGTACCACACCGTCACACTCAAGCTTCACTCGGGCGAGCTTGCCCTCCAGTCCGCGCAAATTGCGACCTACATTGGCGGCTCAGGAGCGCGGGCCGTCAAACAGTCCATGGCGTCCTTGACGGAACACACCGATCAGCTGTGGTACATGTCCGACAACATTACCGCAAACGACAAGAATGCGTGGACCGCTTCCACCAGCATGTGTGGCTACCTAGCCCAGGACAACTCGTACTGCTACGGGGCTTATGACCGCGTCGGGACGAGCTCCCCAAGCGCCTGGATGAGCTTTGACATTCCCGCCAACACTGCCATTGCTCTTCTCTACGGCACCGTCGGCTACGGGTACGGCGACTACAGCATCACTGTCCAACCTACCCCGTACAACTCGCCAAGTAACGTAACTCTGAATGGGCACAGCCCGTGGCTGGGATTGAACTCGGTCACATTCTTCGCTGCTCTCGACCCCACAGTCCAGTACAAGCTCATCATCGACTACCTGGGCAATTCGACCCAGCAGTTTGACTTTGTTCTCGCCCAGTTTATCAGCCCCGATGGAGGCGATGGCTCGGCACTGCCGTCAGGGACGACCTCGGACACGGCCTCAAACGCAGGTACAACAGCAACAGGGTCGTCGGCGAGTAGCTCCACAGGATCGGGCTCGAGCGCAAAGACCGGTGCTGGCCAAACGAGCAGTACTCCCATTGGCGCCATTGTGGGCGGTGTCGTGAGTGTTCCTTGCCAAGACTGAGAGCTGACGTAACCCAGGTCGGCGGCGTTGTTGTTCTTGCGGCCGTTGGCGTTCTCATCTGGTGGTGCATGCGGAGGCGTTCGCGTTCCAAGGAGCCTACCGGCAAGAAGCGCACCATTGGCATCCCCCTCAACCCCGACCGCCCGCGCAGCGCTCTCTCCGACTTTGTGGTTGACGAAATCGACATGGTCCATGCGCCTTTTACTGGCGGCAACGACAGCGTCAACTCCCTGACTGGCCCTCGCATGGAGGGAAACAACTCGCAAATCGACCCTTACTCGGTTCCACCCACAAAGGCACAGCTCGCCGGCGTTGACCCATTCTACTCGCCACCGCAGGCTGCTCCTGGCCGGTTTGGCGGCCACACGCACTCGGACTCGACGTACTCGGGTAACACGTTTGGTGGTCCCCGGGAAGTCAACACTCCTTCCTCTCCTCAAAGCCAGTCGATGACGGGCTTTGCGTCTAGCCAGGACCACCCCTTGTCGGCCAACGCGAGGAGCCCCATCTCGCCCACGTCAGGCTTCAAGGCTACGATGTCGCCACTGTCCCGCCCTGCTCCCCAAGATCTGTCAGTGATCACGCAGGAGTCTGACGCCGGTCGCGTCGAGGCAACACCATACACAGCTCCGACCGAGGAGCGCGTACCTCCTCGTTATGACCCGTCCTGGGCCAGTGACCTTGAGCAGGCCGGTCCCGGGAGTCGGTTTTGAGCCGATTTTGGGAGACAGAGAGGCCTCAAAGACCGCGCACGGGGCTGTAGTCGACACTGTTTCTGGGACCTTTTTCGGGCCTCTGGGACTTGAGTTTGGGTGTATAATGTTAGGGAGAAGCGGCCATTGTATCTATGCACCGTTGTTGGCTAGCTGCCACAGAGCCACACATCCGTTCTGCCAGAGATCAAGCGATCTGGCGGTGGGACTGATAAAAAAGCCAGGTGGAGGCGAAACCTGCGGGACCAGGTACAATCAAAGCGGAATGCAATTGTTAATGACGCATCCGCAGACGGCTCCACGCTACTCATCTTGGCATTGCCTTGTCTTCCATGTCGTCCACCGCCCAACTCCTCCAGCGTGTGGCCTCGCTGGCTGCGCCAGAACGTGACCAGGAAGTTGTGCGTTATGCTCGGTCCTCGCAGGACAACCTCGCCTCGGTCCTCGCGGAACTCGACGCTGGCGGAATGTACGAACGGCGTTTGGGGGCACTGATGGCCGTCGCGACACGCGACGCCGCCTGGATCACAGCACATGTCGCCGACGAGGACGCCGCCTTGTCTCGCTGGGCCATGAAGGCAGCCATGGTTGCCTGCCCCCAGGCCCTGGACGCAAGTCTCGAAGACGCGCCCGCCGTGCGCCGCGCGGCACTGATCAACGCTGTTCTTCAGTCGCACCACGGGGCGAAACGAACCGCGCTCGCCGACCGACTTTTCCCACTGTTCGCGGAGTGGAGCACAGAGGGTGTGGGCCTGCTCGCTGCCTGCTCTCCAGGTGTCGTCGCGTCGGCCTTGCCTAGCCTCTTACACGCAGTCACTCGCTGGAGGTCCCTCGCTCGGGCCCACCCTGCCATTGTCCTCGAGACACTCCGCGCCGACCTGGCTGCCGCTCCAGCCGTCGACAAGTGGTGGAACAAGTACGCCACGGCTTTACAGTCCATCCTTCGCGTCTCGCCAGCTAGCGCAACTGCCATTCTCGGCGCACTAGACGACCGCCCGCCCACGACCTTTCCCTCGGGCCTGCGTTCCTCGCTCAACATCTTTGCACGGACGGCACCTGGCCGGGTGCTCACGCTCCTGACATCGGAACTTGGCACTGGCGTCGGGTACCTCGCTCCAAACCTCATACGCACCCTTGCCCGCTCAGGCGCGCCCGAGCTCGTCGACTATGCCCGTTCCGTTAGCGGCAACAGCTACGACCTTGCACGTCTCCTGTCAGCACAGCCCCCACGCGACCGGGCGGCGACCTACAACGCCGCAGTGGCAGGGCGTGGCGGAGCCCAAGTCGACGGCGTCATCCTCGACGCTCTCCCGAGGGCGCTCGCAGCCGAGTTTGCGCGTCGAGACCGCAAGGCTGGCGAGGAGAAGGGCGACTCGTGGCAAGTACTGCTGTTCAAAGACGTCTACCTGCCTCCGGCTGAGGTCCGCGAACCCTTCTTGGAGGGTACTCGCCGTCCTGGGGCGGACGAGCGTAGTACCGCATGGGCGTTGTTTGTCCGGAACGCAGTCTACTCGGGCGACCCAACGGCCGTGACAGCGGTTGTGGTGGCCGCTGCCGAGCGGCTTCGCAACGAACAGAGCCCCGTTCGCCTCAGTGCTATTTCATCGTTTTCATCTGTTCCCGCGCGCTTGTGGACTATCGAGGCTCTCCCTCACCTGACCACCGTCTTTCAAGACGCCCTCGACGCACCCGATACCAATGACAACGCGTGGAGCGAACTCATAATGGTTGCCATCAGGATGCTCCGGGAGCGGGGCAGTTCACCAGAACACGTCAAGTGGGCCATGGACTGTTTGACAAGGGCGAACGTGGCAGCTCGCATGTTCCATATTGGAAGGCGCGACACGCTGCCTCGCAGGCAGGCTATGGCTCTCTGCAAAACCCTCCGTCCCATTATCGACGCTGACCTCAACCGCAATGACTGCAACCTCGTCATTGCCCTCGCTCAAGTTCTTGGAAAACACGTCAACGACGTTCCTGAGCTGGAAGCAGACCTCCTCAGGGCTATCCAAAATGGCAAACGCTACTATGCGATTCAAGCAGTAGACTGCTGGCTCTTGCCCAAGCCTACGAGACACGACCGCGTTCGGCAGCTCATGGACTTTAGTCCTTCGGCTGCCGACCTCGCCCCAGTCGCCAAGGCCCTGTCGTGGTCGTGTACGGAGCTCCTGGGCGCCGCGCTCGGCAGCCCCCCGTATGGCCGTTTCCTCAACAAGCAGACTGCCTGGTCTTTCCCAGCCGACTCGCGCGCTACTCGCCGCTGGACTCCCGAACAGACGACGGCTTACCTCGCACAACTCAGCTACCTCGTAAGCAAGAAGGATCTGCCGACGTGGCACCGCTGCAACGCCGCTCGCACTGCAGGTTCTGTTACTGGCGGGCTCGATCTTGCGCGCGAGTTGGCCAAGTCCGACAACCTGCCAATCTCCGAGGCTGCGCTCATGTCCCTGAGCTCGTCCCCCGACGACCTGCCGCTTCTGTTCAGCTTTGCTGACAACGACAAGGCCCGTGTGGCCATGTACGCTGCGACTCGCGCAAGCAGGTTTGTCAAACCGTCTCGCCTCGAGCCTCTCCTCGAAGGCATCCTCACGTCCAAGGCCAAGGTTACGAGCCGCAAGGAGGCTGTGCGCCTTGCGGCCCAGCGACTCCCGGCGCCTCACGCCGCATCGCTGCTACAGCGGATTGTGCCCGAGGCGCACAAAGACGTCCGCGCCGCTGCGATCTCGTTTGCTGCCTTCCAGCTGCTTGGTACGGACGGCGGCTGGGCCATTGTCAGCAGTGCTGCAAATGACAAGGACGAGGCGCCCCGCCTCGCTGCGATCCGCGTCAAGCCGTTGGACGTGGCGCCCGAGTACCGGGAGCGATATGCACAGCTGGTAGGCGTCCTGTCCCAGACCGACGACGACAATGTGGCGTCTATGGCTCTTGTTACCCTCGAGTGGTGGGCACCATACTCGGCTTCTGCCCCCGTCATCCTTGGAAACGCAGCGGCAGACATGGCTCGCCCCAGCCGTTCCGTGTGGCAGTCTGCTGCTATGGCATTGGTCAAGATTAGCGACACACCCAGTGGGCAGAAGAGCCTGTGTGACGCCATGGCCTCGCTCGTTGCTCACGGTCCCGAACCTGACGCAGAGGACAAGTGGGACCGCCCCGCCGATCGCCGCATTGCGTTCATGGCTGACCACATCGACACCCTCGCCGAGCGCGACAGAAAGTATGGCGCCACTGCGCTCACATTGTCCCGACTCTTGGCGCAACACGACTTTATCAGCGACGCAGCGAACCTGCGCCTCAGTGCCACCGATCTGGACAAGGACGCGGCCACGGTCGTCGAGGAGCTGCGCGAGGTGGCGTTCCTCTGTACCGACCGTCCGGTGCTTGCCGCCGAGCTGGGGCATGAGCTCAAGGACCGCCTCCAGTGCCGCAGAGGCAACGACGAGCAGTTTCTGGCCGTCGTACGTGACCTCGCGGCGCCGAGTACGGCTGCCGAGGGTCTTCTGGCTGTTGCAATCGTGGATGCGTGCGGAGGCAGGGGCGACTGGCCGCACGACTGGCGCAACATGGTCAAGCTGTTGCGGAACCATGCCGTTCCCGACGTGCGTGGTCGGGCAAAGCAAATCAAGACTGCGGACGCGTAGGTCCGTGTGACTTGCGACAGCTCCACTTGTACTGCTTCTCACGAATATGACATATGTATGTGTTTATGTTATGTGCTATTTTACAGCTTGGCCGACGCCGAGACGCCAAGGGAGACACCACCGTCAATGGGGACGGCGGTACCGGTGCAGTGAGCACCGGCACGCGAGGCAAAGAAGAGGGCGAGACCGCCAATGTCCTCGGGAGTGCCGACACGGCCGGTAGGCTGGCTGGCAACGAGAAGGTCACCCGAGTTCTCAAGACCGAACGAGGTCATGCGCGAGGGGAAGACGCCGGGCAGGATGGCGTTCACGGTGACGTTCTGCTTGGCGAGCGACGCGGCCATCATGCGAGTGAGGTGGAGCGACGCGGCCTTGGAGGGCTGGTACGAGAAGGTGCCGTGGCCGGGAGCGCTGAGCTCGCCCTCTGCCAGGGGCGAGATGGCAGCAATCGAGGCAATGTTGAGGACGACGGCAGGGTGGATGTTGTTCTTGTCCTTGGTCAGGATCGGGAGGAGGGCGACGGTGAGGTAGAACTGCGACTTGACGTTGAGGGCAAACACCTTGTCCCAGCCGTTGGCCTCGGGGAAGTCGGCCATGGGCGCACCCCATGTGAGACCCGAGTTGTTGACGAGAATGTCCAGGCGGGTCTCGCGCGCCTTGATCTGGTCGGCGAGCGCGTCGCAGCCGGCCTTGGAGGCCACGTCGGCCTGGACGGGGATGCACTGGCCGCCGGACGACACGCCCAGAGCCGAGAGCTGCTCGGCCACACGCTCAAGGTCCTTGAGCTTGCGCGAAGCAATGTAAATCTTAGCACCGTTGCGCACATAGGCAGCAGCGATCATCTTGCCGATACCGGTCGCACCGCCAGTGACAAGACCGACCTTGCCGCGGAGGTTGAAGATGGTGTCGATGCCCAGCTCGGGCATGACCTCGGGGGCAGCGTCCTTGGGGGGCATGGTGTGGCGTGTAGGTATGGGTGTAGGTGTTTGGAGGGGGGAGAGGGAGAATGGATCAAGCGTTGAAGTAGTGTGAAGAATGCAGAATATGCTGACTGAATGATGCGATGGGGCAGATGTGTGAGGTGGTGGATCTGGACCTGGGCCGGCGAGACGAGTAGCCGGACGGCGTGTACCCGGATCGGCCATGCCCGTGACTTTTTTTCCCCGGCCACATGAGGCTCAAGGTCACCGACGTTCCGTGTTCTGTGTGTCTGTTTCGCTTCACTTTGGATTGTTATATCTTGCTCTTGTCAGACAGGGAGACGGAGTGGGATCTCTATACCATGAGCTTTCTTTTCCATCCATCGCCCTTCGCCTTCACTCACGCGGCTGATCTTCCTGCCGGGCGCACGGCTTACGTGTGGCTTCTATCGTCTAGATGGTTAGGACGTAGGTCTCATACGAAAAGTGTGAGCTCGAAACACGAGTACATCCTGCAACCAGAGTTCGAGTCTCTGTGGAGGCACACCGGGACTGCGAGTAGCATCGTAGGCTTCATCTTTTGCTTCTTGTATGCGTGAAAACATCCAGGATCGGAATCAGGTGGTCGGCGGCGTGCAGTTGATCAGTTGGTGTGGGTGGGTTGGCGCAGGCAAGAGCGGATTCTGCGGCCCCGAACGGGCCGGCCGATTTCCGACGTTCGGCTTCTTACCTGTGTGGTACTTGCGAACCGCTGTGAAGCGCTGTCAGCCAGAGGGCACAGGCGCCAACAGCGCCGCGTTCCTCAAGCGCGGGTGGGCAAGATGCGGCCATCGCCGTCTGACGGCCGCAGCATCTTCGCGGCCGATAGCGCAACGTGACTCGACCAGCTTGTTCGCTGTTCTGCCAGAAGTCATCTCGTTCGGTCACCAGACTGACGCCACCTCCTGGCCCCCCCCCCCCCACACAATTGCGCTGTTGGAAAATGGCTGTTCTGTTGAACGATACCAGCTTTTCCAATACACGTGCCATCAGGCCATCTGTCGAGACGTGTTGGAACAATCATCCTATCTTCAACGCAGACGGCCTGATACGAGACACAATCTTGCTTGCAGATAACGACTGAGACAACGTCAACGACAACGTATCAATGGACACTCGATAAACCCCGAGGTGAATCCGGATGCACTTGGCACCAGGATACCCAGGGTATTTGTGTGGGTTTTGTGAAAAGGTTGTGGCAGGTGCGTGAGGAAAGCCAGCTCAGCTCAACGAGCTGAGCTGAGATGTATTCCAATGAATTCCAATCCCACATTGTGGTGGTGCGATTTATGGTTTGGCGATGTGTCCCCTTCAGCTGGCCGAGCGGCTCAAGCCGGCTGTCGGGACAGGGTATGGACTGTGCACGGTCAATTGGACAGGAGCATGATGCCTGCCGTTAACGCATGACGCGGTGGGCAACATGGACCCGGGATGCCCGACGCGGCTGGATATAGCGCAGCGTGAGCCATGTCGATGTTGCGGCCACTGGCCACTGGCAGTCAAACTGCGACAAATGAACGTCTTGACCAGGAAATAGGCCATATGACATGCGCCGCGCAGAATCCGCCACGCTGCCCACCGGTATAGGCCGCTGCCCACCACTAGCGCTCGCCGATGTGCCTTTGCAGGGTCACGAGGTGCCCAGGGGTGGCAAATATCAGGTCCACAACGTCAGTAGTGGCGCCCAGTGGTGCAAGTGTGCAGATAACACCCCCAGCGTGATTGCCGTACGACGTCGTTGGAGCACGATCCATTTAAAGCTGCTGCTGCTGCTCTCACATCAGGTGACCCCCGCTACATCTTTCATCCGTCCCCAGGCGCGTATTGCTTGCCACCATGAACCCAGTCACCACGGAGCACCATGTGTCCAGCTCGGACGACCACCAGGGTCTCGGCCCCGAGTACGAGAAGTACGACCGCGAGAAGGGGGATGACGGCCACGCCGTTGTTATCGCAGCCCCCGACGATGTCGAGGGTATCATCGCAGCCGAACACCAGTTCACAGACAAGGAGTACAAGCGCCTGCTTCGCAAGATTGACATGTAAGTGGCACTTGGGGAATTCCTCCGGCTGACGCCTCCAGGATCATCATGGTGTGTCCCTCCACCTTCCCACATGTCTCATACTCATTTTACAGCCTCTCCTCATGATCAGTTACGGTCTACAATACGTAGACAAGACGTCGTTGTCCTACGGTGTGGTGTTCGGCCTGAAGAAGGATACGAATCTCGTTGGACAGCAATATCAACTTCTGTCCGCTTGGTTTTGTGAGCCGTCCCGGTATCGAGGCTCTCCGCCTGGACGCAGTGTTCAGTACTGACTCAATAGACCTGGCGTACGCATGCGCCCAGCTACCCATGGGTTACCTTCTTCAACGTTTCCCCCTAGGCCGCGGACTTGGTGTCTGCCTCGTCCTCTGGGGTGCCATGGTCATGCTCCTCGGCGCTTGCCACAACTACGCCGAGCTTAGCGTCGTTCGTGTCCTACTTGGGTGGTTCGAAAGCGTGATCACCCCTTGCTTTGCCATTCTCACATCTTCCTGGTACCTGCGTAAGGAACAAACGCTGCGCCAGAACATGTACTACGCCATGAGTGAGTGGCCGAAAGTTTGGCCCGGCACTGTCCATTGCGCCCTACCCCGACCTCATGTTACAGCTTCTAACGTACCCAGACCAGTGCTTCAGCTTGATCTTTGGTATTGCCATCTACGAACTGGCCCTCAACGCTGAGAGGCACGGCGGCCTGGCCGCGTGGCGTGTGATCAACCTCTTCCTCGGAGGAGTCACCGTCGGTGTTGGCTTCATCTTCCTCGTCTTTGTCGGCACTCCGACCGAAGTCTGGTGGCTCACAAAGCGTGAGAAGCTCATGGCCCATGCCCGTATTGTCTCCAACTCCACCGGTGGCGGTGAACAGCACCCGTGGCGGTGGGATCAGGTCAAGGACTGCCTTCGCGACCCCCAGTACTGGCACGCTATTGCGTACAACTTTTTGGCCTGTATTCCCAACGGTGCCGTCACTACGTTCCAGACACTCATCATGGCGTCCTTTGGGTTCAACTCGCTCCAGACAGTTCTGTACCAGCTGCCTGGAAACGCCGTCACCCTCGTCATCCTCGTCGCCACCGCCGTCACCGTTCACTACAAACCCAAGACCCGTTTCGCTTTCTGCTTGCTCTACCAGTTCGTCTGCGTTTTCATCTTCTTCTTCGAGGGCTTTGCACCGACATCCATGAGCAAATGGGCCAAGTGGGGTGTTTTCCTGCCGATTGCGACGTTCTCCATCACATCGTTCTTGCTTTGGGTGAGTTTCGGAGGTCGCCACCGCAAAATCGATCCGCGGTGCCACACTTGGATTTTCGCTGACTTTTTCCAGCCCCTCATGTCCGTCAACATCGCCGGCCGTACCAAGAAGTCGTTCTACGGCGCCACGACCTTCTTCGCCTACTGTGCTGGTAACATTGTCGGTTCGCAGATCTTCCTCCCCAAGGACGCGCCGCGCTACATCCCCGGCCTGGTGTCGTGTGCCGCGATTATGCTCCTCAACTGTGTCAACCTCGTGGGCTGGTGGCACTACTACGTCCGCACCAACCGTAAGCGCGAAGCGGCCTTCGTGGTCAGTGGTCTCACTGAGGAGGAGCGCGAACACGCCAACCGTGTGGCCGGCGAGACCGACATTACCGATTGCCAGAATCCACACTTCCGTTACTCCTGTTAGGGAATTTAATGCGCAAAAGTTGTGAGAGAAGAGTTACGAGTTTTCAAGGTTGTTTGAATCGAGTCTGAACGCGTTGTCCGGTGGAGCGAGTTGTAGTAAGCAATAACGCAATGACATGTGCTTTCTTGGTACCTTGGAGGGGCAGATTACAGAAAACTCAACGAGATAAGTGCCACGATCGTTGGTGGCCGCCAATGCGCCACGCCACGCCACGCACACTCCGCTGGGCCGCTGTTGGGCTCAATGATGTTTCGGACGTCGGCCGGATGCAGTGATCCGTACACCTGTATGTAACAGCTTGTATCGACATCAATGGGGGCCTACAGCGACGACGTGTCTGAAGGTAGGACACTGTCTCGCCTTCCCGGCGAAACACAAACCCAAAGAAGCTTGAAGGCGGGCCGCTGCAATCCTTTTGGCTTCATCTGCGGGTACAGGAAAAGACCTGTTTACTGGTACAGTACTGATGCAGGGTACACGCTCCCACCGACCGACCCCACTGATTCAATCTTGGCCTCGAGCCTTGATCGCCTTGACATCAGTTGCCACGTTGCCACCAGTTGCCACCGTTGTCACAGAAGGAGTTAGCCGACCCAGTCCATCCCCTTTACCAACAGATTTGGAGATCCCTGGCTGGCATAACCTTCGTTTGCTCACGATTTGGTGTTATCGTGGCCCTCGAGATTAAAAGCATGCATGCGGAGATGGCTTAACGAGCTAGCCGGTCTCACCGAACATTGAATTCTGACACGGAGCGGCCATTGACCCGCAATTGCCCATTGTGGCTTGAAGTTCCGCCGTGCCTCCTTCCCAACCAGCCCTCTTCCGGAACGCCTGCGGTGGAAGCCTTGATACCGTGGGTTCTCGCAGCAATGTCCCCACAATGCATGTGATCCTCTTGTAGCAGCGAGCATGCCGAGACGACTCGGTTATCGCTCATATACCCATCCACCCCGTTACATATGGCAACATGAGCGTCCTTCTAGAACCAAGCCTTCGCTTGAGCGAGAAAGCACTCGAGTAAGCACACCCGTCCCCACAAAGTGGCCCCGCGTCACGCACCCAGTTCCTGAGCCCACGCTGAACGCTGCGCAGTACCGTTGTCAAGACTGAGCCCGTGAGCACCTCTTCGACATTGCTTCCCACCGCCCGCCCACCACCGTGCTGACCATCCAGGTGCCCATCGTCTTGATGGACTCGTCAAAGCCCAACAAGAAGCCAAAGAAGGAGATCCGCACAGCAACAGGCTTCGATAACGACGACGAGGCATTCTGCTGCGGTGGAGGCGGGAGCGGCGGCGGCTTCCGGAGCTGCTTTGGTGGTGGACGCAAGAAGTAAACAAGCACTCGGACGCTCTTCTGGATGGACACTTGGCGCATGAGCGACCGAGTAGCGAGGGACTAATGTATATATTTCTGTATGTAATGCATGAAACACACGAAACGCTGGCTGTGGGTGGTGTTGATAGGACGACCTGCGTGAGACATCAAATGAGTACTGTACTTGCATGAGGCGGACAGGCTGCTGCGACCGTGCCTGGCTCAGACATGCAGTATCATGTACGACGAGAACAGGCCTGTTGCCGCGCACAATGCGGCTCGTCGTGCTGTGAAACCAGCCGCGCTTCTCACTGATCACTGAGCTGCACACTCGCATTCCCCCGTTAACTGTTACATCTGAATGCTACTCTATTTTGGGGTACTCGGGGAGGCCGTGAGTCCGACTGCGGATCGATTACAAACGCTGCGGTCCCTCTCGAACAGCTCTCAACCCATTCTAGCCCTCTACGGTGGCGAGGGGGTGGTGATTATATGTACTAATTGTTCAGGTCCAACATTGCCCATGCAAGGATGCATGGGGCGCCCTGTGGACGGTGTCAAATCGCGGCTCATCGAAAGGGTGTGGCACCAGAGGAGGCCGCCCGGTTTGACGTGTCGTCAAAAAATTGTCCTGGGAAAAAGAAAGAAAAGCCTGAGAAAAACGAGAAAAGAAAGCGAGCCGTTTACCAGCACCACTTGCTGGTGACCGTGGCGGTGGTGCGGACGGTGACGGTAGTGGTGGGGTTGCTGCACGGCTTGGTGGACGTAACGGGGGGAGCGGTGATAGTGCTGTAGCAAGTAGAGGTCTTGGTGACGAGGGTGATGGTGGGGATGTACGAAGTCTTGGTGAGGAGGCAGCTCTGGACGTTGGTGGTGGCGCAAGGGGCAGTGGTCTTGGTGACCCAAGCAGTCGAAGACACGGTCGTGGGGGTGCACGAAGGGCCGACGGGCCAGAAGAAGCGCTTCTCCTCCTGGGGGCTGCGGAGAGGCAGACCGAGCTGCATGCGCTCGGCGTTCGTGAGGTGCTTGGGGATCTCGTCCTTCTTCCACTTGTTCGCACAGACAGTAGACGTAGCGGCGCAAACAGTCAGAGTACGGGTGGCGGTGGGAGTGCCCGTGACAATGACGGTGGGGGTCTTGGTCACGGTCTGCCATAGTCAGTTATCGTACACACCATGCTTTTTGTGCCACTTACACCAGTCGAAGTCACGGTCGTGGTCTTGCACTCGGTTGTGGGCTTAGTCACAGTGGTAGTGCACCAAGCCGGGACAGTGTGGGTAACAGTGGTGGTCGCCGAGCCGGGAACAGTGGTTGTACGGGTGCAGCCGACTGTGGTAGTGCCACAGATGGGCTTGTTGCCAAACGTGGCAAAAACGAAGGGGAGGAGGGAGAGGAGGTAGACGAGGACGAGCATCTTGGTGCTGTGACGTTCAAGGGGGATTGAGTCGGGTCGAGAGAAGGAAGGTTGAGGAGGTAGAAGTCCTCAAAGAAAGGGGAGGGAGTGGAACAAAGTTGGTTTTAGTCTCTACCAGTCAAGAAAGGGGAACAAGATGGGGTGGGGGTGTTGGCCAACGTACACCCCCGTTGACATCTTAAGCAAAACCTGTGAATGCGGCCAAACAGGTTCTTTCCACCGTTCCGCCAGGCAGAGGATAGCCATTGCTGCATGCTGCGCGGAAGACATGGCTTGCCCCCATGTGCCAAGGCCGGCCAACTCGGTCGCGGGAGGACCCTATGCCGTGGCCCTTTGGCAAACCTACCGCAACATCTGACTCCGCGTTGCTATTGTTGCTATGCGTACTCTCCCCCGTTTCACGAAAGCACTCTGGCAATGATTGCCGTGCGGTGCAGGCACGCGGACAGGCAGCGGGAAGTCTTGCATCCGCAGTACATGGGCAGAGGAACAGAGCTGGTGACGCTCCAGACCCAGAAGCACCATGCCACAGCTAGAAGCGCGGCTGCACGTCTACCTAAACCTACGAGTGGCCTGTCTCATGTGTTGAAGCAAGCCACACTTGAGGCTTGAGGATTGAGGCGTTTACCTCTATCGACTAGCGGATGGAAGAGGGTACGTTTCAGCCATTGCAGTTGAGTAGTAGAACCTGGTTGGGCTTGGCAAAGAACAACAAGGAAACGGTAAGCCCCCATTGCGCTTTGGAAAGCCAGTGCCTCCTCAATGCCAGTGTGCAGCTTGTCACGAACAAACTCGATCATCTAAAGCTTCAGCTGACCGGCTTTCCATGTGAACTCCCAAAGCACAACAAAGTATGCAGTCATACCACAGGCACCTGGAACGACAAGCTGTGTGATGCCATGTTTAGAGCAGCCTGGGGGCGCCTAGCTTCCGCTTTCTGCCAACTGTTTTGAAGATCAGAACTCACTCAGGTCGTTTTGAGTGTCCCGGTTCCTGAACGGGACACAGGACTTGCCATGTTGACGTCGTCTGTGCCCTTCTCTTTGTTCAGGCATCTGGGCCAAGCAAACGCCTCCCCGCGGATGCTCGGTGCCGCGGAAGTGCCTGTCATTACATATCTTGGGTACGCGTCTTCAGCACAACAGGACACTGGCGATTGGGGCAATGAGCGCAGGTCACCTTTATCCTCCTGGCTGTCGGCCCTTCGATCCTGCGAGAAGGCTTGTTGTGCTTTCGGCAATGCCCGATGGTGCACACTTTTCGACAGCGGCAGAAAAGGCTGCCGAAAAGCTGCCGGCAGTGTGGTGCTGACGTCGTCTCACGCGTGTGAACGTGGCCAGCAAGCATGTGGCGGAGAGGGACGGGGCAAACGAACCAATGGCTTGGCAGGGCGAATCAGCTTCCCGAAAGTTGTTAAAAGAATATGGAGCGCGATTTTATTATTCAGTGATCAGTGATTACTAATGGCCTTAGGCTTCCCACAATGCTTTGCTCGCCATGCACTGCGGGAAACATTGGGTGGACTATGGATTCCCGCAGTATGCGATCAAAGTGCAACTACCTTAGGCGACCACTGACCCCTCTGGTCGCTGGGTGCTGTGTATCAGCCAGCCACCTGTCCTGAACTGTCGGGACCGCTATTCGGAGTGGGTCCTCTAGGTCATCTCTCAGCCCACTGACAGGCTGAGGAGGACCTTTTGCAAGCCACCAGTTGCGCTCAAAGTACCCTTTGTTATAACCTCGTCTTAACGCCAACCTGCACCAGGCCCTCCTCACAAGCCGTGAACACTCTTTTGATGCCATTTGTGTTGGGCGGCCGCTGAAACTCGTCACGGAGTTGAACCGAGGCTGTTCAATGCCAATAAGATCCCACTAGACGCTTTCAAGCTCCACCGTAGCAGGTAAGTACTGGACATGTGTGGATGAGCTGACCACGGTTTGCTCTTTATGTATCCTCTCGTAACCATCGACGCATGTATTCTCCGCAATACCTCGTGTGTCGTACAGTAGAGTACAGTACAGTACGTATATCCAGGTATGAGGGACACCAACAAACGCCGGACTGCAAGTTACCAAAGGGTCACGCCCGGAACCGGACGGGAGTGCTAGTTGGTAAGGAGATCCTTCTGTTTGGGGTCGTCACAAGGCAGCAGCAACACTCTCGTGTTTGTGCGTTTGTTTGCCAAGTCTTGTCCGGGATCGGGATGACTCGCGCAGGGGGGCGATGGAGGAAACGTTCAGTAATCGGCTATCCAAATATTAGGGTGAGGCAGGTGGCAACAGCCGCCTCTCACCTGATATCACCTGTTGTGGCGTGGCCTTAGTGGAGGGGAAAAAACAAGCGAGGTATGTGATCACTGCCAAGCAGAAAAACTCGATCGACTGGTAGCAAATAGGACCTGACGTCGATGGGTTGATACTCCTGGCACTCGTTTAACTTCTTACACACCAGTTCGCGGTCAGTTCACAACATGGTCCCAACGTTGTTGTGTTGTTTCTCTCCCACGGTGGTTCAAAGCGGTCAACCCATCACCCCCATGTCGTCATTCAGCCACCAACTGCCGAGCTGCGAACCGTTGATTGCCGAAAGCCGGCATCTGCCATCGCTCGACAAGACAGTGGGATTGCCCACTCACAAGCTTCTCATTATGCACCATGGCCGCCCCAACAACAACAGATCAAGAAGTGTCTGGGCTCCGCGCTGGCCTCACCAACTATGGAGACCCAGACTTTGCCCTCTTCCTTCGCAAGGCATTCATCAAGGGCGCAGGCTACTCTGATGACGCACTGGACCGGCGGATTGTGGGCATCCTCGACACGCAGGTGGGTAGCTGGTCGCCAGTTGACAAGCTGACACCTTTAGAGTGGTTACAATCCCTGTCATGCAAATGTCCCCCAGCTCCTGGAGGCGGTTAAGCGCGGCGTCATGCTGCAAGGCGCACTGCCGGTGACGTTCCCGACAATCTCACTGCACGAGTCGTTTTCGTATCCCACGTCCATGTTCTTGCGGTACGTCAACCAGTACAGGCGTGTGGCTGACGCTGCAGAAACCTCATGAGCATGGACACCGAAGAGATGATCAAAGCCGCCCCGATGGACGCCGTCATCCTCATTGGCGGGTGTGATAAGACCGTCCCTGCGGAGCTCATGGGCGCCATCTCGGCCGACCTGCCCGCCATCCAGCTCGTTGTTGGCCCCATGGTCACAGGCTCTCACCGTGGAGTGCGTGTTGGCGCCTGCACAGACTGTCGCGGGTACTGGGCCAAATACCGTGCTGGAGAGATTGATATCGAAGAGATTGGCAATGTCGGCAACGAGTTGGTCCCAAGCTCAGGTGTGAGTGTGCCATGCCCAAGGACACAAGCTGAATCCAGACCTGTGGCGTGATGGGTACTGCCTCTACGATGGCCTGCATCACCGAGGCCCTCGGTATCGCACCTCTCGGGAGTGCATGCCCCCCAGCAAACGGATCGCAGCGCCTCCGTGTCGCTGAGCTCACTGGTAAACTTGCCGCCAAACCTCTTCTCCGCCCGACTGAGATTATTACTCGCAAGTCGTTTGAAAACGCCATCACGGTCCTGCAAGCTATTGGAGGAAGCACCAACGCCGTCGTGCACCTCCTGGCCATCGCTGGACGGGTCCCAGGCCTCGACCTGACCCTGGACGACTTTGACCGGATTGGACGCAAGACGCCGCTTCTCGTCGACCTGAAGCCCAGCGGTGTCAACTACATGGAAGACTTTTACAAGGCCGGCGGTGTACCCGTGCTTCTGAAGCAGCTGGCACCCCTCCTTCACCTTGATTCTGTCACCATCACCGGCCGCACCCTCGGCGAGGAACTCGCCATGCTCCCCACACCATTCGACCAGTCCATCGTGCGGCCCCTGTCTGACCCTCTGGTACCCAACTCGTCCCTGGTCGTGCTCCAAGGAAACCTGGCACCGAGCGGCTGCATCCTGAAGCAGTCGGCCATGTCGGCCTCGCTGAAGCATCATCGCGGAAAGGCCGTCGTCTTCAAGGATGCCGACGACATGCTCGCCCGCATAGATGACCCAAACCTCGAGGTTGAACCGGGCAGTGTGTGAGTGGATGATGTGTGATTTCTTCCTTGCCGCTGCACCTGTCCCTGACGCGTATAGCCTCGTGTTGCAGAACATTGGCCCCGTGGGTCATCCTGGTATGCCCGAGGCGGGGTACTTGCCGATCCCGAAGAAACTGGCGAGACACGGTGTCAAGGATATGCTTCGCATATCAGATGGCCGGATGTCGGGCACGGCCAGTGGCGCGGTCATCCTCCACGTTTCCCCCGAGGCGGCGGTTGGGGGCCCTCTGGCGGTCGTTGAGAGCGGAGATGAGATTGCGCTCGATGTCCAGACGCGCTCGCTCCAGCTCTGTATCCCAGACTCTGAGCTCGAGCGCCGCTTGGTGGCTTGGAAGGCTGCCAACCCCACTGGTACGGGCAGGAAACGACCTGAGCGCGGGTACCGCCAACTCTACCACGACCGTGTAGTGCAAGCGGACAAGGGTGCAGACTTTGATTTCTTGCGCAGTGCGGATAAATGAAAAGCGCGAGACACAGAGTGCTGCCTAAGTATGCGGAATGCCAATTTACCCCGTGGAGCCAACGTGCGTCCACTCGCTGCGATAAAGGCATTACAAACCAATTAGCAAGTGATCAGGTGACTACCAAATGGGCTAAATGAGGCGTTTCGGCGGCATCCGTAGTCAGATATCCACGGTTCTACCAGTTGCCGATTGATTCAACCTGCAGTACGCAGTGGTCTCACAGCCCCACCAACGAACACTCAGAATAGCGTTTACCAGAGGGTTCCCTGCTCGCACGCTTGGAATCCAGGCCTGTCCTGACATGCTGAGTGAGCAACAACGAGACACGGAAAAACGAAGCGAGTTGGGTGGCCACAGGATGCCGATTGCATTAACCGAGATTGCAATAGGTGATTCTCTGAGGTCATCAGCCCGTGTCTGAGGCGCCACGGCGGCCGCCTCGGGGTTCGGAAACCCCGCGTTTGTACATGCCCACCACCACCTGACCTGCCATGGTGACTAGTTCTGCTGTATTGCCGGCGAGCGGGCCGCAGAGCTAAGCGGTGTACGTGCAATGGTTCGAGTTCCCCCATTTATTCGCACTTGAACCGCGCATCCCCCCTCTTCCCCATCACACGGTCCATCGTTTACAGACATAGCCCACCATGTCCACACTTGCAGCCACCCAGATCTCCCTGCCCAACGGCAAGACCTACGCTCAGCCAACAGGTCTGTTTATCAACAATGAGTTTGTTGCTGGTAGCGACGCCAAGATCGACACGATCGATCCTTACACCGGCAAGGTCATCTGTGCCATGGAGGCTGCCAGTGCCGCCGATATCGACGTGGCGGTAGCTGCGGCTGAGAAGGCCAAGAGGGGATGGCGCGACACCCTCCCCGCCCAGCGTGCCGCTCTGCTCAACAAGATGGCTGATCTCATTGAGCGTGACGCCGACATCATTGCCGCTATTGACGTGAGTCGGCCGTCTTCCTGATCCCTCAGCTAATCTCGCTTCAGTCGACCGACAACGGCAAGGCCTTCACTATGGCTAGGCATGTCGACCTCGTCGGAGCTATCAGCTGTTTCCGCTTCTACGCTGGCTACGCCGACAAGATCCACGGTCAGACCATGGAGCTCGGTCGCGACATGCACGGCTACACCAAGCGGGAGCCCTACGGTGTCTGTGGACAGATCATTCCCGTAAGTCGCAACCACCACAAATCTATGGCACTGCCACAAAATCGCTGACTCTCATCTCAGTGGAACTTCCCCTTCCTTATGTGGGCATGGAAGGTCGCTCCCGCCCTCGCTACCGGCAACGTCATCGTTCTCAAGTCGGCCGAGCAGACCCCTCTCTCGTGCGCCTACGGCGCCTCGCTGATCAAGGAGGCTGGCTTCCCCCCTGGTGTGGCCAACTTTGTCACTGGTCTCGGCAAGACCACCGGTGTTGCCATTGCCACGCACATGAAGATCCGCAAGGTCGCCTTCACCGGCAGCACCCTCGTCGGACGCCAGATCATGAAGATGGCCGCCGAGAGCAACCTCAAGAAGGTTTCGCTCGAGCTCGGCGGCAAGTCGCCCCACATCATCTTTGCCGACGCCGACTTTGACAAGGCGGTCGAGACTGTTGCCAACGGCATCTACTTCAACCAGGGCCAGGTGTGCGTTGCTGGCTCGCGCGCGTTTGTCGAGGCTCCCATCTACGACAAGTTCCTCGAGGCTCTCAAGGCGCGCACCGCCCAGGTCAAGAGTGGTAACCCCTTCGACCCCACCACGTACCACGGTCCTCAGGTGTCGGCCATCCAGTGCGAGCGCATCAACGCGCTCATCGAGGGCGGTGTCAAGGCCGGTGCCAAGGTCGTTGCCGGCGGCGGCAAGCACGAGCTCGGCGGCCTCTTCATCTCGCCCACCGTCTTCTCCGATGTCACCGGCACGTCGCCCCTCCAGAACGAGATCTTTGGCCCTGTCCTGGTCATCTCGCCGTTCAAGACCATTGAGGAGGTCGTCGCCATTGCCAACGACACCGAGTACGGCCTCGCTTCGGGCCTGCACACGTCGTCGATCGACACTGCGCTCCGCATGGCCGACGAGCTCGAGGCGGGCACTGTCTGGATCAACCACTACGGCGGTGCCAGCCCCCAGCTTCCCTTCGGCGGCTACAAGCAGAGCGGTATCGGTCGCGAGAACGGCGACGCGGTTATCGGCGAGTACACCCAGATCAAGACCGTGTCCATTGCCCGTAACAACAACAAGAAGTAAGCCAGTCCACGCACTTGTATCTTGAGAGCAGCATGTTTAGGAGCTGCAGCAGGTCAAAGTCTCGTCTGTGAAGGAGCGAGGGAGAGAGTGAGAGAGTAAGAAGTCCTTTTGTAGTATGACGCGATGCGACGTCGTGTGCCAAAACGTTCTTGTCAGCTACGCGCCCTTGGTTGCAGCTGTCATAGGAAGCGGGCTGCTCCGTGAACGTCGGTTGTTGGGGGCCGGTTGCAGCGTCCCCATGTCCCCAAGAGAACCAGGTCAACCCCCCATCGCTTCGGTCCGAGGTGTTCTCTGGTGTTGCATGTTTCATAAGTATTTGTCGGCAGTTGATGGGGCACCCATAGTGGACTCTGGCGATGCTTGATATTCACACACTTGCAGCTCCTTGCTTATACTTGACGAGCAGTTTTGCTATTCACATTATACACACCTGCCTCGTATATGCTCTAGTCGTCTAAACAGAGTGGATCACGTGACCCGTCGCACAAGCCCGGGCACGCCCGGTTCACCGGCATGAAACGAGCCGGCGCAGCCGGAAGGGTAATCGTGTTCTCGTTTCCCTGCGCCCGCCGCTTACAGTTTGGCGGTTGGGAAATATGGGGCATCGAGGTCGTTGTGGATGGCCGTGAGACCAGCGCGCATAGCTTCCACCATCGTTGTTGGGCGTCTCTGCTCGGGGTGGACAAAGACGTGCGTGAAGCCGCCGACCGCGGAGACGGTGTTGCTTCCCTGGGCGAACTAGTAGGTGATGAGCACGAGCCCACCACGCGGAGCGATTCCAGTCCGACTCACAAATCCCACTTCGTAGGTCACACTCGAGTTGCCCAGCTTGCTCACGCGGAGGCCGAGGTCGACCACTTGGGGAAAGGACAAGGAGGAAAAGTAGTTGCACTGCGACGAGACGACAAGGCCTATGGGGTCGGTGTTCGATGGGTCTGCCGGCTTGAGGGCGCAGCGCTCGATGAGATAGCTGTTCACCACAGAGTCGATGCTGGTGAAGTGTTAGGGCTGGGGCCAAGCCTCAAAGGCGCGCAATACACTCACAGAAAGTTGTAGACAGAGTTGTTGAGGTGGCCATACTGGTCATTATCAGCCCAGCGCAGCCTGTAGGCCAAAGTGAAGGGGTAGTTTGAGCGGAGGCGGTTGCGAAGCACGCCGATGGCTGTCATGGTCGTCGGGATTGCAGTTGGGGGGGGGGGGCCGAAAGAGGATGTGGTTGGAAAATGCTACACGTTCCAGGTTTCAGCGAACGTAGAGTTCTATACAGCGGTCGAGAAGTCGTTGCGATTAAGGCGTGTGGGAGACAGAAAGGAAGCGAAGTGATATAGTTCATGTGGTGAAACGCCCCACCCACACAGTAACCTGGCTGGCTCAACCGCGGACGTATTTCGGGTTTTTGTCTCCCATGACGTCGGAACCAAACAAACATGGCTGCTTGGATGTACTTGCATGCTTGCAGTCCCCCTCGTTAAGACTATAAGACACGAGGGCCAGGTCGGAGTCAGCAGATGTATATGCCCGCGATGACGGGCAATGCATGACTCCCGCGGAGGTGTCGTGCTTGATAGCATGACAACATGACGGGCAGGTGGAAAGGTACTAGCTTTCTCATGTCAACAGGAGCAAAGGCCGCAGGCAGACGTGTACCGAAACCTTGTTGGGGACATCCTCAAACATGGCCAGACCGGACGGATGTCTCTAGACGTCTTGCGTTCTGACATTTGCGTGCATGTTGTGTACCAACCTGTTGACTGCAAAGCAGGAACCGCAGCAAAAGGTCGCAAACGAAAAGCAGTCGCGACAAGGACGTGTCATGTTTGAAGAACGAGTCAAACACCGGAATGCAAGCCTCCATGGTTGGCAATGCAACGAATCTTGAAAGGAATCCTCTCGGCTCTACGGGCCTCTTGGTTTTGTTCAAGAGGCGAAGGCTGGCTAGGTTGGCATGTCGTGTGGGAGTCGTCGTGGCTGATCAGCACGTTGAAACATGACAATGCACCAGAGTCCGGGCAAGGCACAACCGTCTTTTGACCTCTTCTGGTATACGGGACAACATTGAAAGGCGTTCCAGCGTCAGAACGACGTCTCCAAGAAGTTCCTGTGGTCTCGTGAACGACAGCGTCGCGTGGTGTCGCTACTTGGCACACGTTCCCACGTAATGCAGCACGCCGCTTGACTTACTGGTCGGTCATGAAATAAGGCGGCATTGCAATCGCCACCCTTCACGGCAACCTGCTGATCCGCAGCCATACGGTCTTTTACTGGCATCTGGCCCCAGTTCCTGATGCCCCGAACACCACCGCAAGTCCCCATAAGTCGGCTGATAGCAAACATTACGTTGAGCGGGAATAAATGCAAGATATAGTCGTGTTGCACGCAGGGTATGCCACGATCCAAGATTATCTTAAGAGCCCACAGGCGAGAGAGTAGCCTTGACCGTACGACCGTGCTGGTTTCCACTCAACGGCAAGGCCAAGTGCCTGTCGGACCTGGGGCCTACTGCCTTGTCAGTATGGGCTGGATCCAAACGCCAGACATCGCGACATCCATCAGCTAGCTGGTACTGAAACCCGTGCCCAGCCGTTCCAATATTCCGTCATACCATTCCGCCAGGCACCTATGCCTCTGTCCATGTCGCCTCTGAACGCTTTGTTACGAACGCCGTGGCGGGAACGTTGGTTTCGCTTTGCCGCGCCTGCTAATCAGTCCATGTGTCGACAGCTTGAGCAATGGCGCGTGGTTACCGTCGCGACCTGACAATGGCAGCGGTGGGGCGTGTTCATGTACGGCAATGTAATGACGTTGGACCGCTCTAAGATACCGAAAGAGGGACTTTGGGCCTCATAGATGTGTACACGACGGGGTTTGGATTCTCAGATTCAGTAGTATACATTGCAGCGGACAGACTCTCGCAATGTACGCTCCCCTACCCGCCTCCCCTCCCCAGCTCATATCTTCTCGTAATGACTAGCACATGAGCGCGAACATTGCTGCGGACGGAAGCGCGGCAATGTTTGGTTCATGTCCGCCATCATGAGCCGGCCAAACTTCTTGCTGCTATTAAAAGGAGGTGTCGCTAGCGCCAACGTGGACTCCCATCCCACAAGTTCCTTCACTCCCGACTCCTCTTCGTGTCGTAGGTACACAGCTTGGTAAGTTTCTGAGTGTCAAAGGTCGGAGCTGACCGCAGGTCGCACCCTTGTGGCGCCACTCATCCCGAAACAACACTCAACACTGACGCTATCTCCCCCTTGTACGTCTACCATCGCTGTCGCGCCGGCTGACCGATACAGTTTTGTACAACTATGAAGCTCCAGAAGAACACCTTGGTAGCTCTTGCTGTCGTCTTGGGCACTGCTACACCCTCGGTGGTTGCGGCTCCCTCGTGGCCTCGGCCGCACCAAGGTGGTTTCAAGGGTCTGTGTTTCCCTCCTTGGTTTGTAGGCGGATGTCCTAAGAGCGCGGCCGTGTCCGCGACAACGACTCCTGCTTCGACTCCGGTTGTATCTCCTACCACTGTGGACGTCCCCACAACTGTGGACGTCCCCACGACTGTCGACACTGCTACCGCTGTTGACACCGGTACCCCGCCGGTCGACAGTGCTACTACCCCCGTTGACTCGCCGTCTCCGACCGACTCCGCCCAGCCCACTACCACTCCTACTGCCACACCCACGTCCGTGGACCCCGTAGTTACTAGTAGCATTGCCCCGTCAAACGACACTACTACCACTGTCGAACCCAGTTCGTCAGACGCACCCAACGCCACAGTCACCTCAGATGTGCCTACCGCAAGCAAAGCTTCCACTACAATCGCAGCCATCGCCGGTACCGCCAGCCAGTCTGGCGAGTACCTGTACGTATGGGCTGGAGCCGACGGCCGCAAGGTATCCGACCGCCTTGTCACCCTAGACTACAACCGTAACAGCAGGACGTATGGTAGCATGGTCTCATACACCATGCTTCCCGCTGGTAACGACCTTGGCAACGAACCTCACCACTGTGGCATGTCGTCCGATGGCAAGACCCTGCTCTGCGGTGGTCTCCTTTCTTTGCTCAACAGCCAGCAATCTATCTTCCGCTACGACCTCTCGAATCCGGCGATGCCGACTCTCGTCGGCATGACCAGTGGAAAGCTCGGTGGTGTCCCCGATGAGTTTTACGCTCTCGGCGACAACAGTTTCCTCCTTACTGAGATGGGATCGGCGGCTGGTGGCTCGCCCGGTCGTGTGGCCCATCTGGACAACCAGGGCAACGTCATTGCTGAATATCCCGAGGGTGACACACCTGACGGGTTCAACCCGCACGGTCTCGACATTCGTGACGACCTCAACCTCATGATCACTTGCGACTATGTCGACCCTGGCAGCACACTCAACTCTTCTCCCGGGGGCGTCATTCTCCGTTCGTCCGTTCGCGTGTGGGACTATAACGCCAAGACAATCTCCAGCACCATTGACCTCACCTCTGGTACTGGGTCCATGGACTGCAAGTTGATGAAGAAGGACGCCAAGGGTCGCGGCTTTGTCGGCGGCAGTGGCAACGGCCAGATCTTCATGTTTGACCCGTCCACCGGCAACGCCACGCAGGTCATCAACATGAACAATGACATTCTCCCGGACAGCCTCAAGAGCGTGTACACCATCCTTGCGCAGTACATGCAAGTCAGCGACGACGACAGGCGCATGTACGTCCCTTACATCTCCGACTTTGCCTCGAACAACCGCAACGCTTTCTACTCTGGTCTCGCCACGTACGACATTACCAACCCACTCAAGCCCGTTTTGCTTCAGAACAAGGCTTTCCCCGCTTACGCCGGCCCCCACCTCTGCCACATCATCGCCGGCCGTCTGGTCATCACCGACTACTTCCTTGACGAAGACGACTTTGGCAGGATCCACTTCAACGGCGACCACTTTATCCGTGTCTTCAACCTCGACTCGAACGGCCTTCCCGTCGAGAGCGGCAAGGGTGTCGACTCGAACAACCTGTTCCCCGATCTTGATCTCCGTCCTCACGGCGTGGCCTACCACAAGGGTTAAAGAAATGAATATACATAAATCGGCCCTCCATCGCGGGTCAGTACTGTAGATACCCTTAGCTCTCTATCGTTTCTGTACATTGGTGAAAATGGACCTTTTCTCTCCCTGGAAGCACGCACCGATATTCGCCAAGACAACTGAGTGCACCAACAGCGCCGGCAAGAGATCGTGGGACTGGGCTCCACGGGGCTCGATTAGATCTCGGATTGTTCCGATGTTTGCATCTCACAGGCGCGGGATTCCATCCTTCCGTGCCGTCAACCGACGCGCCCGATGGACGCGTGGCTTGTCTGGTAACGCTGACAGGGGTGAATATGGTTCCCAGATTCGAGCTTGACAACGAGAGAAATGACTACAGGAGTGCATGAGTTGTTCCCTTGGGTTCCCGCTGCTTGCGGTGGTCTCGCCGTCCATTCCTTTGTTTACACAACCAGCAGGTGCCTGGCATCACCTCACACTGGAATCTTGAATCGTTCGACTGGAATTCCCAACACCCACATCAGCCGCGCGGGCTTTGCAATCGCTGCAGTACCTCTTTCGTGGACAGTACCTCGCCAAATCCGGCTGCGAGCGCGCGCAACGAGTTGGAATGCAGTGTCTGACTCTCGGCACCGCACGCGTCCGACGCGACCCACGTCTCAAACCCACGGTTGAACGCCGAGCGCGCAGTCGTCTCGCCTGGTCACGTTAGCCTTTTCCGAGCTCTGAGAGAGGCGGGTTGCGTGTGGCGGGTTATGGGCCACTCACAGCAAAAGTTGGTCAAGACGCCACACACGACAACCCGCTCGATACGGCGAGCACGGAGCGTCTCCTCGAGACCAGTGTGGATGAACGCATCGTACGTGTCCTTGTCTTGCACTTGTACGTCACTTGTGGCTGGAGGTAACAAGTCGGGGAGCAGGTGCCATGACTCGGCGAACCGGTGGATGGAGCCGTCAGGACCCCAGAAGCGGACGAGTTCAGAGACCTCGGCTCCACTCAGTTGTGCTGGTGTGTGTCCGTGTTGGGTGTAGACGACAGTCAGGTCGTCAGAGTGAAAGTGATCGATCAGGAGGTTGACGTTGGCAGTGATCGGGGCGGCGGATGTCGTAAAGTGCCGCTGCATGTCAATGACAAGAAGCGCTGTCATGTTGAGTTTGGTGAGAGAGGTACGTGAAGCGATCCTGCTTGGCGAGGTCGATCTCAGTTCGTGGCCTGGAGACACGACGTCATGGAAAGGTGGAACAAAGGCTTGGAATGCCGGCCCGGCCCGATTGTGATTGCGGGGCACCGTTACGTGCAACGTCAACAACTCATACCTACCTGCATGTACTGTATACCCCACGGTCTGTACGTCGGGACACGTCCTTTGTTGTGAAATGTAGGTGCGCTGTTTGGAGTACTTAGCGTACCACAGTAAACACAGGCTTCCTCCCAGAGCTATTAAACCTCGTCAATCAAATCAGGCCAGTGTTGTCCATACTCCTTGACATTTGGTTACATTTCGCTTAATGGGTGACTAGTACACGCCTGGGATGATCCTCCACTTAACCTGCTCCTTGTACTTGACCCAGTCCGCACCGTACTTCTCAGCACATCCATTGTCATCGCGTCGCTCACGGTGGATGAGCAGGAAACCGAAATATGCCGAGTAAAAGTAGGTGACCAGCATGCCCCACGGGGCGACACCTTCCTGAGTGACCTGGCGACCATCGAGCAGGGTCTGGACGCCCACACCGGCCAAGGCACTGCCTGCGGGAAGAATAGCGTATCCGGCAAGTCCTGTGGGGAGGCAGAAGGGCAGCGACTGGATCCAATCGCCAAAGTAGTTGATGTGGCGAGCTCGACCCCACCAACCGCCAGTCAGGAGCCTCGTGCCGCGCTGGGTCTGGATGAACGGCATGTCCTTGACCGACGGATGGTCCGGGTTCGTGCGGAAGCGGTTCTTCTGGCTGTTGGCGGAGCGGAAGATGAACAGGCCAATGCTGAAGACGGCGCCGATGGCTGCAATCTTGTTCCACCCCAGATGCACTGGGTAGACGCTGAGGTAGCGACACTGCGTCGAGTAGAGAAACGGCACCCAGACAATATCACCAAAGCTCAGCATGAAGCCGAGCCCGTCGGTGACAATGTCCATCATGCCCAGAATCCCAGACTCGAAGAACTGGCCTTCCAGCGCGTAATATGACTGGACAAGGGCCACAATGACGATGCTGTCACTCACGAACCCGTGCAGGCGGTACTGCTTTGCGATAAAGGCGCAGTCGAGGAGGATCCAGCCAGTCAGACCAGGACGCATTTCAAGCCAGGCCTTGACGTCGATTTCCCCAAAGAACGGCAGAGTCACGCGTGGGTTGAGTTCGCGGCCGATGTAGAAGTCGTAGATGACATTGCCAGTGTGCCCGCCCTTTGCCAGCTCACGCATTTCTGAGTTGCCAGCCTTGACAGAGAAACTCCTAAGGTAGACCCAGATGGAAATGGCGTACGACAAGAGGATGTTGCCGGTCAAAAGCTGGAGGTAGTTGTCGGTGATGAACGTCCAGACGGGGAAGGTGGCCCCGTAGATACATGTGCCAATGGCGCACGCCCCAAGTTCAACCACGGTCGCGTTGAAAGCTGGCGCTGTCAGTGTCTGGTGAACAAACAACAAGAACACACCATTGAACCTGTACTTGAGCGGCTTTCCAGACTCGCGCAGCTTGGTTCCCAGCGTCTCGTGGGCGGGCAGAACACGGTAGAGGACCAGGCTGAGGAAATAGTACGCGAACAGCCAGCCCGTCACCTCCCAGCTGAGGAACCCGTGAATGCCATTCTCAAGCCAGGGGATCTGGGACTTGAGCTTGTCCCAGGTGAGAGTCTTGATGTCGAGTAATGCGGGAGCGGGGCATCCCGAGACGTCGTTGCACCCAAAGTACAGCACGTTCATCAGAACGGGCAGGCCAAAGACGATGGCGGTGGCGCCCAGGCTGTTGCGGTCAATAACACCATCGCAGAACAAACAACGTACGGGCCCCCAAACTCGTAGCTGGGCCGTTCTGGTGAGCTTGCCATGTTGCTGGGGAGCTGGGGATGAGAACGGGAGAGTCGTTGAACCACGCTCTCGACGTGTTGCTCACGTCATGTTGAGGAACCATGCGCCGCATAGACATGCATCGATCCATCGTTCGATGATCGGCGTTTGGGAAGCCGCGGTAATCTCGCGTTTGGGCCCCGCATCTTGATTTCCAGGGCCGTGCTCAACTCATTAGCCGTATCGAGATGGTGGAGCTTTGCTGCAGTCTAGTTGAGGTAGTTACAGCGTGCTGAGGCAAGGCAGTGAGGATGTGACGTGAGGACGTCGGCGATGGCAAGCAGCCGTGGGGCCACAAGCAGCGGTTTCATACACAAGATGTACAACAGTGTGCCATTCACTTCCTACTCTTCGTCCTTCTTCTCCGCGGGAAGCGCCAACACGGGCTCCTTGGGAACCACGACACACTCCCTTCCAATCGCCTTGACACTCGACACGCCCGACAGCGACATTGTGAAGTCTAGCTCTGCCAGGATCCGCTCCATGACGGCCTTTGCGCCGTCGGCACCGTCAATTGCCAGGCCAAACAGCCATGGACGTCCCACCATGACCGCGTCAGCACCGAGCGCGAGGGCCTTGAACACGTCTGCGCCACTGCGGATGCCTGAGTCGAAGATGATCGGCACCTTGCCCTTCACAACACGCGCGATGGCATCTAACGCGTCCAGAGAGGCAATTGCGCCGTCCACCTGGCGTCCACCGTGATTGGAGACGCTGATACCGTCCACTCCGTGCTCGAGGGCGAGCAGGGCGTCGGCTGGGTGCTGGATACCCTTGAGCACGATGGGAAGGGTGGTCCAAGCGCGGAGCTTGGCAATGTCTGCCCACGTCAGGCTTGGGCAAGGGAAGGTGTCCAGGAAGGTGTCCACAGCCGCACGGGGTTGGCCCGAGAAGAGCTTGTCGACGAGGCGACCAGGGTAGTGACCGATGATGCTTGCAAGCGTCCAGATGGCACCGAGCGTGGGGCTTTGCTTGGGCAGGGCCGAAGCGACTTTGTTCTTGATACGGTCGTTGACCAGGTCGGTGAACACGGGGTCAGACGTGTACTGCGCGATACCCATGCCGCGTGCAAAGGGAAGGAAGCCAAGGTCCAGGTCCTTGACGCGCCAACCCATGCAGTGAGTGTCAAGAGTGACGACAATGGCGTGGGCCCCACACTTCTCAGCCCTCTGGACGAGCGACCGCGCAAATTCGTCGTTGTTGGACCAGTAGAGCTGGTACCACATGGGTGATTCGCCAAGCTCGGCAGAGGTGACCTCCATGGGCGTGGACCCCTGCGTTGAGAGGACCATTGGGATGTTGAGCGCCTTCGCCGCGCGGCCCACCGCACGTTCGGCTTGAGGATGCGCCATCTCCAGCACACCGATAGGCGCGAAGAGAAGGGGCGACGAGTACGAATGGCCGAACAGCTCGACCCCGAGTGAGCGGTTCTTGACATCCCGGAGCATGCGGGGGACGATCGGGTAGCGATCAAAGGCAGCCGTGTTGGCCTTGGCGGTGCGTTGCTGGCCAGCGGAACCCGCGACATACCACCATGCTTCTGGGGTGAGGTGCTTTTCTGCCTTGGCGGCGAGGAGGTCGGGCTCGACGGGAACGCGGGGTAGACGGCCGTATGCTCCATCAGCGTAGATGGCACCTTGGACGGCGCGTGCGTTGAAGGAGGAGGACATGGTGGATGAAGTGTGAATGGGAAGATGTGGACGCGATGGGAGTATATGGGGTGGACGTGCCGGACTACCAAGTAGCCGGTCCGAGCGTCATGGTCACCGGCCATCGCCGATCCCTTCTGCTCCGGCTGCTATATGCGTCGACCATCTGTTTACACATCTATTTCTGCCCTTGACGATGTACAGGGCGACTACGTGTTGCAGTAACACGCTGCTCCGCCACAAACGGATCTAGTAATGGTCGTTGGGCCGTCGTCCCTACGATTGATGAGGACGGACACTACCAACTCATGACGTCCTACATGACGTCGGTCCTCCTGCGTATTGCGTCCAGAAAGTGGATCTCTCATACACTGCCGCCAAGCCACCTGCGGCCACCTTCCTCTCATTGTTCTCGTGGCCTTGGGATAGGACTGGACGGTACTCTGGGACCGCTGATCCTGCTGGTGGCATCGGCGTCCCAAGCTTGCCCTGTGGTCCCAACCCCGCCTCGAAATCATCAGCTCGTCATGTTACCCGTATTGATGGGTCATAGCATTTGTGCAGCCTACAGCTCGTACTGCCGTATATGTCCCTTGAAGGGGTATGGCCATGCCATCATGCACAACATATCTCTGAGTCCTGACGTCAGCGCCGACTCCCGATTGCCACCTCCCACACACAACTCACACATACCAAACTGTCCTGTCTACTAGGTGCAAGCTAGGTGAAGGCGGCAAGCTTGCCTTGGATGGCCTGGGCTTTCTTGGCATCGCGCTCCGCCTCCTCGCGGAACAGGTAGACCTTGATAATGTCCTTAATGTCCTCGCCGTACATGACATAGATGATGGGAAGGATAAGGAGAGGGGCAATCGCGGATGCCCAGATAATGGGTGGCTGCTGAATCGAGGAAGTGACCGTGTCGAGCATTTTGGAAAGGATGGTGATATGAGAGGGGATGCAGGTGAGAGAGTGTGCGATAGAGCGAGACAGAAGGTGATCATGTAGTGCATGTGTCTGTATATACCGCCGACGCCCAGACGATCTGGTTGTGGCTGCGGACAACGGGCCAAGAGAAGTGCGTGTGAACAGCTGCGCCGGATGAGTATAAAGGTAAACGAGCTTCGTCACGTTTCGGTAACGATCTTGGTCGGGCTTGAGCCATGTCTCAGGCTTCTCGTCGTCCAAAGCGACCGCGAGAGGCGGTTAGCCAGGTGTGCCTCTAGGTTCGCGACGCCGCGGGTGTGCCAACATGCCAAACAGGGTGGCATGTGGATGGTATTTCTGGCTGGGCTTGCGTAGCGGTTAACGAGGCGCGATCGACAACGGGCGATGTTGTGACGTCATTGTGATGCATATATTGGGAGAGGATCGCCAGTCAGTGTGGGATCGACAGTGGTACAGTGGTACTCTGCATCGTTGAGATGGGTTCGTCATGCTCTGAGAGTTGAGCTACACTGCACGTACTGCACACCTGTAGCCATAGTACCATGCAATCGGACCAAAGCCGACACCGAGTCGAATTGGGTCAAGCGGAGAAGAGCGGCTCCTCTGGTTATATGGGGGGACCAAACAATGAAAGTTCAGGTTTCTAAGTCGATGCGGTCATTCATAAGCAACAGTTAGCGTTTCGATGGTTCTTCTTACCCCCAACAAAATGACCACCTCTGCCAACGGTCAAGCCCCGCGAGCCATTACCAAGGCCGACCATGCGCCACTCTTAGTTCTGAACAACGAGTACGCCATGGAGCTTTCCTACCAAACTCCCGAGCAGTTCACCGAGCTGCTGGACTCGGCATGGTTGACGCGGACGATCGGCAACAACGAGGCCCTGCTCGTTGCGTTTGACCAAGACTCCAAGTACGACAACCCCAACTTTGCATGGCACGCTGCCCGGGCACCCCGCTTTGTCTACATTGACCGCGTCGTCTCTGCAGTTCAAGGTCGTGGCGATGCGCGCCGGCTGTACGAAGACTTGAGGGCGCAGGCAAAGGCGGCAGGGCACACCAAGTTGGTTTGCGAAATCAACGTCGACCCACCAAACCCGGCGTCCACCGCCTTCCACGCGCGCTTTGGCTTCACCGAGGTGGGACGCGGTGTCCTGGCCAATGGCAAGACGGTGGGATACTTCGAGGCCCCCCTGTAGGTTCTCTTTTGCGACGCCTACGGAATGCAGCATTGAAAGCGCGTGGAGAGCAAGAGGGGGTGAGAACCGTTGAATGTTTGGAGCCTCGTAATGCTTGTGCCTAACTTTCTAATTCCCCTCGACACCACCAAGCTGCCGCTGCAAACCCACCCTAATGTGCTCCTACGAGAGGAGGGACAATTGGGTGGCTATTGAAGTCAGAATATTTCAATCACCGAACCCACACCTCGTCCAATTGTGTTCGTTAATTGAGGTAAGTATCCTTGGATACAAATAATCCAAGGATGTTTACCTCAATTACAAGAACACAGTTTGACAACATATTTTTAGCCGAACCACCACACTTGACGATATTGTGCAACGAAACGTAAATGAAAGATATTGTGCAACGACCGATATCGCGCAGCGAACGATATCATGCATCGAACGATCCTACTTACATGGCAGTTTAGTGACATCCGCGTAGGGGCTAACGTTGGTCAGGCTGGCTTAGCTCCCAATGTCATGGCGCAAACCAGAGCCAAGACCTACTGACCGGGGGGTTGCTGCTGCCTATCAACTTCACTCCGCCAGAGCGACTCAGTAGTGTCACAACATGGGTGTGCCTGTTCTGCATAGCAGCTAGACTGCTGGGGAGGGGCACTGACGGCCTGTGTTTGAGCTGGGACAATGCTGTCCAATCATGCCGAACGGAGGAAGGGGTCTGGGTTGAGCACAAGATCTGCCAAGCCCAACCGCCATCTTATCTAATACTCCGAGGCCGCATCCTGCCATGTCTTGACCCAATGACTTTTTTCGAGCTCCATACGACCGACATGGGAAATAGGTGCCAGGCGCCATTGGCATGCTTATACTCAAACCCAGAATGAACGAGGCGAGATCGAGGTCGGAGCGATGAAGAGGCAATTGCGCCACTGCAGTCAACCCCCACCTGCTACCCTATACATTCGAAGACAACGGTACACGATTCACGCCCACGGCTGTGACATGGATGTCACTCTATGCCTGTCGGCCGTCACGAACAGGTAAGAGAGTACCAGCGTCTCGGTCCATCAACTAGGTTATGTGTCTGCTTTGGCGCTGAGGTTGCTGCTATTGCTGTGCTGCTGTTGGCATCGCCATCATGGCAGTTATCGCTGGCGGCCACCTTTCCTAGGTTGTTCTTAATTTTCTGTATTTCTGCGGAAGACCATGTATATACCTGATGACTGCGGGACATATCTCAACCGAAGAAGACGGCTGTGCTGGCGTTACGAGCGTCTTGCCCGATGGGTAGGCCGTCGGGGCAAGGAGCTATCACTGAGCATCGCTGAGCCCAAACTGTGCACCAGTCGCGACATCCACAGGCCTTAGGCAGGGTAAACGCGGCCAGTGGCCCCCTTATCTCGTCCATGCCACGACACTGCCCAACGCCAGCCAAAGCCCTTCGGCGGTGTCTCGCCAGCCACGATGTATTTTAGGCCACACGGCAGGAGGCGGCAGCTGTGCAAGTAAGCATGGCAAGCGTCCCGTATGCATGCACTCGTCCATCGCCACTGCACTGCCACTCTGGGCTCGGACGGCCGCCGGACGATTGTCGGATCATGCACCATGGCCGCACATGGGGGAATACGTGGTCCCTGTGTGTCTGTGCGAGTGCCTGAGAGCAACCACCCATGTTGTTTTTCGTCACACAAAAACGTCGCCCTTGTCATTACTCCTTTATTACACACCCCTCCTCTAGCAACAACGCAGCTGACACCACCATGAGCTACCAGCAGGTGAGTACCTCTTTGTCTTCTCCTACGTGCACCGGAGGCAAGGCACGCGCCTTGACCCACATATCAGGTGTGGGAAGTCTGTCAACAGGGGACAGACTATGATCCGCAGGCCTCCGCAGTGTCACCGCGTCCACTTGTTCCACCTCGTCGAACGCGTCCACGACCCTTTGACATGACCACGACTAGTCTTTGCCGCATGTGTCAAGTGGTGGGCTATGTGCTCACTGCCTGACCTGCTTTGGGCAGCGGTGCCAGCCATGGTGCATCCAACTAGCGATCTGTCCTCGTCCCCACGCAACCTCAAGTCCCACCGTTCTCTCTCGCTGACTTGTTGCAGCAGCCCCCCAACGGCGGATACTATGCTCCTCAGGGATTCCAGCCCCAGCCTGGGTACGGCGCACCCGGCGCGCCTGGTGGTTACGGACAGGCCCCGTACGGCGACCCGCAGTTCCAGCAACAGCAGTTTGCGCAACCGCAGTTCCAGCCTCAGCCCCAGTACGGCGGCTACCCCGCCCAGCCTGCACCCGTTCAGCAGCCGCCCCCACAGCAGCAGCAGCAGAACGATGGCTGCTGCGACGGCTGCTGTGGCAACATGTGCAACGCGTGCGTCTCCGGTGCGGCGTTCGGATGCTGTTCCGCCATGGCGAGCCAGATGTGCAACGCCTGCTGCAACTCGATCTGTTAAGCCTTGTCTCTCTCGGCACAGACACCCAGGACACACGACACACGGGGCATGCGGCCGCATGCTTTCAAAAACCCGCATGTCTGGATATTGTCATATTTCGCACCTTCACCCACGCCCCCTTTATGCCCTCCGTGCGAGAGCCACTCTCGCGCACGTAGTAGATTCTAGATTCCCTAGATGTACCTGTAATGTTGGACGTCGGACAGAGGTACAGCGATCCAGAGCTTCAGAGCGACATTGACTGCTGATCGATGGCCATGTTGGCAGGCTTTCATAATGTGGTGCTGGTCAATGCTTGGACAGAGGACAGAATACAGGGAATGGCAAAGGAGGCTTATAAGCAAGCGAACGTGTTTGGAAAGGTTCAGTAGCAACGTTGAACACGGCGGTGTCTCCGAGAAGACAGTCCGGTCATGCCGTTGCTTGACTCTGAATTCAGGTTGCAACGCTTGTTCCCTGTAGTCATTGCTTGTTCAATTTTGCCTGTTCTCATCTGTTCTCCCTGCTGTCAGTTGGAATAACATTAGGATACTGATCAGGGACCCTCGCGCCGATACCTCGCGCCGATACCATGTCACTGATCAGAAATTGTTTGCTCTTGGGCGACGATTGCCGATCGTAGGCGAGCACAAGCACTTTTGAGACAGAGCAAGTATGCGGGGCCAATATACAGCACCAATGTATGGTATAGCAAGAATCTAAAGTCCGTCTCTCCACAGCGACTTGCACAAACGGGGTTTTGAACGGCTCCTCTCTTCCCCCATCACACAGGCTCCTGCTGCGTAGTGCAGTGGATTCCGCCACCTCCTGCAGCCACTCCGTCGATATTGATCATGACCACTTGCCTGCCAGGGTATGCCCTCTGCAGCACTGCTCTGGCGTTGTCGTCGGCGCGAGCGTCGCCAAACTCGGGCGCAATGACGGCGCCATTGCACACGTAATGGTTGATGTATCCAGCAGCGAAGTCGTCTTCACGCGAAAACGCGGGCCGCACATTGGTGGGGGCTTCAAGAACGACGACCTCGAGGCGCCTGCCCGCTGAATCTGTTGCGCTGCGCAGGATGTCCAGGTGCTGCTTGGTGACCTTGTGGTCGAACGACTTGGGGTCCGGATCGTAAGCGGCGAGGACGAGTCCTGGTCGCGGACACGTCACGTAGAAATCGCAGTGGCCGTCCGTGATATCCTTGCCCTTGATACCGGGGAGCCAGATGGTCTTTGTCACTCCCAAGAGATAGAACAGCTCCTCCTCCACATCCTTCTTGGTCCACTTCCGGTTCCGGTTCTTGTTGAGCACACTGCTCTCGCAGATGAACGCCGTGCCTTGTCCATCGACCACGATGCTGCCGCCTTCGACCACAAGGTCGCTCTCGAGCATCTCCACGCCAGCACGGTGGGTGACGACGGCAGCGACACCAGCGTCCCGCTTGTGCGCTTGCTTCTCACCCCAGCCGTTGAAGTTGAAGTTGACACCGGCCTTGCTCCCGCTTCCTGCGGCGGGGTACACGAACACGGGGCCAGTGTCGCGCATCCACAGATCGTCCAGGGGAGCAGTGACGAGCTCGACTGTGGGGCCGACAAGACACTGGGCGAGGTCGAGTTCCTCGGGACGCACGAGCATTGTCACTGGCTCAAAGTGCGCAATCGTCTGTGCGATGAGGGCCAAGTTCTGCTGCACGGTCGGCAGCAGGTCCCGACCCCAGATACTTTTGCTGGCACCGAATGCCATCCATGTGCGTCGGTGTGGGTGGCATTCGTCTGGCATGCGCCATCGCCGGTCGTCGTCCTGGGATTCGCCTAGAATGCGGTCGCCTAGGGAAGCCAGGTGGTCACGGAGGCGGGGCATTGAAGGGCGAGAGTGCGAGAGCGGGGTGGGGTGGAGTGAAATGAAGAAGCGTGGGGGGTTCAACTTGGGACGTGCTTGTACTTGACCCCAGTTCAAGCCACTCGCTGGAGTGCGATAGGGCAACAACGAGCCCCTCAGCGCAAGGCTCACGGCGGTAAATGGAAACGGGTAGACAATGGCAAACGGTGCAAAGGACGAAGGCGATGATGTAACGACACGTCTTCCCGCGATATGGGCCTTCCAGCTCGGAAAACTCCATAGACACTTTTCGAATGGAGGAACCCTCGGACCCCTCGGAAACAGACAGGTCTCAATACTTGGCAGCTCAGCACCCACATCATTTCATCGACATATGCCAATTCTCAAGGAGTACCCATATGGCAATGCTGTGAACCCTTTGGTGTCGTTTGCGGACCGGAACAAGACGCTGTAAAACCTTAACGGCTAACGACGGCTGGGGGCATCTGTTGTTGTCTTCAGCACTTTCGACATGCGAAATGACTCGTGGATGAGCATGTGGGCGGCACAGCTCTTGGCAGTACCGCGTGTCTCAATGCTCAGTCTGCCTGAGTGCACCACAAGCCACATGGTGATATTTCAAACTTGCACTGAGTCTGACAACGCCAATTAATCGGTCAAGTCTACAATGGGCCCTCTTTAAAACTTTCTAAACAACTTCCAGTCGCCTTGCCTATACCGCTTGGTGCCATACAGCGACACCGCGGCGGCAAAGTACGACACACCTGCAAACACGATGGCGTATTGAAAGGCCGCCGTGCCCGTGCGGTGGAGTTTATCCCGCGAGTAGTTTATCAACCAGATGGCGATGGGCTGCGAGACTGTCGCGGGCGCGACGATGCTGAACCACAGCACCGACAGCGCACTGGCCATGTCGCGGATCCCGACGAGGTCGGTCAGGAGCGCCTGGCAGGTGGACCAGAACACGCCCGTACTGGCGCCCAGGAAGAGGGACGCGACAGCCAGCACGGCAAACGAGTCGGCCACCAGCCACACGGCCAGACACGCGATCGACGCAAACATGGTGGTCGCGATGGCGCCGTTGAAGCGGCCCACGCGGTCGAGGACGAATCCCATGGACGGTCGACCGACCAGTTGGCCAACAGCGACCAAGGACTGGGAGATTGTTAGCACAGTCACAAAGCGGAGTATCACCACAACATACCTGTAATGTGGACCCGTCCTTTTGCGTGAGGCCGAGACCTTGGACTGCGTAGATGGGAATCGAGTAGATGCAAATAGCGTATGCGAATGAGATGAATGTGCCCCATAGGCACATGCAGATGAAGCCTGGGTTGCGGTAGAAGGATACTTGGAACGCGCGAAAGCGCACTTTCAGTTTGGTAGAGCGCGCTGAGTGGTGTGAGTGGTTGGACACAAAGGCAGGGAACAACCTACTTTTGAAGAACAAGATCGACGGCAAGAGTGCCGCAGCAGAAATGCAGCCACTGCAAGATTGTCAGCTACAGCGCTTGCGGCGGATAGCAGAACTGGACCCACTTGATCACACAAGCCCACTGACGGCCGACGGACTGAAGCGACAGGCGGGTAATGTTCGAATAGAACAGCGCTCCGCCACCGCTGCCCGCAGACACGAGGCCGACGGCAAAGGCGCGCTTCATGCCGAACCACTGCGTGACGATCGGGCCAGACACGACCATCGTGAGACCCAGTCCAACGGCAAAGAGGATACCTTGCGTGAGGTACAGCTGCCAGATCTGCTTGCTGAACCCGGCGAGGATCTGGCCCGCCACGACGCACACGGTCCCCAGGACGAGCGAGTAGCGCCAGTGGTACGTCCTCGCGAGGAAATTGCTCAAGGGAGCCACGGCCAGCGCAAGACTCAGCGACAGCGAGCCGATAAACGCAAAGTCGAGGTCCTTGGCGCCCGGAAAGTAGTTGTCCTCGAGGTCAAAGCTGAAGTAGATGCCAAAGGCAGTGTTGACGCCCCACGTCGAAAAGTTGAGCTGCGCCGGACGTCAGATACGTGTCTCTGTCTCTCGGTACTGTTGTGGGAGCTTACCAGAAACCCGCATAGCACAATGATCCAGCCATAGCCGCCATCGGGATAGTCGCGAGCGTCCTCGGGCTCTCGATCGAGGGGCACCGTGTCGAGGTCGGTCGATGAAGTCGACACATCCTCCACAATGGGCCCATCGCTTTGGTAAGGGTGGCGTTGCGTGGGCACCGACTTTTCGTCGGACGCCGAAACCAGTGACGTCGTAGTGATTGTTGTTGTGGTGGTGGTCATCTAGACAAGTGGGCGAAAGTATGGTATGGGTCTTGTCCTGTGGACACTGGCCTAGTCTTCGCCGGGGATCGTCCTCGGCGCTGTCCAATATAGGGTCGCTGCAAGTGGCACAGCGAGAGTCTCATGGGAGAGTGTACGGAGTGGAAAGCAACAGACGCAATGTGGAAGCCAGAATGATTCAGTCAGCCGATGGAGCCGAGGTGGGTCAAGCGAGTAACTGAGTAACAACTCTCGGTCATGTCCGAACATCCACTCGATTCGAGTCCCCGTACCGCCGTTCGGCCGCGATCGGCCGACGGAGAGAATTAACCGAGATGCAGAACCACTATGCCATGTCCTCGTCGACCGTTTGTTACTCATCATTGCCATGGCCATTGCCACTTGACAGAGTAACGTGTATCATGACTCCCTCCAGATATTATGTATAACGCCTTGATAGTCGTGTATTATCTCAGAACCGTGTATTGTTGTCCCGGTCCGCAGTGGGTACCGGTAGATTCAGGCCATGTCCACGGTGAGTGGCACGCCACATCCTTCGCCATGACTCCCCTAATAGTGTCCGGGTACGCCTTGCACGACACGTGGGTACGTCTGGCGGATCATTTCAAACAGCTGCGGAGCACGCTGAGCGAGTACCCTACCACGTTAGCCATGGCCTCGACGAGTAGTTGATTGCCGCCACGACTCACATGGGGTGTTCACCCAGGCCAACAAAGATGGTCGACACGCCCGCGTCGAGCGCCGAGCCGATCGTAAACGACAGGTTGATGCCGATGAGGAAGGAGAAGAGGATGATGGGGCTTGGAGAGTGTGAGTACGGGGCATGGGGTTGGCGTGTCGGTTTCGAGGCAGGACTCACGCAGTGTACTGTCCCTCCGAATTGTAGGATGGATCGGTGACTTGCGAGTGTCAGTTTATGCCTCTCAAACCACCGTTTTGCTTACATCGAACGTAGAGGTAGCCAAAGAGACCACACAGGAAGCCGTTGATGTACGATCCCCAAAGGATGACTGGTGACAGTGTCAGCGACATGGCTACGCCAAAACCAGGGAAGCCAAGTACGTACCTGATCCGACGAGGCTGTCGTTGATGAGGGCGTCGATTCCTTTAGGGGTCAGTACGATTCAGTGGCTCGCCAGGCAGGCGAGTCTCAATGTGGAGGAAGTACGAGTACTCACCGCGGTCCTTGAGCAGCCTCCATGTGTCCTTGGCAGCTGGGATGTAGGCCTTTCCGTAAAGGGCTACCGCCTGTCAGCTGCTTGGGTCCTACATCGCCGACGTTCAACTTACCAATCTCAATGCTGTTGGGAGAAGACACAAGGGCGAGGGGGGGGGGGAGGGATAGTCAGCAAGGCTCAGGTGTCATGACAGCTCAACGCACTAGGCATCTGTATCATGTCAGCTTGGAACGGGACCACAGGGCACAAAGCTCACATTTGTTAAACCACTGAACGATGCCACGGAGGCACGAAATGCAGCACACGGCCTATATGGGTCAGTCACACTGTTCGCTCCGACGACGTTCGCAACACGCACGCAACACGCCAAAATCTGTCCGACCACTGTCCACGTCAGCGTTGGCCTTTGAGTCACTGATCTGTCACTCCAATACGACTCACTGTCTCCTTGCTGGGCCTCGGCGTTCTGGATCGCCTGGAAGAGGGTCTGGAGCATCTCAAGAATGGTGACAATGAGCGAGCCGAACGCGATAGATCCCAGCGAGAGGGTCGACGCGCGCATGAATGCAGTGCCGGTGGCATTCTTTGGAAGTCCTTGTCCGTCGCTCGTGCGGTCACCGTAGTAGTACCAACCTGTGTGTTGGATGAGCACTTGCGTGGCACGCATCCAAGGGACTGCAGTCGGAGGTTGCTGCACTTACCGCCATAGATACCGCCTGCGAGAGTGCAGAGGACAATGTTGGAGACGACCTGACTGGTCCAGTAGAAGGAGAACGTCGAGTAGACGATGAGGCCTGCAACCGTTGAGCTGGAGCAGCTGGTCGTGGCGCAGGCTGTACTGTCAGTCAGAGTCGCTGGTGTTACGCACATTCGCTTCCCGGAGTCCATTTGACGTAGATGGCGACGACAGTAAAGGCGTACCACACGCTCAGCGCGGCCTGGAACACCAGTCCGAGAAGCACAACAACATAGACGGATGGGTGCTGCTTGCTGACATCCATGGTAGTCTGCAAGAGGAGACGACAGAAAGGAATACTGGACGGTGTGTGTCAGCGCCGAAGCGAAGCCCAGAACACAGGTCCCGCAAGCGAGAGCTAGCAGGCGACACGGGCGCCCATGACTCACCGCTTGCGCATGGACCAGTAGCACACGACTGAAATGATGGCAATGACAAGGAAGATGACCGCCCCGGACCAATCTGGGCAAGTCAGAGAACGCGGCGGCGTACATACAAACACGTACACTTCACGATAAAGTAGTCTGTATAAGGTCAGTCACCGTGCTTCTCAACTTCGTGCCGACTCACAGATACAGATGGCAATGTTGAGGAGGACAGTCAAAGCGAGGGTGATCTCCATGATAATCTTGGTGAAAGCACGGACGATCTACATGTCAGTGCACTGATGTCTCTTATGCGACCCACTCCTAGCCAGACTGCAGCAATAACGCCCGCAAGAGCGCAGACCATGAGAAGGAGGTAGACGGTGTGACTGGGTGTCAGCGCTGTAGAGATCTCAACTGGGCTTGTCGGTCTGCTGGGACCCGCCGCCCCGTCCATCCGTGCGACTGGAGGGGTTGCTCTCGTACTCCCGCGTACGGTGCACACGGCTGCCATCCACCTTCATACTCACTAGTCAAGAGTCACCGATGTACCCGTTCCACCCTGCGTCGCGCCGCCAACGCCGCCTCCGAGGCCGTTGAGCTCCACAAATGTCTTGATGGCAAGGCCCGACACCACGGCCCATCCGATAAGGTTGCCGACGAAGAGCACGAGGAAGATGGGGTCGTTGAGACGCGCTTTCCACCTGAAGCGCGGTCCCGTCTGCTCCGTCTGCTGCGAGAACGGCGCCGTGTCACCCCACTTGCCGCTGCCGCCGTATTCCGGGTCTTGCGTCTGGTACTTTTCCGGCCCAGCGGCGGGGGGAGGATACGACGGAGCGGCGTAGGGCTGCGACTGGTTCATCGCGTACTGCCCGCCGCCGCCACCGCCGGCGCCGCCCTGTTGCTGTCCGGCGGCGTTGGGGTCGATGGGGACATAGCCCTGCTGGGGCTTGTCCTGTGTGTAGTATTGCTGGGCGCTCATGCCCGAGTGATTGGGGTGTGGTAGAGGTGATGAGGAAGAGTTGTGAATGTTGCAACAAGACGGAGACGTTCAAAACTCTCCCATAAACTGTATGTGTTTAGCGCGGGAAAAACGAATTGTTGTTGTTTCATCTAATAGACGCCGGATCGCTGTGGACAGGGAGGGAGGGGGGGGCGATCGAGGCAACCGGCAACCGGTGGCAGGGAGCGAGGGGGCGGAAATGGGCGGTTTCCTTCTTCTTGGCACGTCAGAAGCCACATGCCCAGCTCCTTGACCAGAGGCCAGCCAGCGCATGTGTCTCACTCCATGCATCTGCCATAGCGTCATGCGCAGCAGCGAGCATCTCCACGATTAATACATCCGCAGTAGCCGGGCAATTGACACGGTGGGGGGGAGCGGTCACGTGATTCACTGTGGAGAACCAAGCGTGAGCATGTCGGGTGTTACGTACGGAACGGAGACAGAGACATAGTGTTTTGCAGACTGGCCGTTGTACGGCCACGTGATTCTGCCTGCTACGCTTGGCCGACCCTTGAGCTCCAGCAATGATGCATTGTCTAGCGAGAGGCGTTACACACACGCGACAGAGCGGTGAGCACGCCAGCGTCTCGTCAGCGGAATAGTTGTCGAGGGTGAGCCCCGTGACAGAATCATTGAACTGGAGCCAGTCCGGCGGCGTGGCGTGGGTGGTGCCAATCCAGAGGACATGCGCTAAGTCCCTTCATCTTGACACTCATATAGCTCATATCCTCACCTTCTGTGATCTACGAGCGAGGCAGACACGGTGTGAGATGAACCGCTCCTCAGCTTTCACGTGCCCAGACGAGAGAAGAGCAACGCCAAGACCGGGGCTTGGCCTGGAGCTCGAACGCCGGGTCCGCGGGTCTTCATGAACGCCTCGGCAAGAGCGACCAACTGCTTCTGAACGTCCGTATCTCCGAGGTGACCCAGCACAAGCAGAATTGTACAGCTGGAAGATGAGGACAGCAGTCCAAGCTAGGTCCCAGTATGACGCGTGCCGGCCGACGGTGAGGTGTGTGGCAGGACGACCCTTTCGGCCCGTTAAAGGGACGCGACCGAGTCGTACAAATTGACGCGGCGCGAAGCTCTGGGCCTTGGCCTTTTTCGCTCTGCTGTAAACACCGCGTACACCGCAGAACAATGCCGCTCATGGTGGCATGGTCATGCGACCCGCCCCGTGAAAAGCATTTTGCCCATGGTCCATGGCCCATGGATTCGATGGACGGCCAACGGATATTTCTGGGCCTGACGTGCGATCGCTGCGGAGGCGTTCTTGGCATTACATTCGTAAGCGTCGAGTGTCGTGCTGAGCAGGATCGCAACGTGCATGCCCACAATGGGAGCTGAGGGCGGTGCTTGAAGGGCATGGCCAGTCCCTCGACTCGGCCGGACATTCTTACCCGAGGAGCGTGTTGTTTATACATGATTGGACCAGACTGGCCATGGTGCAACAGCGGGTAGTCGCGGCAACCACGGCCCGCTCCACGCCTCTATTAACCTTCCACATCAGCCGAACTTTGCTTTCCCCTTCTCACTCTCTCCATCCATCGCATTTCCCGCATCACTCACCATGTCCGCTTTCACTCTCTCCGCCAAGCCCGGCACCGACATCTGGAGCAAGCCCAGCACTCTTACGTTCAACGGTGAGTACAGCGTCGTGGTGATGTCAGCCAGCCACTGCTGCGGATGGTCCACCCACCCCCCCATTCCCCCCTCTCCCCAATACCCCACGTCGATCCCCCGCACGCCCCATCCACCGTCCTGCCCCCGCATATGCTGATGCCCAACAAGCTCCCACCAAGCAGCCCTCGTCCGTCACCCACACTGGACCCATCAAGGCGTTCAAGTCGGCGCGCGTCTCGGTCTCGTTCCCCTGGTCCCAGCAGTACGACCAGGCAGGGTAAGTCGTCCGCAGTAGCAACGACGGAAAAAGCCCCCCCAGCTGACACGGCCCAAAGCCTGATCCTCGGTTTCCGCAAGACCACCCTCACCCTCGCCGCCCGTGCCCCCCAGCGCTGGATCAAGACTGGTGTCGAGTTCTACAACGGCGAGCCCCTCCTCTCCACTGTCGGCACCGACAACTTTTCCGACTGGTCGGTCGCCCCCCACCCCGACGGCGAGAAGGTATGTGACGGTTGAATGGCGCGGCGCGGCGTGGCGCCGCAAGTGGGCATGGGCTTTGGCTGACGGCGTACAGGCTGTTGGCGCGTCCACCTGGACCACCATTTCGTTTGAGAAGGTCGAGAGCGAGACTGGACCCTCGATCTGGGTCTACCTGATCCGCGCCGACGGCAAGAAGCAGCCCCTGCGCGAGGTCACCTGGTGCTTTGGCAACGACGCCGAGAACTGGAACGTCGGTATCGCCGCCTACGTCGCTCGTCCCAACAAGGACGGCGCCGAGCCCCTCGAGGCCCAGTTCAAGGACCTGGAGGTCACCTTTGAGTCGTTCAAGCAGGACATCTGGTACGACGAGGAGACCCAGCCCGAGTAAGCGCAGGTGGGCAGGCAGGTGTGAGCCGGACGTTTTTTTTTAGTCAGTAGTCAGTCCATGGGGAAATGCAGCAGTTTGCTCGTACACAACACTCTGCCTGCACTGCTACAATTTCTACATCGCCCGTCTTTTACTTGCTCTTCTGGACTACCTGGTCGATGATCTGGTAGAACGCGTCGACACCTTGAGCGCCCGACGTCGCGTACTTGTCCTGGAAGACAAAGTGCGGCACACCTCTGATCCCCTCTGCGACGCCCTTGTCTTCGAGCTTCTGGACCTCGGCATCCTCTTCAAGGCCGTTGAGCCACGCGACCGCGTCGCTGGCCTTGGCGAACAGACCGTTCTTGACCGCAATGCCCGCGAGCAAGTTGCGGTCCGACGGTGCGATCCCGTCAATGTGGTAGCCGCGCATGATGTCCATGCCGACGGCGAAATTGGCCGAGGGCCCCTTCTTGTCGAGCGCGTACTGCGTGAGCCGGTGCGCGGTGCGCGTACCCGACACCATCGCGTTCATGTGGCTTTTACCAACGTGTCAGCTGCTTGTCGCAGTAGATGGCTCGCACGTGTCGCGACGACTCACTAGTCGAGGCCGACCTCGGCGTACTGCTGCTTGAGGCTGGTCAGCACCTGCTGCCAGCCTTCCTTGCCGCGACGCTTCTCGCCCCAGTCGTTGCGCGGGAAGGGCTGGTCATCCATCTGCGGCTGGAGCTGGTACGGCAGCAGCGTGATCACCGTCTCCACGGGCGTGCCGTGGTTGGCCTCCTGCCACTTGTGGAGGGCAAGCTGGAACTGGCGGATACCGAGGAGACAGAATGGGCAGACAGGGTCTGACTGGTCACGTTTTAGCGATTTGCACGCCGCTGCTGCTGCTCACCGTAACGTTGACCTTGATCCTAAGAGCGGCAGACATTGTGAGTAGCACGGTATGGTCGAGTTGGCTGAACAGACGAGTGCACATGCATTATGAGGCATCGATGGGAAGGCCTACGGGCACAACGTTGGATGATGTCAGCAGGTTTCGAACCCTGCGTGCGTATGCCGTCGCCATCGCGGCTACCACGGCCAGAAGATCGGCGAACCAGATCGAAACAGTCGAGCCGTCCAAAGACGCCAGTCCCGGCCCATGCTCAGTTTGGCAGCAGGCAAGTGGCAGAAGGTATGCATTCGCGCAGGTCCAATGCATCGCATAGCACCAATATTTCAAACATTACATCCCCACCCCTTTTTTTTTCAAAGGAACCGCTCCAAAGGCGCGCCACCTTGCTCAAAGTGGCACCATTCTAAACCCTTTACTTCTTTCCAGCCTTCTTGAGCCAGACGAAGTCGGCGACGCTGCCGTCCGAGCCACGCACAAACTCGACGAGGGACGTGGACTCGTTGTAGACTGTAAGCTTGTTGATGCCATAGTCGACAGTGTTCAGCACGGCCGTGATCGGGAGCGTGCTGACGCCGTCGCCGAGTTCCGAGTGCGACTCGATGTTACCGGCTGCGCCGTTGATAATGTGCGCCACGGTCCCCGTCTTGACCGTGTACGTGTTGTTGTTGACAATGGCGTCGTGCTGAACGGTGCCGTTCTTGCCCAGGGGCCAGAGACGCTCGTACCAGTGGATGTGGCCCGAAAAGTACGCGTCGACACCGTACTCGAGGAACAGGTCCTCGTATGCGGCGCGGATCTTGGCCTGGTAACTCGACACCTCCGAGCTCCAGAAGGGACGGTGGGACTGGGCAAACACCCAGGGGGTCTTCTTGCGGTCGACCTTCTTCAGGTCGTTGAGCAGCCACTGGTACTGCTCGTACGCCTTGTTGTCCTTGTACGCCATACCGTCGATGCGGCCAAAGGGGCCCGAGTCGGTGATGAACGTCTGGTTCTTGAGGGGGCTGGTCTGGCCGGCCTTGAGTTCGGCCACAAACGGCCACTCGGGAGACTGGTAGTAGTCTGTCTCACCATCAAACGTGATAAAGTGCGCCTGTCCGTAGTCGAACGAGTACCAGAAGTTGCCCACGCCGCCAGAGGCATCACCGGGCATGCCAAAACGGTGAGTGTAGGCAGTGAAGTTGCGCTGCGAAGGCGGGCACGAATAGTACGTGATCGTCTTGTTGGCCTTGTGGCTACCAACGGGCTGGTCGTCGTCGAGGTAGGCCGACAGCTCGTTGTTGGGGCCGTCAAACTCTGCGCACGCCGCCTCGTGGTTGCCGGGCGCAATCATGTAGGGAATGTGCTTGGTGATCGAGTTCATCCACTGCTGCCACAGGTCCCAGTTGGTCTCGTAAATGGCGGAAATGTCGCCACCCCAGGGGGATCCCTGCGACGCAACCTCACCCTCGGGGACGGGGATGTAGTAGTCGGTCTCGTCAATGGTGCCGCCGGGGAACCTACTCGACGAGCCATTGTAGCACAGGTCCCAGCTGTCCTCGCACGGCAGAATACCCGCGTACCACTGGTCGGCGTACGAGGTGTCGCCGCCGTGCCACACAAACTTGGCGCCGTCCTGCGCAGCGTCGATCAGACGCTCGTGCGTTCCCCTTGCGTTGGTGTAGCCCATGTCGGCAATGATGGCGACCGTGAACTCGCCCTTGTCGCCAGCCTTGGGAGCGACGGTGAAGCTGAGGACGTCCGACGGGGTGGTCCCGTTCCCGCCGGGGATCTGGTAGTAGTAGGTCTGGCCAGCTGAAAGCTTTGTGAGGCGGACCTCGTGGAAAAACTGCGAGCACTGCGTCGGGTCGGCCATGGAGCAAGGCGGCGTGCGGTCATACCTAACCACCACGTCAGTAAGGCTTCACCCAAGCAGCATCTGTTCCTCACGTGTTGGTAGTACCCGAAGCACTCTTGTTGAGCTTGGTAGGGCTGGTACCGTAGAGAACCTTGGGATCATTTCCAATACCGAACGGAGTCTGGAAGTGGATCTGGATACCGCCGTTGAGGAGGGCCGTCGAGATCACATTGATATTGTTCGTGACAGTGATTCCAGGCGCGGGAGTGACAGCTGGAGGCTCGCGAACACGGATGAACCCCTTGCCGTTACCTTCAATGGTCTGGTCCATGAGGTCGCCAATGGGCACCTCGGGACCGGTGTAAGGGTACGTGGTGTCGACATCGCGCGGCTGCTTGCGCACGGCCGGGGCCGGGGCAGCAGCAATGAGGGGGAGTACCGCGAGGAGCGCAGCCCAGTGCATCGTGCTGACGATGAATGACAAGTTGGGGGATGGGGAAACACTATCCCAGGACAAGTCGGCACTAAATACTTGGCCTGGAAGCCCCCCCGATCTGCACTCACCACACACGGGCGCCGTGCATGCATTCTGCAGATGTTCTTGCCGCCGAGTGGTCTCGTCGCAAACGCCACTCCGCACCGATGATGACCACCTGCTGGATAAACAGTCGACTAGGCACTGGCGTGTTGCGGAATTGCGGATGTTGCCGAACGTCCACATAAACGTGGTTGCGCCGAGACACGATTAACAGCAAATGGAAGCCGGGGTGGATGTCACGTTTGCCACCCCACTCGCTGGGCCCTGCATGCCTCATTAGGTGGACCGCATGGGTCACATCTGTTACATCGTCATGGTTCGTCCGGTGCGTCCACCACAAGCTAGACTGCAGACCTGCGGGCCCTATATCGGGCACACGCCGCCACCCATGTTGGCTTGGCAACACGTTTGCTCCGTGTTCGATTGGGCACTTCCTACTGAACATTAGCGAGCAAGGGACCGGGCTACAAGGGACCGGGCTACTCGCCGGCCCGAGGGTGAGCTACTCGGTCAATCGGCCGCAACTGCAGTGATGGTCAGTAGGTGTTCGGTAGGGCTGCTTTGGGGTGTTGCCCTTCCGGGTCAGCGGCATGGAAGGGCTCAATGGCGTCTTCTTCTGGTCGAGCCTATGGCTGTGCCCAGAGGCCAGAGGGCACCGTCAGAGCCATATGTCGATGTCAGATAACTGCACCAAGGGCCTTATTGACAGTGAGTCGCGTCACTAACCAGGCGAACGCGACTGAGGCCTGCCTTGCAACCTCTCCAAAACGGCATCCCACCCACGACATCCGTCGAGACATTTGTGACGGAGGACTGAGTGGCTGCGGATGACGCTCCTCGCCCCTGCATGTTAACAACCGTGTAGTTCGTCTCCGATGGCAACGGACGTCTACAGGATACGTGGACACACGTGCGGGGGGAGGGGGCCTGTGTTCAGCTGTGTGGTTTGTGGGTGTTGAAGGCGGCACCGAAAGGGGAACTGATTTCGCCAGCAGCTTGCTTTCCCAGCGTTCATCTATACCGGTGTATCGTGTCGTGGATGGTAGAGATCTCCCATGGGTATGAAATGGTGGACAACCAGTGCGCTGAAGAGACGCGTCGATGCACGTCCCAGCCTTATGGGCACCGGACGCCGGTCTGCCGGTGAGTGCGGATCCGCTGATCGCTGATTGGTGAGGCTGCGACGCGTATCTAAGAGCCGGGACACCGATCCGGGTGGCTCCCTCCTGAAATCCCAAAATCGATCTCCTGGGTGCATTGGGCCGGATTGTCGCATAACCTCCTCCACATTAGCAGTCGATTCGGAGCGGAGCATGCGCAACGCAGGACAGCACGCTGCTGCTGAGGTCGGCGCAGACGCATATATAACAAGACAATGAGTCGGACGGACGTGGGGTCCCTCAACTTGCAACTTGCCCCACACTCATCCCTCTTACAACATGGCTGTTGAAGGCACACCAGTCCGCATTGCCGTCGCTGGCGCCGGCCTCATTGGCAAACGACACATCGAGGAGGTGTCCAAGTCGTGTGACACCGTCCTGGTCGCTATTGTCGACCCCAGCCCTGCTGCTGCCGCCGTTGCCAAGACGTACGGCGTGGCCTTGTACCCGACCCTCGATGCCCTCTTTGCCAGCGCCGACAAGCCTGATGGAGTCATCCTCGCGACACCCAACTCGTTGCACGTCGACGGAGGGCTCACATGCGTCTCTGCAGGCGTCCCTGTGATTGTCGAAAAGCCCCTCGGCGACAGCGCCGCTGAGGCTCGCCGCCTTGTCGACGCTGCCGCAGCGGCTGGTGTCCCCTTGCTCACTGGACACCACCGCAACTATTCGTCTATCATGGCCAAGGCACGCGAGATCGTCCAGTCTGGCGTGCTCGGTGACATCGTGGCCATCACTGGCACAGCTCTGTTCTACAAGCCCGACCCGTACTTTGACGAGAACGGCGGCTGGCGTCGTGAGCCCGGAGGAGGCCCAGTGTTGATCAACCTCACACACGAGGTGAACAACCTGCTCTCGTTGGTCGGCCCCATCACTTCTGTTCAAGCTACCACCTCCAACGCGACCCGCAAGTTCCCAGTCGAGGACACGGCTGCCATGGTCTTCCGCTTCGCCTCTGGTGCCCTCGGCACGTTTGTCGTCTCGGACACGGCGGCCAGCCCCCGCAGCTGGGAGCAGACTGCCCGCGAAAACCTCAGCTACGCAAGCTACAACGACGAGGACTGCTACCACATTGCTGGCACCCGCGGCAGCCTGAGCGTGCCCACGATGCGCCTCAAGGCGTACGGCGAGGACGCCAAGCGGTCGTGGTGGGAGCCCTTCAACACGAGCACGGCCGCATTGCAGATCCAGGACCCGCTCGCTGTCCAGGTGGCGCACTTTGCCGACGTTATTCGCGGCAATGCCAAGCCCATCTGCAGCGGCGCGGACGGTCTGGCTACGCTGCAGGTGGTTGACGCGATCGTCGAGTCGGCACAAACGGGCCAGCCTGTCACAATAGCTGCATAGTGTATAGTGTCGTTGGAGTGTTGACATGTACATGGGTTCCCTTCTGCCATAGTCCCTGACTGCAGCGACACCCTGGCACAAGTGGGGCATTTCTAGCAGGCGGTATTGTCCCATGGCCACCGCAACGGCTGCGTTAGCAAGGGAAGGTAAGCAGAACGGTGTTAACGGTGCCGAGGAGATGCAGCGGTGATGGTTAGCAACGCAGTACCAGCTAGACGTCGGCGTGTCGCCATGACTGACGCCAAGGGAGGACAGCACCGTGTGCGGGTGATGCTCAGCTGTCACATTACCGCCCTCAGGACTGCTCGGAAAGTGGAAATGCAGATGCAGTGTGTACGACTGCTTGGCATCTATGGCGTCTGGGGCTACAGCAAATTGAACTTATGGTGATCGGTACCGAGAACATCGTTAAGGGGCTCTGTTTCTAGAGAGGTAGGTGTACGACATCAGCCGACAGACCTATACTGCGAACGTCAGCTGGGAGCGACGACCGCTATGTAACCTGCACTCACTGTCATCTCTGGTTTTACGCAACGGTGAGGAGGCGCTCGCTAAAGCCCTGGATGTTGGCAACGGGGTCGCGCAGGTGAATCTCCAGGATCCAGTGACGCTTGAAACCATTCTTGCCGGTAGAGACCATCGAGTTTTTGTTGCCCTTTGAGATGTAGAGGGTGATCTTGTCGCGCGGGATGCGCTCGTGGGGGAACGAGCCGACTATGTGGCCTGCGAGAGGTGCGCCAAACTCGAATCCCTCCTTCTGCGCCTCGTTGCAGGCGATCTCGTACAGCTCCTCGCCGGACATGTCGGGACGCTCGTCGTACATACCCTTGACCTTGAGCCACATGGGCTCAAGAGCATCGCGCAGCCTGAGCTTTGCTGGGTCGTTGCCCATCACATAGGTGCGTCCAAAGTCGGCTTCCCAGTTTTCGAACACGGGTCCCAGGTCGACGACGAGGATGTCGTCCTCCTGGATGATGCGGTCGGGCGGGTTCTCCTCGAATGGGCAAAGAGTGTTCTCTCCGCTGCGAATGACACGCTTATGCCAGTGGGTGCGCACGTTGTGGCGGGCCTCGCCAAGCGCATGGATAGCGTCGTTCAGCGCCTTCTCCGAGATGCCAGGCCGCAGCAGGTCGCGCTCAATCTCGTCAAACATGCTCGCCGCCTTGGTCTGGGCGTCCAGCAGCCCGGCGGCGTACGCGTCCTGTTCGGCTTGTGTCTTGGGCTCGGCGGACATTGCGTGTGGTTTGGGCCTGGCAGATGTTGTTGGAACGTTTGATGGATGAGTGTGAAGTGGGCAGCGAGCAATACATGTGGTACCACAGGTTAGGCCAGATGAGTCAGTAGATGCCGGTCTTTCAGCTTAGCGCGCGCTACCACCAATGGATCGAGTCACAAACGTCATCGGGCAGGCCCGGCGGTTAAACGTCGGCAGATCTATTTCGTCCGGTACACCCGTCCATGTAATCTCGTTCACGATTAGGCGACCGCCGAGTGCCACCCAACGCCATTTAAAGACGGTCCTGTTGTCATACAGCCTTTGATGCTGGGCTCATGGTCACGCACATATGCCCGCTACACACAGTCACAGATTCGCGATGTGAATCCGTCTCCATGGCGATTTCCAGGCAAGTACACGCGGGCAAACACGGACCGGAGTGACAGGTGTTGGCGCGCACAGTGATCCCTGGACAACACCGGCGAGGAAGAACGAGTCGTTCTGGAGGGCAACTGCTGCAATCCATGGGAGGTGCCTCCTAGACGGTGCAAATGCCGCTAAACAGGAGCTCGACAAGCGAGATCTGACGTTAGGCTCAACTTGGCATCTTTGCACGGCAACGGATCTACCGCTGTACTCTTCCATGGTTGATACGGTGGCGGGTCATCAGAGTTTAGATCGTCCGGGTTTTGCTGTGAACCCGCCGTCCCCGCTTGCGGGAGGGTGCAACCGTCGAATGCCACAGATTGCAGGCAAATTTCAAGACACGACCGGTCACAACAGATCGGGGGACGTTAATCAGCCACCGAGCAACCGCGGACCAACGCGTGCTCAACAACCATCGCATTATCGTACACGGCAGATACAAAAAGCCTGGGGGACTTGTGCTGAGGATTCCCCAGCCAGGTGACTCACAGGTGCTCGCGGACGAAGACTTGAAAATGCTTCCGGAACCCTACAGATACATTTGCGGGAGCAAATCGTGATTCAGCAATGTTAATGCGGTTAACCCAGTTACAATAAACGAGGCGGTTATCCTAATCAATGTGGATCCGTATTACATTTCTGAGATCCTAATAAGGCGCCTAGATTCTAATTGGAACAAGCACTTCTTAATCACTGTGGCATTTTCCATTAGAACCCCTCAGCAGATATAATACACCCAATTTCTTCCTCCACAGAAGAGAGAGACCTTGCATAGTTTGCTAACCCTCACCTACATACGTAATGCCATGAGTAAACAATTACAATGCATGAATAGTGCACTGTGTAAGACAGGGGTGCGTCTTGAAGTCAATGTGACGTGTAGTTATTGTCACGGAGTGTAATAATTGGATTTGAAAGAGTGCAATAATAGGCGATCGCCCACAACAGCCTGACAGCATCCATCCATCCATCTGGCATCCAGCGCACCAGGCATGTAGCTCGTGTTCTACCCAGCACTTTCGAGTGTACGTACGCATGGGCTGCGCATGCTGCGTCGGTATGCTCGTCATGCCGGGCAGATGGGGCCGCCGCGCGAGGATGAGAATAGCATCCCCGTTGTTTTGAACCAGGAGCGTGACGTCACATCGGTACAGCGGCCAGGCCAGCCAGGCTTGCGCACCTTCACAACCACCCAGTAAGTGCAGCTGGTGGTGGAAAGTGCTGGCTAAGTAAAGCACTAGAAATAACACGCGTGACGGGCGTCCTCGAGTCTTCTTCCCCCACTCCTTCTTCGCCACTGCGTCCTACACAATGGCCACAGGCTCAGGAAACGCCGCCCCTCCTCAGCAGAGCGCCGCTGCACACCAGAGTGCCGCTCAGCAGAATGTCGCTCAACAGAGCGTCCCCGTTCAGCAAAATGTCCCCATCCAGCAAAGTGTTCCCACCCAACAGAGCCTCCCCGCTCAACAGAGCACTCCCACTCAGCAGACTGTCACCCAGCAGTCTTTAGCTCAGCAGAGTGTCCCCGCTCAGCAGAGGGGCGCTCCTCTTCAACAGAGTGTCCCTCAGCAAAGCGTGTCTGCTCAGCATGTTGTGGCTCAGCCCAGCCTCCCTACACAGCAGAGTCTTCCTCCTCAGCATAGTGTTCCAGCTCAGCGGGACGTTCCAGCTCAGCAAGTCCCTGTTCAGCATACCGCCAACACGCAGCGACCGGTCACAGCACCCGCTGTTGCTACTGCGACTCCCAGCAACCAGGCCACTGCAGGGCCCCCTCCCTTCCTTCCCTTGCACGTCTTCAATGCCGTGACGTCTCTTGACACTACCGTCACCCAGAACTACGCCGCGTCTCCAGCTGGGGTCACGATCGGCAGCATTGCAGAGAAGATGACTGACCTGGACCCGGGCAACCGACGCCACAGCAGCGAAAGGACGGAGGGACAGCTTCAGGAACCAACCCTTGCCGACAAGCTCAAGCACAAGCTTCACATTGGCAAGGACAAGGACACGGACGATGTCCCTTCTCACGACAAGCACGGCTACACGCATTACAAGCACGACCAGACTAACCAAGAGTACGCGGACAACTGGCAGTCGGACAATATGCGGCCCCTCGACCATGCTCAGTTGTCTGAAATCATGAAGTGTGGCGCGTGGCGTGGCACCAAGCCCAGCGAACTGTTCCTCAATGTGTACGCGCAAGCCCTCTTGGCCCTCGACAAGGACATCTTGAACGGAATGGTCTCGCCTTCTCTCATGGGCTCGACTGGTGTTGTCCCGTTCACCATCATCTCTGTCATTCCGGACATTATCGCCCACCACGCCGACCTCATCACCCGCGCAGAGCACGAAATCTTCCTTGCCACCAACTTTTGGGAGGCATCAACTGCGGCCCATGTCATTACTGACGCCATGCGCGAGCTTTCAAACCGCGTGGTCAAGCGTGGCGGCAAACCGGTGGTCATGAAGCTTATGTATGACCGTGGCAACCCCAAGCAGGCGGTTCAACCTCATCAGCCTGTGGATGCCAAGACGTATACCGGCCCAAAGGTCAAGCTCCCATGGCCCGAGGATATTCCCGGTATCCAGCTCGAGGTGCAAAACTACCATGTCCCGCCGGTCGGCACGTTCCACTCAAAGTACATGGTCGTGGACCGCAAGGTTGCCATTATCAACTCGAACAACATCCAGGACCGTGTCAACGTCGAGATGATGGTCCACCTCGAGGGTCCCATCGTCCAGTCATTCTACGACATGGCCCTCCTCTCGTGGTGGAACGAGATGGACCCTCCCCTGCCGCTACTCTCTCAGAACCCACAGTACCCGGACCCTGGTAGCAGCTCGCACTACCAGTTTGGAACCGACCATCCCCTTGCCCAGACTCACGGCGACCTGCACGCCGCCGGCGCTCGTGCCTTCAACACACTCTCCTCGCAGCTTGAGCAGTACAACTTCCAGGAGGGAACGACGCAAGCCGGTTTCCAAAAGGCGCAGGACGTATCCGCTGGACAAGCTGGCTCTCCGCAAGACGCCATGGTACCCGGTTCTCAACCAGAGGGCACATCCGCGCCGGCAGTTGGCACGACCCAGCCCCTCAAGAATACCACCAACAAGAACGAGCACTGGGACCGCTTCAATGCCGAGGAGGCCATCCGTGTCAACTCGCAGCTCAACAGCCCTGCGGCCGTCACCCAGCACTTGAATACTGGAACGCCCATCAACGCCACCGACACCAGTACAGAGGCGTCGGCGCCGTTCCAGCCGATTATTCTGAACGAGCCACACGACCCCGTCCCCATGGCCATGGTGAACCGCCCCCCTCGTGGCCGCCCTGGGCATGGCGACACCATCGTCCCGCAGGACCAGGCATGGCTTGCTGGGTTCAAGTTTGCCCGGAAGAACGTCTTCATCCAGACGCCCACCTTCAACGCCAAGCCCGTTGTCGCTGCGGCGCTCGAGGCCGTCAAGCGGGGCATCCTGGTGGAAATCTACGCCGACCTCGGGTTCAACGACGAGGGCGAGCTCCTGCCATTCCAGGGCGGGACAAACGAAATGGTCGCACAGCACATGTACGCCGCGCTCGACCCTGTGGAGCGCCCCAACCTCCGGATCTACTGGTACACGGGCAAGGACCAGGCGACGCCCATCAACGCCACGCACAAGAGCCGCAACTGCCACGTCAAGCTCATGCTCGTCGACGACCAGATTGCGATCCAGGGTAACGGGAACCAGGACTCGCAGTCGTGGTACCATTCGCAGGAGATCAACGTCCTCATCGACTCGCCACAGATATGTGTAGAGTGGCGCAAGGCGCTCGACAGGAACCAGAACACCAAAGTGCGCGGCCTCGTAAGCAGCCAAGACGGCATGTGGCGCGACCCCAACGGCAACCTGCTTCCGGGAACCAAGCCGCCTCCCTCTGCCATGGTGCGGCCGTTTGTGGGCGTGAAAGGTGCTATACAGCGTGTCCGTGGCGAGGGCGGGTTTGCCACTTGAGCCGGGGGGTGCGGGGGCAAAAACAAATCAAAAATATGTACGGAAAATCGAAAAAAACAGATGTGCCCAGTGGTTCTTGCTTAAAACCGTAACAACCTTGCATTGCCGCATCTAGGTATATAGAAACAGCGCTTACACAACCTACTTTCCTTTTGCTTCACTGCCCAGCCACTGCCCACCGACCTCCGCTTGCACCCCCATCTTCCCTTTAGAACACCTTGTCCAGGAACCTGCCCCACATCGTGGTCGACTGGATCGGGTGGTCCTCGTAGTACTGGTCGAGCGAGTCAAACTCGGCGATGCGCGAGGTGAGGTCGATGTCCTCGAGCTTGACAAACTTTGTCTTGTGGTACAGCTTCCACGCGACGAAAATGACCGCCACGAGCGCGAGGCCAAAGTACGACGTGAAAAACTCCTCGAGGTCCCATCCGCCGTGCACGAAGACGGTCCAGCCTTGGAACAAGGTGATAATGAGGATGAAGACGAGGGAGAACCACGTGTACGGCACAGTCCAGCGCGAGTACCACGGCAGGAGCTTCTCGGCGTCGAACCCCTGCTTCTTGATGGCGGCACGGAAACGGAGGCTGAGAACGGCAAGAGCGGCAAAGTTGATGAGGGCACCGACACTGGAGAGGTTGATGAACCAGCCGAATACGGTGGCTGAGTTTGTGCCGACCTCTAGGTACGCCAAGCAGTAGATGGCCAGCACAGCAAAGTAGGCAAAGAGGGGGATACCGTGCTTGGTGGTGCGGGCAAAGAACTTCGGGGCCTTACCCTCTGAGGCAAGGGCGTGCAGGAGACGGGTGGCAATGTAGGCAAAACCATTAGAGCACGACAGGGCCGAGGTGCAGACGATGGCGTTGAAGATGTGGGGAAGGACCTTGATGTGGACGCGGTTCATCCCGACGACGAAGGCCGAGGCGTTGGCACCGACTCCAGTCGCGACAGCCTCCTTGAGGTCGGCGTCATTGTAAGGAACGAGAATACCCATGCAGATGGCACCGAGGACGAAGAAGAGGGCCATGCGGACGACAATGCTCTTGGTGGCGCGGGGGATCGTCTTGCGAGGTTGAACTGCCTCTGCCGAGGACATGGCGACCAGATCGGGGCCTCCAATGCTGAACGCGGCTATCTTGAAGACCTGGAAGAAGCCAAGAAACCTAGCAAATGGTCCAGTTGTGTAGTACTCTGCCATGACACCTGGGTCTTTCCAGTAGCGGAAGCCGATGCGGTCGTGGTCGGGGTTGCCTCCCAGCATAACAACAAACGTCATGAGGATAATGCCCACCATGAGGAGCACTTTGAGGGATGCGAGGTAGAATTCTGACTCTCCAAAGAACTTGACGTGGTACGAGTTGAGCAAGGTGATCACGACAAGGGCGATGGAGATCCAGACAGCTGGACTGAGATCCGGTAGCCAAAACTGAAAGAGACCAGCGAACGCGATGATGTCCGAGCAGCCAAACATGGTAGCAGCGTAGAAGTAGTTCCATCCCACTGTCAAGAGTCAGTTTGTTCCATTTCTCGACTGGTAGAGACTCACGAGCAGTGGCGGCAGCCTCATCGAGAAACATGCTGGACCAGGCGACCAGACCGCCACGAATAGGGAGGAACGTTGCCATTTCACAAGTGCCCAGGCAGATACCCCAGATGACGAGCGAGTAGGCGGCATATGCAAGGCTAGAGTCCTTGTCAGCAACTTAGCTGAGCACAACGCATCGCCCATATACTCACGTCGCACCAAGAGGGCCAGCGTAGATTAGGGAACGGGCCGAACCGATAAACAATCCTGTGCCGATCGCAGCACCTAATGTGGTCAGTCACAGCCCAGTTCAAAGTCTTGAGCGACTTACCGATACCGATTAGTTGCAAGTGACGGCTCTTGAGACCGCGCACAGTAGCGGTAGAGTCACTTGTGTCGCGGAGGTGGTCGCCATGGTCGACGCCCCCAATCTCGCCCACGGGCTCGACGTGGGCTTCAACGTCGGCGCCCTTGGAGTCGCCGCTGGAGGAGATGGAGTTTCGCTTCTCAGCCATGATGTGTTTGAACCTGTCGAAGAGCGGTGGGGTCCCCCAAAATACCAGAAGACAACCTGTATTTATCAGTGCCCGCTACCACCAGTGCCAAGACGTACCTGCGCCGCCTGGGAGAGTGGGGTGACCGCAGTTGGACGCCGAGGGCGTAGATAGAGGTTCTCCGATGGCGAGATAGGAGTCGGCTAACGTCTCGTTTCGTGGTGTGGGGTAGCAGGGATGGCGCGGGGAAGGGGTACGTTGTGGAGCAACATGCTGTTGTTGCGCTCGACTGAGGACGTAAGAAAGAGGAAGCAAAGCGATCCACAGACTTTAATGCGTTTGGACGCCGATTCCCGACGGTGCACAGGGCCGCTCTACTGCCCACCTCAAGGGACCTTTATTTATTTATTTCTTGTTTTTCTTTTCCTTTCTCCCGTGTGTGCAATGCAGCGGAGGTTTGCAAATGCCGAGTAATCTCGGACTCTATGTCGCCGCGTCGGACGGCGGTACGGTGGCCGGTCTGGGCTGGGGCAAAGGAGTGGGGCCGCGACGGCGAGCGATGAGGCACTGAACAACCCAACACCCAATACCGTACACTCTTGACAATCTCGACTCCGATCCCCGACAATCTATCCTTACCCACCTACCAAATGCCACCAGCAAGAACGGCGTGCATTGAGTGCCGACAAGTGAAGGTAATTGATCTCGGCGCTCAGTTCTCGAGTTGGTGACTAACAGTGGTTGCCCAGCTCAAATGTGTTCGCCAAGAGGACAATAGCCCGGCTTGTATTCGATGTGTTCACCACCGACTCCCATGCCAAGTAGTGCCTCGTCGAGTGAGTCATATGCCGAGGGCACGGTCACTGATAGAGTAGCTGGGACGACAACCAGGAGCCAAAAAGTAAGACCACCTGCCCCCAATGAACCCCAACTGACAGCAGTCGCCCAAAGTCACCATCAGTCGCAGATGAGGACAGCAGATCACGCAAAAGGCCGTCGACGGCGGCAGCCCAGTGGAGGGCGAACTCGTCGTCTTCTCCACTCGATTACCGAAGCCGCCCCTCCCTTCCCGACCACAGCGACCGGCGCTTGACATTGAGCCCCATCGCGAGGACCGATGGTGGGTCCCCTCAAGGCTCATCGTCGGCACCCTTCAACATGTTGAGCGTTCTTGCCGGGGTCGCTACTCAGGAGCCTTCACGTCCAGGACCAGCAGGCGAGGAGCCCTTTGACAGGGAACGATTCTTGGCCAAGTTCCAGCAGCCGGCCAGCACGCTCGACTCCGACCCGTACGGCGGCGTGGCCGTTCTTGAAGAGGGTCTCAACGAGCTATACAAGTCAGAGTCGTTCAACTCGCAGCCCGGTGACGATGTTGTGCAATCCCGTGTCGATCATCCTCGACTTGATAACGCACCGCAATGCGACGTAGTCGCCAGCGGGATCCTGGTTGAGAACGAGCTCCACAATCTCATGAACGTGTACTGGACTCGAATTCAGCCTGTTGGACGTGCTCTGGACCCCTCGATCCACACAACGGCCTACCTTCGTTCGCAGTCGGCGCTCTTGACCACCACTGTCCTCTGGATTGCATCTCAGAGCCTTCCAGTGTCTGGCCATGTCAACTCGCTTGTCGCGCGCCTCGAGGCGCATATTGAGACTCTCCTGGCAGTGATCAACAAGCAAGGGTTGCAATCGATTGAAATTTGCCTCGCACATACTATGCTGTGCCTCTTCATCGGCAGCCACCAGCTCGACCGGACGTGGGGATTCACGTCCAAGGCAATCGCGATGGCTGTCGAGTTGCGACTCGATATGTCTCCGCCCCCAAGCTGGGCACTGGCCCCATCTCCGCACCACTCGGCCACTACTGTGGCTCTCACTCGCAACGTTCAGCGTCTGTGGTGCCGGCTCATTGACTGGGACCGTGGCTGCGCCTTTATCCGCGGTCGTCGGCCCTTGCTCCGCGAACCGGCCCACATGGACCAAGCCTTCCTTCTCGACTGGTGCCGTCAGCCAGAGGCCCTCCCCTCCGACCCCGCCGCTGTGGGATGCTGTCTCTTTCTAGACGTCGTACTGCAGCTTCAGCTCATGGCTGCCCGCCAGCTGGTCCAACAGGACAAAAACTTCGACTTTGACACTTATCGTGCGACCATTGACCGCGCCCTCGGGGAATGGCGGGATACGTGGATTACGCTGTTCACCGAACAGGACCGGCACCGCTCCCTGTTCGACCTGGACGGCATGCGTCTTGTGCTGCTCATGATGCCGTACGAATACGACCTAATCCACCATCGAGTGCCAACGGTGTCGGACTCCTGCAGCGAGGTCTGTATCACTTCAGCCCTCACCATCCTCACACGTGCTTTGCCCATCATATCTGGCACCGACCCTGTCCTGAAAGTTGGCAGTCTGTATACGTACCGGTGAGTTGACCGAATCCCAGGCATGGGGAAACCAACTGACAGGGCGTCCAGCTACTATCGCACCGCGTATGCTGGCCTGACGGCGCTGCGAATGATCAACACTGCACCGCGCACGCGTGATGCCGATGTCTACCTCCTCAGCATCGTCGCAGCCGTTGCACGACGACTGATCGACTTGCGCCTGCATGCCAACATTACCAGCATCACCAACCTCCTGGGCCGACCTCTGCTGCGTGCAGCGCGAAAACTAGCCGCTGCACGCCTCCATACTGGAAATGGTGGCAGTCGGCCTGCAGAAGGCGCGGACAGCACCGTCAGCGGCGCCATGTCCACCGACCCTCTGGCCTTGGATCTTGTTGGCGCCGGCGAGGACGGCCAGCAGCTGCTGGACGCAATGGGTCAGTTCCCCGGGTGGTCATTGTCCACGCTCCTGTTCCCTGGTCTGAATGAAGGGGTATTCGATATGCTTGATCCTCTGGGATTTGGGCGGCAAGAGGTCGAGTTTGGACGTCCAGGAGACGGCTCGACCCCCTTCGTTCTTGGCAGTTAGGGTTGTTCTTGACAACTACTAGATTGTATGAATACGCTGTATTGCGCCAAGCGTTGGACGCCTCTGAGTGCCTCTGTGCCCTTTCGGCGAGTCGGGGTTCGGAGAGTGGAGAGAGGCATGTATGGGACTGAGTTGGTCGAGGTGCAACCAGTTGCCCACTTTTCAACCTGGGTCAAGCTATAGATACGTCGTCTTTGGGGCCCACGGGGCCGGCGTCGGCGCCCAGACTGCTGAGGTAGTGGGTCGACGTCTGTGTGTCCAATGAAAGCAACCGATCCCTATCTGCTCGCTGCCATGATATTCTCGAAGCAGGGGACAACAAGCGCCGAACTGCCGATCTGCCGAGCTGCGGCAGTGGTGCCACTGCGGAGTGGAGTACCGTTCACGTTGCGCACCATCATGTCCTGAGGTGCATGCCCACCAACAAGCGACTCCCTGAGAACATTTGGACTCCTTGGACTCCGAGAAACTGACTATCGGCGACTTCCGATTCAAGCCACTCAGTCCTAGGTGCCGAACTGTATGCCGTGGTCTTTCGGGAGCGAGACCAGATGAGACACAGCCGGATAAGTATAGGGGACACTCTGCAGCATCTCACGTTCCGCTTCTGAACTATACTCTCAATAAAACCATGCCCGCCTTCCCTCAGAAGTTTCACTCCACCGTCTCACATTGGCAGCAGACTGTGAGTGGCGCGGATTCAAGAGGACTCGAGCTGACGAGTAGAACCGAGGCCCCACCTCGCTGTGGAACCACGGCCGCAAAACCCAGCTCCCTACCGACAAGGTTGTCGACTATGTGATTATCGGTGCGGGCGCGTCTGGCACTTCCCTCGCCTACCACCTCAGCCGCGCTGGCGGCGCTGCCGAGGGCAAGTCGGTGGTCATTCTGGACGCCAAGGACGTCGCCTCGGGAGCTTGTGAGTAGCCTCGGTGTTTTGATGCGTGTGACTGGTGGCCTGACGAAGCCCAGCTGGTCGCAACGGCGGCCACGTCCCCACTCAGACTTGGCGCATGTTCGCCCCGTTCATGGCGCCAAAGGAGAAGGGCGGAGCGGGTCTTTCTGCCGACGATGTGTTGGATATCATCTTCTTCATGCAGGACAACCTCGACCTGGTGGAGAGGCTGGTCCAGGAGGAGGGAATCGATGCCGACTTCAAGCGCACTCAACGTTTCGAGGTCCTGACCACCCCGGAAGGTGTGGCTGAGAACGAGCGTCTGCGCAAGTTCTACCTCGACATACTGGCGAGGAGCACCAAGCACAAGGGTCGCAGTCTCGATGTCGAGGTGATTTGGGATACCGCCCAAGCCAAGAAGGTGAGTATGGAGTGTCATAGGCTGAGGTCCACCGCTAAAAGATGTCCCAGATGTCACGCGTGAAGAATGCCCTTGCTGTCAACCGAGCGATCGCTGGTTCTTGGCACCCTCACCGCGGCGTCACAGCGCTCATGCGCCGCGCTCTCGAGTCCAAGCACGCCGATGTCAAGTTCTTCTCTTGGGCTCCAGTGGCAGGCTTCACCGAGAACGCCGACGGCACTGTCTCTGTTGACTGTGGAGACCGTGGTATCGTCACTGCCCGGAAACTCATTGTGGCTACCTGCGCGTACACCCACCACCTAATGCCAGAGCTGAAGAACATGTAAGCTTACAGAAGTTTGGACATAAGCTGACATCAGCCTGGGTAGTTATCGCCTGCAAGCAGGTCTCGTCGTACCACCCGCCAGCTTTTCAGGCGAACAGGCCCTCAACGCAACATACGCCGTCGAACAAGCGGCGTACCTCATCCAGACCCCCAACGCCGGCTTTGTGTTTGGCCCATACGAGAAAGTCGCTGTGCAGTCCGGTCTCACTACCAAGCAGGACATGTACAACGTCGAGGACGACTCGGTGGCCACTGCTCCTTACCGCGAGTGGTTGTCAAACTTCTGCCGCACCGCCTTCGCAGGGTGGGGGGAGGAGACGCCCGGAGAGGGTCTGACCACCATGTGGTCTGGTATCCTCTGCCACTCTGTCGACCTCATCCCCATGGTCGGTCCCGTTCCCGGCCGCACAAACACTTTCATGACCGCTGGTTACAGCGGGATGGGTATGGCAATGATTATCAACATCACACGAGGTCTCGCCAACCAGCTCAAGACGGGCGAGTGGGACGAGACTGTCCCTCGCTGCTTTCAGCTCACCGAGGAGCGCCTCGACAAGGCAAAGGAGTGCCTCCAGCCTCGCGAGTATTCCGTTCCAAAGCTGGACCAGGCAAGGCTTTAATAGGTGTACATTATAGTACCATATGGTATTTTGCATGTTGATTGTCTGAAGCATAATTGGGCAACATATTACTGACCGCCTGACGAGCTGACGGACTGATGGAATGGATCGCGTGGGGTATGTCCAGCCCTCGCTTGAAGCCGCCAACAAGGGCTTGAGTGTCGACCCATGTGTTGCCAGCCAGCACAGCAAAAAAAAGCTCTTTGACACGACAAACAACGCATGAATGGGAAATGGTGAGGAGGGGCGATGAAGAATGGGATATCGTCCATGCATATGCCGTGTTCTGGCCATTTCCAGACAACGCCAAGACCAGCAACCCATCTGGTTCGAACCACCGCCTCTCTTGCGATTTCCTGGTAAATGCTTTACTTCCCGCTACAGCCGCCGATAGCCGCGTTCGTCCGGAGCATGCCGCTGATGATCCGAAATCTTACCAACCAGCTTCAGCCCTTGCCTGTTCAACGTCAGCTCTAACCGATCTCAGCAAACGTCTTATTCCCGCACTTGGCGCATGTGATCAACCGACAGCGGAGCGCGATGGTTCGAAAAGGAGACACGTGAGGCAGCACTGCTTTCGCCTTGGCGTGGGGTGCCCGCAGATATAGATAAGATGAGCGGCCCTTGACCCTAACGTGTGTCTCACCATCCGCTTCAAGCACCGACGCTACTTTCAGGCCGACAGCCACACTAGCGATGCTCGTCAAGACACTTCTCCCTTCTCTGCTCCTCGCGCTGCCTTGCCTGGCGCAAGACTCTCGCTGGGGCATGCCCGATGAAGGCCAGCCGCATAACAGGACCTGGATGGCCTTTGCTGCCAGCGCCAACATTTGGGGCGACACACTCGATGCCGTGCGCAAGGACTTGGCGACGATCGCCCAGACCATCGCTCAGTTTGAGCCCGTCTCCATGCTTGTCCGACAGGAAGACTTGTCCACTGCTCAGGAGATGGTTGGCTCATCGGTCAACCTGGTCGTTGGCGAACTCGACGACCTGTGGATGCGCGACACGGGACCTGTGTTTGTCAAGAATGTGGACAATGGTACCATTGGCGGTGTCAACTTCAACTTCAACGGCTGGGGTAACAAGCAGGAGCACGGAAATGACTCCAAGGTCGCTGCCGAAGTCGACAGGAACAGCACCGACATGGTGGTTTCAACCACGCTGGTGCTTGAAGGTGGCGCCCTCGAGGTTGACGGCGAAGGCACCGCCATCATTACGGAGAGCTGCGTCCTCAATGAGAACCGTAACCCGGGATGGACCAAGGAGAACGTTACCGAAGAGCTGTCTCGACTCCTCAACCTCACCAAGATCATCTGGCTTCCAGGCATTGCTGGAAAGGAGTGAGTTGGAGTTTGGAACGGGGCCTGGAACGGCAACGGGAACGAAGGTCATGTGACCAATTCGTCAACGTAATTGCCATGTGGTCGCTCGATCGCATCGCGCATCGTTCACGAAGTGCTCCTCCTTTTGGCGGCTGCTGACATGTCTTCAGCATTACGGACGGACACACCGACTTCTACGCTCGTGAGTGCTCCTGGGGAGATGGAAAGAGGTGCAATTGTTCAAAACACACCAAAGACTGTTGTCCTCCTGCCACACCTCCAATTTCTGGTCATTAACGCTGACAACTCAGGTTTTGCTTCTCCTGGTGTTGTCTTTGCGGGATTTGAGCCTGACACTTCCTCGTTTGACCACGACGTGACCACCCAGCATCTCGAGATCCTTCGCAACTCCACGGATGCCGCCGGCCGCACCCTCGATGTGGTTGTGCTCAACGCGCCGGGCACCATCCGCCCAACCACCAACACTAAGGACTTTGCTGCTGGCTATATCAACTTCTACCAGGTCAACGGGGCGATCATTGGTCCCGAGTTTGGCGACAACGACACAGACTCTGCGGCCAAGGCAGCCATGGAGAAGGCGTTCCCCGGAAAGACCATCGTGCAGATTAACATTGACGCCATTGCTGCCGGTGGTGGCGGTATCCACTGTACCACTCAGCAGGAGCCCGCCTTTGGCGCCACGCCTGTGAGTTGCCTCGTACACTCGTGCTGGGAGAGAGTGCAGAGTGTTAACATGTTACAGGCTGCAGGAAACGCTTCCGCTACAGTCTCGTCCCAGTCCAGCGCTAACACGAGCGCCGGTACGAGCACCAGCGGCTCGGGCCACCACGCTGTCGCAAGCAATGCCCTCTTTGGATTCGCTGTGGTCACCCTTGTTGCCTCTTTTATGTTGCTCTAGTTCAAGGGTAGCTGCGAAACGACAACAGATGGTAGGAAAACGTGCGGAAAATACCGTAAATAGCGTGCCGCCACAACTGAAGTTGCCCTAAAGAACGGACCATAGACCCCGATGATAGACGAACACAGCGGATGAAACCACATTGACCCACAACCATGGATTGTTGTACGACGTGGCCCCGGCTTGGGGTACCGCGACACAACTGCCCTACTCAGTACTTCTTCCGTCTGGGGCTGAGCGGCAGAGAGAGACCAAGCCATTGTTCAGCAATGTCCAACTCAGTTGCTCACCTCACTCGAGAAACGCTCGGACGGCTGGCTGCAGCTCTTCAGTGGCGACGACAAAGCCAGGACCGGCCCACGGGTTGGTAGTGTGACTATGTTGGCACCCACTTTGGGGCGTGGGAACGGGGAGTAAAGGCCGTGCGTGCATGTGTTGTGTTGTTGGCGCCGCGTCCCAAATGTACTCCCAGATGTACTCGCAGGTGGCCCTGGCTTGGGGGGCTCGAGCAGGGCGTGGTCATGTCGCAATTTGGCCCCGTCGCCACCCACTGTTGGTCATGGTCTAACTCTCACCTCATTCTTTCATACATGACTCTGTGTTAGCATCTCAGCGCGCCCAACGACATTCAACTCACACGCAGCGATGTACAGGACATCTATCTGGCATGCTCAGGCATCGACTGCCACACTTGTCTGCCTGCGGCAGCTGTCTCTCAGCATTGACTAGCTCCCACATCCGCTCACGCCCTCACACGTCGTCAATGCTTGTGTCTCAACGCGTCTCATACCGTTTAGTGTTGGCGCACCAAGCGACGTCGCGCCTCAAGGGCGCGAGAAGACCTCTTTCAACTCCAGTCTGACCAGCCTGACCACGCAAGCGCCCCCATCCTCGCTTTTGGCCCCACACCCATGCCATGCCTGAGCCCTACATCAATTTGTTTGGTTCAGCACCTTACCTCTTGTTCACTCATCACCTCTCGTTCAGCAACATGTGCGAGTCAATCGTTAACAACCACCGTTACGACCCGAAGGTCAGTTTACCTCAAATTGTGAGGTCGCTCACGCTTGCAGTACCATGCCGTTGAACGTGACCATACTCACGTCATCGGTCCGGAGTCGTGCACACGCTTTGACCTCTGCGGCGATTGTGATATCGTTTACCAAGACGTCCAGTTGCCATGTGGCCACGGCGCTGAAGTGCCTTGCCACAAGATGGGGGACTTGAGCACAGTCTTCTGCTCCGCGGAGGTCCTCAAAGAACTTCCTGGTTGTGAGTTATGATATGAACGAGTAGAACTGACGCCGCCCCAGGCGAGCACTCTGTCATCACGGCATGCGGCACAACTGACCTCACGCCTGTTCAGTGCACGGCGCTGTGCGACCGTCCACGTGAATGTTGTGGCAAGCTGTGCAACAGCAAGTGTCACGATTGCCAACGTGTTACGCAAGAGGGCTCTGATGGCACGGACCTTCTTCCCAAGATTGAGCGCACCCGCCACGGCGCGCACCAGTGCAGGCTCCCTCTCCAGCCCTGCCAACACGAATGCGACAGGCCTTGCGGGTCCGCTCACGACCACACGTCCTGCAGTGGCCAATGCCTGCGTGCCTGTCCTCATGGCGTCTGCGACCAGCCCTGCAGCGTTGTTTGCGCACCTTGTGAGTGTGAACGACGAATAGAACTGACAATGTTAGGCAACAAGGCTTGTGACTGGCTTTGCGAGCATTCCTCGGGCGATTGCGAGCTTCCTTGTGGAACGGTGAGCTTGGGGTTGAAGGCGTGTTCTGACTGTCAGCCTTGCAACCGTCTGCCTTGCAACGAGCCGTGCACCAAGCCCCTCAAGTGTGGCCACCCGTGCAGTTCGGTATGTGGTGAGCCATGCGAACGTCAAGTCTGCAAGGTCTGCCCCGAAACCTCCCAGTTGGACCAAATGGTCGACTTCATACTTCAGGCAACGCTGGGCGAGACGATCAAGGACAACCCCGACTGCCTCCTCATCACCCTCGGTTGTGGTCACGTTTTCACCATTGACACGCTTGATGGTTCGCTGTCTATTAGCGAGTACTACGATACCGACGAGAGTGGCGCTTTTGTCGGTCTCAAGACGCCAATTGGCTACCAGTCGCGCAAGTCGTGCCCCACCTGTCGCTCTCCGATAAACTCGCCAAGGTATAACCGCGTGACGAAGCGCGACATGCTCGACATTCAAGACCAGATTGCAATCCGCCAATACACCGCGGATTTGCACCCCCTGGTGGAGGCTGAAAAACTTGACCTCTCAATCGACCAGTGGAAGATCAAGACCAGTCTGCAGAACTTGCCCGCTGCCCAAGACAACTACGACGATAATGTCGTCCACGAAGCTCTCACCACCGCTGCTCACGACAACAATGGATGGTGCCCAGCGGAGGCATTCATGTGCAACAGTGACGTAATCTTTGGCATCGACGGCCCGGCGGCGACGGCGTGGCAGGAGATCGCCAACGACCACCTTCATATCTACAAAAGCCTGTGCGACATGATCATCTCGTTTGACAGCCCCTCCCTTTTGGCGTACGAGGAAACCGTGTTGACAATTGTCGGCCAGGAGATGGGTCGTGGTCACCTTCCGCATGTAACGGATGAGGTCACCGAGAAGGTCTACCAGCACCTGGGTGCGCCTCTCCCCTATGGCGTCACCATGTACAAGATTGAAGCCCAACTCGAAACAATCAACATTCGTCTCGCGCTGGCCAACATTGCGACGGCCATGGCCGACCATCTCTGGGAAGCACAGCGTGTTCAGCAAGAGCAGGGTTCACGAGACTGCAATAACCGTGAAATGGGACGCCGGTTCGACGGCATGGCCCTCGCGCTCCTTCGAACTGCCGATCGCGATATGCACCACGCTATCCAGCTGGCGACCGAGTGTAAGCTTCCCAAGACCATCCTTCTCGGCCATGTTTTCGGCGCCAAGGTCGCCTTCCGCTCGGCGCGCATGCAGAAGACTCAAGCTCTTCGCACAACGAAAACGCAAGACAGGAACTCCACGATCGAGACGCTTAAGACCGGCTGGCAGGCTGAACTCCAGAGCCTGGAAGCCCGCTTCCGCAAGTGTGTCAGCGACGTCCGCGAAACCTATGGCCGCCTCGGCACCCATGTCGATGACTGCGTGCGCGATGCGGACGAGATTTTCCAAGACTGGGACGAGTTCATCAACACCGCCTTGCACGACCAACTCACCATTGAAGAGAAGCGCCAAGTCGTCCGCGCGTCTTTGGAGTACGGTGAGTAATCTTGGGGCGGACACTGAGCGCCTGCGACTTCCGCTGGCTCTCTGATGCTTACTAGCCCAGGTGTTGGAGGCCGCTTCTACCAGTGTCCTAACGGTCACCCGTACACGATTGGAGACGTGAGTTTCCTTTGATTGGCGTAGGACTGACCCCTCAGTGCGGCCAGGCCATGGTGCAGGCGCATTGCCCCGAGTGCAACGCCATGGTGGGCGGCGCCGGCCACAACCTTCGCGCGGACAACACTCGCGACACTGAACTTGAGCGCATCGCGCAGGATGTCGGAGCGACGCCCAACCAATGGGTCGACTACGACTTTGAACGCCTCCGCTGAGCCATCCTTCCCAACTTGCTGATATCAACGACGCTTAAGATACGCAACCCACGCAACCAGAGCCTGTAAACTACATCGTCCAAGTATCCCCAACAACCAGGGCCGGATCAACGTTCCAATTCCGAGTTCCGAGGCCAGGCACTGGAACATCTCCCTGTCTTGTACCATGCTCCAGTGTTGCCCTCGCTGTTGCTATACCTGCAAAGTAGCGTGTGAACGACCGACCTGTGTATGCAGTGTTATTACCTGTGCAGTAGTGTCGCCACATGGCAACATGTTTTGTTTCATGCTGATCGCTGAATCAGCATCGCACTCGCGGCACGATTTCCATGCTCACCATGTCGCTACACCCAGGTGGAGGTCGCGACGCATGGCGTCATACCATCGGTCATCTCCAGGCCGTCGGGCCGCGAGCCCCCCCCCCCGGCCTCGCCGAGACGCTGACCGAGAACTATTCCATGGAACTGCGCGCTCTGAGCTGACACATAAAAGAACCGACAGCACATTCCATGTTTCCCAGACTTGCGACACGTCTTCTCACTAAACGTACATTCACCACCATGACCATCACCACCACCGACAAGCTCACGCTCTACACCAACCACGGCTGCCCTTGTGAGTAGTTTACTGTGACCCAGCGGGCAGATTGTGAACTCTGTGGGCCATCGCACCGCGACGCGTTCGGCGCTAACATCGCAGGGGCCCACCGCGCACACATTGCCCTTGCCGAGCTGGGCGTCCCCTTCGAGGAGGTCATCATCGACCTCGACACGCCCCGCACGGCCGAGTACCTCGCCGTCAACCCTCGCGGCCAGGTCCCTACCCTCAGCTACAACGGCGACATCATCGTCGAGTCGGGCATCGTCGCCAACTTCCTCGCCGACCAGTACCCTTCGCACCTGGTTCCCGAGTCGAGCGCCCCTGGCGGTGCGCTGCGCCGCGCGCAGATTGCCGTCTTTGTCGACGCGTTCGTCAGCAAGTTCCAGGGCCACTTGTTCAAGTTCTTCTCGGCCGCAGAGTCCGAGCGCGACGCCCTGGTCGAGACGGCCGTGGCCGCGCTCGTCAAGGAGGTTGAGCCGCGTCTCAAGGACGCCAGCCCGTACTTTGGTGGCAGCGACAAGCTTACTCTTGTCGAGGTAAGTCTCACTCAGCTGGGGGGCTGTCATCGTCGTGACCAACAACTGACACTGGGGTTTCCCTCTACAGGTCCAGACTGGCTCGTTCATCGTCCGCCTTCTCGCCCTCGGCAAGGGCGGCGTCTACCCCGCGACTCTCCTGCCCGCTATCGAGGCCCAGGCTCCCAACTTCTGGGCTTGGGCTCAAAAGGTCGCTGTCCACCCTAGCGTGACTGGCATCTTCAACGAGGACAAGGTTGTCGCTCGTACCCGCGAGCGTATTGCCAAGCTTCGAGCTCCCAAGGCTTGAGCGGGGGTTGTATTTTCTATTGGGGATCATGCAGGTTGTATGAAGTACGAGGTCCATGCATTGGGCATGTCTGAGCCGTGTCAGACCGTGTCAGAGTCATGACAAGCTGGGTGGGAGCCGTGTCAGACTACGCAACGCAGCCGGCAATGTAGATCGGCCCGATTAGCTTCACCGGCGCAGGCACTACGTCCCTACATTGTCCACCATTGCCCTGTCACAGCCCCGTGCCCGACCTTCCGTGCTCTCAGGTAGGATACATGCTCATCTACACAGAATCTACACACACTTGGTTCTACTTCTACATAATAAGGCTCAGCATCTGAGCAGTTGCGGCCGCGTCGTCCGTGTTAAGCACCAGGTCGCCCCCACGGCTGGCGGCCGAGGCGACGTTCGGCATGGCCTCCACCACACGGGCGTCGGCGTCCTTGTCGGCAAGGTAGATGGACGTGCCGTTCCGCACCCCTTGGGATAGGATGCGTGCCTCGACCGTCTCCATGGTCGCGTAGCAGTACACCTCGGTCTGCTTCTTCTGGCCGAGCCGGTCGACACGGCCGATGGCTTGAAGCTCGAAACTGTGCTGCAGGACAGGCTCGAGGAGGTGCACCACGCCGCACGAGGTCAGAGTCAGACCGGCACTTTCACGCTCGGCGTGAAGCAGGAAGACTGAAATGGTCGGGTCCGAGTGAAACTGCTCCACCACGTCGTTCTTCTTCGAGTTGGAGTCAAACGAGACGAAGCGAATACGGTTTTCGCGGAGGGCACGCTCGACGATGTGCAGCGAGTCGGCCCAGTTAGAAAAGACCACGTGGCGGGTGTCGGGATGGAGGAGGCGAGTGTACAGGAGGTGCTTGATGAGGAAGTTGATCTTGGAGCCGTACTCGCCCATCATGTCCATCGCCATGATCTCACGCTGGCGTTCCTCGGGAAGCATGTTGAGCTTGTTCAGGTCTGCCATGCGCGCGGCGCGCTCGGCATCGTCACTGAGCTGGTCCTGCTCCTCCTCATCCTCGGCGGCATCTTGCGACTCGCCAGCAGCGTCCTGATCATCGTGGCGAATGCGGATCTTGGTGAATTGCCGTTCATTGATGTCCGCTTTGCACGTGGCGCACTTGCGTCCAATGTAGGCCGCCTTTCGGTACTCGCGGAAGCACGAGACGCAGAACGCGTGGCCACATGCGAGGAGGACGGCATGCTTGTCCTCGGAAGTACCAAAGCAGATGGAGCACTCTTCGTGGACGTCACGCTCCCCGTTGCCATTGTCGAGGTACGACAAGTAGCGACCCTTGACAGTGTTGCGCGCAATGTCGCCCTCGAGCCTGGTGATCTGGCGGTCTGCCTCCGCAATGTCCTTGCGCAAATCCTTGAACATGGGCGCCGCGACCGAGTCCGAGATTTCCTGGAGCGAGGCAAAGTACATGACACGCTTGTTGAATGTGGCTCGCAGCACGTCGAGCTCCTTGTAGAGCTTGTCGACAAACTCGGTCTGCTGGTTGATATACTTGCGGAGCGCGCTCGACGTCTCCTTGGCCATCTCAACCTCTTCGACGCGCGCGCCACTGTGAACGACATTGGAAATGTCGATGAGGATAGCCTTCAGTGGGCGCGTGCAGTCCTCTTCGTTACGCCTGTCGCGGAATGCCTGGCGCTCGAGCATGAGCTTGAGAGTGAGATCATCGACGTCCGAGAGTTCCACGGGCGCAGCATTGAGCTCTGCCTCCTTGGCACGGTTGGTGACACGCTTCTTCTTGAGATCGCCCTCGTGCTCCGCAAGGGCAGTACGCTGCTCCAGGAGGAATTCCTTTCGGTCTGCAATAACTGCAGCGTAGGCTGTAAGGTATGCTTCGACGTCACCTTGGGCCTTGAGCGCCTCGGCATAGTACTCTTCTTCGGGGTTCTCGACATCTTGACCTTGACCAGGCGCGGGAACAGCGTCTTCCTCGGCCTCGAGTGGGGTTTGGAGGAGCTTGATGACCTTTGCACGCCAGTTGAAGACGAGCGAGGCGTTGTCATTGAGAATACGCAACAGCGCGTTGGCCTCGATCACGGCGTCATGGGTGGAAATACCGCCACGGTAGCGCGTGTTGGATGTGTACAGGTTGTCGAGGGACTCGATGGCCGGGTGTTCCTCCATCGTCTTGCACATTCCTTCGACATACTTGTACGCTAGCTTGAGTGGGCGGGCGAGAATGTCCTTGCGCAGGTCCTCGGCCATCTTGTACGCGACCACCTCGGCGTCTTCCTCCTTTTCGACGTGGCGGACGTCTCCCTCAAGGAACCAACTCTGGTGGATGAGGAGGAGAGTCTCTCGGATCGCCTGCCTTGCCGTCATCAACTGCCTGGCGCGGTCGCGCTCGGCTTGCGACGCGCTACGTAGCGCAGCCTCGTCGTCCACACTGTCCTCACGGTCACCGATAAGTGAATTGAGTGCCGCACGAGCAGGGTCGAGGATCCTTTGGCCTTGAGTGCGCGCACGCTCGTACAGGGACAGTGCCTTGAGGTGACGCAAGTCGTCAGTGTCGTCAAGCACCATGAGCTGGGCCTTGAGGATCATGTGGCGCATCTGGTTACGAATCTGGGTGACGAGGGCGGCCTCGTTGTCGGCACGCATCTTCTTGAGCGCCTCGTCCATGTTCATCAAGTTACGTCCGAGTTGGATACGGTCTGCGCGATCGACGGGGTTGGCGGCGCCGCGCTGCAGAGCTCCGACCTGGATATGGGTACAGATCTGGCGGAGGTGACGGAGTGATGAAAAGAAGACTGAACGGTCAAATGACCGGCCATCGCGATCGTTGCGGCGGAGACGGTCTTGCTGGCGGTCTAGCGTGTCGAGATAGTAGTGCATTTCAATGTCGGAGAGTTCGATGGGCACGACAAAGCGAGTCTGGTGAGGAAGGTTGAACTCGCCAGCCACCTCGACCTTGGTTGTGCGCACAGAGAGCGCCTGGAAGAGACCGTGGAACACGAGGCGGTTCTCATCCTGCAAGAGACGGTGCCAAATCTGGCGCTCGGCGGCGTGGGGAACACGAAGGAACCGCAGCGAGCCCATGAGGTCGTGAACGTCATTGCGCGCTGGCGTACCAGACATTGCAAGCGAGCACTTGCGCGGGATGAGCGAAACCATCTCGGCCGCTGCGCTTTGATCACCCTGAAGCTGGACCTCGTCCATGATAACGCGCCACCACTCGACCATGACCAGCGGACTGCGAGGGCGCTCCTCAATGTTGTATTTGGCTGTAGAGCGGCGACTGCGGATTGGAGCAGGATGGGCCACGGCCAGGTCGTCTCCAAGAGTCTGGTATGTGGTGATGATGACGTCGTGGCCGCGGAGGTAGTCGAGCCACGCACGCTGAACAAGGTCGAGAAGGCTGTCCTCTGGAGTAGAGGAGGCGATAACTTCGTCCTCGCTCTCGCTTTCGCTCTCCAGCTCAACCTTGACCTTGGAGCCGTCGTGACCGCGGGAGTACTTGGTCCGGGTCTTGTTGCGGAACTTGACGTTCTTGCGCTTGAGCTTTTGAGCCTCGTGCTTCTCGCGCTCCTTGGCCGTCTCTTTACGCTTGGCTGCGATTTGCGAGATCAAGACTTTCCATCCGGGGTAGACGCCGATCCGTAGACCAGGTGCGTGCGTACGCATCTCGGTCACCCACTGCTTGAGCAAGGGTAATGGTGTCACTACAAGCGTGGCTGCCACCTCTGCGACATGCAGTTGTGACTCTTCCGACCAAGAGGTAGTTCCGTCAAACGCCGTGTGCTCTGCTTGAAGCCAAGCCTTGACTTTAGGGTGGCCATAGGATGCTGGTAACGTGCGAAGGTCAATAACCGAGGACGTGGGGACATCTGCCGAGGCGCCGGCCGGAGGGCGGGTAACAGAAAGAGGGTGACGGTGCAGCAGCATGAGAGCGATGGCTTCGACGGTTTTTCCAAGACCTGGGTGGGGGTTAGCCTTCGAAACAACGTTAGACGAAGTCTTTCAACTCACCCATTTCCTCGCACAGCATTGTCCCACGGACGTTGCCGAGGTTGAACAAATGTGGAAGAGCGTCCAGCTCTCCGTCCGTGCCACACGCAGTCTCGCGGTCCTTGCCCTTGCGATTGGAAGTGAGTTTGACAAGGCGACCAGTCAGGCGCTGGAACGCGTAATCGCCAAAGCCCTCAAAGTGCATCTTGGACCACTGGTGTGCGGACTTGAGCTCCTTGACCTCGCCAGCGATGGGTGCACCTTCGCGTTCCAGCAGGAGTGCCAGAGTGCGTGTCTGGAAGGGAAGAAGCTTCAAGGCCATTTCATTGGGCTGCAGAAGGCGGGCGTCAAATCCGAGAGGAAGGTCCGGGGCAGGGCGGAGCGACTCGTAGAACTGTTGTAATGCACTAGCGCGACTCTCGGTCGCGGGCCTGCTGGCCTCGGCGGGGAGGACGGCAACAAGAACCAAGCTGAAAAGGTCGGTACCGACTGGTGAGAGAGGAATCTCAATCACCTCCATATCCAGGTAGACGTCCACGGTGACGATGAGCTTGAGCTCGGGGTCGCCACCCTCCTCAGTCGCTGGGAGCCATATGACACTCACACCAGTGCGGAGATGGACGCGTTCATGCTCGTCGCGATAGTTTCCCTTCCTCGTCGCCTGCTGGGATGGGTCGAGAGCAAGTGCCGCATGGAGCCAGTACCCAATATCCCAGCCTGTGGCGGACACGTAAAAGTTCGTTCCCACTTGGCCTCTCGGAATAGGCAATGAGCGGAGGCGAATCAAGGGGCGCGTCTTGCCGTGGGTGGTGGGAAGGAAGACGTCGGGCGAGCGGCCGCTGAGTGCCTGTGACTGGCGCGAGATGTTCTTCTGGTCGAATGGGGGAATATGGAATAGCTTCGGGCCGGGGATGGAGAGAACGAGGGGGACGCATGACTCCTTTGCGGCCTTGACGCTGTTGAAAATAGCTTCGAAGACAGTTGCATTGGGGTTATCGCGCGGTCCATCGGGGTACTGTTCAAAGCGGACTGGCGTGGCGGGCGTCGCTTGGATGGTGAGTGTGTGCACGTGGAAGTGGTTGGGGCAGACTGGTAACGGTCAGCACCAATGCAAAGGTACGTTCATCTCACCTGGCTCAGGCTGAATGACCTTTCCAGCAATGGCGGCGTCGACAGCGCGAGACAGCTGGGCAAGGTCGTATTCCAACGAGTGGAGGTCGATTTGGGACGTCGAGGTGGTGGGGAAGGTGTCCATAATGAGAGTGTGGAGGATGGGGTGTACGATACCCCACTCTCGCGCGGCTACCGCGCGTGTTCAATGGTGCTTGCGGGTAGAAGGACGGGCGACGACGACAACAACAACAAAGGAAGATGGAGAGATGAGACGAGCTTCGTCAACCTGCAGCGCGTCCTCCACCTGCGGGAACCCGGTTTTTGCCACCGGCCTCCACCCGTTGAAGATTGCCCTGGACATTGCCTCCGCTGTCAAGAAAATTCACACCGTGGGAAATTGAAGTGATAACCCAGGCTGTCTTTATTTCCACACCTCACTTATGATACACCACCAAATCCACCTGTAAACCGCTTCCGACGGAACACGATTTCTGACGTCAGCCGTTTGTGATTCTTGGTGATCAATCCGCCACGACGTCCACTGCATCAATACGATTCTATTCCATCTCATGACGCTTGCGTGCTAGTCTCACAAGCCACCACCCCTTGCGTGCTTCGCTACGTGGGGAGCCGCGGCAAACTCTGGCTATGGCGGCAGTCGGTTGCACGCTGATGACTGAGCATGTCTCACACAGCCGTGACGATGGCGCTGCATAACGGACAAACCAAGCCGGATGAGCGACAAAGCACGCGCGCTCGCAGTATACGACGTACGACGTACGGCGACTGTACGCGCTCGGTGATCGGTGGCCGGGTGTGCACTGATCACCATCGGCCATCGAGGATGGCGTTGACGCGATCCATCCTCTGGCCTCTGAAGCGATCCACCGGGACAATGGTACTTAAGCTGCTTGGTCCTCGCCACTAACAGATCCTCACTTCACTTCTCCCTCGTCCTCCGCAACCAACCACCACACCTACACACACTCTTACAATGGCTCCTACTGTTGCCCTCCTCACTGCCACCGGCCTTCTTGGCACTCAGCTGGCCAAGACCCTCGGGGCCCAGGACGCTGCCAGCAAGATCAAGCTGGTTGTCCTCCACCGTCCGTCGTCTGACCTCTCTGCCCTCCCCGCCTCGACTGAGCGCCGCCCGCTCGACATTGAGACCGCCACTGCCGAAGATGTGGCCACTGCACTCCAGGGCGTTGATATTCTTGTGTAAGCTCGGAACCATAGCGCACCCACCTGGATCACACTGACTTTGCAGCTCGGCCACCAACAGGACCTCTGCCGAGGCCGACGCCCGTTTCATCGAGTCCCTCGCGGCCGTCAAGACCCTCCAGGCCTACATTCCCTCCGACTTCTCCGTCAACTGGACCGAGGAGGAGGCTTCCGACAAGCTGAACCTCATTGTCTGGGGCAAGACCCGTCTCGAGGAGAAGCTCCGTTCTCTGGGCGTCCCCGCCGTTCCCGTCCACAACGGCCTGTTCGAGCCGTTCGTATTTGGCCCCGTGCTTGGCCTGGACGCCAAGGGCAACACTGTGGCGCTGTACGGCGACGCCCTCACTCGCAAGCTGCCAGTCACGTCGCCCAAGTACCTCGCCGAGGCGCTCGCCCAGCTCGTTGTCCGTCCCGTCTCGGAGCTCGTCGGCAAGACCTTCACCGTTGTCGAGTACGAGACGACTGGCCAGGAGGTCGTTGACGCCCTCACTGCCGCCAACGGGAAGGCCCCGACGGTCACTACCCTCACCGATGCGGACCTCGAGGCTGCGCGCGCACACGGACCTCTGGCCGTCCTCGGCGCCGCGGCACGCAAGAAGTGGGGCGCTGGCTCGTTCCCCAACAACGACGCGTTCGTCCCTGTGGGTGTCCAGCCCATCGACGTTAGGCAGACCATTGCTGTTGCCATTAAGGCCTGAACACAGCAACAATAAGTAGCCAGCTGCGCCCAAGTGTAAAGTAGATCCCTAATGGAGAAGAATGCATATCGATTCTGAAGCTCCCTGGTCACTGGATGTACCTTTCGGCCAGATCCGTGGTGCGATCGGCCCTTTCTCGGCAACTCTCGGTGCATTTACAATGACACACGCGTTCTGTTGATGCTATGCGCTATATTGTGACTAGTGGGGCTGTCAAGCGACCCATTCCCCTTTGCTTCTCAGTTGACTACTTCCCCCCACCGCTCTAACTGGCTCACTCAACGTACGGCACGCACACACAGAAAACCGTCACGAACCAAAACAACCCGACATTGACCACACGAGCGACATGGTATTCTCCGATCACGTCTTCGCGACCAAGTCTGGCGTCGAGCTCGAGCTGCGCGTCTTCCGCGCCCGCGGCCTCAAGGAGGGGGAGAAGGCGCCGTGGCTGTTCTGGTCGCACGGCGGTGCCTTCCTGTTCTGCTACCACCTTGGTGAGTTGCTGAACCTTTAGAAAATCAACTCACATCCGCAGGCGTCACGACATGGGCATACCAGAACTTCCTCGACAGGGGCTACCACATTGTCTCGTGGGCGTACCGCCTGGCACCCATCGCCTCTGTCGCCGACATGGTCTCTGACGGCCAAGACGCCTTTGACTGGTGCCGGGCCAACCTCGAAACCACCCTAGCCAACACGGTCGACGTGGACGCCTACGTCGTGGGCGGCGACAGCGCCGGTGGCTGCCTCGCCACTCTCCTCGGCGGCATCCTCACCCCGCCTCCACGGGCCGTCCTGGACGACCAAGGGATCACCGACCTCTCGGACCCGTGGTTCGACACGCACCCAGACCCGGTCGTTCCTTACTCTGGCGAATTCACAGACGACGAGATCGCGGCTGCTGTGGCGGAACGTGATCCGTCCAAGGCGATCACTGGCGCCGCGTGTCCCAACGACGACAGCCCAGAGCTCGAAACCGAAGCCGAGGTTCGCGCGTCGTTCCAGTCATCCACAGTCAGATTCGGCCGCGCCGAGCGGCTCCAGCTCGACGTCCGCCGGTCCATCTGCTCCAAGTCGGCGTGGGTGCGCGCCACGGTCCATCCGGAGAAGTACGGCACGGAGGACGAAGTCAAGGCGGCCGAACGCGAGTGGTCAAGTCTGTACAGGCTCGACAGGCTCAGCACCTATCCGCCCACATTCTTCCTGCATGGAGACAGCGACGAGTGCGTGCCAGTGTGGCAAAGTCGGAAAATGGCGGCCAAGTTGAGGGAGATGGCGGTCGAGGTTGGCGAGCACTATGAGCCTGGTGTCGGGCACTGCTTCAACCATAGGTTTACGGTGAGTCCCGTATGGATGTACACTCCACACGGCCCCATGCTGACAAGTTAAGAATGACAAGACAGCCGAAGGATTTGACAACTGCGTGACGGCTCCCCTAGACTTTATCGACAAGCACGTCAAGCGCGTCAACCGTGTCTAGACGGTGTTCTTGTTTCGTTAGTACTGCTTATTGGTATGCACCCCTGATATACCCTTTGATGTGATTCCGGAGCGACCGGCAGGACTAGAGGTTGGGAAGCAGTGTAGCTTGCGTAAGACAAGGATGCAGGAAGACACAAACGTCCAACAGTCCACCCCGCCACACCACCGCTTATTTCCGATCGGCGCAATCCTAATGTTCCAATGGCTAATGGTAATGTCACGTCGATGCTAAATACAAAATATTACGAAACCGTCCGGTTCGTCCACCACCTCTTGTTTTTTGCTTCTGTCTCGCGCTACTGTCTAGCTAGGCGTAGACGCACGTATCCACGCGTCTTGTCAATCTACTTGCGCGACAGGGCAATGAGGGCCTTGCCGTAGTCGCCCTGGTTGGGCAGGCGGTTGACAGTGTGAATGTGGCACTTGGCGGGCGAAGTGTTCGTGAGGAAAACTATGGCCGTTAGCACATCTTCTACATCTTCCATGGCTCTTTCGCAACGCATATGCGCTGCACAACTCACTTCCGCAGTGAAAGTCAAACTCGCAAAACGTAACGGGCGAGTGGATACGGAAGTAGTAGGGGTCGCCGAGACCAAACTTGCCGATCCAGGCAAAGTAGGTCTTGTCCTCGTTTGCGCGGATGAGCTTCATGCGAGCCTCGAGGGGTCCGGTGGGGAGGTACGTGTTAAAAGCGCGGATGATGGCGTAGACCTCCTCCTTCTGGCTGTCGGTAAACTTGGAGATGGGGCAGCCCTCGTACGGGACGATACGGTTGTCCTGGTGCGCGCCGCCGAGGTGGCGCTCGTCAAAGGGGTTCCACCTGTCCTCGGCGAGTCCCTCGTCGCAGGTCATGCCCTCGTTGATCTGGGCGAGCTTCTGGTTCTCGGGCGACAGGTCGCGCATGAGGTTGAGACTGCGGATCTCCTCCTGCGAGAAGAGGCGGAGACCCTCGTAGGGGCCGACGTCGATACGGTCGGGCTCGGCGCCCATAAAGGTGGGACCGATGACCATGCGGGGACCGACAAAGACGACGGCGAGACAGAGGTGGTGGCCAAAGAAGGTGAAGCCCCAGGGAGCAGTGAGGGAAGGAGCACTGGTCTCGGTGGGGAGGAAGAGACGGAAGTTGTAGCTGTCCTTGTTGAGAACGGTCAGGCCGTTGATGAGCTCGCCGAGGAAGTGGTTGGTGAGGGTGCAGCCGAGAGCCTTGTTGTAACCCTCCTCGGACAGCGAAGCCTTGAGAACGCCGTGCACGAGCTGGCGGATCTCCTCGGTCGTCTCCTCCATACGGATACCGCCAGGGTTAACGTAGAGCTCGGGGTTGGACCAAGCACGGAACTCGTCGTCGTTGGCCACGTCGCCCTTGATGGTCTCCTTCTTGAGGTCCTCTGGGAGAGCAGCAAGGAGCTTCTCGGTAGCAGCAACGGCGGCAGCGACGGGAGCACCCTCGTCCGCGTCGTACGAGTACACAGAGGGGTCCGGGTTGCCGTCGGCCGTGAAACCCTTGTAGGGCCTCTCGATGTTCTTCACGTCAAGCCTGTTGATGAGCCATGCGGGGGCGGGAACGTCGCGCCTGCTCTGGCACCACGAGAGGGCAGAGTGGCTCTCAATGCCAGCAATGCGCGGGTGGTCGGGCTTGGGGATAATGTCCCGGAACGAGACGGTAGCGTCGGTGCGAGGGGTTGCGGGGTCGTCGGTGAGGACAAAGCCAGAGTTGAGAGGAGCGCGAACCATCGTTGCAGTGTATGAGTCTGGGAGGGCAGAGGTGATATGAGGGGAAAGATGAAGAGGAAGAAGCAGGCGACGGTCTTAAAAATAAAGCCAGCTGGACGGGGCAGCGATTGTGCTCGGCGTCCTCGATGATGACCGCATGACACCACACGCAGCTAACACGACACGCTCTCTCTCCCTCGCGCGCTCTCGCCATTGTGTCCCGGCGTCGGACATGAGTGCCCCGCGGGGTGAAATCTCGGCAAGTGAGCATACGTTTGCGGTGTTTCTGCAAAAGTCACCGCAGAACCCCCACCGGATATATGGCCCGGGTGAGCTGTTGGGTGAGCTTGGCTGGTGGGGCTGTACGTCGACCCGGGTGCTCACGGCTGGGCACCGTCCCGGGCCCATTGTCTGGCAGGACCCAAGCTGGAAGCTGGCCAGCTGGATGGCCTGGCGCGCAGCGGTACAGCAAGCGCAGAGGCCAGAGGAAGACCAGGCAAAGGGCAAAAAGAGTCATCTGTGCGTTTTGTTGGAGGCACCCATGCACCCACCCATCACGTGCAGCGGGTGGCCCCCGCCGTGTCTCTACATCCACAAACCCCCCCTCCTCCCCCCCAAAGAACACCGCGTCGCTTCAGTCGCCGCTCCACCCACCCAACTGTTCTCCCACCCAGCCCCAGTTGACCGCTACAGACACCGCCGCCTACCCCCCAGCTCTCCGCATTGCCGACTACGATGCAGGGAGACCACCTCCCACCGCGAGATCCTCACCCAATCCATACTGCTGTCGCGGCTCAGTCAGCAGCAGCAGCAGCAGCAGCAGGCCATGCAACTCAGAATGGAGGACACACCCATTCCAGCGCTTCTCCGTCTGCGGCAGTCAGCAAGGCCCCCGCGTAAGTCCTTGGGTGACCAGGTCCTTGTTGTCCTGTACCCTTTGCTGATGTCTGCCGTCCCCACACATGCTCACTCGTACAGCAAGATATCATGTCTAGCGTGTCGTGCAGCCAAGGTGAGTAGCCATGGCACAACCCAATGGCCTCCACACAGACCTTCTGCTTCCTCTGTCTCTTTCCTCGCCCTCTCTCACTCGTACACAACTGATTACTAACACTCCGTCGCAGCGCAAATGCCTCACGCCGGACGCCTTTACCGTGTGCAAGCGATGCGCGGACCAAGGTCTCGAGTGCGAGTACAAGAAGCACCGCCGCGGCCGCAGAAAGAAGGTCGCAGAGGACGCGAGCGTTCGCAGCCGTAGCCGCAGTGGGAGCGCTCGATCGCGCTCGCCAGAGGACAGGGATGCGCGTGATGGACTGGGGCGTGTAGACCGCGAGCGGGATCGCTCACACGATCGCATTCACGACAGAGACCGCGACCGTGATCGCGACAACAAGTCGCACCCGTCCACCGAGCCGCGGGCACGCCATGCCATCCAGTTCTCGCATGTTGTCCCCATCGAGGGCGACTCTTCACGTGCGTTGTCCCGTCTGAACGTCTGAACTCTTTCCCCTTCGGCTGTGCGTATGAAAGACCTGACACCCCTTGCAGCATACCTCCCACGCCCCGGTGTGCCCCCCGAGCCAACGTCGGGGCCCTCGTTGGCGCACCTACGTACCGATTGCCCCGATCCCGTGACCAACGGCTTCTTGACTGAAGCCGACGCCTACGAAATGTTCGAGTTGTGAGTCAGCCACCGGCCAGGCTCGTCGTTCCGCTCCTGACTGTTACCAGCTACTTTCACCACTTGAACGTAACCGTCGCCATCCTCGACCCAGTCCTGCATACGGCTACATACTGCAGAGAGAAGTCGCCGCTCCTCTACAGTGCCGTCCTGACAGTGACCGCCAAAATCATCCGTCCAAAGGCATACTCGAAATGCCTCCTCATCTCCAACAAACTGGTGGGACAAGCCGTCGAGTTTGGGCTGTGTTCCGTTGAGGTGGTCCAGGCCATCTTGGTCTTGACACACTGGAAGAAGGCAGACGACGCGACGTCTTGGAGGAAGACCGGATACGCCATCCGCATGGCACAGGAGTTGCGGCTCAACCTACGAGCTGCAAGGCCACTGCCGAGGAATGAGAGGCAGGCGCGCGAGGTGCTGAACAGGGAGAGATGCTGGCTGAGTGAGTTGCACTATAATACAGGACTTGAGCTGACGCCAGACCTCATTGTTGCAGACTATCAGTGAGCTCCCTAGAAGGTTACCGCAACTGACCCACAGCCTCTCAATGCACCACTCGCTGCCGCGCATGATCAACGAGGACGATGCCGACTACCTGGTTGAGTGGATCTCGGAGCACCCACACCTGCCCTGCCCCGGGGAAATTGTCATTGCTCCATGGATCCAGTTCTCGCGCATGTGCCGCCTCTTTGCAGATATGCTCGCCGGCATGAACGGGAACCACTCAAACTTGCGATCGCTGCACTGGCTTGAGATGGAATGGAAGCGATGGCGCAAGCATTGGCTCGAGAAAAACAGTACGTGCTGATTCACATACATGTGTGCGTGGTACTGACAGCACGAAAAGACGAGTACAACTTCCTTGCTCAGCACATCGCAACTCTCAAGCTGTGCGACTCACTCCTCCACTTTCACATTTGCGAGTACCGTCTCCTGTTCTGTGCACGATACCGCTCCAACGGCGAGCCGCTCGACACATCGCAACCGTCCGAGCTGTCGTACGCGTTCGCAAACTGCGCAGATGTCGCACTCGCATTGCTAGAGGTCTTCCAGACCGAGTTTGTGCGCAACGGCTTCTTGCCCTTCTGCTTCAACCTCACATGGGTCGGCACAGCCATCACCAGTGTGTGGTTGATAAAGGTGAGCTGCCTACCCGCGTCGTCCGAGCTAACATACAGAACATTGGCGCCATGGACCACACGGACCGAGGCCGCGTCATCCGTACCCTCACAGAATGCTCCGAGTCCACAGCCGACTCATCCTGCTCCTCGGATGACATGGCGAGCTACACCCACCGCCTCCTTAAACACCTGCTCGGCTCGCTGTCACCAGACTATCTCCTCTCCGCCACAGCACCACCCACTGGCCTCGGTCCTCCTCCAGCAGCAGTCGACCTCCCGCCGGGCCCGCCACAGCCGCCCGTGTGGACCATGCCCTCTGCCCAGCAGATTATTCAGGAGCACCTCTGGCATCCAAGCGTGTTTGATGCACCGCAACCACAGCTTACACCCGGAAGCAGTGGTCCTGGCCCCGGCATCACTCCAGTGCCCGCCAACGCGCAGGGGTCCATCATGCCCGACGGTGTGCCAGGTCAGATCCCCACCGACGTGCTGTTCCCCGCTGCCGATGACGACATTTGGAAGCTCTTGTTCCCACTTTGATTGTACAAGGTTACCCGACTCTTTCCTCGATGGGGAGGGCCAGAGTTATGAGCCTACGAAGCCACAACGCGCGCCGACGAACCCACGTTCGGGGGCCGACAAAAGCCGCCTGCGAGGGTCACCAGCCCAACCCAAATGGCCCATTACAGACCCAATAGTATCAAGGCCTTGTTTGTAACTTTTCGCTATGCCAGCAACCTATTCACTCTGTATCTGCTCGTTACCACTCGCAGTCCCAGCCGAGCGAAGTCATTGACCGAGCTCGACACGCGCCGTGGCGCTTCAGGCGTGGGGATCTGGTCCCCTCCAGGGCACGGCACGCAGTTCCGATCCGAGCTCGGCGGCGACTTTATTTCCGTTGCGGCGACTGGGTGCTGCTGCGTAGCTTGCGCGCAACGTCGGCTCTGCCCACCCGGCGGTTCAATCGGCCCCACTTTGGTTGCGCTCATTCCATCCCACACCCAGGCGCACCTTGGTCATCAGAGTCCCCATCGGCCCGGTCCGTCCTGTCCGACCTTCAAATGCTCTCCTCTATCCGTTCCTCTTCATCTCGCCTTTCTATTGTTCGTTCATTCTCCACGACTCGCACCACCACCATGCCTCTCTTCATCTGCCACTGCCCTGACTACCCCAACAACCTCGAGACGCGTCTCGCCAACCGTCCCGACCACCTGGCCGCCAGCGTCAAGGACAAGGAGGCTGGTAACTCTGGTGAGTCACCATGAGAACCCAGCGCAGCGAGGTGAAGTGAAGCTGTGCTGCGTGAAAGGAGACGTCAATGGTGGTCATGCCATCCTCGTGCAAAAGGAGAAAGGACGGGAGCTGCGATACGCGGCCTGGAGCCAGGTCCGTTACCCACGAACGGACTTGTCACCAGCTGGCAGATCCGAGCAGCCGGTAGCTCCCGTGTAGCCAGCTCATCGCACCCCCTGTGGCCTCTTCGCCCCCCCTCTGCTCCACGACCTTGGCTGACGCTACTCTCTCCCCTCCCACTCCATCTCCTCACTGTTTACCTCATCCCCACTTCTGTCACCATCCGTCGGCTCCCAAATATCCGACTTTCCGACTCTCTGCTACCATGGAATCGAATACGACTGCCTCCTCCCCCCCCCCCCCCCCTACCTACCCTCTTCTCCACTCGCACCCATAACCTTCTCGTTTCCCCCTTCGCTCGCACACAGTCTTCGGCCGTGCCTTCCTCTCGAACGAGGTCTCGACCCACACCGCCGGCTCGCCCCACGCCGACCAGCCCAAGGGCATGGCCGGCTCGGTCATGATCTACCGCTACCCGACCCTCGAGGATGCCTGGGCCCGTATCAAGGCCGACAAGTACTGGACCGGCGGCGTCTGGGACAAGGAGAAGGTCACCGTCGAGGAGATCATTGGCAACCCCATCGACGAGACCATCAAGGTCCAGTAATTCCAAAAGGGCGCGCGACGTCTAGAAGAAGAAGTGTGATGAAGCAGGATGTTTGAAGCCGCGGTGTGCGTTCGATAAGGGGCGTGATGGTCGCTGTCTACTCGACTGATTTCGACTGACAGGGTACTTACGCCCGACCAACGGGTCATGAAGGAACTCTGCGGGCACTCGTGTCCTTTATCTTATCCTTTCGCTTTTGCGATCGCCCGTGCTGACGACCTCGTGGTTAACCACAAATTCCACATCACAGAGGGGTGCCTTCCTGATAGACCCTTCATCACATTGTCCGGCAGTTTCAGCGCTCACAGCCAGTTATCGGGACACCATTGAACAAATACATAGTCCCGTCCACAGCTGCCAGGGACAGTATCCAAGTGCTCTGTCCGGCTAGTCGTTGGCCATGTCGGATGTGTGAGGCTTGGTCTTCATTGCACGGCCCGGGCTATCATTGCTGTCCAGCGTCGTCCTTCTGAACTCGTAAGCATAACGCGATTGTTGGTGCCCTTATTCAGGCCCGGCTGCCATTTTACTGCTTTGACGGGACGATCGTCCTCGCGCAATGCAGTGCATGTGCAGTGAAAACCCCTTGTCCAATGGCCAATGGCCCAATGGCAAACAGAGGGGCAGTGTATATGTGCCAGGTAGCTTTCACGGCAGTCACTGGAGGAGGACCAGAGACGGGCAAAATGTCGGGTCTCCCGAGCGGCCACTGAGCTGCCGACATGCCGCGGTCAAGATTGGTTGGTGAATCGATCCTTCTACAGATCCCAGACTTAATGCCTGGAGCACTGTCTCAAACGCTCACCATGCCCTTTTGTGTTCAAAAAGTGGAGGCACGTTCTGGGTTAGCAGGCTAGGCAAATACCCGCCGCACCTCTACTCACCACTTCCCACTACCAATACGTAGGCCGGGACAGGCGGGATGACGAATGTGCATGGTGGGTGCAAATGATCTGACCCAAAGCCAAGAGTGTCTTAGCACAGCGTTTCTTGGGCTTCCCAAGCACTGCGTTCGTTCTGGCCTCATCAACGCCTGCAGTACTACTCCTCGTCTATTTCTTATCTTCCACCTCCGCCCATCTCTGACGGAGGCCACACGCTACCATGTTCCTCACCTTGATACCGTTCATCCTCGGCTGGGGAGTCGCCAGCGGCCTCACCATTGACCCGGTCACGAATGTCTATCTCTGCGTCGGCGCTCTGACAGATGTTACATATCACTGGACGGGAGGTACACCTCCATACACATTGTCAGTCCCCTCACCAATGTCCATTTTCGGGTGTGGTCAAGGGTAACTGTGTTGTTGACACTGTATTCAGACAGGTGGTGAATGCCAGCAACTGGTCCCAGGTCGACGCAATCTTTGCCATCAACTGGGAGGCGACCAGCTTTACTCACGCCTACCCCATTGGTGGAGCTTACTATGGTCCGGACGGCTACGTCTTTGGGATGCAGGTGATGGACTCTACAGGTGCCTCCGCGACGTCCAACGAGTTCTCGATCTGGCCGTGTGCTGCCGCCTCCGGGTCTGCAACATCGACGGGCTACGGAGCAAGTTCCACCAGTTCTTCCGCCGTGTCGACTTCCACCACCAGAACATCTCAGTCGACCAACATCGCAGTCATTGTGGGCGCAGCCGCCGGCGGTGCAGTTGTCCTGGCTGTCGTGGGTATTCTCGTATGGTTCTTTATCAGGCGGAACAGGAGACGCAAGATCCACGGGGACAGTGTCCGCGCTTTCGTCATTGACGGCGAGGACCGGGACGGCCACATGGTGTACTCGTACGAATACAAACCGACACCGTTCTTCCAGAATGAAACGGTGTACACCCAGACCCACATGTCACCGTACATGGGCAGTGACAGGCCCCTTTTGGCCCACAACAACTACATCCAACCGCCCTTCCACAACATATCACCACAGACGAGCCATACGCCGCTCTTGGCTTCTCCTAATAACTACCCAACATCATCGCTGGTCTCAACCACCCACTCGGCCGGTCCCTCTAGCAGTGCGGCTATGAGTGACGTAGCCCAGTCGTCGTCAGCACCGACCATTTATTCCTCTGGTCACGGTACAGGGGTGTTCCCCACCTCCAGCACCAGTGCATCATCTACAACCCCAATGCCCACCCAATTTGACAAGGCTCAATATGTGCAAGCCCTCCTCCCCCGACCCGCCGGTTACCTTAGCCACGTGTCAGTCAGCCACGCAGAGGATGCAGAAGACCTAGCGGTCGATGGCATGCTGCCTCCGATCTACAAGGCAGAATGGAAGAAGCGGGCGGACCGTTAAGGTGGTCTTCTTGGACCGAGTGAGCCGCGTGGACATTGATGGTGCCAAAGAGCAATAGATAAAGGGAAGTGGCAAAGGGTGGTTGAATGTTTTTTTGGACATTTTTGCATGTTTTTTCAGTTATTTTATGGCAAGACATTCCCGGTGTCAATAGTGCATACATATCGACTTGTAGTGTATCTCAGGCTTCTTTAATGATAGGTAATGAGAACCGTGTCATTTGCCAAGGCATGAAAGGTCGCGCTATAAATAGTCAAATGGCGTTGACTGAGATCCCCGCTCGGCGGTATGCTGCTCTTGAGCGTTTTGTACAGGGCCTGTGCAGTCACTTTTCCCATGTCGTTAGCGTGCCGACACTGGCCGTAAAGTCCGCTTCAACGCTGTAGTTCTAAGACAGACGAGAGCGCATCTCACTGTTGGGCGCCCAAGGTTCGTGTGGGCGTTTGGCCTGATGACCAGATCATCAGTAAAGTGTATTACATTTGCCAAGCCTTTCAAGCCTTTCCTCCGGATACGCATCTATTCAAAGTGAAGCGCAAAGCGGACAGTGCATTCACGCAAAGCGGAAGATGGAACTCCAGAGCGGTACAGGGCAGTGAGAGACACGGAGCCAGCGTGTCACCATAGGCGCCTGGGCCGCTGTTTCGGCCCATAGGGTACGCGGTGCACGGACAAACAGTGGAGCGGTGCTGGCAGATTATTTCGTCGTTTAGGGAAAAGAACGCGGCCCGTATAACGCCACCTTCCGTTCATGGCAGCGTCCGAAGTGGCACTGGACGGAGATGGGGAGTGTCAATCAGTGGGTCCAGTCATGTTCGCTACGGTGGAGATCTGACAATAAGTCGTGTTCCAGGCCTCGTTATCATTTTGCGGGGTCTGGGTGACGGAATGTTGATGTTCAACCCGGCTGATGGTTGTCGCCTGTATCCATTTCGATTGCCCCTCCAACCAAACCCTAACTATGTTTGGGTCTTGAGGCACCCGCCTTTGGCCAGACTGGGCGCCCACATCCGTCCGCATTGCTCTTCTTACACCTCTTGGAAAGGCTGCTCTCGAGAACACAGCACACATGGATCAGCACCAGGTCACACACCAATTCAGGTGTGGGCCTTGGGCAATCCTGTGCACCATTGGGCAGCTCATGGCATATGGAGACGTTGCAGCTGGGAGAAGCCCCCCTCCCCCTCCCCTTCCCCCTCCTCCTCTTGATATATCGTCTCCCCCTCCTGGTCCAGCTTTCTCGTTCACTCCAACTGTCACATCATGTTCATCGTCCATTTCGTCCTCCTCATCCTTTCCACCGTCACCAGGGCTCAGCAACCCTTACAAATTAACTCTGCTCAAGACGTTGAGACATGTGGACACACGCTGGTCGAATATACCTGGAGCGGGGGCACTCCCCCGTACTGGCTGTGAGCGTGCTATATTTCACTGTCAGGATGTGTTTCTGATCACTGTGTTCCTCCAGTACTTTTTGGTATTTCGGTAGCTCTTGGCAGCAATTCAGCAACGGTCTTCTGCTCAACGGTTCAGACGCCACCACCTATGTGTACACGTATTTCCCCGAGAACAAGACGACTCTCTGTCGTATGCAGCTTCAAGACTCTCGGCTCTATGGTACCTCCACGTACCTCGATTCAAACAATTTCACAGTGGCCCCTTGCGTGACCGATTTAAGCATGTCCGCGAGCCCTACGGATTCGATGGCAATGTCGATGCCGGGTACTTCGATGTCAATGGCTGGTTCCTCAATGACCATGGATGGTTCCTCGATGTCAATGGATACCACCTCTGCCGATATGCCAATGTCCACCTCCGGCACAGGACTTGTCGTCGGGGCCCTCACCGACGTCTACACATGTGCCAATTTGACTAGTATCACATACCTTTGGGCTGGAGGGTCTCCCCCTTACGTTGTGTGAGTTTCCTTTTCCGCCACCCGCTTGTTTCTTTCTTCTCATCACCTCTCCCCTCCAGGTCATTGGTAGCTGCCGGCAACATGAATGATGTCATCCTCATGCTGGCAAGTCGAACCAACGCGACAAGTTTTACCCAATGGGTCACATCCGCCAACCTATCTGCCAACTGGACAGACATCTCGCTGGAGGTGATGGACAGCGAAGGAGAAATGGCTGGTTCACAATCATTTTCCATTCTTCCCTGTTCAGACCGACCCGCGACCCACAAGTCCTCCAACGTTGGCGCCATTGTTGGAGGAGTCGTGGGCGGAATAGCTGCCATCCTCATTATCGCTGTTGCCGCCTGGTACCTCGTACGCCGCAGGAGGAAGCAGAAGACCCATCGTGGCGACCGATTCGTCGTTGACAACAACGACTACGAGCCCAGGCCTTTCCACCAGGTGACGAGTACAACTACAACCATAGCCAACCGCCCTGGGAGCCTGGGCAGGTCAAGTTCAGGCGCAGGTGTCACGCACAGCGTCTCCAACTCCAACTCTGGCGCCTCTGGTGACCATGACGATGCTCAATTAGCCAACATGAACGCTTTCCAGTCAGCAGCTTCCCGTTCCGCGGGAACGCCTTCCCTCTCGGCGGACGACACCAGCATCACCAATCGCAACTCAACCATGTACAACGGAACAGACGGCTCCACCCACGCACTGGACTCTGGCACGGGCTTGACCACTGTCGATGGGCTGCTGCCTCCTATCTATGAACCTGGTTGGCAGGAGGCGCAAGCCCAGACTGGCGGCGGTGCGAACGAAAAATCCAACCGACCCGCAGCCAGCCAGCACGTCAGGTAAACGTGGATTGTAAACACAGAAACGCCAGACATTAAGAGCAGTGTTACGACTGTGAATAGGGTATGTGAGGGTATGTACGTAGTCTTGATGGCCAGTAATGTTATTCTGTAGTGTTCCGTTCTTAGTCCACGCATGTGATCGTCGTTGTGATCCCAACTGTCGAAAATGAGCCACGAAGGAGGTTGGCAGACCAGTGATAGAGCATGGAGACCAGGGGCATTCATTGTAGATTGAAGTCATGAACGCGTTCAAGCACAGTGTATGTCTACAGTCAATCCCTCCTTAAACTCCTAGGCCGGATCGATGCAGTGACAGCAGCGCGGAGCACGGTGCCGCCACAATCCAATGAACGGGACGCAGATTGCAAGAAAGTGTGCTTACGTACGTGGTACATACGCTGCGGTATGAGAAGCATCCGTGTCTTTCGGAAACCCAAACACCTGCAATTGCTGTCCAAGGCAGTGGACAGGAAGGCGGTTCATGTCTGTAATTGTCGGGGCTTCCGACGCCTGGCTGAACCAGATCTCGGCGCCGACAATTCGATTCTGTTTACTCCACGGGGGTTGTTTGCTATTCGGACCCGGATGTCGCGGAGGTCTGCAAAGGCCGTTGACAGAAATAGGGATACGCATCCTGGTACAACGTAACAAATGCACACATGTGAGATCTGATCCGCAGGCCTGGATGGATCCAATCTGTACCAGTCAGGTCTGTCCTTGCGGTGGGTTTTTGTTACTTTTTTTTTAGTATTTGTGACTTGGCACTCTTGGCAGTTCGCGCCCCTGCATGTCCTTTCTTTCGGCTTCTTCACACTTGGCCCGTCGACACATGACTCGCGCAACGCCCCATCATGGCTCCGTCACCTTCCACACTCACTGGTCTACTCCAAGTCACTTACACGCAAGCCCTTTTCAGACGCCAAACATCCGTTAACGTCGTCGCGATTGCAGGTGGAGTTGTCGGCAGTATTCCAGCTCTGGTCTTGATTCCGGGTGTGATTTGGTTCTTCATCCGCGGTAACAGGAGGAACAAGAACGAGCCTTTGATATTGAAGGCGAAGAGAGTTAGCAGCATGGTGTAGGCGTACGATACCCGGTACAAGCGGGCAGAGGATATTGTTGTGGACGGCACGCGCCCTCCTCTCTATAGTCCTGATTGGGTCAGTCGGGCTTGTCATACAGGTGAAGGCGGAGGCGGTCTGAGTACTGCTGGTGCATCATGCGATTGTTTTGTACCTTTTTAGCACCACCATATTATCTTCAGCATGCCTGGAAGACTCGTTCGGCAATAGAAGTCTTGGTGTTCGTATCCAGGCGACGCAAAGAACGCGTTACAGAGCGAGTCTCTGTGCACAACGTGCATGCCGATCCGGGGGTTGGCCTTGCACTGATCACTGACAGCCCTCCCCTCCGCTGGCATATGTTCATGTCCCTTCTGCATCTATGTTTCTTTCCCCGTCGTTCTTACCCCCCCCCCCCCCCCAAGCGGGTGTCACCGGCAATGCTCCTTCTCTACCTCATCCTTGTCGTCTTCGGGGGCCCCGCCACGGCGCAAATGACGGCTGGGGCTGTCAGTGACATGTTCGTCTGCTCTGGCCCAAAGACCGTGACCTACACTTGGGGCGGTGGAATCCCACCCTACACAGTGTAAGTGACTGTAGCTCGGCTAAGTTTCTAACCCTCTCAGCGAGTTATGGATCTCGGGCCACGCAAACACCAGTGATGCCAACTTTTGGCTCTACGTGGGGGAGGTGTCCACCGACTCCTCCACGCAGGCCACATACGACTTTTACGAACCCAGTCAGCCCGAAACCTTCCAGCTAGGTTACAGTGACTCGTCCTCGTCTCCCACTGTGTATTCGGCCGATTTCACGGTATATCCTTGTCCGACTTCTTCCACCGCTTCCACGGTCACGTCAGCTGACTCGTTGTCTGATACTTCGTCATCTCAGACTTCTCCTTCAGTGACCATCGTTTTTGTCACCACTTCCGCCTCAAACTCCACTTCAGTACCAGCGTCCGCGTCCACGAGCAAAACCAATGTCGGTGCTATCGCTGGAGCCGTAATTGGCGGCATGTTCGCCCTCGGTACGACACTCGGCCTTGGAATCTGGCTCGCCCTGCGCCGTCGCAACCAGACGCTCAAGGCATCTGGACCAATGCCAATCCCGTTCGAGATGGAAAGCGAAACGCGTCAGGTCCATGAAACAGTACAGGATCCCGGATACACGCCCAGCCCTTTCAGCAACCGACAGTCCACTACCTCCCCAGTCCCTCCTCGCACCGCCACAACCTTCAGCGACAGCAGTGGCGCGAAGCGCATTAGCGGACTGACCGCCGTAACTGGCCTGAGTGTGGGCTCAGTTACAGGCTTCGGAGACGACCAGTCGTCCACATCGCCCCCGCCCAACATCGCTTCCGTCGCCTCTACAAACCGCGTCGTTTCAAGCACGCCTGAGCCATCGGTCGAAACAGCTGTGGTCAATGAGGTGCCTCCGGCTGCAAGTTCCTCCAACGCCCAAACCGCTTTCCCCCACGCACAGGACGCCGGACTTGTTGGCCAGGTCGATGGCCTCCTTCCTCCTCTTTACCAACGTGCTTGGGACCCAGAGCGGCAGGACGCCCCGGCGGCCACACCTGCAGGTGGTGACGACAAGTGGCAGGGGTACTCTCCTGAGCAGTACCAGTGAAGAAGAAGAGGTTAATCTGCGATCTGTGAAGCCGAGAGTACCGAGAGGAGGACTAATGCGCTCGATAGGGCAGTTGTGGGCACGAATTATGACCGAGAGCTTTTGCAAGGCGAGAGTAGTTAATTGCAGAATGTGTATGCATGTGTGCATTTGCGCAGCCAAGGTAGCGGTTTATGTATGCTCGCTGCCACAGACGGCTGAATACGACTGAAATGGCCCACGGCTGTGGTCGAGATCTGAGATCTACATTCCGCGATGATGCGCTGCACGTCCACCGCTCTCTTCGTATGCTGTTGAAGGCCCCGTGGCCTCGATCTCGTCCGCACAGCTTCCCAGAATCACAGCATACGGGTAACACGGTTGACGGACCGGGTCTGCGCTCTGTTTCTCGCTCCGTACCCCTCAGCCCAGTTCTCACTCAGCTCAATCGGATGGCAACAACATTTGCATACTGAACCTCTCTCTCATCCACACTCATCTCGTCTTCACAGCAGACTCAGCATGTTGCCCAACGGTCTACGCTTCTTGGTTGACTGTGTGCATCGGCGCACCGCTCTCGCCAGCGTGACTGAAGGGCATAGCCACGCTGTCGCCCAGATGCACGCGCGTGACCAAGGGCTGTCGATGAGTTTGCCATCCGACGTCTACACGTGTGGTAACGCAACAACCACCTACACCTGGTCGGGAGGTCGCCCACCCTATAGCGTGTGAGGCGTTCTGGAAGTTTCTTGCGAAAGGTGCCTGACACTTTCATCAGAGCATTAGTTCAACCCAGCAATCCAGACAACGTGATCAAAGTACTGGGCACCAACTTGACGGCCACCTCGTTGAGCTATGCGTACCCTGTCACATCTGAGAGCTACGAGGTCCTACTCGAGGTGTCCTGCACGAACGACCACCTCTACACTCAAAGCTTCATCGTCCACCCTTGTTCGGACAAGCCCTCCAGCGCCGCTACCATCACAATTGCCGTCGTCTGCGCCTTGTTTGGCTTGGCTTTCCTGTGTTTCGTGGCCGAATTTATCATTCGTCGCAACAGACGGAAAAGAAAGTCTCGAGCGAACCTGTTCAGCATCGATACCGAGTTCGACGTCAATGGCAAGGACGACCATGTTGGTTGGAGGGCCTACGAGTCTGCATACGAGCACTCGCCATACTTCCGATCACCTGAAATGAGCCAAGCACCGCTCCTCGCCACCCGCGCCCGGGATAGCGACGGCTCCATTGGGGGAGATCTGGCTGCGTCCTCCACTGCATCCTTGGATCTGTCGCTGAGTCCTCTTTCGACCTACCAGTGGAGCTTGCATGAAGGACGATACCCTCCAAGCCTCCTGCAAAGTCCTCGCAGCTCCGTCAACGTCATTCCAGCCGACAAGAGGTGGTCCCTTACCCCATCCGTGTCCATTACAGACTCGGAGACCATTACTGCGTCCAGCTCCAGTACCCTCCATCCTGTCATTTCGCTGCCAGACGACGACACAGGTCCCATCGACGCCGATGAGAGCATACTGCCTCCGCACTACAACCCCGAATGGGAACGGGAAGCGATTGCAGCTGGATACGCGCCCTGCTCGAACGATTGGAAAGAGGCCGAGAGTGAATATATCCGTACCTATATGGCGCTGCACCCTCAGGACAGGCCTGAGTAGTAATGTCAAGAATAGTCAACCTTCTTCCCACTGTTCCGCTTGGTACTCGAGGCCCAGATTGTCCGAGACGGTCCCCACTGGCCACTGGCAAACATTGCGTCACCATTCCACAGGGTGGGTGGTGCTGGAATGGCCGGAACATGAGAAATTCTGTAGTATTGGATTGCTGGAACCCATGTCATAGACATTGCGAGGCGGTAACAAAATGTGAACGGTTACTGGCCGCAGGTCACAGGACAGTTAAAGAGTCAAGAGTCAAGGACGAACGTTCGCCATCAGTTCTTCATGTCGAAGTAATGCTTCCTGTGGTGAGATTACATTTTTGATAATCCCCCCCCTGGCAATGGCAGTGGGATGTATACCAAGGTGGCGGCGCGTGACAGTTACAGTGGCAGAGATAGAGCTCCTTCGTAGGGATATGAGGTTGCCCAGAAGTTACTGATGGCTTAGTGCGATGTTATCCCCGATGTCGACTGCGTTTGTGCACAGGGAGCCACGGCCTTGGCAACACAGCTTTCACACACCTGCCACAAACTTGCCACAAGCCAGCAACCCTTGCCTTTATGCGGAGCACACCTCTTACTGGTGACACTACCACTTGTCAGCCGTACCGGCCGAATACCCACATTTCAAGTTGTGCACAACTCACAGCGGCCGACGATTCCAGGCTCTTGGCATCAACCTGCCACAGAACCTCTGACTGGTGTTGCTGCTCACAAACTAAACGCTGAAACGGCTTTCAGACACGCAGCAGTGAAAGCAGTGTCCATCCGGCCGATGCAATGCACTAGATGGAAGATGGCAATGGCGTAAGAAATGTGTCGTTATGAGCAAGCACAAGGTGGACGGCCGACGGCGCTTAAGCACCAGCCAATGCCAAGCAGCCACGCCACTCCGTTGCTCTTTGCCCCGTTACTTATTTGCTCTGTTGGCTCGGTATCCTCGGTGTCCATTGCGTTTCCCAGATATATGCCTTGACTGTACCTGCTTGGTGTTCTTGGATGCTCGCACCTTCGGTACCAAGTCGAGCTGCCCATGGCTCACTGGTTGGTTTCCTACGACAGGACTCCGAAGGCTGGTGGGGTACAGATTCGGCCGACGATTAGATTGCCGATGTGGTCGTGTCCCGAAGCGCTAACGCGGTGGCAGAGAGGTACAAGGAGGACTGTAGTAGGTGGACGGTAATTCACTTATTCCATTGCATTGGTCATGGTCTATGAAGCGGAGCCGAAAGCAATAACCACGAGGGAACAGGCAGTGCCAAGTGCCCCCTTCGTGGTCGTTCGGCAACTTGCCGTGTGGGTCTCGGGTCTCCTTTGCTTTGAACCACTATTTGTACCCACATCCCAGTCTCCAACATCCAGCCATTCTAAGTGAGGTTTATCCTTCGCTGAAACCCTCACGTCAACAGAGGCTAAAGGTGGCCGCAACCGTGATGCTTTCCTGAAAAGAAGGGCGACCGATCGACACAACAGTACCAACGCCACAAACATCGAAGCCTGGTTATATCAGTCGGTAGATAGTTTGACTCTTATTACTTAAGACATCAAAATGTCATGGGTTCGAGCCCCATACTAGGCTTCAGCATCCTCAAGCAGTCGCTTGAGCGTTCTCTTTTGGCCTCCTTGGGTTTAGGACGATGTAGAGAAGCGGAAGAGTGATGAATGTGGGCGTTGGAGTGGTCGCGTGACCGGTAAAGTCGCGCATGTTGTCATGCCCGCGTGAGTGTCCGTGTCCCCAGCCTCCCTGTTGATACCTCAGGAGGGGGCTCAACTGCTGACATGTAGACCCACTGTCTCCTGCTTGGAGTTTCTATCACAGTCTCCCAATGTCGAGGCGCGATGCACCTCGATACCTCGCCAGATATACAAAAAGCGCCGATCGCAGGATCGCAGGACGAAGCCCCCGGCCGTGCGCGTACCGACGCCTCTCCCCCCACGGGGCACCTTTTGGGGGGCAATGGATGTCGAGAGAAAAGAGTGCCTGTTGTTGCTGCTCCTCGCGGCTGCTGCTCACGACTGCACGACCAGGTTTGTGCCACATGCATAAAGGTGTACGACGGCCGAGCCTGTGCTGGCTCCCACGATTGCCACTTGCCACTCGGCGTGGAGGCCTTTGGAGTTGCCGGGGGGACTGAGACAAACTCGCGTAAACATGCGGCTGCTGATTCGATGGGCCGCCGACGCGCCTCTAGCGTCATCGACACCATCGACCCCCGTCGCCAACCATCTTGCAAACACCCACTCCACAACCAACAATGGGCCACTCCGCCAAGTACTTTGCAGCGCTCACCGCCGTGTCCGCGGCCGTCATATACGGATCATGTGAGTGTTCCGAGACACGCATGCTCTGCGTCCCCATCCACACAACGCGCGTGTACTGATCGATGCCAGCCCTGTCCGCGGCCGCGTTCTCCTCCCCCCTTCTCTATCCTCCTGCGTGCCTCGCGCAACCACTCAGTGTGATCTACCCCATCGCGCCCGCGTTCAATGACTTTATCTGCTTGCTCAACACCTTCTTCATCGCGGGCACCGCGACACCCGCGGGCAAGGCGTTCCTCGACTACTTTGGTGGCCTGTTCGTCCCTGCCGTCCTCGTCGCAGTGTACGAAGGGTTCAGGCCCAGCTCTCGCCGCTCGGCGTCGTCAAAGGCCTACGGCAACGCCGAGGGCTTTGGCATGCACCTGGGCCTCGCACAGCTGTCCACGTTTGCCATCACTGTCGGCCAGGTGTTCATGGCTGGCGTCGCCCTCCCACTGTACTATGCGTTTGTGTCGGCGTCCACCCCCAACCGCTGGAGGCACCACCACCACAAGAAGGACCTGGGAGACGACGTGTTCCTCCCCAAGGAGCTGCGAGAGGACCAAAGCGAGCCACACAAGCACTCGGTCCAGTACAATGCCAACATTCCTCGCTCGTCGTTTGTCTACACGACCCTCATCTCCACCATTGTCGGCATGGTCCTCCCCTCGTTGTACATGTCGACTGCTCCCCCCGAGCTCAAGTATGACGCCCTCACCATCTTCCACCCGTTCCCGGTCTACATGCTCCTGATCAACATTGTGCTCCCTCCCCTCCTGCGCAGGTCGTTTACCAGCGTCAACCCCATGCGCGGCATCTACCTCATTGCCGCCCTCGGTATTGCCGCGTCCCTCAAGTCGCAGTACCAGCTCTTCACGCAGCACGCCACCGTGCCCATCACGGACGTGTTCATGCTCAACGCGAACCGCGATTTCCTCAATAACGTCGAGGCTCTCGGCGAGTCTTGCCATTTGCTCTTCATCCTCGACTTTGTGTTTGTGGCCCTCGCGACTGGTTCCAAGGTCGTCCTCGCGCTCGCCCGCCGTGCCCGCTCTGGCACTGTCGGCCGTATCACCTACACGATCATTCTCCTCGCTGGTGCCTGTGTCGTCGGCCCCGGAGCTGCCATCATGGTCATGTGGGCGTACAGCGAGCGCGAGGCGCTGCGCCATGCTCAAGAGTACACCGATGCCAAGAAGGCAACGGAAGGCGGCAGTAAGAAGAAGACCAAGTGAACGGTGGATGTGTGGAGCAGGAGCTGGAAAGGTGGAGGCGGGGCCGCGGCCAATCGCGGTTGTGTCGTGGGGTGCGGAATGGAATGAGGTGTAGCAAGACAAAGGAAAGCAGAACGCAGCAAGCCAAGCGCAACAGACTCGAAAGCATGAACAATGCCAGTTACATCGTCCCATGTACAGGTACACAGAAGAAACATATGCGCAAATGTAAAAGCATCACCCAATCGCAGATGGACTGGACTGGTTTTGAGTTCGACTCGATTGGATCGGTCGGTGTCCTTAGCGACCGGAATGGTCACGTCAGAGCCGTAGTCTGTACATCCGTAAATGGCTTCTTTTTCTCCATCGCAACATCTTCTTTCCACATCTGCTCACCACCCACCACCACATCCCCCGCTCCCCCCATCCCTCTCCCCCATCCTCCCCCCGACCATGTCCGGCTCCGCCTCCGAGTCGCGCCAAGCCCGCGCTGCACGCATCGCCAAGCTCCACCTCGACACCAACCACCCCCAGCACATGGCCATCCAGTCCATCCAGACGACCTACCGCCTGCGACTCGTCGACGCATGGCGCCTGGAGCCCGGCATGCGTGTCCTTGAGCTCGGCTGCGGACAGGGCGACATGACCACCGTCCTCGCCGACGAGGTGGGGCCTACCGGCCACGTCCTCGCCACCGACCCCGCGGGCGGCGACTATGGCGCGCCCGTCACGCTCGGCGAGGCGACCGCACACGTCAAGGCCGGCCCGCTGGGCGACCGCATCGACTTCAAGCTCAACTTTGACCTCGACACGGCCGAGTTCCCGACCGGCAAGGACGCGCAGTTTGACGCCGTCGTCCTCGCCCACTGTACGTGGTACTTTGCGTCCAGCGAGGCCATTGCGCACGCGCTCGCGCGCGTCCGGCCGTGGATCAAGGAGGGCGGCAAGCTGTGTCTCGCCGAGTGGGACCTCGAGCCGACCGAGCCGCGCGCACACCTCCCGCACCTCCTCTCGGTGCTCGTGCAGGGCCAGCTCGTCGCGGCGGGGCTGGAAGGCAGCGGAAACGTGCGCACGCCCCTGTCCCGCGCGGCCATGATGGCCCTCGTCGCCGAGGCGGGCTGGACAGGCAGCGGCGGCAGGAAGCTCGCGCCCAAGATTGTCGACACGGCAGGCATGCAGGACGGCGAGTGGGAGCTGCATTCGGCGCGCCACGCGCTCGCCGAGGCCCGCAAGCAAAACCTCCCGCGCAAAGTGCTCGACCTGGCCGCCAGCCAGATCGACGTCATGGACAGCGTAAAGGCCGCAAAGGTCAACCTCGCGCTCCCGGCATATGCCGTCGTCGGCTACGTCAAGGGCGAGTAGACAAAAAAAGGTCGTAATCGTACTAGATGTTCAACGCGTCAAAAGTACTAGATGGTCGCTCATTCGCGTCAACCAAAAACAATGTCGACAACACGGCACTTAGAGTCAGCCCGTGGCCATTGGGGGTGGAGTGTCCCAAAGCGAGGGCTCAACCCGCCGAGTGGGACAGGGAGTATCAACTGTCAATGCATAACATGTATCTTTCATGCGTCAGTGGTGTGTGTAGGCGCTAGAAGGTTGCAAACAGTGCACAGACATCAATGTGCATAGTGTACAGTAAAGGCAACGAAAAATGATATCCACCTCCCAGCTCCCTCCCGCCATCTGTTCTCATGGCGAGCTGGGCTCCATCTTGACCAGGCCGCGCTCCATCTTGACCCGCCTGTCAATGACGGCCTGGGCGCGCTCGCGGTCGCCGGGCGTCTCGCCGCCGTTGATGAAGAGCTCCTCGAGCAGGCGGTCAATGTCGGGCGTGACGACGTAGCCCTTGTGGATCTCGCCGAGGACGGTGGTGCTCTTGGCCTTGGCGTCCATGTGGACGAGCTGCTGCAGGAAAGTGGTCGGGACTCCGGGGGTGACCTACGGGATGTCAGCTAAGATACAAACCCCTTAGCTGTCAGACTCACGTTCATGACGATACCGCCGTTGCCCTCGCCCATGACGAGCTTGACCTTGCCGCTCTTCATGACGCACAGGGTACCGATACGGCCCTCGGGAGGCGGGGCGACGGCGCCGCTCTTGCGGCGGCCGCGGAGGGTGGCCGGGGTAGGCTTGACCTCCTCGGGACCGCCATCGGCAGTGGCGTCGACGGGGGCGCGAGACACAAACTTGGGCAACTGCGAGGGGAACTGGAAGGTGAAGAGCTTGTCCTCGGGGTTATCCAGGCCGTCGACAAAGACGAAATCACCCTCCATGTCCTCCTCTTCCTCTTCACTCTCACTCTCCGAGAGGTTGACGGCGTGCGCGGCATTGACCTCCTCCGTCTCGGGGGTAGTGTCGCCCGTAGTGCCGACAGTACCGGTCGTGGCGGCGCGCACACGACGGCCAGCCTCGTCGCGGTCGTCCTGCTCGTCGGCTGGGATCATCGAGTCGCCTACACGGCCGAGCGGGGCGGGCACACCCGCGTTCGGGTCCGGAAGGATCGCAGTGGGGCGGGACGGCGAGATGGGCTCGGCCTTGACGTTGACGTTGTTGAGTTCGGCAAGCGACTGACCACGGTTACCGGCAGCAGCCAGCGCAGCGGCGCGAGCAGCGCGCTCGGCCTTTTTCCTGCGCTTCATATCCTTGAGCTTGGCCTTCTCCATCTCCTTGGCCTTGGCCTTGCCGCCGTCCAGGTCACGGTCACGGTAGATCGAGGTCGGGGCCGATTCTGACAGACCCGAGACAGCCTCGATATCAATCACACCACCGGCATGGCCGCCGTCCTCGTTGTCCGAGTACACCTCGATGCTCGACGGGTCGGCACCGTAGCCGGTACGCGGTGGGGGAGGGGGCGCAACGACGCGGCGAGAGGCTGGGACGTCAGCGGAAATCGTACTGATAACAGACGGCGCTACTTACAGGTTGCACGGTTACCACCAAAGGGACCAGCCGCGACGGTCTGGTTGAAGCTCTGCTGGGTGTTGCTGCGTCCAGGAGCGCCAGCCGCTCCGCCACGGCCGCGGGCGCCGCGAGCGCGAGCCGATGGACGACCACGGATAGCAGCAGTCGACGCTGACGATGATGGCTCAGCCTTAACCTCGACGTCCATCTGCGTAGCAGCGCGACGGATGGGCATCTTGGGCTTGAACTTCATCTTGGTCACGGCTTCGCCGCCGGCCGGAGGTGGTGCAGTACCGCTTCGGTCGCTGCCGGCGGTGGTGGAGCGCGAGATGGCCATGGGGGCTGAAGAGGGGCCCGCGGGAGCCGCTCGTGTAGCTGCGGGCTTGGATTCGGCGGCGGCGGTGGGGGCAGGAGCAGGAGCAGGGGTGTCGACGTCCATTGCATCGCCAGGTGCGCGCGAACCGAGGTCGAGCCGGGTACGGGAGGTCGAGGGCTCGGGAGCAGCTCCCTCAGTGGCCTCGGCACCTTCGGCAGCGGGGACAGCGGCAGCAGCGACAAGGGTGGCCTTGGGACGATTCCCAGGCATGCGGGGAAGGCGCGGCTTGACGTCGAGCGGCATGTTTGTTTTGAATGAGTGGATGGTACTACAGAAACGAGCGCGAGAACACAAAATATGGTGATGCAACCAGGACATTTAGTCCCGCCTGTGGAAAGATTCCCACGGTGGTTTGAACATTTACGTAATTATTGGTTACCCGTGCGAAAAGGACCTCTGCTGTTTGTTGCCTTGCAAACGATTCCCTCCAGCTAGCGCTCGACGTCTGCTACGGCGCCTTCGTTGCGTAGTCGCAGGTCTCAGAGCTGCATAATGGTATGATAAATATGGACAATTATACCGTCTAACAATATTAACATGCGGGTCCTCACGCTTTCCCAGCAAGCGTTTTCAACTGCTTCAGAGAGCCACATTGGCCTGCTGCTCGAGCTCAGCGAGCTCGGGGCCAGTACCGCCAAAGCGTGGGGGCACGTCGGCCTTCTCGCCGAGCTCGGCAGCCGTGTTGGTGGGGTACGAGATGACGACAAACTTGCGGGCAGTCTCGGCGCTGACAAAGACGCGGACCGCGGTCATGACCCACGACATGAGGAGGGGCACGCCGACAAAGAGCTTGCGGGAGAGAGTCTCGGGGTAGTTCTTGCTCATGAGGTCGATGGTAGCCTTGGATGCGGCCTTGACGCGCGGGTCCATGCGGAGGAACGAGACGCCAGTGTACACGTGAACCTGGGCAAGGCGGTGGGGGTCCTCGCCCTGGCCCAAGTCCGGGATGGGCACAGTGGTAGTGGCGAGGTTGAGGTGCGCGAGGGCACGCTCCATGAGTCCAACGCGCCAGCGGAGGAAGCTGCCAGTCAGTACGAGTTGCTTGCAGCAGGGGTGCTCAACTCACACAGGAAGATCGCCAAACGTTTCACCAAGGTCCTTGACGGCGCCGTACACGTTCCAGGTAACGACCTCGGTGCGGCCCTGCTCCGAGTGCAGATGGGTCACATAGCCGAGACCCTCAAAGTTGGGGCCAAAGTCCTCAGCGGGCTCGCCCTTGTCGAGACCAAAATCCTTGCGCCACTTGAGCGTCGCCTCGAGGTTCTTAGCCGCCTCATCGCCGTTGTTCTCCACCGAGCGGAGGAACTTTTGGAGGATGAGCAGCGTCGAGAAGGCAGGAGGGGAAGCAGCAGAAAGAGTCACGCCCCAAATCTTGTCGTGCTCAGCGGCCTCGAGGATCTGGGGGAGGCGTGCGTGGAACTGGAGCAGAGCGTGGTCCTCGGAGAGAGGAGGCCAGCCGGTGGTCGACTCGGTGGCAACGGCAGCAGGGGTTTCGGGGAGCGCCTTGGGGTCCTCGGTCTCAACAGTGGGTTCAACGGACTTGACCTCGGACGTAGGCTCAACAGCGGGCTCGGTAGTAGGCTCAGCAGCGGGCTCAGTTGTGGCCTCCACGGGTGGTTCGACGGCGCGCTCAGCGGCGGGCTCAGCAGTAGCCTCCGCAGTGGGCTCGACGGTGGGCTCGATGGTGGACTCGGCAGCAGGCGCAACGGTAGGCTCGACGGTGGGCTCAGCCGTGAGCTCGGTAGCGTCCTCCACGACGGGCTCGGCGGTGGGCTCGACGGAAGGCTCGGCGGCGGGCTCGATCGCCGCGACAGCCTTGGCCTCCACGACGTCTGCAGGAGCCTGAGCCTGAGCCTCAGTCACACTCTCCTCCTGCACAACAGGGACGGCAGGGGAAGCGTCAACGAGCTCGGACGCAGGGGCCTCCTCGACCTCGGCAGCCTTCTTGATGGGCTCGGACACGTCGGCCGTGGGAAGCTCTGGCTCGGCGGCGGGTTGTTCCGGGGCGGTTTCGGCGGCGACGGTGGCGGCCTCGACCGGAGCCTCGATGGAGACAGCTGCCGGGGTCTCAACGGTCTCAGCGACGGCGGGAACGGGGGTGGGAGTGGGGTCGGACATGGGTGATGGAGTAGTTTGAGGTGGATGGAACAATGATGAGAACGCGAACAAGGGGTCCGGTTTTGGGTCGCCTGTAAAATGCGCCGCGCCGCCAGCGCCGCCCGCGCTTCGGTTGCCGATTTCAGGCTTTTGACGTTTTGGCGGCAAAAGGCCAAAAGGCCTTTATCAGATACCAGAAAACCCTATTCTGCGAGACACGTGGCGACGGAATGTTCGTTCGGCTGGTGCAAGGATCGAGTCACAACGTCACAAAAACGGGCAGACACAAAGGGACACGGGACGCCTAGCTCTGCTTGCCGCTGGACGCACATGCATGTCCTCTGAAGAACAAGTCAGAGAACGCCATGGTGCAGCACAGATCCCAGAATACTGTGTCAGCGCACACCCACACACGGCTCGACGACTCGCCCCCCAGCCTGACCGCGCCAAGCCGCCTTGCGCAGTAGACCGCGCCCTGGCGAAAAACGCGTCGGGCACTGTCGGGCCATTGTGTCCCATCCGCCCCACCCCGTCGTCGGACTGTGGCACCACGGTCCGAGCGCACAGCTTCCGCACCGTCTGCAAACGTTGTGCCAATATGCACTCACTTGCGATGCCATTTGGCCATTTGACGGGGCTCTTTCGCGTCCACCTTCTGTTCAGGCACTGTTGTTGCCCGCTAAGCTTTCACAGCTCGCGCTGTGCGGGCGTTGGTTCCTCCGGGAGCTCGACTTGGGTGCAGTCTGCACACCTCCAGTTATGCTCCCAGGCCTCACGTATACCCTTCTATTTGCCGCTGGCTCAACGTGAAGGCGTACAGTGCGTTTCGCGGTTCCTGTTTGCGCATACAATATGTACTGCTGTGCCTTGAGGTGGTGTGGTGCACGAAAGACGAAAGATGTTTGTGTCCACCGACATTGTCGTTCCCTCCCGCTTCCAAACACCTACCCTCCTGCGTGCGTGAATGGGCCTGTTTCTTTACACTGCAGCCAGCACTTGAAGCCGCGCCTCTTATGTCCTCGAATCATGGACTACAGCACAGAGTGCACGCGGAAAACGCCCGCGGACCCACTGTCGGGAAGGAAGTCCAGTAAGTGCCATGGAATTGGTGGACAACAAACCACAGCTGCGCGGCACTTCTGGGAGCACCTTTCCATAGGCACTTATGTGAGCTGAACCCCAGTGATTGTGTCATATCAGCATGCTACATGGTGCGCCCGCTTGTCTGTAGGCCACATGAGGAGGACGCGGTGATTATTCCGACTTTCGGATATTTGCCGTGTCAGTCGACAATCCAATCCAATGTGACTCCCCCCATGAGAGATACCTGGCTTGCTGACGTCTAGTAACGGGACTGCTATGTGAGTGGTCAAAATAACAGAGAGAGTACCGGCCCAAGCATCGGTCAATAGCAACAAAATCGGTGAATTTTCGAGTGTGGCACTTTTTTTCCGCACCACCGTTCTCGCTCTTCCGTCGATCCGTCGACTGTTTCTCATCCACCAACAAGCAAAAACGAAGCCGCTCTTCAACGTCAGACGTACTCAGAAGCTTGCAGTGAGTTCCCGGGATCGAACCGGGGACCTAAAGATGATTACCAACTGTCCTCGGATGGACCGAGGTGGTTGCAATCTTTCGCAACTACCGCTGTGCTAAACCCACGACCATGTCCTTGCTCGCCACAGCAAGGTTTTGGGCTTACAGGACTCAGAAAGCATTCATACGGAACTGGGTCTATCGCAACTATGAACAGTGGCTCTTGGAAAGCCCGCACGGTCCGCTCCTGACTGCCAAGAGGCGTGCGTGACCTGGAGGTCAATGCTCCCGAGGATTCTTCCACCCTGCCTCCTTGACAAACGTTTCCTCAGTCACGAGCGTGCAATGGCGGAGCCCACTGGATGTGTTTGCGTCTCCGAGGCAGCTGGTTATCTAGTGGGCCAACCTGTATGAATTTCACCACGGCCACGCGTCATTGAACCGCCGGCTGACCGAGGCGGCAGCAAGTGGCACGGGTGACGTGTCCCACCGACCCTCTGCCCGCGGCGTCACGTTAAAACACTCACCTCTGGAAGCCGCCGGCTATTCAAGTCATGGTCCAAGCCAACGTCCTCCTTTCGTATTCGGAGACATAGCTCAGCTGGGAGAGCGAGCGACTGAAGTTCAGTCATCAGCCGGGCGTGGATCGAAGGGTTCATTTCGGGTGTCATCGCTAGGTCGGGTGTTCAATCCACTCTGGCTCCAAAATACAGGCGTATCTCTTCAGAGACACCTCCCTTTTTGACCGTTCTCCCAGTCCTAGCTTGCCTGGGTTCTCAGGATGACCGTTTCGCACTCCATTGGTCGGGAAATTCGGACGGCGGAGAAAAGCGGCCCAGAATGTCTTTGAACAGTTGGCGCTGTCCCGTAGTGGTTATCGGGTTACCTTGCTATGTGTCATGACAGGTAATGTGCTATGCACTCGAGAGTTCGAATCTCTCCAGCGTCGTGCGTGAGCGTGAGAGCGCGATCACCAGTTCCTTTTGCCAGTCTCAAGATGAGAAGCGGGGTGTTTCAAAACTGCCCGACTGGATAAATACCAAAAATTCAGAAAAATAGTTTTTTGTTCAGTCACTCTTATCCTGCGACACCAGCAGTATCGTATCAGCCGCGCCGCGGCCTCAAGAGGCCAAAAGGTAGACTTGGGAGGTAACTGAATCCTCTGTTCTGACAAGAGTGGGATTTGAACCCACGCCCGAAGACTGCGAAGCGAACGACCTTCCTCGTGGATGAGGAGGCAGTCACCTGAACACAGCGCCTTAGACCACTCGGCCATCTTGCCTCGTACGTTGTGCTGATGCGTGGGCAGCCCAGGAGCCTTGGACGACGACGTCGAAGTCTTGCGAGGAAGTGGTCGCAAAAAAGCTGACAAAGGAAGTTGACAAAGGTGGGTACATGATTTTTGGTCAGTTCTTCGTCTCGTTCCAATCAAGCAGGCTCCCCCTTGAGTGCATATTGGGTTCGGCACGCGAGCGGTGGTTATTATTGTCTCTGATACCGTAGAATGGAGATCCAGGGGGGGTGTTCGAGAACCCGTGTGTGGCCGGGTATCGCAGAGCAAGCGTTTCCGCGACCCCGTGGCACATTAAATCTGCGAGATCTGTGCCTTTCACCGTTGAAGAACATTCTCCATGTGTGGTAGACACAGCCACAGCAACGTTCTGTTCCGGGTCATGTTTGCAGCGAGAACGAGGGACAAGCCTGAACCAGTGGCGCCGTGGTGAGGTAGGGCGTCGAGGTCAGGCCACATCCCCACATCCAAGAAACCTCCATCCAGTGGCCACAGCTTGAGAGTGGTTGGCGTGGAGACAGTCTCTCTGGCCTCAGCAACCCAATCTGTGACACTGCTGTAATTCATCCGCAGTGTGGACACTGTTGCCAATCGCGGTCATGCCGCAAAGTACCCCCCAACAGAGATGGTACACGGAAGCGGTGGGGACGCCAGTGGGTCCAACACGTCCACGTTCACCGTGTACGCGGTCATGCAGGCAGTACGCAAACGCACATGCAAAACGCAAAGGCGAACGACGATTGTTTCCTGGTTGTTGCTCTTTAACGCATTGTCACGAGACCACGTCTTCGCCATACCCCAGCGACCCAGCCCATATGTGCCTCTAAAGCCAAATACTGTTGTTACATGACAAGGGTACTCTACACAGGCCAGCCAGCCTTGATGTTTTGGGTTGCAGTGTTGTTGCAGTGTTTTTGTTCCATCTATAAAGAAGCCCCATCGCGCTCCTTCGCCACCCTCGTCCTCGTCCTCGTCCTAGGTCCTAGTCCTGGGAAGCCTGCGTGGCGCCAGCGGTGGCCGGCTTGAACTGGCCAAACCCGCGGGCCTCGTACAGCAGGTCGGTGCGGATGACGAGCTTGCCGCCGTTGGCGCCGACGGCCGAGCCCTCGTGCAGGAGGGAGCCCTGTGTGTCGCCGTGGGCTGCGTCAAAAAGTCAGCAACAGACACTCCAAGCGTCGTTCCCTTTTCCCTTTTCCCTTTCCCTCTCCCACTCACGGAAACACAGGACCGAGCCCTGGATTGGCCGCACGCTCGTGGCGTCCATGACGCCCATCTCGTTGCTGGGCAAGAAGAACGTCGTGCAGCCTGTGTCCTCTGGAATGTCGCTGTTGAGGTACACGAGCAGCGTGTAGCGGCTCCAGAGGGGGTCGTCGGCGGGCTGCGAGTCGTGCATGTACTCGCCCGTCTCGGGATGCAGGCCTGCGGCGGGCCACGCGCCGTCAATGTGCGGGCGGTACAGCTGGTTTTCAGTGTACTCGTACACGCGGAAGCGGCCGTTGATGCCGCGGACTTTACCGCCGCCGACGCCGCCGTGGACGGGTGCAGAGGCGGGCACAAAGGGGACGATCTGCGAGTAGAAATGGTCCAAGAAGTGGGTGTCTGCGAGCCACAAAAAGTTGCGTGCGAGGATGGACGTCTTCATGAGTGCCGAACCCTCTGCAGCCTGGTCGCGCTCAAAGCCGTGTGCGCTCGCGGCCTGGATGATCTGCAGACACTCGTCGGGCGTGAACACGTCGAGAACCTGGAACGCGCCCGGAACGCCGGGGACGGGGACCTTGGTAGGTGCGCGCCGGGACGCGGCCGGGGTCAGGCGGATGGTGCCGGGCTCGCTGGTCCACACGGTCGAGTCGTAGACGTTGGGCGGGCGGCGGTCGGCCCCACGCACAAAGTTGGCCACACGGAAGCCCGGGTATGGCTTCTGCGCCTCGGTGCCCGCGGGCCCAAAGAGGGTCTTGTTCTGCATACGGTCCCAGATGGCGACCTCGTCCGGGTGGTCCTCGCCACGGGTGCGTGCGCGCCAGACACGCACTTTACGCACATGGTCGCGGGCGTCGGACGACTCGCCGGGCAGGTCTGCGTTGCCGGCCTCGCCCATGTTGGCGATACGCAGGATCATGTCGAGACACCTCAGCGCCTCGGGGTCGCCTGGCGACCCGTCGGCGCCGCTCGTAGCGTCGCACTCGCGCACCCAGCGCTGCAGGGCGCCGAGCTTGGGCGGCATCCGGCGCGTATACATTTCAAACAGCAGGACGAGCGCGTCGGTGAAGCGGTAGTCCTTGAGTGCGGCGGTGATGCGGGATGTGAGCGACGAGCCGAGCGTCGCGCCCTCGACCAGAACCTTGTGCAGGTCGTACACGCCGCGCTTGACGTCCTTCATCTCCTTGTCGGCCAGAAGCTCGGGGTTCTCAGCCAGCGTACGCATGACGAGGATGGCGGCCTCAATCTCCTCGGGAAGGAGGAGCGAGTCGGTCGACTCGGCAGGGGTGAGGGGCTCAGCGACCACGACGGCCACAGGCTTGCCGTTGTTCTGGCGCTTGCGCTTTTTGGCTTGCTCCGCACGCTTGCCCATGGTTGTATTTTTTTTTAGAGAGTGAGTTGAGACGGAGTGAGAAACGACACAAGATTGTTTTGTCGGAATGCGACGGGTCTTCCGAGAGTGGAGTAGCCGCCGGCGGCACCAAAATGTTCGGGTGGCCACTCTATGCAGTGGTCGCGATTATGCAGGACGGTTGCTATTATGCCGTGTGCATTGCCTACAAGCCCCGTAATGTGGGTATCCTTCTGCTGACTGCTATGAAAATATGAAGAGGGCGAGATACCGGGACATGAGCGCGGGCGCCGATAGAGTAACAAACTTCTTTCAAAACGAGAAGCGACTCGGTTGTTGTGCGCGGCGCCGCGCTCCCCAGCCCCGCCGTCGCAGAAGGTTGTGGTTGTGGGCGTGCCACACCGTCCGGCGGCGCTGCTGACTACTCTAAACTCTAGACCATTGCGCCAGTCTCGGGGAGGGCACCCTGGCGAATGAGGACCTCTGTGGATGTTGTTAGCAAAAAGGTAATAAGAAGGGTGTGATGGAACATTTCGGAAATGACGTGGGTGGTGCCTCGTCGCGCTAAACTCGCCCGGTGTCCGCGTATGCGAATGTCCGATCCCGCGGTAAAACTCACTGAAGAACTCGTAGGACATCCACGAGATGGCCGTGCTGGGGGCAACGGTGAGGACACGGGGGACCATGCCGCGCCTGAGGCCCTTCCAGCCGTCGCGCTCGACAATGATACGAAGGGCCTCGCCCATGCCGCGGGCGTTGCGTATCCTGAGGTCCTCTGACGTGCCACGGGTCTGGAGGAGGGTCTTTGCGACGTCCAGCGGGGTGGTGACTGCGGCGGCAAGACCACCAGCGATACCACCGGCGGTGACGTGGGTAAGGGGGGAGTATGATCCGGATGGGTTGAGGAAGCTCTTGAGAGACTCGTAGGCCGTAAACTGAACGGCGGTGAAGGGCACGCTCATCGTAAGGGTCGTGGGGTAAGAAACGTAAAAGGCGGCGAGACCCTCGGTGCCGTAGACCTTGCGGGCACAGTCCATGACGCTCGCGTATGGTGAGCCGCGGATCTGCATGCGCTGCTTGATGACATCGAACGGGTTCATGAGGGCGTCCGAGGTGACCGTAGCACTCGCTCCTGCCAATGCGGTGCCGCCCACACCCTTCCAGCCGTCCTCGCGACCGCCGGCAATCTCGCGCACAAACTCGTACATGCCGAAATGGGCAGCATGTGCGGGGCCGGCGCCAAGAATCACGGACGGGACACCACGCCACAGGGAGCGGATGCCCTCGCCGAGACGCACACTGCGCAGGTGCTGGGCAAAAGTCGTCAACGGCGCAGGTCCACGGGCAGCGGCAGTGCCGTCGCCGACCGCGACGAGCGACGGCAACACCTGCATGCGCGTCTTGATCGAGTCGACGGGGAAGATGGCGGCATGCTCTGAAATACCAGCCTAAGAGGACGTCAGCTGTCTTGCTGCTTCTTTTTTTTTGAATCTGATAGGGGCTATCGCCGTATGGGTGCGGGATGCGCAGTTCGGTCATCGGTGTGAAGCCGGCGCAATGCCTATCCGGAATGCCGCGGCGAGCGACAACGACGGAGCCGCCGCGCACACCGAGGATGGTGCGAGACTCGCTGCATCCCACAGTCCGCGCGCAAGAAAGATATCCCGATACGTACCATGGCGCCGGCCATCATGTTGACGCCCCAGCCGTAGCCGACGGGGAGCGATTCGTAGTCGTGCTCGTCATCTTCGGCGTCGATGGGGGTGTGCGCCTGCTCGAGGTGGACGCTGTGGGGGTGGGCGTGGATACGCGGAGAGTCGGACATGGTGGGAGAAAGGGGTGCAAAGTGGGGGCTGGACATTGTCAGGACAGGTTCTGATGTGGTGGTGGTGGTGGGGTGGTGGTGTGATGAAATGGGATGGGATGAGGAGCATCGACCAAGGTGACTGTTAAAAAAAAGTCGTGGGCAGGCCGACCCAGTTATCTGACAAGAGAAATCACAGCCGCCTGCTGTGCGCGCTGGCTCTGTCGCCTGGGTGCGACTTTTCTACTCGAGCCGACAAGTCCGAGCAGTTGGGATACAACAGAGGCATTTTGGCGCCCGGCTGTACTGCGACGTCGGCCGATCTGCTGGGTGACTCACATGGTGGACAGACGCAGCTCGTGCAGACAAGAATGCCAGAAGGGGTAAAAAGAATGGCTTTTGGACGACGACGAGGGTGGGGATGGGGTCCTCTAGTCGCGGTGGGTGCGTGAGCGCGCTGAACGGAGGGGCGGGGGTTTGGAGGGGGAAAAGGGTTGGAGAGAGATGGTTATGGAGGAAAAGAAAGTGTGTTGACTTTTGGAATGGCCCGCCTGGCTGGCTGCGAGAGCCTGGCTGCGAGCAGAGACGACTGGTGTGTGTGCGCACGCCTACAAGCGTACAAGCGCGTGCCGGTGGACCACAGCGTACAGTGGTGGACGGAACCTTTTTCTTCTCAGCTTTCGGTGCCCGTCCGGCGCCCAGACAGGCCACACGGGCATTTCGCTGACTATTAGCATCCGTTGGCCCTGTCGGTTACTGTCCGTGTAAGGGTGGTGCTCCTGCCTCCGGGCGTCTCGGCCGTCGAGTGCCGTGTCTGTTTCTAATGGTCTAATGGTCCTCTCGCCTTGAATCTCTAATAAGCCCTAATGCAGCAGCGGCCCAGACATACAGACCACGGGCACAAGACCACTTTCACGGCACACAAGCGAGGGGCAAGCGCAGCGCGGAGAACGTGTGTCCTGGGAGATTTTTTCCGCGTATCTGATATGGAGATAACACCTCTGCCCCCATTTCTCCAACTCCCAACCGCCGGCCACGGGGGGGTGGTGGTGGGGGGGGGGGGTGGACCAAAAAAAAAGAAACCGCAGCGTTGGCAGGCGGCACACTGGTACACAGTGGTACACTGGCCCACTGGTACGCTGGCCACTGACCACTGGCCACTGACCGGCTGACCCTCTCCCGATAGCGCCGACACGCGCTCGACAGAGTCTGATGCTGTTGCTCTTGTCCATTCCTCTCGACGCAGTGGAGACCTCGGCAGCACACGCAGATCACGGATCCAAGGGTGGCAATACGTGCATACGTGTTGTTTACTCAGCATGCTCAGCACCGCCCAGCACACGTGAGCCTTTGACCGAAACATGCTAAACCACTGGCCACTGGCCACTGGGCGCTTCGGCGCGTATCCCGATAACAGTAACAGCAGCCGTCAATCGGTCGCTGTACGCGCTGTCACTCTTGCCACCCACCCTTGTCGCCACTCACCCACGCACACCTGCCGTCTACTCACTCGTCGTCATGCATTGCACAATTGTACATCACAACTTGACCTTTTAGTGCCACCCCACCCCCCCCTCTTTGCGCCTGTTTGCCACCAGTGGCCACCTTGCGTCCTCGCCTTCCCTCTGCGTCTCTCACCATCTCGGCCGCTAGTCCCCTAGTCCACTTCCGCCTTCCCTCCTTCCTTCCTTCCTCTCTTCTCACCATGTCCCTTTCAAGTGAACCCCCGACCGTCTTTTATCCTCCCCCTCTCCCCCTCCCTCTTCCATGACTGCCGTCCGGCCCCGCAAGCACCCCAGCGCCGGTCGCAGTGCACGCGCGACAGCGGACGAACCCATGGACATCGACCCCTCTGACAGTGCATCCCCGCCAGTCTCGCCGCTGGCCGGCTCCGCCGACGCGTCGGCCATGTTTGACAAGCTCCTCGCAGACCTCGACGCAAAGTCCACCTACAAGGGATACCGGCCCAAGACGAAGCGCGAGTGCTTTACGCGCTACGTCTTCCCTGGCCCTCCCGTCCCCGGATTCACCCTTCCTCTCAACTTGAGCACGGCGGCGCTGCCTCCCCCGCCCAAGCGGCTTGCCGGCGCCGACGTCGAGCAAGCGCACGCCCGCCTGCGCACGCGCACACCCGGGACGGCGACGGCATACAGGCTCAGCGTCCAGTACCATGCGGGCATCCACACCATGCTCTGCGAGCAGGTCAAGCGCATCCACGCCGAGCACCCGTATGGCGACACCACCCCCCTTTCCCCGGCCGACAGGCAGAGCCAGCAAATCGACGCCATGGCCGTGGCCGAGTGGGTCCACAGCGCCGCCAAGCTCCAGAAATCGGCGGGCACGCGCTCGCCCGACGAGCTCGTCGCGTCCACCGACGCGCTCAACCACCTCGGCGACCCGCTCAACACGTTTCTCGCGGACAAGATCCACTTTACACCAGGCAGCAGCCCGCCAAAGCACACGCGCTGGGCCTGGCCGCCGACAAAGGACGCGAGCGACAGGACCGACTGGGTGTGTTATTCCAACGGCGCCAAACGTGGTATTCTCAAGTGGAAGCACGCGGTGACCGACTACGACATGGCCAGCGTGCACGCCGCAGCATCTGGCCCTGCCACGCGCGTGGCCGGTGGCAACTGGCCGCTCGACGTGCACCCGGGCTTTGAGATCTGGTACGACGCCGACCACGGCCGCGTCCTCAACGACGGCAGGGTGAGCGAGAATGGCGTCGACGCGTGTCTCCTGGTGAGTACCGTTACAGCTTCGCTCTTATCGAGATGTTTGCAGCTGACACTACAGGCCTGGTCCGACTCGCACCACTACCGTACGCGCTGGTCCGTGCTGTTCAACGGCCGCACCGCGCTCGTCACGTACCTCGCCAAGCCCGACACGCTGTTCGTGACCGAGCTGATCGGATGCGAGGACGGCAAGCACACGGACGCACTCACGATCGCGCTCGTCCTCTTCGCCATTGCCACGCTGGACCGCACCGCCCGCCCCACCGTCTCGATGATGACCGAGGCGATCAAGTGGCACCCCAAGCCGGCGAGGATGCCCCAGTTTGTCGTTGACGGCAGTGGCGGCGACAAGTGAGGCGGGCGGGCTGATGAGCACGCCAGTGGCCAGTGGGCAAGCGCGCCGGCGCGCGTGCCCGGCCAGTGCAGGAGCAGGCCTCACGCTCAAACTCATACGAAACCCGCACGAACTCAATGACCCCGGACGATAACGCGCGAGACACACGCACAAAATGGAGCCCTAGTTGCAACATGGCCCTTAGTCAAGACGCCTCATGAAATGTTGCTTGTACCCCTCCTCCCCCCGAGCACGTAGCCGTAGAACCTTTAGTTGTGATAAATAGTGGTCCGGAGAGGCACCCCCCGCTTTAATATGCCATGTCATGTTCTCCCTTTGTACCAACCGACCACAGCCTCATTTCAGGCAGTGCCGTTCCCCTGTTCTCTGATCAGTGCCCACCCCTCTCCCCTCTCGGGTTGGTAATCTGGTCGCATTACTCGCAGAATTGTCTATGAGGGGGCCGCGAGGTGTGTGGTCGAGACCACGGGTGACGTGCACGGTATATAACACACGGCGAGGTATGAACAAGACCGACGGTCGGGGACGCCGCTGCAGCCCGACGGCCAGTACGTCATGGGACCATTGGGGCTACTGGGTTGAAAGTCTCTCGCTTGCACAGTGGGATTGAACGTCGCTCTCGCTGGCGCGAAGCGCAGACACGCCCCAACCCAACCGTCGTCCTTTAGCGGCTCTTGTTGACGCCCGCGACGGTCTTGCCCTTCTGCTTGCGGAAGAACTTGCGCCTCTGGCCGAGCATGTACGTGTACAGCTCGAACAGGGCCGGCCACCAGACAAAGAACAGGGCGAGGCGGACGAGCTGGATCGGTGTCCAGATGTATCCGCCCGACTCTGCTGCGGCCCTCGCGCGCGCAATGGCGACCAAGAACGAGCGGCCCGGAGCCGTGTGCAGGATCTTCTGGGCGACGCTGACGGGCAGACGGTGGACGATGTCGTGGAACGCGTTGATGAAGCGCGGGACGTAGGGCAGGGACGCGAGTGGGGGCACGGTGCTGAACGACAGGAAGGCCTCGGAGCCCGCGCCGAGCGGGTACAGGACCAAGAACGTGTTGTAGCGCAAAAAGTCAATGGCGTAGATGGCCTTGTTGAGGAGCGCAAAGAAGTAGAACGGGTAGCGGATCGTCTCGGTGATGGACCAGGCGAGGAGCATGGTCGTGAACAAGGGGTTGGTGTGGGTCTGCGCCAACAGTCAGTTCTCCATGCACTTGGCTTGGGCGATGGGGGTGACGTACCTCGGGGACCAGCTCGACAACACCCCACACAGCCCAGAGACGGCTCGCGACCTGGCTAGCCACGGTGCCGACAGGGCTCCTCACGAGCCCGAGAGCGGCATGGACCACCTCGAGCACGGCCAGACTCTGCGTGTACTTTGTGTGGTATCCCAGCTGGTGGAAGTCGTAGCTGCCGCTCAAGTGGTCCGACAGCAGCTGGACGGCGCCGCCAACAGTGGTCGGGACAGCGGCATAGTTGACACCCGCACGCGGGGTGACGATGAACCAGACGGTAATGACCAGGAGGCGCGCCCAGAGGGCGGCAGAGAGCAAGTTGAAGGCGAGGAGGTAGACCTTGACGGGGGTGAGACCTGCTTTGCGACCAGTTTCGCCGGTCGGGCGGGGAGGAGACGACATGGCGAGAGGGCACGGTGGAGAGAGCGAGAGAAAGAGGGAGGCAAGGCGAGATTTCAGTGGGGGAGGGAGGGTAGAGGTCCGGGTATCGGCGCGCGTGGGGAGCATGGGCAGGTGGAGGCGCGAGACGTTGCGTGGGGGAACCCATGAGGAGACACACTTGTCAGCCAGGCAGAACCTATCGCAGCAGCGTGATACAACACGTACCCGTCTTCCTCTCCTTCTTGTGCGCGGAGGGCGCTTTCGTTGGCGCGGACATGGTAGATGGGAGTGGAAATGGGTAAAACGAAAGAGATTCACAAAGGAAGGGTGTGAATGGTCGTCGCCGGATCGTCGTTTGTCGTGGGATTGTGGCGTCATCGGCGCGAAAAGGATGACCACTTTGGCATTGCGTCAGCCAACCCGCGACGTACTTTAGTCAAACGCTGCTTGTGTCTCAACAATCATCAACAAGATGCTCTACAGCTGATACGAAAGAGTACAACGACACCCTCTGCTGTTACTAAGGAACACCACTCCTCGGCATCCCCGCTCTAACCTTATCTAACTCGTCCCGAACCAGCACCTACTGCTCCTCGGCCCAGGCTACAAGTTGACGCATCATCCTCAACGCCGACGACGTATACGATCCCCCGCCAAAGAGGACAGCGTGCTTGCTGTCAGCTCCTCATCTCGTATACCCCGCTCACATTCAAGTGGTGGTACAGCTCATACAATGTCTGCCGCTGCTCATAATACGGCTGGGATCGGGGATGGACCGAGTGGTACGCTTCGTAGAACGCGGGTGAGAAGCCTGGCACGTCAACACTGGTACACTGTCCGGTCTGCGGCAGAGTGCACCTGGAGAGCGAGCGAGGATAGAAGGGATAGTACTCACCGCCGAACATGTGGGTGATACCGAGATCAGCCTCAGCGTGTCCATAGTAACTCGCCGGATCGTAGATGACCGGCACGCCGTCACCTGAGCATGTCACATTCCCGCTCCATAAGTCCCCATGGAGAATCACAGGCTGGGCCGGTGGATTGAACTCGTGCAACAGCAGTGGTATGGCTCTGGAGCCACACCGTTAGTTTCCACAAACTCGCGTCGCGTTCGACCCACCGCTCCTTCATCTCCTCCCATGCCGTGCCGACGCGCTTGTCGTTGAGCAAGTGTACGATATGTCCCAGGCGGCGGTCACGGAAGAAGACCTCCCAGCTCTCCTCCCATCGGTTGTCTTGCTCATTGGCACCACAGTGTGTGGGGACCGCAAAGCCGTATTTGCCCGTGTACTCGAGTCCAGCCATGGCTGTCGGCATGTCGCCAGCACTGGCGCTGGCGGGGTCATGGTCACTGTCGATGGTCTCGGGAAGACCTGTGGGTGGCACAGGAACGCTGTGCATCTGCGCCAATGCCAGCCCCAACCTCGTTTGTACCGCATCGGTATACCGCTTCCCCCCGCCTGCAGTGTATGTTGACACCATGGCCGCCTCCCTCCCTCCGGGACCCATAGCCCACCCCACCACGCGCGGCACGAGGCCCGGCGGCGCAGTGAGGCTCATGGCACGCAGGCTGGCCGCCTCGCCGCACATGTGCGCAATGTCTGTAGCCGTGTGCGCCGTTTTGGCATAGTAGGTTTCAGAGGAGGACGAAGACGACGATGGTGATGACGATTCTGGTAGCGAGGCTGTCGCCTTGGCAATGTTGCCCCTCAGCGTCACTGTGGACGCGTCGATGCCGCCTTGGGTGAACGCAGCGACGAGGAGGGGATGCATTGCGGTGTTAACTGGCGCGGATGGTGCAATGGATGCAGGCCGTCGTCCCGGCGTTGACAGAACGTATAAACGGCAGAAGCGGGGCGGCGTCGGCAACCAAAGAGCGGTGGGCGTCCGGAAATGAGGTCATTGAGCGCATATAGCTGAGGTCAACTCGAGTCATCATCTCCTCAACCATATAATGAACTAGCCTGTTTCTCCAGCCGCCCAAACGCTCATCTCTTCATTCCACATTATGGCCACTGCTCTCGTTGTCGTGGACGTGCAGGTCGGCGTCGTCGCCACTTGCTGGGACGTTCCAGCCGTCGTCGGACGTATCGCCGACTTGGTCCAGCGCGCGCGAGCCGCCGGCGCCCCCGTCATCTGGGTCCAGCACGACGACGACCCTCACCTCAAGCGCGACTCCTCGGACTGGGCGCTCGTGCCCGAACTCGTCCCCAACGACGGCGAAGTACGCATCTACAAGCAGTTTCGCGACTCGTTCAGCGTGCCGCTCCTCGAAGAGACGCTGCGCGAGCGCGGCGTAGACCACCTCGTCATCGTCGGATCGCAGAGCGACTTTTGCGTGCGCACCACGGCGCAGGGCGCGCTCTCGGCGGGATTCAACGTGACGCTCCCGCGCGACGCGCATACGACGGAAGACATCAAGGCGGACGGCGTGGCCGTCTCGGCGCAGCAGATTGTCGCGCACACAAACTACTACTTTGACAACTACGAGTTCCTTGCCGGCGTCAAGAGCCGCGTCGTGTCGTCGAACGAGGTCGAGTTCAAGTAGACAAACGGGAGATGTATTGCCATTTGGCTCTGCTTGCACTGGTCAGAGCACAACATGTGTTGAGCGGCTAACAAAGCTCGCGGAGCGCCGTTGCTTGTCCTGTTAAACGTTGCAACACGCGGCGTCAGTCCACTTTCAACTTGCACCTGCTGTCTGGACGTGGTGCCGTACTGTGTCAGGAGGACAGAGTCAAACGGGAGGGTGTTGTGGGCAGCAATGAGTGTGCATGGGCATGAGATGATGGATTAGAAGGGAATTAGAAGGAACAACGATCAATGACGCACATCGAGATCACTGCGGCATGTCTTATCTGTGTCAGGTGCCCATCCTGGCGGCAGTGGTCGAGATGTGGTGACTGATACACCATGTGCGATGGGGAGCAGCAAGTGCGTATGGTTGCGCGTTTGAGGAACACTGACTGTTGCACAGCACACCTGGAACTGATGACCCCCATGGTGGGACGGAGTCAATCCCCGATATGCCCCGAACCCACTCTGGCGGACGCCAAGCCGCCGGCTCGAGCTGTCATCTACGCTCGACAACAAGACTGTAACACGCATCTGGGTGGTAAAGCTCCATTTGCAGCTCTTCATGCGCCCAGGACCGTCACGCTGCCGCTGCGCAGAGCACTTTTCATGCACTTTTCACGCTCCAGCGGCTTGGCGACCTCTCGTCCTACTTCTCCCGGACCCACGCAAGTTAGTACCTCGCGACATCCCCATCTTCCTCAGCCGCCTCACTCGACGTCCATACGTCTGCGCCGTGCGCACACACGCACGGCAGACACTCCCACCGCTCTTTTCCCTTTTACGATGCATCTTTATTTCGCGGCCAGTCTCCTGGTCACGTTTTCCTCTACGGGGTTGGGCGGTTTGCTTAGAGGGCCGAGGCACCGGTGATAATGTCGATGAGCTCGTTGGTAATGACGGCCTGGCGACCACGGTTGAACTGGAGCTGGAGCGACGCCATCATGTCGTTGGCGTTGTTCGAGGCGTTCTCCATGGCGGTACGACGGGCCGAGATCTCGGCAGCGTGGCCCTCGACGAGGAGAGCGTAGATGGCGTTGGCGAGCGAGAACTCGGCAAGGTCCTTGGAGACATCCTCCTCCATCTCGTAGGCCTGGAAGCCGGCAGCCTCCGAAAGGGCAGCGGCCGAGACGACGGTGGTCTCACGGGCCTCGTAGGCGATAGCCGAGAGGTAGTGGTTCGAGATGATCTTGACCTCGTCCCACTCGGCGTCGGCCTTGACGAGCTCGTCGGCAACGGCCGAGGCCTCGGCGAAGGTGGGGACGTCCTTGCCGATAGCAGAGAACGAGACAACGATCGAGTCGGCAGCGATACGCGAGATCTGGGCCTTGGGCTTGTCACCAACAATGGCAATCTTGCCGGGCTGCTCGAGGAGCTGCTTCTTGACAGCACGGGTGACCGACGAGTGGATACCACCGCAAAGACCACCGTCCGACGACATGGCGAGGTAGAGGATCTTCTTCTCGGCCTTGGCGTCGACGTTCTCCTCGGCCTTGGTCTCGTTGAAGAGCTCTGCAAAAGTGTTAGAGACCGGTCCAACAGTTGTGTATGTGTGTCTCCTTTAAACGTGTCCCTGGCCGACTCTCCGCCATCGCGTTCTCGTGCTCTCCTCCTGCTGCTAACTCACCGTTCGAGGCGGTGCCGTACTTCTTGGCCTCACGCATGGCACGCTCAGCACGGGTAAGCTTGGTCGAGGCGACGACCTTCATCGACTGTGGAGGGTTTCAGCACATCTCGCCCCCCGGAAGCATGACCACTCTTTCGGCCAAATGTGTTACCGACCTTGGTGATCTTCTCAATGTTCCTGACCGACTTGAGGCTATGTACAAGTCAGCATAATGTCTAGGGGGGAGTCGGCCTCTCGCGGGCCCGCGCGCGCAAGCTGGTGTTGGTGTGGCCCAGGCGTAGGTGGACGGACACTTGGCTGGCGGACGCGGACGGACGAGGGGGGGGCTTTGTGCAAGACGCACCGCTGGTCAATCTCCTTGAGAGTGGCCATGCCGGCCTGCTGCTGCTTGATGGGAGCAGAGCGGGCGACGGTGAGGGCCGGACGGGCGGCGCGGGCGAACATTTTGGGGAGGGGGAGTGGTGAGGAAGGGGAGGGTGAGGAGGACGAGGATGTCAATGGTGTGCAGTGGTCTACGCAGGATGGCGCCCACAGCGAGCGAGCAAGCCTGAGCGAGCCAGCCAGCGACCCGCCAGCCAGTGAGAGCCGCCTCGCTCCGTGTTCCCCGCCCCAGCGCCCAGCCAGGCTGGCACACCCGCACACGCACCAGCCGGAAGACGACGGAGCACCCAGCCAGGCGGGGAAATTAAAACACACCATGTCGCCGTCCGTGTGGCACTTTGGAGCCGTTGTGCGTTTTGCCCGTGCCCAACGCGCGCCACATTTGCTTCCGTCCAGGCAGCAGTCGTTTTGTGATGCAACGGCGCTCTCGAGTCGAACACCACCACCACCACCCACCACCACTACCCACCCACCACCAGCGAGGCCCATCACCCTCGCCACCCCCCCGTCCTTGCACTTCACAAGGACCACACAGACCCAAAAGGCCAGCAACCAAGGCCCCCCTTTACACCCCACCGACACCCCCTTGAGCGACCTGCCCAGTAGTAAGTGTGGGGCTTTGACATCACACTGCGATTGCGACAATTGATTGCTGACATGTCCTCTCAGTGGCGGACCCCGATGTTGATCTCTTTGCCGGCATGAAGAAGAAGAAGAAGAAGGTCGCCGCCGCCGACGTCGACGAGACCCCCGCCCCCGTTGCTGAGGCTTCCACTCCCGAGCCCGCTGTTGCCGAGGCCTCCACGCCCGAGCCCGCCGCCGAGGCCCAGCCTGCCGAGGACGCCGGTGACCTGTTCGCCGACCTCAAGAAGAAGAAGAAGAAGAAGAAGGACATTCCCCTCGACCTCGAGACCGCCGAGCCTGCGCCCGGAGCTGACGGCCTGGACGTCCCCATCAAGAAGAAGAAGAAGAAGCAGGCCGCCGACTTTGCCAAGGAGGTGGGTGTGGACTGGGCATGGAGGATGGTGATGGTGGCGAGGACTGAGAATGGTGGCGAGAGTCGGGTCGGCGTGGGAGTGTGTGGCTGCCGCTACATCACTCTCTCCCACGTCGCCTTACTCAGCCGCCACTCGTTCCACAACACTTTTTTTCCGCCCCTCCCGATCACAGTCCCGTACTGACATGCAATTTCCCAGCTCGACGACCTTAACGGCGATGACGAGCCTACCGAGGCTGGCGGCGACGAGGACGGCCTGTTCAACACTGGCGGTGACGAGGCCGGCGCCTCGGCTGGCGGCGTGGACGCGTGGGTTGCCGAGAACCGCGACCCCACCTATCCCGAGCTCCTCCAGCGTTTCTTCACCCTTCTCCACCTCAACAACCCCGAGCTTGCCGGCGAGAAGCGCAGGTTTACCATTGTCCCTCCCCAGGTGACCCGTGAGGGCACCAAGAAGACTTCGTTCACCAACTTTGTCGACATTTGTCGTCGTCTCCACCGTCAGCCCGAGCACGTCCTCATGTTCCTGTACGCCGAACTGGGTACCCAGGGTGCCATGGACGGTGCCCAGCGTCTCCTCCTCCGTGGTCGTTTCAACCAGAAGCAGATCGAGAACGTGCTGCGCAAGTACATTGGTGAGTTGGGCTGATGAGCGGGGGGTGGAGCGGGAGTGTGGCGGAGGTGTGGCACTTTTGAGTGGCAAAAACGCCGATCACTTTCGACAGTCGTCCATGACCGTCTTTGACCATGGCCATGGCCTGGACAGCTCTACTACGCATCCCTGCGGCCCCTTGGAGCACTGCGCACACGCTGACCCCAATTCCAGTCGAGTACGTCAGCTGCAAGATCTGCAAATCGCCCGACACCGTCCTGGGCAAGGACAACCGTCTCTACTTCCTCACCTGCGAGTCCTGCGGCTCCAAGAGGTCCGTCCAGACCATCAAGGCAGGTTACAAGGCGCAAGTAGATGCGTATCTCTCTTTTCTGATCTCCCCCGTTCTTTTCATTGTGCTGACTGTTTCCACGCCGTCGCCCGAGGCCCGTTGGATAGTTGGAGAGGGTTTGGCAGTGTACCATATGCATTTTCTGCACTACAACGATAAGGAGAAGCCAGCTGATGCCGCCCTGCGTTCCGTGGTATCCACGGATACCCTTTGGTATCCTTACATACTTGTTGGGCCATAAAAGGAGGCGGTGGGGCCAGTATGTGGGGGAGAGACCTTGACGACGAGCGGAGGGTGACAATCAGGAAACGTGATGTGGAGTGGGGTTGGTATGCAGATTCAGCCTTCTGCAAGTCCCATTCAACGCTCCTAGATCATACGAGTGGCCTAATGGGGTAGGTCTACGGCATTCTGCAGCAGAACGGTCGAAATGGTCGAAAGAATTAAAGAAGAGTTGAAGAAGTGCGAGTGTGGCGTTTGTGGCACTGAAATCTGTACCCAAGAGATACCGACTACGGGCCCACGGGCCCACCAGCATTTAGATTCGGCGTTTCAATTCTGTTTGCGGCTAGTGTGGGCGACGTATGGGCTACATTATTCATGCATGCATGGTGCCGGCGCTGTCACTACTTGCGTAAGCTACTTCTGCGCACGCGTCCTTTTTTTCTCTCCATCTCCACCGATCCCGCAACAGTGTGCTAGTGTGAGTGGGACCGCATGCCCGGTTTAAACCTACAGAGCCAAGGAGTAAGGGGGAGAAGACAGCTCCTGGCATGAGCGAGTCCTTGTAGTACAGTGCCATCCGAGCCAACACTATGTATAGATCACGGCATGTACATTACACTGGCGCCAAACTCGTGTCGACCTTTTTCAGTCTCGGATTTCGCAGTCGACTTTTCACACTTCACTAGGGCGAGCTGCCGATGACCTTCATGGCGTCTTTGGCCACACCAAACTCGACCCACTTCTGGTCCACGAGCTAAATTGTCAGCTGTGTACGATACTTATTCTGACCCACACGAACGAGCGCCTCGCGCTCGGCAGATCCTTTCTCCGTCTGGAAGCGGCGGCCGATGAGGAGGCGAAGTTCCTGCAATGTATGGTGAGCATCTTGTGCAGGAGTTGCGGTGCGAGGTGCGAGGTGCGTCATGGCTTACCTCGCCAACAGTCTTAACCTTGGCCCTGGCGTCCTTGACCTTGCCGGGTTCAACGTATGGCGCGGGGGCGGCAATGGGTTTGTGGCCGAGCTGGCGGTAGCGCCGGACATCTTGGGGACGGCGAGCGCCGAGCGGTCTGGCGCGGTCATCGACTTGGTGCCTTGAACGCGGCCATTTGCGATGTCGTTCAAGAGCTTTGCCCACGGCTCTGGGTCTCAGCGTATGAATGTGGCTAGCGACTCACTTGTGGGCTTGAGGGTGGCCGCCCAGCCTGTAACTTTGATGACTCTGTCGCGAGGCACACCGCCGGCGCCGCCCTTGCCGCTTGCAAACTTCCTGCCAGGCATGATCGCGCCTGTGATAACTTCTATGTGCATGGACAATGCGGTCGAGAGAAGGACAGTGCGTGGGCGTTGTCCCTTGGTGGTAATGTTGACCTTGTTAATCTCGTCGTGCTTGTCGGCCGGAAGAGATTCGTAGTAGACGTCCATGAGCTGGATGTAGGTTCGACGCAGGGCTTCAAACGAGCCAATGAGACTCTGAACTGGCTGTCAGTCTTGATCCGTTCAGTCTCGGACATCACAACACTCACCAGAGCCTTGGCCTTGGCCGTGGTGCCCCCGTGCTCCGTGGAAACGATGGCGTTTCCCAACGGCCTCCTGATGCTGTCGAGTGTTTGAAGAGCAGCGTCGCCGAGGTCGCGGTACCGCACAGCCCTGAGCCTCTCGACCTTACCAGCCTGCGACATGACACGTGCCCGCACAGGCGCGACCTTGCCGGACTGGAAGATGTCAAGATCGCGCAGGCGAAGCAGCTTCGCGCGGAACCCAGGGTCGTCGCCACGGAGGAGAAGCTCCCGGAATTCTGTCGCCAGCTGGGGACAGTCCCAGGTGGCGCGGCCGTCTTCACCAGCGCGGAACGGGACGCCGTCGGCCGCGAACGCGAAGCTGATGTTGCCACCGCCGATGTGCACAAGCATGACGTTGACAACGACATAGCCGTGGATCTTAGCCTGGCGGCCCGCTTCATGCCAGGACGGCGGTGACGAGGCGTGGACCTTGAGGTGGTGGTGACGGGCACGCACGAGCCAGCGACCGTCGTGGGCATGAGGGGAGGAGCCGGTAACGAGTCTGTCTCCGTCACCCATCCTGGCCTCGCCACCAGCTCGTAGGCATATTCGTCGCCGGCGGAAAGGACGCGCGACGCAACACCCCAGAGGCCTTGGTCGAATTCCAAGTAGTAGTCGGTACTTGAAGCGCGGTGGGGGCGGTACCGCAAGGACATGCGGAAAGGCTTGTTCAAGCCCTGACACATGGCCTGCGAGGGGTGGCTGGGCATGATCGAGTGGACGAACTCCATGACGTTTCTGGTGAAGCCGGAGACGTACAGGAACTCGACGCCCACGGCGTCGATGCGGACGCCCTCCTTGTGGGCAATGACCATGATGGCCCGACGGGCAAGCGCGAGCTTGTGGGCCAAAGAAGCTGTTGGGCCGTTGACGATGACGTCCAGCTGTTGGCTGCCAAACTCCTTCACATTACCGCCCGGCACCTGGCGAGCCGTCGAATTGGGGTTGACTCCCAAATCGATCGTGTTTCCGATCTCGCCAATGGACTTGGATGTCAGCTGCACGCACACGGTACGTTGCAGACAGGTAATGACCGACTTACGAGGAAACGTGTGCGCTCGTCGCCGCGGTGCGAGTGGTTGTGTGCCTCGTAGTAGGCAATCTGCTCCCAACCGTCGGGGGCGCTGCTGACCACCGAGATCCAGTGCGAGGCCCTTGCGGGGTCGGTCTTGGTGACGTTCAGGCGCTCGAGCCGGCGGCGACTTCCAATGGACGTGGTGGAGTATCCTGATTGAAAGGCGCAGGCGGCGTTGTCGACGCCGAGGGGGAAGGATGGCACATGGCCGGCAGCTGTGAGCGAGGCCACCTCGTCCTTGAGCCACTGTGGCCGCTGGGAAAAGGTGACGTACGACCCTGCCAAGAATCAGCTTTTGTGGCGTCGCCACTGCCAAAACAACTTACCCATCAGTGTCGCCATGGGGACGCCAACGAGGTCCTCCAGTTGCTTGGAGCACAGTGTGCTCAGCTTGCCAGTGGTGACGAGGTTGTCGCTCTGGACCTTCTCGGGCCATTGAGCGCCGAGGAGGTGGGTTTCACATGTCATTGTGACGAGAGTGTCTGGAGACGAGGTGAAGAGGAGAGAGCGGGCAGGGAGGAAGAGGGTGGTGGTAAGGGTGGTGGGAGGTGGGAAGATAATGTCGAACAATTGCTGAGAGCGCATTGAAGGAACTGCAGTCAGAATGAGACAGTGAAGGAAGGAAGAGAGGAGGAAGAGAAGAAATAATGGGAGGTCGTGCGTCGTGGATGCGACGGAAGCCCAGTGCACCGGCCAGCTGTCGAACCGGTTTTTTGCAACTCGACCTCCGCCCCACGACACAATGTCACATACTTGTACTCTGTTACTCTGGGGCGCAAAGAGGGGCAGTGCAGGTAGATCAATCCTTTTACCTGCGCTTTTCCTTGTTCTTCCTTGGTCACAACGACGAGGGCAGGCGATGCTCGTGTCCACCACCTTTCACCTTGCCTGAACGTTGCGCTGGGGGCGCCTGCATTGTGGCCATTTGAAATCATATGCGTTGATCCGTGTGTCGAGTTGTGGAGCTGTGCGATCATGTGCCATCTGTGGGTGCACGAGGCGATGAGAAGGCTCAAAGCACCTGTTTTGCGTGACTCGTGACAGCCGACAGAATGTGCTTCTCACGAGTGGCCGAGTGGGGCGCTCCCCCGGGTGCACAAACGCGACAATTCTTGCGTGCACGGTGTCATGGCATGCATGCTGTACAGAGACCACGCTTCTACAGACGACTCGGTACTCGCAGAACCCCAAAGGCCAAAGGCCGTTGTCCCGCTGTCCCGCACGCCCTAAGAACAAATCGTGCACTTCCAAAGCGTGCACTTCTTTCTAACAAAGCCGTGGGCGTCCGCGTCCGCGTCCGCCTCATCCTTTGTCTTCTCCTCGACCCACTTCAGACGGGCGGTCTCGACCATCTTCAGGCGGATTTCAAGCACCTCAACCCGTCAGCGATGCCCAGGGGGGAGGGGGGGAGGGGGAGGTAAAGCTCACGATCCACGAAGGGCGTCCGTTCCTCAGGCCGGCTCGGGCCACCTGGATCATACGCATTACTTGGATCTTGAAGTCCTTTAACAGTCAGCAGTAACACTGTCATCCAGTAGCATACCGCAATAGCCTGTTGAATCGTTAGCACAGTGCAGGTAACAGGTGGTGACAGGTTGACGCTAACGCACCTCGTCCAGCTTTTTACGGGCCTCCTCCTCGGGGATGGGGGGGTGAAGACGGAACATGCCTCCAGGCCTATAGGTGAGGCGCGGGTACATGTCCATGAGCCGCTGTATTGCAGGAGGAATTTCTTGCGTGTTGGTAAGACCCGTGGCATGCGATACAGGCGTGTCCACCGGGCAAGACAATCTGGGGGGTGGGGTCGTCGACGATCATAACCTGGGGGGTCAGACGTGCAAGAAGCGCCAAAGTGGCACTCACGTCCGAGTCGGAGTCGGAGTCGACCACGATGGGCTCGGAGGCGGACATTGTAAGTGAGTGTAGGTGGATGGAAGATGGGGAAGATGCAAGATGTAGTGCTAACAACGAGGAAGGTCCAAAAGGGAAGGAAAGGGAAGGCGAGGAAGGCCACCACCGGCGCGGGGAGGCAGAAGTGATCGCCATGCCAGCCATCAGAGGGTGACTGGACCCCGCGCACGGAGCAGCGTACGCTGGGTGCTTTCTTTGCACTTGTTCAAACGTGTTTTTCTCAGGCCCCCTGTAGATATATTAGGCTTGTATGTATCTTGGTCTGTATCCAAAGTTACCGCTGAGGGGAGGTCGCTCCAGTGCAAGTCCATGAGTGCCAAGAAGCGCTTGCGGAAGATTTCGTTGGCGTTCGCAAACTTCCAGTCGGTCATAAAAATCTCCAGAACGATGGTGGCAATGCCGACCTGTCCAACAGCAAGAGGGGGGATGTCAATGCCTCGGGCCTTTGTAGGGCGTAGCATGAGAGTGGGTGGCGATGGGAATTTGTCCACGACTTCTCAGCAAGCCAGCGCGTCGCTCCCATCGCCACCCACTCTCATGCTACGCCCTACGAAGGCCCGAGGCGTGCTTGTCGACGTGAGGTGTAAGCTGACCCTCAATGGCGAACGGGATGGTGGTGGCAATTCCAGCAGGGGTAGTTGTAGATGAGGTGGGGCCAACGGCAATGGGGAGAGTTGTCGATGATGGCGAGCGCAGACTGCTGAGCGAGGGTGTGGTGACATCAACAGGGAGCTTGGGAGGCTAATATGCGTCAGCTCCACGATGAAGCAACCACTCACGATCGCGCCACAGTGGGCCCGTGGGCAGACTGCAACGTAGTGCAGCATCAGCTCGTCGTAGGCCACTGTGATGGGCTCGTTGGGAGGGTCTGCCTCCGCTGGGGGCGAGAATGTGATGATGGGGTCAACGAGACCCGGGATGGAAGTGATGAGATGGAAGGTGCGCTGGAGAGCATGGCACAGGACGTAGATCTCAGGCTCTCCGCCCTAGATGCCGGCGGTACCGATAGCTTTGGCGTAGGTTGCCAGGCTACTTGTCACACAGAGGTCGCCGTCGGAATCCCGCCACTCGTGGGGCATGTTCTTCACGTACTGGTCCTCGGCGTTGCGGAGGTACCAGCTCGCCACCAGTGTGCGCAGCTCCGAATGGCGGTTTTCATCGTTCCAGAGCCTGTGGGCAATGCTTCGAAACAGGCAGTCACCAGCTCCTGCACAGTCGTGCAGGATTTGGTCTGGCTGGAGCAGTGCCCGGAGACGCTCAACGTCGGTGGACATGACGGGAAACAAATGTCTGCGCGATTAGCACTCCACCCGACAGCAGGACTGTAATCTCACCGCTGAGGGGGGGGAGGGGGGGACGTTGAGTCAAACGTGCGAGAGACAAAGATGACGAAGAGTGCCGCTCAGCCACGCAGAGGCGAGTAGTAATGAGAGTTGAACAACAAGCACTGCATCGCCCCAGTTGCCCCGTGTTAGGTGCATTGTTTGTGATCAGCGCGAAGCATGCCAAATGGTTGCTGTGTGCCCGCCGTAACGCACGATTGTCCCGCTTCACATGCACAGGCCCACCACTTGGGCCTCGTTCGAACTCCGAGAGGCCACATATGCACCAGTCGAATCCACGTCCACCAACCAGCAAAGCGTTTGGTTGCTCCTCCTGGTCAGAGACCACAGCCTTGGCCACTCTACACGGACCTCGTGCCAGCTAGTGCAAGTCCCTTGCACTGGGTGGTCGAGAGACACTGGGCCGAACCATTTGTCACTCGCAACAGCGATGCTCGACCCCCGACAGCAAACCCGGATCAAACCTCCCCGCTCCAAGCTCCACGCAAGCTTCTGCATAAGGATCCCCCTTTCTACCTACCCTCAACACCGCCTTCTAACTGCGCACCACCTTGGAGATGATCTTGAGAGCCTCCATCGTCTTCTCATCCTCCCACCGGCGTCCAACGACTTGGAGTGAGAGTGGGGCGTTGGCAAACTTCTCGGGGGAGTCTAACAATGGAGCGTCAGCAAATAATCATTCTGTTGGCCACCACCTTTCTTCTGCCACTTACAAAACTCTGCAACCATCTTGTCGTCTGCGCTCAAGTACTCCCTGGGACCCTCGGCCGCGTCACTCGCCTCGACGCTCCATTGCGTGGGGAACACGCCACCGGGGTAATCGACGAGGTTCCAGATGGCCGTGTACATCCAGTACTTTGACGTGCCGAGCTGTGGGGCCGCACCAGGATACGGTGCGCAGAGCACCACATCGACACCGGCTGCCTCCCAGTGCTTGTTATAGTCGAGACGGAACGCCTCGCGCGTCTTGACCAACTCCATGACGTCGATGGCAGGAGTGTCCACTGACCCGTCCATGATCCACTGCGTGAGTGGAAGGATTGGCTCGCCCGTCTTGGCGGTCTCGCGCTTGACCCTCTCGCCACCGTCGGTATAGTACAAGCGCTTGAGCAGTGCCCACCCTTCAGCGGTGTTGTGGGGCTCGTAATCGACCACATCGAATCCGGCGGTCCTGAGCTTGTCCACTGCCTGGCTGAGAGCGCGAGCCATGGGCGGCTGGAGCTTGCACACGCCGTCGTGCCACATGACACCGATACGGGGTTTGTCGCCTCCGATCCAGCTGACCTCCTCTGGCCGCCACGGCATACGGGCCTGCGAAGGGTCAAACTTCCACGGCTCGGTGTCGAGCACGACCTTGATGAAGAGCTCCATGTCCCGCGCCGAGACGGTCATGGGACCAATGGCGCCGACGATGGCTTCTTGCCCAGGCATGCCCGAAAAGTTGCCGCCCTTGGGCAAGCGGATGGCCGAAGGCTTGAAGCCGTACAGGCCACAGTTGCCGCAGGGGTTGCGGATCGAGCCGCCAATGTCAGAGCCGATGCTGTAATGTCAGTGGCACAACCTTATGAGGGGTACCCACCCAAAGACACTGCCACCTGCAGCCAACAGCGCTGCCTCGCCTCCCGAGCTTCCGCCAGGTGTCAGAGTGGTGTTGAACGGGTTGGTCGTCTCGCCCAAGAACGAATTGCACTCGAGGTGCATGATGGCCTGGGGGTTGGTGGTCTTGCAGTAGAAGACGGCTCCAGCCGCGCGGAACGCTGCGACGACGGTACAGTCGTCAACGCTGACCGAGGCTGGGTCTTCCAAGATCGAGAGGAAGCCTGCCGAGCGGGGCTTTCCCTTGATTCCGCACATGTCTGAGTGTGAGCGCGAGCAGGGGAGAGGTGGGACAGAGGAGAGGTGGTACCCAGACGAGGTGGTGACCTTGATGACATCATACCCATCGTGCTCTGACCTGCACGTCGCTGTCGCGGTGACTAGACTCACCCTTCACACTAACGGGCACACCGTGCAGCGATCCCATCGTCTTTCCATGTTTCTCAAAGTAGGCGTCGAGCTCCTTGGCCTGCGCAATGCACTCCTCGGGGAAGAAGTCCATGAGACAGTTGGTGGTCTGGTGGGCCACTGCCGCCGACTTGCAGTACGCCGTGGCGACCTCTACGGCTGTGTACTTTTTGGAAGCGATGGCCGCCGCGAGCGAGGTCGCGTCATTGTGCAGAAGCTTGACTTCGGCAGGGGTGAGGATGCCGCTTGTCTCTGCGACGAACCGAACGTCTGTGGTGAGGGCAAAGTTGGGCGGGAGGAGCCAAGACGAAGGGATCTGGGCGAGGATGTGGGCGCGATACGCGTCGGCGCGCGACTTCCAGTCCGAGGTCATTAGTGTTGCGTGGATGGGGAGAGAATGTACAAGTGGGCAATGTTGCGATTTATGCAAGAGGTGTGACGGAATGGCCAAACCAGCTCGCACAGTTGGTAGCTTCTCGGCAACTCATATCTGTTGCCCACTCAGTTTGGCTGGCTCGTTACGCGGGCGTTGATCGCTTGGCGGAGCTAGCCGATAAAGCTTGTAACCGACACTCGGCCGAGTAAGACTTGTGCGATGAACGCGTAACGAGGTAGATGCTGGAACCCTGGCCAAAGGGTAGGCAAAGGAGCTGGAGCGCTGAACGCAAGGCAAACAGGCTCGCTCCCGACAATACGCGTTCACAATGGGAAAGCCTTGGGGGTGACATGTACCCAAAACCCGTGCCTGGGTCCTGACGCGGACGTCCACGAATCCACCTCGTCACCAATCTCTGCTCGCGACATCCATCCACAACCACAACTCACCACAACCCCCCCGCTGGCGGCCATGAGCGCGGCCCTCACCCCAATCCCCACCGCGGCGCCGACCCCGGCGCCCCTAGACCCACGGGACATCACCGACCCGGCCCAAATCACCGCGCAGCTCGCCCTCCTCACGCGGCGCGAAGCCGACCTAACACTCGCGCTCAACGCCCTCATCTCGGACCGCGCCCAGGTCGACGGCGCGCTCGTGCACCTGCGCGGCCTGACGCACAATGTCGAGGTCTTGTCTGCCGAAGTGGACGGCGTGGCACTGGGCAACCAGGCGCCGGCAGGCGTCATGTCCCCGTCGCCTGCTCCGCGCGTCACTTCCCCCATCCGCCGCGGCTCGCCCTATATTGGCGGCGTCGGCTCGCCCTCGCCCGGTGGACCATTGCCAGCCATGACAACGCGCGGGCTTGGGCTGCAGAACGTGGACGAGTCGCAGCTGGCCGACGACGCCGAGGGCCTCGTACAGCGCGTGAACCGCGTGTGGGAGACCAGCGAGCGCGTAGGCGGCAAAGTGCGCAAGCTCGACGACGAGATTGGCCGTGTGCGCGAGGCAGCCGATGTCGTCACCGAGGTGCTGGAACTCAAGAATTCGCTGCAGACGCTGAGCGCGGCGATTGAAAAGGCAGACTGGGAAGGAGCGTCGCGTGCGTGCCGCAGGGCAATGAGCGTGCGCGGAGTGGTGACCGATGGCGGTTTTGCTGGTGCCGTCGTGGTGAGTTCTTTCTTCAGGCAGCTAGCTACTCTGCTGACACGCGTTTAGCCCACACCCCAGTCCCCGTTGCCCCCACCGCAACAGCTCGACGAGCTCCGCACCGTCCTCCTCCAGACCTTTCGTCGCGAGTTTGACGCCGCAGCCGAGCGTAAAGACGAACAAGAGGTCAGCCGGTATTTCCGCCTGTGGCCCGGTATCGGCGCCGAGGACGAGGGGCTGGAAGCGTACGGCGACTTTGTGGTCGGCCTGGTCAAGACGCGCAGCGCGGCGGCAGGAAAGCGTGAGTACAGGCGATACGTATCTCTCGCTAACTAGACTCACAGCGTCCTCGTCGCTGTACTACATTACGCACCTCACCTCGCTGCTCGAATCCATCGCGCACATCATCGACCAGCACCAGCCTGTGGTGGACAAGTACTATGGCAAGGGACGCATGCGTACTGTTGTCGGCCGCCTGGTAGGCGAGAGCGACCGCGTGATCCGCAACCTCGTCGAGGGCTGGGAGGAGGAACGTCGCGTCGGCCGCCTCATATCCGAAACCAAGGCATCGCGGTTCGCGCTCTTGTCCAACCCAGCTCTCCTCCCACCACTCTTTGCGTCGCTCACAAACCCGCAAGCGACCCAGCTGTCCCTGTCTTCTTTGGCCAACACGACGTCCAACCTGTCGTCGGCGCTCCAATCGTACGCTCCCGGCGGCCGCAAGGCACCCTCGACGCCCGTCCCCGTGCCCGTGGTGGAAGAGGATCCGGGACCGGACCCGCGTGATGTCGACCGCGTTCTCGGCGAGCTCGTGGCGCTCGGAGGTCGCTGGGCCCTGTTCCGCCGCTTCGTGTACAGCCGCTTGGCGGATGATGACGAGGAGGACGACGAGGCCGAGCCCGTGGCCAGTGCTGGCGACATTGACGTGATTGAAAACTCGGGTTCCCAGCGCGCCATCGAAAACCTGCTCAAGGTCTACTACGAGCCCCTCGAGCTGTGGTACCTGCGCAGCAGTGTGGAAAAGGCCCACCGCCTCGACTCGCCCGACATGACCTCCAAGCCGCACGTGAGCAGTATCCTCGACGACACATTCTACTTGATCAAAGTGGTGCTCAACCGCGTGCTCTCAAGTGGCAGCCTGCCGGCGCTCAGGAGTATGCGCGAGAGGATTGCCACGGTGCTCGAGAGGGACTATTCGACTGTCCTTGGCAAGAAAATGGACAGTGTGTTCGCCCTCACGGCCACGTACGACCGCGCAGAGAAGGAGAGGAGGGAAAAGGATCAGAAAAAGACGTTTATTGTGGGTTAAGGCAAACGTTCAAAGCCATCCTAACCCTTTTTCTCAGATCTTTATCAACGACCTGGACGTCTCGGCCGACTATACCGACCGGCTGCTGAACGAGACCCGCGCCGTCCTGCCTCAAGTCTACCTCGAGTCGGAGCGCGCTGCCGTTCTGGACGAGCTCGACCTGCTGGCAGACCTCGTGTCCCAGTTCCGCTCCGGCGCGCGCCAGGGTCTCGAGCAGCTCTTCAACCAGCTCACGCGCCATCGTCTCCGGCCGCTTTTAGACGACTGTTACCGCGACGTGTCCTATGTCCTCGACGAGGACTCGTTTGCCGATGCCGAAGAGCAGGATCTGGTCCGGCGCCGCTTTGTGCGCAGCTGGGAAGGCGTGGTGGACGGGTACAGGGACGCGTTCACCGACCACAACTATCAGGCATTCTTCAACATGACTGTCGAGATGCTCGTCCGGCCGTGGGAGAAGATGGTCATGGGCATGCAGTTTACAGAGGTGAGTCACTGTACGAGAGTGCCAAGCTCCGAGAGGGGAACTGGGGCAGTCGGCGATTTTCGATCTTGTTTGTGTTGTTTGTTTGTTCTTGGTCAAACATCCGATGACCCCGTGACCACCCACACCCCCACACCCGCGCCCGCCACAAACTCTGTCCCGCACGCTAACACTACTCGCAGCTCGGTGCCATCCGGTACGAACGCGACATCCGCGCCGTGGCCAACTACCTCTCCACCCAGGCTTCGTACGGCGGTGCGCGTGACAAGTTTACCCGCCTGCAGCAGATTGCCACGGTGCTCAACTTGGACGCGGACGAGGACCCAGAAGAGTTTTTCGCAAACTCGGGCATTCCCTGGCGGTTGAGTCGTAACGAGTACAACACTGTCGTGGGCTTGCGTCACTAGATGTGATCTGCTCTGCTCTGCAACATGGTCGTCATAGGTGTTCGTCATATGTATTACATCATTATCTATTCCATGTCTCACTCCTCCTCCACATGGACGACAGAAACCTCCGGGCTCCGGGCTCCGAGCCTCCAGATCCCTTGATTCCTGGGTTCGACTCCCAGATCCAGGACCCCAGGACCGAGAGTGCATGGTCCCAACACCTGGGCCTCAACAGTTATACTGCATCTACTGGCTGCTCGGCTGCTCAGCCACAACGCTCTCCCCGGGTGTATCGCCCATCTCGCTGCCGGCCGCAGACACGAGGTTCAAGTTGCTCTGCGAGCCAGTGACGCTGCTGCCGGCCTCGCCACCCAGCGCCTCCACCTCGAGCCAGCCCAGGACGCGCTGCACGCCCGGCTTTGCGTCCTCTTTCGTACGCTCAACCGCGCGCTCGCCCTGGCGGCGCATCGCACCCACGAGGTCGGTCAGGCGCTCCCAGCGCGCCTCGAGCTCCGGGTCGTCCATCTCGTCATCGCCCCAAACCCCCGAGGGCCCGTCGTCTGCGCCAGCGTCATCGTCGCTCGTGACGCGGGCCAGGGGAGACTGCGGGATAGTCGCCGCACGCGTATGGTGGCTACTGGCAGCAGCAGAGGCGGATGCACGGACGAGAGAGGTGGTAGGGCCCAGTGTGTTGGTTTCACGCAACATGCGGCGGAGCTTTACGATTTCGGAGCGCTGTTTGGCCTTTGTCGCCTCGAGCGTGCGGTTGATGGCGAGCAGCGAGGCATTGGAGATTTCCAAGTCGGCAATCTTGCGGTCGACCTTGGCCTTTTCCTCGTCAGAGAACAGGTCCACGTCGTCGACTACTTCATCCTTGGGCATCTCGTCCGGCCCAACGGCAAGAGTGCTCCCGCTGAGTCGGTCGCGCTCGGCCCTCGGGACCTTTGGAGGTGATTTGGGCGGCGACACACTGATCCGCCTGCCATCGCTCTGATGTTCATCGCCACTGTCAAAGCTGAGACCACCGCCACTCTCGTGCGAGTCGGAGCGGTCCTGCGAGTCGCTAGAGAGACGGCCGGAGGCGTACCCGGAGAAACCAGAGAAACCCGACGCGTAACCGTTGCCGTTGGGCCCTGCGAAAAAGTGGGGTGGGAATGGGCTAGGTGGGAATGGTCCGTCGTCGTCTCCCGAATCGCGGCTGCGTGTGGGTGTCATGGTCGGCAGCGCGACGGTGCGCAGCTCGGGAGACCCCGGAGCCAGGGGGAACTGAGGGGGAGGGTTTGAGTGTGGGTTCCAAGGCAAGCCGGGCCGTGACATGCGCCGCGGTGGCGATCCCAGCGGCATCTGGGCCGAATGTGACGGCACAGGTGAGGTAGGGCATGACGCGGCAGGGTGTTGTTGGAACAGGTGGAGCGGTAGAACGGGTGACCCGGAGGGCAGGGCTCTGCTTGGACGCACGGGTGACGAATGGTTGGAGGATGGCTCGGGCTCTGCTTCAATGAGTGCCGCTGAACCGAATGGCATGTGGACAGGTTGAGGAGGCGTGGCAGAGTCCAGTCCAAGTTGCGGTGGGGTGGGTGGTCGAACCGATGGGACGAGGGTGGAGGGTGATAGCAGGGAAGATGATGCAAACTGGGGAAGAGCTGATTTAGGTGCAAGGTTTGTGGTGTTTACTCCTATCCGCGAGCCGCTGCTGGCGGGGATGGCCCGAGGTGCAGGTGTATGAGGGGTGCTGCTGCCGCTGTTGTTGTTGTTGTTGCTGTTGTTGTTGTTGTTGTCGCTATGGTCAATGCCCGATGTTGATCGTGGGCCACCAGTTGCAATCGACGCTGCTCGGACATGCACTCGTGGAGCAGGGGCCGGGGACTCCTCGTGCGCAATCAGGGCCGCTTTGAACCTGGAACCCATACTGCTGTTTGAGCTACCACCAGGTGTGCGCGAGCCTCTCAGGCCGCTGCCGCTGCCGCCAACGGTGCTGCCGGAGGGGGACCGGGGCCTCGGTGAACGATTTGGAGGTGACCGGTTGGGAGTGGAAACCGACGACGAGCCGACGCCGAGGACACTGTTCGGCGAGCGGACCCTGGTGACCCGTTCGACTCCGATGGTGGAGGTGCCTGCGGTGCGTGTTGACGGTGCCTTTGCCACCGGTGGCCGTGGCTTCAAGGCCGGTGCCGACGATGGGAAACCCATCACGCTACGGCTGCTGCTGGGTAGCGGGGAACGGGAACGGGTACCACCGCCTCCCGAGTCGGACATTGCGCCGTACGAAGGAACCTTGCGGAGCCGTGGAGTGGGCGCTTCAGAAGACGAGGTGGCCGAGACGTTTACAATCTCTGCCGGGTTTACACGCGCTTTCAAACGTGGGCCAGAGGACGCTGCAATAGCCGATGCAGTCGACATGGACGGTGATTGAGATGGGAGGCGTTCTGAAAAGCTGCCGGACACCTTATAAAGCAGATGCGTTAGATACACAGTTGTCGACGTGGTCCCAGATCTAACACCTCAGACACTTACCTTTCGGCGAGATTGATTGGAAGCCCTTATGGGCGGTGTACGCTCTGCCATGGCTCTTGGTCGTGGTAGGCGCGACGGGAGTTCGGATGGGTAGGCTAGAAGAGGTTCATGTGAGGATCCGATGGATTGTGTGACGGCGGTGTTGTTGGTACTGCTGTGTTGTAGCCAGAGAAAGAGAGGGAGTGGACGAGAAGTGTGGTGTTGGGAGGGACGCAACATGGACGGGGTGTGGCCGGTGGACTGAATGTCGGTGAGCGGAAGCAAAATGAGGGGGGGAGGAGAGACGGCTGGTCGGTGGATTAGGACTTTTGTAATAAGGACGGAACATTCGGGTGTAATCGCGTTTCCTAATGCAACCGGAGGGTAAGATCCTGTTCTCGTCGACCTCTTTGTCTTTGTTTCTCTGTCGCCGGCAGTCACCTCTTCCGCCATCATCCACCCCCATTCCCATCCCACATCCATCCAACCCAGTGTCTTCGGGACCCTGGAAACCACGCGCACAACCCTTCCCCCTCCAGCCCCCTTCGGCAAGCATCGGTCCACTCCGCCAACCCCCGGGGCCATAGACCACAACACACAACAACACACACGCGCGTGACGCTCTTTTGGCAGAGTGCAAACCATGAACACGTTCCCCGCCAACGCCATCCCCCAGTTCTCCGGTCCCCCACACATGGCAGGCTTCCCCCCCGGAGTCGGTGTCCCAGGCATGCCAGGTGTGCCAGGCGTGCCAGGCCTCCCAGGAGGTCCCATGCCACCAGGGATGCAGCAGCAGATGGGCGCGCCCGGTCTTCCCATGATGGCCGATCCTCAGCACCTCGCCATGATGCAGCAACAGCAACAGAGCTTCCTTGCCCAGCAACAGCAGCAGCAGCTTTCGGCCCTCAGCCACCAGCAGCTTTTGATGCGCGGCAGCCCCTCGGGCACGATGCAACACGCGTCAAAGAAGAAAAAGCACAGCGTGAGTCGACATTGTAGCACTGATGGACGCGTCGTCTACGACCCTCTGACATCCACAGGCGCGCGCGACTCCTCAGGCTCAAATGCTTCCCCGACACATGTCCGCCCTCGCACCTCCCCACGGCCAGGAGCACTACATCAAGAACGCGATGGCTCCGCCCGGCCAGGTCGGCGCACCCGGTATGCCGATGGAGCAAATGGAGCCATGGGCCGACGCCCTCGACGAGCTCGACCCGCGTGAGCTGGCTATGGGCCGCTTCCGCGCCCGCCACGAGATTATGGCCGAGGTGTTTGGCCCAGAGCGTGTTCGTGAGTACAGGAGGGTGTTCTGCGGCCGGTCACGCGTGGGGGTACACTTGCTCGTCTGGTAGCGCCGCTGTTGCGCTGTGATATTCATCTGGCCTTGGGAACGCGCGTATCGGGTATGCTTTCCCAGTCCGCGTGCGACAAGGAGCTACACCCCTGAGAAAAGCGTGGCCGATCACATCTGTAGACTTTTACTGACGGCATTCACAGAGGACATCCCCGGCGCCACCGACGCGTGGGAGGGTCTGGGACTGAACGGAGAGACCCTCGAGGCCAAGGTTGTGAGTTGGCCATGCGGCTGGAGCCGACGGAGATGTAGCCGCCGACTTGAGCTGACCACCGCAGCTTGCCTTGGAATCCAGCAACGCCGAGCTCGAGGCCAAGTTTGAGTCCGAGCTTGAGGCCTTCCGCAAACGCTTGGAAGAGGCCGATGGCCCCATTGCCCAGACCGCGTAGTCACAGAGGTGGACCGAGCAAGCGCAAGCGAGCAAACGAGAGCAGTACCCAAGACACATTGGCTGGGTACATTGGACCACACACCCCATGATCGTCGACCACGGATTCCACGGAACCGTCGTCATGTGGACGCCACCCAGCTGCGGCCCGCCGCTGACACGCGGGCTAGAGAAAGGCAGGGAGGAATAGGAGAGCTTATTGTATACACTAGACAGACAGCAGAGCGTGAGATGACAGCCCAATTGCAGGTTACTAACCCTCGCGAGTCCGTCCGAGCCCGTGGGATTTGTGCTTTTTCTTTATTCTCTGACGCGTTCTGACATGGCGACTGCACCCGGGGCTTGGCGACCATGGCGAGCGTTGGACGTGGCGAGGGTTTACAGGATCTCGGCGTATCGTACTTGCCGTTGGATGGCCGACTGCACGGGTGACAAGCTACGTCGTCGCCATGCTGGCGTTTGTGCAGCACAAGGAACTTGGAGCAAGGAAGTTCGCTGCTGCCGCTGCTGCGACAGTCCGCACCCCACAATCGGGCCAGGACGTGGGGCAGGGGGTCGGAAAAAGCGGTCGGATCTTGGTGGTCTCGCACCTAACGTTCTTGCCGATAGGTCAACGTCGTAAGTCATTCTTGGGACGCCTCATCACACTCGCTGCTCGGTGAGAAACGTACACTGGCTCTGTCTGTCTGGAGGAGACGCCAGGCTTTGACAGGTTGGTTCACAGAGCACACGTCAATGGCTGGCCCGGGCGCGTCACTACCGATGTAAGATGGCCCCATCCCCAAGACTCCCAACTCGGCAACCTCCAGTGCACTGGAATTCTCACTACTGCCCCTCTGCGATTGTCAGAGGCATCGCACGCCATCACCTGCCGCTGACAGCTCCCCATCATCACCTGGAACCATGATGGAATCTTGTAAGACGCTCGTTCAGAAAATACAGCATAACCTCCTATGGGTTTGTGTCCTATGGGTTTGTGAGTGCCGGGCTTACGGGAAGTATGGGGGGCTTATCAGCCACGCATCCACACAGACAAATGTGGCACACTACCTGTCAGCCCCCAAGTCCTCACGCCCACGGTCAAGCTGGTTTTTGGGCTTTCTTATCGTCGCGTGTGTCCGTTTGTCCATGCCTGTCCCTGCGGCGGTGGGCGACCAGCTGGGGTATATCTACCGTACCCATCGTCGCTTCGTCTCTCTCTCTCTCTCCCATCCGCGCATCTCCCCCTTTCAGCTCCCAATATCAAACACACGCTTTACCAAAGGTCCACCCCAACCCATTCAACATGTTCCGCTCTGGCTCCCCCTGCCCCGGCTAGTACGTCCCCACCTCCCTCTCAACATCTCCCCGTGTCACGACCTAACCACACAGCGTCGGCACCCTCAACGTCCGTTCCAGCTACACCGTCCCCGTCCCCGCCTCGGCCTCGCCCATGTGCGGGTTCATGCCTCGCCCCGGCTTCTGCTCCGGCCCCAGGTCGGGTGTCCTTGTCGGCGGTGTGTTCCACCGCGACCCGTCCTGCCGCTACGCGCAGTATGGCTGCGCCATCCCCGTCGCCCTCTGGGGTGAGCGTGACGCCTGTCGTGGCGAGTGCCCGCTTTGTGACATGTCCATGTAAGTTGTCCCCGGGGTGAAGGGACAACCGGCAAGGTTTGGCCAGGTCCGCTGTCAAGAATTGATGTGCCGGTAGGCGGGCCTGGTTGGAGGTGGGAAAGCGGGGTGTAAAATGGGGATTAAATCAGAGTTTTTTATGTTAAACTGTTCGCGGCGAGACAAAGCAAAGCGCTGCAGCTTCCGGCATTTACATTCCCTTTCTCCATCTGGACTATGTTCAACGTTTTCAGTTGTAATAGACTGAAAGCTACTGATAGACGGACGCGTGGTATCAAGTCTGATCCCATCCGTTTGCATCAGCGACGACATTGCACAAGGACGTGGCAAGAACAGTCAAACAACCACAGTCATGGGGCCAGCCGCTCTGGTCATACCTCGCAACCACCGTATACGTTCATTATAAAGCAGGTTATTTATGTTATATGTGTACTTCAACAGCTATATGCCAGTTATATGTCCACATAGAAGTGGCAATGACACCACCTGTTGCCGGTCCTGGGTCCATTGCTCCGTGGACCTGGTCCAACATGGCAAAAGCATACCCGCGACCTATTTGGCTCAATGGTGGGAATCGCACAATGTGACTGCGGCAGCGATATGCAATTCGGGTGGCCTGCGTGCCATGTGCCACAGACAGGCGGGGCTGCACAACTCTCGTGGCGAGCTTTGCCTACCATTCTGATTGCCATAAAGAGGACCGGAACCGCGTCTTATGGACCGTCGCATAACGACCGCTCTTGATGGCCGGAGTGGGGAGCCATGCTGTAAGAGGAACAAACGTCGACATTGACGTTCGTTTCGTCTTGTCGACGAGGAACCCAGGTCCTGCTTTGTCTCATGGGAAGCTAGTCTGTGTGCACGATTTGATTTTGTGAGTCCCCGGAACGGAGTCTGGCTGAACTCATTCCGCATGTGCATGTTCGGGATAGACCTCGAAGGTACACGCGACATGCGTCCGATATCTATCCGGGAACATGGGAACAGGAACGAGGCGGGCGGAAACGCAACTCCTTCAGACACCGACAAAGAGTGCTAGCCAACACGTTTCTGTTCCACCCAAGAAATCACACACACTCTACCCATACCGCACGGGACAGGCCATGCCTCCGGGCGGCGCGTTAAACTCAAAAAGTCTTAAGCCTGGCAGGGCCGTCCCAAACCACAAGCCGGCGGCGGGGGCCTGAGTGGCGACGCGACGGCGGCGGTATGTGAGGAGGAAGGAATGAGGCGGCTGCTGGCGTGTGTGGGGCCTAGGTCATGAGGTGGAGGCAAGCCATGCGCCCAGGCCACGGACTAGATCGAGGTAGACTGGCACAGATGTACAGAGTATGGGGTTATGGCAAACAATTGGGGTGATTGCGATTGAGGGGCCTCGTTTGGGTGGTGGTTGGTGTGGCAAAACTGGTGTGGACATCGGAGCAGCTCACCCATTGTCTGGAATGTTCGTCTTCAACTCCGCCACACACCCGCCTTTTTCGGCCGTGTCAATCTCTAGAATGTGAATGTGAAGGCAGAATCATGCTAGCTGCACGACTTGTAGCACTCCCATTCGAGATGGATTCGTCGCCGACTCACACACGACGCGTCGCCGTTCATTGCTCCCAGACAAACGGACGCCAGTCCCCCTCGTTGTCACTTCCGTCATCCACGCACGACAATGAAAAAGCGCCACTGCCGAGAGACCGGAACGGCCACTTCATTACTTTGTCGTCAGTGTTCCTCCAACAGCAAGTACTTTGGGCGACCGATGGATCAGGGAACCAGCAACACCCCAGCGGGCTGTGGACGGTTCACGTTGGTATTGACGGACAACTGCTAGTCCCGCAGCTAATCGTTCCCGCTCCCGACGGTATGTTGCGGCATGGTACCCTGTTGCCTGACCCAAAAACGTGTCCAGGTCAGATATGGTCCATGCATATGGGGTGCTGGGAGATAGTTGATAGACCTCGTACTCGCGTACATTGGACTTGCAGGGCTACAGGAGGGATAACGGCTACCAATGATTGTCGTGGGCGGCAAGAAACTGCAGAAAATGAATTGTGCCGTTGGTTGGTTACTCGGCCACCCTACCGCAGACCGCGAGCTTCTGACGAGTCCCTGAAACGGTTGCTGTCCGGGAGTTTTGCATGCTTCTCGTTGGCACACACCCCAGAATGTGATTCCAGTGCGCGGAAGTGTAGCAGCCGTGTAGCAGCCACAACTGAACCAAGTGTGCCGGTGAAGGCCCGTGATGCGTTCCGAGGTCACCGTTGCTGCTGGCGCTTGGCATGTGACGAGGATCTATCAATATGTTACAGGACGACAAAGACAAGTCGAGAACAGAGATAGCAAGGGGAGAGTGGAGACTGAGCATCGACAGGTGGAAGAGTGCCACAATCGGATTACGTAACCCGTTCCTACCCTTCTCTTCCTGCCAGCTTCTCAATTTTCATCGAGCCTGGTTATATCAGTCGGTAGATAGTTTGACTCTTACTTCTTTAAGACATCAAAATGTCATGGGTTCGAGCCCCATACTAGGCTTATCTTTTGGCTTCTGCTGTCTCCTTTTGCCTTGGAGGACAGACAAATGAAGTAGAGAGCCTCGGCAGAGCCATGTAGTCGAGCAGGGGACATCGTTGTCAGCTAGTAACGTCGTCTGCTCTTGGACACATGCGCGGGGGCCCTAACGTCACCTCGTCGGCCTAGCGCAGAGAGAGCCTACGTGAGTGTTCCTCTGTTCTGCTCCACGTTCCGCCGAAAGTTGTAGGTTGTACTCCACCAGAACTGGGGCATGTATGTGTACTACTTGTCAACAAGGGAAAGATATTCTGAGCATACCCCGGCAGAGAACCCTTTCGAGCTCCATTTAGCAGGATTGCACATGTGCCACACAGCCTACAGCTGATGAGCCAGAGCCGAAGAGGACCTATGTGGAGAGTATGGGACGACGGTTCGCTCTGCCACAGTCACATTTGTGCCTCCGACTGTCGAGGTGGGGACATCTACGAACCTCGAGACCGCCTTGGAAGGGGCAAGGAGGGTGTTTGGTAACAACGGCAGTTCCAATACTGGGGGTCGTGTTGTTGCGTTGTGGGCCATGGATGCCTCGGACTCGGTGTGATTCATGGAGATCTGGAGATGCTCTCAGGCCGCAAAGCACGCCTCTTTGGACATGCGTCCCTCACTCTCCCAAACCACATCCTTGCCGTTTCCAACTTGTCATTTAGGTTTAGGTTTTTTTTACGTCGTGCTTGCTCTTGGTCGTGCTCCATCGGGCTCGTCGCTGTTCACTGGTACGCGTAGTGCATGTTTACGTCCTCGAGGGACGGGGCCTGGACACCGGAAACAATGGTAAAAACAAGCATGGCCGTAATGTGGGAGTCGGATCCCTGTTGAAGGTTGGGGATGGGTTTCCAGGCATGAGGCACCCGTGTGCCGGCATGGCCTGCGAGAGCTTGTCGGTTTCGCATATCCCGTCGTTCATGGTCTCCGAGCCTTGCTCTTCTCACAAGGCTGCGCAGTAACTAGGTGTGCAATGAGGGGGTGAATGGACGTGACAGCATCGACGAGGAGCAGGACGACGAGGAGCTGTGACGTCAGTCGCCACATACAGCGACTTGGATCTACTGATCGCTGACCAGTCCCTGTCTATGTGTGATGGGCAATGTGGCAATGTTCATGTCGGTGGGCAACCTGCTTCCCCCTCCCACGCCGGCCGCAGCTGCAGCTCGCCGTCTCCATGCCGTGCACACACTTGCGGCCCTTGTGCACAGTTTCAGCTCGCACACGACCGATCCTCGCCCCGGCTAGCTGGGCCTGAGAGACGGCACGGTGTGACGGCGTGTGATGGCCGTGGTGACTGTCCCTCAATACCGTGTCGTGGCGGCGTGGTGGGTGAATTGGAGGCAGACCGGAGACACGGGTGGCACAGGAAACGCTCCAAGGTCCAGCGGGGCGCGTCTGAAACGGTCCCAAGGCCAAAGGCCAAAGGCCCAACATGAGCAAGTGGCTGCATGGCGGTAGTGGTAGTGCATAGCCGTTATGGTGGGCAAATGGCAGATGTACCAGCACGGCACAGCATCAGACAAGCAGCAAGACGATGTGAACGCACTTTTGGATGAAGTGTTCCTGAGCCTGCACCACCGCAAACATTTCAGTGTCTTGTGTTTTGTCATCGCGGCGAGTGAGTCACGCATGGGCTGATGGCATTGCTTCTGTGCTTCTGACAGATTCGATCTGGCCAGAAGCTTGCATCTGAGAGACATGGTGCGCGAGGCCCCGCCGCCCATGGCCATGGCCGTGGCCTCACTGTCGCGGCGTGTTCAAGGTTGTTCTATCTCGGGACCACGCGGCTTCCCGTGGAACGTTTCGAGGTTCCGTTCTCTGGGTCAGGCGCTGGTACGCTGGGTTTGGAAAGGGCAGGTAGGACGGGAAAACTATTAGGCCTGTGCCCCGACGGAAAGATAACAGGTCAGCAACCTCGTAATGTCTCCGTCGGAAACCAAGCGGTCTTCACACAGCTAACAGCATGCGGGCCGGCGCAGCTCGAGGCTCGATATGCAAGGCAGCAGCAACACTAAGCGTTTCGTGCGTGGAGCAAAGGGCCTGTTTCGTCTTGGTATTCACTCCACTCCATTCAGCAACACACGTCCCTTTGGAGCCGACCTGCTTTTTGCGTGTCCCTATAAAGTTCTAGTGACGATGGGATGCATTTCAGCTTTCAGCCACGTTCATGTGGCGTGCCCAGGAGCGTTCAGCCAAACCTTGACGGCTTGGGGGTGGGGTCGGCTCGTGCTGTACGTACATTCCTGTACTTGGGCGCCTGACTCATGGCTGTGTCCTGTGCGGTGCGTGCTCGATCTCGTGTGTCGTCTCTTGCCCTTCTGGCCAGGTGTGTGATCGCCAGAAGCGTCCATTATCCCGCGCGCCCACCTGGTCACCTGCATCACCTGCCGGCCCTCACAGGCCCCATCAGGAGGCGTGATGGGGGGGCCTGAGGCGCCTGCAAGGGACGAGTGTGGGGGTGGCGTGCATGGCGTGCATGCCGTTGGACGCTGTTGAAAGATCCAGCCGTCGTGGCGGACGGGGGGCAACGTCGAGTTCCTGCTTTGCGCAGAAGCAGAAGCCGAACACAACCGAGTCGGTGCTGCACGCTACTGCCACTACTGTCCACGCTGTCCAATATCCATTTCAAAACGAGGTGCTAGAGTGTCTCATATGGTGGTTCACGCTCAGGACCCCCACCCAAGGCCCCTTGAATTGCCGCACGGTTGCCACAGAGTATGGAGAATGTATCCTCTCACACACCATTCCACAACAAAACTCGGATCTGTGGGATTTCTGACCCTGTGCGCCTGTGCTCTGGCATGCTGCGCGCCGCTGCTCGCATCCGAAGGACAAAACGTCCCATTTCTCAGAGTCCTGGAGCTAGCTCTAGCTGTATCGGGTGACAAACGCTGAGTGGGACACGCGTCCAAACGAACGCAGTAATCTGTTTCGGACCGAAAAAGGAGAAAACTTCTCACATACTTCCATCGGCAACAAAAATAGGAAACTACTGTAGTACATGGAGAAACGGGAAATTAGGACCCAGACGTTGGTATTTGTGACAGGAGTAAAGAAAAAAGGGAGGCCCCCTTCCAGGCGGGGACGGTTTTGTTTTTCCGAGAGAGTAGTATGTACAAAGGTAAAAGACGCGTGCGAGATTGGGACCCAAAGAAGGTAGGGAGAGAGAGGGGGGCCACTGGGAATGGAAAACCACAACCCTGGTGCTAGTTGACGCTAACGACGACGGGGCGGGCGGTGGTGTCGCGTTGGTGGCGTGGCTCGGCAAAGTCGCCAGTCACGTTGAAGAGGCAGGGGCTCTCGGTGTTGCCCTCGTTGGCGATTGTGGGACGCCTGTAGGATGGGGTGCTGGACACGGTGCCGACACGCGTGGTGGGGGCCGAGCGAGCGATGCCGTCCGACACGACGGTGCCCGCAGCGACGGAGATGGGAGAGTCTTTACCGATGGGGACGGGCGGGGTGTGCAGCGACGACTTGAGGTCGGTGCGCGAGCGGAACGCGCTGGACAGCTTGCCGAGGAAGGACGAGCCGCGCTTCTTGGTCGAGCGGTCCGGGGGCGAAGGCGAGAGCGAGGTTGAGGTCTCGCTCAGCTCACGGTACGCACGGGGCGGCGTGCGACCGACCGTGGACGCACGACGCTGCTTGCTGGAGCTGCGGTCCTTGACGTAGTCGGGCGACAGGAGAGAGGCAGGTGCGGCGGTGCCCACGATGGAAGGCAGCTGCTTGGGCAGACCGATCGGTGAACCAGTGGAGGGTGACTCGGTGAAGTGGCGGATTGCGGGAGACGGAGGCGCCGGCTCTCCAGGGTCGGTGACAATGTCATGAGAGCGCTCGGACTCAGTCGAGCAGCTAGCGCAGCGGGTCGTGAGTGGGGGGACAGGGGCGGCAAAGTCAATCAGGAGGTTGGCCGAGGTGGCCATGGACGAAGGGGTCTGGAGACCGACCCACGACCATTCCTCGCCACGGACCCATCCGTTGGCACTGTCAAACTCGGCAGTCTCCTCGGCGTCCAGCTTGGCGTGGACGCGGTGGGTGACAAAGCGTGTAGGGGTGCCCTCTGCCTTGACCTTGCGCACAAACTTGATGCGGCGCGTGTGGTAGCGCGCCGAGCGCGTAGGGTGGAACGAGTCGAGGAGCATCTGAGACAGCTCTTCGTGGCGGTAGTTGACGAGCGGGATGTGGTTTGCCGACTCGTAACGGAGACGCTTGTTCTCGCACATGCGGTCGACGAGGGTGCGGGTCGACGAGATGGGAGCGCCGGCGACGGTCTTGGTCCAGGGCGCCGAGGGGAAGTGCTCTGATCCCAAAGCGGCCGAGGGCGCGCTGGCGAGGGTGCGGATGTACTCGGTCATGAGCGCCTGGGTTGTGGCGGCAGAGGTGTCACGCCCACCCAGGACGACGTCGACGAGACCGAGCTCACGCGAGCGGGTAGCCGAAAGCGGAAGCATGTCCTTGACGAGGTGGGTGGCGATGGAACGGCCACAACGCTCGACATACGAGTAGAGGTGGAACTCTGAGCCGTGGAGACCCATGGCACGGTACGCCGGGTTGAAGACTGCTGTTCCAGCAGCCACGACCACGTCGCATGCCGCGGCAAGGGCGACACCTCCTGCGGCCGCGTTACCACGGACACACGCAACAGTTGTGATACCCCGTTCCGTCAGGGACGCAATACCAGCGAGGAAGTCTGAACGGGGGACACTGGAGACGTCGCCAGCGAGGACCTCGACGACATCGTCAATGGCGTTGATGTTTGCCCAAGTCTCACGACCCGGGTGCTCGGCAGCCTCGATAACGTTCAGGGCGACACCGTTCGAAAAGTATCCGCCACCCATCAGAGCGAGGACCTTTACGTTGCCACGGGCCGGGTCAGAGGCCCACTGCAAGGCTCGAACGAGGTGTTCACATCCGGTAGTCGAAAAGGCTCCGTTACTGGGGGATGATGTCAGCCATGTCGGGAACACTAGATGCCGTAACAAATGCACGGCGGCTGTCCCGCGAAGCCCAATGGCTGCGATCGCGCGGCGCGCGACCACTGGCTCAGATCACTGGAGCGCGTCTTACGACACAGACAAGGCATGCACACGCGCTCTCCGCGCGCGATCGACTTTACTTTTGTGGAGAGATTGGGACACGCGGGAAGGAAAAGAAGACACAAGCACAACTCACTAGAAGTCCCAGTACACGAGTTGGAGCACTGCGTCACCCTCTTCGATACTGCGGACAAACACCTGCTGGTAGGTGCCGGGGGCCTCTGCAAAGCCCGTTTCCGTCCACTCGCGCACGCCCTCGAGACGCGACGCTTCGCCGGCCTTGCGGAGAGCCTCGGCCATGGGGACCTTGGACTGGAGCGCGGCGGCGGTGGTCGGCTTGGGCAGGCGGCCGTGCGTCAACCACACGGCGACGCCACACCCAAACGTGCAGCTCTCGTGGCCGTGGCCACAGTCTGCCGTCTTGAAGAGGACAGCTCCGTCGCGCGTTGCAATGGCCTTGCCCGCCGGGATGAGGTTCCATGGCTGGGGCAGGAGGGATGGAGGGATGGTGTTTGCGCGCAGATGGATCTTGCAGTCGTATGCAAAGATGAATGACCGGGCAGTCTTGAGGGTACCGCCGGGCTGGGAGTCGCCGCAGTTGATGATGCGTGCTACGTCGGCGGCAGTGTGCTTGGCCAGGTCGGGACGGCGCTGGCCAGGCTTGATCTGCGGGCGCTCGTTGAGACGTCCACCGAGGAAGGGGACACCGTGCGAGACGCACTGGAGCGACCACTTGGGGTCGACGGGGACTGCGACGCGCTGAGCACGGTGGCTCGGGTCCGAGAGGCCGGCGAATGAGCCAGCGATGCGCGTGAGGGCGACCGTGACGGCGCGCACGGTGGCAGCGGCGACGGGGCCTTGGTAGATGGTCGACTTTGTGGTGCGGGAGACGTCGGGCAGGGGGAACTGATCAAAGGCCCACACGGGTCCGCCGTCCATGGTGTGGTCGGCCTGGAGGACGGTGATGCCCCAGTGTGAGCGCTGGCGCTCGGCGATGGGTTTTGAGCGATCCACAGGCGCGACGAGAGAGGCAAGTGCAGAGGTGGCGTCTGGGTCCAAGCCGCGGTCACCCATGATCGCCCAGTCGATCGCGGCGGGTCCCGCGTCACCGGGAGGGCCCGGGTGCACGATGAGCGTGAGGACCTGTGCATGGTGTTAGCCGCCGTTGTCTGTTGTAGTGGGTGGGTGTATGGGTGGGTGCTCTTTGTGGGTGCTCGTCGACGGCGGTAGTAGCCATATGCAAATAGACATTGACTGGCCACGCCGGGGAGAGAGGGTTTTGTGGGACTACGCCACAGGCACACCCCACCCAGGTGCGCCGCCAGACGGCTGATTCAGGGAAAAAAAAAGATCGAGGATCGAGAGGAAATGGGTGACTCACATTGCTCCAGATGACATCGGGAACCTTCTTGGTGAGGAAGGGGCACAGGACAACGTGCGGGGCATGGGCCAGGACGGCGGACACCATGGCTTCGTCGGTGATGGCCAGCTCGGTGGAGACACGCTCACATCCCAGGTCGGTCAGGTAGGTCGCCACACGCTGCGTGAGCGAGTTGACAGCCGAGACGAGGAGCAGGATGCGCCACTTGCGAACCTCCTCTGGCAAGGGAGGCAGGTCGACGAGGGCGCGGGCCGGGGGGACGGACATTGTGTGTGTGGACGAAGGTGGGAGGGAAGGAGGGAAGAAGAAGGTGGGGGTTGGCGGGTGGTGGTGACCAGGGCCTGGGTGGTGGTGGTGGTGGAGGCCGATGGGGTGGTGTTGTTGACAAGAGGGTGTGTTGTGTGCGTGCGTGTGTATGTGGAGCACAGCCTAGCCGGTGCGTCGACGAGGCGACGGGTGTACCGCTGGTGGTGGTGGTGGTGGTGGTGGTGGTGGTGGAGACGGTGTGTGTGTGGGTGTGTTGGGTGGACAGAGAAGACGACCAGACGGGACTGAATGGACGGTCGCCCCTTTAATAAGTATGCCACGCGCGTGTGGGTGGTGGTGGTGTGCGTATGTGGCCTGTGGTGCGTGTGGTGGCTCCTTTTCCGTTCGTGCTCGATCTGTCGCGTTAGCCTCCTTTGGTTCCCTGCGGCGGCTTCCGCGAGCGATGGGCAGCGAGCAGAGGCCTTTTGGGCAAATCTCGTTTCAACCCGTCGCGTGAACGGAGGGACGCACCTCGAGCGTGACTTCTTTGGGCCTGCCAAAGAATGTGTGCTGTGCTTGGAGACAAGCTGGGGCGCTGGGTGGGTGTGGATGGTGGTGGTGGGAGATGGGTTGGTGGCGGGGGTGGGGTTGGTGGTTGGTGGTCGATAACCTCCAGATGGCGCCGTAATATGTACGTTGCAAGTGCCAGCTCTGTGCCAGTTCTTCGCCGTGTTCCCACACCCACAATCGCCTAGTCAACACGGGCCCGTAGCATGCCCATCGAGAGAGCCTTTCACGATCCTCTCTCTCTCGCATGCATCGCACAATCCTCAGACCCGTGTCGGCTCCGTTGTACGGGACGACCAGCGGCCAGCGGGCCCAGGGCGCGGGTTGGGTAGATGAAAGCGCCTCGCCGGCGCAGCCAAGATGGGGGGGTGGGACGGCCCTGTCCTGTCCCAGGTCCTGTCCACTAGCCCGGAACCCGCTATGTCTCTCTCTCTCTTTCTTCGTCTCTCCGGATCTCTGTCGCGCGCGCGTCCTGTGCAAGCCGCTGCTCAAGACACACGATGACGACCTGTGCGCCATGCAAGAACCCGCTGGCCGCTGGTGCAAGGCGGGCACGGTGTCCGTCCCCCCGCCATATGGCCCATGACGCGCGCGCGCACACGCCGCGCGCAGCGCGCGAAAGAACCACGGCATGCTGCACACCCACACCCCACCATGCACCACGCCGGTCACTAGATTCGCACCTTGGCAGGATCGGTCTAGAACAGCGTCCCAGGCCCGCCAGCGGGCACCGGCGACCGGCCAGTTGACTGGAACTGAACGGTCTCTGTGTGTGGGCGTGGTGTGGCGCGCGTAACCAGTGGATCAGGACGTGTGTAAGAAAAAACGTCACGGGCCAAAAGGGACAGAACACGGCCCCCCCCCCCCGCGCGTCTCTCTCGCTCCCTCACGGCCAAAGCCTTCGCATGCCTCGCACAGGCGCACATTCTAACATTCTGCGTTCTGAGAGGGTTGGCTGGAATGAAGGGCGAGGGGACGTCGTACAGTCCCGGAAACGAACACCAACAGGGCCCACCGGGGGCTGGGAACAGTCTTTCCCTCCCCACCTCACACATCCCTCATTCCTCTCTTCCTCGTCCTGCATCGACCCCGGGCTTCAACACAAACATTCTTTCCCTGTGTACAAAAACACGCCAGGGACCTATCCGTAAGATGCCGGTATGCCTACCTGGGACCCGCGGGCCGTGGGAGGGCCATTTCTCCCACCCGCAGCCCCCCGAGGTGAGACCACAACCGATCGGGCAAAACGCATCTCGGCTCCAGAGCGGCCCTCCGGCGGCGCTTGTCACTGATCAAACGGATCAATGGTCGGGGGCACACATGCATGGTATGGGCGCGGATGGCGCGGGAAACGGGTAACAGGACGGGAGAATGGGAAAAAAAAAACGCCACTCTCTGGCGTTTTTAGGCAGGCACATATGCTTGGAGGTATGGTACATATGGTCTGGCACGGGGGCCATGGCGTGGGGGTGTGGGTGCGGGGTGGTGGGCATGTCGTAGGCGGCGTCCCCCCGCTTTGGAGGCGCCAGAGCCAGAAGAATGGTACAGCTGGAGTGAAGATTTAGGCGTGGTAGGGCTCGCACGTAATCCACAGGAAAACGAGCCGTCGGGAGGGGTGCACATCATCATCACTGTGTCGGAGTCGGGTTCGGGAGACGGTACTTGCGAGACGGTACTCGCGAGACGCGTTTTGGGGTTGCTTGATTGTAGCGTGATTGTGATATGCGCAGACGGGCGGCGACGATCCTGGATCGCCGTCACCACACACCACCGTTTGTCGGCTGTCGTGCATTTTCGATGCTGCTTCAGTCCGAGTCGCTGTCAACCTTAGGGGGCACAACGTAAGCATGGTAAATAAAAAAGCCACCCCGATCATCAAAGACGTACCAGCTTGGAGCCTCGCGCTTTGGAGAAGCTGTGATAGGTCAGCCAACAGCACGCGTGATCCCGGTTGTCAAGCCTGTGGGAGGGAGGGAACAATCGGACCAAGTCGGAGGAATGGCGCGACACGATTTAAGCTCCAGAGGGCCCCATCTTCAGTTCCCAAGAAGGCACACTCGTACTCACTTGAGCTGGCTTTGGCGCGACGACGAGGCCGCGGCTTTGGTCGTGCGTGGGGTCGCCGCTTTCTTTATCGTAGTTCCACGAGCAGCGCCGCGCTTCGGAGCGGCTCCACGAGCCGGTGCCTTTGCCTTGGACTTGGGCGGTGGGCTGACGGACATGACGTCCGAGTCGTCAGAATCATTCTCAGAGGCCGGCGTGAACTGGAACATGGTGGTGGGGGCGCCGCATCAGCCACGGCAACTAGCACATTGAGAAAAACGAGGTCTGCAGCCCGCCACACGCGGCCCGGGGACATGCAGTCTTGTCTTGAACCTACCAGAGGTTGGCGTCCCTTGCCCTTGGTGGTGGCAGCAGCACGCGACTTGGTGGTGGCCGCTGCCTTGCCACGGCGAGCGGGAACTGGCTCGGGCTCGTCAGAGTCTTGCTCCATCCTGCCGTAATGTCAGCATGTGGTCACGCCCTATTCTCGGGGCCCAGTGGACATGTAATACACACATGCTGTCCTCGGCAACTGTGCGGGGGCAGTCAGCGACAAAAAGACCAAAAAAGCAACACAAATCGCCAACGATGTACGTACCCATCGAGTCGTCGGAATCCTGGACCTTCTTGCCACGCTTTGTGGACTTTGTGGACTGCAAGCATGTCAACGCGCGCCACAATGCCTACCGCAGAGACATACCTTGGACGTGACGGCCTGCGAGGCGTATGACTCCACCTGGCTGAGCAACAGGTCAGCTCTCTCTACATGATAACGGGGGGCAAAGGACAAAAAACACGAACGCTTCTCTGACTTGCGCGATCTACGATGTCAGCGATACTCTTTCGAAGTGCTGGATGGGCGTAGCTGAAACTCACAACCTCGTCCACATTCGTCTCGTCCACCTCGCCTTCAACGTTCTTCATGCCCTTCCCAAGCCCCTTGAGTGCGTCATCGACAAAGCTGAGCGGTTAGCGGCAGGGATGGAAGGCGTACCAGCTAACACCTACTCCTTGATCGCATCCTTGTCATCCTTGTCGATAAAGCGCATGACAGCGTATTCGAGGTCGTCCGATTTGAGAACCTCGAGGTTCTGCGCAAGGAGATACTGCTTGACAAGAGTGCCCATGTGGATCTGGGACTGGCGGTCGCGCGTCGTGCCGCCTTCGTCGTCCTCATCGTCAAAGTCGGGTTGGTCGGGGAGGTTGGCGGTCTCTGCACATGTCAGCTCAAGACGTTGCCACGGTTTACGCACTCCTCACGCCCTTCTTTTTGCGGTAGTACTGCAATATGTCCTTGTGGTTGGCGACGCGGTTTATGAAGTCTTGACCAAATCGAATAGGGTTGGTCATCTCCTTGGCTGCCGAGGTCTCGACCTGGCCATGTCAGTCGATTGAGCTGTGTGGCTGGGCACACTCACCTTGAGACGAATCAACGGCAGCATCATCTCCTCCGTCTCGGGGTCGTGGCCCTCCTCCCACTTGTTCTGGGCCGTGGCGATGAGCTCCTCGACCTGGGAGCGTCAGCAATGGGTTTTATCAGTCTCCATTACCCTTTGGCGCAAGAACGCCGAGATGGTGTCCTTGTCCTCAAGATCGATGTCGTTGTCGGCGTTCGCAGCCTCGTCCTCGAGGATAACCTCGTCGAGCTCAAAGGGACGGACGGTCTTGAGGAGGATTTCTTCAATCTGGAACTTGTCGCCTTGAATCGAGAGGATACCAACGTTTCTGCGAAGTGAGCGCAATACCCCGCGGATAACACCTACTTTGGCAACGCCTCGCCGGGGTGCAGACTCGTGGCAACAGAGCTGCCGGGCTGTGTGATAAAGTAGGGCTTGCCCTCGACCGGCTCGGGCCAGATGCGGCAGTCGTGCTCGTGACCCCAGACGACCAGCTTGATCGAGTCGTCAAACATGCCCTCGGGGACAGACTGCTGAGGACCGTGCTTGACGCTGGAGGCGTCAGCATTCAATGTGCAAGATGAAGTGGCGGGAGCCTTACCGGTTCTGGTGGACGAGAAGCATGTTGAACCAGTCATTCTCCGCGACTTCGCCTCCTTCGGGCATGAACATCTTGACGCGGTTGGAGCGCAGCTCGTAGTGCATGCGCATGTCCCTCACGTTGCCGACGCCGTACATGGCAAGGTGCGTCGTGCCCTTGCGGAGAAGGATGGGACGAATCTTGATGCCGTCGTCTTCTCCCTCGTTCGCCTCATCAGAGGAAAGGTCCACCTTGCCAAAGTAGTTGAGCATGCCAGAGACGGAAAGCACGTCGAGGGCGCACAGCGCTCCTTCCTGCAGGTGGTGTCAGTGTTGGCGGCTAGCTGGAGACGGAGAGGGTCCAGACGTACCGGACCTGTACCCTGGGGGTCATCGTGGTTTCCGTGGATGGAAAAGACGGGAATGGCAATGTTCAAGTTGGGGTCCTCGTAGTTTACAGCAGGGAACCTGCAAAGGTGAGCTCGCCATTGTGCGGACAGTACCTACGAATAGCCCGGTGTGGCACCGTCCATGGGGTCGCTGAGGAGCTCGAACGGGATGGGCTTGTCTCCCAGAGTAAACTCGCGGAGAAGGGCAATGGTCTGGTGCATGCATGTGCGACTGGGGCGGTTCTCGTGGAACAGGTCGCCAGCAAGAAGGATAAAGTCGACGTCATGGTCGCGAGCGAGCTCGAGAATCTCGCGAAAGGTGTTGATCGCGTCCTGGCCGCGAATGGGGTCCTTTTCGCCATAGCCAATATGGTTGTCCGTAGCGAGCATGATACGGAAGCAGCTGTTAAAAGGAGAAGCCAGAA